ATGCCTCGAATAAGATTACGTTGTTCTTTGTGTACCCTTTTAATTTGTTTTTTGGATCGCCACTCTACCTAATGTACTGTACAACCCACATATTATCAATCTGGAATTTCGTGTGTGATTCATATTACCCGGGTACCAGCATGAGATGATCGCCAACGGTTTCTCGCATCGCAAACCCCGAGAGCCCCATCATTCTCCCCTAGAGGCATTTGATTCGTCGAGTGGGGGAGGGACTTGACTCCAATTGCAAATCCGTGAATCATGCAAGTGCGGATTCATGTCCATGTCTCCGTACTCCGTATGTACATATTCAAATGTTCTGTATAGCTGTCAATTTTGAAGCCTTGCAAGAATTCCAATCCAATCTCTTCCAATATATTAAGGGCCGTATTAATAAAAACTGGCATATTTGGCCTCCAATTCTCACGGACCTCACTGTAAAAAGATTCCGCATGGCCTAGACTCACTTGACAGACCGCTCTGTTGAAAGGCAAAGAGAAAGAGAGAAAGAAAAAAAAAAGCATTGAGGCATAGGAGCTCCAAGCTCACCCGTGTTGCTCCAAAGCCCACAAAGAAGCTCCATCGGAAGCCACTTGAGTCGCTCGGCTGTTCTGGAGGACCTTCCGCGACATGGGATTCTTTGGGGCTAGGAGCCGCCCGTCCGTCGGCGCGGGTGCGCTATCTCCAGTTTTTTCCTTTGCCTTTTCTCCACCGCGATAATCCGCACATTCGAAGTACCATGTGCATGGCTCTTTTCCCGTTCCTGACCTCCTGCAGTAGTGCTGGGGTAGCTTTCCCGATAGCTGTACATGTTTAAATTTTTAGTCTTTTTTTTTTGTTCTTCTAATTTACCCTTTGCCGTGTTATAAAGTCTTTCCAAGGTTAGAATTGGTACCGGTGGGTTCTTTCCTTTTTCTGGTGGGTTTGGTTTATCTTTTTTATCCTCTTTTTATCTGTGTGCGCGATAGGATTTCAATAGTGCTGGCGTAGTTTGGTTTTTTTTTGCTTTTATTTTATTTTTTGCTTTATTTCCTTTTTGCTTTTTTTCAAATTTACTATTTTGCCTAGTATTGCCTGCCCCCGTGGCCGAGAAGGAATTTACTGTCTGTGCGACAACGGTGGCGGCCAAGGCAGCGGCGATAGCCCATTCCCGTCTGCAATAGTAGCAAAGCCAAAATCGGGCGGATTTTTGGGCCCAGAGACATAAACTCTTGAATCAAGCTCCCATAGTCGTGAATCTAAGTTAAATTATTGCTCAGGTGGCAATTTACAAGAATCTTGAATCATGTTTGCAACTTTATCTTGTGTACGGAGAGAGACGGACATCGGTACGGAGATACATGGAGCTCACGACTCAACAAAGAGAAGTTTACTATCAGTGCAAGTGGCTGGAGAAAATGATCGTAGCGCGGAGATATTTCCCCCCTTCCCGACGCAAGGCCGGTTCTAACTTCTCTCACTAAATCCCATACAAGCTAGTTCGTCGTCAGATTTTCTCGAAGAAGGATTGACAGCCTTCCATGCATGACTCCAATCCCTATCGCTTGGAAGTGGAAATAATATCCCCCACTAGAAAACCAAGTTCCAAATCCACACCGGGGCTTCTTCTCCAGCGATTGTGGACCTGGCAAAGGTTCGTAGTGGAGTCTGGAAGGCGATCAAGCCAAAGTGCACTTGAACTTCGCGACTTGCACTGTGAGTGTTACAACCCAAGCCATCCCCAATTTCCCACTTTCGCGGCACAACTTCCCACTTGGAGGGATGATAAGCTGTGATTGGTGGCGGGAAGATGAAGGAATTCCGTCCGACACTTTTGTCCGTGCTGGGGATAGCGGCAGCCAAGATGTGGAGCGCGCTATGTTTAGAAGCGGCCAATGGCGCCAGGTTGATGCACACTCCGGACGGGCCCCCGAAGGAAATGATGGGCGACTCGAGATACTCTTTTGGTTCTGGACTCGAGGGCGTGCATGCAGTGAGTGGTTTGGTTTGATGATTGCTATTCTCATGAGTAATGGTTTTTTTTATGTGAATTTTTTTTATTGTATGAAGGTTGTAGGAACTGTATTTTTTTTTCTGGTTTGTTTTTGTTTATCTTGTTTGAACTGTGGGTAACTTTGAGTAAGTTGGAGCTGGTGTGGAAATACCCAAACTTCTGGCGAAACTTAACCCACTGAAAAAAAAAAAAAAAGTGAAATCTTGCTATCTGTAGGTTTGTGCCACAACCTTCGCGTTACCCAGAAAGAATTGACATCGGACCTTGCTTGCGTGGCGTGGTGCAGGTGTAGGAGCAAAGAAAAAACAAAAGAAAAGAGGGAAGTTCGATGTGTCGGATTTCCGACGACGGTGATGGATCACAGCTAGGGACTTTGTTCCCCGGATCTACCGATCAGAAGTCAAGTGCTATCACACTGTAATGGGAAACATATCACTTGGCGACATGAACACAGGCCAATCATTCACAATAATCATAAGCTCGTACATAAACCCAAAATCTTGAAAAGCACTATCGGAGCTGGACCTTGGGTCCAGCTACCATAAGTTTACAACTTTACAACCCTACAGCTGTAGGCGCGATGTCATGGAATGCATGAGCGTGGGGACCCTTGGGCTCCAATCCAATGAAGTGGACTTGGGGCAATGGGAACTATCTCTCCGGTCGCCACGCTGATTTGCGAACAAAGACTGCATTTCGAGCCTTGCTGATGTCCATGGATGATGCAGCCAATAACAGCAGTAAGACTGTATACTGTGGTTCTAATATTTCTCTTTCTCGGCTGTGCCTCCACAGTCTCTTGTTCCTGCAGTAGGCCGCGCAACTTGAGAACATCACAGGTGGATATTTCTGGATTTGTTTGTGATTTACTTTTCGCCTCTTGAAGTTTTTATCATTATTCTTTTTCTGGGGATTTTTGATATGCTTCGACCCTTACTCCGTACAGCTGAAAAGTCCGGTTGAGTTCTCCATGTGTCGAATTATGTATCATGAAAGGAAAACCAAGAAAAAAAAACATTTGAAACCCCTCATCAGTGGTGCCACGGCGATGGCAGAGATGAAATGCTTTTTTCTTTTTGTGATCGAATGGTAGACTTGGTTAAGGAATGACATGCAAAAAAACCCCCCCCATCACACTGCACCGAGGAGCTGCCTTTTCCCCGTTGTACTTCTGGCCGGACCATGTGAAACTGACCAGGGTGGAACATGATGCGCCATTGGAAAAGAGCCAATACCGGCCGTTCCACGATCTGGTCGCACGCTGAGTCGCCACCGTTGATAGTCTTGATCGGCAGGAAATGAGCGATGAAGGCCTAAACCTTTCATGCAGGCTACGAGAATGGCTGAACCCAAAGCGGCATAGATATACAAACCTACATTATGGAATTTTCGGAGCACACACAGCAAGTACTCCGGAGAGAGAGAAAGCAACGAAAAGAAGGTTTCCACATGATGATCGCATGGGTCGAAGTACCGGGGGGGAAATGGGCCACCGAGGTGCTTCAAGATTGTCGATCGCCAGTGGTTTGTATGCCCTGGCAGCCAAAATGAGCGAAAATGACGAAGACGGGACATGCGTGGGGACCAAGTTCCTTCGGGGCACGACCATTGGGTGTGTGTGTGTAGTGTGGTGTTATGGTGGAACCCGTGTCTTTTACTTTTCCCTCTGATAAGAAGCAAACTGATTGCCGCTGTCACCGTCTTGGATCCAATCGTCGTGCACCTCGTGGCCACACCACGCCATTTTCCATTTTTTGGCTTGGGAAAAAATGTGCCTGACATGATGGTTCTCTGCAAATAATCGGCGAGAGTAGGTACGCTAAAGAGGCTATAGCGGTTACCGAGGATAGTCATTCGTTTATCACCCATTGCTTTTTCATTTATCTTCTTTTTTTATCTTTTACTTTTTTTTACTTTTCTTTTCGTATACACAACTTCCTTGATAATGCGCCAATGATTGTATGAGAACCAGTATATTTGTTTCCAAAAGAAATTAAACCCAGCACAGCCTCTCCTCTCTCTCCGCATTTTCAGCGCGTAACACTACTCGTGCGCTGACTCCACTCTTCATATTGGGCGCTCCGACCGATGTGGGTTCCCTCCCGATACAGGCGGGCCAGCGTCCCTTTGGGTAAAGTTACGCCCCACCAAGTTACACGCCGCCAATCCCGCCCCAGACTGATACCACTTTTTTATTACCTGACACCATTTCCTTGGTATTTTACATTATTTCTCCTTCCCTTGAAAATATTCCTAATATTCCTATTATTCCGAATTTCTTTTTCTTTTTTTTTTTGGAAAATAAATTATTAAAAATATCCAAAAAATATAAAATCCATAAAAAGAAATTCCAAAATAATTAAAATCAAATAAAGGTCTTGACCCACTCACTCACTTCTTTGCTCTCCAGTATAGTGTACCCGGCAAAAGTAGAGAAAGCAGATCACTCATTTAACCCACCGCTGCTGCTCTTACTCCCTTTTTCCTTCTTTTCTGTCCATATCGTGTCTCTCTTTATTTTTTTTTATTTGATTTGGGATTTTATATTTTTCTTATTTTTCTTCTTATTTCTTTCCTTTTCCCACTAGTCCTTGTCTCTTGACTGTTTTGGGTTTGGGACGGTTTATAGCAACTTATTTGGACTTCACCTTCCCTTGTCTCTTCGGTTTCCTATCTTATTAGGATCCTTCCCTTCCTTTGAACAACAACAACCAACCTTACTACACCTAATTCTCGTGTCCGCATCCCATTCATTCTTTTTACCTATCACCAAGGACACTCAACTCGATCAATCTCTCAAATCTCTCTCATCTCAACCTTTTACAACACAACCCTAATACTTCCTTTTGGAATTCAACTTACTTGTTGAATTCTATACTCACAGGTATGTGTTCAATTGAGGAGAAGACGTGACCAAGATCATCAATTGGATGGGGGAAAAAACACCACAATAAAAAAAAAAGAGATAAGAGCTCATGGCTGACTTTGACAAGCACAGTCTTCTACAATGGACTCAACATACACAGTGACACCGACTCCGGTGCATGGACAACCTTCGTTTGCATACTACGATAACTCAACACAGCAACAAGGTCACTACACCAGCCAGCCATCAGACCTCCAGTGGTATGGACAGACACAGTACGCGAACCGGGGGATGGAGCAGCCAATCTATCAGTCTCCAGCTATGAACATGCACCAGATGGCCACCACCAATGCCTTCCGTGGTGCCGCCATGAGCATGACTCCAATTGCCTCGCCCCAGCCTACGCAGATGAAGCCATCTATTATTGTGCAGCAAGGTTCTCCCATCCTCATGCCTTTGGATACTCGTTTCTTGAGCCATGACATGTACGGCTTCCCATCTACGCCGCCACTGTCTTCTTCAGGAAGCTCCATCAGCAGCCCCCCATCCGCCAATGGAACTCTCCACACCCCAATTCACGATAGCTTCTTTGGCTTTGACAAGGTGGAGGGCGTCAAGGAGGGGTGTGAGACCGATGTGCACACCGAGCTTCTGGCCAACCATGACTGGACCCGCACTGATTCGCCTCCGATGACACCTGGTAAGTGATCGACCAATACGAGATGTTAAGAATTTAGTTGCATCTGGTGCATATGGCTTAAGTGTCATATGCAAGGGAGGAACTTTTCGAAAATGTGACAGATGCTAATCTTGGAAATAGTGTTTATCCACCCGCCATCACTTACTGCCAGCCACTCGGACCTGCTCTCCGCCCACTCTTGCCCATCGCTTTCCCCCTCGCCATCTCCCGTCCCCACCGACATTCTCTCTCACTCGCAGACTTTGACCGCTGAGCACCCTGGTGCTTCTTTCTGCGACCCACGTCAACTCACCGTTGAACCGTCGGTGAATGCACTCACCCCCCAGGATCTCCCTCCCCTGCCGACTCTCTCATGTGAAGAGGCGGAGCCTCGTGCCGTCGTGGGCAGTGCGTCTGTGACGCTCCCCGTCAACGAGAACCCTTCCCCCTCTTACACTTCATCAAATGAGGACCCTCTGAGCTCCCTGCCGACCTTCGACAGCTTCTCAGACCTCGACTCCGATGATGAGATCAACCGTCTGGTGGAGTTCCACCCGGGCGGTAACGCCGTTTACTTGGGTGACAAGCGCCAGCGGATGCACCAGTACCTGGCCGAGGATGATGGATTCCTGAGCGAGCACAGCATTGAGGATTCTGATGATAGCGAGGCTTTCATCTTGCCCAATGGTATTCCATCTTTCGACTGGACCGAGTCGACTCAGTCCGCTCAGTCCGAGGCCGACGAGGAAGAGCCTAAGACCAAGAAGCGTAGCAACCGCAAGTCATCCCGCAAGACCATCCACGAGGAGGAGGAAGAAGATGATGAGGATATGGAACGGTCCATGTCTGTGGCTCACTCCCACTCTCCGGGAGCTGATAGCTGCTGCACCGACTCAGACCCTGCCCCCGTTTCGGTCAACCGCCGCGGCCGCAAGCAATCTTTGACCGAGGACCCGTCCAAGACTTTCGTCTGCACTCTTTGCTCCCGTCGGTTCCGTCGCCAAGAGCACCTCAAGCGCCACTACCGCTCACTGCACACTCAGGATAAGCCCTTTGAGTGCAATGAGTGTGGTAAGAAGTTCTCCCGCAGTGACAACCTGGCTCAGCATGCCCGCACTCACGGTGCCGGATCCATGGTCATGGGTGTCTTGGACTCGAACGAGGCTATGTCCTACGATGAGCAACAAGACGCCGGTGCCTTAGGGGCCGTCATGTACGAGTCCCCATCTGGTGCCGAGGCCAGTCCCGACCGCCGACCTGCCAAGAAGCGCAAGCGTGACTTGGCTTAGGTGAACTGGCCTTGGGCTTTGGACTTTTATTTCATTTTTTTCTTCACGAGACCAGGAGCTTCCTACTGCATTTATAATAACATACACTCGGTCTGGGTTTTTTTAAGGAAGCTCAATCGTGTCTCGATTGGGTTTGGCGTCTGCGGGCATTTACACTGGTGTCGGAAACATGGTCATCGGTGTATGACATCTCTTGGTTCTTTTTTTGCATCTCTTTATCGGAATCGGGGACAAACATGCCCGAGGGCTGTTTTTTGGAGAAATTTCTTTCAACGTTTTCGGAGTCCATGAAAGAGGAAAGACGAAACAAGAACCAAAATAGATGGCATCCTGCCTCTGCGGTACAGGTGGCAGGATCTGGGTGTTCGATTTCCTTTGTCATTTCTTTTGTCGATTTTCTTTGTCTCTTCCACTTGAACCAACACAAAAAAACAACAACGTGGGCAGTTCGACTCTCTTCCCCCTGGGCCATTTTGAATCCTGGTTTTTCAAAACTTGGTGGCCCTTGTCATTTTTTTTCTCACCCTTCAGTTCTCTTCCATTTTCCCTTCTTCCATCCGTTTCGTCCATCCTGCTTTTTTCACTGTCTTATTTCGATGTAATATTTTTTTCACCCTTTTTTTGTCTTTGACTTGTGCTGGTCACATTCGTGTATAAGTTAATTTGGCCGCTTTTTTTTTTATCATTCTTGTCATCATCCCCCCATTTTCATACCCCTTCTTGTATTGCATTTTGCCCTTGTGTTGGTCTCAGGTCATCTTCATCCAGTATGGATTTAGCAACTTCAAATTACAAGCATCATTCTCTCTACAACTATCTTTTTATCTATTGTAAGCTTAAAGTACTAGTAAGGGCATGCTTCCCACGCCCAAATGGTAGATATCATGGATATGGGCAAACATCACATCTATCAGTATAACCAACACCCGTCTCTCAAGTCCCAACGGCTAACTATTGAGAAGACCACCTGGGTGATGTGGGAGCGCTTTGCCACTCGACCACGCAGGTGCCGGTTGTTGGAATGAGACCTGAATTCTTCCTCTTGACCCATCTTATTAACCTTAATCTATGAGTGCCCTTTACTCTGTGCACTGTAAAGACTTGATCTCAACACATGATTCCCATGAAGTTGACCAGTTGGACGCGCGGTCTAGTACACAACACATGTACCGCATGCAGTAGACTCGCTCTTAATGTGAGAGATTTAAAAACTGATAATTAGCCTCCAATCTCTTGTATCTTTAAATTTCCAAAATGTATCAAAGATTCTTAGCAAGATAATGACGTATTCAAGTATAAAACAGAGCCGGTATGGGCATCTATACATGCAATGGCTTACTATCACACTATCGATAAGATAAGACACAAGGCGGGGAGAACCAAAAAAAACCCCCCAAGCATCAGATTACTCAACAGCTCGACTTAGAGCAAAGGGAATTGGAACCGCAGAAACATACAGGATTTCCCTAATCCCTACAAAGCAGCAAAAAATGCCACCCCAACCACCTCCCCAAGGCCTGAACGTCATTGCCTTAATTTCAGGCGGAAAAGACTCTCTCTACTCCATCCTACACTGCATCCGCAACGGCCACAAAGTCGTCGCATTAGCAAACCTACACCCAGAATTAAGACAAAAATCCCAAACCCCCGACACCGACCAAGATGAAGAAGCCGACATCGACAGCTTCATGTACCAAACAATCGGCCACAGCGTAATCCCACTATACGAATCCGCCCTTGGCATCCCACTCTACCGTGCCGCAATCACTGGCGGCGCACTCGACACCTCACGAGTATACCGACACGATGCAGCAGACCAAGCTGCAGAAAGCAGCCCCAGCTCCGGCTCCAGCCCCGCCGAAGACGAGACAGAGTCCCTCGTTCCGCTTCTGCGACGTGTTATGCAGGCTCATCCCGAAGCGAATGCCGTTTCGGCCGGCGCCATCTTGTCCACGTACCAGCGCACCCGGATTGAGAATATCGCCGGCCGTTTGGGCCTTGTTCCGCTCGCTTGGTTGTGGATGTATCCTTCGCTGCCGGCGCCGGTGGAGCGGGACGCGGATCTTCTTGCTGTGCGGGAGGCCGGGTTGCTGGAGGATATGGCGGCTGTGGGGTGCGATGCTAGGATAATTAAGGTTGCGTCTGGGGGACTGGATGATGGGTATCTGTGGGAGAATGTGTCTGGGTCTGGGAATGCGGGACGCGCATTGCGGAGGCGCATGACTAGGGGAATGGGCAGGTTTGCGGCTGCGGAGGATATCAAGGGTGCGGTTTTGGGAGAGGGAGGTGAATATGAGACGTTGGCGCTTGATGGGCCTTCTTTTCTTTGGAAGAGTCGAATTGAGATCGAGGGCCGGGATGTTGGGAGTGAGGAGGGGGGTGTGGGTTATTTGAAGTTGAGGGGGGCCAGGTGTGTGGCTAAGGGCGCCGAAGACGATGAAGGGGAGAAGAAGTATGAGCCCAGTGATGTGAGGAGACCGGCGTTGTTGGATCCGCAGTTTGCTACTGCGTTGAAGGATGTCTCTGCTGTGTCGTTTGAGGCTGGGTCAGCGGCGGAGTCAGTATCTGGCACGAATACCGTTACGGCACCTGCTTGGTCTGTCCGCGAGCCGCATTACTATCAATCTACATCGACGTGGACGATGGCGAACTTGGTGGCGCCAGAAGCTGGTCTTGATGCTGGCGACCAGATGAGGGCGATTGCCGACAAAGTGCAGCTTGCGATGAAGTCGTTTACTTCTGATTCGGGAACCCGGTCTACAGAGGATATCGTCTTTGCTACTGTGTTGTTGCGCTCAATGGCAGACTTCGCGCAGATGAATGCGGTCTACGTCTCATTATTCAAGAAGCCCAACCCTCCTGCACGAGTCACTGTCGCCTGTGGTGATTCGCTCCCATCCGACGTGAAGGTAATGGTTTCCTTCGTGGTGGACATGGGACCACGTAACCGGCGCCAGGGTCTGCATGTTCAATCACGGTCATACTGGGCTCCAGCCAATATTGGTCCTTACTCTCAAGCCATGTCTATTCCTCTACAAGATGAGAGTAGAGTGGTCTACATTGCTGGCCAGATTCCTCTTGAACCGGCTTCAATGGAAGTGGCCACGGAAGGCAAATCATGGCTCGAGGATTATCGTCTCCGCGCTGTGCTGGCTCTTCAGCATCTGTGGAGAATTGGCGCAGAAATGCAGGTGGACTGGTGGCTGGGAGGTGTAGCCTTTTTGACTGGCGGAGAGCACATTCAGACGCAAGCCCAGGTGGCATGGCATCTCTGGAAGAAGGTGCATACCCGACCCGATAATGTCGAGCCTGAAGACTCGGATGAGGAGGGTCCGCAGCTTGATGCGTGGGATATCAAGTACGGAGGCCGAGCGGAAGAGCTTACGCCCGAGGAAGTCTCTACCAGCCTGCCCAAGTTCTCAATTCTTGATGCAGAAGATGAACTTGCAGCTACTGTTTCGCCATTCCTTGCTGTTGAAGTCGATGAGCTTCCCCGTGGCAGCGATATTGAATGGCAGGGTCTGGGCAGTCGCTGCCAACAAGTGAAACTGGAAACCAGCCGGGACTCGGTCTCTGCGACTACAGATGGCGGATACAGCTACATTTGCCAGGAGATCACGAGTGATGGGTCACTGGGATCGCTAGAAGAGAATTTGCGCTCAGCCATATCAGCCCACTGCAAGAGCAAAGACCTTTCCCAAGTGGTTCTCTATACCATGCAACCCATGGCTGAGGAGCTCTGGCCTGGCCAAGTGGTCCCATGCCGGTCCATCTGGGGCCGTGAAGGGCGACCGTTGAAGGCCGCCGTTATTGTACAGAAAGAGCAAGTCTCCTCCTGATTTGCAGCCAACATCAAAGTCTGAATGATTGAAACGATGAATGAAATAGAGCTCGAAATGAAACTATTTGATAGTATGTCAAAATCCTCGAGAGCAAATCACTTTGAAAGTCATATTAGTCAATAAGGAAGCGGTGAGCTGCCAGCTGCATTTTTTTGCATATTATTTCTTTAAGCGGTCGATCTAGACTTGATCCAGACGTGCATGAAAAACGTCAGATTCTGTTATCGGAATGTCTGATGCAGGACCTAACGTTTTTTCGCTCGGCCCAGTGGCGTGCGGCGTGTGGCGTGTCGTCCGTTTGCGAACGAATCGGGTTTAATGGCTGGAAGAGGCATCTTAGAAGTTGGTAAAATAGGGGCGATGATCAGAATAATTGTATAGCTTGTGTCTTATGAAATTTCCAAATCTGAATTGAGTTGAAGTACAAAAAAGCGAGTCGCAATGACAATGGAAGTCATCATGAGCATGTGATAGGCAAAATCCCTTTCCGCGTTTAGCCAAGATAACAACATCCACGTTGTTCTCCGACTCCGATGCTCCGAAACTCTCACTTCTCGATCTTTTTTTAAACTTTTTTTTCTCTCAGTCTCTTTGTATTGTGCTAAGGGGTTGATTTCAAGTACCCGCCTTTGCAACTGCCTGTCTTCCCGAATACACCATCGTTCTATCTCCTCCCCAGGGATGACGTACACATTAACATAAGGAATGGCGCTATGAATTCACCGCGGGGCCAGGACGAACAGGAGGTGCTCACCCGCAGTAGCACGCCTGCCACAAGCTCCGAATTGATCCCCGAAGATTTGCGCCAGTTCACTCGTTCTCCGCATCCTTATCACCACCGACGACGTCTCGGATCCCGCACTCCCTCCGAACAAGGCGACCGTTTACAACCACTCACTTCCTACTCCAAGTCCTCGCGGACACCCAGCGACAGTGGCACAGAGGCAGATGATGAGAGTACAGGGATATTAAGAGGCCTTCCTGCGCCACCACTCCGGCCACGAAAGGGTTTGCGCTCGGGCGGAAATGGCGTCGGCGACTCCGATGCTTGGTTGCCTTCCCTACACCCATGGCCATCATTTGCCCGACAATCTAGTCGGGGCTCCCGGAGAAGCTCCGACGAGAAACAGGCAGAGGGGGAGGCAGAGGAGGCCCGGAAATTAAGGGCGAAGAGACGGGTTGAGATCCTGCGCCGTTTGTTGGAGATGGCGCTTCTCTTCTCAGTTGGGGCGGTGGTTCTGCTACAGAGAGATGCGCGTTCACTTGCTTGGGAATGGAGAAAAGGTACGCCAACTCTTTGTTTTATTTTTGCGCGCCCGAATCCATCTGATATGGAATCTATACTGATTTTGGCGCAGAGCTTATCACTCACGGTCTCCTACTCATCGGACTGTATGCTTCATACCCCGTTATCCTCCGTCTTACAAGGAGCCGCGAATGTTCGTATGGATTATCTAGACGGCCCTTCTTCGACATTCCCGCGAGCTTCGACCCCGCTCCGCTGCTCTACCCGATTCTCATTCCGATCTTCGTTTCGATCACATTGGCAAGCCATCGCCCGGCCTTGATAATTCCGAACATCATCCTCAGCCTCTCCTCTCTCCCCGCACCCGTCATCCCATTACATAATTGGTCCAATGGCTTCAGTCTTCCTCACTGGATGGTCACATTGGTGCCAATCCTCGTTTCGGAACACTTCTCGCTCGACTCTACCATTCCCAAACCGCTGACGCTCCGTGGGCACGATGCGGAATCCTTGATTCTTCTTTTTCCTTTGCATCAAGCGTTGATACCCACTTTAGACTTTTTGTTGACTACCAGTATTCTTCCTGCTGAGCTTCAGCTGTTGACCACTGCCTTATTGAATTTGTACTTGTTTGCGACCTCGCCCCAGGCAGAGATCTTGAAAGCGTTGCTATGGCTAGGCGGGATGTGTATATTTGTTTTAGGCCGAGATGTCCTGCGTTGGGAGGTCACTCTCGCTCGGATTCCCAGCTGGAAGTTTCGTCGCTCACTGCAAAGCTCACAATCACCAAGGCGATTCATTAACATGATCGACCACCGTCTCTGTCAAAAGCTGAGTGGGACAGGTCTCTCCGATGAGCCTACATCGGACAGTGATGGCCCTGGTGCCGTTCCCATGCCGCGTCATGCGAGAACTATACGCGAGAAGGCCCCCTCTGCCGAACCCGTGCCTAGACTTGACAATGCTACTTTCGAGGAAGCATTTGGAAGGGAATATCGAGCTGAGCAGCGGCAGCAACAGCGCCGCCGACACACTATCTCAGTTCTAGATGAGGCAGTGCAGGAGGAAAAACGGGTCCGAACTACCCCCGGTGGCCGTCGCAAGAAATTGATGGGGCCTGGACTCGCTTCATTTCTATCCATGACCGCAGCCCAAGCGCAAGTCCGCAAATGGTTGTATGCACTTTACATCTACGCTGTATCACTGGCAATTATCCTGGGGCCCATCCGGAAGTACATTGCCGACCGGGCCCTGCAAGGCCAAGATCCATTTGGATGGGCTATTGGATACATGTTTGGTAACATATCGGCAGTCCGGTTCTGGGTGCTGATGACGAATCTGGAGTACTGGATTCAACTGCCCCCGCGCCCGGACGTGACCCTGGAAGATGAATTCTGCTGGTTCGGGCGGATTGAACATATTCGCCAAACTACCTTCGGCCCTGCCAACACTCGTCTTTTACTGAGTGCTTACTGTGTCCTGGTCTTGGTGATGGGGCTGGCCGTTGTGTTCCAACTTAGCTCGGTCGTCGAGGTTGACACACGGCGCAAAGTATTTCATGGAACGATGGTGTTGATGTTTTTGCCTACGGTGTTTGTGGATCCGACATTCTGTGCGCTAGCGCTTGGATTGGCACTGGCGATATTCTTGCTACTGGACCTCTTCCGTGCATCCCAGCTACCTCCCATCTCTCGGCCACTAACATACTTCTTGGCACCGTATGTAGATGGGCGCGATCACCGTGGACCCGTCATTATTTCGCATATTTTTTTGCTTATCGGATGTTCTATCCCACTTTGGCTATCATTGTCAGATCTTGCTCGCAATGATGACGGGCCCTGGATGGGATGGGATGTGCCTGCGCGCGACGTCAGCATGGTCAGTGGAGTCATCTGTGTTGGAATGGGCGATGCTGCCGCATCGCTTATTGGGCGTCGGTACGGACGGTTGAAATGGTTTTGGGGCGGGGGTAAATCACTGGAAGGCAGCGTGGCTTTTGTGGTAGCGGTCAGTGTTGGATTGCTGGCTGTTCGTGCCTGGCTGATGGTGGGAGGATGGCCAGTGGCTGGGAGCGAATGGGTCGAGGCACCCACCTCGACTGTTCGATTCTGGCTTTGGACAGCCTGCAAGTCTGGGTTAGCGGCAGGTGGGACGAGCGCCACCGAAGCGATCCTCACTGGTTGCAATGATAACGTCGTGGTGCCCGTGGTGCTGTGGCTGTTGGTGCGGGGCTTAGGTGTTTGATGGGGGATAGTGGAGCCTTGTATAGAATGGCGGACTCTGCCTTTTTCTTTCTTTGTAAATCCTGTATACTACATAATGACTTATGTATCCAATCTATACGACTTTCATTCACGCTCTCGCATCCTTGGTTTTCTTTTAGCGATAAGCTTTTGAGGGGAGGCGTTATCGCGCCGATCTCGGGCTTTATCTAATCGCGTCCAATAGATTCGATAAGCCAAAACTCCCCCATATTTTAGGTGACTTGACGGAGATCCAAAGTACCCAGGTACTCAATGGACGCCTGCATGATCTACTTTTCCCCCTTTTCTCATATCCCCTTGTTATCTTTTGAATTCTTTCTTTCTTTCTCCTTTCCTTCTCTTATTCTTTCTATCTCTTATATCTCTTATAATACCCTAAGATTCCAAGACATCTTGGATTTCCATCCGATCTAGTGACCCACCCCTCCTGACCGCCCTCGCCCTATCACACTCATTCCCGTTTGGCGGTCACACCCCTCACGGTCCTTGGGTCCAGCTTTCCCGCCTCAATCATCACATCATCCTTCTCTCTCATTAGACCTTGTATTCTCCAAAACTTTGGTTCACTCCCACCCCCCTTTATATTCCCCTCATTGCAGGTCCTTCAAAGCTCCAATACATCATCACTTTGCCTCACCGGTCCTTCCCAACTATCACTGGATAAACTGCATACATCATTTATCCTGTAGATCGCGAGCTGGGGTATTCTTAATCCTTGACCGCATCATAGCAACTGAGCCGCTTGAACCGATCTAGTTTCACGGCACCACTTACTACACGCCATTTACCGCTCTCGTATTTCTTCGCTCTTCCATCCTTTCAGGATTGCCTACACTCTACACATTTCATCCTGGCTCCCCTGATGGGCCTCTACCTGTGCCAGCTGCCTCCAGTACTTTTGCGGTAGTTGTGGTTGACGGGGGGTGGTTGACTTCGGATCGTCCCCAGAGCTTCTCTGTGGGATCTTTGAGCAGCCTTACCGCTGCTCCTCGACAACCATGACTTCTCAACACTCGCGGAGGTCTCGCGAGTCTACCCGCCCCGAGATGTCCATCGGGCGATACACAAGGCTCGATGAGATCGGTCGAGGGAGCTTTGCAACAGTTTATCAGGGTGTTCATACTGTGAGTCATGGGGTAGCAACCTCCGGAGAAGCTGCTTGAGCTTTGCCCACTAACCTTTGAGCCTCATACAGAAATCCCGCACCTTTGTAGCCATCAAGTCTGTCAACATGTCGAAGCTGAACAAAAAGCTAAAAGACAACCTTTCCTCCGAAATCGATATCCTCAAGGGCCTACACCATCCGCATATCGTCGCGCTCATCGACTGCCATGAGTCCACCTCACATATCCATCTGGTTATGGAATACTGTGCGTTGGGGGATCTTTCACTCTTTATTAAGCGTCGTGATACCCTTGCCGGTCATCGATACACTCAGAATATGATTGCCAAATATCCAAATCCACCGGGCGGAGCGTTGAATGAGGTCGTGACTCGACATTTCCTGAAACAACTTTCTAGCGCTTTGAAATTTCTTCGAGATCGAAACCTCATCCATCGGGATATCAAACCACAAAACCTTTTACTTTGCCCTTCACCTTCCTCATACAGAAGTGGAACGGCCCAAGTAGTACCTTTCAAGGGCAGCGATGACTCTTACGAGCCGATTACCGGGCTGGTGTCTTTACCAATGCTAAAGATTGCAGATTTCGGATTCGCGCGGTCACTGCCGGCGACTTCGCTAGCTGAAACTTTGTGTGGCTCCCCACTATATATGGCCCCTGAGATCCTTAGGTATGAAAAATACGACGCCAAAGCTGATTTGTGGTCCGTTGGAACCGTGCTTTATGAGATGGTCGTGGGACGACCTCCATTCAGGGCGACAAATCACGTTGAGCTACTCCGCAGGATTGAGAAAGGGGAGGATCGAATCCGATTTCCAGAGGAAAATCCAGCATCCGATAATATCAAGAAGCTGATCCGGGGTCTCTTGAAGCGGAACCCGGTGGAAAGATTGAACTTTCCTGAGTTCTTCAATGATATTGTGATCACTGATCAGATTCCCGGGTTATTGGGAGACGATCTACCTCAACCTCCACGACGTTCTTCTACAGAAGACGCCAATGAGCCAAGTCCATACGGAGCGGAGGCTCGACCAGATTCGAAATCCGATAAAGATTCACCATACCTTGCCGATCAAGAAGACCCCATGGCATATCCAGCCCCCCACCGAACTTCCGTGAACCGCCAGAAATCAACAGACACCCCGTTGGGTTCTTCACCGATGCGTCGGGTAGGAAGTGCAGATAGGCCAGCATCGGGCATTTCCAAAGACCACCCCCGAGGCAGTACCCCGCCACAACGGCCAGGTCCAGTCACGCAAGCTACCGCCCCCGGACGACAGGAACTCGTTGATCGTAATTCTGCGGCGGGTGCGATGGAACGACAGAGAAACCGCAATACCTATTCTGGGCCGTCTAAATCACAGGTTGAACGAACTCAAGAGGAAAATGAACGAGCGGCGCAAGAGGTGGCCTTTGAGAGGGACTATGTTGTTGTGGAAAAGCGAGCAGTTGAAGTTAACGCTTTTGCTGATGAGCTGGCACACAGCCCACGGATTCAAGGTGGATTTGCTCGGGGACAGACGGGCGCTACGTCTCGACGTGCGACAACCCAGGGTCTCCCGACCATATCATCGAACTCGCATTCCAAGGCCATGCAAATTGTTTCTAATCGCGCCCGGGCAGACTCGACGCACCAACGACAGCATTCGTATGAGCGTCGCTATGGACAGAGCCCAACTTCGGCGACATCCGCGATTTCCAAAGCTCTGAACATGGCTAGCGGTCGTCTTTTCGGTATAGGCTTTTCACCCCCGATGGCTGCTACAAAAGGAGGGCGTTCACCACCTCTAGCTTATAACCCTTTCCCAGCCTATCCCTCTGCTCAGGTGAGCCTGATGCTAATGGGAGAGGGGCCCAAGACCAATGCTGCCGCCGATGAAGACTACAGGACAGTCTCGGTGATTGAAGAATGTGCAACCCGCAGTGATGTTGTCTATGGATTCGCTGAAGTCAAGTATAAGCAGCTTATTCCACTGGCACCTTCAGCAAACATTGACCCTTCGAGACCGACTGGAGCCACTGATGCCGATGACTCTGGTGATGATGGCTTGACCATCGACGCCATTATCACCCTTTCTGAGGAAGCACTAGTTCTATATGTGAAAGCTCTGTCATTACTTGCAAAGTCCATGGATATTGCAGGTGCATGGTGGTCACGAAAGAACCGAGAAGAGTCATATGGCGATCAGTCCAACCGAAATGATGGTACAAGCGCACTGGCTGGTACTCGAATCAACAATGTCGTCCAGTGGGTTCGAAGCCGGTTCAATGAAGTTCTGGAGAAGGCTGAATTTGTCCGCTTAAAGCTCATTGAAGCCCAAATGCGCTTACCACTCGATCATCCGGCCCACTTGAATAATCGTTCCGTTGGTTCCACTGCGGCTTCTTGCGGATCAGCCGATGTTGTTGTCAGCCCTGGAGTCACTGCCGAGAAGTTGATGTTTGACCGGGCACTGGAAATGAGTCGGGCTGCAGCCATTAATGAGTTGACCAGTGAAGACCTTGCTGGATGCGAGATTGCCTACGTTACAGCTATCCGCATGCTAGAGGCAGTCCTAGAAGATGACGGATCAAGTTCGACATCTGGCGTTACGCATGGTGCTTCAGACACAAGCGATAAGAACTCCTCGGATGACATACAGGGGGAGGATCGCCAGGTGGTTGTCAAGTGTAAGTGACAAACGTTGATTCGTCACCATTATGTCCAGATACTAATATATCATATAGTGGTCTCTAGCATGCGTGGTCGCCTGACATCTCTCCGGAAAAAGCTTGCCGTCCTCTCGAAACGATCATCACTACCAACGCCCACACTAGGTGGTGGTCGTATGCCATCTTCCAATCTGGTTCCTATCTCGCACGCCACAGGAGCTACGCCGCCTCGATGAATTTTCTAATCCTCAACATCGACCCTTAAGAAATTCTCGTCCCAATTTTGTCACCCTGTGACTTGGTTTATGATATAATTTACCATTTGTTTCTGCTTTATTTGTTGAGGGGTATCTATCGTTCGACGATACCTCCCAATTCTTGTCCAAATTTCATTACGCCCGCCATATATCCCATGCACACGGGAAGAGGAGTTGATTCATTTGCTTATTGTTATTTGTTGATTATTGTTTTTTTTTTCTTGATTTATTCTAGGCACGTATTTTCTTTTGGTGTTGATTCTATTGGCGTTTGTCTGGACTTGTGATATACAGATTGGCCCTTTTTTAACTTTGTTTTGTCTTTTTATTGTCTTTTGGAGCTCGACGCACTAGGTCTGGGAGTTTGGTCATCAACGGAGACTAGGATTGGCTGGAACCTTCCAGGGCGGAATGGAATTGGTGGAAATACTTGCATATATGTGATGCCTAGATGAGCCATGCTTTGAAAGTTTGTTTTGGAATCCAGTCCTTGTGCCAACATGCAATGTTGATGTTGAATTCGTAGCCTTCAAATGTTCAAATGATTATTTTTAAACATTACACGACGCAATAGATGTTACCTCGCTGCATCATCTGGGGTAAACCTCGGAACCAATGGCGTGATTGATCTCAACGGGTCTTATTTGCCCTCGTGGTTCTTGGCGACGTCTCGCCGAGCATTGGCGACTACTTCTAGGCTGGAAGGCCATCCTTTAAAAAGTGTATTGACACATGTCTATAACATGATTTAAATATTGCAGAAATTCCAAGTTGAGAAATTCAAATGTTCCAGGGTTCGGCGTTCTGAAACTTCGTTCAATACGTGCTATGATGATGATGCCGGTCATTTACTCCAATTGGAACCGACTAGACCCTGTAGATCCATTCGGGTCTAGATGTCGGCCTGATCTATTGGAAGTTCCCGAGAATCGAGGCTAACTTTATCTGAGGTCTTCATTCTAGAACAATTGCAGCATTTGAGAGTAAGCAACAAGTATGGGCAAATGAGCTTCAAAGAGTGCTTCCTATGTGGAAATTTCTGATTAATTAACTAAATACCAAATCTGAAAATAAAAATTGACCGATATCTCTCTCTCTCAGTTCCAAGTATTACGGCTTCTAAATGGGGCTTTCCAGCTGCCCAGGTGGAATAGGGTTGCATCCAGACGGGTTGGCAGATTGCATCACATTTAGTGGCAGCACACCATTCTACACTCTCCAGTTACGCGCAATATAGTAGAATCAATCATCAGATTTCATCCCAAAGAGCTGGAACAAATAAATGTAAAATACCCGTGCGCCTTCCCGCCGGGACCTGGCCTTCCTCTTGCTCTTCACAATTCTCGTGGTCCCATCACGATAGCAATCCAAAGCCGCCATGGCGGATTCATCGTCGACCCATATTGGCAAGTCTTCGGACTCGAAGTCCCTCGTGAGCCGAACAAGACCTACCGATGATATTCCTCATCCAGCAGACGGGATTTCCGGACTATGTATGGCTTCCTTTTCATTGACCTACGAATATTTGGATCGTGATTAGCGACTCTGACAACATACAGATGAAGGACATGTCTTCGAAGCAACGCCCGATAGTCGTCGACAGATCGGCATATTCAGCGCCACGCTCCTCATCTTTAATCGGGTGATCGGTACAGGTATCTTTGCCACGCCAGGCACCATCCTACAGCTTTCTGGAAGTGTCGGCTTAGCGCTATTCATGTGGGTCATCGGTACCTTCATCGCCATGGCAGGCACAGCTGTCTACCTCGAATGGGGCACCGCAATCCCCAAGTACGTAAACCCAAGGATCACCAAGCTCCCTTCAAACGAAACCAAGCCGCACAATCTGTATGAACTAGGCTAATCGTGTTCAAGGAACGGCGGCGAAAAGAACTACCTCGAATATGTCTATCAAAAGCCCAAGTTCCTGGCCACGGCTATGTATGCAGCCTACGCTTTCTTGCTGGGGTGGGCAGCAAGCAACAGCGTTGTCTTTGGCCAGTACATCCTGAATGCAGCGGATGTCGAGGTCGGACGATGGAATCAGCGCGGTATCGGTCTTGCCTGTCTGTCCACAGCGTTTCTGATCCATGCCGTCGCCCTGAAATGGGGTCTTCGCCTTATCAACTTGCTAGGAATTGTTAAGCTCGTGATCATCGTTTTCATTGCTGTTACCGGTTGGGCTGCCCTGGCTGGTCACACCAAGATCGAGACTCCCCATAACTTCCGCAATGCCTTTGAGGGGACCAAGGGGAGTGGCTACAGTATAGTCATGGCCCTGTATAATGTCATTTGGTCTTTCATTGGCTACTCCAATGCCAACTACGTAAGTTGAGCACATGAACTTTCTTGGTATTTTGGAGAATTTTGCATCTAATGTTCAAAATAAACTAGGTTTTGAGCGAGACAAAAAACCCCGTTCGTACACTTAAGATTGCGGCGCCGGTGGCCATCGGCTCTGTCGGCATTCTATACATGCTGGTCAATATTGCCTACTTTGCCGCCGTCCCGAAGGAACAGATGCTGGAGTCTGGGACAGTGGTTGCTGCCGCATTCTTCGGGAACGTGTTCGGCAAACAAGCGGAGAAGGTCATGTCGGTCTTCGTAGCGCTATCGGCATTCGGAAACGTTCTATCGGTTCTATTTTCACAGGGTCGAAGTAAGATTCACCTTTCAGGGTCTCAAGGCTGCCACTTTTACTGCTCGTTGATTTACTAACTATTCCTTTGTAGTTGTTCAAGAACTGGGTCGTGAGGGTGTTCTCCCCCTCTCGAGCGTTTTCGCCAGCAACTGGCCCTTCAACTCCCCTGCTGCGGGCCTATTCGAACACTACATCGTTTCAGTTATCATCCTGCTTGCTCCACCTCCAGGCGATGCCTACAACTTTCTTCTGAAGTAAGTTTTTGACGAGACCAAGAGAGCCTTATCCCGGGATATATGTGACTCACTCAGATATATGTAGCCTCATCTCATACCCGTTATCGATCGTCAACGTCTTCGTATCTGGCGGCTTAATTTACGTCTACTTCAACAAGGCCAAGTTCCCGAATTGGAACCCTGGTATCCGAGCATCGCTCCCTGTTACGGGATTCTTCCTGCTATCGAACATCTATCTCGTCGTCACGCCATATATTCCTCCAGATGCCGGGCAAAATGTCTACAAGAGCTTGCCTTATTACTTACACTGCGTCGTGGCGCTGGGCGTGTTTGCAATGGGAGCTGTTTACTACACCGTGTGGGCAGTGCTTATGCCTCGTTGGGGTGGATATCTACTTGTGAAGGAGTCGGTTATGGGATCTGATGGGTGGTCTCGCAGTGTCTTCACGAAGGTACCCAAGACATCGACCAACATTTGAATGCGGCACCCACACCGATCCAACACTTCAAATGTTACAAGGTTGTAAGGTTTTATTTGCTGACTGCCCGGCCCTGTTGATGTGAGACACTCCAGGGCTGTCGGGAATGGTAGATTATAAGATATAGTTGACTAATAGTTAATACATGTGCTTACCTATTCATCCAACATTACCATGTCAAAAACAAAGGTGCCAGGAAGGGGAGCCCTGAAGGTCAACCTTAACAGAAACGAGTTGCGAGGTCAACTGGTTCAATCGGCCAAAAGCTAATATTTGTTCTTTTCCTTCACCTTCTCCATATGAACCTCCTCGGGTATTCTGAATTCATCAGGGTATCCATAATACGACCCGTGAGTAGTAAACGGTGGTGTATCACGGACTCCGACGGAGTTTTCTACTAAATAGGTTAGGTAACTTAGGTTTCAATGGAACGGTCCACAATACCGACAGACATTACGATTCGAACTTCAGAGAATTGGGGGGCTATGTATGATAAAAAAGATTTTGAATAAATCCATTAATTGAACAACGAGTCAAGACGAGATAGAGAGTGGCAATTGCGTAACTGATAATACTATCATATGATTTTCTAGACCCATATTGTAGAAATTGTCGGGTATTTAGCAATGTGATGTTCCAATACTTCTATGGATGCCCAGTCGTGTAGCCGAAGCTATCATGAGCCCCTCAAACTGAGTGGAGAAAATAGTCTTGCAAGACGGAATAGGTCTTTCAAAGAAAAATCCTACTCCACAGACAACTGCCGTAGTAGCATTAAGGCATGCGCTGGGTTAAACTTGCGTATGATTGAAGAAAAGAAATAGAGAAGAGGAATTTTTTTCTTTTTATAAAGGGAGACCCACGAAGGACTACCGCCTGCCCTGTGTGTCCTTTCTGCCGGATCAAGATTATTCTGTTACGATTGTTCTCCAATTTCGTTTTCTCCCCTTTATTGCTTCTTTGTTCAAGTTAATATTGTACTATATTTTTTTATTATTTCTGTATTATTATTGGGCGTTAAACCCCACCACCTTCTTTTCAGTCCCCGCTTAATTGCCCTTTGAGGGGGTATTCGTGACCTAATGCGACGTTTCTCCACGCGTGCGCTGCTTCATTCAAAAGCAAAGCCACCGCTTCTATCCGCCAGATCCCCCTCCTTCCTCCCGCTCTTTCATTCCGCCCCTCGGTCTGCGACATTTCCAAGACATACTCGCCTCCGTTCTACCCCTCTTGCCCAAACATCCAAAAGATACTGTTCATACCGCAGAATGTGTCACTCTCGCCGTGACGAGGTCTCCGGTTCGACCAATGTCCAGGGTCGTGAGGTCCTGCCCACCAACGTCAAGCCGGTGCACTATGATTTGACTCTCGAGCCCAATTTCGAGAAGTTCACCTACGAAGGATCCGTCCTGATTGAGTATGTCATTATCATGGGAAAACACGTATAGCTGTGCTGTTATGAGCTTGGAATGCTGACCACCTTGAACTCCAGCCTCAAGGTCAACGAAGATACCGACTTCATCTCCCTCAACTCCAATGAGATCAAGATTCACAGCGCAACCGTTTTGTCCAAGGGTGCCGTGATCGAATCGAACCCCGAGATCTCCATGAACAAAGATGCTCAGACCGCAACCATCAAGTTCAACCAGGCCCTCTCTGCGGGGTCTGATGCCCAGCTGAAGCTCACCTTCACTGGTATCCTGAACGATAACATGGCCGGTTTCTACCGTTCCTCATACAAGCATAATGGAGAGACCAAGTATATTGCTACCTCCCAGATGGAGCCCACAGACGCTCGCCGCGCCTTCCCTTGCTTTGATGAGCCCGCTCTCAAGGCCAAGTTCACCGTGACTCTCATTGCTGACAAGAGCATGACCTGTCTGAGCAACATGGATGTTGCCTCCGAGACTGATATTGAGGGTGGCAAGAAGACTGTCAAGTTCAACACCTCACCTGAAATGTCGACCTACCTGATTGCCTTCATCGTGGGTCACCTTAACTACGTTGAGACCAACAACTTCCGAGTGCCCGTTCGCGTCTACGCCACTCCCGACCAGGATATTGAACACGGTCGTTTCTCCCTGGAGCTCGCCGCTAAGACCCTTGCTTTCTACGAGAAGGCCTTTGACAATGATTTCCCCTTGCCCAAGATGGACATGGTTGCAGTGCCCGACTTCAGCGCTGGAGCTATGGAGAACTGGGGTTTGATCACCTACCGTATTGTCGATGTGCTGTTGGACGAGAAGAACGCCGGTGCTTCACGAAAGGAGCGCATTGCCGAGACCGTTCAGCACGAATTGGCTCACCAATGGTTTGGTAACTTGGTCACCATGGACTTCTGGGATGGCCTGTGGTTGAACGAGGGTTTCGCGACCTGGATGTCGTGGTACTCGTGCAACGTCTTCTACCCCGAATGGAAGGTGTGGCAGTCTTATGTCATTGACAACCTCCAAGGTGCCCTCTCACTTGACTCGCTGCGTAGCAGTCATCCCATTGAGGTTCCCGTCAAGCGTGCCGATGAGATCAACCAGATTTTCGATGCCATTTCATACTCCAAGGGTTCTTCCGTGCTGCGCATGATCTCCAAGTACCTGGGAGAGGATGTGTTCTTGCAGGGTGTCCGTGACTACATCCACAAGCATGCCTACGGTAACACCGAGACCGGTGATCTGTGGGCTGCCCTGGCCAACGCCAGTGGCAAGCCCGTCCAAGAGGTTATGGATATCTGGACCAAGAACGTTGGTTTCCCCGTCATTAGCGTGACCGAGAACCCTGAAAACTCTACAATCAGCTTGAAGCAGAACCGCTTCTTGCGCACTGGTGACGTCCGCCCCGAGGAGGACAAGGTTCTTTACCCTTGCATGCTCGGCCTCCGCACCAAGGACTCTATCGATGAAACCACCATGTTGACCGAGCGTGAGGGCGAATTCAAGGTTCCTGATCTGGACTTCTTCAAGCTTAATGCCGATCACTCCGCCATCTACCGCACCGCCTACTCCCCCGAGCGCCTGCGCAAGCTGGGTCAGGCTGCCCGTGATGGCCTCCTGACCGTTGAGGACCGTGCTGGTATGATTGCCGACTCCGGTGCTCTGTCTTCTTCTGGTTTCCAGAAGACCTCCGGTCTGCTGTCGCTCCTCCAGGGTCTCGACACCGAGTCCGAATTTGTGGTTTGGACTGAGATGCTCTCTCGCATTGGTACTCTGCGTGGCGCCTGGTTCTTCGAGGATGCCAAGACCAAGGATGCGCTCAAGGCCTTCCAGCGTTCGCTCGTCGCCGAAAAGGCTCACGAGCTGGGCTGGGAGTTCTCCGAGGGTGATGACCACATCCTGCAGCAATTCAAGGCTCTCATGTTCGGTGCTGCTGGTATGGCTGATGACCCGATTGTTGTCAAGGCTGCCCAGGACATGTTTGCCCGCTTTGCCGCTGGCGACATTTCTGCCATTCACCCCAACATTCGCGGCAGCGTCTTCACTATCGTTCTGAAGAACGGCGGCGTCAAGGAGTACGAGGTCGTGTTGGACCGCTTCCGCCATGCCCCTACCTCCGACGAGAAGACCACTGCTCTGCGTTGCCTGGGTTCCTCCGAGGACCCCGCCCTCATTGAGCGCACTCTCGCCCTTGCCATGGGTGACGAGGTCAAGAACCAGGATATTTACATGCCCCTGGGTGGCCTCCGTGGCTCCATTGCCGGTATTGAGGCTCGTTGGGCTTGGCTCCAGAAGAACTGGGACGCTATCTACCAGCGTCTGCCCCCCTCTCTCGGTATGCTGGGAAATGTGGTGCAGTTGACCACTACCTCCTTCTCCACCGAGGCTCAGCTCAAGGAGGTCCAGGCCTTCTTCGAATCGAAGGACACTAAGGTTTGTTTATCATCCATTTCCAAATTTCTTACTACTTTGTGGCACACTCTAACTTCTATTTTTCTTCCGTATAGGGCTACGATCGTGCCGTTGAACAGAGCCTTGACGCCATTCGTGCCAAGGTTAACTGGATCCAGCGCGACGGTGAAGATGTTGAGTCCTGGCTGGGCAAGAACCAGTACCTGCAGAGCAAGCTGTAAAGGTGAGACATATTCGTTAATTCAAGTCGGCACGCCATGGAGTGGCAGTCGTCTTCGGAAATTTCTCTTTTGATGTGAATCCCATCCATCAGACTTTTATGAGCAATGGCACGCCGGCTGTGTCCAGATGTCTGTTCTGCTTGTCGGGATCTATTCTCCACTCTTCCTCTCTTATGAAGCATAGATTTAGCCTTTTTACCAGCATGGCTCTGCTTTGTCAGAGCGAGGCAACAATATTCAACAATATTCGTTGTCATATTTTATCAACGCAGTAGATGATCTACCGTAAAAGTCGTAAAAGTCATGAATGTCTCCATCCATGGATGTTTACGGGTCGCGATGGGGATTGGGGAAGAGCACATAAAACTTTCAAGCTTCTTCCTCGGAAACTCGAAGTATTATACTAGTTTTAGTAGTACAATAGGCTAAAGTACCTTGGTTTTGGACACCCGAACATTTGAAAGAAATTCCTGGATAAAGTAATAACCTTCAGTACAAGTGATTAGTTGGGGTGGTGAACTTCCACGCATATTTAGCCCTTTAAAACCACAGGAGGATTTGGTCTCAAAAGAATTTCGCGCGTAACCTTACAAAATCTCAGAGTAGAGATGTGGTGTTATGGCATAGTGGTGTGGTAGAAAGGAATACTGTAAGATGAAAGTTTAAACAATACTACTTTTACCGTCTCTCTTGTTGTTTCTTGTGCTTGATGCATGCACATGCGCACATGTTCACAACGGGCTCGTTAGGGAGCAGGTGGGACTCGATGACTCGGGGACAAACGTGAGCATCATATTAGTGAGCACCATATTAGTTTACAGGAACGAGAACTACGAGGACGTGAATGACAAAAAAAAAATTGATTCGGAGTCTAGATTCCACCTCACACTCGTCGTTTATTCCCAGACCAGCACCAGTTGAATCTCCTAGAAAAGCAAAGCAGAATATCTCAACTCTGCAGAGCACCGGGGGAAGCAAATGCTTAACGGCGCTGGCAGGACATTGTGTGTGTGAGGAGTGACTCTAAACTCATGATGAGAATTACCATTGATCCATGCAGGGATGTAAAAAAGCCCAAGTCATGCAATCTCAAGGTCAAACCCATCATCGACAACACAAAAACACAAACACACAGATAAGGAAATGAAAAATTGGGGTCAAGAGGGTGTCTCCGTCCAAGTCGGTCTGTTTGGCATACCACGTAAAAAAAGAGACCCTGACCTGCAAATCGAGATAAAAGTCAAAATAGAAATGCCGGGCCAGGGAAGAAAAGAAGAAGAATAAAAAAGAACAAATCAGGAATCAACCGGAACATCCGGGTTTCCATCGAGTTTGAGAATCAAAGAAGCAGCAAATAACAAATCGCTTCAGGACCGGCCCCAGAATAGAAAGGGTATTAATACAAAACAACGCATAAACAGAAGGGATATATGTCACGCAACCAAAAAGAAGAAGAGAAAAGAAGTAGCAATCAGTACAAGCGAAATTGCTTTCCCAGCCATCGCCGGCGAGACGCGAAATTGCACCAGGCAAATCGATCGTGGCGGCATGTATTCATACCAGCGTTTGGCCCTAATAAACCCAGGACAGCGAGGAATTTCCGAGATGGAGATCAAAGCCCATCATAATATACGCCACAAGCATTCCAAAGGCCGTGAAACGTCAGACAATTAAGGAAATGTAACCAAAATACGAGAAATCAAGATCCAGAGGGCAATCCCTGGGAGTTGATTTCGTCGAGATTGATCATGCCATGCGAGTAATCACCCAAAGCTGGAGAACCATGACCTGACATGCCGTGCATTGGCAATTCAAAGCTAGGTCCTTCATGCGACATCGCATAGTTGATGTTATGTTTCGAGTACATGTCGTTCATCGAAAGTCCGTCCTCGACAAATCCAGATTGCTGATCATGCGAAAAGCCATACATGTCAGATGAAGAATGAGACATGTTGGACAATGGAGGCGAGTGATTGGCAATCATGGGGTCGGCAGGGCTTACACCTGAGTAGGGTGATGTTGCATGAGAGCCAACAGTCGATGTGTCGGACGGACCTGTAGAAACAAACTGGGGTACATTGAATTGAGGAGGCATGTTGGCAACAGGAGTCGAGTCGCCCTGTGCAGCACTGCTGAACATCGAGGGGCTAGCGTATTCGGAAGGCGATGCGGTAGTGGTGGCAGACATGGGGTGAGTCCGGAAATCAAGTCCATATCCATCTGTGTCAATACGCAGGTCGGTGGGAAGAGCATGTGCAGATTGTGGGATAGGGGCATAGATTCCTGCCTCGGCAGGGTTATACGGAGCTGGAGTCTGCGGCATGTGGAACGAACTCATGGGACCTTGCAACGCGGAAATATCAATTGCGGCTGGCACGGAGCGACTGCGCTGGCGTTTGTGTCCACGAGCGGCCGGCATATTGAAACCCAAGTGGTTGTGATCTTGATAAAGATTCATATAGGCCGGTGGTGCGAAGTGGTTTGGCTGAGAAGCAGGGCGTTGAATAAAAGGTGGCGACATGGCTGGGGTAACAGCAAAATTGGTGCTGCTGCTGTTGTTGCCGTATGCGAGGCGATTTTGGAAAGATTCCAAAGACACGAGCTTGGCGAGCTGCACACTCAAGACCTTGGGGTGGCCTCCCAGATGATGAACCATGATCTGGCTTGCTTGTTGTTCCTCAGTGAAATCTCCGCATTGGTAGAAACCACCGGAGTTGGACGAGTCCATGTAAAACATAGGCGGACGGTTAAGCTCCACCACCAGGCCACCGGGCCGGGGTGGTTGGCCGTTTGGTCCAGGATTGGGGTCTCCAGTTTCCAGGGTGATGTTCTTGATATGGGCGAATGGGTATTCGATCTTATAACCGGCCGAGTCGTTGTTGATATAATATGTCATACAGGCCTTGTCGGGCGAGTAGAAAATTACTAGGTCCATCGCGTTCTGTCCAATGCGCCGCCAGCTACCGACTGTCAAGGATCGACAAGTGAAATGCGAAATGACTGTTCACGATTTAGTTAGCTGACCCAACCCAGTTTCTGGAAATTCAAGTCAAATACATACCAACTTTGCCATTGGGGTTGTTGGCCTCATTGGCATAAATGCCAGGGGTTGGGTAACCCACTGAGCGTCCGAAGGGGTCACGAGTTCCGGGCTTGCTGGGATCGTATTGCATGGCAAGGTAATGGCGCATCGACTCGGGAATCGAGTCACAGCCCTCACCGGTCTCAATACTCTTCTTGGCGAGCATCTTGATTTTAGCACGACTAATTCTCTGTCAGCATACTTATCCCATATTTGCTCTTGGGAGCAAACCTACCGATTTTGGAACCAAATCTGAACCGAGCGTTCTGTCATATTGATATCCTGTGCAATTCGTTCACGAGTAGCTGCGGTGGGAGTCGGGTTCTTGTTGAATTCAACCTCAAGGAGGACGAGTTGATCCTGGGTTGCACGTTGGCGCTTATTGTTCTTTTGTTGTTGAGTCAGAGTGCTCTTCCGGGGTGGCCGACGCGACGCGCTCGATGAAGGGGCTGTTGTAGCACTCGAAGTCGAGGGTGAAGGAGTCGAGTTTGGAGGCGAAGATGAACCCGTTGTGGGCGCGCCCGTTGGGTCGGGGGTTTCACTAAACGACATCTTGGAATGCGGTCGACAGAGATCGAGGACACCGAAAAAACGAGATCGCGACGATGATGAAGTATTCCGATAGATTCTTTTTTTTTCTTGAGAGGATTGCGTATATATGGTTCTTCTCTATCTTTTTAGAAAAGATGATGCGTGACGATCCGGCCGACAGGTGAAGAGGGGGATGAGTGTGGTGGGTGTGGGTGTAGAAATGACTGATAGTCTTCCAAATGATATTCTCTAGGAGCAGCTTCAAGCGCAAGAGAGAGAAAACCAAAACGAATGAAAGCGCACTGGCGTAAGGATGATATCGAATCGCGTTCGATGATCCACGGCAGAAACGGGGGGGTTGGGTGGTAAGGGCGCGTCGCAGAGGCGTCCTGAGCAAAGGTGTATAAATAAAAAGGCTGGCCTATGCAGCGCAGATTGAATGGCAAGGGATTTTCCCAGCAATGGACTCAAATATGATATAGATGAGGTTGGCTGGTTAGATCGCAATACCTAGGTTGAATCGATCAACAAGGAACGGGGTCTTCAAATGAAGGGAGAAAAAGCCGTTCGAAACGAAGGTGGAGGGCAGAAAGAGCGACACGGATCGTCGTGAAAGAATGAAACGAACGACCTAGCAAGAAGGGAAAAAAAGAGAGAAAGGAAGAAAAATGGAAGACACACACAGGGCACGAAGGAAGGAAAGAGGAAGTTTGGGAAAGGAAATCAGGAGATGCTGACTACGCCGGGAACCAGGAACCAGGAACCACAACCAAACAGTCTAACGTTAGTTACTATTGGCATCCGTGGGGCCTGTCGCTTCCGACCGACCCATATACTCTACTCTACTCTACTCTACGTTCTTTTTTCTTTTTTCTTGTTCCATCTCAAGTCCCTATTTCGTTTTTGAAAGGAAAAAAAAAAAAAAAAACTCTACATGTTCTTCCGGTGACATAGAAGAAAAAGGGGGAGAGGGCGGGGGGCCCCAAAGCAAAAAAAAACCATTCGAATTCAAGTTTGGCCCCTGCGTCGGGCTGCATACAGCCAAAACCAAATTCTTCGGACGGAGCGATATGATTGAGTCTGAGCCTCTTTCTCAGAAGAGGGGTTTCGCATGCACTATCTCCTTACTCCGTACTCGGGTAGCCATCGCACAAGAGACTTGTCCCACTTTTGTCCATTGTGCGCTGTACGACGGAACTTGCCGATTGTCCAGAACCAGGGAAAGGCCACGGTCCAGGTGGTTTATAGACTCTCAATGATATGGAGTCTCGTGGCGTCGAAGGAACCAGACCAGCAGATCCCCAGAAACGCGGAACGACCATTATGATTTATGTTCATTAAGGAACCTCCCCAATCCAGACTCATACCCTGATCGTCACCAATTGCCGTCGAGCGGCATCCACGTGAGATCCGCGGGGGATCTGAAACACCGGATTACTCGTGATATGTCTACTGTACGCGTCGTCAAGATCATAGAGACGAGGGAGTATGAAGAGAAAAAAAAAATTCAACAGATTCATGATGCTGCTGCCTCGGAGTCCGGTTTGTTCTAAATCCTAGTGTTCAATAGTCGCAATAGAAGGTGCAGACTCCAGTGTCTTTTAGTCTCTTTTGGGGGAAAAGCACTTGCCCCTGATTCGAGAACATCTCAGCCACGGCTCCAGTTAGCGCCACCGTCCACCACCCACGGCTCCAGGAGCTACTTCAGTAACTCCCCACCAATCAGCCTACACTTGGGGTCAAAGGCCCCACGGTATCCCCGAGTGTGGTGTGTGCTGTATGGACTGTCACAAAAAGGTACAATTCAGGTACCCGCCCCAGAATCCCATATGATTGGTTTCGGAGTCCCATTGACAGGTCCTTCCAGACCAAGTGTTAAGCGGTTCAGTCCCAGACTGTACAAATTCAGGGTGCAACCTGTCTTGTCTCTCTCTTCATGCCTGAACTGACTGACCGGGCGGGCCTGACCCAGTCCTGATCTCTTCTAGGAAATGTTCCGTGCGCATTTCTCTGCAGAGTCCCCATTGGCCCGATCGGACCGAGATGACCGTGCAGAATGGGGAATGTTCGTTTTCCTGATATTGTCTGCAGCGCACGTCACACTTGAATCCCCGTGTGCCATTGCGTTCTTCCGTGGCATCCGATGAGAGTGCCGAGACATGAACGACCGTATCATTTAACTTGGCTTGCATTCAAAGTCATATCCAGTTTATAATGTCTATAGTAGATCTCAGACTCAGATACATCGGTTATTCAAGGACTTTGCGAAGTATTTGTGTGACCTTGAAAATTGTCACATTGGAATCAAAGGTTCTTGGGATCCAGGGGTGGTTAAAATCCACCGGTGGTGTATTACTATTTTTGGTCGGGAGAACCGGGCTTCTGGTTGGCTACCTGTTTAGGACTAGCGCCTTTAGTCAAACCCGAGCAAACTCGGACATTACGCAACTGAAGCATCCCGAGCCAGGAAATCATGTCTTAGGGGTCGTGCTACAGTTACGGTGGTCTGGTTTGGTGGCTGATGACATGCATTGGCAAGATCACGGCTAATAGCATGTCCATTCAAGCTTATCTGAAAATTAGCCATTGAACAGCCTAGATACCCGGAAAAAATTGCCACCGCCAAGAGGGTATATTGACTAGGTATACATTTTCCGGCAAGGCACATGAGCCTCGGATCATAATCAAAATATGAAAAGACAAGATTGTTCATCCAGCATCCTGATCTGTTTGTCCGCACGAGAAATTGACAACCTCATAGACTCGGCCTGATCCGTGATCTCCCAAACCTGCTCCGTCAGCCGCATCGCCGTATTCCGTTGCTGCTCTCGGTAATACGCTGTCATTGATTCATGTTTCTGTCGCACCCATCTGCGGTCTTCTAGGGTGATTGCTTCGCGTGCAGCGAGATAGAAAGGTTGTGGTAGTGACGAGTCGGGCCCACATCCGGTCGATAGTTGATCCATCAAACGAAAGCAAGTATGTGTTAAATGTTGCACCCGAGGTGACCGGGTTGGATCTCGAAATACCCGTCGTGCAAGTAAGAGATGAGAAGTCCAATAGAAACACTCTGTCAGAATATCCAAGGGCGGGCGCACACAGTCACTCGAAATGGATTCTATACATTGCGCACCCCATGAACGAAGGTCACTCTCGAGCCAATAACCCAGAGAAAGCAAGTCGTCGACCGATTCGTCATTTTCTAAACGTTGCTCCATGTCACATGCCAAATGTGCAATCTGTACTAGGAAGCACATAAGTGGCTGGGGACAACCAGTCATCTTATGGAACGATGGCTCCGACTGATCCCATCTCTCGGTATCAGGCCGATGAAGCACAAAGTCCTTCGGTGCATACGGTTGTCGTTGTCGCGAGAAGGCCAACATAAGATCAACCATGGCAAATCTTTGCACAGTCATCCGCATAAGCGCAGAACGTGGTATCTGGTGATAATAGTCCAATGACTCCATGAGGAATGAGGCGCATCGCATATGGGGTTCCAAAATCCCATCTTCTGACTGTGCGATAACAACGCCCTGTAACACGACAGCTGTGAGCAGTGCTTCATGGTCTGCCAGGTTGGTCCCCGTTGATGCAACATCTCTGGTAGCACAAGTACCTGGCCGAGTGACCAACTGGAGATTCTGTCCTATCGTGCGGAGCATTCGCTGCTGGCGTTGTGCGGCGCTTGATACGCTGCCCATGCCGAAGTTGAGCATGTGTTCTGTGGCTATGCAGACGATTGTCTCACGCAAAATAGGGGATGAAAGTGCAATGAATGATAAATGCCGGTATGGATTATCTGGCCCGTCCAATGCAGGGACGTTTGATGACACCAGTCTCACGTCTGGGAATAGAGTGAGCTGCCCTGTGTTTCATATATGGCTATGGTGGACATTTGAGTTCTTACAGTATTCCCAAGCCAATTTCTCCTCGTCCGAGTCAAATGGGCTGTTTTCAAAAATAGATGGCGGCAGGCTGAGTTGCCGGGTATCATCTCCATTTTGTGCATCTCTGTGCTGAGTCTTGGGACTTGATAACGTGAACTGTGATTTTTGAACCCATTTCAATCCCGAAGGCCATTGGCAGTCAAATCCCCTTGCAGAGCAAAAGGAGCAACTTGGTCGGCTTTCATCACATTTATTGTGTCTGGCTCGACATGTGAGACATCCTGCGGACGCACTTGGTCAGTGATACATTATACCACCATACCAATGTATGACCTGAGTAGGTGTTTGGTACCGGTGCGCGATCGTGAGAAACGTTCCCCGCGGGGCATTCCGTGCTGGGGAAGAAAGCGATAAGTACCAGTAATCACACTCGTAAATTGATGATATTATTAAGCTCCTGAACTGATCGAGGGGATCTTCGTTTCCCCGCTTATCGCGACATCACGGTCACATGATGGGCATCCAATTGGTCAAACATGACTAGCCCTTGGTCAGTCACGACAGGATGATAATCAGAGTAATATTCGGTTGACCTTTTTGACATTTGTTCTGTTAGAATAGACGTCATGAATTGGTGTGGTATCAAGTTTTGTTTAATGGAAATTTTTGAAGAAAATGAATGCGTGATAATATACTCCGTACATGTCTCGCCATTGTGTAAAATTGAGACACCTTGGAAAATTGAAGTCCCAACCCTTTACCAACCTGAGTTATACTCTATAAATTCTGGCGAAAAGTGCCCACAATGTATCTCACTGCAGTTTTTTGAACCGGACCCTTTTTCCTTTGTTGGACCGGGCACCGAGGTAGATGGCCCCACTATCTGCAGGGAAAACCCCTCGCTAATAATAGCAAGAACTTTTCAATATTCAAAGGTTTTGCTCAGCATCCAGTTTGCATTTATCAACACAGTTCGTATCCTATTTGACAGATCCGCTCTAAAGCCCAACCCGAAAATCACCAATTGTGGTCGAAAAAAAGAACACTCTAGTTTTCTCCTTTAGCCGTCCTTCACGACCTCGGGAACGCCACATCCATATCATAATTCCTCCCCAAGATGGCTATCAAAAGTGTTGCAATCGCCGGTGGCTCAGGTTCCCTTGGAGGGCCCATCATCGAGTCTCTCTTATCGTCCGGTTTTGAGGTTACAGCTCTTGTCCGAGCTGGCAAACAGTCTCCATCTTCTTCTTTCCCCGCATCTGTCAAAACCGCAACAGTCGACTATACATCCCACGAAAGCCTTGTCGTTGCTCTCAAGGGAATCGATGCCGTGATTTCTGTTCTCAGCGGCCCAGGACTCGACTTCCAGCCCGCAATTCTCGATGCCGCCATCGAGGCCGGCGTCTCTAGGTTCCTGCCTAGCGAGTTCGGCGCCAATACCTACATCCCACTGACATCGGAAATCCCAATCTTCCAGGGCAAGGTTGCATTCCAGAAATCCATGCAGCAGAAGCTGGCTGAGCACCCGAGTTTGTCTTATTCACTCATTGTTCATGGGCCCCTGTTTGATTTCTGTCTGGCGGGTGGCTTGTTTGGTGATGTTCAAAAGCGCGAGATGACCATTTACGATGGTGGAGACAATAAATTCTCATCAACTTGTTTGGCTGATCTTGGTACTGTTGTTGTGGGTGTTTTGAAGAGCCCTGAGCAGACTAAGAATCGGGCGATTTTCGTTGAAGGGGTGAACTTGACTCAAAATAAGCTGTTGAGTAGCCTGGAGAAGGTGACCGGATCGGCCTGGACGAGGAAAGAAGGCTCTATTAGAGACCTGAATGTTGCCATGAATGCTGAGATGCAGAAGGGGCAGCCGAATCCGGGTGTCTTTGTTCCAGGCTTTCTGAAGGTTGCTATCTTTGGCGGATCTGCGTATGGCTCGGATTTGAATGAGCAGACACCCGGCCTTGACAATGATATTGTTGGCTTGAAGGCGTACAGTGAAAAGGAGCTTGAGGAGAAGATCAAAAGCATTGCTGGCTAAGAAATTTCAAAAGCTAAACAGTTATACCGACAACTTGGAAGGCCCATGGATTGGATTGATATTGTATGCACACATGATGTCTCAAACCAAGGGCTGCCAAGCAAATATACTATTCTTCGACCCAAACATAAGCCCTGGGGGTTGGAAACCTTCAATATCATCAGAGCACTTTGAAATATAACTACTCCCCCAATGTATCCTGAATTACACGAGTCACGCGATCAACGATCAACTCAATCTCAGCCCGAGTCGTATTATAAGCAGGGGCCAAGCAGACATGATCACCATTGATCCCATCCACACCACCGTTTCCGGGAATCAAGGATATCGCATGCTCCGGTTTGAGTCCAGATGTATGAACCGCCCAAGCGACTCCCTGTGATGGCGGATATGGCTCCTTTGTTTGTTTGTCTTTCACGAACTCGATCTATAACCCCGTTAGTAAAGGTTCAAGCTATTAGGAAGAAAACAGAATTAGCTCACCGCCCAAAAGAGTCCTCGCCCGCGAATATCACCAACATGAGGATGGCTATCAAGTTTCTCGTGCAGCAACTGGCTTAAGTAGGTGCCCATCTCTCGGACATTTGGCAGAAGATTGTCTTCCTGTATAATCTTCTGTACCCTATACGCAGCCGCACATGAAACCGGGTGACCCTGATAGGTCTGGCTGTGAGAGAATGATCCAGTTCCCTTTGTCAGAGTATCAACAACATGTTGGTTGATCAAGAGGCCAGCAATTGGGGCGTATCCTCCACCAAGACCTTTAGCAATGGTTTGTAGGTCTGGGACGACGTCCTCCTGTTCCCAAGCGTGCAGGGTTCCAGTACGGCCCATACCAGACATGACCTCGTCCAGGATAAGCAATGCACTGTGACGCTGGCATACTTCTTTCATGGCCTTCCAATAACCAGGCAGCGCAGGCATGCATCCCAATGTCTGGAGGAACTGTTAGAACAAGACCTGTGTACCACACACTTCAAGGGATATTGAACTCACTGCACCAGCCATAGTTTCCGCAACAAAAGCGCAGACTGTATCGGGTCCTAGTCTTTGGAACTCATCTTCCAATTCCTGAGCAAGTCTGCCAACATAGCTCTCCACAGTTTCCTCCGATCTCATATCTCGGTATGGGTAGCATTGAGAGACGTGAGAGACATTCTTCGCTAGAACCTTCTCATACAATGCTCTGCGCCCAACATGGTGGCCCACAGAGAGCGAGCCAAGAGTATTGCCGTGATATGATTGCTTCCGAGCGATGAAATTGACGCGCTGTGGCTGCGGAGTGGGCAGTTCCATGAAATACTGGACAGCCAGTTTCAAAGAAGCTTCGACAGCTTCGGTTCCTGTGTGTATCATGTAATGTTAGCAAGCAACATCTGCAAAGCGACCCTTCAGTCAGACTTGCCTGATGCCACAATGAATGCCCGGGACATTTGGCCTCCAGTGGAGTCGACCAAGAACCTGCAAAGATTTTCCATGGCGCTGTTGGTGAAGTAAAGAGAGTAGCAGTAAGAAACCTTTTGTAGTTGCTCTTGGATTGCCTCGTGCACCCGCTTGTCATTGTGTCCAAGGCAGGATACCGCCGCGCCGCAGGTGGCGTCCAGAATTTCCAATCCGGTGTCTGTGATGAGGTAGCTTCCTCTACCGCCGACAATGTTAAGAGGCTTCTGCCGAAGCTGACGATAAAGTACACCACTGTCACCATTGCCATTGGAAACCTCTTTTAGGGCCTCCGTGGCTCCAGTGATTGGCGCTTGAAGCGACACGGCTCCATCTGGCTCATAATCACCCATACTGCAATTTTTGATGTTCGAATGTGATTGGAACCCAAAGTTTTTTTCAACAAAAAATATGTATGTTCAAATTTACCGTTTAAAGCTTTTGATGTTGAAAGTAAATATGATAAGATGAGAAAACTTTTGGATCTGGAAGGAGGGGGTCAAGTCAATAAATAAGTACTAGGCAAAGCACTTGCCACATCACATTGCATCTGGTACAATTTCTTGTTTAGACCTCTTCAATGATGTTAGTTATCTCACGACATTCGGCCCATTTCACCATATTGATTGGTTCTCCCTATTGTAAAATAGCAACTCAATCGGGACATCAGAGCCGCACATACTGTGACGTTCACTTGTTATCGCCATCACTAAACCCAAAGAGGTAATCTTTGTCGGACCCACTTCTATAAAGAACGTTGTTGGTCAAAAGATGCGATAAGACATAAAGAATCATCTTGACAGCTTGACTTGATTGCGTGGAATCCAAACTTATACTTACGTGGAAATTCCTCTTCACCGGGGATTGGTCAATAAGCCCGTTTATCGGAATGTGATTTGACCAAAGTACCGACCTGCAGGATTTTGTTGGTGCCCGCATTCGAGTACATCTAGTTCTGGACTGAGGTACTGAGTCACTTCGCATGTGGTTTTCCGTGGGAAGTTAGATCCTTGCGGTCAACGGATTGGCTTAAGCAATAAGTGGTGGATTGTAATATTTATGATAATATGGCCCCTCTTCCATGAAACCATGTTCTGGTCTTATCAATGCCTAGCAAAGTAACCAGAAACATCTTGCCGAATGTGTCCAAATCCTCTGGCTGTGCAGTAGCCAGAACCCAGGTAAAGTCCAGATTACCCACGACAAAATGCGGTTTCTCAGCCCACGCGACCGCAAAATCAAAGGCGCTCTGAGCATTCCAAAGGTGAGCCGATAAGTACCAGGAATGGTGAAGACCCAGTTTCCCATCACATTGCAGGTTAGGAGTCCCCTGAAGCACTTTGTATATTTGCATGAAATAGAACGCAAGAAGGACGGTTCTCCGAGCGGATTCTTGAATGATCCAGGAATACCAAAAGTTTGTGACTGCATCGATGGACAGTGGCATAGGCTCTATGGAGTCCGATGGGAGTGGGATGTTTAGGTGACTTAGGAGAGTCATGACAGAAGACTCGAGTGACGTGAAAAGGGCATCTGCTGTCGCGCGAGAGCGGATGTCACCATCGAATAAACGCATGACTTGATATAAAATTAAGGCATGGACTCGTGCCAGAAGTTCAAATGTGGTATTCGGCTCAGGAGTTGACATAAGTTCCATTATTCTTGCCTCAAAAAGAGCCATTATAACTGTTGCGTTGGCTTCGTTTTTGGACATGTATAGAGAGCAGCAGGCAAATGCGTCTAGATGGTGTTAGTATGAAAGGTAAAAATTTGGACTTTTTTCTTGCTTTTCAAGTGATAGCTTACCCTGCATGGCCCTCGGCATATAGTTTTGATAAAGTTTTGGATGACACCATGGTGTTTGGTTTTCGAGAACCATCATTCTAGGCGACATTTCCAAAATGTCGATCGCAAATTGAAGCTGGGAAGCAATTATCTCCGGCAACGGCCTCGGCGGTCTTGCTCGTGGTAATATAAGCTCAGAATTAGGGTCGATATCAAAACCTTGTCCAGGGAGCATGGCTTGAACTCCAGAGCATGCAGTGTGGTAACTTGGGTGTGAATCCACCAGGCCCGTCATGACGGGTAAGGAGGCAGATTGGGGACAAAAATCGAAGCCTGGCTGAATTTGGCAGTTGGTGTTGGAATTTATGTCCAGATCGCCGAGGGAATCAATTAGGTGAGAGGCCTTACCCAAATTCTCGGTCTCATAGGCCTGTTGCCACGGGTAGACGCAAGTGACATCCCGGCGGGTGCATCGAGAGCAGGCTGGGAGAGCGAGATCACAGCGTCGCTTTGCGGTCTTGCAAGCCTCACAAGATTTTCGCCGCGGAAGTGGGATCGACTCGTGGGCCATTATGCATGATGGTCTGTTCTGTACGCGTTAGTGGAGTGCAAAGGGAAGGCGATTCACCCACGCCGCAAGCTGAGACTCGTTTATGGGTTAGCGTGCGGAATTCCGCACGCCAAAGTGGATCTCCACCACCAGTTGGCCAACCAGAGCTAAAATCAACCATCTGAGGTGGAGAACTCCACTTTCTTAGTAACTTCTACTTTTGTAGTATGAACAAGCAGTACTTGCGTGGTCAAGAAATATAAGAATGCATGAATGTCCAATTTTCCAGTAGCATCACAATCAATAGTCTTTACTTTCCCCTCTCTTATCAGCTACATAAACCATGTCTTCCAAATCTGTTTTTGTCTGTGGCGCGACTGGTACCCAAGGTGGCGCCTTAACAAATCAACTCCTCGACAAAGGCATCAACGTTAATGCCATCACCAGGGACATCAACTCCTCCCAAGCCCAGCACCTGATCTCGCGAGGTGTCTCCCTTACCCAGGGCGATTTTGACGACGAAGAATGCCTAAAGCATGCCATGGCCAATTGTACCAGTTTCTTCCTCAATCTCCCACCCGACTTTACCAAACCCACCGGCGAACTTGATCAAGCTCGAAAAATTCTCTCAGTCGCCAAGCAGTCTGGTGTCAGACACGTCATCTACACCAGTGCTTTGGGAGCCAACAATCCCGAGCAACTACCTCACTGGACCCCCTCCGGCCTGATAGGCATGCTTCTCCTCAGCAAGCAGGCCATCGAGAAAGAAGTCAAAGCCGCCGGATTCGAAACATGGACCATCTTGCGTCCTGGAAACTTCATGTCAAATTTCCTTGACCCACTGGTTCGGATGTATCAAGGCCTAGTTGAAACGAGGAAATTTACCACTGCCTTTCTTCCACAGACTATTCTACCTATGATTGATCCAAACGATATTGGCAAATTTGCCGCTGCTGCCATTGTCGAGCCTTCGAAGTTTAACCATCGGGAAGTTGAGACTGTATCCCAGATGATGACAGTCGAGGATCTGGTGAAGGATTTGTCGATGGCCACTGGGAAGGATATTGAAATGTGTTTCTTGTCCGAGGAGGATATCGCTGCCCAGCTTCCTACAAATCCAGTCTTGGGTCCTCAAAAGGTTATGCGCGACATGTCGTTGCTTGTTGATATGGAATATGTGCGAAGTTGGGGAATTAAGCTGGAGACTTTCGCTGGATTTTTGGAGCGAGAGAAGCAGCGGGTGGATATGACATACATGTAAATACTGCAAATTCGATATTCACTTTCAACGCTCAAGAGTCGGGTGTTGAGAACCTTCCAATTGAATATTGAATTTTCATCAAATATGCATTTCTGATCGAATGCTTCATGGATCAAAGTATTTTCAAATTTGAAGCTAGAAAAGAAGCAAAAAACTTGTGGGGGCTAGATGTAGAAAAGAGAAAATTGAAATTATAGTGCATGGATTATGACCGTGAATGTGTTTAATGCCACGCAATAGTTTCTCTTATAACAAAGTTTCTGAAGGTCTTGGGCCGGCGCTCTGTGCAGACAGGGCCCTTAATTGCTGATCGAGCCAGTTGAATATTCTTCGTGTTCAACCTCTTGCTTTTCCTGCGCAGGATCGACACTGACTTCATGAAAATTTTTATTGGCGAATCGAACAGTAGCCCATACAGAGGGACTTTCCCGGAATATGAGATCGATTTCTTCCAGACTGCGACCCATTGTCTGAAGAATATTAGGAAATTAATTAATTAATAGCCTTGAGTGGAGACGTACCTCGGGATAAAAGAAGTAGACTGAGAGGGGAATAGAAAAGCCAATACAGGTGAATACAATGTAGAAACGGTATCCGATTGTATCGATTGCCACTGGTGTAATCATGGTGATGACAAAGTTCCTGAGAAGTCGCGTCAGTGACCAAGTTCTTCCTCAAGACTGGGAATAATAGTAAATACCATAGCCAGTGATTGGCAGTTGAGATACTCGACATTGCAACACGGAGCCTAGTAGGTGCCACTTCTGCGCAGTACAGGAAGTTGGCACCCAGGAACCCGATCGGAATGAAGAAGTTGAACAGAAATACAAACAGAACACTGGTGATCTGAGCGGCGTAGTTCGTGTGTGGAAAGGATGTCGCGACTGCAAGACCAAGCATGCAAGCTGCCATTCCCCCTCCACTGACCATCAAGGCGAAGCGACGACCAAATCGATCAATTGTGAAGAAGGATACGAAACACGAAAGGAATTTCCAAGTGAGCGTGCCACCGGACAGAATTCGGGCTACTTCAGCATTCATTCCCAGCCCCGATTCGAAGATGACCGTGGAGTACACAGATATCAGGTTGCCGCCTGACATCTGCTGAGCGAACTGAAGAAATAAACACATCCCAAATCTGTATAGCAAGCGGTCGTCGCCCATCTTTAGAAGGTCCAGAAGGGACGACGCGCTGTTGGCAGTCTCCTCCAGGGAGCTTTCAATTCCAGAAACTTCAGCCAGTAGGTCAGAGGCATCTTCAGGAACATCCCGTAGACATGCAAGTGTGGCCGTGGCTTCTGCAACCCGGCCTTGGCGAACTAACCATCGAGGGGACTCGGGGAGATAGATGATCGACACCATGAGTAAGACGGCGAAAGCGATGGGGATGGAAACGGAAGGCCTCCAGGTGATTGGACCCGTTTTGTACTGGTAAAATCCAAGATTGATCCACGCTTGCAGCATGTAACCTAGAGCTATGAAAAGTCCGTCTAACACGACATGTTTTCCACGATTCTTTGAGCTGGAACACTCGCTTTGCCATGTCGGAACGGTACCACTTAGCATGCCAATACCCACGCCAAGTATAACACGACCAATAATAAGCTGCGCTAGTTGGAATGAAGATGCTTCCAAGATCTGACCGATCAATGCCAGAAGAGCCCCCATAAAGATGACCGGGCGGCGACCGAATTTATCCGCGGTGTATGAACACGAAAGACAGCCTGGCAGAGCACCAAGAGTGAATGTGGCGATGACAACCCCCTGGACTGTAGCATTGTGACTCGCCTGGGCGCCTGTTGTGTTGACAGTATCAATTTCTGGGAAGTGCTTCACCCAGTCTGAAAGAGATACCAGACTTCCCAGCCCAGACTGGTTATACCCGAAAAGAGTATAGGCAGGGCAAACAACCGCAAGGATCTGAGCAAGGGATAGAGCTCCTCCTCTGAGATTCCAAAACCTCTTCGTCATTTCGAGCGGTGGAAGTTGAATGGGAAGGCGAATGGATAGGTGCAGACCGTGCAGTGGTGAAAAGCGAATTCAAAAGCAAGTAAACAGAACTTCATTTTGGAAATAAATTCGGGGACCCCAGGTTGCGGTTCTTGAATATATGATCAAGACCTTGGCTTGCATATGGCTCATGCGGAGTAAGTACCCCGGCCGGAATAGAAGCCGAGTCGGGATAGAGGCTTATCACGGGCGCTATGGGGATCTCGGCAATCGTCCGAGGTTCTCCGACCCATCAAAGTCCATGAACCCCATAAATGGCCCTGGAACTCCGTACATCCAGTCGGTGGCGGTCACATAGTTCAAATCAGCGAGCGCGTTTGTGTCACAGGTGCTATGCTGGTCAAATATCCCTGGTGTCTCGGTTAAAATTCCCTGGCCGGGTTCTGGCTCCACGCCGACCGAGATTTGTCCAGCTTGGGCTATTAATGATCGCAGCATGTGTAAAACTGCGATAGCATCAGTTATAGACTCATTGTACACACCTCGCTGCAATTGATCAAGTGGTCTGTCGACGCTGTCTCTTTGGAGAATAGAAACCCCCCTCAAAATCATATCCATGCTAGTTTGAAGGGACGGGCAACATTCTAGATGAAAGGTCCGGCAATGGCATTGACAATAGACATGCATCAGGCCAGATTGGAAAATCATCCCAGGCCCCATCAGGCTCAAGTTGTGAAGCCATATTGGGACCTGGGGATCTTCTAGTAGAGTCAAATTCACACTACTGGAGGCAACGCACACTTGAAGACATTTCGAAAATTCAACTGTGCTGTCGTCGAAGGATAACCCCGGTCGATGTATTAGGATTATTGCAACATTAGCCAATAGTTGGAGCCACAGCGTTGTTTTTTCCATCACCTGGGGTGAATTCTCAGAAGAAACCCGTGCTGAGACACTTCCAATGTCAAAATGAATGCCGTTTGATTTGAGATTTTGGTTCCACATTCGCAAGTCAAGGTCCAACTCGTTGATTTTAGCGGCACCGTTTCTTCTTTTTGTAGTTGTATACAGCATCTCGCGAATTCGTGAAAGGATTTTCCCCAGATGTACGTATTGAATGAACTCAAATACGGGAGTTTTCTCCCCGGGCAAGGGGTGCGCAAGTTCTACGACATCCAGGTCGGTAAGATTGCAATCTAAGGGCATATCGTTATCGACATCAAGATCATTGATCTGACTTGGCAGCCCATGGTGCAAAGATGTTATTCTAAAAGATTAGCATACTTTTTCTGCATTTTTGGCCCCAACCACTCCGGAGGGCACATACTTGTCGAAAACGTAAACCCACCACCAAAGCCGCTTCCGAAGCTCAATTTCCCCCGGTTTCATCTTGAAACGCCGAGCATGACGGTGGAGACCGAGTGATTGTGCCAGACTCGTAATTATTCCATTAGCTCTCGTCATCGCAAGACAATGACCATTTAGTTGATTGTAAAAAGCAAACAAGATAATAGCTTGTAAGCTCTTTAGATCTCCTCGAGTAGCCACCTCATCAATCAGCGAGCTTGCGACAGGCGAATAACGATCATAATTGGATTTCGGTTCGGAGGTCGGCTTTCGAGTATCACTGCACGTTTCATTGATGCAGAGAATCATGAGGAGCGTCAGGACTGTGGCATAATTCACGTCATTGGCGCAAAGTGGGTCATGCAGAACTTCAAATAGTGAGTTTATATCAGTCATCAACTGCATCGGGACAAGAACTGGACAAAATGCCTCCCATTCCTTGACGAAGAGATTAGCTTGTTCGTGGTAATAAGGTAGAGAATCTGTGAAGCAACCGAAAATTCCTCCGCGATGGTACAAAGTGGTTGCGAAAGGCTTTTCGTGCTGGGAAGAGCACAGCTGGGTTAAAAAGAGACGGAAACAGCTTTCTGGGAAGCCTCCTGTAAGATTTAAAGACTTGCGACACTCCTTTTCAACACTGAGGACAAAATGGACACCAGTTGTCGAACCTGCAAATCGACCAACTCCATTTTTATCGTGAACCAAGCGGCCCATGTGTTTGATAACGTATGTTGCGTCATCATTTTGATTTCTCTGGGTCTGTATCGTTGCTAATCCCTCTGGGTTAACGGATTCTGGATCGAGAGGAAGTCCGCTCTGCTCTTTGTGGCCAAGCTCTTCTTGTAATAGCTTATTCTGATCCTTCTCGGATTTGAGCTGCTGCTGGCATCTCACAAGCTCTGCTTGAAGCTGCTCGACCAATTTTTTATCTGATGCGAATCTAAGACGATTTAGCAAGGTACAATGATACTTGTAGTGATACTAATATTGATTTACCCTCGAATTTTAGTTTTCCTTTGGAGATTCACGGAGACTTCGCACATGTGTCCTACTTTTCCACAGTTCCGACACTGATGCTCCAGAGTTTCCCGAGGTCAGTGAGACACATCAATAAACGGCATCAGAGACGTACGGTGGGAAGAGACCCGTCACATTTTAACTTCTTTCTGCACAACAAATGCTCGTTAGTATTAGTCCCTCTATTTGGGGTTTATCTTCAAACCGAAACAAGGGTTCATATAACCGGCTGAAAACTTACTTTCTGCAACGATCACTGATTTGGAACCCTTGAATGTCAGTTGATTTCATATAACTAGAACCGCGCTAATTTTTCTATAAACAAGATTCAAGAATATGGCCTACCACGCCTGTCCAACTCGGTGAGCCATGGCTAGATTGCCTTGCTCGGAGAAGCTACCGTCGACGACTTCATTTGCGTCTGGTGGCATTGGAAGTTTAAGTCTAGAAACAGAAGCTCTGTACTATACGATCCCGTGTCTGGTTAACGAAGCGGAGTGAGTTCACCCCTTTCCGTTTGCTGACTCATGATTCATGACGTTGGGCTTGTATTTTGCCACACCGCCTTCGCAATAAAACCACACCGTAGTTTCAAAATCGCTAGGCTACGCGCGCTTTATAATGCCAAGGCTGTCGTCCGCCAATCATATTTTGTCAGGCTTTGTTTTAAGAGAAACTAGTGCGTGGCATTACTCATATTAACTACACTCCCAAGTCCACGGACGATACCTGGATATGCTCCACTTTGCCTTCGGGATAGTCGTCTATTCCGAAGAATGCATCAGGTCAATCTCCGCAATAATTCCCTCCGCATGAGGGGGAAGCGATTAAGCAGAATGGAATATTTAATACCTTAAGCCCCAAGGATGATGCAATTCACTTCCAATTCCTTCTTCTGTTTTACGCCTTCCTCTTTGACTTTTTTTTTCAGCCATTTTGTCATTACATACTCCTTAAGCTTCTCTCGCAATGGCGGTCTCTGCACTTGACTCCCGCGTCTTTCGCAACTTATTTGGAACACAAGAAATTCGTGACATCTTCACCGATGATGCATATATCAAGTGCTTGATTGAAGTTGAGGCTGCATTGGCACGGGCCCAATCGAAAACCGGAGTTATCCACCCAGAGGCAGGAGATGCGATTACTGCAACATTCGCTGACGTGCAACTCGAGTATGTCAGATTGCCCCGGCAGAAGAGAGTGGAAACTAACAAGCGACGATGCAGCTACGATCGCCTCGCACGTGAAACAGATGTTGTTGGATACCCTGTTCTTCCACTTGTCTGTCAATTGGTGGAAAGAACACCAGACGAAACATCCAAGTACATCCATTGGGGAGCAACTACACAAGATATCATGGATGATGCGTCCATGCTTCAGATCAAGCGTGGGCTTGTTCTTGTGGAAAGGGAGCTACATACTCTCAATGGAGTTCTCGCAAATCTGGCCACTACCTACCGCGATACGTGAGTGTTTTTTTCTTTTCTTCTGATACTCTTTATTCTTCATTTTTGTCCCCTTGGGATTCCTGGTATCCATATTAACAAGTTGATTTAGCCCCATGGCAGGTCGCACACACCTTCAACACGCCTTACCTTGCACTTTCGGTTATAAATGTGCTGTTTATCTATCAAGTGTGCTTCGGCACTTGGAACGGATGGAGGAGATTAAACAAAGATGTCTGCTCGTGCAGTTCGGAGGAGCGGCCGGCACGATTGCGTCTCTGGGCTCAGACGACCCAGGTCTACGGGTACGCGCTCAACTCGCTCTGGAGCTGGATCTGCAAAATCCATCCATCACCTGGCACGTCGCCAGGGATAATATGGCAGAAATCACGAATTTTTTGGCCCTTGTCGGTGGCACCTTGGGAAAAATTGCGCTGGATCTCATGATCATGTCTTCTAACGAGTTTGATGAAGTATCAGAGCCCTTTGTGCCTCATCGTGGCGCTTCATCAACCATGCCACAGAAGCGTAATCCGATTTCCAGCGAGGTCATTCTTGCTGCCTCAAAAATGTTGCGAGCTAATGCGTCACTGGGGCTGGATGCAATGATCACTGACTTTGAGCGCGCCTCTGGGCCCTGGCATCTGGAATGGGTGGCTATCCCCGACGCATTTGTTACCGCGGTCGGAGCGCTTCACCAAACAAACTTCGCGCTCAGTGGCTTGGTGGTGAAAGTTGACTCCATGGAGCGCAATTTACACTCTACCAATGGTTTGATTGTGGGAGAAGCAGTTATGATGGCTCTTGCGCCTCATATCGGACGACAAAAGGCACATGATGAAGTTTATGAAGCCTGTAAATCTGCTATTGAGCAGAATCGATCCCTGCTGCAACTTTTGGAAGAGTCCCCTGTTCTGACTGGCGTATTTACGAAGCAACAGTTGGTGGGATTATGCGACCCTCTGCAATATATGGGTGCCAGTCGACTTATGGTGGATGAAATGGTGAAGCGTTCTAAATTGACTCTACACCAGAACGATATGCTCGTGAATGGTAATTAGAGTTGACGTCGTCAATTCATCAGCTGGGACGGAATCTGCATACTCTACATCTTAAACAAGCCATATACATATTATTACATATCGTTGGATTATTCTATACTTGGAAGGTGCTCATTATGTATTCATGCTGGACTTGATTCAGGAACTCGCTTAACCTCCCCAGTGGTAAGGTCGTATATAAAGCCTCGAGTTCGGTCGGCAAGCTCCTTTCGAATGAGTGGCGAGTTTTTAACAAGTTGCACATCCTCTTGAACACTTCGCTCAAGGCTAATATGGAACCTTATTGTCAGTATATCATTCCCGAGGTCACTTATTAATTCAAATGAAGGTCGGGGCGAGACTCACTCTTCAAACCCCGGAAGCTTAAGACTGGCAACACTCTCCTTGGCATCCGGTGCCCGATGAGCTATCCCCTGGCAAACGTCGGCATTCGAAAAAAACTCTGCCGAGCAGTCTGGTAGCATGTTAGAAGAGTATTTTCTACTAGAGCTGCACATATGTGGATAAAAGAAAATAATCAAGTTGGTAGGTAGTTTATGTATGCACATACCTGTATGATGCATGATCATAATATCAGTAAAATTCAAAACATGGTCGAGGAAGAGCAGGTTATTAAATTGTGAGGCCATACGGCCAGCAGCACCGCGAGTAACAACAGCATCTATGAATCAGAGTTAGTATTTGAGCGCTCTGCACCTATTCCTGACAGCGGCGTGTACGGGGACACCACCTACCCCATTTTGAAAGACCTAGGATGTCCCAAGGATCTACACGAGGGTCGCAGCAAGACACTAGTGGTAATTTCGGGTCAGAAGTGATATTCCCTCGTAAGGCTGACAAACAGATCATCCATGGAGCTCCTACCAATGAAAATCTTTGGCATTGGCAAGCTCCATTCAGGTGGCAGAGAGTATATTTCGCTCAAGGACAAAAAAGGTTCAAATGTTTCAACTCGTTTGCTGCTGATTGTTAGTTGGGGATCATCCAGATGTTGCCGATCTGAACTTGTCTTACGCATTGCGCTTCAAAAGCTCTTCCACACTGGGAGATGAGCTCATTGCGGGTGATATCCGACTTTGAAGTATTAGTACCGATCAAAGTTCTTTTTAGTAAAAAGAGATTTGAATAACGAAGAATTTATGATGCGCAGGTATTGAGATAACTTCGAAAATGATTAGTATTCTTTCAATTTTTCTATCTCAGTCATGTCACTATAAAAAGCGCGCGTTGCTTCTCCGATCCCTGCAGGATTTGGCCGAAGTACTTCCGGACCACCTCGCTTTCCGTCGGTCTTTGATTTCTAATCATTATGGTAATTCATACTTGAAATTAAATTAGTTCTACAAATTTCCGGATCCTTGGGTAGTTGGGCCTGATTGATGATTAATGTGACGAGTCCAGAACAAGATCTAAATCTGGAAGTCCTTTGTTGCGAATTCACGTAGTATGCATCGAGATGCATTAACACGGATAACGGCAACTAAATCTGCGCAAGCTCTTTTGAGACAAGTGACGGACTATCAGCAAGGCCTTGTACGTGCTTAAAGCTATAATTATCGATGGCGCATTGCTGAATTCTTCAGCGAAGCCATATGGCTTACTCTTCCGAGTCAGGAAAGTGATTCGACTATTTTGGGAGTGTCTCCTTGCCTCCACATCTGATGCTACTATAGCCCCTCAGACCGAAAGATTCACGTCCAGATCTCAGAGTCAGGAGACTCTTCTGTATTCTAATCAGCGATGTTTAACTGTCGTGGCTTATTCACGAATCGTCAGTGTTTCAGAGCTGTCGAAGACTCGAAGTGATTGACGACCTCTGTCCTCGAAAAGGAAAGTGGTACAAATCACACACCGCTTTTTGATGACAATTCCTCTTGGTTGGAGAGTCGAAAATTCGAAAACGTGGTGGTTCGTTCTCTCGTGATTTACGGGATTTGCCGACACTGCAAGGCAAGGCCTAGTAAGCTGATTGAGCGCCAAGTGAAGCTGCTGCCCACTCAAACGTGACCGATGAAGATCATTTCCTTTTGATGTTTTGAGATGACACCACAAAAATAGCCACACGAAGCTTCGATCTAAAACGATCGTGGCGCAAGGCTACTCGTATAGCGAAAACGGTGGTTTTACTCCACAATGTGGCTTTCAGGCCACCGGCACTAGACCAAACCCAAAGCCAAATTTAAATACAAAATCCAATGGGGAAGTGTTTACGGTCCTAGCGTGGAAAATCAATTATTGAGATCGGTGGCACACTACGGACCCTGCATGAGCCCAGGACTGTACAGGGCAGAGCCCAAGGGATGCAAAATTCACGTCTAATTGGAAAGTACAGGGGGTGGCCTCTTACATCCAACCGAGACATCTTGCCGAGATCTGCGAGACTTGGCGAATCATCACCACCCGACCATGCTTGCTTTGAAACCCTGCATTGACTTACAAAAAAATCATCAAGGCTGGGGTTCTGGGGAGCTTGAGGATAAAAGCCCTGGATTCTACCCTCAAATCTGTTATTCGGATATCAACATCACACTCGCTTCAACTTTACGCATCTATTACTTCATCTTCCATCTTCTATCTTCTCTAGTACATTTATTTCCAATACTTGCATCTAATCATCATCATGCAGTTCATCTTCTCCCTCGCTGCCTTTGCAGGTCTCGCTTTGGCCCAGAATGCTGTGATTGGACTTCCTACCGCCGATCAGACCGTCGCTCCCGGTAGCGAAATCATTGTCCAGGTCCAGCGTCCTGTATGTCAACATTCTCACTCCAACTGCCCAAGTCCAAAAATTCTAATGAGATTTTAGAACTCCTTGACCGGTTCTGAAGAAATGGCCGTGGCGATTGGCCTTGTTTCCTGCCCCAGTGGAACCTGCCAGCCCGCCAGCAACATCATGGGTTCCATCGTTTACAACGGGCTCTTTACTCCCGTGTACCACGAGGCCTACCTGCCGCCCTACGAGAACTTCACTGTCACTGTTCCTTCTTCTTTTGCGGCAGGACAAGCCCAAGTTAACGTGGCTCATGCTACTCTTGTCGGAGTAAGTACTGCTTCAATACACACTGCATTCATTGTACTAACTTTTTATAATCAGGCTGGCCCCTACCCCAACCTGGAGACTCTCAACCAGACTATTATCATTTCCTAAGGAGAACTTCGTCTTCCTCCGCTGTCCTTACGATGTGACTGATTTCTGTATATCCTGTCTTCTTCCTTTTGTACCTGTTATTTCGCTGCAAATAGTTAGAACATATACGCGCCACCGCTGAGTCAATGCAAATTCTGTTACTTACATACATGACTGTATCTCTTATGTATACACAGGAATCTCATTACCATGTAGCACGGAGAATCATATTTAGCGCTACCCCCTAGTCAAACTTTGAAGCTGTGACCTCGTCGTCGTTATCGATTTAGAGTTAAGCTTGTGTTACCTGGTGTAGCCCTGTAATTTGAGTTTTAGGTACATCTTTTTAGATGGTGGCACTTGCACAGCTTCCATTCACCACGAGCGCCCGAAGCAGGCCGATACGGTTATTGATCAGAATCCAATCTCATTTCCCTCTCTTATGTACGAGAGATATCTCCACATTAGCAGGAATTAAGCTTCACATCGGCAGGCCCACTCTTGCCAACGAAAGCTGGGCCTAAGGCTGACACTTGAGCAAAACGGCTATAATGCCCCCAGGTGCCGTGAGTCAGCACTTTATCTTCATGTGTGTATCTTTACGTCCAAATATGTACATACGATGTAGACATACATACTACTACCACTCCCGAGACCAGCGGCTCAAAAGCAACATTGAACACTCAATTGTAATGTTAGAATGGAACTCACCTGTAGCGTTTTGAGACAAATCTTCAGCCAATTCGTTTCTCTGAAACCAGTAAAAATTTGCACCCGTGGACATCGATATGGAGTATGTACGGAGTAGGAATTGTCTGGAATCTGGATACATCATATCTACCATAAAGATCCACTTCGGGGTCCCCGTGATCGGGGTTTCCGGCTGCATCAAGATTCAATGTTTAAAGCTGTGCTTTGACCAATTTCCAGCAAAACAGGATATGCACAAGCTGTCACTATGTAGCACAATTTTCTTAATGGAGCCCAAAGTTGCGTTATTTTTGACCAACTTGCACGGGCAGGAGACGCCAGATAAGAATCCACATCTGCCGGAAGTGGGGGCGCTTAGCTACGCCACCAAGAGGGGAATACCGGGAGATCCAAGTCTCGCGAAACAACAAATCGACAGATCCGCGGAGTATTTGGCTCCCAATTGATTTCTGTGAAAAACAAAACTAATAGAAATATAACTTGCTTGTTACTGATCCTTGGAAATGATGACGGGAAAAGATCGAGCCGTGAAAATCAGTCCTGATTCCCAACCTCTCCCTTTCCACCGTACGCGAACCGAACTCCACTTGATCCAAGAATATGACAAGTGTCAGTATTCTGTACCTTTGAACGTGCAAGTACTGTACAGTAAAATTGGGACCATTTCAAGTTCCCGGGGCGTGTTGATTGCCCTGTGGAGACACGGAAAGACGAACCTGTCAGGAACTCCGGAGATACCAAGATGGTAAGATCCACTGTTCGTCTGGGCAACTAGCGCGATCGTCTCACCAGATTCACCCGGTGGTACAGAGTATGTACAAGTTATCAATGCGAAGGCCCAATCTTGCGAAATCATGATTTCCAACAAACCTGACGTGTCCATTGAAACCCTAACTTGCATTTTGCATGCGCCAGCACGACACATTTACGTGGGGATGATCAATGATCAATACTCTTTATCTTCCGTTCAATCTCCTCTTTGCCCCACTTGACATTGAAAACCCAACAGAAGTAAGGATGGTAATACTATTACATGTTCATCATGACTCGGCTGTCGTTCTCTTCAGCTGGATTTCCAGCCCCTTAGACCCTACCGGTAAATCGGCACCATTATCTTTCTCATCGAAATATAATCGCCAAACTTCGCGCCCATTGGCATGAACACCCAACTCCTTCTCCGCTGTTTCCTGGACTTCATCCTCGGGCAACTGGACTGCCAAAAAGCCCTCCCATCCTTGAAGTGTCACATATTGCTCATCTTTGGTCCAGTCAAATGGTCCACATATATGGCCCTGAGAATCTGGACGACCACCCCAGCGCATTTCATGTGTGTTGACATCGAGAAATACCCAACGAAGAGCTGGCGCCTCTTCACCGCTGATAGTCACTATCCCTGACGTATTATTTGGGGGAAAGTCTGGATGTGTATAGAATCCCCCATTAAAAGGTACCATTGTGGCACTAGGATGCTTGGTGATGTAGAGCTGCACGATACATACAAGAAAGGTACAGTCAGTTCATTTTTCACGTTCCAAGCTGCCACCGAATCCCCGATATCCTGCATGTCGGAACTTACTTTGCCGTCCAGACCCACTTGGACCTGAGCATTGTGCACCTGTGACCGCATCTCCGGAGTGCCCTGGGTGATGGAGCAAGTGGCTACTAAGTGAGAGCGCTGCTTGCGGGCCCCAGTGCGACGTGCCTCCTCTTGATCGCGGCCCCCTTGAGTAGCCTCCTTCAATCCAATCATAGTGGGCAGCATAGCCGCCATCATCGCGATTCCGAGCACCATGGTGTAAGTTTCGGAGTACAGTTCAGGGCCAGGCTAAACTGCAGGTGTGTGTGCGATAGAGAAAAGATTTGTGGGCGCCCGGCGTATAACAGATAAATACAGGGCTTTTTCAGCTTCGGACAGTGGGGATGTGTAGATTGGCACCGCAAGTGGATACGATCTAAGTGGGTTTTATACCCACTTGGTGCCGTGGATTGCATCATCCTTTCTGCAAGTAAACCAGATGAGCAGTTCGATGAACAGAGCACAGACAATGTACTGAGAGATGCTTCTCCACTGAATGCAGATCTCCACATGTGCAGCACAAACCCACGTTCAGCTGTAACCTAAACACGGGCTGGGAGGAGGTTGAAATAGCTGAACAGCGTCGAATAAACAGCCACTGTTGTCTTCCCTGACTCCATAGCTTTTTGTTTTATTTTACTTCCGTACACTTTTTCCTCATTCCTGTCTGTGCCTGTTTTTCTCCAGGGTTGTCTTATTTTCCCTGCATTTTCCACACCCCGCCCACACTTCTCTTAATCAACCGACCTGCCCATTTCTCTGAAATGTCTGAAAACAGGTATATTTTTCAATTTCTTTCTGTTCTCCTTCCCCGAATTGATTCTGCTCTCGCCGTCTGGTTTCTCTATTTCGTGCATCATTCTCACCCTCCATCCATGGCGCAAAAATCAAAGAAGATCAAGAACAAGCCGAGGCCTCCGCCGGCTCCGGGCTCCCACCGCGAGGATCCCCTTCAACCCGATGCCGCTGTAGAGGACCCTGTTGACCAGGAAGGCTCTGCGCATGAGGATTCTCCGGCAGCAAATGGGCAGCAAGTTGTCCCCTCTGAAAAGGAGGATGACCCGTCCGGACACGAGAATCCCGTGCCTTCAAAGCAGCTGCCTACCCCTGATCAACAAGATTCAGCAATTGGGCAGCCGGATCCTTCAGCAGAGAAATCCGACCGAGCAGCCGAGCAGCAGAATCTGTCTGGGCAGGATAGTTCATCAGAGAAACCCCCCGCTAATTCTCCTCCGCCACCTAGTGCTACCAAGGACTTCCGTCCCCCTGGCAGCCGCCAAGATGCCCCCGCCGTCGGCGATGCGACCGACAAGGTTGGCGAGCTCGCTGGACCTGTCGTCGGTGACATGAAGATGCCCGGCAACCCTCTGTCGTCGGAGGAAGACAAGAGCAGCTTGAAGATCAAGATCCACCTCAATCTCCACGCCAAGGTCCGCCTCGACCTCGATGCCCAGATCTATGGTGACATTGTTATTGGATTGCTTTGAGGAATCAATGCAGGTTTGTGTCACTTCCCTGGGTGCTTGGATGTCATGTTGATCAAGTCAATGGCTCAAATAGATCATGTGCTAAGCAGTATTGATCGCTGGCCACGTCCAGACAAGCTGATGAATGTATATAAAGGATTGGAATGTTCACATATAATTGCTTTCCAGGGCTTTCTCTCAGTCCACTCCACTTCTTTATGATCCCATCTAGTTGTCGTACATATGCTGTTTTGTGATTAACCATGAATAATGGCCGCTTACTGTCACCCGTCGACGCTGCAGCGACATCTGGAGTCTGCAGATGTCACAACAACTGGCAAGAAAGAGAGGCAAAAATCCTAGTCATATAATCCATTCTCAAGTCTATTCTCAAGTCTATTCTCAAGTCTATTCTCAAGTCTATTCTCAAGTCTATTCTCAAGTCTATTCTCAAGTCTATTCTCAAGTCTATTCTGAAGTCTATTCCAAAAGTAACCTGTATTTAGATCAGATCCCTTAAAATATTCCTATATATGATAAATACAATACGGGCGGGAAACAGGGTAGTGAGGTTAGAAGTTGAAATTAGGATATATCGTTAGGGTGAGGGCTATGTATCGGCCGCCGCACATAAGTTACTTAAGGTTGTCCTTTCTTTCCTGTTTCCTTTCTCCTTTTCTCTTTCTTCCTTGTCTGTGGTTTTCTTTTGAGTTCAATGTTAGGATCTTAGTAGTAAGTACACATGTAACTACAAGATCCGTCTCCTGATAACTACAACGCCATATCCAACAAGTCAGTTAACCTAGAGGAGCCTGCGCGTCTGCGCAACAAATCGCTCGCTAACAAGAAGACGTCCGACGATGCTGGGCTGTCCACTCCAGTCGTGGGCAACCAGCCAGGTCCTCCGCCAATCAAGGGCAGACTCGATGTGGCCGCGAAGCTTCAGTATCAAGTCCCAAACTTTGACATACATACCGTATATCAGCCAACTCCACCGCATGCGCCGACCAACGTGGTTACATCGTGCAATACATTCTATCTTTGCTTGCCACGTCACACTTACCAGCATTTGAAGTTCTATATTCCTTCTTACAACTCTCGAACTCAGAGTCCTTTCCAAAAAGCTCCACTTATTTCAAGTCCAAAAGGCTCATCGCAAGAAAGATAACGACCATACTCAAGACAGGGGGGCCGGTTTCCCTTCTTCACCCGACCAGTGCCATTGCTCGCAGGAAGAAACGCCTTCGCCAATGGGTTCACAAAATGTTTACGGCCAGTATGAGATGTGCTACAAAGGGCAACCTCAACATCTGTGCGAAGCACACGCATCACCATTTTAGGTCAAATTTGTCACATGACAGTACTCGGATTCAATTGAATTTGAGAAACTCGAACCCTCGGGTTTCCATTCATGACGCCGCCACCTACTTCAGACTGTTTCTTTCATCACCTGTCTCTATCTTTCGCCTTACTTCTCTGTTCATATTTTTCTCGTTTCTTCAGGATTCAGGCTGTTTCTTTCATCACCTGTCTCTCTCTTTCGTCTTACTTCTCTGTTTATATTCTTCTCTCTTTCTTCAGGACCATGACTTTTGCTTTCCGTATCACAAAGTCAAGCGAAAGCCCACCGGACGAAATTCTCAAAGCCAGAGCCAATAATGAAACCGCGTCGATTTTTACGAGGGATCCTCCACAAAGTGGATATGCTTCCATCTGTCTTGGTCGTTGCATTGCATTTCACCCAGTTCATCAGCGACAATCTCGCGTCGCGACATTACGGTAAGCATCCACCCACCCCTCTAATTCCCTGAAGTGCTGTATGCTCGAGACATCTGGAGCTTTTGGGGGGCGTCTAACAACCTACCTGGTTTAGCGCACAAGTTTGGGGGCTCATCCCCCGTTTACCGGTTACTTCCGAGGTAGCAAACGAGCATCTAGCTATAAATAGTGGATATGTACCAGATTCCATCTTCGACGTTACAACTCTCTTCATTGATCTTGCTGCACATGTGTCGTGTTTGTCTTGGTTCCAAGATTGTTATACACATATTCTTATATGGGCTTCTACCACCTGGGCAGTGAACATTTGTTTCTCCAAGTTGACCTCGCCGCTCGAGATCACTCGAGTGCCAGGATGAGTTATATTCATATCAACGGACCAGGCTTTCTAGGGCTTTTTTCAATTTTGGAGATCATGTTAACTCGTTGAGAAGTCCCTGCGCTGGTGTGTGCTGAACTACTACAGGTAGTACATATCCAAAACGTCACATGTGCAGTGAGCATCATCAATAGCACTTGCTCATCAACATCCTCGTCCATAATCGAGGTCCTTTCCAAAAGCACACACGTTCTCCTCCTCCAAGCATTTGAGTCTCTGTTCATCGGTTGAATGCCAATTGATCTGTCCAGCTCATCATCTGCTCCGGTAGATCGAGATCCTCAGGTATTTTCTCCAATTCGTTCCAATGACATAGAAGAGGTGTGCGCAAATGCTAAGCCGTAATCTTAATCGTCAGCATCTGCTTAACAAAAGGCCCACGCGTTCCCAATCAACTTACCGGTTTCACTCCTCGGTGTCGCTGTGAGTCTCTTCATCGGTATCTTCGGCCTCTGCAAGGTGTGACAAAAAGGGCCACCTGAGGAAGTGCGAAAAGCACGACCGATTCACTTCGAAGTCTCCAGAATGCCGAGATTGCACATCTGAAGTGCGATTCAAGGGGAAATCAAAGCAGAACAAACCCCCACAGCCGGAACCGACTCTTTATAATGACGCGAAGAAGAACTGCGGGAATCACCACTGCTGGAAATGCAACAAGGTTGCCTTTGCAAGGTGTGTCAAAAAGGGCCACCTGAGGAAGCGCGAAAAGCACGACCGATTCACTTCGAAGTCTTCAGAATGCCGAGATTGCACATATGAAGTGCGATTCAAGGAGAAACGCGAAGAAGAACTGCGGGAATCACCACTGCTGGAAATGCAACAAGGTCGCCTTTGCAAGGTGTGTCAAAAAGGGCCACCTGAGGAAGCGCGAAAAGCACGACCGATTCACTTCGAAGTCTTCAGAATGCCGAGATTGCACATATGAAGTGCGATTCAAGGAAAACCTTGAACAAGAATTGTGGCAACCACCATTGTTGGTAATGTCGTAAGCCCGCATCTATGAGATGTATCCGGAACCCCCACAGCCGAAACCCCTAAAGCCGAAACCCCCAAAGCCGGAACCCCAACAGCCGGAACCCCCACAGAATGACATGACTGCACATACAAAGCGCGATTTGGGTACAAGACAAATAAAACGACCACAGGAGAAAAACCGAAGGCGGCCTTGCGGTATTTTCAGCTGTTTAGGGAGTCTTTCCCTCCTTGGATCGCTCTTCAGATATGCATTCCCGGCATTCTGAAGACTTTGAAGTAAAGCGGTCGTGCTTTTCGCACTTCCTCAGGTGGCCCTTTTTGACACACCTTGCAGAGGCGACCTTATTGCATTTCCAGCAGTGATGATTCCCGCAGTTCTTCTTCGCGTCGTTGTAAACTATCGGTTCCGGCTGTTGGGTGTCCGGCTTCGGAGGTTCCGGCTGTGGGGTTTTCTTCTGCTTTGCTTTCCCTTTGCGGGCCATGATTCGAGAAGAAACGCGGTGAAATGGAGGTAGAGGAGCAGATGGTTCTGCTGATTTTCTCGGGATTGTGAGATGGATTGGTGTTGTTGGCACCTGGGTGGATGGGATGGGAGAGCTGGGAGTGAGATGGGTCAATAAACACCGAGATGAAGAGAGGGGAGTGTTTCAGCAATGAATTGAATACAGCTTCAAGAGCTGAGATTGATGGATGCTCACCGTGAAGTCACCAGTTCATTTAGTGTATTGAATTCAGTGGGGTGTATTGCAGCGACGCAGATTGAAAGCTCACTTTATGTAGGAGTCCTCGTAAGGTTCGACGGGCTTTTATCTAGATGGCTACATGCTCGACAAGTCATTATTTGACATGGATTTATGGGGCTTTGGATCTTTGATGCCATGTATACTACCATTGTTGTATTCGGGGAGCAGAATGCCGGATATTCTTTCTACAAGGCCTCATTAGAAACATTCTTGCTTTCTACCCGAGACAGTCCCAGTCTGTATCTGACAAAGGCGAGACATCTTGATTCAGACCTGTAGACAAGGCCATTGTGTTTTTCGAGGCTGCGTGAAGATAAAGAAAGGTCAAGTTTTCGATTTTAGCTTACATATGTACGGCTTGGGGTAGTTTGGGTAGAAATATTGATTTATAGTACAAGAAGAAATACACAGCCTCGATTTTTGAAAAGGAGATGGACATGGAAGGAAAAAACATTCAAGTTTACAATACAAAAAGAGCAAAGTTGCGACGGTAGAAAAGAGTGAGAACTCCCGTCACCCGTTAGGGTTGTTGACGCACGTGCGACGTGTCACGTGTTTACGTTGGCTCTTCACGTGCAACGTTTACTCTTCACGTGCAACTGCAACGCAAGGCTCACGTGTTCTGTGAGCTCAACAAACAAAGCACTTGAGTTACTGATTAGTAGTACGCACGTATTCTAGATAGAGAATTATCACGGATGATTCAAATTTTTGAAAGAGAAATATTTGTATAAACTGCTGATACCATGTCTATATACTATGTACTCCATTAAAAACACAGAATCGATGATGAACCGATTCTAAATGAGAAAACAAAAAGCAGATTTCCAACTAGGTCGGGGTATCTTGGTTTGTCCGATAGACTGTGCATGAAAGAAAAGAAAACCCAGAACCAGAACAATCAAAGGTCCAAAAAATGAAACACGAACGAACGCCTTTTAGACCGTTGCTTCTTTTTCCTTTCCTCGAAAAGGAGGGGGGAAATATGGGATATCGAAGATGTATGGATGATGGTATCAAGTCGGGGTAAAAACCGGGGGAAATACGCTCGCTGTGCGAAGAGAGAAAAATGATCAAAGAAAAAAAGGATAACCAAAAAAGGCAAAGAAAAAGGAAAACTATACATCATAGTATAAACAACCAACACCGCTCCAAGAAGATATTAATGTTCAATATTCAACCCGTGACTCACTTCAGTTGGCCTTTGTGGATTGCACCATAGCCCTTACTGAATAGATCATGGATCTCGCCGGAGCGGCGCGGAGCACAGGATTCGGAGGGTGAAACGGGAATAGTGAGATGGTTATCGGGTGTCTCGTGAGCAGTGCAGCCGATTTGGCTTGCGCTAGCGCTAGCACTACCGCTGGAGTAGCCCTCCATCTCATGTGCATGAGTAACAGGTTTAGCCTCTGTCATGGTCATAACACGCGGGCGAGCAAGCAGCTCCTGGACCTGGCGCTCACGAGCATCCATCTCGATGGTTTCACGTGCAATCTCAATGCTAGACTTCTTGGTGCCGTGGTCCCAGCCCTGCTGGAGTTCAGTGGCTGCAGCCTCTTCGAAACGTCTGCGGATATCGAGGTCTTTCTCGTATTCTTGGAAGATGTCGACGTCTGTAGGGAAGAAGAGGGCACGCAGGGTGCTGACTGTCATCTCGAGCATGATTACCGACATGGCAGTGATGAGGAGGACGGCCCAGAACAGGAGGTTCAGGCCGACGTGGTGGATGAAGTTGCCGGGGACGTCGTAAACTCCCTTTCCGGAGCTGAGCTTGTATTTTTTGGATAGGATCATGTTCCACATGAACCAGCCGCCGATGGAGATGATGAGCACAATGAGGTTCAGGTAGGTCTTGTTGTGGACTTCCAAGACCTGGAGTTTGATGTTGATGACCACTACACAGGTAGTGAAGGTGAGCAGGCCCAGGGCGAAGGTATCAATGTCGCTGATATTGATTTGAATCATTCCGAACAGGCTGTACATGGTGAAGAAAATGATTACTGCCTCGCAGGCAGCCATCAAAGACCAGCCGAACCACATTCGAATATTGAATCCGCCGTTCCGTTGACCCTTGGTGTATAGTTCAGGTACAGCCAAAAGAGTCGACGCAGCAAGATCCTTGCTGAAAATGCCCAAGAATATGACCGAAAGAGAAGTGAAGAGCGTATTGAACATACTCAAACTCCATGACTCGTAAAGACTGGTTCCAGTGTATCCATTCCAGTGCTGGTAAAGCGCCTGCGTCAGGTAGAAAAGCATTTCTTTCCAGAAAGTACCAAGTGTGTACTTGCATGCACGCATGTAATTCCAGCGACCATGGACCAAGAGAAGTTTCTGCAAGAATCGGAACTGGCCAATGGAGTAGTCCGAAATGCGAGCAGCCTGAAGACCTTCTTTGCCGGCAATACCAATGCCAACATGCGCTTCTTGGATCATGGCAATATCGTTGGCACCATCTCCAATAGCGAGAGTGATGGCGTCATCGAGATGGGTGCGAATGGTCTTGACAAGGAACGCCTTCTGCTTGGGACTCGCACGGCAGCAAATCACCGAGTCCACGCGAATTGCCAACTGGAAGAAGCGCTTTCGCACAACCTCATCTTCCTCGATTGTCGCCAGGGTCTGTCCATCAACCACTACCACGGAATGAGCGACGCGACCTTGAAGAATCTCAGTGGTCAGATCAATGATCGTCTGTTCAACATTGCCATTGAGTCGATCCAAGATCGTCAACTTCGAGTAATCTCTGACTAGACGGCAGGCATGGCCAACGTTGATGGCAGTTTCGCGCTTGTCGCCTGTCAGCATCCACAATTTGATGTTGGCACGTCGCAGCTTGTCGATGGTCTCCGGGACTCCCTTCTGTAATTTATCTTCAATGGCAGTAGCACCCGTCAACTCCAGCTGCTGTTCGATCCGCTCGCCAACCTCTTCCATCTTCTCCTGTCGGTCAATGATACTGGTGGAGGCATCGTTGTACGCAGCCTTCCAGGTCTTGTAGGTAGTCTCGTCCAGGAAACGGTGGCCGTAGAGTAGGGTACGCAGTCCGTCAGTCGCAAAGTCGTTCAGGTGCTGGAAGCACCGCTCAAAGATAGCGGATTCATTCACCACGAGTGCTTCTTCGACAAGATCCTCATCTTCCTCACCATTCGTGGAGCTACCAGAGTCCGAGACCGCCAGAGAGTTTCTTCCCATCGACATCTGCGCCGAGGGCCGAGGGGAATAGTATTCGCTATCAGCTTCACGGGTAGTGATACCACCGTCGGTCTCCCGATCACGCAACCAGACATCAATGCTAGCACGAAGAGTTGAAGTATGCTGACCAGAGACAGACGAACGTCGGCGAGTAAAGCTGGGCCGACTGAGACTGTTCCGAACACCACTATCCTTTCGACTGTTGTATTCACTGTTTCGGCGAATGACATGGTTTGCTTCGGCAGCCTTGCGCTTGCTAGTACGGCGGGCGATCTCCTGCGACTTCTCCTGTGCCAGGTCGGCACGCTTGAGCAGACGCATCAAGGATGTATCGGCACCCTTGCAGAACAGACAGATTCGCTGGTCGGGCATGCGCACCACAATAGACATACGCTTCCGTGCACTCGAGAATTCAATGACATCCAAAATCTGGTATGTTTCTTCGCTGGCTGCTTCATCGGGGCCGTTTGGATATGTGCGAATTGTCAAGCTATTCGGCTGTCGGTCCATCACCAGGTATCCCAGTTCTTTAGCCGCCAGAACCAGGGCAAGCTCATCGGGGGAGGCAGCCTGGAAGGTATAATCGCCCGTGTCGTCCTTCTCGGGAATACAGGTGTGACAAAGCGCCATAGCCAAGATGAAGAGCTTGGCCTTTCGGGCAAATATCGTAAATGGCTTGCGTTGAATGTACTCAATCATCTCGGTTGTGCGGTAAGGGGTGGAGCGGCGCAGCACGTCGGTAGCGGACACATTAGACGGACGAGGCATGCGGACCTCGGAGACGTTGGACTTGCGTCCAATGGCTTTCTTGCCTTTGATGGTTCGCTTCTTGTGAAAGAGTTTATCGCCTTCGCGAGCAGCTTCCTCCTGGAGATCCGAGTCGTGTAACCAAGCCGTTCCAGCAACACTAATCTTACGGAAACGCATGGAGTTGTTTGTCAAGGTACCGGTTTTGTCGGAGAAAATGTAGCTGATTTGACCCAATTCTTCGTTGATGGTGGATGTTCGTGCCTCGAGAGGTGTGTCGGTTTCGGGGTCGTACATGTCGATATCGTTGAGGAGGAACATTTGCACAACCTTCACGATCTCCATACTTACGTAAAGTGAGATGGGGATCATAGTGTTGTACATGATAAGGTAGGCAGTGAAGACTGGACCGTAAGCCACGCTGGCGTTCTTAAGATACCAGGAGTGTTTCTCAACATCCTCCGACCAGAAGCGGTAGCAGACCGTGCAAACCACAGCCATGATGACGACGATGCACACAATCAACATGACGACGCGGTTGACTTTGGCCTGGAGAGCAGGTTTTTTGATGCGGGGGTTCTTGTTGGAGTTCATCCGGATCTTGCATTCTTCACCGGTATAGATCACCATACCGAGGGCGCGATCGGTATTACGCAGAATACTTCCACGGTAGACAATCTCGTTGTTGGTCAAAGGCAGCCTCTCCTGTCCATTGACAGTGACATGACCATCAAATTTGTAAAGATCCAAGTTGGGGTCTTCAACGACGAAATGAAGCTGGTTTCGGGTAATTTCTTCCTCCGTGGAACATGCTTTGGCCACCGGTTGACAGGGTGCTTTGTTCTTCAAATTGGTCTCTCCGTCCAAAGCCATGGTCTCGATGAAAGCGACGCCGTTGGGACCGTTGGCATGCAGCAAAGCAATATCGGCAGGAACAGGCTGATCACGCTCCAGTTTGATGACATCTCCGACTCGAATATCTTGCCACTTGATCTGAACCCAATCAAAGTAGCCATTGGCCACTGCTGTGCCTTCTGTTTCCCCATCAGTGATTCCATCTGTGGACCGAAGCACAGACGCATAGCTATTGTTCTCTTCCTTGTCGAGACGATATCTGCGCCAGTCATCAAACCCTTCCTTGCCCATGGAGATACCAACGAAAATCAAAAGCGGAACAATGGTCGTGTAGGTACCAGTAGTACTCAGGCCAGGGATCATTTGCAAGATGGCCACAATGAGGAAGTAGAAATTGGCCAATTTGGTGAACTGCGCAAACAGCTGGCGAGGGAAAAAACTCCAAAAGCTGTAGCGGCTCGATCGAATCCAGTTCTCAATATAGGGTTTCCCCGTGCGCTCATCAAGATAAGTGTCTACCAAAGCCGGGTTCAAATCGATGTGGCGACCGTTCTCTGTCGGCGGGATTTCCTTAATACGCAAAATGAAATGTTGAACTTTGGTCAGGAAAGCATCAAAGCGAGCCGAAAGCACAGCCATCTCTGCTTTCTTGCTCGACCATTTCTCCTGCGCGATTCCGATATAATGATCCTTTTCAGAGCCACTCCCAGAATGATCGGATGAAAAGTACGTCGAGGTCGCTCCTTTGTCTGATTCGAGAGTTGCGGTCGGCTCGACGATAAATTCGTTCTTCTCATCCACTTTTTCTTCCACGGTGCTAGGTATCACGGGGGTAACAGGAACAGGGCCCTCTTCCCGGACCGGACTCGTTGAGGACTTGATCTCTCCCAGCTCCGCCGCGTCCGCATCATCTTGCGACAAGATATTCCTGTTGAACAGAGACCGGCGCAAGGAATATCCACGATTTCGCGAGCGAGATCGACCATTGGAGTCTGTACCGGGTGGGGATATCGGGGAAAGTGAGGCTCCGGGGTTGGGGCCGGGGTTGGCATTGTTGGAATTGGGGGAGAGTGGAGAGATGGGCGAGCGTGCTCCGTTCTGAACAATTGGAGGCGCCAGCGCCGTGTCAATTGTCAGGCCGCGGGAGCCAGGGCGTCGGTCGGTGTTATGGAGGGCATCGCGCTGTTCTTCTGCGGCAGGAGGTTCGAGATCGGTGGAGAATCGTACATGTTGGAAGGAACGGCGACCCGAGTCGGACATGGTACGCGACGAAAGGAGCGACGGTCGCTGCACGGCGTCCTGTGACTGTCGAGAGCCCTCGGTTGGCTCATCATTGTTGGTGGACATGACGGGGAATGTGAGATCGTGCCTGCGCGGGATCGAAGATCGTTTACCTCACAGGGTTTCGATCGTCCTCTTTGGATTTTTCCCTTCCTTCGCGGGAGATTTCCGAGTGTCTTCTGTTCGTTGGTTTTATCTGTAGTTTTGGATTGTAGAAATTGGCTGATTGTAAGAACTAGTGGTGTTCAAATAATCAATCATTTCTCTTCTCTTATCTCTGTCACTTTCTCAGCGCATGGTTTGAGAGTTGCCTAATCTTGCGATGTCGGACTGAGGGCAGGTAGGTATGACGGCGCGGGAGATGTCGCGCAACTTCAACGAAAGAAAAGACAACCAAGTCACAATAGGTCAAGGGTCACTACGAGCAAATAGTGGCCATTGAGTGTTGTTTTGTTGTCTTGGAAAAGAGCGAGGACGTGTTGACAAGAGAGGCAACGCAAGACCGGATGCGGCAACACCAAAAGCGGTTTAAGGCCACGCTAAATGAACCGAAAAGAAAGTAGAAATTAAGTTATCGAGGGCGAAAAGCAGAAAAAAACAGAAAAAGCAGAAAACTGGGACCATTTCCCTGTCAGAAAAAGTTAAGAAAAAGCGACGTCCAGATTCGTGGTACACAAAGGATCCACAAAGTACGCGCAATGGATGGTTGCATCTACCATGTGCCTTTTACAGGAACTCAGCCACCGAATCCCCTCCCACTCTCCAATTCACTGGCGTTTTGCCATCCGCAACCATGGATCTCACCTGCATCCAGATGTCTCTGGCCATACAAATGTTCCCCGCCCCTCAGAGCCTAGGAGTTCTTAATTTAAACCCTGTGGCAACATTCAACTTCTAACACCCACTCTCTTTCTTTACCTCTACTCCATACTAACTTTATACTCAACCGGTGGTACTTGCTGCTTACCTTTTCCTGCATCTTTTCTTCTTTTCTTCTTTTCTTTTTTTTCTATCTAAGCCCTGGTGGGGGTCACTGCCGTCATAAGTGAGAATTTCCTTGGTCAAAAGGGGCTGATCGCTCCGTTCTTGGGGTTGGCTCGTTGGGGGAACTAGTGTATAGGCCGTGGTCACTAGGACAAGACGAATTTAGCCCAATCTACATATTTCCCCTCCAACAGATGCTCCGTGCGTGCGCACGATCGCAGCTTCAAGTTTATGTTGATGTTTTAACCAAAAAAAAAAAAAGAAAAGAAAAGAATTAAGAAAACTACTGCAATGATATTCCGGTTAAATGTTACTCAAGAAAACCGTTCCATCGTTAGCCCCAGTTTCCTACCATTCTGATTCGACCTGGCAGGCATCGGCAAATTGTGGGGGAAAAGAGTGGAAAAATTCGAGAACGCGCCAAGAACAAATAAAAAGTGGATATGACGTCACGCTGCACGCCTAGTAACGACGAGGTGGTGGCGGGTAACCACTGCCGCCTCCAGAGGGATATCCATAGCCCTGGGGCTGTCCATACGGAGATCCACGACTGGCGCCTGAATATGGGGGCTGTTGCTGCTGCTGCTGCTGCTGTTGTTGAGGCGCCTGACCATAGCCGGGCTGGGGGCTGTACGAGCTCTGGGGTGGTCCAGATTGATATCCAGATGGTGGGGCCCCATACCCAGGCTGACCGCCAGATGGGGGTTGATTATATCCACCACCATATGAAGCCTGGGGTTGGGGAGGTCGGGCACCGGCACTCTTCTCATCCTTGGTGTCGTATGATGAGTCGATCGCACCGAGCATCAACTTGGCGCACTGCAAGAAATAATTAGCATGCCTGGGGTATCAAGAAAGTACAAAGGGTGAACAAACCCAAAGCTCCCGAGTCAGATGCACTGGAGGGTTGGCACGCGACATTTCATCCTGTTCTACTTCGAAGTCTATGATAGCAACGTTAATACCCTCAAAGGGTCAATGTGAAATCATGGAACGCTTACTCGACGTGCAATCAATCAGATTACCAATCTCGGGATCCTCATCCAGATCGCCCAGGAACTCACGCGCCCGCTGGTCATTACCGACCTGTGAGAATTGGAACGAGACCGCACCCCGGCCGTAACGGGTGCGCGAAGTCTCGTCAACAGCGTGGCGGATAGCGTCATGGACCATGCTGTGCGGCTCACCAGCAGGCTGACCATCGGTGATGGTAATCACCAACACTGGCTTCTCAAGACGACCTGCACGGGCGGGACCCACAACCATGGGGTCAATGACTTTGCTCTTCAAGCTGGTGCCAAGAGGGGTCAATCCCGAGAAACGAACACGAGAGACCAGCGCATTGACGTCGTTCGCATTGCGAATTCCATCCCCAGACTCTGAAGAGTTCATGAATCGCACGGAGATACCATCTTCATCAAAGGTGGCGGCTGCAGTAGCCACGACTCCAAGAATCTGACGGAGCTGATCCTTTCGCAGTCCCTTCTCTTCAAACTCGATCGATCCACTGTCATCCACGTAGAGAATGACATCAAACAGAGCCAGCTTCATCACGTCCGTGGCCACTTCCATGGGCACATTCCATTCATGGATCAAATTCTGGAGCTTGGCTGGAGCATTGCTAGCCAGGGATTGCACCACTCGGTCCAGACGCTCAGGAGGGTAGAAGCTTTGGAGATTCTTCTCCTGAATGGTGCTGATCAGCAGCTGGCGATACGCTGAGACCTGTTGTTGGGTAGGCGGGGCAGCCTGTGGAGGACCACCGCCGGGCGCGCCATACTGTCCAGGCGGGCCAGGTGAAGGTCCAGGGCGGCCCTGAGCCTGGCCACCTGGGTATGGAGCTCCCTGGGGTGGGTAAGATCCCTGGTTCTATTCTTCAGTCAGCACTGATCTCAATCCAAAAAGCAGGTGAATTCCACGAAGACGCCGGTGCAGATACACGTAAGCACAACGTAACACAGATAACACAAATAACAGGAAACACATGGGGCGCATATGTACATAGGCAGGTTGTTGTCCAGGTTGAGCCTGTTGCTGTCCGGAGTAAGGTTGCTGTTGTCCAGGGTAGGCCTGCTGTTGCCCAGGGTAAGACGGTTGCTGTCCAGGGTACGCCGGTGCCGGTGCCTGCTGCCAGGAAGGTTGTTGTGGGTCGCGCGAGTGGGAAGACTGTTGCATTGGCTGCTGCTGTGCAGGATAAGGGGGCTGCTGTCCCGGGTATGGAGATTGTTGTCCAGGGTACGGCGATCCCGAAGATCCATAGGGCTGGCCAGTGGGCGGCGGCGGCGGAGGACGTGCATAACCCTGCTGGGTAGATGCGGGGTAAGGTGAAGAAGGCTGCTGCGGAGGTGGCCTGGAATACGCTGTCGCTGCTGGGGGAGGAGTTTGATAAGGCTGATTTTGTTGAGCAGGTGAGCCGCGGTACGTGGAATAGCCGGCGCCCTGTTGATGATAGTAGGGATTCGACATGTTGGCGATGGTTGAAAGTTGTAGCCCGAGGGGACCCGCGTTGGAGGGGTAAATCGAGGGGAAAGGACAACAAACAAAACAAAAAGCAAAGGCGGAAAGATTTTTGAAGGGAAGGTGTTTAATGGAAAGAACAAAAATCACAAAGAGACGCTTACCGATCCTTGATTAGGAGGTGGGGACCCTGCATAAGCCTGGTATTGCGGTTGTTGTGGTTGTTGTTGTTGCGGCTGTTTTTTTTTTCTTCAGTCAGTACATGCATAACATGTTGGCCACATTGCGGGGATGACGTCGAGTTGTTCACTCTCGCAGCTGATCAGACTTACGTATCCACCAGGTCGCAGTGCTGCAGGTGGTCCTCCAGTGTATCCTGCTGGCGGTGCACCACCGTAGGTGCCTTGATTACCAGACACTGGCATGTTTTGACCTTGACCTTGACTTTGGCCTTGGGGGTTCTGAGTCTGATTGTTCTGGGCCGCGGCGATCTTAGAAGCGAACTAAGTACGAAATCTGTCAGAGCTGTGGTTAGACGGGGATAAAATACCAGAGCACTTACACCCATATCTGAGATCAAAAACAAGATAAGTGTGAAGGTTGAGTTGTTGGAAGGGTAGAGAAATTCAAGTCAGCCGATGACATGACGTGCCACACCAAATTGGGGAAGGCTTGAGGCTGAGCAAGTGTCCACCTGTAGAAATCAGTGATGGATTCAGTGTGGGGTACACAACCAGTTGGGTATGCAATGCAAAATCTATTGAAACACTTGTGTATCAGTTTGAATATTGGGCTATTATTTCATTTAGGTGAACAAGAACATTGAACATTTGAATATAGTTACTAGTATGCACTTTGAGGCTATTCCCGAGGTCGGGATATACTGGTTCAAGTTGGTATCGACTATACAGTATACTCATCCTTCATACAGGAAGTCCTACTATCTTCCTTCACTGAAATTGTCGAACTTGACCCAGAGGGTGAAAAAAATGTAATTTTCACTCATACTAGTATGTATAGTTCTAGTACTAACCCCCGTGACTGATTGGTCCTCCAATCAGATTGTCCAGTTGCTCCGATGTCTTAATGATGCATTATGCTGCCAACTTCTTGGATCATTCTTGATTACATTCAATGTTCTGTGCATGTTGATTTGAAGGCTGTTTCGGTTTTCTCTCTTTTCTTTTTTTTTTCTCTGTCAGTATAATGACTATCTCGTTACATGATGTATATGTCCCTTTACGTATGATCCAGTGGCAAGACACGTCATCTACATGTTCATCTACATGTTCATTGTTGTACATGTAGCTCCATACGATCACTTTGGATGCTGCAATAATAAAATGAACGACTTAGAAAACAAGGCAATGACTGAGATCTAATGTCGATCTCGTTCGTGAAAACGTAACTTGTTCCAAAAATTTTGATTCTTTTTTGTCTTTTCAAATGTTACATAGCCTTTACATGGCATCTTCCCTGAGGTAAAGTAAGTGGATGCCTAATGCAATCTTTTCCACTTCAATTATAACTCAGGTACTATAGATCAAGGTCGATTTGAATTGGATGAGTATTTCGATGTTAGTATATTTAGTAACTATGCAAACTCCAAACTCTATACAAATTCGAACTCTACTAGGCTTTGTACAGATGAGATGTTTCTGTTATTGCATTTCATTTTTAATGATGCCCAGGTGCCTATGAAATCCACGTACTCCACTCCATTGGCCCATTTTCTCCCTGCATTCTTTTACCAACCAATTCGCTTTTCTAATATCACATCGTGCAAGATCGACGCAAGGGTAGCTTTCACTCCGATTTCCCGGATTTGACGGATCGGCCCCAAAGAAGGATTCCCCTCAACCATGGCTACATTCTACCATTCTACCATTGATTGGAAGCCGCCATCCGACTTGGTGACTCCCCTGAACTGCTGACCTGAAAGAGATTGAAGGCACTGATGTCACTAGCAGGCATGTTGGAATGGCTAACCTGTTCATTTGAATAGCATTCTTTTCTGATTCATCAGCATCTCAGCATGTATAAGAGTCCACGCCCCGTACCTTGGTCTTAATCAAATCTATATTTACTTTTGTGGTAAATCTAGATCTATGAAATCGGGTACACAACAAATTTCCAGGTTCTCTTCATACTTCAGACACCTCACATCACTTTCGTCCAAGCTGAACTTACTATATCACCCTCCTTCCTTCCCTTCTCGCTTCCCTCTTTCCTTTCGTCGCATTTCCGTCACCATTTTCGTCTCCAACTAAACCTTGAACCACCCTTTCATACATCCTTCCAGTCAATATCTACTGCGATCATGTCGATTCTCCGCCTAGGCATCCTAGGCGCATCAGAAAATGTCCAAACGATCATCATCCCAATCCTCGCCAGCCCAGCTCTCAAAACCCTATTCAATCCCATCATCATCTACGCTGCAAGCGAAGGCACTGCAAAGCAATGCCAAGCAGAGTTTAATATCTCCGAATACACCACCAACGCTTCAGAAGTCATATCCCACCCAGAAGTAGACGTGGTGCTGAACCTCCTCCCCTTCGAATACCACGAAGAATACACCATCGACGCTCTCAGGACCGGTAAACATGTCATGGTCGAGGTCCCACTCACCATGAGCATCCCCGCCCTACACCGCATCCGCAAAGCAATCGGCGAAGGCAAGGCCTACCGTTCAGGCCTTGCTAACAACACCGCCCTAGGCCCGCCAAAGATTTTCGTCGGTTGCGCCCGTCGCTACGCACCTTGCTTTGTCGATGTCTTTAAACAGGAACTCGCCAGCCTGGACCGCGTGTACTATGCACGGTGCCGCAATATCTCGGGTCCCTTGCGTGTCCCTACCCCCGAGCACCCACCAGCCGCCAGGACAAACGGAAACGGGACTGTTTCCAACGGCATGACCAACGGACATACTAATGGCAATGGTACTGTGAACGGATACACCGATTGCAACGCTACCAACTGCACCTACGTTGCTGATAACGTAACGCCAGTCACAAGCGACCAGCGCTTCAACGCCCTCCTAGGCGGCATCTTCAATGATGAAGACCTCACGCCCGAGCGCGCGGCTTTCTGTCGCTTCCTTGGCGGCATGGGCTGCCATGATCTCTCCCTGATGCGCGAGTCACTGGGACTCCCCGACGCAGTCGCCAACGTATCGATCACAGACCCGTTCTACTCCGCGATCTTCCACTACGAGGATTCACTCGGTATCTGTGCCTCTTCGGGTGAGGCGCACCCGTTCACCGTGCTGTATGAAACGGGCGTGGACTCTGTCCCACGAAGCGACGCGCATCTCACTGTTTATGGAGCGACGAAGACGATTTCTGTCGAATATGATTTCCCCATTTCGGCGGAACTGGCGGCCAATGCGGGGGCGGGGGCAGGACAAATTAAGGTTGTTGTTGAAGAAAGGGAGCTTGGTAATGGCAAAGAAAATATGAATGGGAATGGGAATGGGAATGGGAATGGATATTGCGATGGATTCGGCTCTCATCCTCGCGTTAAGAGAACTGAGTTTGTTAGCTCAATTGCTGAAGCGTATGAGCGACAGTTCCGGGTTATGCACAACTATCTTACTGATGGGGATTCTGCGGGGACTGGATTTGAGCCCAAGACGACGACAAATGATGCGGTGATGGATCTGCGGTTGCTCAATATGATCTTTGCCCATTATGATCGGCAGTGTGGGACAATTCGGACTCCTTTGGGTTGAATAAAAGTGGTGTTTTTGAGCGTTCGGGTTCTGGTTTTGCTTATCTTGTGAATGGTATACCCATGGCTCAGTGCACGATTTTCATCGAGGGCTCAGCCTCGGATCGTGTATGTATGCAAAAGCTGTTCGTCTTTCGTCTTTCGTCTTTCTATTTTTTTCTTTTCTTTTCTTCTACCGGCATCAGAATGATAGCAATTAGCGACGATTTTATGATATGCAAGATGGCAATTACACCCTAATTCGATTTGGAGTTTTTGATCTCATCTTTTTCATGCACAAATACCATAGATATAAGTTTGCTGCAACCAGCAATGCATTGTACCCTAAAGGTAACCCCAGATATGATATCGATACAACTAACGCTTCCCCTTCTTCTTCTTATTCTTGTTACCACCTACTACTACGGGAGCACTCTGCTGCTGCGAAGCAGGCTCGCCGAGCTTCTCAGACACAACACCACCCTGTGTACGTTCCGCGGCACGCTGCTTCCCCTTCCGGCCCTTGGGTCTGTATGAGGATCGGTCACGCAGCGGCAACCAGCGTTCCGGATCGGCCTTCTTCGCAGGGTCAAAGTCCTTGGGTAGACGAGATTTGCGTACCCGCTTTGTGGCACGGTCCTCCTTGCCTGTCGCGGTGCGCTTACGGGCCCCAGCGAATGCAGCCGCGGCAGCGGCAGATGTGGCCGAAGGAGCAATACCGGCTGACTCCAGGGCAGAGATGTCAATCTCAGCGATTAAATCATTGACGGCTGGCAGTTGGTTAAGCTGCGATTCCACTTGGGAGTAGTCCGAGGTGGCCTTTGAGGCGACGTATCCAGCAATGGCAGCACGGTCGTTCGAATCTTGTTGGTATAGAGACTTGAACAGATCACCTGCTGTGGCCAGATCGGCTGGACTGTCGGAGTGGAGAAGGGACTTTGCTGCAGCACGTAGGAGAGAGGTAGGAGCCTCGGGCTTGTTGCGCCAGTGAGCGGCGGCTTGTGCGAGAAGTGAGCGAATCTGGAGCTTTCGGCCCTCAAGCTGGTACAGAGATACGAGCATACTGAGGAGACCGGGGTTGAAGCGGGCATCTTGATCGGCCTCGGAGATGGATTCTTCCAGGCTCTTAAGTGAACGCTCGACGGCTGTGATGGCGGAGGTGGTGTTGCCAGCATTGACGTACAACTGGACGACAGTCAAAAGAAGACCCAGGTCCTTAGGTCGGCGTTCCAGCAAAGGGAGAATTTGCTTCAGGCCCTTAGAGCCGGTCTCTCCCTGTGCATGGGCTGCGGCGTTGTAGACGGAGAGAAGGTTTGTGCTAGCTTCGGTGGAGGGGCAAGGGCTTTTTGAGATGCCCTTGGCTGTTGATCGAATCATACCATCGTATTTTTGGACGAGAAGATTCGTTGCGTGTGAGTTGCCGGTCAAAGTATTGTCCTGGAAAGCGAACAAACGGTCGTTGTTCGTAGCATCGGGGGTTTCATGGAGTGCCTTATACAACAAGTACGGGTTGACTGCAGTCTTGCGGGCGAGGACGATGTTGTTTCGAGCAATTTTCTTTGTGGAGAGTTCAGGAATGCTAATAAAGAAAGATTAGTTTTCATCTCTCGATCCACGTAAGCAGCTTTGACATACTCCTCCACCGATATTTCTTTAAGAAGAGACTCGGCCTCCTCTGTCTTGCCTTGCCGAATCAAGACATAGAGGTATTGCACCGCGATCGGAAGCAACTCTGCAACTCTATCTTCAGGGGAAAGTTCTTCTGACGTTTGGCAGATATCTGGAGGAACGTCAGTCTTCAATTCCAACAACAGTGCAAGAAATAAACCCACTCTTCGCCCGATTCAAGAGCACTTCTCCTTGAGCAAATTGTCCCTTGGCAATGTTCAAGCAAGCGGCGTTGTACGCTGTTTCAAAAGACTCCAAATCCTCTCTCGATGGCCGCTCATGGCGTACATGTTCTGGCTCTCCATGCCACTGCAGCTGGGCATCAGTAGCCCATGAGTTGATACTCAAATCATTCTCTTCTCCGTGGTTTGACTCCTTAGACAGATTCTCATAGATATCGGCGGCGCGACGGAATTTCTCAGCGCGGTAGCTCTAAATCGAAAGTAAATGTCAGCGTTTAGCCAATGAGTTGTTCAGATTAAGAAGTGATGCATCATACCACTTGAGCCTCGAGGTGACTAGCACCTCTGCTGGCACTGGCCTGGGTCACAGCAGCCATTGCCTCCTCCAGCCTAGCGCATTTGTAGAGCGCATACGCATGTTCCAGGCCGGCTTGCTTCTTAAGAGCATCGCCTCCGGCCTCCAACACACGCAGAGCATCTTCGTATCGGTCGAGCTTCAATAGTGCAATAACTTTGATATGTTGGGTGTTCAGGTCGGATTTGGACTTGGTGAGAGCTGCATTGCAGGACTGGAGGACCTCTTCGTGATCGTCAATCGATGCCTGCTGCAATAGCGAGCTTAGCGACTGCGCAACCATAACGGGTTTGCGCGGGGGGTAACGGGGATTCCGGTGGAATTGAAAAGGTCTGGTATTGTCTCCACAAGGAGGTTCAAGTGATCAGAGTTCGGGGGCTAGACAATCCAATTCGATATGTTGTCTGATCCACCTCCACAAGACCAGAGTGTGCGGAAATGGTGTTTCCCCATTTGGAAGTCCTGCGTAGTGGGGTTGAACACCCCGCCGTATATATCACGTGATACGGTTTCATAAACTTAAGCCCAAGGGAAGTTGTGTTTTTCCAACAACCAAAATTTGTGGATAAGTAGCTCTATTCCAAGGCTGTCGTTTGGAATAGATCAAAATCATTATTGGCCTTGCAATGCTCCCGGGTTCGACTTAAGACATGTTCTAGTAGCATTTTGTGCACTGCAGTCTGCCTCGGCTCTTCGTACGCAGTTCACTTTGGTATAATTTTAGATAAAGACATATCTGATGTGAATCAATTGAGATTTGAATAGTTCTCGAGAATACGACTGTAAAGGCGTAGCGTCCAAGCCTTAACCAACTTGAAGGCATCAATACTTATCTACTAGTAGGTAATAAGTGGGGCCAATACGACCGTGAGGTCCGTGACACTCCTGATGTTGGATTTTTTCAGACCAGTATTCATAACTACATGTAAATGAAATGGTGGAACAGAAAAGATCAATCGATCGATCACAGTTGATAACATGAGTGAATACTAGTAGTTACATACTTTTGGCTCAGCGATGTGATCTGTGTACCTGCAGCCTCCCTGTTAGGGGTTGACTTTAAAAGTAGATTGCTGACATCGAATTCCAGGTCTAGATCTTTGACTACAATAAACACCAAAGAGTCAAATTGGCCGAGTAATTTATATCAACATAAATAATCGAACCCACCTGCCGGCTATAGAGACCCTGTATGTGCATCAAGAAGGCTGTGCACACTTCATTCTTAAGGGGCCAGACTGGGGCCGGCCAATGTATCCACCCCAATGGCCCACGATGGTCATGCTAGTGCAAGTTAAGCGGGTTGAACTAATAACTAACATACTCCATAAAGACCCTGAAAATCTTGCCTTCTACATAAATCCCCAGGGAGAATTACATTCATCCCGTGGGAAGCTTTAGCGACAACATTGATAATTAAGCATCTGGGATTCGAGAGTAGAGTAGATCATCGACAGGGGGTGATCGCCATGTCTATTCACCCAATGTTCCCTGGGAAAATGTTATAGCCGGGAATCTCAAGGGTCTTTACTCTGGACAAAGAATCTCTCGGCTTTAGCAGGAATTTGGCGTGTTCCGGTCGGGCATGCACAATAATCCGCAACACAACCCTCGTCGCAAAGTCGGATGACCATCGTTAGCCATGGCATGGATCCTTCAAGATAAGTACACAGACACCTGCACCACACAGACCATATCCAAGCAAGGCAGTGGTCTACAATGACGCGTGGACGTGGAGACTCCGTGCGGAAGACGGCGAGTCAGGGACCATCGTTGTCTCGGAAGTCTTGGCATAGCATTGAGGAGATCTGAAGCGCCAATCCGCGTGCAGGATGGCTTCCGATTGCTGTCTGGTCTCCTTTGAAAAAGAACGATAACCTGTAAATCCAAGAGCTTGGCTGTGGCACTTGGTACTGTTATGTAATTGGACTCAAGTCCAAAAGGACAAAAGGACTTGAGAGCTCAAGAAAGATAACAGAGAGAAGAAAAAGAAAAATCCACAACACGTGAGGAGAGCGACGTCATCAGGTCGAATGGCTTGATTCGGTAAAGAAAATATGCAAAAATCCCCCCAAAAATCCCAAAACGCCCCCCCTTAATGGCAATTAAACTTGCCTCTTTTGGGGAAACCATGGAACCACGATCGTCCCCCTGTGCCGTCTTTCACTACCGTAGAACCCGGTTAGATTTTTGCTTCTCTCTCTATCACCTCTCTCCTGTTCTCGTATATATTCTACACCTACTCTGTAGGACCCTTGTTGTCATTCCGCGCGTGTTCTCCGCAATGTGGATGCTAAACCGGTGACTCTTTACCCCAAATTGCTTCGTACGAAGATAGGAATCCCCGGACTCCCGAATCCCCGAATACCCCCCACACGAAAACGCGAAAAACCATACCTCCACGGACTCTGAAAGGAGGTGAATTATATAAGAGATGTTATTCCAATCACGCGAAGGCTTAATTCCGGCCTCTTGGGCCTGGAAGAAAATGATGCGATTCGTTATCATTTTTCTTGCCATCGCAACATTCGCCGTTATATTATGGCCCTCCTCCGGTAGCGTCAGCCTTCCATTGCACGCCCAATCCAACATCACCATCTCTTCGAAAGTCAAATGTGACCCCGATGTTGATAGGTTACGAAGAATGGACGTCGCCAAATTGGCCAAATACACCCGGCGCGAAATTATCGCTGAATTCTCTCTGGACGATTTGCCCATGACCCAGCAGGTTGACTTACCCATGATGGACCAGAAGGTGAACCCTCCCAAGCCGGGAGCGACACCGGGCGCCATGGACGGCTGCACTGTTCCCACCCCCTTGACCATCACCGTCCCTCAACCCCCAAAGCTTCCGGACGCATCGCACATCGACTTTGGAGTCGCGACCACCGTCTCCCGATTGAACGAGTCCCTGGATCAATTCGTGCACTGGGCTGGCTACACACGCACGCGAATCTTTGCGCTGATCGAGCCCGATGAGTCTGGTCTTGGAGTTCAGAGTGTTCGCGCCAAAGCGGACGCAATGGGAATCAACCTCATTATTACAGAGGCGGAAGATGACTACCTGCACCGGTACTTTGCTTTGATTCCTCTGTTGGAGGCCAATCTGCGCGAGTCCACAAAGTGGGCCTGCATCATCGATGACGACACCTTTTTCCCCCTCGATGCCCGCACTAGTGGATGCGCTAGGCGCCTACGACCACACCAAGCCCATGTACATCGGCGGACTGTCAGAGGGTGTTCCGCAGATCGCGGTATTTGGCCTAATCGCGTTCGGAGGCGCAGGCGTCTTCTTGTCGCGACCATTGCTCTCGGATTTGACCGCTGTATATGACGAGTGTGAGCAAATGACTTTCACCGGTGACCGTCGTATTGCGCAGTGTATATACCAGTACACCACCACCCGCATGACGGTGGACCACCGTTTCCACCAGCTCGACCTGATGAGAGACGCTTCTGGATTCTTTGAGTCTGGTCGTGAGCTTCCGCTCTCCGTGCACCACTGGAAATCTTGGTTCCAGGCCGATATCCCCAAGCTCAGCGTCATTTCCGAGCTATGTGGACCCACTTGTCTGCTTCGCCGATGGAAGTTCAGCGATGGATGGATGTTGACCAATGGCTTCTCCGTTGTTAAGTATGGTTGGATGCCAGGGCCCAATGACCTCAGCATGGAAATGACATGGGAACCACACAACGGTGCCAACTCTGATTCCTACCTCCACGAGCTCGGCCCATTGCGTCACAAAGACGATGAGAAAGTGAGCTATCTGCTTGTGGACTCCGCTGTCGATGAGAACGGCGGCGTTTCTCAATGGTATATCAAACGCGATGCGAATGATGGCGATGAGATCCTGGAGCTCTCATGGCGGAAACAGCAGATTTAGGTTGGATACCCATGTACTAGACTTTTGTGTTATTTTCTGCTGTTCTATTTTTCTTGCATAGGCTTACTCGGCAACGGATGCTCGAGTGGCTTTTGGATCACCACGTCTCTTTTCCGGCCAGAAGCCCTTTCATTGGTTTCTTGCCTACTCTGCTTCATTTTTCTGGCGCTTGGTCCTGGGCATACCTGCCTTTTTGGTCTATAGACTGGTGTTTCACCTTTATACGTGTTTCATTTCTCCGTGGTAATATATGCCGGGGGGATATTCGCCCTAATGTGACAAGGAATATATGGATTTTGTGTTTTCTAAACTGTTTTGTATATAAATACATACGAATCCATAAGTAAATGATCTACAATGTTTCCAACACTAGAAAGAATATCTCCTCAAGTGCTGCTCAAATGTTTCCAAAGTTTCTCCAGCACTTGAGTGCATGCATAGTTGATACCTAAACTGATCTCTGTAGGTAGGTACCTACATAGTCATCTCCCTGCTTTCATATGTAAGGTTCAAATGTTCCCCATATATCCAAGGCAGCTAGCTACCTCGGAGACACCCATAGTTATCCATGGACGGTATGTCATCACGAGTACGAAAATCCGGTTTTTAACCTCCAGATGTCGGGAACGTCTGTAGTTATATGTGAATTTCAATGTTAGACAAGTAGGGCAATGAAATCTACGAGCCGGACATAGTTGAGGCCAAAAGAAATATGCTGTTATCAATACTACTTTGGTTCAAATGTTTCCAGAGGTCACATTGATGCATTGCTCACTATTGGTCTTTATCCCAATGTTGGCTTTTTTAGATTGCATCCTGGGTACTTCCAAGGTTGGCAAGTATTTAATGTTTATACATATCCGATCTTTTATGTAATACTCATTGATGTATACCTACTTGTCTGTTCAATGTTTCCAAGACTGGAAGGTTCAAATTATTATATCTGAGATAGGTGCACGTACACGGGCCAAAAAAATCAGGATACCGAACATTTGAACAACCTTGGAACACACCTGAGTAGCTATCAATTGATAGCACCAGTTGACTTCGAAATACATAGACGAGACCACATGTGCATGCTACAATTCCGTAAGGCCGGACTAGAGGTACCTACTAGGTACGTACTAGCGACCAATATTTGTAAATTCCGAAGTTACACACACGCAAGATAATTCACTTGATGAATATATGTATGGATCCAGATTCTACCTAAGCATTATGTTGACGGTTCTGCCAACATTGAATGTTGTCAATGTTTAACGTGTGTACCAATACCCGGATTCATCAAACATCAGAACCCCGTGATACGCTGTTTCTTACTATGCGCAGATATCGGGTCACGACGAATTCGTCATCTTTTCTTTGAAAGAGAAGGTAAACATCTTTGGTGTTATCGACGGATATCTGTCTAACCTTAAAAAATTCCACTGTGATACACGGAGATTTCATTGGAAGCTAATTGTAGTATAAAAAGTCTAGATAACGATTATCTGTGTCTTATTTTCCAGGTAAAGTTTGTGTTATCAAGGTTTAAATCAATGCTCCCACCTGCCAAAATAGGCATAGGCTGATATGATTTCATCTGTGCATGTGCAACGGTTCTGCAAAGTATGGACATCTGGAGTAATCAGCTACCCCCGCCTAGGTATATACCTACTACAATTAATTCAAGTTTCGGCAGATTATCAAGAAGTCCACGAGTGTCACCCTCCTGCAGATCTTCCGTCTCAACATATCTAGCTACATATGCACTCAATCTGACAGCCGTCGGTATCCGTCGGCAATTCCCACCTGGGCAACCCTTGGACCTCCCTCCATCAAGGCACAGATGTTGCAGCGGTAGGTGCGGCTGTATCAGAATCTTCCACCTGGGCCAAGTTCAAAGGATCATCGGAAGCATGGCATGCATGTGCACACGTGCTTGCAAGATTTGAGCCAACCTTGGAACATTCCAATGCTGATTATGCAGCAAGCCGATATATTGGTTTTCAACCTTGGTTCCCACAACCCCATACATACCAGGTATCTGGTGCCCTTCGACCCGTGCCCAGGTGAACTAACGATTTTCAAGCAATGAATGAATATATCTCCGAGCCGGGTTTAGCTCGATCAAACGCTCGGATGGATTTCGGATCAATTGATCGAATCATTTTTCAATGTAAGCGACGAGGCCGAGTAGCAAGCTCCACCTGGTGATTCTAACAACAAAGTGGGAAATGATCAAGGCCAGGTGGGAATCCGAGAAAGCCAAAAACGACATGATGAACATGTCCACTGCAGCCAGTGCGGAGCACAAGATAGCTCGAAAATGGCAGGTGAGATCCCCCTATGGCGTCGTCGGTGGCGGCATCTACCGCGCGAAACGCAGTAATTGCTTCATTTCCTTTTTTGCCTAGGACTATGATAGAACCGCTTAGCGCAGGGTGTGGACTCTTGAATGCCCACTTAGGGGGATCTCATGTCGCCCAAAAAGGAGATCATTCTCACCAAGAAAAATGCGTGAAATGAGCAGGTGTTGATCGATCCGAACTATTTATTTAGTTATTACGATGGGCCCGTAGACTAAGGAACCGCGTGGGCCAGTGCACGCGATTTCCCCAGTGACATCATGTGTTTTCCATTAAATAGAATTCAATCATTGGTCATAGCGCTGCCCGTTGGCTTGGTACCTTTTTTTTTCTCTCCTTTCTGTTCCCGGTTTCACCGTGGTTTCCAAAACCTTGGATTCAATTCTTTTCTTGGCTATACTGGAGATATTGGGCTTTAGAAAAAGTCTCCTGGAAATCAAACAGGTCGTTTTACAAAAGTCAGGGGTTACGACTCCTGTTCTACTAATAGAAATCTATGGAGCCTAGCGTGGACTTGATACACCAAGACACGTCTCAGCCACAACCATGTGGGAATGGCTCCGTGCTGGACAGCCAATGATCACCGTGTGGCCTTCAGCCATATCTGTGCTTCAGGAAATCAAGTAACGGCCTTTGATTAGGTGGAAGGCTATTGGTTGGACACGAACTTGAGACATATATCCGTCCTCTTGTGGGGGGAATCAAAATGGAAAATAAATAAAATAAAATAAAATAGCAAAGGTGGCGATAATCCCAGAAAAGGGCTTCATGGAAAGAGGCGGATAGCGGATGGCTGCAGCAGAAGCATAATCTCCGCAACTCGCCGCAGGTCCGGAGGAACTGGAAGGCGTCGTCACGGTCAGGGGTCAGAAGGATCAGCACAAAGCGTTGTCAATAAGAAAAGCAGAGTAGAGCAAGTAGACCAATGATAGCATAGTAGCATAGTTTACTAGTCACTTAATCATTCCCAGTCTTCCCAGTCTTCCCTTGGCTGCATGTACTCTTTGTCCCCCTTTCGGGCAGCTTATTTTTCTCTGCGGCAGGAGTCGGGCACTAAAGCTGATTATTTTCGAGTCTCTCTGGCCAACCAAAGGGGGAAATAAGAAAAACAGATTACGGAGTGAACAAAAAAAAAACACGAAAATAAAAAATCAAAAAAAATAAAGAAATAAAGAAATAAAGAAAAACAAGACTTCCGAAACTCGATGAATCATATTACCAAGGACAGAAATCGGATAGCCATTGAGATTGGAGGGCTCGGACCTCATTGTAGCCGTGCAGAATGGAGTCCAAGGCAAACGGGCGCTCCATTTTCACTTCCACGGCTTCCATGATCCTTCGAAATGCCTTCGAAATGCCTTCTGGAAGGCCGCCAGAAGGTCAGGAGAAGGCTTGGCAAGCCAATCCGGAGCGATCCTTCAGGCCGTCGTCCCCATCTGTGTGGCTATGGAGTGGAGCCTTGCGTAGAGGCTGAATCCGGCCGGAGCCCTCTAGTGGCCCCGGAAAGGAAAAGGGGCAAATGGATGAGACGGGGGGTAATTACCGATGCAGCTTCAGGGGTCTCCACCGCCATGGATCGTCGTCAAGAACCCGGATAGGGCTTTTCACGCCGGAGTTCCGAAGAAATGCAGAAAAGAAAGGGTCAAGAAGGAGAAGGAGATGAAGAAAGGGTGGGTTGTACAAGTCTAGGCTTTCCATGACCGTGTATAGGTGCAACGAGCCACACCGTGCCCCGTGTGTACTCCGCGTACAGTTCCTCATGAAAAGCGGGAAAGTGGAAAAGTGAGAAACTGCGAAGGGAAATACTTCCGAAAGATTCGAAACCTTCTAGAAGGAAGTACTAGCTCTGAATTAGCCTTCGCCCATGTTCGGGTAGCAATAGTGGGAACAGACTATCGAGATGGGAATCCCTTTTTCTCCAAAGCTTCTCCATTTGCACATCAAAAGTTTAGGGTTGACTCGTGTCGCACCATTCGAAAGAATGAAAATGAAAAATAAAAGGAAATAAAATAAAAATAAAAATAAAAATAAAAAAGGCATGAGAAAAGAGAGTTCCGGTTTCTTCCCCCTTTTTTATCTTTTTATCTGAATGTTTCTCAAGGACTCTATAACAACAAAAGCCTCATAAACAGTTCATCCAGCTATACATGTTACTTTTGGCTTAGGGGGCTAAAAGCTCGTATTGCTGTCATCCCCCTTGGACATCGGGGAGGAGGTCCACATCTGATCCCTCTCCAGAGTCTGCGTCATCTGAAGCCTCGATCCATAAACTTTGTTCTTGCATATTCGTTTCACACTAAAGTCCACGGAACAATGGAGGAAAAGACGATCTGTAGTCCGTAAGAATACTACTTAGAACAGTGCTCTATTACTACCAGTTGACGTAGAATTTCTGAATCAGATCGACATGACTATTTGCTATCCACTTCTTCTTCCATACCCGATGGAGTTTTTTTTTTTGTGAATATTATGTTTTTTTTTTTTTTTGCTGTACAGGAAAAAGCGCACGTTGTGGATCCGGGATGCTGACGGGCCTTCTGGTGCCGCCCTGTTTCCTTCTAGCGCACTTCGCTGGGAACTAGAGGAAACTAGTACGGGCCAAAGTCTATGGGCTACGATGCAGGGCCTTATTTCTTTATTGTTAATTCTTTTGGGAAAAAAGGGTTAGAGAAAAAAAAAAAGAGAAAAAAGGAGGTACAGAAGTTTATCATAATCATTCTTACAAAGATATTTGCTGTATAATTCAAGTACTCGAGGGGTTTTTGTCTATACAGAATGATATATGGACTTCTCACCTAAGATAGAAAAAAAAAAGATAAAAGATACAAAAAAAAAGCAATTACCAAAGCCAAAAACAAAAGGCATTAGATCGTAATGAAAACAAATTGCATCAAGTGGGACTTGAAGTAAATAATGATGTTATGCTCTCTTTCATTTCAACCTTTACTGAAGTGGCACCTACCACACCTAATATTAATCCATTAAACCTTTTCCCTTTTCCCTTCCCCTTTCTCGTTTACTTTTTATTCTTTGCTTTTCCCTTCCCTACATTCTTCATTTTGAGAAACATTTTTTCCAACCTTTCCTTCTCCCCATCTCCTCCTTTACGTGATTAACGTAAATAAGAAAGAAAAAAAAAAATCCCGTTCGTGTCCCTTGGATGACGTGACCCTTACAATCTCCCCTCGGTGCACACTGCGCTGGACACCCTCGTGCGCGCATTTGCTCCAACTTGCCTTGGGTATCAGCTTCGTCTTGATCCTGCTGGTTTTTGCCGTCTTTGGCGGCACCACACCCGCGTTACCGTTTCTCTTCCTTGATGGTCGAATATCGGAGGCCCGTGGACAAAGCCAGGGCAAGATTGGATCAAATGGGCAACACGGAGCCACCAATCCACCACTATCCATGAACTCTGAACTGACCGTGCTTATTTCTGATAGGATTACTACCCATTTCCCCCTCCCTTAACTACCTCCCCCTCACGACGATCTCCACCACCAATTATACCCTCCGCATCTAGCCGGTTACCTTGCCTGGTCTGAATTCCATCTCATCACGAAGTAGTCTCTGCACGAGACAAGACGACAATTACGATCTTTTATCCTTTGGAACCGGGAACCCGGCTCAAGTACAGAACCTCGAGAGTCGAGGCCCACATACGCAGGATCCACCAGTGAACGAACTTTGGCGGTTCCACTGTGAAACAGCATCAACATCTCGCTGAGATTCTTTCGAGGGAAAAAAACACGCGTCCATCCTTGCCTCTTCGCGTTTCCCTACAAACCCAACCAGGTCCACGATTGTGGAATCTACAGTCGGTTCACATCGAGAAACAAACCACTCATTCGGCCTTATCCTTATTTTCCGCGCAAATCCACCGACTCGGTGCATGACTCAGTAGTCATCAGTTCCTTGTCATCTTCGAATATACAGAAATCTGAACCGCACGGAAGGACGGTTGCACCAGAAAGGACGACCTTTGCGCTGTCCTTGACCTCGGTCTTTTTCAGCTGATCGGTGGGTCGGGTCATGGACTTCACGACTATCCTAAATCGGAAGAACTCTGCCGCCGCTGCCGCCGCCGCCGCAGAAGCACAATTACACCAACAATATCTTCAGGGTGCGCACATGAACCAACATACACAATCTATGAAGCCTGAACCAGGCGCCTCCGACAATCCCGTCAACGCATACCCTCCTCACGGCGTTCCAATGGATCAGGGGCTCGCGGAAACATTTTATTACGCCCAACCTCAAGGTTCCACGCCGCGGAATATGGGTTATGTCCCCGGTGGATATGCTGGAGATCCTCAGGTGCAGCAAGCACCGATTCCTTTGGAGAGAACCGGGGCTGAGGCTCCACCGAAGACCTTCCATTGTTCAACATGCAACAAGGGGTTTGCTCGACGCAGCGATCTCGCACGACACGGTATGTATTTCCTAGCGGACCATTGAGGCCTATCAGTCGGCTAACCTTGGGATGTTTGCAGAGCGCATCCACACCGGAGTCAGGCCACATGCCTGCGATTGGCCTGGATGTGGAAAGCAGTTCATTCAACGCTCAGCATTAACGGTCCACTCCCGGGTTCACACCGGAGAGAAGCCCCATATGTGCGAGCGATGTGGCAAGGTTCGTTTCCACCTTTCACTTCTGCTCTTTTCCACCCTCCCTTTGTTTCTTGGAATCTTCAATACTTACGAATCTTTTTTGTTTAGCCATTCAGTGACTCCTCCTCACTTGCCAGGCATCGTCGCATCCACTCCGGGAAACGACCCTACAAATGCCCGTACGCGAACTGTCAGAAGACATTCACCCGACGCACGACTTTGACCCGCCACCAAAATCATCATACTGGGACGATCGAGGAAGCCGCCGCGGAGACCGAGGCCAACCTGCGTCAGAACAAGGAACGTCGTGGCCCTGGCGAGGGAATGTTCCCGGATCATCACTCAATGGGCTCCACTCCGTCCCCCGGCCAGCATCCATCCATGTCGCCTGGGGGTGATCTGCCACCCTTGAACATGCACCGCTCTGCCAGTGATTATTACATGGGTAGTGCTCCGATCCCAGCTCATGTGCGAGGAGACTTTTCTCAGGCGAGTCCCCGTGCTTCTCCGACAGCGACATCACCTTCACTTTCGAGCTACGGTAGCGCACCTCACGCCCGGCCTCCTATGACCTCGCATCCGTACGCTCCTCCTCAACCGCTGGAACCGCCAGCCAACAATGACCATCGGCCGAATAGTGTCAATGGAAGTCCCCATATGACCAGTTTGGGTTGGGCCTCTCCATCCCATGGCAGTATGCCTTCACCTGGTTCAACCAACGACTTTGGTTACCCCGAACCCAGTGCACCCGCATACCCGACCTCCATGCCTCCACACATGTACTTCCCAAACTCTACCATCCGCCGACCCAATAGCACCGAGCCAGATAACTATGAAAACAAGGCTCGGTTAGGGGACCACACCTGGTCTACACCGGTATAGTACGAGCCACAGAGATCTCGTTCATATATACCAACCATATTTTTTTCCTATGTTTTCCTTTGTTCTTCCCTTTGTTCAAACTATTTCATTGCATCATCTCCTTGATTCCCATGGAAACAAAGCCACTTTCCATCGTTTGTCGATTCCAATGCTATATTGCTTATTTCTTTTATTTTGGGGTGCATGTTGATTTTTTTTGTATCCATATACTCAGGGAGTCATCTATCCCTATGGAGTCGGACTGTCTGATCGTGTTGCAGGTCCAAGGGCCTTTTTTTCCATTTTATCTTCAGGGTTGTCATCCCCATTGCTTTCGCCATTTTTTTCTTTTGAGTTTTGATTGCTTGCGGATGACACGAGACACGACCTGACGAGGAACAGCATAGAAAGAGCGTGGGATTCGCCTTTTTTTTCACGGGGCTAACATTGTATCGGTTGGGAAACAGGCACTGGGGTTCTATTTGTGTTTTTGGAATTTATTTTTCTTTTTATTGCTTGGGAGAGCCGTCATACGGTGTCTGGAATCTATCTGGGTCTGATCGGGGTTCTTAGGTGGTTTCGCATATTTCCTATCGTCCTTCGTTTGCTTCTTGCGATTGCATATCAGCTTAATTTGTGTTGTTTTCTTCATTGCTTTTGCTTTCTCTTTGTTACTTGCCCCCTGCTCGCTTTTTTGTTATCTTGTCATCTCTCTTTGTTTTTGGCTTTCTCGCGTCGAATACCACTGTAAACGAGGTCGACTATCTAGCGATCCTATTTCTGTATCATAGTGTTGTCATAGAATTGTGTCAATTCAACCTATATCGATTGATATGCCACGGAGATATCTAGATAGTCCCAGTCTCGTCTTCAAAACCCTAGCAGTAGAACATCCATGGAGAAGGGAACTCTTGGAAATGTTCTCTCTAGTCCTCTTCAATGTTACTATGTACGTATTGGTGTTAGTACGTAGTTAGAGTAGCATGTCTAAAGACAAGGGCACTGGAGTATAGGCCCCGCCATGAACAACCATCTATTCCCCGAAGCCAAACCAACCCTGGAAACCACGCACATCAGACGATCAATTCAAAAGATGACCTGACCTTGTCCGCAGCTGATCAAATCAAATCAAATCAAATCGAGTCTCCCCGCAACAAAGCAATACAGGGCAACACAAACGCCAGTTGAACCAACCAAACCAAGCCCCGGTATTCAATCCTGTGTATGTGACCAGATCAGTCGAAATCCCCCGTGTAACATTCCACTGTCGGCTGCCTCCTCACATTCAGGAATCAGTACTTACCCATGCTCGGTGCTTACTTACACCCATGAAGTGCAGTTGGACAAGTACAATACGTCTCGTACGTTACTCCGTATCTTACAGGATCCATTCTAGATACCTGTCTCTCTCCCGCATCCTCGATGTCCAGATGTTAGGTACTACTGCATGTTGTACTTCGTACTATCTACCTTACCCATTGGCAGGTATGTACATAGGCCAATCCAATACTCATACTCATTGACCTAGCACTTCAGACTACCTAAGTACAATGTACCCCGTACAGCAGACAATATTCCCCATAAAAGCACATACTATTCCCCATACTATGCATGTGCCTCAAGACTACCGTATATAGGGTGACGCAGGTGGCATCACAAAGCCGGGCCGTGGCTTGACGATCATGTTCATCATATCCTCCATCGAAGGAAGGGGGCGGCGACCCGGTGTAACTAACGGATCTCAAGCTACTGTGCGGAGTACAGGATCATGGGATATGAAGAAGATCCGATCCGTATGGATCCAACCAACATGGGAAAGCAAGCAAGTATGTACTTGTACAAGACGGAAGACAAGTAACATTGAACAGAACATCGAAAGTCATTTACTAGTATTTCATTAAAATTACCTACACATGACCCCGGTAAATTTCCCGGCCATTCAAAGAAGAAAAAAACAGCCCTCGTGATTCGATTCAAAAGAAAAAAAAAGCCAAAAGCCAAAGCCACAAGGGAAAAAAAGAAAATAAAAAAGCAAAGAAAAAACAGGGGAGCTGAATGGATGCTGATCGCGATCGCATTAACCCGGCATCCTAGCAAATCAATTTCTTTCGCCTTGAAATGATTGGCCCTTGAAATGATTGGCCCTTGAAATGATTGGCCCCAAGCTCCCAGCTTACTGACCGGTAGGAAGAATTCCTGCAAGGGCCGGCCTTGACTTTGTCACGGAGCATGCAAGAGGACCTGGTTAGCGAGCGGGAAAGACTGGTAGGGACAATTTTTTTTCTGGGGTTTCCTTTGACAGAGCCCAGGCAATCTGCCTACATATGGTTACATACGTGCACGGAGTACTATGTACATGTGTATGGACTTTGTATTTTTGGGGGGAACATTTGAATGTGAGTGGCTATGCGCTGCATGATTGGAAGGATCGGGAAAAGCAAGACGAAATTGAAATGAAAGGCGAGGCAAGGTTTTCCGCGTGTAGATCGCACGAGGCGCACGACGTGGCTCAGGGACATTTTGGACCAGTCTGATTCGTGAGGATGTCTGATCGGGCCAAAACATGACAGTGTTGGATCCGTGCTTTGCCTTGCTTGGCCAGGTGGCCGGGTGCTCTGGGAAGAGCCCTCATGTGTTGAAACGTACTAGGTAGTTGCTTCCAGGGTTCTGTTTCCATGTACATAATGTATGTATTCTATATTTAAAATGGTCGGGAGGATGGCTGGTAAGGGTTGTCATCTTCCAGGCGTTTGAATAAAGAAAGGATCAACATTTATTTCAAATGTTGAAGGTTGAGAAACTACTAACTAACTAGTTACATGTACATACTGCTTACGGAGAAGTTACATACTGTAAGTACATAACGGCAAAATTTACATAGTGTAGTAGTAGGTACATACATGTAGGATTTGATTTGATCTGATCTGATCTCTCGCTCTAATTTGCTGGTCCTTGAGCTGTGGCGAATGATCACCACTTGGATTGAACGATGATCATTTGCATGTTTTGATTTTACGAGGCGAAGAAGAGGGAATAAACAAATAACGAGAGAAAGGTAAGAGAAAAACGAAAGAAAACGAAATGCCCCAAATTCCAAGCAAGCTTGACCTGGGTCCAATCTGCAGGAATTAGGGTTGTTGCATGCGCGGTGAAACTGATCCAGATCCACGTTCAGGGCTGGACTGGACTGGGTGGCTGGATAGCCTCGTTTCAGGCACATTTCCCCCCATTTGCCTTTCAGACATTCTCCAGAGCTACAGCCTCAGTACTGAGTACGTATGTACAGTGGAGTAAATTTTGAATTTTAATTCATTTGTCCTTTCTCTGCGTCTGATAGAAAGTACCTTAGTAGAGACGGAGAATCGAATACTCCGTACAGAGATAAAGTCAAAAGACATTACTAGATATGGAACACCACTTCCTATCAGTCAACTGGGTTAGTCTGGTAATACTCGACCGTGTCTGAAAGTCCCAGCCTCTCAGGATCATCAAAGGCTGGCTTTGTTCTAGTGCTTCGTATTGGTATTGGTGGCTCTCGTATTTAATTCCCAAGTGCCAGGTGTGGCGTAGTCACCGAACCTACCTTAATCTTGCAGGGTCTGTCCCGGGCGCCTTGACCAGAATCTACGGAGTTAGTTACCAGTTGATTTCAAAAAATAAAAATTGTCCAGGTAAATCAATCAAGCTCAGCCTCAGTTCCTCGGGTGCATGGATGCGGCGACGCCGGAATCTGCACCACCGCCACACTTGTGTCCGATTTGACGACTGTAATCTGGGCATGTACGGTCAGCATTGCTGATTTCCATGTATTTGGTGATGTTGGCGGCCTGGATTCAAGCTACATAACTCCCTTAGCCTTGGATCCGGTTTTGCTGCACTAATTGCGGCTGTGGTTAGTGCTGTACTATTCTGGTTGCTGCGCTGCTACCCTGTGTCAATCCTTGGACGTAAAGGGCTAGACTGTCAAGGGGATAAGGGGCCCTGGCTTCTTGATAAGGATTATGGGTACTTTGTACGGCAAAGGAATGTGTTGATGACTGTTCACGGTACGGAGTAATTGAAATTGAAACTGAAATTGCGTTTGAAATTATTTGGGGCTCTGAAATTTGACGTGAGGTTATTCGTACCAGGACGTGGGATCTGGGCGTCGAAAAAAAAAAAAAAGAGAACTTGAATCATTTGGCAAGATTCCGGAATCGCCAAGTCAACAACACCTACATCGGAAGTTCACTGCTACGAATCCTCCTCGTCAAGCCGCAAGCTTTCAAACATTGAATGGTGCGGAGTAGTTTCCCAAGCTCTTTCTTCACCTGCCTGAACGGTCCCCCTTGCCCCGACCCACATCAACAAGTGTCCGCGTGCGCTCCACAGTGTGATATAGCGGTCAAAGGCTCAAACAGCCCCGTGGTATTATTATTCTTGTGTTCGGTTTCGGGATCACGGCGGGCGAAATTGTCGCAGGATAGTGCAAACGGAGATGAGTTGTTCGTAGTCCGTTTGAGAAGGGTAGGGAATGGCGAAGATGGGGAGAGGAGAGACGCAACTTGACGGCAAGTGACTCGAAGGCGTAGATTTGCGTATAGAGGGGACTCGGTGGGTCGAAGTTGGGTGGATATAGGGAAGATTTTGGGGGTTGATTTGAAAATCGAGACATTGAGAATACCGAGTCAACTATTCCATAACATATAGGCAACATTGAACAACTCCTTGGTAGTCTCTGTTTAATTAGTTGCACTGCATAGTCTCCAAGTCCTGATAGCAGGAATGGGGGGGAGAGATCATATTGAAATCTCTCCAATGGCATTGCAGTGGACCTTTGAACTGTCAGTAAGCTTTGGGACCCCACACATGGTTTCCGGGTGAACCTGGAGCGCGGGTTAGACGATTCAAATAACAAAGTCGCCAATGGCCCTGCAGGATTTTGGGAATAGCCAGTGTATTTATTATTAAATATTGGCTTCCCCTGTCTCAGCTGGGGAGACTATAGGCTGGTAGTCCGAGTCCACTTGTGCAGCAAGGGGATCCACGGGCATGCTCCTCTCGGGCCAAGTCCACGGAGATAGTAGGGTCTGGGCATTTTTTTTTTACCCATGTAACTTTGGGAGCTGTAATTGAGAGAAGGGGGTAAGGAGTTCAGAGAATAAAAACCGGTTCTGAAGAATGAATCAAATACAATTTCATTCAAGGTAGTAAGTCCACAAATGAAGAGAGTAGGTTCGGCTCCGATGTCAGAGTCAGGGCCCATGCATGAACGGAGGCCCGTCGTGCAACGGAGTACGCCAATCAAATGGGGATTTCTCGGATCGGGGGATTTTTCCTGTATTGATTTTGATTTCAAATGTTGAATTATTTTTATTATTTTTATTTTTATTATTTTTATTTTTATTTTTACACATTACACTATCTTTTGAACAGAGTCTGTCTTATTCTACAGAGTCATTGGGGGAGGGGAACTGATTGTTACAAAGTGCCCTTTGTGTACTCAGGTGTAGGACCTTATTACTCCGTAACCAGTTGGCCCCATGGTAGTAGCGAAGCGTCGGGAAATTCCAAATGTTACACACTCGTCATCCGACTTGGTATCCGTGCCTGCGTGCATGAACGAGGGGCAAAAAAGCCAAGGTACGCTTTGTACTGGAGAGATAATGTACCTACCTTTAGTGCCAGTACTGCAGGAAACATTCCTCCAGCACGTACATGTACATCCGGGTGATCGGCCGTCATGGATTTACTTGTGCGGATCTCTTCCCTGGTATGTTCCATACCTTCAGCCCAGGCCAAAAAAGACCATTAGTAGATGTCCAAGGTTTCTCGCCCAAGGTGCCCTCTTCAGTTTAATGCCTTATACTACATATGCCCTTGATTCTTGGTGTAATACAAGTTACTACGGGTCCCGGCCACACCCGTAAAGACAGTCTCCGCTTGGAGAGGGGGAAATAAAGTGGAAACCGGAAGTAAAACAATCTGGACTCGGGTAGCCCCATCTTCTATTGGCTTTTTCTTTTCCTTCTCTCGTCTCTTTTCCCTTTTATTATTGCCCGCGGATGGCGCTTTCTCCTCACCGTGTACCACCAAAGTGGAGAGAGTTGTAAGGCTAAGTCCCGGAAATCTACTTTTAATATGTCCTTCCACGGTTTAGTTTACTTTTTGGTTTTTCTTTTTTTTATTATCTTGTCAGTTGCTCTGTAATACCAGTCACTGCTACCCAAGGCACCTAAAGGCATAAATACCTAAAGTATTATACTTGGCTAAAACATCGGCGTTAGGAGTCGGCTGCGCTTAGTTGGCACTGCCAATGTCCGTGCTGGGCGTACAGCGTTACAACCTCCCTTTAGACTGAGTTCGGAGAGAAGGGAACTTAAAAAAATAAAGCGAAAGAAACAACAAATCAACAAGAAAAGACAAGAGTAAAAGAAATAAATAGATGAATGTGAGAAAGGATAGTCTCCTTTTTTTCTTGTTCTCCCGTCTATAGACTCTCTCAAAGCCGTTTCATAATGGATCAGTGGAGAACATACCAAAGGGGAAAGGAAAGAGAGAGCGAAAAAAAACCTGCAAAGATTCTATTTAGGTATACTAGTACTCCGTACTAAATCCAACAAGTTCTAAGTAATCGGGTATTCTGCAGTTAAATAATGAGATTTTTAATGATTTTAATATACGTGCATCTGCTATTAAAAAGAAAATTAAATTCAAAATCGGGGTTCTGTAAAATACGTAATCTATACCGTTACTGAATTTACCAATCGCCCCGTCAGCTTTCTCCTCCCCACTCTCCGCTTCGCCTTGCTCGCCCTCTCTCTCCTCACGCTTTCCCTCTCGATTTCTTCTACACTCTCACTTTGACTTCCACTGTCATTCACTACCTCCCTATTCACTTTCTAATACCACTCACTCTCACATCCCTGCCACAATCAACCCCGATCATATGGCGGATGGTGTTGCCTCACTCCGTGCAGTTGGCCGCCTGACCTGCAGCTCTCACGCTGCCATCCGACCCTGCTCACAACCTCAACCTCGAGCCCTCCTCATTCAATCTTCCTCCCTCAACCGACTGTGATCACCATGTCTCCTGGCTTGAAGATTCCCGAGTCCGGGCTGTCTCTCCACCATGAGAAACAGTCCGGAGGTGGTTCACCAAAATCCACTCAGTTCATGCGGCTAAATCTGGTGCAGAGCACTATGGACGAACTCATAGAAATTCTACGGAATGACCAGCCAGCTCGAGTTCGTCTCGGGAAACACCCGTCTCTTCATTATGCGGGCAAGTCCCAAGCCTTCCATGCCTACCCCGAAACACACCGTTCCGAGATCTACCATACTTCGACCGATGGGGCCGACGATCGGGACATCTACTTTACCGGTGTTTTGAGCCACAGTCTGGAGGTGGAAAAGGCCAAACAAGACACTGCCGCCACAGATCAGGCACTTGCAAACCTGGAGGAGAGCCTCAATGCCTTCGAGCGAGGCAAGGAGTCCAAAAAAACTCACATTATTCACCACCCGGATGAGTTTAAGGCTCTGCGTGCCGCTGGCGCTGGAAGTTCCACTCTCCGGGCTCCCAAGTCCAAGGCAGACTTGGAAAAAGACCGATTCCTCCGGGCAGGTTCGAACCGATCGCTTACCTCAAGCCCGACCCTGGGTGGTCTCAAGTCTCCCATGCCCATGCCTACCTCCGCCCCGTCCTCGCAGATCAAAAACCAAGCCCGCCTCGACGCCCTCAAGACCCCCTTCATCCACCTTCTTGCCGTCCGAGCCGTTTCGACCAAGTTTCTCTCACGTCAAACATGTTCCAATCCCGAGGACTGCGACAATCTAGCCCAGAAATACGCCGTGGAGAACCGTCTCAACCATGAAAAGTTCGATCTCAGGGACAAAATCTACAAAGACCTTGACGTGTGGAAGTTTCCCTACCCAAATCAAGAGGACCGACAGCAAGCCATTGAGAATGCTGTTTCGGCCTTTGATCGGTTGCGAATCTCTCGCTCGGATAAGTTGTGGCAGATGCTTCTTTCTAAGGAGGAGCGTGGTAAAGGGAAATGCCTGTCACGCCTCAATCTGAACACCGGGCCGCCCGTCAAGAAGACCACTGCTCCGCGGATTCAGGTGGATGGGGCCGATGACCGGGCCAGCGGCGAGGGTACCGGCAACGAAGCGGACCGTCCTTCTTTCTCTTCCATGGGACTAGATGGCGCTCCACCTCGATCAATCCCAAGTGCGCAGAAGTCTCGGGCGGAGAAAGAGCCTGCTAAACGACCTGTCAAGGCCAAGCCTACTAATAACAGCACCTTGACCGGTCGGGTTACAAAGAAGACAGGAGGAAAAGCTCCGGCCAAGGTGGATGGCAAATTCAAGTCTGCTGAGTTCGTGCACTCATCAGACGACGACGAAATTGACATGTCCGATGCCGCGCCACCCCCAGCACCTCCGGCTCCGCGCCCGAAGGACAAACCAGCTCCACCTAGGAAGACGCAAGCTCAGAAGGGCCCTGCAAAGACCCAGGCTCCTGCGAAGCGTCCTGCCGACCCTCCAACTGCATCTAAAGCCCCGAAGGCCGATGCACCTACCCCCAAGCTCGAATCATCCCAATACAAGTCGGCCTCTAAGAAGCCCGTCTCTCGACAGTCCACCTCACCCCAGAAGCCATCCCCACTAGGCTCTTCCCCTCCCACCAATGCATCTGATGTACCGAAGCGCAACCGCTCCGATAGCCAAAACCAGCAATCCTCCAGTTCCTCCTCATCTTCTCCTCTCATCTCCCAACTTGCCCGGGCCAACAAATCCACCGCTCCCGCCACCACTGCTCGCGTTTCAAAACCCGTGGGACAATCCAATGGCGTCACAAAGTCTACGGCCACAGGCAACCCCTTGAAGCGCAAAGCAGAACCCGTGACAGCACAAGCTGCACCCGTCCGTACAACCGGCAATCTTGATCACAAGCGGCGCCGCGCCGTAAGTGCCTCTAGTGGAGGCAGTACTGGCAGTGCATCACCGCCAATGAGCTATGATATTGCCCGGCAACGGCTGTCGGAACGGTCGCAGATATTCAAGCGCCACTATGCCAAGTACCGCACCCTGCATAAGTCCCTCGAGGCCCAGGCCAACCCTTCCCAGGCGGATCTGGACAAACTGGTACGACAGCACGAGCATCTGCAAAGTGAAAAGAGAGAGATCTGGGAAGAAGATCGACGCCTTCGGGAAGGCATTCTCTCATGAACTGATTTTATATTCTGAATGTTTTCCTTTTTTTTCATTTCATTCATACCTCCCCCTGCATGGTGACGCTCTCACCCAACAACCCAACATGGCGAAAAATGAATATTATTACCCCCAATTCGACAGCCCCGGCGTTTTAATGGTTTTCATCTTAACTTTTATTTTTCATCTTTTTCTTTAAATATCTCTTTTTTTTTTTTTTTTTCTTTTTCTTTTTCTTTCCTTTGTCTCATCCCAAGGCCGTTTTACATCTGATATTTTCCCATTCTTTGCATCCCATGAAGAAGCCACACATACCCCATGATTTATTACATCCATGAAGCTTCATCCATATCGCATCCCTATCATATCCGCTCACACCGAGCTCCCAATCATCAAAACTATAAAGCAATCCCCCATTCCCAAGCCCCCAAAAAAATTCAAGATTGATTCAAAACAAAACTCTTTCCCTCGAAAAAAAAAGGAAAATCTAAATTAATACTATGTTAACCAAATCCAATTCAATTCAATTCATTCCATATCATCTTCCCTCAATTGCCATCCAATTGCCAATTTCCCATAAAGCCAATTCCAAAAAAAAAACAACAGCCACAAGCCCAATTTCCAGACCCTCGTAGATCCACGCACCTTACCCCGGATCAGCAAGTCTCAGGTCCTGGTTCGCCGTTCCCACGCCCGCCCTGATTGGTGGCTTGACACATGTGAGTCACGGGATCCATTATTTATTCAATCATGATTGTTTTGCTGATGTTTCGTTTCACTCTGTATTACCGTATCATACACGGGTAAAATACGATTACATCATGGATCTGGACCTTTTTTTTCTTTTCATGCACGTTGATAGGAAAGGAAAGAGAAAGGTCCCCTTCCCCTCTCAGTATTTATTGCTGCGATTGGAATAAAAGTGCGAGGTGCCACGGGCACTCGAAAATTACTTACTTACTTACTTACTGCCGATACTACACAGTATATACATAGTATACATAAAAGATGTATTTGATTGACATTCAAATGTTCAAATAGGACATTTCTATGTAATTGATGCTCAGCGCTGCAGTTTGGGTTTGGTGTGGGTTGGCTTGGGCTGGTATGTTATTTTGCCTTGTTTTAAGTACCCTACAAGGTACCTACTCACCTACTCCGTACTCCATTAAGGATGGGTACATTACGCATGTGCGGGAGGTTTGCAAGGATCTACAAAGAGTTCTTTCTTAATTCATTTCTTCGTTGTTTCAACTACATCATGTGTCCCGAGGTCCTCAGGCAGGTGCTCGGGTGGTTGGCGGTTATGTTATCATCGTACTCCTGTCTCGATTGGAACTAGTCCCTTGTTCCTGCTCGGTTCGGGAGGATGTCTTTTTTGTTAGCTTGAACTTTGTTTTCTGTAGTTTGGATTTTTGAGGGAATAATTCCTTCTGGTCTCGTGCTGGTTGTGCTTGAGATCCAGTTGGATCCGTGGGTGCGGATTATAGTATCGGGTCATTGGGTAATTGGGGCATCTGAAGTCACGCTGGCGGGTTGAAAGTGTGGGTTTACTTTCCGCGCCATGCAAGGTGTAGGAATGCTTGACGGTAACCGGGTCATTTGCTGAGTTCCAAACAACCTTGGGAGTGACCTCGGGACCTTACCTGGGTAGTACATAGTATGTAGAGCAGGGAATCGTAGTTGGGAAAATAAAGGAAAAAAAGATAAATCAATCCAAAATCTCCGTTGAGATGGACAAAGCCAAGCCATGCTAATATAAAACAGAAACATTCGATATTCAGTACAGGAGCCCGCGAAGCAACCAAGCGCATCACAATCACATCCGCACGGGCCCGATTCCACCTTCGTATCCTTGTTCCAGGAACCTCTATTCCGTTCATGCAGAATAATACAGATCCCCCTCATTCCTTCTTTATCGTTCGTGTCTAACTTTTGTTTGTTCTTCCAATTTAACCAGTAACCTTGAAGATGGACTCGGCGAGACGCTGGACGTTGCCGGAGGTGATACCAGCGACGGAGATACGGCCGTCCTTGGTAGCGTAGACGGAGTGCTCCTTGGCAAGGACGTCCATCTGCTCGGGCTTCAGACCAGTGAAGGCGAACATACCAATCTGTTGTAGGGGGAAAAAAAAGTTCATTAGCCAAACATACACTTGAGAATAAAAGGGTCATCTGATGTGTGCTCTTACCTGGCTGGTGATGTGAGACCAGTCGTGCTTGCTGCCGAGCTGCTCCAGGTTCTTGCGCAGAAGCGCGCGCATCTCAATGATGCGGTCGGCCATGCCCTTGACCTCACCAAGCCACTGCTCGTTAAGGGCAGGGTCGTTCATGATGGTGGAGGCGACACGGGCACCGTGAATAGGGGGGTTGGAGTAGAAGGGACGGATGAGAATCTTGATCTGAGACTCAACACGCTTCTTCTCCTCGGTGGACTCGCAGACGAGCGAGAAGGCACCGACACGCTCACCGTAGAGACCCATGTTCTTGGCGAAACTCTGGCACAGAGCAATGTTGTGGCCCTCCTGGACGAAGTGACGGGGAGCGAAAGCATCAGTGTCGGCGTTACCGCTGGCAAAGCCCTGGTAGGCCATGTCGAAGAAGGCAAAGTGACCCTTCTGCTTCATGACATCGCTAATCTTGCGCCACTGGTCTTGGCTGGGGTCAACACCGGTGGGGTTGTGGGCACAGGCGTGCAGCAGGATGATGCTGCCGTTGGGGGCAGCCTTGATGTCCTCGATCAGACCCTCGAAGTCCAGACCAATGGTATCCTTGTTGTAGTAGCGGTACTTCTCGACCTCAAGACCGGAGTCCTTGAAGACGGCACCGTGGTTGGCCCAGCTGGGGTTGGGGAGGTAGACCTTCTTGGCGCCGGGGTAGAACTTCTCGAGGAAAGCACCACCGATGCGGAGGGCACCAGTGCCGGAGATGGTCTGGGTGATGACCAGGCGGTCCTCCTTGATGACAGCAGAGTTGGATCCGTAGGCAAGCTCGGCGGCAGCGTTGGTGAAGGCGGGGATACCGGTAATGCCAGCGTATTCCTTGTCGCTGCGTGATGCAACAACCTTGTCCTCGGCGGCGCGGACGGAGGGCAGGACGTAGGGCTTGCCCTTGTCGTCACCTGTGTCGCGAATTATCAATTAGCTATCCAATGTTTTCTTTTGTTTCCTTGTTTGTAATATTTCTCTGCTCGGTTTGATGCGCAATGCCAACTAAGCTGTTCAATGGGGTTTTGTGGGGATCACTTACGGTAGGCACCAACACCGAGGTTGATCTTCTCCTTGAAGGAGTCGGCCTTGAAGGCCTCGGTGATACCCAGAATAGCATCCTATCGAGTCCATTGCATCAGTGAGTTCCTTGAGACTCAATGCCAGCTCAAAAAAAAATAGCTGGGATAAAGAAAATAAACAAAAAAAACCTGGATTAGCTTACAGGAGGACCCTGGGGAACCTTGGACCAAGCAGAAGCTTGACGAGCACCGAAGATGACAGTGCGCATGTTAGCCTCACGGGCAGCAGCCGAGCGGCTGGCGACACGCAGAGTGGAGAGCATTTTGGATGATTTGGAAAGACAAGAAAGAAGCAGAAAGGATGGACACAAATCCAAAGGAATTGGGGGAATTGGGGATAAAAAGGGAAGAACCGGGAGCAATGAGGAAAGGTCGGAGATCTTGCGGTTTGACTGTTTTGGTTTGACTCATGTGATAACGGTATTGGGTACAAAGTCTGTGGTGTGGGGTTGCATACTTAAGATTGGTACCGGGTACATCCGTGTCCGGCGAGAACAGCCACCTTCGCAAGGGCGGGATTGGCTCTTCCCTCCGCACATTTATCCCCATGCATGAGGCGATGATCATTGATTGATCACTTGAAATATTCCGATTTATTGGTTGCTATGGGAGATGCAAGGTTTTTCTGGGGAGTTTTTTTTTAAAAAAAAAAATTTAGATAGAGCTACCTTAAATTATGCATGTCTACTATACTTGTATATTGGTCCCTTTTTGGTGTGTGCGTAACAGTCTTTCACATGCATCTAAGCTACGTAGAGCTCTATGAGAAAAACATGAAGAATCATATATGGAACTCGTCCCCGACATTGCGCGACATCGGCTTTCGTTTTCCCGGTGAACTGATTAAGGCTGAAAGCTCCACTCCTTTCTTCCCCTCACGCAAGTTGGGGTAAAAACCGGTCTTTAATGAACAAGGATTAAAAAGTTGTAACCAATGATCGAGTTCGGTTTTTATGATCAATTGGTTTTATGTAATCAGATACTAACTAGTACACATCAAAGCTGGGGTAATTCTACGTGCACCTGCGGACTTTGAAAATTTCCAAGACAAACATTGAAAGTTCGGTTAAATACTTAAATAGCAAATACCCGGACGCGGACACCCCACACGCGGAGGGCATGGTCTGATCGACTCCCCGGTGCCGGGTTACTTATTACGGGAGGACTTGACAGATATGGTTAGCGGATTTAGATAAATGTAATCGTGAGGTTGGTCATTTTGCAACTATACACACGGAAGAGAGAAATTAAACACAATCATAATAATAACAATGCCACGGGTTTAGCCGAGTCGTACACCAGCCTGGCGGTTCTTCCGCGCTTGCTGTCCCATGGCATTGTTCATACCCGTGTGTTGACTGCTGTCCATAGTACTCATGGCCTCACGTTTATCTTCATCTTCCATCTTCTTCAATCGCTTCTCCGTCTTCATCTTGCCGCTACCCTTGCCGTGGAACTGATGACTGAGGTGCTTGAAAGCTTCCTTCTGATTCATCGAGCGGCCGTGTTCATCCACATACTTGAGTTGCACGTCGGGCTTGTATTCCTTGTTGAATACCTCGGCCATTTGGCGGGCTTCCTGTTGGTCTCGCTGCTTGTTCTCCCACCGGGCGTGTTCCTCACGTTCACGGGCCGACATGCGGTCGAGTTTACCAGAAGTACGGTCACGCTCACGCTGCATCCGAGCTCGTCGGTCGGCCTCAGCTTCACGGTTCTCCTTTTCTTGAAGGAAGCGCTGGCGGTCACGCATAAGAGCATTGCGATCACTGCCACCAGTGTCCTTCACCAGGCCACGCCGTCGCAGCATAGACAATGCAGCTCCCATACCCTGATCCAATGTAGCTTCTTCTTCCAGTCCAGTGCCGGTCATCTCTTCTTTCTCCTTTTGAGATTCCTCGCACTTGATACGTTCGGCGAGATCTTCGTCGTCTTCAATATCATTGTAAGAGCGCTCCATATCAACATCCTGTGGTTCGTCCTCGGGTTGAGGCTTCGCCTCCACAGGTGTAGACTTTTGTCGTTCTTCCCGCTCAGGAAGTGTAGGTTTCTGGAGGTTGGAGATGAATTCAGATGTCTCGTCAATTACAAGGCCGGGTTCCTCTGCATCGCCTTCGGGGGTTTCCACATCCATCGGGGTCTGTGAACCTTCTTCGCGAAGCTGCTGGGCAAGATCCTCTGGGCGCATCTTCTTGCGCTTTTTGAAAGCAGCACGTCGCTGTAGTGCAAGAGATGCTTGTAGGTCATCGTCATCCACAAAGGAGATATTCTGATCGATCGGCTTTCGGGCGGGAGCCTGAACTCCATTGCCTGAATCAATATCCATAGAAGCGCCATTTGATTCGACGTGGGGGGTCAGGTCCTCGTCATCAATGGTCGCTCGTTGTTTGGTAGTCTTGGCCTTCTTCTTCTTCGGCTTCTTGATCTTGATCTCGCTGATATCCATGTAATCGGAAGTTGGAATCTCGGGCTCCAGGTCTAGGCTGATAGCTCCCATCCTTAATTTGCCCGAGACCTCTTGACGTTTGGCCTCCCGTTCCTCCTCTGTGGAACCCTTGGCGTCTAATGTAAATCTTTTGCGTTTCTTGCCGTCGATCTCCTCGTCATATTGCGAGAGAATTCCTTGGTTTTCGGCCGTAGGATCGTAGACAGGCTTGCGCTTCTTCAGTTCTAGCTTTTCCTCGGTCCTCTCCATCTCTGCCAAGTTCACATTTTCAAGCTCATCGCCCCCCTCCTCGTCATCCACCGCGGCGTCCTTGAGTGTAAGAATATGGTCCTCGCCACCTCCAAATGCGCCGATAGAATGTCCGACTTTGACACCAGCAAGATCTTCAGAAGTATATTGAATCGCAGCCTCGCGCTCTCGCTCCTCAAGTTCTTGGGCTAGTTTGCGCGCGCGCTCCTTCTCGATCTTCTTGGTCTTTTTCTTGGATTGCATCAACCAGGCCTTGGTGTCCAGGTCGGCGCCGAGCGACTCGCCCAGCGTAGTGCCTTCCAGCTGCAGCTTACGCTGGGCCTCGTCGCGCGCTCTCTTGATGGCGGCATTCTTTTCTTCGCGACGTTTTTTCGCGTCGGCGTCGTCCTGAAGTTTCTTCCAATTGTCATATCCTTGTTCCTGTCGTGTTTCGAGGGTGCTCGCGGGGTCTTCTTCGTCTTCGGATCCGCTGGAGGAGTCGTCTTCTCTAAATTCGGGACCGGTGGCGCTGGGGACAGGGAGTGGCTTGAGTCCGAGAGAAATTCGGATCTTGTTGGTCTGCTCAATAGACACGGCGTCCGCCATGGTGACGGGTGTTTCGTGTGGAGCAAAACTAAAATGAGCGGTGTGGAGAGTCAAGGATCAGAGAACAGAGGTAAAGCAGAGAAGCTGGATTTCAAGAGAATCGATATGAATCCGCTATCAATATCAGTTCCACCCGATCCAGAGCCCGGGTCATGTGACTGAATCCACCATCCCCAATCGGGTATAGTGCGATAATCTTTCCATTTAAAAAAAGTTTGCTCTCCCGTTTTCTTTCTTCTTTCTTCAAACACACCATAGATCTGTGTCCAGATTTCCCGGTCTCGAGGGCTTGTCCTTTGTGTTTCGGTTGAGAGCTGGGCAGTTCGACGTCATGGGGCCATTCTTCATTATGGATGGCACTTTACGGTATCCAGTCGACGGATCTCAGATTAAAGTCTGCACTGGGGGTGACCTGGGTCTTGAGCTCCCGCCTTGGTGAGCTCGGTTTAGGTTCCCGGTTGTAGACAGCGTCATATTCCTGAACTCTTTGCCGATGGCCGTTGGTCCGTGAGGCTAGGGACTAACCATGACCTGCAAACATCCCATTTCCATAGCTATTGAATATTATTTTGTAGACGGTTACATTTCTCAACATTCGAGAGAAAGAACCCTATATCAAGGCGCGCCTCGATGTTCGCTGAGAGGACCTTGTGTAATGCTTAACAGACTATTTCGTCCTGCATGAAATTTTCTACAAGACCCACGCGCATATACCCATCAGGGTTTGCTAGGTGATAAGGTTGTCCGTGATAGATGAAGCTTCATCATTCATGATCATTATGTCCAATGGCATACGACTTTATGGGTAAAATATAGTTTACAGCAACTTCAAATGCCCGGTGACACCATCAACAACGCTCTTGGGTCCCAAAACACCCAACACCGTCCGGCTCCCACTGGCAATCTGTGTCCGACCCGCATCCTGAATAACACGCGCGCAAAGACCCAGGCTCATAGCCTGCGCCTGGAGGGTCAACAGCTCATCCTCGCCCTTAATCTGCAGCGCAATCTTAGCCTGTCCACAGCGCTCCCATTGGCGCAGCATCTTGCTTTCGGGCGCATGCGTGAGGAAGTATTTATAGCAAGCGAGTGTCGCATGCGAAGCTTGAGCGGCGATTTTGCCTAGAGGCGCGCAAATAAAAGTTAGCATTGCGAAGAAAAACTTGAATATCCACCAGCCTCGTTTTCGTAGTAGATTACTGTAGATTAGAAGTAACAAACTTACCCTTGGTCATGCCCAAGTCTGTCCTCACAACCAAAACCAGCTTCACTTCCTCAGCATTGTCTTCAAAGTCGGCCAGCTCCTCGCCATTGCCCTCCTCCTCGCTCTCCTCGTCGGACTCGGCTTCGGCCTCTTCTTCTCCTTCCTCGTCTGAAGAGTCTCGGTGGACCTTGACGTCGTACCCGTTAGGCCAGCCTTGCTTCTCTTTGAAGAAGAACAACGAGGAACCTTGGCCGATAAAGTAGCCTGTGACGCCTGCAAGGATGGCGGTCGCGATCACGTAGGCGGTTGTTGTTGGTGGGATGCGGTCTAGAGTTACTGGCGCGGCCATTTTGAGGGTAAGGAGGGTGGTGCTGAGGAGGATTGGTTGAGTAGTGGCGAGAATGGTTGATCAATTCAAAGATTTGGAAGGTTGGGTCCGCCGAGTGTTTGATTAGTTATCCGGCGTTGCCAACTCTACTAACTCACTAGTTAGTAGTAGATTCCATGCTTCGCTGAAAGAACATACAGTGTACAATTCCAAACTGACTTTTGCTTTTCAATCCTCATTTCCAGCCGCCTAAAATTTTATCATCAGTTAGACTGGTTTTTGGGATTTTTCCCATCTTTATCGATTCAAACATTAGAATGCTCCAAACTCTCATTTCCTGGATACATTATGTATGCATTTGTACGGAAGATATATGTATGCAAAGCACGCACATATAACCTTGGAATCCTCCAACCATCCAGTCATCAATTGATTGATACGAACACACTTACATAGTACTTAGTAGCTTCATTGAAAGTACTCCACATGCGTGTACTACATATTCCAAGGGTTGACTTCGGGAACCACATGCCCACAGGTGCAGACATCCAGGGCGCTCGATGGACTGGATTGGATCCATGACCCGAAGTCGTGACCCACCTGGGCAATTTACAACATTTTTTAATGTTGGCATTGTTGAGAGGTTGTGTCTTCAAATGTTAGGTATATATTTCAAATGTTGAATCCAGGTTAAATGAACTTTGAAATTGGCCTTGATTAAAATTCCTAACGAAGCAGCTCTAGGTAAATCATTGAACTAAAGCTTTCCAGAGAACTTGAAAGAACACGCGCCTCCAAGTGCATTGAAATACAAAAGGTCTGTGACCCCCGCTATATACAACCCCCCAAAACAAATTTCCCAAAAAATCAAATCTCTTAGTTGGCACTGCCAGCAGGAGCAGCAGGACGCGCGCCGGCGTTACCAGGCATGCGGCGACCCCTAGTACAATCGAGGTTAGCATAACAGTCACACAAAGGGACTCTGACTTGAGGTGAAACTTACATGAAGGTACGGCTGAAGAAAGAAATACCAATCATGAACATCCAGCTGGGAACAGCACCAATGCCGTAAAGGGCATAGCCGATGGGAATGTTCAGCTTGTTCTGGGCGAGCCAGCTGTCGGTGGGGTGCATGGCGCCCTCGTAGGCCTCGACCTTCTCGAAGTTCTTCTCGGAGTGGATCTTGTAAAGCTCATCGGGGGTGACGGTGGTGGAGTTCATGCTGATGATGTGGAGGGGAGTAGGCGCGCGGCCTTCAGCCTGGGCCTCGGGGACCTCGAAGTAGTAGACAGAGGGAGCGCCGGCAGACCAGATGGAGCAGAGAATGCGGTTCTCCTCACAGTCCAACAGAGCAAGGTTGGGAGAGGTGGGATCGGCGGCGAAAAGGAGGGTGGATTCCTGATGAAATGTTAGTGATCGGGAAAACAGGGGATTCGGGAACGCGTAGGCAGGAAACAAGCCCGCATCGAGAAAGAGAGAAAGAAAGATAGAATGCTTACCTGGAAGGCTTTAGTGGCATGGTCACAGCGACCGAAGCAGGTCTTGTTGCCACCAGTCACGAAGATGTACCAGTCCTCAACCTGGGGTCCGGGAGTCAGGACAGACTCCCAGTTCGCCAAGGTCAACGGGGTGACAGACTTCTCAGAGACCTTCTCAGCCATCTTGACGATAGGCTCGGCCGGAACAGCAGTCGGCACGAGGCCCTTGGCCTTGTTGAACCATCCCTGCACGCGGTCGGCGAGGGGCACCTGTTCCTGTGCCAGGGCAAGGGCAGGGAGGAGGGCGACAAACGATGTGAGATGCATCTTGGCTGTGACGCGTGTTAAATCAAACCATCAACCGGGTAATCAACAAAGTTGCACAGTTGCAAATATGAGACTTTGAAAATCAGATCAAGATTGAAGACTTACCTAGACAGGTATATCGATTGACACAGGCCGGAGGGTGGATAGGAGTAAGAAAGATGGAAGCCACCTAGCCCGGACGACATCTGGCCTGAGCGCCCGGACCAACCACATCCGCGTAATTGGCACGCGGGGAGATCCGACCCACTCGGCCTTCCTTTCTAGGTATTAAGTAATCTTGTTTTTGCCTCTTTTTTCCTAAGTATATTTGAGCTGATATCATTGACTGGGATTTATTACAGAGGTTGAAATCTGGATCTCTTATTCTTGAATCTATATTATTCAATATCGCTTTTTTTGTTGTGGAATCTGTCAACTGTACCCCCCAGATTTATGACTTGCATAGCTCTAACGCTGTTTCTCCACTTCCACACTAATATTTGCGGACTCTAAATTTACTATTGCTTTACTCCCTAGCGTTAAAGCATACATTTCATCCTACCATATATCACAGCCAAGTACTGGGTTTCAACCATCTATGTTACATACGAGGGTTCTTTGGGCGGTGTTGGGTTCCAGCTTTGAACTGCATACTACTACTTAATAAGAATATCGAAATATCTGAACTTTGCAACCCCTTGAGTAGCTGCAATTGATAAAGCCAGTCTCGTATCTACTGGTAACAATTGCATGATTTGTGTCATTAATTGGCATATGGTTTGATTCACCGGTGTGAGTAGTATAGAGTGAAAGATGCCAGGTGGGGGCTAGATAAAACATTTGAAGGTGAAATCATCTAAATCACCCAGAGCAACAATACGTACTATTAATGTGTATACCATTCACGAATATATTGAAGGAATATCCTGGATGGATCTGCTTATTTGAATAAACATTTGAGAATCTCAACAGAAGGGCTGTAGTGTTGTCAGTGTTGACATTTAGTTCAATGTTGTCATCCATACTTGTATTAACACTTGAATGCAACTTAAAGTGCTCCTCTTCCTTTCATGATCTTCATATCAATTGCCATGAACACCAGTACCAATTACACCAGTTGACCACTACCATGGCCAGAGGTCTGTGTTTTACATTTCTCCTCACAGCCATCCTCATCTTTTCAATCTATTTACTCACAACAAGAGCTCGTGTACGTCCAAACAGAATCCCCAAGTCACAAACAGTATCATACCAGGCAAAGCAGGCATTAAAACGCCATCGGTGTTACCTGTATCTTGAGGTTATTAAGCTGATATTAAATTTGTCATGACATAATAGACAACCCTCCAAGATGTGACCCCGTTTCTCGTACATCCGTACCTCGACGCACGCCGAGACTTGATAGGTGCATTTCAAAAGACCCAACTCCATCCTGTCTCTGATTTTTGACCGAATAATTTACAGGCTTCCTCGAAGCACACAATGCAATAGTCCGATGGGTGTGCATAATTCTTACAGTTTTCTTCAGCTTTGGCAGCATTTTGCTACTGATCCTGATGTGGTTTGACATGGAATCTCTTTACGCGTGTATAATAGACAATTGTCTTTGTGTGGTCTGGCCCGAACCAGAAACAGACATTGAGCCAGATCTGGGATTGAATGATACACCACTTATTCCTCCCCACATGCAGGAAGGACCAAAGGGAATCGAGCTGCGTGCTATTTACAGGGTGCCCGGATCACTGGCGGGACCATTTGCGTCCGGAGCACTGGCATTTGCGGCGGTTTGAGGGTGGTGGACTTTGATTTGTGCGAGTTTCTCATGCAGTATGGTCACCGACACTCCCTCGTTTCTTATTCTTTCACAGAATACACTAATTTCAATACGAGTGTCAGTTTTTAGGTGAATGTGTTACTCACATAGAAACTCTGAGTCACCGCTTTTTAACAGCTCTTTTGAATTCACCTTACCGCTTTTCTTTCTTCCCTACCAATTGATCACTTTTCTGCTTTTCTGCTTTTCTGCCGGAAATTCCACATTCTTCAGGGATCTCCAGGGCTGGTTTTCTACAGAAGTACAGAAGAATGTTTGGAATATGTACAGACATGCCTTTGCTGGATAGGATCCTACAATTTACTTGCTAATTAAAATGCTGCTGTGCTACTGCGGGCCAACCCAAACTTTGGAACCTCTCTTAAGACAGTACCACTCATTATCCTCTTTCCAATTTAAACTAATAGTACCCACGTTGACAGTTGCTTGATTGGGGTATCGGTAATGGGCTGCGGCGTTTTTAGATCGATTGACCTGTATAGAGTTGAAGCTACTAGACCACTAGTAGTATGTAGTAGTATCCATGCTATCTGGGTTAGCAGGTACGTACTTATTCAACCTCATGAACGGCGTGGGGTCGAGTAGTATGACGACATGAATTGATCTACCTTATCATGGGAATCAAAATTTATTACTAAACAAAAGGTTCTAGTCGTTGGCATCGGCCAAGTCCACCGGTCACTGTACGCAGGCATGGACCCCGCCGTGCCGATGTCGGTTCCCATGGGGCGCAATGTAGAGGGAAAGAAGAAAAAGGACAAAACAATTGCCCACGCACAATGGCAACAGCTTGATGTTAGAATGCTAAAATATCCCTGTAAATGCAGGCGAACTCTATCAGGAATTGAAAGTAGCCGATCTCGAAACTGAGTCATATACAAGGAACAAGAAAAAAAAAAAAAAAAAGACCCAAAAATGCCACTGTAGATTGGAGGAACCTAGTATGAGCGCATTCGGCGCAACGCCAACCCTTGCTCCACCCCGCAAAAGTGAAATTTTTCTCTTCTTTTTTGCCGCCGAGAGAGCGCAGGACGATTACTACGCAAAAGGGCCATCACACCGCCCACTCCACTTTATGACTCTTACTTCTCATTTAATTCTCTCCTCTTGAAACATAAATATCAATTGAAATTCTTCTTTGACCCGGTATTGAACTTGGTCCCATTATACCTTGACCCTTCACCACCGCCACCTACCCCTCCATAACCCCACCAACCTCCATACCCACAATGTGTCCCGGTGCCGACCCCGAGTCCAATGGGCAAGCCGCTGAGGCCAATGGAAACCACGATGGTATGTCATTTTGTCCTGCGTGATTACATTTCTCTCCCAGCCCAAGAGCAATGGTTTTAATTGAAATTATTCAGGCTTCACTGGCATTGAGACCCGCCAGAACCCTCACCCCTCCGCCTCCCGCAACCCCTACGGCCACAATGTTGGCGTCACCGATTTCCTGAGCAATGTCTCTCGCTTCAAGATCATTGAGAGCACTCTGCGTGAGGGCGAGCAGTTTGCCAACGCCTTTTTCGACACCGAGAAGAAGATTGAGATCGCCAGGGCCCTTGATGACTTCGGTGTGGACTACGTGAGTCATTCGCCTACACCTTCTATTTCCTCGCAGGGTATAATAGCAACAAGGATATAATACTGACAACCTCAATTTAGATTGAGCTTACTAGCCCCTGTGCTTCCGAGCAGTCCCGCGCTGACTGTGAGGCCATCTGCAAGCTTGGTCTGAAGGCTAAGGTACGTTTCTAAGTGTTGGTGGCAAATTCCCGAAAATGGGAATTCTTGGTTGATCCCAGACGCTAACTCTGCTATAGATTCTCACTCACATTCGTTGCCACATGGATGATGCTCGTGTTGCCGTTGAGACCGGTGTTGATGGAGTGTGAGTCTCGATGCAAATTTTCTCGAAAAACCTCTGGGAATGGTATAACTGACTATTGAACTAGCGATGTTGTTATCGGTACCTCTTCCTACCTCCGTGAGCACTCCCACGGCAAGGACATGACCTACATCAAGAACACCGCTATTGAGGTCATTGAGTTCGTCAAGTCCAAGGGCATTGAGATTCGTTTCTCCAGCGAGGACTCCTTCCGTTCCGACTTGGTCGACCTTCTGTCCATCTACTCTGCCGTCGACAAGGTCGGTGTGCAGCGTGTTGGTATTGCCGACACCGTTGGCTGTGCCTCTCCCCGCCAGGTCTACGAGCTCGTTCGTGTGCTCCGTGGTGTTGTCGGTTGCGACATTGAGACCCACTTCCACAACGATACTGGTTGCGCTATCGCCAATGCCTACTGTGCCCTTGAGGCTGGTGCCACCCACATTGATACCTCTGTCCTCGGTATCGGTGAGCGTAACGGTATCACCCCTCTGGGTGGTCTGATGGCCCGCATGATGGTCGCTGACCCCGAGTATGTCAAGAGCAAGTACAAGCTTGAGAAGCTCAAGGAAGTTGAGGACTTGGTCGCTGAGGCCGTTGAGGTCAACATCCCCTTCAACAACTACATCACCGGATTCTGTGCCTTCACCCACAAGGCCGGTATCCACGCCAAGGCTATTCTTAACAACCCCAGCACCTACGAGATCATCAACCCCGCTGACTTCGGCATGACCCGTTACGTGCACTTTGCCTCCCGTTTGACTGGTTGGAACGCCATCAAGTCTCGCGCTCAGCAGCTCAAGCTTGACATGACCGATGCTCAGTACAAGGAGTGCACTGCCAAGATTAAGGCTCTGGCTGATATCCGTCCCATCGCTGTCGACGATGCTGACAGTATCATCCGTGCCTACCACCGTAACCTCAAGTCTGGTGAGGACAAGCCTTTGATGGACCTCAGCGCTGAGGAGCAGGCCATCTTCGCCGCCAAGGAGAAGGAGTTGGCACTTGAGGCTGAGCAAAATGGTGTTGTCGTTTAAGCTTCTACCAAGTGTTCCATTTCTTCTTTTTGTTAAACAGCGTGCGTTTTATTCGCCAGAGCATTCCCGCGTCCATGAGCTTGCATAGCGGCAGCCCGCTTGAGAGTCGAGGTGCCGAGAAATTTCTGATGATTTGATGTGTTTTATGTGTTAGGGACTTTTCTTTTTTGTTTGATTCTCAGGTTTTGAAAAAAGTCTTTTATATGTTTTTCTATTACACTTTGGAACCCGGACAGGAAGAGCTGGGTTGGGGTTGAAAGAGAGTTCTCTCTCTATTGTATATAAGCGCAAAGGCCAATTTGGCGACAGCAATAAATAAGCCGATTTATATGAGATTGTTCTACGTGAAAGAAATCCGAAAGAAGCGCGAATAGACTTCAATCATTCATTTAGATTACTTTAATCTAAGTAAATTAAACAGGCAATCTCCCAACTCCCAACTCCTACGGACTCGGAGTGTACTACTTACTAGTAGCACTGCATGTGGGCAAGCCTCGGCTTGGCTGACGTTACGGGATTCGGATCGGACCTTACTTAATGTCCACCTCCGCCCCAGCTTCTCCGATTCCTCCATCTCTTGCATCATTATTCCCTATTCACGTCTCACGGGCACGATGAGTTATTCAGCGTTCCCAGTCGCCTTGCAGAACAAACTGCTAGGTTATGGCCGAGCGTCTAGTACCCATTTATCCGCCTTGAATCTAGACCTGTAAGTACTAACATGGCCGGACTTCCCCCGCGAAACCAACAGACCCGCCGATTCACTCTGCATCAACGCTGACAAAACCCCTCAATCATTTTTTAGCATCCGCAACATTATTTTTGTTCTCTTCATCCTTCGCTATACCCGCAAGACCTTTTACTCCCTCCGCGGCTACGGCCTCTTTGGTAGCATCCGCAATGTCTACCTCGCCATTCGCTTGTTTTGTTACTCAGTCCTTCTGCGCACCCCCGGTGTGCGCGGCATGGTTGACAAGGAGGTGAAGACTGCTATCGAGGATTTACAGAAAAAGCTCGTGCCATCTGGACCGGATGTGGATCGGTATCTTACACTCCCGAAGGAAGGCTGGAGTCCGGAGAAGGTCCGTGAAGAGCTCGGGAAACTCGCTGGCATGAAGCGTACGCGCTGGGAGGATGGTCGCGTGAGCGGTGCTGTCTACCATGGAGGCGAGGACCTTTTGAAACTCCAAGCGGAGGCTTTTGGCCAGTTTGGTGTCGCAAACCCGATTCATCCGGACATCTTCCCTGGAGTCCGGAAAATGGAGGCCGAGGTTGTTTCTATGGTATGTGTCAATATATCGCAGGAATTTCAAAAAGAAATGGGGGATTCTGTATGGAAGCTAATTGTTAATAAAGGTGTTGAACATGTTCAATGGCCCCTCTGATGGTGCTGGCGTCACCACAAGTGGTGGCTCGGAATCAATTATCATGGCTTGTTTGGGTGCCCGGCAAAAGGGACTATTGGAGCGCGGCATCAAGGAGCCCGAAATGTGAGTTTGATCTGAATATTCCAGTGATATGCGGTCATTAACGGTTTTCCAGGATCATTCCCGACACAGCTCACGCTGCTTTCATCAAGGCCTGCAACTACTTCAAGATCAAGCTACACCGTGTTCCATGCCCTGAGCCTGAGTTCAAGGTCGATGTTAACGCCGTGCGTCGTTTGATAAACCCAAACACCGTGCTTCTCGTTGGATCTGCACCAAACTTCCCTCACGGAATGGTTGATGATATCCCTGCTTTGTCCCGCCTGGCTACAAAGTACAAGATCCCTCTCCACGTGGACTGCTGCTTGGGATCATTCTGCATCGCCCTTCTGAAGAAGGCTGGCTTCCCCTCACCGTATGAGGAGGAGGGCGGTTTCGACTTCCGTCAACCCGGCGTTACTAGCATTAGTGTGGATACTCACAAATACGGCTTTGCTCCTAAGGGTAACTCCGTCCTGCTCTATCGCAACAAAGCCTACCGAAGCCATCAATACTTCGTATACCCCGACTGGTCTGGTGGTGTTTATGCCTCGCCCTCCGTGGCCGGTTCCCGACCTGGTGCTTTGATTGCTGGTTGCTGGGCTAGCTTGATGAGTGTCGGTGAATCCGGTTATATTAACAGCTGTACTGAGATCATCAATGCTACCCGCAAGTTTGAATCAGCGATTCGCGAGCATCCTGTCATCTCGCTACACATGGAGATTGTGGGTAACCCGATGGTCAGCGTGATCGCATTCCGCAGCAAGAACGGTGCCATTGATATATACGACGTTGCTGATGACATGTCCGCCATGGGATGGCACCTCAATGCTTTGCAGTCACCCCCAGCCATGCATTGTGCCTTCACTATTCCCACTGCCAAGGCCGTCGACCAGCTTATCACCGATTTGGTTAAGGTCATCGACAAGGAGCTTGAGAAGGCCGAGGAGCGCCGCAAGCAAGGAAAAGCATACATTCTACAGCGCGGCGACACTTCCACGCTTTACGGTGTTGCTGGCAGCATTCCAGACAAAAGTGTTGTCAGCCGCTTAGCTGTGGGCTTCCTCGACACTCTGTACAAAGCCTAAGCCTTTGATGCCAGATACCATCCCCTCTCTTTACGCCTTTTTCCCAATGTATACCCGAGACTATTGTTATTCGTTCGGGTAACAGAACTCAGATGCCTGAACAATCCAAAGCCGCATACTGAGTATAAAGCCAGTAACGGAGTCTCGCCCTGGGCTTTTGGACTGGGCCTCGCGGCGTTTGTGGTCATGATTTTAAGCGCCTCCTTCTATCTGCCGATGCAGACTGAACACACGAAAACGACTGGCGCGTCTATTCTATTCTTAGTGATATCAATTCAAATTGCACATATTCTTTTTCGAGTATAATTGAATCAGTGTTCCGTATAATACATGACCGACGAGAAAAAAAAAGAGTATAAAGCCACGGCTGAAGCCAAGTGACCATAGAAATAGAATACATGACATAGTAACAATAAAGCGCGCTCCATGCAAAACATAAAAAAGACAACAAGACAGTCTCCATGCGCATCGGATAGCGGAATAGAGGGGACGAGGTAGGCATCCAAAGCATCGCGATCAAGGGTATCCGTGGATGACCCGACCTTTTATCCCATCAACCTGTCATTCCATTTCGAGGCATAGAGATGAACATCCAGCAGTATATAAACTACTGGGTAGCCTCGCCCCGTTCCTGTGCACAGGTCTTCTCAACGTAGTATCCGGGATCGGGTTTGCGCTCGAGCCAAACCTCGTGCTTGCTCATATAGCTGTCCACCTCTCTCACTTCGACAAGTTCCTTGACCTTCATGATCTGACCCGCAGAAGATTGAGACACGGGGTGGAAGACAGTAGCCATACGCTTCTTCAGGCCGAGCGCCTTGAGGACATCTGTTGTGCGGCGAGGAAGACCGATTGCCGATCGGAGTAGGGTGACACGGAAGTAACTCATTTTGAAAATGGAGATTGAGGAGAGAATTGAGAGCGTCTTGTGATTTGGTGGACTAAACGTGCGCCGTTCGGTTCGGGATGGATCGCGTTGCGCGGAGAGGAGTCGGGATATGATGGTTTCCCAGTAGATTCAAGTATATGGAGGTGGAGGAGATATCAAGCGACTGGCAATTGAATAGATGGCCAAATCAAGTAGATCGAGTATGCACTTCCTTACCAACGTGATCACGATCCGTTTACGATGTGAAGCCGCAAAATCCTGGGCGGTGACTCACGTGCGTTAATTCTGCCGCTTCAGCGGTTGGAGTCTCCGCAGTCTCCAAGGTGGAGCGACCACTAGTTGTACACGGTAATGCGGTGCTGGATCTTGGAGCCTGCCTAGCTGCGCACAAACACCCTGGAACCAATTTCCAATCGGTCCGACCTTTGATCTCAGACGCATGCCCGCACCTTAACTCGTTCCCCCATCTAAATATCGAGCCGCACCGCGGTGCCTCCGATTACCGACCTACCGACAATAACACTCATACCAACACCAAGACCTCTCCGCAATAATCATGGACAAAGCCGCAGTATTGGCGAAAACCCCCAATGCCGACGGCACGGTTGCTATGCCCCGGCTCGGGGATTTACTCCGGCACCCAGAAGATCTGGACAAGATCAGCGGGCTGAAGGCCGAGTACCTGCGCAAGAAGGCAGCTGTTGATTCACGACTCCGTGAGGGACTTCGAGACCAGCTAGAAGCCGTGCAGCGCAGTATCGGGGCCTTGACCGAGGGTCAGCGCCAGGTGTCGAAGACGAAAGACGAATTGGCCGGGATCGACAAGTTATGCGCAGAATCGCAAGATAGCGTGGAGGACTTTGCGCAAATTGACAAGTTAGCACGGATCCAGCGGGATTTTGATGCGACGTTGATGATGAAGAAGGGCTTGGAGAATTTCAGTTCGGATCTCCAGGAGGTCGAAGACCTACTTAAGGAGGATGATGAGGATCTTGAGAACCAGCCGAATCTATTGCGGGCCCATATGCATATTTCGCGATTACGGGATTTCAGAGATGAGGCTATGGACCAGATCCGAAAGGCGCATGATGCTAGTGCGGAGGGTACCTTGACAGAATACTTCCAGGGACTGGATTCTGTTATTGATTGGTTTGATGATCATCTTGGGACAGCTTGCATGAATCTCATTCCATTGGTTCAGGAGGATAACAAGAGTATGGTTGTTCGATTGGCCGTCTTGGTCTTTAACGAGGAGAAGAATGATGATACTGTGCGAGCTTTACAAGAAGCGCAAAAAGACCACAAGGACCTGGCTAGTCGTTTCAAGTCCATGCATATTGGTCCAAAGACGGTGCGCGGGTACAAGGAAAAGCTCCTACAAGCGATCGAGTTTTATGCGCGCAACCAATTTGACCAAACCAAGGATCAATTTCTTGGTGACCCAGATCTTCTCGAAAAAAGTTTCCGGTGGTTCTTCAATGATCTCTTCACGGTCAAGCAGGGCATGCAAAATCTGGTTCCGAAGAAATGGAAGATCTACAAGACCTACACTGATATTTACCACCGCATGATGCACGACTTCCTTGTTGGTATGATTGACGACCCCGAAATCCCTGCAGATAATCTGTTGAAGATTATTCACTGGGGCGACAAGTATTACAAGAAGATGAAGAAGCTCAATTGGATGCCGAATGAGCTCCAGCCCAACCTCCTCGATGACAGAGAGCCTGAATTGATTCGCCAGTGGCAGAGTGTAATTATCAACGCCGTCGAAGAATGGATGGAACGTATCTTCGAGACCGACAAGAGAGGCCTCGTGGAGCGACAACCGGATGCACTGGATACCAACGCCGAAGGAGTTTTCCGCACCAAGACACTGGCAGATATGTGGCGCATGCTTCATGAGCAGGTCGTCGCAGCGGGTGCCTCCGAGCGAGCTGATGTCGTTGAAGGTGTCATTGATGCCATGTTCCGTTCCCTGAAGGGCCGACAGAGCGCATGGCAATGCTTAATCGACGAAGAATGCACCAAGGCCCAAGCAGCTGGTCCCGATCAGAACGAGGGTGTTCAGCTGTTGCAGGATTGGTTGGTCGGTGTGGCCAGTGATCAGATTGCCTGTATCGACGATAATGAAGAGACAGGCCAGATGGGCTACCTGTCCAAATTCAAGCGCGATATCGAGACACTGGTTACACCCAAGTACATGGCCACGCGTGCAAACGAGGAGCTGGATGCCCTGCGCGATGGCTATGTCGATCTGAGCACACACTGCCTGGCGCAGTTTGTGCAGGTAGTGTTCACAGTGGATCTCGCGACTGTTATTCCAGATTTGTTCACCGCAAAGTGGTACGGCGAATATGCTATCAAGCGGATCACGTCCACTTTCGAAGATTACATGACCGACTACACACCCGTATTACACCCCTCACTAGTCGACATCCTCGTCGAAGAACTATCCGACGAGCTGCTAGTCCGGTACCTATCTTCAGTCCGCAACAAGGGTGTCAAATTCCGCCGCAACGCCGACCCCTTCACCGACAAGTTCAAAGACGATGTCCTCACGGTCTTTGCTTTCTTCCAGAAATACGAGGACTCCTTCGAAGGAACAATCAAGCAAAAATGGCGTCTTGTGGACTGGCTGGTCCGCCTGCTCGAAGCCGAAAAGGGCCAAGGAATTGTCAATGTCTACGAGTCGTTTAAGCTCGAGTATTGGGACCTACAGCTCTCCTGGGTGGAGGCTGTCCTGCGTACCCGTGATGACTTTGAGCGAAGCATGATCAGTGGTATCAAGGCGAAGGCTGCAGAACTGTCTGTTGAAAGAGGCATGGAGACTATAATGGGCCGATTGAGGTGATTATGATTGCAATAGTTACATACCATAATGCCACCTTGAAAGAAGGAATGATGATGGCTCTGTATTAACCATGCGGTGTTGGAATTGGGAATTAGAGTCTCCAAGCTGGCTTGAGATGCGCAACCCTTGAGCCACTTTTGTGAATGAATTAGCAAGCAAGTTCTACTATACTGCCACGAATAATAGAAATGAATTTGAACTATCCGAAGAGATCATCGTTATTTCAAGCTTTAATCGCCTTAATCGAACCAGAATCATCTGCCAGTGGAATCTAGACTTTGGCTCGCAACAACGGCATACTTCTCCCCGAGCCGTGCATTCCTGCCAAAATCACCACCAACAGCAAGCTTCTTCGCTCCCATCTCACAAATATCTACCGTACCGATCCGAATCTCTTTCGCCCAGAGGAAAGGGTACTGCGGCTGAGTCGGCGTAGATTTTGATTTTGATGTTGATGTGGAGGGGGAAGGGGGCCCTTGCACGCGGGGCACTGTCCTCGCTTCATTGGAATAATAATCTTTATACCGTCCTAAAAGGCCCTGTGCATTGAATTCAAAGCGCTGAGGCATATGCCTGCCTTTGTTGGCAGAATTTGAAGAGCCATGCCTGGGCTTCGGTCGCCCCCGCACATAAATCGTGTTGACGATCGTCGCGTGCAAGAGGAGTGGCCGTGATTTCGATTGCCGAGCCAGAGCGGCAGTGTAAAGGTCAGGTAGTAGCTCCGCTTTTTTTGAGACACCAGTGGATCTTGATTGTGTGTGATTCTGCTTGTCGTCATCTGCCTCGGCTTTTTCTGCAGGCTTTTTCTGCATCTTATTCTTCTCTTTCTCATTCTGTTTCTGTTTCGCTTTCGGCTCGCCGACCAGGAAACCCGCCTCGACGAATTTATCCCGTAGCATCAGGCAAAATGGGTACAGACGTCCTGTAGGATCGACGGGTGAGGCATGTAGAACAGTAGCGGCCTTTGCATTGGGTAGTGCATGTAGCGATTCGAGAGAGATGGTCAGTTGATGTTGAGATTGGTTTACCCGGTGCTTTGGTGTAGATGTAGGGTCTTGGCGGGTATTTCGATTTTCCTTTTGAAGGGCCACGCGCTCCGCTTCATGCATCAGGTTGACTAGGTCGAGCGAACGCAGGAAAGAGATGGCCTCGTTGAGACGCTCTTCACTTGGGAGACTCATCACACCGAGCGTCAGGTGAAGCGTGCCCAGGGGACGAACCGCACCCTCGGGAATGAGGGGCTGTGACGACTCTGAGCCATGATCGGTTGACGACTGGTCGCGTTTTTGGAGGAGCTCTGCAACCGGGACTGGTGGGTTGTCCTTTTTAAAGACAGCTATTGATGCTTCTAGCTGTGGGGTGGAGCTGATATTGATCAACGGGAGACATAGAAAATGCGTAAGAGGTGGACGCTTCTCCTGTGTTTGTGGCCCGTTTTGTCTGCGTCCCGTCATGGCCCGAGTATGTGTTGAATATAATCGACGCGTACAGGAGAAATGATGGGTTGTAAGCGAGAGCCTACAAGGCCATGATATGCTCATTTAGTGGGAAGTTGATTGAGGTGGAGTAGTATAAAAAGTTATTGAAAGTTGAAACCATGGACAAACCACAAACATATGGTGTTCCATAGCCGCCATATGCTCAATACACTATTTGTCCAAATCTCTACCGCCCTACACTCCACTCTGTAAATGTCCAATAATCAACCTATCGGCTTATTTCGGCGGTATTCATAATTCAATATGCTCACCCGACTGTTATGGAGTCAAAATGGCGATTACTGGCGAAGCAGACTTTGTAGGCACCCCCAAAACTGGAAGGACTCTGAAATTATTGTTTAACTCAACAGCATTAGGAAGCATTGGGCTCCGAATTTAAAACTAACTCGAAAACCGCGGAATTTTTCGGGCCTCCGCAAAATCTTTGAAGGCTGAGTCGGGGATTTGAATTGTGAAATAGTTCCAACCAGCCCTGGTAAGATCGCGAGAAGCTATTCAAGCTTGCAATCATGTGGAGGTCAAGAGAATTCAAGAATGCCGATGCGTACTCATCCTTCCCAGGATCCACGAAATCATGGACAAGGATTTTTGAAATACCAGGCTTCATGACATTTGTAATGTGTTTTATCGCAGCCATACAGTCACTGTTTTGGATTTGACGAGTTATCTGTCAGCCTGCGCTCCAATATCTCTTGCTACTAACGGGTTGTTTCATACCTGGTTGAGTGATCCATCAAGACATGGCTCAAAAGGTAGATATCGGCGCCTTCTACCGATTGAGGAGAGAACATGTCCTGTGACTGCCACTGAATTCTACCTCCTAGGGCTGAGGGAACAGTTCTTTGAGCAAGTTCAACCACACTGGCGTGGTCTTGTACAATGAAAGACATGCTAGGATACTTTGTTCCTAGCCGCATCGAGTGTTGTCCGTTTCCGCCTCCGATATCAACAATGAGCGCATCGGGGTCTAATGAGTTGAATGGGAAGATATTTTCGATTGGCTCATCAAGAGGTGTGTTGTAATGTCCAGCCATGGCGTCGGCAAAGCGACTCCCTCGTTTCTGATCCACCTGGTGATAGTAGTCGTACAGTGTCTTTTTGGCTGTGAGCAGTTGGCAAATGTTCATCACAACGAGTCTTCCTTCAACATTCTGATAACCTACTGTTGAATGCAAGTTGAAATGCTGATTGACGAGGATCACTTGGGATCTGTAGGTTGTTTTGGATAGTACTCCGTGCTAAGTGAGCGCCACACAGAAGCCCATCGTCGGCCCTATCTTGTTAGAGCCCATATTATAGGGAAGAATAAGGTGCAGATATGACGTACAGATAGTGGACTAGGGAGGCGAACTCATGATGGAGGAGACAAATTGAGCGTGCGTTGTGTCGGTATTTCTCCGGCTCAGGTTCATCGAAAATCGACCGCTTCACACACTGCCGCATTATTCTTTCTGCAAAAAAAAAAAAAAAAAAAAAAAAAAAAAATCAGTATCTCCAGAGATCTATGAGAAGAACTAACACTTACTGATCAACTGGATTGAGCCACCTGTCATCTTTTCTAGTTGAGCGAGTGAGGTCGAACCGCCGCCTTCCTGGATATGACGGTGGATATTCATCTCTACCACGATAGAGAGAGCCACGGTATCCATATAAGCCCATGCGGCCTGGGCCAACCATTCATGTGGCTCAGTAAGAAGTGATGCTAGCTCTTGGCATGCCTCCGTAACTGCTTGAACTTCAGTTTTCATTCCACTACTCTCTAGAGCGGGATCTGACTGCAAGACAGACTTGAACGCCCGAGGAGCGTTCTGAGCTATAAAAGACGAGATCTCTTCAATTCTAGCATGCATATCATTGGAACGAGTCATGATGGATATTAAAATTGATGACTGGAAGCTGAGTCTGAGTGGGTTTTGGATAATTCAAGAAGGTCATTTCAACAGTCAGGCCATTAGAACGTTTAAGTAGTTGGTTCCTTCTCTGTCTTCGCTATGCCTACCTAGGACTTCTTAGCTCTTTAACCTTGGAAACTCAGATACATGAGATACATGTATATCATGCATATTACGTACGATTCCCATTATAAACTTCCAAAATTGCGGTTGAGCTCGAAGTCCTTTACCGTCAGATACCTAGGTGCGTGACGTGTTTCCAACATGCCAGCCACACTCAAGTGCTCAAGTGCTGATCACTCAACATTGAAGAAACCTAAACTTGAAACCGAACAGACCTTCACCGCTAGCAATATTATGCTTACATTCTCCGTAGATATTATGTTTTCGGGGCTTCTCGGAGCGGGGCTGTGGATTCTCTGAATGTAAAAATATTGGGCCACCATGTGGATTTATGAGGGTAGATCTGAACATTTGAAGCGATGAGGTGGTTGAAAGAGCCGACCAACTTGGTCATGCTTGAGCACCTCATTGGAACAACATTACCAGCCCTGAATTCAGAACTAGCGGTCATCGCCATGCAAGGGTGTGAACGCATCGTACTTTGAGAACTAAGCATTCAAGGTTTGAGGACTTCCAAGGTCTAGAATATGAGAATCTCGGACTTAGGGCTTGAGGACGTAAGGGGATGCTGACGCTATCAGGTGCAGAGTTCCGCAGTTTTCCAATCTCGATCCATGCACATCCATGCATCTTGTTAGGAGAATCCCCCGGCGTCCTGGCACGATAAGAATACGAGTCATGTGAGATGCGTCTGATATTGGCATTAGTAATATCCCGACTAATCGTCCTTTTCAGGGAATGTGATCTATCAACTTTGGTGGTGCATAGGCAACTTTTCCGCGTTCCCTATACTTTGTCTGGCTGGCATAACACATCTTCTCTGTTTCAAAGCACAGAGAAGATTCAGTCAAGGGCCGTCCTATTTTATATTAATCCAGAATATAAATTACTAGTACTACGCGAAGTAGTATCATCTGAAGTGAGAAAAAAAAAACTCTCCTGCTGTATTCAAGCACAAGCACCATTAAAGGAATTTGCCGTCAAATTTGGAATACCTTCATCGCACGATAAAAATGGCGTTTTCAGTTGGGGCCATCTTACTACTAGCATTGCAGCTCATGCTCTGTTGGCTCATTTACATCGGAATTTATAGAATTTTCTTCCATCCACTTGCCCAGATACCAGGACCCCGTCTCGCTGCCATCACAGATCTATATCGATTCTACCATACTGTGATTCAACGTGGAGATTTGCTCAATCGTGTGAAGATCCTACACGAGATTTATGGTTAGTGCGGAGCTATATTGTCATCCGCTCCATGCCTATGTACTAACCAAATACATATTCAGGTCCCGCAATAAGAATAGGCCCAAATGAGGTTCGTCCTAGCAGGTGCATATCCTTGCCTCGAGATATTAAAATTGATAGATTCATTTTTCTGGCTCGGATGCCTATTTTGACATATACCATTCTCGTGACACTGAAAAAGAGGCTGGTTTCTACGAGGCATTCTTTGCCCCTGATGGCAGCCTTGCAACACCGAAGCACGAGGAGGCAAAATTACATAGAAAGCCACTTCTAAGATTGTTTTCCCGCAGAGAAACCATTCAAAAAGAAGCTTTGTTGGTCTCAAAGGTAGGGAAACTCTATGGATGAATATAATAATGAGTGAAGGCTGAATGAAGATATACACCCGGTACGATAGGCCGAGCAGCTTTGCAATATACTGAGCGACTCTGCGTCCGAGCAGAGCCCAGTCGACATGTGGATGGCATTTCGCTGCTTTGGACTCGACGTTACAACAGAATTCGTTTTTGGATTTACATTCGACTCATTGAAAAGCCCTGGGTTTCAATGCCCCACATTACTGGGCCAAGATTGCCTACTGGCAGGGCTTTGGGCACAGGCGTATTCAAGATGGATACCTGCCCTAACAAATTGGCTCAGCCCATGGAGTCTACGTATTTTTTATCCTCAAAGCCAAGTTTTGTTCGAAAATTTGAATGTGAATGAAATGCACAACTTTCCTTGCGTGAGAAAATGTTAACTCTTGTTTTTGTTTCAGTATCTCCAAATCCAGCTTGATAAATTGCTGCGCCAAAACACAGATGATCAAAAGGGAAATGTTCGTATACCTCTATTTGAAGCGCTAACGACCCCGGTGGAGCTCAACCGTATTCCAGTACGCAGCTATACAGCTATTATTTCCGAAGCATTCACCATGATATTCGGACCCGCTTACGCGCTTGGAACAACACTTACTATGGCCACCTACTATACCACGCGTGACCGAAACATCCTATCAAAGTCACAAGCAGAGCTAGGGGGGATATGGCCCGAAAATCAAAAAGAATGCCCACCCTGGATCGATTTGCAAAAGCTGCCGTACCTCGTAAGTCCTGGCCCGCTTTAATGCAAGGTGTTCAGAAATCCTAACAATTGGTTTTTCAGACTGCTGTGATCAAGGAAACGTTGCGCATGGCTGGAGGGGTCTCCACGAGGTAGAGTTTCTCTGAATATTTGCATCGTTGCTAGTACGTACTGACCATCCCCAGTGTTCCTCGAATCACACCGCTCGGTGGGATGCAGATAGCCGGGCTTCATGTTCCGCAAGGTGTACGTTCTCAGGCATTTATGGCTAGGCATGATCGGAAGAACCAGAATTTTGCTGATTGTGGTGCAGATCACGGTATCGAGCAGTAGCTATTTCTCTAACCATGATGAGAAGATCTTCAAAAACCCACATGCATTTTGCCCCGAAAGATGGATAACAGGTGGCAAGGAAATGCAAAAATGGGATCTGACGTTCTCAGTCGGACCAAGACAGTGCCCCGCTATCAGGTAAGGAATTTTCTCTTCATCTTCCTCTTCGTTCTGCATGACCTCGGGGGTACGCCGAGATCAGAATACATATCAAGCCCTAGCCAATGTGGCTTGGCCATTGACTTTCTGACGTGTATACAGTTTCTCTGAGGCAGCTTTACATGTATGCCTCGCTCACATCATACACTCCTTTGAGCTAGACTATCCTGATAGAGGGTATGCGAATTTCCTTCCTTGGGCCTTTCAATGATGTTTTTTTTACTCGACACAAGTGACTAATAATGCCCTACCTAGGCGTATAAAGTATAAGGATTACTTTGTGCCTTTGATCGATGGACCAAGAATGCGAGCACAAGTCAAAAAGAGGCTTTAATCGACAGACTGGATCGGCCAACGATCCTAGGGGACTAGGTATGGAAACAGCGGTCAGTTGGAAGGGATCATTGGGCTTTGGAAGGAAGAAACCTTGGAAACAGTACGAGAACTGGTAACCCACATGGATCAATAATGAACACCGAACGTTTAGGCTAGTAATCTTATAGTTCTACGTTGCATAAGGCTTGCAGATCCATATCGCGACGATCGATCTGAATAAATTATGATGTCTAACATGCTGCATAAACCTTGAGGCTTGCAGATACGAGCATTCAAATCGCATCGTGATCAGCTGCAGATACAAGCGGTGTGTGATCAAGTATCGCACATATGCAGGCATTGGCAGCTATTCCGGTCCTATTCTGACATGCACGTTTTTTGATGCCGTCAAGGCTACTTAGAAAACGTGCCATATAAATACCGGATAATCTACCCAGAGTGATAGGTAAGTACTCCCCAGGAACGTGTATGTATCCTCCTTTGAATCCCCTTCGTGTCTATTTCAAGCTTATTGATCACTCTACAAGTTTCTTCCAGCAGCAGCAATACCTACATTTGTCACATCCTACAATGACGGTCAGCGCAGAGGATCTCTTCAATGATATTGGCCAAAAGTACGAGGATGTCTATGTCGAAAACATTGGCCTCAAGAAGGTCATACAACTTGCCTTGGCAGAGCTCAAGCCACGGAGTAAAGTTCTCGATGTTGGCTGTGGTACTGGAAAGCCAGTAGCGAGCCAAATTGCCCACGCTGGTCATGATGTCTATGGCATCGATGTCTCGCAGAAAATGGTCGACATCGCCAAGAAACAAGTACCCGGTCGGTTTGAAAGAGAAGATATGTTGTCTTTTGAGCCTACAACCAAGTTTGAGGCGATCTTTGCGATTTTCTCTTTGTTTCAACTCTCGCACAGTGACACATATTCCATGATGTTCAAATTTTCGGACTGGCTAAGCAAGGACGGCATTCTCGTTCTGGGAACCATACCAAGCACAAGCCTCATCAAGGATGAGAGTCTTTATGATCCCAAGGGACAGGTTGTTCGACATGCGCAGCTTCCATTCATGGGTAGGAAAGTTCTTGGGACTTTGTACTCCAAGGAGGGATGGCGGGATCTGTTCCAAAGGGCCGGCTTTGAGATACAAGTAGAGAAGTTCTTCTCTTTTACTGAACATCAACCATACGAGAATGAGATCCAAGAACACTACTTTATCGTTGCCAAGAAGACTGTGGACCACGCCCTGATGGGGCCGTATCCCCTTCCGACGTCATATCGTGGGCCACATCCGCTGAGCGAAGGTTCCTGGGGCCCCTTCGCGGAGAGACTGATTCGAGATGAATTTGACGCCGTGCTGGACTTGCTGAAGAACAACAAAGATATTTTGGATGTGGGAAGCGGTTATGGAAGTAAGTTTGTTCAGCTTTGGTTCTAGAAAGGCTCCGAAGCTAATTAATTTTATCTGCAGAGCTGCCTATCGCCATCGCCCAACGTGGAGGTAACGCATATTCAATTGAACCTAATCAGGAGCGCAACTCTCGTCAAGTGAAAGATGCGCAAAATGTTGAGGTCCGTGTTGGATCTGCGGAGAATATTCCATTCCCGGATGGAAAATTCGATGCTGTCGTCGCAATGTGGGTGATGCATTATGTGGATGACTTAGAAAAGTCACTCCGAGAAATGACAAGAGTTGCAGACATTACCAACCCAGATGCCCAGCTTATTATTGTTCAAGGTGCACCGGACAATCAGCTCGTGAAATTGCTGAACGATGTTTGCGCTCCCCTAAGTGCTGAAAACACGCGTGTGGATCACCAGGGGTATCTCCTGCATACCGCAGCTAAGGTGTTCTCCGAGCACGGGTTTGGACAAATTGAAACATTCCGTGTCAATGCTTTTTGTGCCTTTCCTGAGGAGGATCTGGCGGAGAGATGTCAAAAAGCGGCCGAGGTTCTAGTTGGCTTTTGGTTCAAGGAAGACCCCAATTATGAGCAGATGAAGGCAGCGATCATTCCCCACCTTGAGCTCCATTTCAAGGATCGCCCGCACGCCATTGGAGACGAAGTTGCCATTCTCTCCGCCAAATGTGCCCCCAACTGAGTCATCCTGAAGCTATGTAATGGCTCTCTCTCTTCCTCTTCAATCCTTCAGGTATCCTTTGGGCAGCCTCGGTGCAGTAAGCACTGAGTACTAGTATATAGTACATGCATGGGGGTATTATGACCTGCCCTCGATCGCATGTCCGTTTTTCTAGTGAATCAATCCTTTTATCCTAAGCTGGTTCCGCTTGATCTCACTCGACCTGAGTGCATACTAGTCGATACTCATTTAGCAAATGCTTAGAACTGGAGGACTTCTCACCGCAGGAATTTTACGAGGCACGTCGATCCACAAGGAAGGCGTTCACTCAATGAGATAACCAAATCTGGGTTAAGAAGAAAGAAAGAAGAAAAAGAACAAGAGAGGAGAACAACAAACGGAAAGGCGCGTCAGCACGCAAGTATGTGATCCCCCACACCCAAGCCTCAGCTGCATGAGTGCAATTCATGACAAGGAAATGATAGGACCCATGTAGCATAGCACATCCATTTCCATCACCGAAGGTCCTTACTCTTGGAAAACTGCTCAAGAGTCAAGCTGAGATACTGGACAAGCCCGCCGTGTATGGGGGCGTGGAAAATAAACCTAAAAAATTGGTGCTCCGTCAGCAAATTGCTGGTGAGTTCTTCCACTCGTCCTGACGATGTAAAGGGGGGAGGTGAATAAGGGGGCGTTGACCCTACGAGCGCGGGCGGGTCAAGAGGCCCCGGCTTGAAGGGCAAGCAACCTGGACTTTGCCGTCCAGCTGAAGCGGCAACACCAACAGTCCAAGTGGAGGCTTTGGGAAATCGCTGGAGCTCTCACCTGATATTGATCGATTATGAGGAAGAGATATATGCCATGGAGGGCTAGAAGAGAAGAAAACCTGTGTTGTAATATTCCCTCCGTCAGCAAATTGCTGGTGAGTTCTTCCACTCGTCATGGCGATGTAAAGGGGGAGGTAAATAAGGGGGCATTGATCCTATGGACCAATAGGCCCCGGCCTGAAGGGCAATCGACCTGGACTTTATCGTCCAGCTGAAGCGGCAACGCCAACAGTCCAAGTAGAGGCTTTAGGGAAATCGCTGGAGTTCTCACCTGATTGATTTATTCAGACATATGCCATGTAGGGCTGAAATAGAAGAAGACCTGTGTTGTGATATCCCCTCCGTCAGCAAATTACTGGTGGCTCGTCATGACGATGTAAAGGGGAAGGTGAATAAGGGGGCATTGATCCTAGTGCGGACCAAGAGGCCCCGGCCTGAAGGGCAAGCAACCTGGACTTTACCGTCCAGCTGAAGCGGCAACGCCAACAGTCCAAGTGGAGGCTTTTGGGGTAATCGCTGGAGTTCTCACCTGATTGATTGGCTCTGAAGAAACGCATTCTATGTATGGCTGGATTTGAAGATGACCTGTAATGAAATATTCCCTCCGTCAGCAAATTGCTGGTGAGTTCTTCCACTCATCATGACGACGTGAAGGGGGAGGTGAGTAAGGGGACATTGACTCTAATTAAGAATAAGAACGAACGCGGGCGAGTCAAGAGGTCCCAGACCAGAAGGGCAAGCAGCCTGGACTTTACCGTCCAGCTGAAGCGGCAACACCAACAGTCCAAATGGAGGCTTTGGGGTAATCGCTAGAGTTCTCACCTGAAATTAAGATCAATTCCAGAGCCCTGGAGCATCCAAAGATGTGTCACAGACCATGCAACAAGGCACTGTGAAGTTCGTACGTATCTAAAGCAGATATATCAGTTAAGGTCAACAAGGGTGAAAGGGAATGGTCAAGAAGAGTAAGTGGAATGACAATAACAAGAGGGACATGAACATGTTGAATGAGATATAGGAAGCTCAAGGTCGACGTGATGTTGAGATGTGATGGGAAGATGGGGCTTACCTGGATGGGTTGGATGAAAGATAAAAAGAAAGTTGATGAAGGGTAGTGAAAAATAGTAAAGAATTATAAGGTTGATGAAGGATGGGAAGGACTAGATGACATGTGGAGAGAGGGAAGGTTGATGAAGGAAGTGAAGGACGAGATGGAAGGTGGAGTGTGGAGGAGGGAAGAAGAAGAAAAGAAAAGAGGAAAAGAAAACAGTATTTATACCCAAAACCAAGTGAGAGAAACGCGTTGTACACCCCTTCCCAAAATGGCAAAATACAAAGCAGATGCTTGTGCTCGCTGAATGTGGCTTAGTACGAGGTATGACTTCCCCATCTAGACAAACTTTGCCATTTCAGGCTTCTTGATTTCCCCGGAAACTTGAGTGCGAGAAAGTATAAATTATGACAGTTTAGGAAGACTCCGTTTAGGGCTCGGAATTGTGCCGTGGACCAGATGAGTAGACATCTAGATGAAACCTTTGCCGGGAGGCAGCTGCGCAGAAACACTAGTAGAGGGAGGATCATCGATGAGTGTCTCTCAATCATAACATTTGAGATACACGAGCAGAAAATCCAAGGCTCGATCGATCCTGGAGATAGGAATGCCAGTATAGACGTGCTCAGGATGAACATTGAGTTCCGTACTATGTAGAACATACCAGTAGTACTCGGAACTAGCTAGAAGCCCTTCTAAAGCTTGATAATGTACTATAGTACGTACCTCTACGCCCAAGTGGCAACTATCTGTCAATTCCGAGTGCAAAACTCCGTCAAGTTTCTACATGTTTGGTCTTCAGATCTTGTGGCAGGAATTATATAGCATGGATGGGGGGGAGGTATTAATATGTGTGTAAAGTAAAAAGAAAGGTGGGTATAGAGTGAATAGCTTTATGCCTAGCCAGACTCCTTCTTTCGTCCTTCCAACACACGCATCACATCATCCACACTGTCCTTGTCGCCCTTCTTCTTCTTAGGCCCACGCTTTCGCTTCTTGGGACCCGAGTCCTCAAAATCAAGCAACACAGCTTCATCATCTTCATCATCCTCGTTCCGGCTGCCTCCGAACCCGAGATCCATATCCGCAGCATCCATGGCATCCCGTCGTCGAGCTTCCTCGAGGAACTTCTTTTGCCGCAGTGAGGACTCGGTGGACTCGCCCTCGTCTGCAGCGGACGGCGAGGCCTGCCGGAGAGCAGCTGCTCGCTTGAGCGCGGCGAGAATAGTGGGATCTTTGGTGAGAGGGTTTGAACGATCATCTGGCTGCTCCTCAACAGCCTCGGAAGAAGAACCGGTGGCAAAGTAGTTGCGAGGCTTGGAGGAAGGTGCTTCGGTCCCAGGGATTTGGCCATCCTTTTCTGTAGAGGCCTTCTCCTCTTTCTGTGCCGCCTTGGTCGTATCTTTCGACTCTCCCTCCTCATCAGATGAGGAGTCTTCTTCATCCTCGATGCCAGCAAGAGGATCGTAATCCGCGCCAACATCCGCAAAGATATCACCATCGTCCTCCTCTTCCAGTGCAGCAGCATTAGCAGCAATCTTGGCCGCAATCTCAGCCGGGACCTCCATTCCAAGCGGTTTCGCATCTTTATCGGGCATCGGCATCGCATCAGGCCTAACATATTCACCAGGCTTATCAAGCCAACGCGTCTTCCGTTTCGTCTTGCCCTCTGCATCAGTGATAAGCAAGACCTCCCGCCTCCTCCCCCTCTCATCCGTCTCCACGAACCGCTTCTTCTCCGGTCTTCCATCCCCAAGTTTCTTGAACTTGGCTCCTAGCACCGACTCAGGCGGCGGGGCAGGCACACTCGCGGCAGCCCGCTTACTCCTCAGTTCTTGTAGAATCTCGTCCCTTGTCTTCTTGCGCGCCGGCGGAGGCGCCATCGTGCCCTTTTTCTTCTCCTTCTGCTCTTTCGGTGCAGCTTGTACCTCCTCCTGTCCCTTCTCCTCCATCAAACGCTCAAATGCCTCCTCCGCATCTTCGCCGACAAGCGCCTCGTCTGCTGGCGAGGGCTCAGGTTTCTCGGGGGCCTGTGAGACATCCTCACCAGCACGAGCTCGGCGAAGCAACGCATAATCAAGACCTTTGACCATATGTGTGCTTCCAGTATCACCGCCGACACCAAGTTCTTTTCGCAAGTTGTCGAATGTGGCTTGGTCGATTTGACCTAGTTTCACCATGTCTTCTAGGGCTTTGATGCGCTGCGAGAGCTCATCTTCCTTTTCTTCTTCGGCAGCTGCATTGCGCAGCTGGGCGCGATCTTGGTATCCGGCTGCTAACTTGGAGCCTTTTGGTGCGGCGGAGGACTTGAATCGTTTCGTGGGTCGGTCGCCTCCCTCGCGGCGCTGCTCTGCGAGTTGGCGCGCAAAATCGACGCCTGTTACAGCGCGTCTGTGAGGTTGAGAAGTACTGCAGTTAGCAAGGTCTCTATGGCGATACTCTTGCTGGGGGGGAGAGATACGTACGGGGTCATAGGAATGTTGGATCGCATGCGCGAACCGAGTAACCCGCCGCCTGGCGTTGCGCTGCCGGGTGCTGCATTTCGGGATGAGGGTGAGGATTTGTCTCCAGACTTGGCCGAGGAGGAATTATCGGCTAGCAGCCGTCGGAACTGCTCGTTGTTCATGATTGTGACTTGAGGTTTAAAATTGTCATTGGCAGACGTCAGTTTTAGCATGAGCGTGATCTTGGCGCGCGCGATAAGGTTTGTCTTATCAGTACGTGAAGTTGTTTAATTCAAGTATCGCGTGGGGGTTGGGGGAAAACGTACCAAGATAGAAAGAACCTTGAAGAACGATACGATCTATAGGTATTTGATTGATAAATTGTTTCTTTAAATGGGCGCATATTCATGTGTAAGTTTTTCATGAACATCGGTAGAGCGTTCTACAGAACTAGCGTCCTGATTTGTTCTGCGGCACCCTTACTACTACACTACTACAGCTGGGAGGTAGGACGGGCTTGGCATAAGACAATCATGTGTAAAACTAACCAGCTTCTCAACCCACCTTGACACCCATCGAGAGCAGTCGGACTGACACCCTAACTGAGTGAGAATGAAAAACACTCGAATGTAGTGTGCGTCTCATCAAAAATACAGCGCCAAAATTGACAACAATCATGAAGGCCAAATAGAAGGGCAAAAATAAAGATTAAACCATCAAACAATCAAACAATCACCGACCCAAACCATCACCGAACCAGAATATCTCCATAGTTATATCGTAACCAGAATGAGGTGGATGAAACAGATAACAGAAACAGCAATAATTTTCTTTCGCCGATGAAATTCATTAAATCGTTTCCCATCCACCATTGTTGATTTCAGACTCTAGTTTGCGGCTGATGGTGGCGGGGATGGAGTGAGATAACCAGACATCACGCAGCAGCCTGTCGTAACGTTTTTGGTTAAGAATAAGTTGGCGGTTGCGTCGGAGACCGGGGTCTACTTCTCCGTGGCGGTCCAGATAGGGGGCGTAGTGCCAGGATCCATTTTGGTTATGGAGGTAGAGGACTGTGCACTTGCGGATGTTTATGAATAGACCAATGTTTTTGCCACATCTGTTTTGAGTGTTAGTTTTCCGAGAGAGAGAGAGAAAAAAAGAAACCAAATAGGGATTCATGGTTGGGAGATTCTTACTTCTTAACATGTTGGTTACAGCCACCCAGCTTGTTGTGCATGCAGCACACTGCCTGGGAGCAGAAGATGTCACCGCAGAAAAGGCAAATGCTGGGGTCGCTGAGTTCCTTCTTGGAACTGGGGCAACGGCGCCGGTTTGCTTCTTCGATCAAGCTGTCGAAGTATTTAGGCAGGCCGACCAGTTCGAAAATAGCCGGGTGTGGAAGGCTGGGCCACAAGCGGTGATCATCGAAGCGGATACCCGAGCGCGATGCATTCCAGTGGAATATCCATCCGGAGATTATAGCATCGAAGGAACTGGTACTTGTGCGTGCAGGATTGATGGTCATCAAGATCTCGTCAAGGGAAGGCAGATGCAGGACCTTGGTAAGTCTGTCAAGCTCTGATGAGCCAACATCAGCGAAACCAGTGTTGGGGAAATCAACACCGTACTGGACATTTAGAAGAATAACAGCCTTGCGCAGGAAGGTAAGAGCATAGCTCGAAACGAGGCGGCGCAGAGCAATGATGACAGCTGGGGTTGCTGACTCTTCTCCATCCTTGACATATCCACTTGCTGCGGGCCACGAGGAGCCCTCGGCGCGCCCAACGGAGTTTGCTCTAAGCTCGGAGACGATCGAGTCAAAGAAGTGTTTAGTCACATCGTAGCGCGCAGTTGAAAGCTCGTCATCAGTGAAAGTGGTCTCTCCCTGGCTGGCAATCTCTTCTTTCAATCCCAATGGCCAAAGAATGAATGTGACAGCAACCTTGACAATCTCAGCAACGTAGCACATCTGGATCAGATGGGGCATTTCAATGTTGAGAACCGGCAGCAAGGAAATGGAGCATTCTGCGAGGAATACAAATGTATCCATAGCAAGCAGGGGTTCAATATTCCGGACATCATTCAGCAGTGGTGTACCGCTCAGGCAAGGATGCCCGACGAGAAGCTGACAGATCTTCTGTCGATGCATCTCTTGGAACTCCAGAGCCGGGCGACTCTTCGTGTTGTTGCGCGAGGAGACAATTCCAACAGCGGCGTATGTCAGCGCTGTCTCAGCCAGAACACGAAGATGTGTCAGCGTCAGTGGTGGGATTTTATCCAAAAGAGTAGATCCAGGTTCCGACTCAACACCACGTTGGGCAATCTCGACCGCGGAGATACTGAAACCGAAGCTTCGGATCAGGGAGTCGGTATGAACCAAGTCATCATTGTTGATTGTATCAGGGCTATTGTTGAAGATCGAGTTGATATGGTTCATCTTGATGGTTTTCTTCAGACGCTTATAAATCTGGAGTAGCTCAGTCATGGGAGTATGCGGACCGGGAGCTTGCTGGAGAGGACTTGATGGGGAGATTTCTTCTGAGCCAGGGAAGAGCCCAGGAATATCAATGCGCACATTGTTGGAAACGAACTGGCTGGGCACCGATTGGGTAATCGATGGGATTGAAGAGGGTGCTATGAGTTGAGCGACCTTGGAAGCCAGTGGAGGAACCAGTGATTTTGAAAGGTATTCAACAAACAAATCAGTGTAGGTTTGCGGATAGCCCTTGTCTTTCTCGACCATGAGGACAGGGAAATTCTGCGACTGGTTCAATGAGTTCTTGAGACCCTTGTTCATCCAATCGTCAAAGGAGGAAGACGTCGCCAAGGCCCCGGGGTAAGATTCCTCCTTACCCTTCCAGGTGATTGGCAGGAATGCATTACCAAGGGCTTTGCACAACGGACACACAAATTCCTTGAGCCCGGTGTTCTCGGGGTGGTTGCGGGCGATTTGTTGGCTGTGCCGTCTGTGTGTGGCTGCATAATAGACCTCAAAGCAGGAGTAGTGCATGATGTGCCCACAGCCAGTTGTTACTGGTCCGCGTAAGGTAGTCTTTGGGTTGAAACCCTTGCTCAAGCCTACTTTTTCACTGATGACTTCTCCACCCGATGAATCCAACCGCCGAATTGTGGTTCGGTTCTCTCCAGCAACTCCAAACGGACGAATGTCCTCGGCAGATCTATCCAAGCTGCAGGGAGTCTTGATTGCTTCGCGAATTCGATCAGGGTCCCTGATATCGGTCTGTCGCAGAATAGTACTTTCCTGTAACAATGCAAAGGTACCATACAATCTTGAATCACTGGTCTCTTCCTGACATAAGATACAGGTCCCACTGGGGTATTTCCAGACCTTGGTTTCAGGTGCAGCCTCGGTCTCAGATCCCAAATCGCTGAGGTCTTCCTCGCCCCAGTCAATATCACCTTGACTGTTCAGGAAGTTTTGTTGCTGCTGCTGGAATTGAGCCATCACTCGCGCCTGTCTCTCCGCAGCCTGCTTCTTTTTAAGTTCCTTCTCATTATCGATGTCAATCGCAGGTGAGTTTGTATCGATGCGGTCAAATGGGAATTTAAGAGAAGCAGTTGCAGAAGTAAAGGTGCGGGGACGTTTTTGCCACAGACGCTTGAGAATATGACGGATCTTAGGCCCACATGCCGTAAACTCGTTGGTCACTGAGATCTTCTCCAGAAGACCGACGATCGTCAAGTTACCAGCCTTAATCTCCCTGGATTTTGAAAGGGCATGCAGGTTGAAGGATTTTTCCTGTTCGGTCTCCATGCTGTCGTCTTGGGTCTCGTCCTCAAGCACCGCAGCAAGAATAAGATGCAGTATCACCTGAAGGAAAGTCTCGACACGAGTAGGCGGGATTGAAGGAGTGCACTCCTTTGCGAAGATGACATACTCAAGGCACTGATGGACGAGCTGTGCAAAAAGCATAGTTCCAGTGAAACTTGGCAGATCAGAGAAAACGCCAGAGCTGATGGTTCGAAGCTTTGGCTCATATACAATGTCAGAGGCCTTCTTGCCAGTCTTCTTGGCTATCCAATCCCTGTAGATGCTCTCTGCCTCATCTCTCTGGTTCTTTGTATAGTGTGCACTGTATGGATCCACCAGATCAAGGTATTCTGGCTTCAGCTCAAAGGTTCCAGAGTCACTCATGCCCTCCGGAGGACGAAAGTTGGCGACTTCTTCCAGCACATCTTGGAACTCGTCTGATTCAAGCAGCTTGTCACTCAAGCGGGTTGAAAGATCGGAGAAGGAGAGTGGCTTGAAGCACAGAACGTGGGCAATGTCTCGGCTAATGTTCTCCTTGGTCATGTGGGTGCTATCATCAATGGCCGTCAAGGAGGTGCGGTCGGTCAACAGAATGACCAACAGGTGGACGAACTCTTCGGCAACATCGACGATCTGAGTATCCTCAAAGCCAGGACGAGGCAAGTAATTGCGAGCCATCCAATCGGTAACCCCGAATCTATGCGCGATAGAAGCAAGAACCTTGCTCGGGTCACATGTCACCAGGGCAGTCTGCAGAAGGAAGATATCCCGATAATAGGCGAAATCGCGGGAAGAAACTCCACGATATTGTGACATCTGGTGGCGGAGACTGAGGCCATTGCGGACCCACATTCCAGCTTTCATCTGAGCAAGCCAAGCGCACACTCTCAGAGGATAGTCGAACATGACCAAAAGCAGATCTTCGGGCCCAAGGGCCAGGAGACCATCGTCAATTTTAGTGTCGTCGGCTGCTTTGGCAGCATGTAGCTCATTCCTGGCTTCTTGGGCAGCCTCAAGGAGAACGTTGCGAATGACTCCGCTGCTCACATCGCGACCACACTCAATAAGCCATGAAAGGGTGTAGTGGAGAGCATGATGGAAACTGATTGAGCCCTTCTCGACAACAAATTCCACCACGCGATGGCAGGGAATCTGGCCAGAGGAACCGACCTCAAAGTCAAATGGAGACAGTGTCTTGAATCGAACCTCATCTTTGATCTCGGCTTGATCAAAGCGCTTGCGTTCCACTCCTGCAGAGTGTACGATTGCAGTCACCGTTGTGGTCTTGATTGCACGCAGAAGATTCTGCCCGTTATCAATTTCAGGGTTTCTGAACGCCTCGCAGAACTGTCGACAGAGGCGGTTGATCTCGCGCATGAGAATGGAAGCACTGATCCAAGCATCTGTTTCATATTCCACGTGCTCACCAACCGCACGAACGTTTGGGCAGATACCCTGCGAGAGTTTCACAAGATCCAAGAACTGAGGCAAGTATTGCTCTTCCGTCCGTACACGATGCTGCACGTATTCGGATTGAAGGAGATAGCGGAGATCAAGGAAGAAATGATACAGACGTCTATTGGTTACAGAGCCAGCATCGAATGCCAAGGTTGCATTAGGATTGACAGCCTGTGGTTCTCCTACCTGTCTTGTCGTCAAAAATGTGTAGAGGATAGACATTACTTTAGTGAGGAAATTCCCACGAAGCACAATCTCCTCAGTAATGGAGGGTGTCGTCAAAAGTTGCAGTGTAAGGTTGACAATGGAGTGGTCTGGTTCACGATCCGCAACCAGGTAAAGCTGGGCTAGAGCCGTGTATAGTGCAGACAAGCGCAGGCCCATAATGCGCTTGAACTGAGGCACATTGACAACGGTGCTGATGTATAGGTCCCGCAGGTCGGTGCGAGTCTTCTTCCAAAGTCTCAAGTCATATAGAATCAACCAATCCAGACGAGTTCGTTGCCACAGATCTTCATATGCGGCAACCTTTTCGCCAGGGGCCGGAAGGGGGGGCCGGACTTGCCAATGACCTTCTGTTCGTCCCGGCTTTGGTTTTATCGCTCCCGACGGGGTTCGTGGGATGGAAACGAAGCTATTGGGGTCGGGCGTCTGGCTCTCAGTATCACGAGGAGTTGAGCCTGACCGCTCCTGTTGTGACTGCTCTTCCTCCTCTTCTGTTTCCTCGGCGACGGGCTCCGGGGGTGGTGGTCGCATGCCAGTCAAGCCTGCTAAAATACGGTGCGCTATAGCGAGCTCATCTGGCCCAAACTCTTCTCCTGCAGCACCCATATCCATATCCATGTCCTCGTCGCCGTCTCCATCGGCTTCGGCTTGCAGACGAGTGAGTTCCATGTCCATATCATCATCTTCGTCGTCGGCATCGTCGTGAGCTTCTCCATAATCTTCATCGTCGTCGGCCTCAATAGTCTCATCAACAGCATCCTCGTCCTCGTCATCTTCGTCCTCCTCATCATCGGCTTGTAGAATCAGATTGCCGTGAGTGGGAAGGCTGAGCATGAAAGTGCGGCCACCAAGATTATCCGCTCTCTCATGGTCATCAATGCCCTTCATGCCAATTTCCGCATTGTAAGCTCCACTGCCTTTCCGCCAGGGAACGAGTAGTTCTTCACAGATTATTTGGCGGAAAATTTCATTATCCTCCAGAATACTGCCTCCCGCGATATCCGCTAGCCATTCAACAAGTGTTGCGCACATCTGCTCTCGGAATGTGTCGCGTGCAGATCGAATCGTGACTGTGACCTTGATCTCCTCGATGACCTTCGACACAGCTAACAATCTATGCAAATCTTTCGAATGCTTGATAACACTTCGGCCCATATCGTTGGTCTCATGAGCTCGTGCAACACCAAAGCTATCTCGTTCACGGCAAGCGCGGCTCACTTGGTGGGCGACATCTCGGATAGTATGCTTCTCATCATTCCACAACAAAAGTGCAAATTCGGGCTCCTCCTCTGCCTGGTCACCCGCATCTGACCAGTCAGGGCACAATCGTGATGATTCTTCATCTTGCTTGATACCTTCAACAGTCTTGGGTAGACGCAGTTGTTCGGGAGAACAAGAAATTACATCACAGAAGTAATCTAATACACGTGATATCGTGAGACGAATAGAAGCTACTAAGTCCGCGGGCAACTGACGCTGAGCGCGCTCTTTGCCCTTGGCATTACCACTGTCGGTATGGATTGCGCAGAAAAGTGGCAGTCGCCAAGCCTCGTCGTCACCGCAGTCACAGCAGCCGCAGTTACCAGATGAGAGGGAGATCTGATACTGGTGTCCCGTGTGATCAGATGCATCGAAGCATCGGCTACACAACACACAGGTCTCGTCCGCGGCACAGGTTATACATCGGTAGGTAGCTTCCCCAGCACGGAAGATGTGGCCGCATCGCTTTCCTCGCGCAGCTTCGGTGTATTCAGCTCCTTCCCTAGCTCCTTGAGCTTCAGCAAGTTTCCACGCTCCGGTGGGCACACCCTCGGGAAACAGGTGATGTATCAGCTCCTCATTATGCCCTACAAGTGATCGGAAGAGTAGTTCAAGGAGATCCCTCTCTGCCTGTGGGCTGTATCGGTAGTTGTGCTGGGCTGGTAATCGCAAGAGGCCATCGCCGAGGACTTTCTCACATTCTGTGGACATGAGCATGGCTTAGAACTCTCGGGCGGAGGTAGAGGGTCGGGGCCGCTCGGCCAAGTGTGAGATCGGGAAGGTTTTTAGGCGCACTTGGTGGGTTTTAAAGAGCAACAAACATACAAGGCCTGTATATATAGCTCTGTCAGAAAGTCAGTCTCCAGGAAGTTGAGAAGAAGGCGATTTTTGGTGGATTGATTGCGAGTCAACCTCACCGAGGATTTGTAGTGGGGGGAGAATCGTCAAGATGTGGATCGAATGCACACAGGTAGGTCAGACCTTACAGATTTATTAAGAGGCGGTCGAGGACCAGACAGTGATCCACGAAAATATGTTGAAATGCAGGGATTCCGAAGAAGAAGAACAAGGAAAGTCTTGACGGAGATAAATGTTACAATTAGGGACAAGAGGGAGGAACGACCCATTTTGCAAGCATTTTTCGTTATGACATCGTCGGAGCGGTCTCGCTCCCAAACGCCACAGACGATCCACGCTCCTCCCCGAGCAGCCACATCTTTTACGGAGCACGTACATATGGTCAAGTGTCAATATTAACACATCATTTCTCCCGAGTCAGAATACAAATTTCCAATGTAAATATAAAAAAGGCTCTATCGCGTACATACTCGCGGACAAACTCGCGGCTGGCTGGAATGGGTAATAATGAGGAATCCAGTTGATCGCTTTTCCTGCTTCTGCTTCCCCTTAAACCACTTGTAAAATCTACACAGTAGATGTCACCCCCGGTTCCGGTTGTTCATCTAATCATCATCCTCCTCCTCAGCAGCGACAAGGTAGCGGGGCTTGATGTCCTTCCATTGGCGCTATAATCAGTTAGCGAGGATGTTATCGGGTCGTCTCGGTAGAGCCCAGGGGAGATATAGGGAAGAGAGGGCAGGTTCGGGGGAACATACGCCGGCGTTCCAGGAGTCCCAGATCTTGTTGGAGGCAGTGTCGAAGGAACTGTATCGTAAAAAGCTTTGGGTCAGTGGTAATGTACGCCTCGGGGGGTTCACGGATATAACGCACAGCTCGAAAGCGAAGGCACCGGCGAAGATAGCGGTCAGGTAGACGGCATTCTTGCGGAAGAGGGTCCTAAACACGTAGCAAATATCACAGTTAGACTTGAAGGCGACAATTGCGACCATCCGATCGAGGGTGGGGAGACGTGCTGGTAGATAGCGTTGGAGATCTGTCATGCGCTGTTAGCAAGGGAGTTTTGCGCGGCGCGAAGCACCATTGGAAATGGGAGTGACATACGCCGGCCATTGTGACGGTAAGGAAAGTGTTGAACACAACCGAGGGCAAAGGGAGATCTGGGGTATTGAAGATGAAAGAGAGAGTGAGAAGGAATGGAAGTTCGCAGGACGAAAAGCTGCGGGAATTCCCGGTTCGCTGATTGGCCCGTCAACACTGACTACTCCGGCCATCCGTACATCTTCAAGTTTGCATTGTTTCTTTTTCCGACATTCGATTGATTCGAGTGGGCGAGCTCAGGAGAGTCGCCCCCTGTGAGCTCTTCCTATATCTAAATTCTTTCTATTGTTTCTTACTTTTTCTTTTTCTTTCGTTTTGTGTTCTGCTCTTCAGCCTCCATTTACCATTCACCATGTCCTCCAACGTCTCTAAAGCCGGAATCACCACCGATGCAACCGGTGCAAGCTACATCCCCTCATCGGTCCGTGCAGATGGCTCCAAACGTCGAGAGATTCGTGTCCGCCCTGGCTACAAGCCCCCAGAGGATGTCGAACTTTACAAGAATCGTGCCGCCGCTGCGTGGAAAAATCGTGGAAAAGGCGGGGTGCCGGGTGCAGAGGCATTGAGCAGTGGGGACGACAAATCTGCCGCGGCAGACGCCACGGCTGCCAGCAACAAAAACGCAAAGCGCCGCGAGGCGAAACGTCAAGCAAAGGAAGCCGAGGCCTCAGTTAAAACGGGCTCTGGATCCGACAATTGGCGTGTGCCCGCCAAAAAGGACGAAAAGCCCACCGAGCCCGAGAAGCAGGAGGAGCCCGTCGATCCGGAGGCAGAGAAGGAAAAGAAAGCACGCAACCTCAAAAAGAAGCTCAGACAGGCACGAGACCTGCGCGACAAAAAGAACCAGGGTGAGGCCTTGCTGCCCGAGCAGCTGGAGAAGGTCATCAAGATCCACGAACTGGTTCGACAACTCGAAACACTCGGATTCGACTCAAATGGAGATTCGAAGGATGAAGATGCCCAGGAAAAAGCATGAGAACCCTGCTTTCTCTTTTCTTCCGGGATACTCTCATAATTACAGTCTTGCTTCCCGCTCGATTTTCACTTGAAGTTAACGACAGAATGGTTGCACGCGGCAAGGCCTATGGGCACTTGGGCACTTCGACATACTAGTCGCACCATCCCTGAGCTATAAACCCATCACCATCTGCGACTCAATGCGAGTTGAATAAGTTGCGAACTTCAAGGAAACTCTGCTTATATCAATACACAAATATGGCATTCGAACGACTTTGAACCATGCGGACAGTATTTCCGTATCCAGTTTTATCCATCCCAGCTGGCTTTTAAGTGCATAGCCTGGGTGTCAAGATGAAGAACCAATGAATGCATCGGAAACCCTTCATTAGGAGAATACAACAGGGGCTTCAAGGCCCTGTGGCCTGTCCCCCGATACTTACGGTCAAATCGGGAATATGAAGGCCTATCTTAGAAACATTGATGTTCAAATTTCTATGTTACATTTTTGGAAATATACTATGTACACACGACAGACCTGTGCATCTTGGTGCAAAGTGTCTAGTAGAATTTAGGAGCTACTTATTTGATGAATACTTCACCGGTGCTGTTGGAATTCCGCCAATCAAGTCCCAACCCATGGCGTTATCAAGAGTATAGTCGTGATCTTTGGGTAGGGGCTTGTTACCTTTCATACAGGATGTTGCAGCAAGAAGACCTTGTCGAACACAATCATTGACACCAACTCCGGTGTACCAGTTCCCGGCAACAATGAGTTGTCTGTTGAATTCATCCTTCACTGTCGCGGACAGATCATACATGCGGTCAAGGTGCCCTACGAGGTATTGAGGGATGGCATTCTTTTGAAGGCTGCTTCGTGCAACGCTGGGGGCCTCTTTGATTCCAATTTGGCGCTCAAGCATGGCGCGGGCCATCTCCACGGCAGTTTCGTGATTAGGGTAATCAGTATCCTTCCAACCATCCCAATAGTGGCCACCGAGCATGACTGTAATCTTAGTTCCCGGCGCATTATCTTGAGAAACGAATTGATCCACGTCAGGGGACATGGAGGTGGGACAACCATGACTAGAGGAACTTGCGAAAAGAACCCCCAGTCCACAATCTGGATTATTTTCGTGTGGTACTGAGCGAGGGATCAAATAACCAAAGCCGGTGACGGGGAGAATATCGGGATTGTCATAATAAAGATTGACAACCATGACAGTAACCGCATAGTTATGCAACTTGAGTTTTCTGATGGTTTCGTGGGCAAGAGACTGACCCGGGTGGTTCGTGTTGGCTGATTCAAGGATGTTGGCCAATGCAGGTGATGGAATGGAGGCAATGACACGGTCATATGTCGCACGATTGCTACCACCACCGCTTTGACGAGAAGTAATCTGTAAGAATCGGGATTTCAGGTTAGTCTGCAAATTATAGGGCACTTGTGTACCAGTTGGAAGATCCTACCTGAAGCTTTTCAAGCTTTGCCAGTGAGCTCATTGCTTGAACTTCTGAATCTGTTTTGATTCGGACAATTTTGCTTTTCTTCAGATAGGCAGCCATCGCGTCCACAAGCTGCTGTGTTCCTTGCTTGAATGTGAGGGTGGCCGAGCTTTTGGCCCGGGCACTGAACTTCTCCTCAGATATACGACCCTCATCTTCACCCACTTCTTGCAAATACAGATTTCGACTAATTCCCTCAGCCATGACATCATCCGTTAATCTGATTTCTCTCCCGGTCAAGGCTCTGTTAAGCATGCCCATAAGGATACCATCGTCCATGTTGCGTAGAGATCCCAGAAGAGTCTGGGCACTCAGCCTATCAATATCTCCCGCGTATATTCCATGGATTCCAGCTGAAGCAATATTGTCTGCGATTTCTGGAGAAAATCTTCGCGATATGAAGCTTGCGACAGACTCGTCCCGGTGCCATTCGTCCATTGGTCGTGGCGGTTTTGAATTCTCAAGAAGCAAGGCCGGTATGACTGTCTTGAAAAGAGGTTCTCTGTAGATTGTTCCAACGAGTTCTTTGAGGTTAGCCCAAAAACTGTGTCCTGGACGTGGGGTTGGCAGGCGGACGAGACGATCCGGGTAATAGATATAACGATTGGATGCGGCAGGATGCCATTTGGGGGTCCAAATCGCTTCATCCTCTAAGCCTAAAGATTTAGCCTTCGGGCCAGAAAAAAGTCATTGGATATTCTCGTATCGAGGGTCACAGTGTTCAATTGAAGAGCATTTACCATCCGCCAAGTAGGTCCAAGCGCGTCTGAGCATCTTATCGTACGAGGACCGTATTCGAATAGCACATCGCCGCCTTTAACTGGGACACGCTCAGATCTCATCCAACCTCCAAGGCGAGGAGATTTTTCGTAAATCGTAATACCGGTGACATCGGGGTTCTTCGACAGGTAGTATGCTGATGTGAGTCCAGTGATGCCACCCCCAATGATGGCAACGTGGTAGGCACGGTACTGGAGTCTTGTAGTGACCAGTGCATGTTGCCTTGTTTTAAGACCATTGGCGGTCAATAACCGCATCGCAGCGAATTTCAGGGAAGCGATGCGCTGAAGCGTGATGTAGTCCGCGGAAGGCAAATTCCTTAGTAAAGGAGATGCACGGAATGCTTACATAGCTTATCGGCTTATCGGCTTATCGGCTTATCGGCTTATCGGTCTATCGTCTTCTACATACAAATAGTTCAACAATGCATGTGATACATCCACCAATAAGTACTAGGAAAGTGTTTTATGGTCTCTACGGATTATATAGGAGATATTCGCTTGATAAGTGAATCCGCTTTGTGTTCTTCTTTTCCATATCAGGGGCCCTGGGGGATATTTTATGTACAGATAGATAAACGAACCGAGAAAACATCGAGAATAGCAAAATGCATCAAACTATGAACGCCCTCCCCAACCAGCCATTCATCATCACAATTCAAATTGTACAAGATATTGCTCGCACACAGCCATCTTCTCGACAAAACAAAGGTTCGTCAACTTCAATTAAGTCGGAGTCATGCTGTAAGCTCCTGATTTTGAGAAACATCTTCACCGGTCTCCGGCTTAATCAGCTCTTCGGGCATATCCTCATCCTCCACAAACTTGCGCTCACTAATATGCTTTGGTGTCCATACCGTGTCCGGAATAGGCCCACGCTGGCCTTCCGCATGTTTGTAATGACAACTCGGGTTCATGCAAGGGTTGAACTTGCAGGCCGTCTGGATATGTGTGAACTTGCACCCTTCGGTGGTGCAACCGGCGCCGTTGCGGCAAAGTGGCATGTCGGGGTGCTTGAAATGGCAATGTGGGTTGGTACAATGGGGGAAGAATCGACACATCTCCTCCGATTGGTGTGCAGACTTGACTGCTGGTGATGGGTGGCGGCCTGTGCACTTTCGGTTCTTGCAGGCTGCTCCGAATGAGCAGATATCAGAAAGGTCGAGGGAAGTACCCTCGGGCGCCGCAGGAGACTGATGGGCAAATGGGCAGTCTTTTCGAGTGCACCGAAGGTTGAAGCGGCAAACACCTTCGGGGTTGCTGTCAGTTTGCTCGCCACTCATTTCCGTATCCGCGTCACCGCTGGATTCCTGGGGTCTTTGATTTTGGCGGGGCTTATTGAATCGTGCACCAGCTTGCTGGCCCTGGCGCTCAACCCGATCGAAGAGAGAACGGCCTTGCTGGTTTCCATTCTGGAAAGCAGGGTTAATAGCCGGTGGGACGAAACCAGGCATCAATTGAGACATCATTCGTGCCTGCTCCTCCAACATCGCCATGAGTTGTTGTTGGTTCTGTGGGCTCATTTGCATGCCTTGTGCCATGTTGCCTTGCATGGGCATGCCGCCCATACCGCCCATACCGCCCATGCCGCCCATACCACCCATACCACCCATATTTCGGCCTCCTCGCCGGGGTCCCTTCATTTGATCACGACCTTGGCCTCCGATGCGTCCATTTCCTTGTTGTCCACGGACTCGGTGAAGAGCTCCATCGTTGGCATTGCCAGTAAGGTTTCGGTTGATCTGGTTAAGCATTCTACCTCTGCCGGCCTGTCGTCCGTTGCGCATCGCTTTGGGTCCTGTGGGTCTGGCAGGAAGGGGAAAAAAAGGCAAGGTCAGTTTACTGGAACATCTTGTAAATCGGTATACAAAGACTCACATGGAATCACTTGCATCGCCCATCTCTGCGTCCATCCCGTTCCCTTCCATTCCCGAGAATTGACCCGATTCTCCTCCAAGCGAAGGTACTTGTTGTGTCGTAGGATTGCTTGGGCCTCCATTGATCGTTTGGTCAAGAGCCTCAACTTGACCAAACAACCACCTTGAAAACTCAAGTGCCTGTGTGTCACCTTCATCCAGTCCAAGGAAGTCGGCGGAAAGTTCAGTCGCAAGTTGTTCTTGGGTCTTTCCATTCACCAGCATAAGGACAATGTATTCAATCAGAGCCCCCTCTTGGCCATCGTCGGTACTCCAGCCCATTTCCACCAGCTTTGGCTGGATGACGCTAGCCACAGCTACTGCGAGAGGGGAATCTTGAGTGATAGTTGGAAGCATTTTGGCGGTATGGGGAGGTGGTGTAGGAGGCGAGGATTTCTGATTTTAAGAGGTTCCGAGCTGCAGAAGAAAGGTGGTGGATTGCGCGCCACCGAGACAGAAAAGGGTTCGCACGTTTCAGGACAATGAAAGAATGACAATGAGACGAAAAAAGAAAACTGCGCCAGGATCAGCGATAAAGTTTCTGTGTTAACAAAGATCCCAAATGGCGGTTATTTAGATCTTATTGGAATGATAGTTGACGCGATAGCAGAAGCTTCGGCGACGAAAATGGCCCGTGATGCACGTGACTCATCGTTTCAGGGCAAACATGACAAACGCAATATTTCCAAGAATGGATTAGTGTGGTTTCTTGGGTCATGTGATAATATCCATTCTAGACGATGTCACATTTCCTCGGGGATCAAAAACGTCTTATATCATGTCTGATTTGGGGAGAGAGTGAGATATATCTCCGACTCCCCTGCGCCCATTTTTGATGAATTCTTTTATATATATTGGTACCATCACTTGAGGGGATTTGCTCCAGTTCTTATCACTAGCGCAAAGAGTGAAGGTTTGTTTTGAACGAGATTGAAGTAGGCATGAATTTCAATATACTCTATATGCATCATCAAGCCATACATATGTATCTCAAGAACGGCAAGACCTCCGCTAGGATGGCACTTGGAAGCCCCAGACATCCATCATGTAGATTGCGATACTTGAGGGGTTGATTGTTCGTGATACAGAGTTGACTAGAACATTATCGTGGCACTTTCAAATGTTGGGGGCCAAAAAGTACGGGGTGTTTTGGGAGTTGCTTCCGATTCATGATTACCAAGACCTAGTACATTATGTCCCTATCATCACATTTCACTCCTTCCATGAACGCGATTGTCCCTCAAGTGCTGATTGCAATTTATTCATGAATCATGACCAAAGCATAAAACTTGGCGTCAGCGAACCGATCTCCACTTTGCCATATGAAACCGGGAGAGCCGAGGTCCTTAACAGCCCCAATGTATTTCCCCGGATTATCACAGATTCACAGCCCTATTGCAGCAAACCGAGAATGCAAAATGGTCAGAAAAATAAAGGAAAGATAAAATTACAAAATCGCGATTGGTCTCTGCAAGAGTTCCAGATACCTATACCAGTGCAGGTCCAGGTAAGGCTAGGGGCATAAGGAAATTGCAAGGTTTAGGTGGGTCGACAAGCCTCGAAAAGCCGAAATGAAGTCATTTTAGCGGGGTTTGGAATGAACTCTCTCGCAGACCTCGCAAGAATGTCTTGAAAGGTAAAGAACTCGCCCATCCTTGCATCCGGGTTGGTTCCGGCTGTCCATCATAAGGTGATCACTAGTACTTTTTCTGTGAAATCGGGCCTATCGTACTCCGATTGATAAAACATCTCCACGCCAATGGGTCATTCCCCATAATCTGCCCGTCTAACAGGGGGATCGTGCTTAGAGTGCTTGAAACATCACTGGCTGACCATACTAGTGACATGTGGATGACCGTCCCCATTTTTCTCATATAGAAACCTTCCAAGCTTCCTTCCTACTTTTATAATTTCCATTTCCCTAATTTCAACGACTGATAGCCCCTGCTATCTTTAACGCCCATCATGATTGAACATCTTCTCGAGGGCATGACGCCTGGAAAGGCGAGCTTGTGGCTCCTGGGATTGTTCTCTTTCTTTTGTATTTTTCGCAAAATCCAAGCCTCTGTCCAGATCGCCCGTCTTGGTGCTAGGGCTCCCAAGATTTCTTTCAGGCTCCCCTACGGTATGGCGGATTCTCTTTCCACTTCTTGTCAGTTGTAAGAGCCGAAGAAGCTAACAAGGCAATCTAGCTCTCGATTTCATGTACGATGGTCACAAGGCCAACGTCGCACATGATGACTTGGATTTCTGGAGAAACAAAATCCTTACTGCTGGGGGTTTGTCGAATATCAAAACAGCCGAGCTCGATGCTGGAATTTCTACTCGCGTGGTCTTGACCATTGACCCAGAAAATACAAAGGCTCTTTTGACTGGACAATTTGCGGATTTCGGAAAAGGAGAGCCATTCCACCGTGATTGGAAAGAATTCTTGGGAGACAGCATCTTCGTCACGGACGGAGAAATGTGGTCGCGCTCTCGCCAGCTCATCCGTCCCATGTTTGCCCGTGATCGAATCGTCGACACAGAAACCTTTGAGAAACATGTCCAAAAACTCATACCACTTCTAGGTGGAAGCCACTCACCTCATGCCAGTCGTGTTGTGGATGTCGGGCCACTCTTCTTCCGGTATACCCTCGATGCAGCGACCGATTACCTGCTAGGCCAAGGCACAGATAGTCTGGACAACCCGGCAACTGGATTTGCGGAAGCTTTCAGATTTGTACAACAACGACAAGCCGAGCTTTTCCGATTCGGGTAAGTTATCTCAGGTCCATGCGTAACACACTATGTCACACACTGTGTAACATGATAATCCCTTGTTGAAGATCTGTGTAACCTAATCTGCAACGTTCCGAAAATAGAGTCTTCAGCCCCCTCATGTCACGCAAGGAGTTCCGACAAAACCTCAAGATCATGGATCAGTTCATCCAGCCCTACATTGAAACCGTGCTATCCTTGTCGACTGCCGAACTGGATCAGAAGCTGTCAAAACGTGAGACATTCCTCGACGCCCTGGCTCGCTTCACGCGTGATCCCCAAGTCCTGCGTGATCAGCTCGTCGCCGTCCTGCTTGCCGGCCGGGACACCACGGCCGGAACACTGTCATTCTGTCTATTTGAACTATCGCGACACCCCGAAGTGGTTGCCAAGCTGCGCGAGGAGATCCGCAACCGCTTGGGCGTTGGTGCCGATGGACAGAAGCCTACTTACACTGATCTGAAGGACATGAAGTATCTCAGCGCTGTCATCAATGAGACTATGCGTATGTATCCGGTCGTGCCGTTTAACGTTCGCTACTCGCTTCGGGACACTACACTTCCTCGCGGAGGTGGACCGGATGGTCTCTCCCCCGTGGGCGTCCGTGCTAACACTCGGCTCATCTATTCAACTATGCTGATGCAGCGGGATCCTGATCTGTACGATGGACCTGACTCTAAGAACTACTTTGATCCTGGTCTGTGGATTCCCGATCGCTGGGTCGAGGGCTGGCAGCCACGTCCGTGGCACTTTATCCCTTTCAACGGCGGTCCTCGTATTTGCATTGGGCAACAGTTTGCTACTATCGAGATGGGATACACCATCATCCGTATTCTGCAGGCCTATGAGCGTATTATACCTCTTCCGGTTAGTGGCAAGGATCGCATCGAGGATCCTGTGTTGAGGTTCGAGGTAACACTGAGCCCGGGTGCAGAGATGAACTGTGTATTTGTCAAAGAAGGAGAAGATTATACTCGATCCAAAGAGAATCACTCTGCATGAGGTACGCTATGGAAGGATGTATAGTTTCTTTTTCTCAAGCTGTTTCCAAGGTTCCAGATTCAAACAATGGCTATTTGTTATGATGTAAATATTGAATGAGAGACGAAATTTCACACAAATCTATACTCAAGTGCTGGTTCTTTTTATTGATATATTTAGTACCTCACAGGTAAAGGGATACCTAAAATTAAAATAAGTCCAACACCAAAGAAGCTTTGAATCTCAAAGCCCACAAAGAGAAGATCGCCCCACTGGTCTCGGCTGCTCATTATTCGCAGCCCCCATCGCATTCCCATTCCCCCAGTCCTTAATCTCTTCTTCCAGCGCCTGTATATCATCACACTCCAAAAGTCTCCGTCCATCAACAGGGCGTTGCAACAAGGCCAGAACCCACAGAATCCAGATCCGACACGTTGTCTCCGACACGTTCAACTGTCCATCAAACGTCCTCATCGTCCGATCCAAATACTCTTCCTGCCCAGTGGGCACATGGGCGATTTGAAATAACCCCACAAGAAGAAACTCTTTCATCACCGCGTGGTTGACTCCATGGTCAGGAATCCAGCCTTGGCCGATGTCTTTGACGTGGTACTTTGTGCCGCCTTGCTGGGGACTTTTGTGGAAGTAAAATGCCCAATGGAAGTTGTTTGGCATGGGCGGGTGCTGTCTGACGTATAGGAGGATATAGAGTCCGTTCGGGCTGAGTGTGTCCAGGGACATTTTGGATGAATCGTTATGGTGGGGCAAATGACGCCTAGTAAGGCCGTTAGTGCTTTAATATTGAGACTTGAGGGAACGATGGGTCTAGGTGGGGTGCACGGTACAAGATACGGTCAAAAATCCTGAAGTGTTGTCCTACAGCGAAAATTTATGTCAAGACACGACGTTTCTGATTGTTTGATCAGCCCCTCTATCCCCGGGGCCTTGGGTATTCACGGGTACTGCAGTGGTGTACTGCAGGGGTACAGTACCTGCTTAAGTACGATCAGCGGATCGGTAGTTCTTACGGCCTGGGGCAGCGTCTTGCAATTAATTGGATGTGAACCTACTGAAGCCCAGGTGCCCGATGGATAACCTACGCAGCACTTGAGGTACGGAAACCTTCAAATCCACATGTGCATGCTCCAGCCTTGGAAGGAAACTTCAACTGTGGAACATGCCGACGTAAAGTAATGTATATTTCTCCCAACAGTGCTGTCATCTGGGCACCGGGCCATCAGACCTCGATTCAAAGAAACATTCCAACCTTCAAGTTTGTCCAAATCAACTGCAGAATCGTTGAAAGAATGCATAAATAAAAGCTTGACAAATAGGTTAAATAAGCGCCAAGATTCATCAAAATTCCCCTCGAAGCGGTGGTGAAATTGACATGATGGTTCGTCTTGGCGATCAGGATTGAGTGTAAATGCCCATTTACTTTAGGATCTGTTCATAGCGCACAAATTTCGTCACTCTTACATCAAATGGGCTTGTGGTTTAGTGGTATAATACTCCCTTAGCATGGGAGTGGTCCGGGGTTCGATTCCCCGCGAGTCCATCTTTTTGGTATTTTTCTCATACAACCCAAAGAATGAGTGAATGCCTCTTTTTTATTATTACTTAGTAGTATGTAGTACTTTCTCTCTCCGACTTTGTTCACTCCCACTTTTTTTTTGCCCCTTATAAAATTGAAGGGAAGCCCCGAGCCTTTTTGGTACGATCTCCCAGGTGAGAGCAAACATTGAACACAAACTCTTTATATTGATAATCAAATTGCATATCTATGGGTATATTCATATTATTTACAGTCGACGACCAAGGGCCCTGCATCAGGTCTGCTTCAAATGTCACGATGTAGGTCAGAAGGGAAGACTCGAGGGTGACGTAGCAACCGCCAGTCTGAGATTCAGGTCGGTAAGGAAACAGCTGGCTAAAAATTGAATCCTGATGGGTCACTTGGGAAATTCGACAGAGCCTGCAACCGAATTAGTAACGTGAACCTCAAATAAAAGAAAACCATGTCAGAAAAATATATAAACCTACCCACGAATCCAGCTGGGCCCACCAAACAGACCCCTCAAGATTCTCAAGGAGCCCGGCATCCTCGACCGAATTGCTACCAAGCCCAGGAGGCTGCAGCATGGCCGGCATACTCGCAAAGTCAAGACTCCTCGCATCAAATTGCACAGGGTCACGATTATCAACTCCAGTCGTAGCGCTCGAGCTTAGAGCCTGCGCGTGAGGAAGTGGGTTTGATACACCGGGCGTCGGTGTCGGAACAAGACTGCCTGACTGATCGTCGGAGCCCATTTGTCGATGGACCTCCCGCCTTAGCTCCTCAAGGATAATACTATACCGGCGACTGGGACAGTTCTTTCGCGTTGCCTTCGCGAGATGCTGTTGGCAGTTCTCCGCCAAGGCCAACAGGTACTGCATCTGGTTAATGTCTGCGGGACTTCCAACAGAGGGACTTGGGGACGTGGATTGACGGTGCTGCTGAATGATGTAGATGTAGACGACTAGGATGGCGCAGAAGCCTACATAGTGGGTAAACCAGAGGGACTGTATAAAGCCGCTTCGTTGTGCGAGGCTGTCTATAAGCGTCATGGTGTTTTCGGCGGCTTGGATACATTTCTGGACGTATGTGCTGACCATTGAGTGGGCGTCTCGGGGTCTGCGGCTCAGGTCGGTGAAGTCGCTTAGGAGAAATGAGCGGGTGACGTGGATCATGGCGTGGGAGTAGGCTAGTTGGAGGACTTGGCTTTGGCGGCAGAGTGGTGGGATTAGACTGGTAGGCTGGACGCTGTTAAAGAGAGGCGGAACGCTTTCTTTCCATCTTTCCAGTTCGGATGTGAGCCGGACGGCTGTATCAAGTGGGGAGTCGCGGGAAAGGGGGTTGATGCTATAAAGCTGACGGGAGATTTCTCCCAAAATACGGCCGAGTCTGGGGTATAGATATTTAGTTAAAGTGAAGATTGGAAAAAGGGGATATTTAGTGCTGACTGACCGGTAATGGAGGACAGATGCAATCATCATACTATCTGTAGCGCCTGTTCGCCGCATCGGATCTTCTTCCAGCAGGTCCTCGTCATTAATCTCATCCGGTAACTCCTGGTCAATATCTTCATCATGAAGCAGGCGAGGTCTCCCAAACATAATACTGAGATATTTGTCCAGAGTGTATACACTCCAGAATATGCGTTTTCGAAGCTCCAACTCGAGGGACGAGCAGCTCTTTTTGGGCATTTTGGGTGGCCACTTTCGATGTAATCCAAGAGCTGTCACAACCTGCAATGCAGTTCCAAACAAGTACCAGCACTCATTGGCCCGCGAGGATGAGAGAAGATAGAGACATTGGATAAGTCGTACCTGGATAGTCTCTAGTCGCGGAGGGCCCGATTCCAAAGAAGACAAATATTTAGACGCAGTAAACCAATGCTCACTTTGGAATATCAGCTATGCGTTCTCGAGACTAGAAGAATATACAGTGGCTCACCTTTTACTATGCGCATCTGCCACCGCCTCCGATTCAGGATCCTGATGGAGTGTGCTTACAGCACAGATCATTAGCACAATCGCTGTCCGAGCGACCATATTCCCAACAGGGAGATTGGATATAGAGATATTGTTCTCATAAATCCGTTTGACCCAGCCCTCTACATTCGACCGATGTAAAAAACGATAAGTAACCATGGAGAAGTCAAAGTAGATGGCTACCATCTCCATAACCGTTTGAATGGGCGGTAAAGCAAAGTCCGAGTTCTCGGGATAGGTATACGGCTTATCCCCGAACATAAACACGGCCGTATTCTTAGAGGACTCATTTTGCAGCTCATCTGGGATACGCGTATGTTCATCATGATGCAAGCGACTCCAGACCCGATTAATAAACGAGATCCCAGATGCAGGGCCAAGATAATTGCCCTCAAAGTCTGTCGAGCCCGGCTCAGGCGAGTTTCGTAAAGATACCACCGCTGTATGGCCGTGGCGCAATCCCGCAGTAGCACCCCGGTAATTAGTACCACCACTTATCGCACCCGCACCTCCAGCCGGCTGGTTTAGATCCATATTCAAGTCCAGATCAGTGTTCGGATGCGGATGCGGGTTCCCCGTACTCCCCCTTGAGCGGGAACTGCTAGACACACGGCCGGCATCCGAGACACGGCGCTTCTTCACCTGGCCCCCAATGGAGGACGGCGAACCCCCCGGCAAGGGAGCTGGAGGCAAGCCCCTCGAGTAAGCAGCATTGTACTCACAGGGAAGCGTAAGGCGTGTACACCTCGTGCACGGCAGCGTGCCCGTACATCTTGTCTTTTTGACTTTGCACGAGTCACAAGCCCGGGTGATCTTCTGGCGGGTAGCGGCGTTTTTACTTGGTGTTGGTATTGGGCCGGATAATTTTCTTTTGCGCCCGGGGGTGCCCACGTCTGTAGCTTCCACGATGTCTTCGTCTATTGTAGACAAAGAAAATCCAGGCCCGCCCATCGACCCTTGCGTGGCTGTGTGGTTGTTCACGCTAGTTAGGGCCATATGAGTTAGGATCGGCGATAGGCTCGATTTGTCATGTGATGCATGCTTCCAGTTGCTTTTCCATGTGAGTGGGGGTGTTGTTTTTAGGGAATTCTTTCCTTTTTCCCAGTCACTTTTAATGAGATGGTTTTTGAGGGAACCGGATTGGAGGAGGGGAAAAGGAGAAAAATCCGGGGAGGAGAAAGCACGAGGTGGAGTGTGGAAGTCCAATCCCACGCGGTGTGCGGTCGCGCGCGGGGCTGTACCTCTCTCCACTTGCCCCGGATTCTTCCTTCTCAACTGTCCTTGATTTGTAATTTTCTATTTAGAATTTTATATCAAAAACCGTGAGACTTGGCACCACGATCTTGACGAGATCATTTCCACATAGTTCGGTGGCTAGGAGTGATCAGCAGTGCAGAATTGAGGTGATGACCAGTGATCATGATCAGGTACCAGTGCATATCCCGTGTTGATCACATCCGGGGGCCAAATGGAAACAAAGAAACGAGGTGGCGCGAACTCTACATAAGATAAGTGAACGAGTTGGTTGACTCGATGGGTATGTACATGCATGCGTATTGGTCAAGTAGACCGAGGTCGGAGATGATATTTGATACCTTGTTACTGTTATAAACCGGTGAACATGAATGAGAAATTTCACGGTCTTCTCCCGGGTTTCACACTAGGGAATGGTCACACTGTGTAGTAACTAGAATTTTTGGTAGTCAAGTAAGTCAATACATATACCCTTTGTATCTCGGAAGTGAGGAGGGGGAGGGAATTCCCCCTTTTCAGGTAAAAATTGTGTGAATCATGTCTCCACGAATATTACGGATAATGATCCACGAATAGTAATCAGGCCGGGGTAGAGGAAAATATGCAGATGGATTGTTTGAATCTCAATTGCATGAGGTATATGCACGCTCGATGCCAAAGATTCAGAGTCATGGAAATATTATTTGTCCGGGTGTTTCTTCAGTCTTTTCTTCAGATTAATTTAGCGGTAACTCAGTCGGCCCCATCCGAAATCGTTCTCCATAGGGTGGGCCTCAATTCAAAGACCGAGACCGAGACCGACAACGGGATTAATGGATGGGTAAACCTGCTAGGACTGGGGACATTTGAAGCCTATTATCCCATGCCATCAAGAAACTTGACAGGGGAGATCGTACCAAAAGTACCAAGTCCAGGACTTCCAAGTTTGATGTCATCTCAGACATGACGCAAACTGCCCGTTTTTTTTTTTTTTTTTCCCACAGGGAAATTTGGTATCTACCATGAAACCTCGAGGGGTTGCATGGGATTTTCTCTTTTGATAAGAACCTTGCCGAGAGAGGATCCCGCCCAATTGCTTCGATAGCATGGGAGGAAAATAGCAGATACATGACTAGGACTCGGCTTGGAAAGCCATAAGGATACACAGGGTTTAGGATCATTGGTTTGGGGATCAACATTGTGCAAATCGTCCCTCTTGAACAAAAAAAAACATGTCGCACTTTTTGGCGTATGTAGTGGACGGGTCTCCATAGAGACAGTCCCTAGCGCGAAAGGGCGCGAGACGATGAGAACGAATTGAACGATAACAGGCCAACGTGATCAACAGAAAATCAAAATCAAAGAGGCCATCAATTAATCGGCCAAGGACGTGCAAATGGCTTTGAAAGACATAAAAAGACAATTGAATTGACGGCGGAGAATCAGGCGTAAGGTGATGCTGGTATGCGACGAACTTGATTGAAAAAAACCCCCGAACCACTCCGGTGTTATGCAACAGGAAGCTCCTATAATGCGGGAACGAAGATCAATAAGATCTGAAGTAGATATTCATGTGATCACTTATGACGTTGGGATCCAAACTGGCTGGATGGGATGGGGATCCGGATGTTTGCGAGTGGATTTCGAGGATGGCGCGGTGGATTTCCTCGTGTGATGCCCCGGAGCGGATGGTGTTGACAAGATGTTGCACGGCCTGACTATCATTGCTGCGAAATGCTCCCAGCAACTGATCCAAGAAATCTCGCAGGTTGTTGAGCTCTTCCTGTGTTTTTTTCGCTGAGGCTTTACGGCGCCTGTCGGATAATTCGTCGAATACACATTCTCGCTCATGCGCTTGACATTCAGTGCAAGGCACCCCACTACACTAATTGGCGCAAAGAACGAAAGTCAGACAGAAGCACGGGTATACATTTCGATTTCAACGAGGGGATAGGATATGGGGGGGGAAGAAAGAGGGGATAAACAATTAGCTGGGCAAAGGGGAGGTTCTGGGCTTGTACCCTTGTTCGTCTTTTTTGGCACTCTTTACACGCCGTTGAGGCCCTTTTCATTCGACCTTCATCTGAAGGTCCTCCATTGTTGGGCGGACCAACTCCAGCTCCGCCGCCTGGAGTTGAGGTCCGGGGAGCAATAGGCCTGAATGGCCGGGTTGCGTCGCCCATCGCGGGCGGGCGGGCGGGGCGGGGGGAAAAGAGAAGGAGAAAGCTGTGGGAGTAACAGGGGGGAAATAAGAGAAAGAAACCAGGGAGTAAGAAACAAGCTGGAAAATCCGAAAAAAGAATAAGTGATTAGAGACCACAAGATGAGCCGGATTGGACTCTATCAAATGCTAAGTCATTAATACAACATCTTCTAACCCACGCGAATCATATCAACGGACCAGTCCGAAGGAGCTCAGGGTGCTAATTCGCCGGACGCTAAGATCCTCATGTAATTTCAGCACCAACAAGGACTGGCGCACAGTCCCGAATGGAATAGCCAAAGAAGAAAGTGGAGGAGTCGGACGGGACAAGGAGGGGTCCTGTGAGGGAAAGAGTTGTGCGTTAAAGAAAAAGGAAGGAAACAGAGAAAGATGGATCGAGAGCTGCGTGTGTGGCAGAAGTGGATCTCTCCAAAGCTGACATTCCCTTATGTTTTTATGTTTTCGGGACCACAAGAAATCCAGAACCAGGTAAACTCCCCATTTTTAGCCGTAGTCCGAGAGCTATCGGATACTAGCGTTCTGGAACAGACCATGAACTTGTCTAACGAAGTCCGACCCAATTTTGATCATCACTCTTCGTTTCGAACAGGGAAAAAAAAAAAAACGAAAATGACGGCGTAAAATAAAAGAGAATCCGTAAATGTTCGTAACGTGTAAACTTGACCTGGAATCCAGTAATGACGGAGTAACCGACACAGACCCTACCCGCTTGGGGTCTATAATGTTCTTGTTGGTCTTTTTGGTCCTAGAGCCTCTGGTTCCTCCAAGCCAGCAAGAAGTCGGTTTTGGTATAGAGCTGGTAATCCCACGAGTATGGTTCAGCATGTGGTGATACCAACCCACGGCTTGATCTGACTTGGCCTTGGATCATGTTATCCCGATTTCAATGATCTCTTCTGCAGAGAACATTTTCCCCCTGGAATTTTGAGTTTTTGGTCTTTGGATTTTTTTTTTAATTTTTTTTTTCTCCAGCAGAAACATGAGTCGCCGATGGACCGATGTGGGTAACAAGGGAAGGGAGGGGGAGAAGGATCCATTGTTGGCAGATTAACCCCGGAGAATTATTCCACCAAGATTGATAGGCCCACAGATCTGCCAATTTGGCGTCAGAATTTGGCGAGTCTAACCCCGATCGGCCGAGTTTTCTGTTTTTCCCGTGCATCATTGGCTAGATTCCAGGGCAGGTTCCCTGCTTTGGTACCAAGGTGCCAAAGAGTAGTTTGCGTATATTCCTTTTTGGGCAATGGTCAGTTCTTGAAGAAGGTCAGTGTTAATCCACTTCATAGGTTGTACTCTGTAGTACTGTGCCTTCGATCTGCATTCCACTCCCACTAGGGGAATATATCCTTCAGGGCCGAGCCCATCATCTGGGAAATCTTTGTATCACCGCAGTGCATCAAGTAGCGGTATGAAATGGCGTCGCTTGTATCTGTATTTCGCATTCAATAGCGGTTGTCCACGGAACAGGAACGTCAGGCCGCATGGCCATGGGTTATATCCACCAAGCGCAAGTCATGACTCCACTGTGGCTGGCCGTCACATAACATGGTACGGAGGAGTAAGTATTGAGAGGCTCACCGGCCGTCATACATATCACATTGCGGCGCTTGCGGTTGGGTTAGCGGGACGTTGATGTGCCTTCCTCATATTTTGACGAGGCTGAGTTTTGGGTGAGCAGATGACGAAGCTGTGGTTGGTCGGAGTAAGTCGGAGTTATCACCCGTTACGCCCGGGCCAATAGGAGGAAAGCGTGACCATCAGCAGAACAATAGAGATTCGCCACCACTGGCGCAATAGACTGCTTTTTGATCATTATTACGGTATATTATCATTATTATTGCCATCGTTTTAAAATGAGGCTATGCATGGGTAAAATATGGATTATGACATAGCCAAATCCTTCAAAAGACCAACGGTTCAGTTGGTTTTGTGGGGAGGTGTTGGGCTGATCTTCTGATTTCATGACGTACGTGGACTGATGAACTGGAACGCCAAAAGAATCGTATGGAGCGCCTTTGCCAAATCGAGATGAATAATGAGTCAAGAGGCCAATTCTGTTATTGAACCCAAACAGGGCAAGATCAATCAATGAGAGGCTACAAAGTCCAAACAATACGAGCCATCGGTGAACCAGAAGTTGGATTTTATCAACATCTTCAAAATACCTGGCAACTCGAAGGTTACATACAGAAACCCTACCATGGACACAACCTCAGACGCGTACCGAGTCAACAGCTCTGAGTGGTGCGGACAAACAACTCCGTCGCTTCCAACTTTCTACTCGAGTCGACTCATAAATTCAAATCCATGACGTATCTGGCAAATATACGCTTGTATGACATGGGGAAGAAGGTACATGGAACTCTAAACTGCATCAATTTCAACTTCCTAAACAAATGTAAGCAAAGAAAGTAAACAAAAACAACAAATCACCTCGAAAAAGGAAGGTAGAATTAATTAAAAATTAATTAATTAAAAAAAAAAAAAAAAAAGGTACAGACGCCTTGATTATTAAGGATCATACTTCCGAACGCTATGATTTGCCTATATTTTACCAAGCAGATTCTTCAAGTACTACACCGAGTCGGCTTTGTCGCATACTCCATGCCCAGATGTCGTCAAATGCGATTAAGCCCAATGTCACACGAGGCTGGAAATGAATCAAGAAATAAAACCATCGCCATTAATTCTGTCAATTTCAGCCTGCAAAATGATCCATTGAAATGACGATCCAATTCCTCCGTGTGCTTCTGTGCTTCATGTACATCAGCGCCTTAAGTAGCCGATCACAAATGTAAGCCGCTCAGTTAATCGCCCACAAAATCAATCCGTAATTACTGAAAGCTACTATAATTTTGTATCAAAACACCTTCATAGTGGGCTACGCTGATTATTCCTATTCGTTTTGTGCACTTTTTCTTCCCCTTAAAATGGGCCGTTGCAACCTGTCAATCGAAGCCAACCTAATTTGACCGGGCATCAAGGAAAATCATCACTGGGAAAACTAATCTGACAGATATAGGTACAAAAGGACAGAGCTACCCGGTTTCCTGGACCAAGTCCATTTGAAAAAGCGAACATTTGAAAGAAAAGTATGTGAGAAGCCACAGGAGCGGGGCCAATATTTCGCAATACACATTGCAATGTAAAACTTTGGAAGCGCCACTATCGGCATTTGCACCGTACTATGTACCCACCAATTCATTATATACGAGGGGCGATTGTACATACAATACAGGGACATAAGTAGTATCGAACTACTGTAACCGTATGCCGTCGGCCTACTGGAAGACGCGGCAACCTGGACGTTAGGGTTACGAAAGATGACCCTATCTTGGAAAGCTATGCATAACAAACCCTAACAAGATCCGCCTTTCAGTGGAGACTTGAATTAGGCCATGCAGCTAGGCCATTTTTCGCCTATCTCGAACTACGATTGGGCCGAGTCGGACTGCAGATCGTGAACATACATACTGCAATTCAAGTATCGTGCTTTCTGCATTGCACGAGGAATAAGCCAGGGTATTTCGCGTTGCATCCTAAGTATAGTATGCGAGGTTCGGGGTTTGCTGGGTTAAGCTGCCGGAATGCCTTACATCAATACAATGCCGCTAAATGCGGAGTTATTTTCCTATTGGTCAATTTGGACTGCATGGTATTTTCCTTCTGCAACTTTCTAGGAGTGAATACACTCGAGACTTGGCAGATACATGCTACACCGGTGGGATGGTAGTAGATGATCTGAGCACAGGGGATGCATCGGTGCCAGACGTGCCGAATAGGTAAGTCGCAGTGAGAAACCTTCATCTTAGACGCTTGGACTAGTCGAAACCTTCTCCGAAGAAAAAAATAATTGGAAGGAAAGATGAAAGTTGAAAGCTGACCGAGTAAGGAACTAGCAACGGCTTCAGCTCTGCAGACCCCGCTCTACATTCCTAGTAATACGCCTCCATGTATCCGAACAAACCGGATTTGTTATCCGGAAAGTTTGTGTATTGTGGCAAAGGTGCCCCCTGGGCCCTGATGAAGTTATCTAGATCTAAAAAAAGTTATTTGAGATTCCGTGCATATCTGCAAAAACCCCCTCACTCCAGGGCTTGCCGCTTGGGTAAGTAAAGTTGGTGGGATGGCAATGCATTAGCAATGAGTCACGCGTCATCTACAATGAGTAGAACGCCGTTACTAGTGTCTCGGCACGGGGATTGAAGGTCGGCTCGGGGACCATTATTTGATTAGTAGTATGTAACGTGTAACTAACATTTGAATTGATCGTCAAATCTGAACGCCATCGAAGTTGGTACTGGAAAATTGCACATGTGACTTGGGATAGCTTTTGTTCATTTTTAAACTTATTATTTCATCTAACGAGCAAGATAACAATGTAGATTCCAAGATTCCAGAGGGGTATTGAAATTGAGTAAAACTAAAAATAAACATGAACAGAAAATAATGATATTTACATTGAAAAGGTGGAATCCAAAAATTGGGATAGCGGGCGAGATAACGACAAGACCCAAGTGAAATGAACAATGTCGTGGCGCATGAGAATAAGCGAAACGCATGGAAAAAGGACACGTCTGGGTATGCAAAGATGCCCAATTTTACCCCGTTTTGGAAGCGGGACCGCCTAGTAGATAGGACGGCCCTCGTTCCAGCGGCGGGACTCTCTGGGACTTGAAGTGGATACGTCCTCCGTGTTGGCAGCCATGTGGTGACCAGCATCAGTATTATTGATGGGAGAGGACAAAGACTGTCGGCCACTGTCACGGCGAGCGCTGCCTTGTCTGCCGGTACTGTCACCGCCGATATCGACACTACCGATGCCGCCAATCCATTCCCAGCTTCGAGACACATCACCACTGCGGCCTTCACGAACAGCAGCACGTACATTAGCATTCTCCTCAACGACGCGTCGCACTAGAGCCCACAACTCCTCGCGGCGCTTTCCATGCAGTTCGAAGCGGAGGACATCATCACGGAGCTGCCCAATGGGGAGATGGGAGTCCTGAGCACCCCCACGGGCATGTAGTGCAGCCTGCGTGGCCAGACGATCAAGAGTCGTAGCAACTAGCTCGGGCACGCGGGCCCTGTCAGATTTACCGGCCCGGAGTCGAGCACGGGTATAAATCAGGGAAACAATAGCAAGAATTAGAAGTGAAAGAGGGAGTCGATACGCGAGGAGAGCGAGTCGGACGTAGCGGCGGGCGGCGCATGTGAAAGGGAGCCGGGATGTAGATGTTGATGTGAGGACGAGGATGGCGGAAGGTCTGTAATAGCGATGCCGCCTCTGTTAGTTCCGGTGCACAATGTCAGAACGAAGACCTTCAAAAAGAAATAGGTTTCGGGATATGGAGACCCGGAACAATAAGTGTATCCAACGAGACAGAGATGTCCCCAAGAGGGAGATAGGGGAGACTTACTGCTTAGTGTTGCTTACAACCTCATCTCTCTCGATGATTTCACCAATGGCGCCTTTCCAAAGGTCATCAAACTCAGTGTCACTGAGGCCCTTACGACGCTTTCTTGCGACTTCTTCCTTCAGCTCCGGCTCGCTGATTTCGGGGGAGGGTTCTTTGCCTTCTTCTTGCAGCTGACCACATTCCCATTTGGCTCTGCGTTCACGCAATTCTTCCAAGGCCTTGTCGGCAACAGCCTTGACCCGTCGTGCCTTTTCACTGTCAGGTTCGCATGTTGGGGGAAGAGGCACCAAGCCCTTCAAAGAAAGAGGATGGGGTCTGAGAATGAAATCGTGTTCGCAGCGAGCTTCAAAATCTGGATAGCAAAATGCATGGGGTGGACACGGTTCACAGGCCGGCTCCAAAACATTTGCCCATTCTGGCACGTTAGTCTCAGCTAATGACCAGGTGGGCTTTCCAAGACCACAGTATCCAATTTCAATCTTTTCCTTGCGCCACCAGGCCCCAAAGCCACCAAGGACTGAGAGGATCACTAGCCAAGAAACTACCAAACTGGTGGATCCCTGCTTTCGCGAGCGCTTTCGGACCTGCAGACCCGGCGCATATTGTTCCGTTTCAAGTGCTAATTGTTCTTCCGGTGTAAATTCTTCACCAGCACCAAATTCACTTTCATCCTCGGACTCTTCTTCGGATTCCTCTGGTTCTTCCTTCGTAGGCCTCAGTCGAGGGGCAAAGTCAAACGAATCTCTCGCCGGGGCCTTTATTCCATCCTCCTGTTTCACGCTGCCGGGGGTGGCCGATCTACGCGACCGCAATCCACTCCTCAAGCCCGGGCTCTCGGTCGATAAGCGCGTGCCACTCTTACGTTTGCCATCGTGGCTGGCTGGTCTGCTGCGCTGGATATCGGAAGGACTCCCACTTTGGAAAGGATTGTCATCGGTAAAAACACTCTCATCCCTAGGCTCGGTCTTGACAGAAGGGGTGAATTCATCGGTCTCTGTCGAAGGAACGACCGAACTGCGTCGAAGCTTCCTTGTTGTAGATTTTCGAGGGGAAGCACCGACAGCCACGGTCGGGGTCGCGAACATGTCATCACCGGTCTCCGTATCTGAAGCCCGAGCGTGCTTGCCTACGGAACGAGCTACACTTTTTCGCTTTGATGCTGGCACGGGGGTAGACGGATCGATATTTTCTTCTTGCTCCATCGTTGATGCACGTACACTTCGTCGCGAGGAGCCTCGCTTGGTTCCAGTGGTGGATGCAACTGTAGAGGGTGTTGGTGGGGGAGGCATAGAGTCACGATCATACCGATCACTAGCAACAGATGAAGCTCGGCTGCCCATGTCTGTAATACCCGCACTTGTCCTTCTAACTCGTTCGCGGTCCCGCAGCAGCTTCCTCGCCTGTGGCAGTACTTCATCCTCCAAAATTCGGATCAGCTGTGCTTTCTTCGCGGAGGCGGGATAAGGGACATCGTGGTTGACGAGTATAGAGCGCAGACGAGGGACGGTAAGAGAATTCAGGTCGAAGTCCGACTGCAGATAATCGAGCTCGTCCGCCATGGTGGTTGCGTATGTGGAGAGGGTGTCGAATTTTCAGCGGATGGGCGATAAGCTCAGTCGCCAAAACACAAGGATCGTGACAGAGTGCGGTAAGTCCAGTTCTGTTTGCAATGTGGATGCAAAACCACCGATCGCTCCTTTTTTCGGAATGTTGCCTGAGGATGAAGGGTGAAAAATGAGTGGATGTTTGTCCAGCTGTCAATTAAGCCCGAGTCGGTTGGTCAGATTCGTAGCCACGGCAACTAGGGGTGCGGGTCAAATGGTCGCGAGTTTGGCCACTTGTAGTGCAGAACGTGATAACCTAGGCTTTTACTTCGTTTCGACCAATATTTAACAGTCCGAGTTCGAGATGGTAAACTGAGAGATTGATAACTTGAAAGAGAAAAACGAACGTAAAGTTGGAAGTCGCATGATGACGCACCAAACAAACAAAGGAAACACGTGACTGGCACGCCACAATTTAGCTTGGGCGGTAAACAAATGAAGCAGACATTCGTTCTCGACCGTTTAGATATAACTACATGTACATCCATATCTTCTTACAAAGCTGTTCATCTGAAGCAAGTCTGGTCAGTTTCAACCTTGAATTTCCTTGGCAAATCTCTTTTAAATGTGTATATAGAACCTTGGGAATGAATATTGCCAACTAGTCACCAAAATCGATGAATTAAACATTTGAAGTTATTCTTCTATTGAAGCTCTTTCTAGAAAATGACCGTCTTGAACTATAGAAATCAACAGGCATAACAGCACTAGAGGATCTATAGTGTGACCATGGCCTACTGCCCTGCATGACCACAGGAAGTTGAGTACCAAGTCACAAATTGCCAGGAAGTAATCCACCCTTTGAATGGTCAGATTCATTTTCATCATTGAATTTCTTTCGCAGTGGAGTTTCGTTCAACTGATGATCTTGTACAGATCTAGCTTTGGGGGACCGATCGGGCCCAAATCCATGTGGCGCTTTATGATCTCCAATGCATCTGCGTTAGATCGGCGTTTCCAAATGGACCGAGGTATGTAGACTGGTCACGTTCCAAGGTTGCTGAAGCCATGTCATATTGTATTCCAAGATTGGAGCCTTGAAAGAACTGTATGAGTTAGCGCTCGCCCAGTGTATGAGTGTGTTGGTTCAGGTTGGCTTGATTGCTGGCATTCAATGTTTGAAACATTTGAAGGCTGAGGCCTGATTCGATAAAGGAGGAATAGTGACGCAGTACACTCTATTTTTGCTATTGCCATGCATGGGTTGTCACCCTTTGCCCCCTTTTCTGCAATGGGTACCTTGATGATGGAGAGAGATGGGGGAAATGGGGAAATCGAGAGGCTGGGCCCCACATCCCCAGGTGTTTATTGCCTTGGCCCCCTTGGTTTTTGCAGGTCTTGGACCAGTCAGTTGACTATGATATGTAGTATTTTGTTGGGAGATAGACTGGAAACTTGTGTTCATGGAAACCTGAGAGAGACATTCAAATCTTACTCACGAGGAAAGAAAACGGGGAGATGATTTGGTAGATGTACATAGTTGAACCCTGATTAAACCCTGATGCTCAGGGATCCCGAGGCCCTAAACGTGGCGTGGCACAACCGTAACGCTGATTGGGCCAATGACAGGTTTCAGGATCCACCGGATTTAAGAGAGTTCATTTGGAGGTTTTTAATATTCAAAACACATAATAGTAGTGAAAATAGAGGTGGCTGGCTCCTGCCTAGAATTCATAAAACGAAAAGGTCGCAGTTTCGTTTGTTTACTTCAAGTTTCTTCCCCAATTCCCCCCTTTCATCTACTAACCATACGCCTTCCACCCATATTATCTTGTTTCTATCGTGATCGTTACTTGAATAACTATTTCACATACTTACTGCGTGACGCTTGCCCACCATGCGTTTTTCTCTTGGCGCGGCTTTGGGCCTATTGCTTTCATCTACTTTTGTGGGTGCCCAGACCTATACCAACTGCAACCCGCTTCAGAAAAGTAAGCAAATAAAGCCTCAAGTGTGAACCAGAAAAAAAAAAAAAAAAAAAAACAATCCAAACTGACAGAAAATAGCCTGCCCTGCGGACCCTGCCTTTGGAAAAGCTAATCACGCGTTTGCTTTCACCTCGGGTGCTTCCTCTGACTTCTCGGCAACCGGCACTGTCACCTATGATTCCACCAAGGGTGCTGCTTTTACGGTCGCTAAGCAAGGTGATGGTCCTCTGATCCAGTCGAATTTCTACATCATGTTTGGTAAGGTTGAATACACTGTTCAAGCTGCCCCGGGAACCGGAATTGTTAGTAGCGCTGTGCTTCAATCCGATGACCTCGATGAAATCGACTGGGAGTGGCTTGGAGGTGACAACTCCCAAGTTCAGACCAACTACTTCGGCAAAGGCGATACCAGCACCTTCAACAGAGGTGCCTTCAGCCCCAACTCCGGAAATCACGATGGCTTTCACACCTACTCTGTTGACTGGACGAGCAGCCAGATCGTGTGGGCTCTTGATGGCACCACTGTCCGCACTCTTACGCCCGCAACAGCAGATACCAATCAGTACCCACAGACGCCGATGATGATCAAGGTTGGGGTGTGGGCTGGTGGTGACCCGAATAACCCTAAAGGCACTATTCGTAAGTATAGGTGATTCGCCAAAAAGGATTGATACACTGACCTGTTTTACAGAATGGGCTGGCGGCGAAACAGACTACACCAAGGGACCCTTCACCATGTACATGAAGTCGATGACCGTGACGGACTACTCGACCGGTAATTCATACAGCTACAGCGACCAAACCGGCACATGGGGCTCCATCACTTCCGATGGGGGCAAGGTTAACGGAAACAAGGCTGACGAGCCGACAACAACCCAGACTGCGCCCGCCGTGACAACCGCTACTGTAAACATCCCTGTCCCGTGGGATGGTACTCACAAGGAGACCGCAACATTTACCACTCCCGACACTTGGCCCTGGGTTGCCACGGACTCTCCGACTGCAGGATCGACTGATAGCGTTACTGGATGGGAATCTGGATCTGGTCACAATACAGCACCAACTGGGGGTTCCTTGAGTGAGCACTCCCCCCCATCCACTTCCCAGGACTTACAAACTAAAAACGGATCCCTTTCACAGTCTACCTCCCACTCTACGTCACTGTCTTTGGCTTCTTCGCTGGATTCATCTTCCCCCTCTGGTCATGAGACGTCTTTTAGAAACACCACCCGAGATGCAACCAGTTCCAGCTTGCGTAGCACTCGAACCTCGCAGAATCCCACTGCCCAAACCACTGGATCTACCGCAACCGCCGCTCCTTCGGTCGTTAACACAGCAACTCTGACCATGGCCCCCGCTGCAATCGGCATCCTCTGTGCATTTTTTGGCAGTGTTTTCATTTGGGTTTAAAGCCCAAACCTCTGGGCGTCTACCTGTATTTCTATCATTCATGAGCTCACGATGGAATGAGCTCGACACGGCGTTTACATTTTCTTTCAACCATGATTGGGAGCTTAATCTCATGCCCAGGGATTTCTTTTTAGCGCAGCATATCGGTGCCCATGGATGTTAAGGTCTTTCTTGCTTTTACTTCTTTTTTCTTTCTTGTCACTCGCACGCTCCTAGGTGTTCCCGACTCTGGGAGTGGTGATGTGGCATTCGCTCATGCTGTCATGACTTTCATGTATTATCTTTTTGTCTGCCTGTAGACCATCGGCCCTTGAATCAGATACGCTCCATTTGAGCAAAAAACAAGGATACGTAATACTTGGTCTATGTATAGTATCATGCACCATGGTAATATGAATAGAGATATTGAAACCTCCAAGATGCGCTCAATGTCTCCACAGACTTACATCCTGGGCAGCAGCACTTCCAATCAACACCTAGCAATCCATAGCAGACATCGAGTATACCCATCCTTGCTCGTGACCCTGGAGTGATGGTGTCTACCACATGTGAAGTCCAATAGGAGAGGTGTAGTGGCTCAACGTAGCCAGAGAATGGGCCAATTTATACCATTTAACGAACTCTGACCGGGAGAACTTCCCTAATTAAACCCCAGAACCCTTATTGGGCTGCATTCAAATGTTGGGGAGAAATTGGTCTTCAAAATAAAATATAAATTAAATTAAGATCAAATGCAACTAATCTTACTTCTATACTACCGTGACGACAGCAAACATGCACTCCGGTGTCATGTGCTCACCCAAGCCTCCATCTCATCTGCAGGTGACATGCTTCGTTGAGTCCCAGTTTGAATGATAAGTCAGACTGCATTGGTTTCTCTTGCATCGTGAACTACATTCCGATCTTAGTTAGGAAAATAAGTCCGCCGTATTTTGGTAATGCTTATACCTGTCCGGACGACAAAATAGAATCAATACACCAGGGTATGAGATAAGAAAGCCCTGGATTATTGTATACTAGTAGTAGGTACCTAGTAGACTACACGTATATTTAGAACATTGAAGATGGATAGAATCGCTTCCATAACATTAATCATCGAGCAAATCACCCTCAAGTCCCCTTTTTACATTTGACTTTGTCGAGCGAGCTCTACATCGTCTGATTATCTTCATATCTCGTAGACCATAACTTAACAATCATCAAACCGGGCTTTGCAAAGCCACTTGTTTCTTGTGCAAAGGCCCGAATGAACGCTTAATTCCCATCCACGGCGTATTGATTGGACTGTCCAGTCCAGTATATAAGAAGAGATCATATATCCAGGCGCCAAATGTGCAGCCAAGGAATGGGGCTACCATTGGAACCTAAGAAACAGAGTTCATTAGTAAGAATGGATACTGGAAATCAAAGAGAACTCGATGAGATTGCTGGCATACCCAGAAGTAGTAGCCACCCGCTGCCCACACCTCATGCCCGTATCCAATCATGTATGAGACAAGTCTGGGGCCAAAATCTCGGGCTAGATTGATTGCATATCCAGTTTCCCAGCCGAAACACGCACCGATACCGAATATCACGAAGAATAGTGCTAGCGGCGTTAGATGGCCTGCGCCGATGTTGTTATCGTCTTTGAGTGCGAATATCATGAACATCAATATGGCACTCGCCAGGAATTCCGAGAAGAATTGTCCAGTCTTTGTCATAAAACTGGCAGGATAGGTACAAAATATCCCTCCTGTTGCTGTGGTTGAGTATCCAGGAACGGTGCGAGTATTGGGTCCTCCTTCAAAGACGTCAATGGCAGATTTATAATTGCCGTACACAATTGCAGCACCGCACATAGCCCCAAGAACCTGGGAGAGAACGTAGATGGGGAATTTGCGCCAGGGAAAGCCTCTGAAGACACAGTTTGCGAAGGTTACGGCTGGGTTGATATGCGAGCCTGATGGACCGCTGACGTATACCCCAAGCATGACACCCAGTCTATAAGATAGTTGTCTGTTGTCAGTATACCGGTGGAAGACATAGATGGAAAGAGTATGTGAGAAAGAGACAAAAGCACTCACCCCCAGCCCCAGGTGATTGATTGATAATTCCCTTTCTGATCGTTACTCAGGAGAACTTGTGCCACGACTCCATCGCCGAACAGTATCAGGATCATAGTCCCGAAGAACTCGGAAAAAGCATCGCGACCGTATGCCCTGATCTTATACCAGAATAGAGGTGGAGGTACAACAGTATTTCCAGACTCAGCAGCAATGTTGACAATGGATGCCTCCTCTTTGCTACCAATGTAGACAGAGCTGCATCCAGTCTCATGACTCTGTGCTGAGCATGTCTCTTTATGGGTAGTTGACATCGGCTCAAATGTAGTGTCTGACCAAGAACCCATAGTAGCTCGACTTGAGAATGGATATGAAACAACCTCGACAGATAAAGAGGAAAATCGCGGTTTTCCTGCGATATATCAACAACCAGGCATAATCGTGTAACCCCTGCAACTCAAAATTAAAACCTTGGAAATGCTTTGTGCAGAGACCTCGTCGCGAATCGGCTCAATTGGGTAACAGCTTTTGTTTTCCAGTCTTCGGGTGAGCGTATTCCTTTTCCCAATTCAAGCTTGCGTTGGCTTGCAGCGAGTATTGAATATTGAGTTGCATACAAAGACCGACTGACTCAGACTTGCTTCTCCCAAGCCCAAAATAATCAGACGGGGTATTATTCCCCTTTTCGTTTTTCTTCTCCAGAGGAAGAAGAAGAGAAATTTGTAAAAAAAATTGATAGAGCACATCCATTATTTCCCCCGTGCGTTTGTTTGACAGCCGTTTGACCGGGTTGGGTAGCCGGAAAACGCCGGTCTTCATCTCATCTTCTTTTCCTGTTCATTTGCAGATTTGACTTTGAATGATCTGGCTTTGGTAACACCATCAGGTGCGCGCTATTCCCACTGGTAAGAGGTTCCTGGCACTTGCCTGTAATGGATGCAACACAGGAAAGCTTCTATGCTTCTGTTACCCATCGTCAGCTTCGGGCCCAATTGTAATTTCTAGAAGTTCGAAAACCGTAACACAGGAAAAAAACCTTGTCAGTTGTCAAAAAAAAAATTGAAAAGAAGACTTACAATTTGATAACACGCTTCTGATATTGGCGGTTTGTCCTATATTAGAAGGCGATTATGGTTCCCGAGCGACGACTCCAGAGCTGACGGTAGCATCTGGCGCTTGTTGCCCTTGTGATGATGCCCTACATACCCAAAGCTCGTGTGACTATCTTCCATGCATTGTAGTATCACCTCCACCGAGCAAGGCAGCCATAGTCAAGGTATTGTGTACAAGGTGGGAGTAGGAAAGCGACAGACATAGTTGTAGAGAATGAGAATGAGAATGAGCGGGTACGGGGGTCAGATCGGTGATAACCGAGACCGGAATGCCAAGACCAACGTTGGAGGTGTCAGGATTTCAATTCCAACCTACCGAGTTGTCATCTGGTCTGATTTGGTTGAAGACAATATCTCGTGCTTGACCCGACGCGTCTTGCACTAGATATGATATTGCAGAAAGCTAGCGGGGGCTCCACCTTGACAAGTGGAGATGAACTGAGTTCTCTGGAAGTTCGTCAACGTAACCGAGTCGTTGATGGCAAGTCCCCCGCAGTTCCTTCGGCATTAGTCGGTCTGATCTGAGCAATTAGCGTTACGCTAGTGGGGGCGATCGCGCGGAACAGCGACGTGGTCACACAATGCTCATTATGTTATCTCGGATCATTTCCACAAGGTCCGTGTAGGACTTTTGCTTCCCAAGGTTTTCCCCCAGAGTGATCGTCGTCGAATATTGGAACGGAGTATGAGAAGTGTAAAAGCGGGGGATTAATACATGACCTATAGACATCTGGAGGATGCCAAGTGTGTGAGACCGACGAGGTCGTAAAAGGGGGGTATACTATGTATGCAGTATAGATGCAGACTTACATAGGATTACACGGGCTCACCAATACGATAACATCCTTCGATGTCTGCATAGCCTCGTCACACTGAGTACTTGACCCGGTCAGCTCTTTCCGGACTCTCAAGCCTTAATCCTTTTCCTTTCCTAACCCCGGTTCATGGCACTGGATTTTGACCCCCTGGCTCTCGTAATTCCACCAATTATCTTGAGAGAACTTTACTCACTTTCCCCTCTACGATCTAGCTCAAATCAGAGCTCACAGACCACGGGAACCTGGTGTCACAGGTATGATTATTTAAGATACGCCTTCCCTCCTTTCCCCTGATCGTGGAGGGTGATGCTGCGTTTCTTTTGCTCTTATGATACCCAGAGTGGTTGATTAAGCGGCTTGAACCGTGGTGCGTTTCATTCAGTTGTACTCTTCCTTTGTTTCTTTTATCCCAGTACAGTTACTTTACTCTCCAAACATGCAGCCTTCAGATGTATTCGTGGGGTCGATCGACCAGGGCACAACAAGCACTAGATTTCTCATCTTTAATCGAGATGGGGAGCCTGTCGCCTCATACCAGGTTGAGTTCAGCCAAATATATCCAAACCCAGGGTAAGCAGACGATCAGACAAAGTGTAACGACAAAAATAATCAGAAAGACTAATGTTTTAATCAATACCCGACTTAGATGGCACGAACATGACCCACTTGAGCTCATCTCCTCTGTGGAAACATGCATCGAAGGAGCAGTCCAGGAATTCGAAAGCAAAGGCTACTCTCGCACCAACATCAAAAGCATTGGGATAACAAATCAACGAGAAACAACAATAGTCTGGGACCACGAGACCGGTGAACCTCTCCACAATGCCATTGTCTGGACCGACACCCGCTCTCAGTCCATAGTGAGCGAGTTGAAACAGAAACCAGGCGTATCCAACCTTCAATCCATCTGCGGTCTACCGCTGTCAACCTATTCGTCCGCCACAAAACTACTGTGGATGCTCCAGAACGTCCCAAAGGTACAAGAGGCGTTTAACCGTGGCACTCTCGCGTTTGGCACGGTCGATTCGTGGCTTGTATACCGTTTGAACGGTGGCGTATACGCCAACGTCTTTGTCTCAGATTCAACAAACGCCTCGCGGACGATGTTTATGAATCTGGAGTCGTTACAATATGATGATACACTCTTGGACTTTTTTGGCATCAAGGGAAAAGTTCATCTCCCAAGGATAGTGCCTTCGTCAGACGCGAACGCTTACGGTATGGTTGCCGTGGGTGCTCTGGTGGGTGTTCCGATTATGGGATGCTTGGGCGACCAGTCTTCTGCGTTGGTTGGGCAGAAAGGGTTCTCGCCTGGGATGGCGAAGAACACATATGGGACGGGATGCTTTTTGCTTTACAATGTTGGTGAGAAGCCGGTGTTTTCACACCACGGGCTACTGGCTACAGTCGCATATGATTTTGGAGGAAAGCCCGTCTATGCTCTTGAGGGGAGTATTGCTGTGGCAGGATCTGGGATAAAGTTCCTGCAGAACAATTTGAATTTCTTCCAGGATGCCAAGGAGGTGAATGATCTAGCGCTGTCGGTGGAGGACAATGGGGGTTGTGTGTTTGTCACGGCTTTCAGTGGGCTTTTTGCCCCGTATTGGATTGATGATGCCAAGGGAACCATTTGTGAGTACTGGGATGTTTCACCCAATCCCTTTCTTTCAACCTATTGGCTAATTTTCAATCTCCAGTCGGTATTACTCAATACACTCAAAAGGGCCACATCGCTCGCGCAACGCTCGAAGCAACATGCTTTCAGACCAAGGCTATCCTGGAGGCAATGGAGAAGGACAGCGGACACGCCCTTTCCGAATTGGCCGTGGATGGAGGAATGAGTAACTCAGATCTAGCCATGCAGGTCAGATCGGCAGTGAACCCCCTTCCCAAAAGATTCAAACCTCGGTACTAACTCTGCTTCTTCTAAGTAGACACAAGCAGACTTGATCTCGATACCCGTTTACCGTCCCAAAATGCGCGAGACCACAGCCCTGGGCGCAGCAATCGCAGCAGGTCTCGCGGTTGGTCTATGGCGAAATTTCACCGAGCTCCGAGATATCAACCGCAGCGGAGGAGCAGTCTTCGAGCCCCAGATAACCCGACAAGAAAGCGCAAGCAGATTTGGAGAATGGGAAAAAGCAGTGGGAATGTGTCGAGGTTGGATTGGAACAAATCATGAGAATACGAACGATACCATTCAGGCTCACGAAGAAGTCGAGATAAAAGCGCACGAGAAGCCCGTGCCTATTTTGCAGGTCAAGATGCATGCTGCGGATAACTTCCAGAGAGATCATACATCTTGTTTGCTCTATGATAGCCCTGGTGATGGCATTGGAGGTATGTTGAGAATCACACGGTCACAGAATGGGGATGACGAAATCCCATCAATCAAAATGCCGTTAGTCAGTGTTTCAGGGGACTTGGACAGTGCAGATGAGGAAGATTTATTTTTGGAGTTAAGGAAGGTTGAGATTTTGCAGAAGCTTAAGAAAGTTCGAAAGCTGAAGTTGAGTTCCAAAGGAGGTTATTATTAGCACAAGTCCATCAGCCGTGAATAGCATCAAAATGTTTCTCTAGAGAATAAGCGTTGAATGCAAAGGTAGCAGCAGTAACATAAGATAGACCAAGAATCGGTAAGGGAGTTCAGAATGACTTGTATGAAGTACTAGGTAAAGTAGAGAAGGAGGCACCTATAGTCAAAGTTGCTAAGGGCTCCCTTATATTTAATAATTTGAGGAAGAATTCCATCCTGGCACCCACGTAGTCCAACTGGTTCCACCCTTCGGGACCTCAGCCAGCTCTGGATTTGCGGCCCCCACTTCAGGTACACTGGGCCCATCCACGATGGGGATACTGAGTAGTACGGCGAGCCTAAGAGTCGAAGCCTAAGTTGAGTGACAGCGAGAAAGTGCGCCGCGGACCTACTACAAAGTATCTGCCCTCTTTTTTTTTTTTTTTAAATTATGAAACTGTCTTATTTTTATCTTTTTTATTTGATTTGATTTTGATTTTTGAAGTTCGGAAGGGAGTTCTTAGTATGAAGCCGTGATGCCATCATGCATCGATGGCGGGAGCGAGTGACTTCTTTCTTGGGAAATCTTTACGTATTTGTGCTTTTTACCTCCCTGGAAGTCCCTGGTTCGATTCCTGGGGGTTGCGTTTCTTTTTCATGCTATAGTTGTAGTAACAAAGTATTATTTTACACCTCCTTCTCCTATTTCCTCCCTTAGTAGGTACTCCCCTCCCCCTCTTGTCTCTTCCACAACTTAGAGCCAGAGGACTACTTCGATTAACTCTTTGAAACTAAATGAGATCTAGCGATTCAGTTTGAATGCTAATAGTAGTAATGATGTAAAAGATAGCGGGGTATATCATCATTCATTTCATCGTAATTATTCTAAACACTATTCGAACCTCACGGCTGGTAGCCCTTTGGCATCCAAAGCAGACTGTATACTTTCCTGCATGGTTTTTACAGATTCAGACCAGGTCATAGCATCCTTCGGTCGAGATTCCGAGTCGCAATTCCCTTGTCCAGGATCTTTATTAACGAGCAGCATCAAACACCGTACCACAGACACAGCTTTATCAACATCGTTCTCTTCTGAGATCACGCGGCTTAAATATGTGCAAAGAGCTTCCACATCATCTCTGTAGGGACCCTCGACTGTAAAAGCAGAATGCCAGGCACTAATTGAATCCCGTAAGTCATCCAGATTTGACATCCCCTCTGGTGCGGTGACAGCTCGACCCGAGAGATCGGGTTGATTTTCGGGTCCAGGGTTCCCCTCAGTTGCGGGTTGTGTTGCCAATGCCTTGTGTTTCTCGGGCTCTTTCTGACCTTCCGATTTGGATTGGCTTTCACGATTAGAGAGAGGGGCAGACTGTGACACAAATCCCAATTGCATCAAGGTTCTGGTAGATCCCGCCCCTGGCTTGGATGACCGGCTTGGTTTTCTCAATGGAGAGCCAGACCTTTTTACGCCAGCAGATCGAGATGGGGTTGAACGTGTTGAAAGCGCAGTAGCTTTGGGTGTCGCGGGGGTGGACTTGCTGGGTTGGTTGCCGTAATGAGCTAAGACCTCCTTCCGGATATCTTCTGGCAATGCCGCCAAAGTTTCGGGATCAAGCCCGGTCTGGGCAGTTTGCTCTGTACACTCCATCTCGGGTGGACCTGAGGAGTGCTCGTGTATTTCACGAGGGGGTGGACAGGGCGACGCTGGTCGGGATTCCTCTCTAGGTTTTGCTTGGGCTGCAAGCTTTGATCTGATGTCCCCAATAGGCGCAGCGGCGGGTTTAGGTTCTGGTTGAGCGGGCATGATGAATTGGGAACCCGATAGGTTCAAATGCTTGTGTGCGCTATTGCTGAGAATCGGATCGATTTGGATTCGAGAGGCATCCCCCTTGCGGGGGCTTTCTAATTCATCGGTATATTTGCTCGCTATGGCGAATCTTCCTCTGGACGGTGTTTTTGTCTGTTGCAATTCACCATCCCCAGAGTTTGCAGAGGGTACTGGGTGACTTTCCCTGTCGAGAGCGGGAGAGCTGAGAGAAGTGCGCTTATTTGATGGAGGAGATGAAAGTGGCAGAGTTGGAAAGGTCGAGGCTGCTTTTGAAGGGGTGGCCTGGTCATTTCGTACATCTTGCACGCTGCCAGTTCCAGCCGTGTCCTTGGCCTGGAGCTGGGAATTATACCAACTCGTGCTAGACTGTTCTTTGTAACCTGACCTGGGTGTACTTGCTTGACTGCTCATGCGATCACCACCAAATTTCAAGATCTTCTGGGATTGGTTCTCTTCTACAAGCCGGAAACCATCCCAAGGTAGCAAGCGACCTGCTTTGATACTCTCCGTGACCCAGGCGGGTTTCACAATGCGGTACCGTCGAAACTCTTCGCATTTCTTTGGTGTCAAGGAACTCGCAATGATATGGGTGGCAGAAGTCTTATTATCTAAGTACTGTAGAAACCCGCCTCCATGACTGACAATCAACCGGTGCAGATCTTGCAGCGAGGGCTGAGTATAGCCATTGACGTGCGCGACAACCCCACGGAATACCGGGGGACAATCTCTGGCCGAGGCTCGGATTTCCGCGTCTAGGTTCTGCAGCTTCAGCTTTTTGCGTCGCATATAATCTTCAAACCCGCCAAAACTGGAGGCTTCGTATTCCTCGCCTGTCTCGTCGTGGAAGTCATCTATATAGTACGGGCCCAGATTAGACTCAGAATATTGAAAATTCAATCTGACATCTAAGGGGCCTTACGATTTTCGATGCTCTTGCGCGTTGCCTCCGAGTTTGAATTGAGACGAGAGCCCATGTTGAGCCAGCAAATGCATCACTTATTGAAACAAACCAAGAAACGATTAATTCCAAGTGGATGCGGACGCGATCAAATCACGCGTCGAAAAGGGCAAAATCTGACAAATTGATGGCGGTATAGGGGGCGGTCAGATGAGGCAAATGTGAAAGCGGTATGAATGAGGGGGAGATTATGATTGGTTGAAAAACTCAGGCAAATTTGCAGAAAAAAAAAAAAAAGCAGAGACGGGGACAGAAGCTCTTCGGCGATCTCTGTTGCTGCATTTGGATCCACATCTTTTCGTTTTCTTCTTCCTCTTCTCATCCACTGCCTGTTTTCTTGGTGGTTCATTTCATTCACTATTTTCCACCTTCACATATATTCCATTTCCATTCCCCATCTCTATTATTTCACACACAATGTCAGCCGTTCAGCCTGTCGCAGTTTACGCCCTCCGGGTTCCTCCCGGAGCTTTGATTCCTGCTGTGCCTAATGCTGCCGCTTCGGTCAGTAAAAATCTCTATACCAGTCGCAACACTTTGATCCTAACTTTTGAAATAGTTCCGCGTCAGCATGGCCGCTATTGACCCTGATGAGACCCCCGATTTCGAGGATGGTGACTCCAGCAAGCCCTCGCGCGCCACCTTGAAGATCGTTCGTCCTCCTCCTGGTCTCGACTTGGACGAAGATGATGAGGATGATGAGGACTACAGCGATGTTGAGGATGATGAGGACTCCGATGATGATGAGGTCAACGGTGGCCCCAGTGACAAGGAGAAGGCTCGTCAGCTGAAGAAGGCTGCTGCCCAGAAGGAACTGGAGGACGCCATGGATGAGGATGATGAGGATGAGTCCGATGACGGTGGCTTCGACCTTAAGGCTGCTATCTCCAAGCTCATCAAGGGCAAGGGCCCCGCCAGCGGTGACGACGAGTCCGATGACGAGTCCGATGAGGGCCTTGACCTCGATGAGAGCGTCATCTGTACCCTCAGCCCCGAGAAGGTAAGCGCCCGTTTCATCTGATCCGACTTGTTATGTGTTCAATGGCTAATAATTTTGAACAGAACTGCCAGCAGACCCTCGACATCACTGTCTGTGAGGGCGAGCGTGTTTTCTTCAAGGTCACTGGTAACCACACTGTCTACCTCACCGGTAACTACGTCATTGGTCTCGATGAGGGCCGTGAGGATTACGATGAGGATGAGGATGATGAGGATGACTACGACCTCTCCCCCGATGAGGAGGAGCTTGACATGGAGGAGCTCCTGGCCATGGATGCCGACGAGAGCGACGACCTTGATGGCATGGACGACCCCCGCATCACCGAGGTCGACAGCGAAGAGGATGCCCCCAAGCTTGTTGAGGCTAAGGGCAAGGGCAAGAACAAGCGTGCCGCCGAGGAGGAGTCCCTCGACGACATGATCGCCAAGAGCACCAAGGGCAAGGCCACCAAGGAGGAGCCCGTCCTGACCAAGGCCCAGCAGAAGAAGCTGAAGAAGAACAACGGTGATGCCGCCGCTGTTGAGACCAAGAAGGAGGCCGAGGCCAAGAAGGAGGCCAAGTCCGACAAGAAGGTCCAGTTCGCCAAGAACCTCGAGCAGGGTCCTACTCCCTCCGGTGACAAGCCCACCGGCACTCTCGGTGTGAAGGAGGTTCGTGGTGTCAAGATTGATGACAAGAAGCTCGGCAAGGGTGTTGCTGCCAAGAGCGGCAACACTGTCGCCATGCGCTACATCGGAAAGCTCAAGGACGGCAAGGTCTTCGACTCTAACAAGAAGGGCAAGCCTTTCACCTTCAAGCTTGGACGTGGTGAGGTCATCAAGGGTTGGGACATCGGTGTTGCCGGCATGGCCCCCGGTGCTGAGCGCCGCCTGACCATTCCTGCTTCCCTCGCTTACGGAAAGAAGGCTCTTCCTGGTATCCCCGCCAACTCTGAGCTGATCTTCGACATTAAGCTGCTTGAGATCAAATAGATTGAATCTCTTGTTTTGCCCTTTTCCATTTTCCGGTGGTTCGCACGGGTGTTTGGTTCGATCGGTTTGATTGCATTATTTTCCTGTGATATCCGGCTTGTTTGTTTTTTTGCCTCGATCGATTTGATCTGAGGAATGAGGTTTATCACGCGGAAGTTGTCTCCGTTGCATGGACGAAAAGTGCCCGATTTTGTGACCTGTATTTTTGTATCTGCGCACTCGTATTTTAAATTCTAAACTATATGCCTTCTGTTCAGTCACTTCTCATCCATTCAAGATATGCGTAGTATCCAAAATGCAAGGGCTAGCTCGATAGCTCTTGCCGTCTGGCCTCAACAACATTGAACTTGGTCCCCAGGGACCAAGCACAAATTTACTAACACTGCATAACCCTGCTGCAACATTTTATCAAGTCCAGTATTTGCATTCGACATCCTCTCTTTTACCACCGCCAAGCTCCGGATGTTATTCTCATAGCAGAACCTCCATTCCTTGATCCAGCTTGAATGTGACCCACAGCATGACAGTCTCTTATAGAAAGAAAGTGAAAACTCGAAAGAGCGTTTTCGGTCTTTGGCATCAGACCAGAGCCGCCACCTACAGCAACAAATTTTCTGCTTTTCCCGATTCTCCCATATCTGATACCAGCCCTGCTTCTGAGCCTATCATCACTGCCGAACCGAGCAAAGACCGACTCAGAATCCGACTGACGCGCAGTGGCTCCAAACTCTTATTGTTACTGGGGCGGCTGGGAAGTTCCGCGAATAGTGAGACCATTCTTTCGCTGATATAGTGGATGCTCACTTGCTGACATCTGATAGGCAACAAGACCAGTGCGGAATCTGGCTCATGCGAAGACCCTCAGGTTTCAGAGCAGCGAAGCCCACCTCTTCACACAGCAGAACGCGACCCTGTCTATATTAACATCAATTATTCGCCAGAATGTGCATCACCAATCACTCATTCAGTCCATGTTGAGCCCCAGATCGTCAGTCGTCGGTCCTGCTCGACAGTGCTTCCATCGCCTGCGAGCGAGAGGGCCGAGCTCCAAGAGGTGGTTCAGCAGAACGACGACGGTGATGACAATGGATATATAGTAACCAGTGACCAGCAAAGCATCCCGAGTCCCAGATTGGTCAACCGACTCTCCCAGAAAATTTCCACGACATTTGGAAATCCCACGGTGATTCAGCGTACACACTGTCGTTCGAGACCGGCTATTCCTTTCCCTGAGTCCCCGATCTACCCCGAACTACACAGTAAGCAAGGAGATGGGGCAAACGATAGCTCAAGCCCTTCAACAGCACCTAGCAGCAATGGTTTCCAGCTTGGCCATTCTACTCCTCTCACTCCAGCCACGTCGGCCGAGCCGCCACCTCCGAAGGGGCACCCCGAGGTTCCAGTGTCTGATTTAGCTCCTATGTCAGACAGTGTCTCCAATTCTGTCGCTCTTCAAACTACCCCAGGAACGAGGCCTCATACTGTTGTGCCATCCATTGCGACTGTGGAAGCAGCCTCTGTGGCTAAGGTATTCCTGGAACTCTACTTCAACTCCATCTACCAAAATAGTGATCCACGCTCACAACGCCAGCATGAACTCGAGCGACGTATGTACACATTCCGTCTTGCACCAGATGAGCAATTCGCAGCAAGATGCAATTGGTTACTGCAGGAGAATGAGTACTTACGCCAATGTCGGGTTCTCAAAACCGGCATCCGAAGTACACCAGGTGAAAATGCAATCTCGGCGGCTGGCTATGATGCCATCAAGGTTCTTGGGAAGGGCAGTTTTGGTGTAGTCCGGTTGGTTCGTGAAAAAAGGAGTAAGAAGCTCATTCGCCAAGAGGATTTTTCCATTCAGGATGGGGGTCCCAACGCCCGGGGCCATCCTCTTGATGTGTTGAAGTCTGCTGTCGATGGAACCAAACACGGCCGCCGAAGATACATAGCTGGTGAAGCCAAGGACGTTTATGCCATGAAGGTGATCAAGAAGTCCGACATGATTCGCAATTCGCAAGAAGGTCACATCCGAGCTGAGAGAGATTTTCTTGTTGCATCTGAGAGATCTCGCTGGGTCGTTCCATTGATCGCGAGTTTTCAGGATAAAAACCATTTGTATCTTGTCATGGATTACATGGTCGGTGGAGACTTTTTGGGCTTGTTGATTCGAAAAGATGTACTCCGTGAGGATCTGACAAGATTCTATATTGCCGAGATGATCATGTGCATCGAGGAAGCTCATCGACTTTTCTGGATTCATCGTGATGTCAAGCCCGACAATTTTCTCGTTTCGGCCTCTGGTCATTTGAAGATCTCCGATTTTGGCCTAGCTTTCAATGGTCATTGGTCGCATGATCAGTCCTACTACCACAGTCATCGTTATTCTTTACTCGAGAAACTTGGCATCGCGGTTGTCGGCGATGCTGAAGATCAAAAGATCGCGACGGAACATCGAGGGAATGCAAAGATTGCTTCCGATCCACAGAGTCTGCTGGATTATTACAATTACCGTGTGCCCACCACGGATGTACTGGGCTGGCGCGATAGAAAAGAGAGGCGGCGATTTGCCAAGAGCGTTGTCGGAACTAGTCAGTATATGGCTCCTGAGGTCATCCGAGGCGAGATGTATGATGGACGGTGCGACTGGTGGAGCCTAGGCATTATTTTATACGAGGTAAGAATCCACTAAAGAAACTCAGGATGCCATTTTTCTCACATGATGCTCCTAGTGTTTGTTTGGTTTCACCCCTTTCGCCTGTGAAAATCGCCATGACACAAAGATCAAGATCCTGGTGAGTCCGTCGCCATGTCATTGTGCTTTCCGTGAAAGCTGACATTGTGCCCAAGCAACATTCAAAAACTCTACAGTTTCCTAGGGAAAAGCCCAGCGACAAGATGGTGTCTCAGGAGGCCATCAATCTCATTAGCCGAATCCTCCAAGAGCGTCATCACCGGTTATGTTCTCGGGAGTATCAAGCCAACGACATGCTAGCAGGCCGCCCCGTAACGGCACAATTTCTTTACTCTATGGACCCTCGGTATAGATCTATCACGAGCTACTTCGTCTACCCCAATGATGCCGCCGATATTAAGGCCCATCCTTTCTTCAGGGGCATTCGATGGAATGAACTCCACGTGATGCAGCCACCGCTGGTACCCAAGGTCAAAAACTGGGAGGATACCAGATATTTTGACGATTGGAAGAACATTGCTAATATCGATGATGGCTCCCACAAAAGTGACTCGGAAGACCCCGATGAAGATCACGACGAAAAGCCAAGTTCTGTCGCAGAGCCTCCCCGCTCTCGAACAGGTTCTGTTCCCGAAGAGCCTGTGCCAGAAGAAGTTGCCGCTGCGGAAGCTGAAATGATTGCCAAGAAAGCCCAAGATGCCGAGAGACGAAGGGAGAAAAAGCGCCCTCGTGATAAGATCCTGAGAGACAAGCAGATTGGCAAGGCTGCTTTGGAGATACGCAAAAAGGGTGCTTTCTTGGGCTATACATATCGGCGACCAAAGGGGCCCTGTATGGCTCTGAATGCTGATCGGGGACGCCAAACTTTCGTCAGGGGGAACTTGGGAGAGCTTTATGGTCTGTGAAGTATGAAGGGCTCCATGGTCTTGTTGGAACATTGAAGGGAAGTTGGCCAACCCTCTTGCGATTCAACTATTCATACCTATAAGCCTTTCATTCCGGGGCGCCTCTCGTTGTTTCAAAAGTTGGTTGCTTTTCGCTCTTTTGTATATTTTTATCAAAGATACCAGGGGTTGGCATTGGCCTAGCTTGATAGCAAGAGTAGGTTGCTCATTGTAATTGAAGTCATCCATGATGAATTGCACGAAAAGTTCATGTCGATACAAACCATTCACGGGTAACAGTGCGATAGTTCAACACCTGCTAAGCCACTTAGGTATAAAGGCGGACATTCCTGATAACCAAGTGCCTCTTTCTCGGCCTTTTCGAAGCAGATACTATGAGGTTGTGGACCTGCTCCGGGTTTCTGAGGAAGCAAGAGGTGGATTGACTTGCTCGGTATATCAACTCCTGCACACCATTGGAACTAGTCATTCGGAAAAAGAATCTCAAAGTGATCACACGACTCAATAACCAACCGTAAACAGTCTTATTTGAACGAAAATTTCTTCAATTTTTTTTTAAAATTTAAAGTGGACAATGTACAGTAAAGCACAGTGTGATAAAGTTTTGTATGCGGCCGACCTGCAGTCCGCTAATTAATCCACCCAAGCATCGAGAATGGGATCAAACACTAGAATAAAGATGTGGAGACATGAAACCGGAGAGTGGGCATGCTGAAAAGAACAACAAAATAAACAGGGGATATCATTTTTTAAAAAATAGCTTGAGCTTAAATGTAGATCACGTATGCAGAAAACAACAAACACCCAAATCAAAGTACGGGCGCACTCATTGAAAAGGCAGAGTCAGTAACCCTGTCTTCGGGTTTCATGGTACCGTTGAGCAGAGGACAAAGCTTCTTGTTTGTCTTGATGTGTCCAACCTGGCCACAGTTGGCACACTTGCGCTGAGTACCAGTCGGTTTGCCATCTGCGGGGGAATCACCCGCGCGGGATATACCCTTTTGCTTCTCACGAGCAAAGCGGCGCTCCTTATTGCGATTCAAACGGCTCAGTTCGGCTTCAATAAGTTTGCGGTTGCGGGCGTCGACCTCGGGGTCACCGGTAGGCTGGAGTGAATCCAGTTTGGTAGTCAAGGCCTCTGTGCGGTGGCGATGCTGGATGTAGTGACGAATGACTCGTGGATCCCAGACCAACTGCTCCTTCTGCACGATCTCGCCGTTGGCCTCCTTGAACTGACGAGTGATGCGCAGTACTTTGCCCTTCTGACTGTTGAAACTCATCCGACTGAACTGACTGGTAGTCTCGTCATCGCGCCGGATTGGAGCGGGAGTCGGTGCTTCTGAGCGGGGGGTTGGCTTGTTGAACTCTTCTTCTTCGCCCTGGTCGACATCGCTCTCTTGGTCCGAGTGCTCCACGGTGGAGGAAAGACTGGCTTTCTGGGCATCCCAGATGCGACGAATCGATGTTTCATAGGATCTTTGTTGTCGTGCAACGTTATAACTGTGGCCACCAAGCTCCTTAAGTCTCTGTGCATCCAGCTTGTCTTCCACACTCTCTCCGATCGCCTTGAAACCACCCTTCATGGATGTCTTTATGAAACTGAATCCCTCTCCACGTCCGGTGGGGTCACCTTCTCCGTGAAGTTTGAGCATGGCCTTGCCCTGGGAAGCCAACAAAAAGTTTCGACTGGCTTTCCATGGAGCCATTTGCTGCTCAAAGCTTTCACTCTCTTCGTCGTCATCATTTTCATTTGCGTTCTCAGCCTCGCCGCCGAAGCCAGTGTCGTTGAGGTGCTGTTGTCCAACCTGCATTGACTCGAGAAGACAGACATCCTCGGGTTGAACCCATGCTCGAATTGTATCTTGATCTGGGAGGTTCGGATCCAAAGGCTTCCAGTACTTGGTATCCTTGTCGTGCTGAAGGAAATCCTTGACCTTCTGTCGATTTTGCATATCTGTTGTGCCGGGGATGTGAGCCGTCACATCACTGATAGCCAGTCGCTCGTCGGCACTCTTCTTGAGCAACCGGTACACGAGCATCTTCATACGGTTTTTCGCAACGGTCGTGACCTTGCGAGAGTGCGGGCCGGGGATATCGACAGAAGGAAATTGCTGTCCAGCAATGAAGAAGTTCTCAATGTTGCGCAAATAGTAGGTGCTACCTTTGGACTGGGTGGTGCTTCGAACAACCAGAAAGTCTGTGGACTTAGCCTGGTGCGGGAAAAGCGGCGCTCTATACATCGAATTTGAAATTGCAGGAACAATATCACCAGGGTCCACGTGGCCGAAAATTGAGAACGGACTCTTATCTTGGGGTAGCAAGACAGCCGTTTCTCCAATCTCGGCTCTTGGTCGAGTAGGATCATCCGGATTCTTCCTTCGATAATAATTAATGAAACGATTGCACATGCCAAAGTTGGAAAGTGACATAGGAGCTTCCTCAGAGTATTCTACAAGGAGAACATTCGAGTTGTCGGCCAAAGACAGTTGATTTGTTGTAGCGTATAGAGCCTTGGGGTCCTTGCCCTTTTGTTGCTTGCGTTTGAGGTGTAGAGGGTTTTTGAACCAGGAGGTTTGACCGGTGCGAAAAACCAGAGCAGGTCGATGGAAAGATCTGGCCTCGGTTTTGCCCAGTTCTGTCTTGTAGTACGGCCACTGTAGTCGTAGGGCTGGCATAGCGTGCTCGAGGCTGACATTTCCAAGTGTGCTTCGAATCTTATTCTGGTGGTTTTGCTTCAGCATGTCATATGCTTGGTCATTCGATATATTGTAGCGCTGAGTCAGACGACGGGTCATGTTGGAGTCGACTTCATCTCTGGTACGCGGCACGGTATGCTTGGGTTTGTGGGCAACGGATTCCGGCTGTAGCTCTTCGACAAGGATGTTGGGGTCGTTCATGTCAATAGTAACCTTCTTTGCAATCCGCTCAGTTGCTTGCTCGGGGTCTTCCAACAGTGGAAAGTCGAGGTGACTTAGTGCAATGACATCCACAGGGGTCGGACCTGTTTTGCGTTTCTTGGCCGGGTGGTTTGCATCGACGAGCCAGTCATCCTCTTCGTCAAATACGCCAACATCAGGGTCAGCGCGCGTATTCTCTGGTTCCGAGGGCGGGCATTCATCCCGTACGTCCCAATCAGCGCATATGATTCGAAGGTCAAGCATAGTATAACCACCAGGCAAGGTTTCATCTGCCTCACCGTCGCCCATGTCAAGATCTTCCTTGTTCTCCTCTTCTTCTTCCTGGGCAGACTCCGTAATGAACACGATTCCCAGGGACTCTTGATCAAGGCCACGTTTGCTTGGTTGGCCGGTTCGGAATACTCGCTCCTGGTCGGGGGCTAACTCGATGTTGACCTTGGTCGGAAGCACTGGCTTGGGGGGCTTCACCGGCTGTTTGCCTCGGAAATGCGCCTTTTTGTGTGGAATCAATTCCAACCATCGCGGTAGGGTGTTGTGATCGAAGCTAGGGAACAGAGAGTGGAGGAGTTCTTCGTTGTTCTCTGGTGGTGCTGGCGGGTGGTCTGGTCCAGTTCCAGACATGGCAAACAAGGCCTGCTGAAGCTTCCAGGCCCGAAGGGTCGTAGGGTCCATATCATCCGAGATAATGCTGGCATCATCGATAAACTCATTTTCATCCACCACTGATATCGCCTGGGATTGAGGTTCGGGTGCTAGCGGAAAGGGCGGGAGCTCAGCTGGCTGGATGGCTGATATGGGTTCATCTTCAAACAGGTCTTGGATATGGTCTACCTGGCCCTCTGGCGGAGGAGAAGCAGGACCCTCCCCAAAGAGATCATCAAGATTATCTTCTTGTGCCTGAGCTCCATTATCTCCATCCCCAAATATGTCGTCCCCGCCTCCAAACAAAGCTGCGTCGTCGTCGGCATCGAGGTCTGCGAATGAGTTCGGCGCGGTATCGGCGGGTGGAGGACGCGTTGAAGGTGCTTCTTCTTCTTCGGGAAGCTCGTCGTCATCGAAGTCTTCATAATCGATCGCATCGTCTGCTTTTTCACCAACTTCCAAATCCCGCGACAAGAAATCAAGTTGTGGACCATCATAACTGTTCAATGATCGCATAACATTTTCGAATTCATCATCCACCGGGGCCTCCGGCTCCGGCTCCAGCTCTGAGTTTGAGGTTGTGGAGTGTGGCATTTTGGAAGGCTGAAACGCGTTTGTGGTGAGGAAGGACTGGATAGCGAAGGTCTAGTATCGCATAAAGATGGCGCAGGCCAGCGAGGGGATCAGCTTAGGATGCGCACATTTGGCAGGGTTTCCTGCATCCGCAAGGCAATAGTGAATGGAGGGTTACACCACGAGTGAGCGGGCCCAGGCAAGAAAAACGAAAGCTAACAAAGTGAAGGCATGGGAAGAAATGGGTCGCGAAAGTGACGGGAGGTGAAGGCGGAGAACACCTTAGAAATGCTCCACCCAACTTTATCGATGAATCAGCATCGTCACCTTACAGTAGCTTACATAGAGCAATTGAGGGAATATCTATCCCAAAAAAAATCTCTATCGGGAAATTGAAATTTGAAGAGTAACTTGACTATTCCGGTATTTTACTCATTAATTCGAATACAAAGAAAGCCAATATCAACAATGAAAGACCGTACGCTCTTTGTACTCCAGCTCAATTCGGGCCGAATTTAGTATTTCACCGTTTTAAGCTGACGAGTTCCTGGTAGGTAACACAGTCTTGGATTGGTACTTATTGACATACCCAACTTATGAACCTACCTGGGTACCTACCTAGGTATCAGTATTCACGAAGTCAGTGTTACCTACCAGGTATGTAAGCACGTAGATGGCGCTCCGGATAAATTGTTGACAGTGCTGGACATCAATTACATTACATACATTATGTACGGAATTGAAGTATATATCTGACAAGATGTTGACCACAGCCTTCCTTGGAAGAATGCCTGGGCAGTTCAATGTTCCCACACATGTTGACCTTGGAATCATAGTCAACTGGTACCTCATACATACCTGAAACAAGTGTAATATAGAAGAGATTCCGTATGTTATATGGGTATTTACATTATTAACCTCGGGACTATCACTAGAAGGTCATGAGTTGTGCGTCTTGTAGGAAAGAAGGTTTGAGTCTATAAAGCCAAACATAATGAGTTCTCATATAGGCGGTTTGGCCGAGTGGTCTAAGGCGATTGACTAGAAATCAATTCTCTTCGGAGGCGGCGGTTCGAATCCGCCAGCCGTCGATTCTTTTTTGCATTCTGCATTTTCAATGCGCAACTTTTTTTTTGATCTCCAATTCAGATTGAAGAAACTACAAGTAGAATTCGTTATGAGCCTGGTATATCTGCTTCCAAAATTGAGTATCAAGGTAGGTAGGTCGATTCGACGGTGTTATTCAATGTTATTAGCCCTGTAGCCCTAGAGGTCACGGTACTAGATGTACTACTTCACCATTTTACAAACCTTGAAAGAAAGGGAGGCTCTTTCGGCGGGTCATCATGCCAAGGAGTGAATAAAAAACTCCAACTGGCCAAAAAAGAGATCTAGATTAGTCCAGTCTATGTTGGGATATCACAATAATTTACAGGGTCGGAACATAAGATTATCCAGAAATTCCTTCTCGGCCCAGTCCCCACCGACCAACCTCTCGCATGGCCTCATCACCACCTTCCACCAAGCGTCCATCCGCATTGGAAGGATTGGCTTCACCCAAGACCCCAGCAACGCATTGCCAACCACTGCGTCCACCACCCCAACGGAGGACTTCATTCTTATACCGCTCACCAGCAGCTCGGTCAACAGATGTCTTCCCCGACTGGAAGACATCTTGCCAGATTTTATTGGCAATGGCACGATCGAAAATATAGCTATAATAGGTACCACCGTAGCCATAAAGATGACCGAAGAAGCCTTGCCAGGAAGTTCGGGGTCGGACATCTTCCGGGTCCGGCAGGCTGGAGTGTTGCGAGAAGACTTGGTGGTAGATTTCGGTGGTGTCAACACCGTTTTTGATAGCCTCCGTACTCGGGATGGAGTGGTAAGCCTGGTCAACGAGGGCCATGAGGATCTGCGACTCGTTTTCAACGGCGCCGTAGATGGAGCCATGGGCGCTGCGATCCGTTTCCATACTGCGCATCATGCTTTCGGATAAGGGCTCGCCGGTCTTCCAGTGCCGGGCATAGAGGGCAAGGACTTCCGGAGCGGTGGCAAAGCTCTCCATTAAAACGGAGGGAAGCTCGGCAAAGTCAGTCGCGCACCGTGTGCCGGAGATAGACTGTAGAGGGGTCTGTCCAAGGATGGAGTGAACGGCGTGACCCATCTCATGGAACAGAGTGCGGACACTCTGCTCACTTAGAAGAGTTGGGCGCCCCGAGCCATTGTTGACGGGTTCCTGGAAGTCACAGACTAAAGCAATTGTCGGCAGTTGGCGCAGAGTGTTTGTTATTGGATCAACTGCTGTCGCCATGCCATCGTTCGGGTGCGCGGACTGATCCAGCGAGGCACACTCGGCAATCTCGTCAGCAGGAATCTCACGCGAACAGCGTAGTGTGAAATGTGCTGGATTTGGGTGTTTGTTGGGGCGACTGAACAAATCACAGTATACAACCGCGATATGCCTGTTTGCCTCGTCTACAACATCCAAACGTCGAACGTCCGGGTGCCAAGTTTCGCCAGCAGGGGTTTCCTGTGGAACGAGACGGACGCCATAAAGACGATCGAAAAGTCGAGAAAGTCCTTGCATCACCGTTCCCAGAGAGAAGAATTCAGGAACAATGCTCAACTCGCGCGATCGACGGGATTGAGAGTATTCCAGCACACGTTTGTGAACATAATAAGCATGGTCCCATGGCTGAAGCGAGCTGCCCTTCATTTGCTGCAATTGAGACAGCTCTTCTTGCACAGGACCATGGTTACTTGAGATAAGCGACGTCAAGAAATTCGACACAGCCTCAGGGGTCTTGGCCATCTTATCAGTCAGAGTCATGTCGGCGAAGCTGTTGAATCCCGAAATCTTGGCCAATTCAGCTCGCTTTGTCAGGAGTTTTTCCAAGCGGTGAATTTGACGCGAGCTGGAAGTTCGAGTCGCAAGATAGACCTGCTTCCTGACCGATTCATCTTTTACAGACCGCAGCACAAGCCGAGGAACGACTCCCATAGTCGGCACTGGTGCTTTATTATTCCACTTCTTGATTTGTTGCACCACAATGGGATCTAATCCCTGGAGAGCATTCGCGTGGAACGTGACCTGTGATCTAGCCGGCTCTGCGCCATTGAAAAAATTGGAGCCAACCTGGCTGATGTCGTTGGAAAGGTTCACAAACCGTTGTCGCTCACTTGGCGGCATATGGATTGCAGATGTTGTAAAGTCTTTCATGAGAATCTGGGCGACAATAGTCTCTGCTTCCGACCAATGTGATGTGACCTCGGGCTTAGACATGGCCTTGCTAAGCTGCTCGTGAAGGCCCGTCGTAGTGTTGAGCACATTCATATATTCAAACATTAGAGCGTACGCCTGCGTCGCTGCTTCTTGAATCCGCGGATCATGGTGAATAGTTCGAATGAAGTCCGAAAGATCGATAACCCTACACAGGAGATCGCTGAGTTGGTCCAAATTCCGTGCCAACGCCCGGTACTCGTCCAGGGTCTCAGCAGCTAGAACCTTAGCAACAATGACCTGGCATTTCTGCAGCGACGCATTTGCGAATGCCCTAAACCCATCTGGGCTTGTCAAGTATTGATTCTGAACCAATCCAGCTCGCTTTGAAACATCCGCCGTTCGTGTTTGTGAGAACTCCTTCCAAAAGGACTGCGAGTCGAAGATCCGGCGCAAGGTTTCGTCGTCGGCATTCTTCCTCGGAGCGCTATTATCCGTAGGTATATGGTTGATGTGGGATCGTGGGGCTTGCGATGCGGCGCTTTCAAAGGATCGGGTTTGGCGCTGCAGGAGACATTGTCGGCATGTCCACGGTCGGCGCCCGAAAGGGCGAAGCATGATATGAAATAGGTAAATACCAAAGTCGCCTCGAGAATGATTAAAGATAACAGAAAATAAAGAACACAGACCAAAACCCCCGATTGCAAGGGGAAAAGCTGGGGTATGAAGACAAGAGAGCTTCAAGGAGACGCGGGCAATGACGGAGTTTTCTTGGGTTCCGCCGAGCCGAAGAATTCCCGTCTTGGCTGTGAACCCGACTTTGCTTCAACCTCCCTCTCCTACTATTATACCACCCTACACAACCCCAGCATGTCCTTCCGGCCGATCTTGCAGCAGGTATGTTTACTCTACATGGTCGCTTCTGATCCAATGCGCGTAATTAGGTCAATGGGCGGAACTAACTCGTGACTAGCGGGCTGTGGCTCCGATCGCAGCCACCCTCCTCGCAGGAGGCATGGCTCTGTACCCTAAGCAGACAGCTTTCGCGGAAGACCCCCGAGAGGTTAGAATACCAATACCTTCAACGCTGACTACATGATCTGTGGCCGAGAACAAATCCCATCTGACACACGACTGCTTTCCCAAAACAGAGGAAATCCATCTACGACGACGACTTCCCGTCTGACATCCCCGAACCCTCCAAAGCCACACCCGTGCCCGAACCCGAGCCCGCCGTCTCCAAGGCCATCTCTCTGCCCTTCTTGCAATCATCTCCCTCCTCGCCTACCCCGACAGACATCCTGACCTCACAGGTCCGCCAAGCCCGTCTCTTCGTATACTCGCACTCCCTGGCCGCGGAGAACGGCTTCAACGACTTCCTGTCTCGGGCCCTGCACATCGAAAATGCCTTCACCAACACCGTTGCCTCGCTCGCCCCCTCCGCTGACTCTGGTGAGCGTTTGACCCCCGGCGGTGTCTACGTTGTCGTGGCCGCCATGGCCGGCTCCATCGTGTCACGCAACCGCGGCGTCTTCCTCCGCACTTTGTCACCCCTTACCTTCGGTACCGTGGCTGCCTACACCCTCTTGCCCGTCACCATGAAGAACGTTGGCGAGCTGGCTTGGAAGTACGAGAAGAGGTTCCCCGCTGTGGCCGACCAGCACATTGCTATCCGGGAGCGGGCGGAGCACATCTGGTACACCGGTATTGCACACAGCGGCATGGCCCGTCAGCAGATGGAGGACAAGATTGGCGAGGCCCGGAAGAAGCTGGAGCAGTTGGTGAGCAAGGGTCACTAGATTTTTCTTTTCGCTTAGTTTGATACCATCCAGCCACCATGTTTTTCGGCAGGCTGAGGAGGTTTCCATCTTGTTGCATATGTACGTTTAGAAGAACTTCGTTAGATCCGACGATATAATCCGGACCAGTTCCCTTTGTTTGGAAAAAGAGGCGTATGCAATGATACTTTGGATGTTTCATTTTGACAATTTTTTGGGTGCAATATTTCAAGATTTTAATGGAAGTGATAGGCAGTATAAGTTTTAAATGATTATTCAGTACATAATGAGGAATGCCGATTGGATGGATGCCTCGAGATCATCCATTGATGCTTCTCGGTTATGTACTGCATGTGTGTGCATTCCAAGGTTGTGTCCACAGGTTTCAAATGTTCCATATTGTGCATGCCGAGAAGGCATGGGTCACCTGCAGTATGGATGGTCTGTACTGCCAATGCTTAGCAATGTTGCAAGGGCTGCTCAGGTGGGGCTGAGTAATGCTCTCTTTGAATGGATTATAATCGTCTTTATATCGTGAACTAAACTATATGCAGACTTACACCGGGGCAATCTACGATCGGTAATAGCAACATTGAATTCAGCTTGGAATGAAAGCTTTTCAAATAAATGTACACACAACCACCAGCTTAATTTTATGATTGAAGACTGGCGCTGACATTAAGCAATAAACTTATTAAACATGAAGGCCGGGGAAAGGACCCTAAGCAGTCAACAGGGTATCCTGGGTCCTATTACATATACCGAAGCAACAGAACGGAACGGGTAAAGCAGGATAACAAAAGAAAGTTATGCTTTACCAAGCAGGTATCTCAAATACACCCACGAGAAGCACCAAAAAAAAAAGAGCCAGGGGAACCTGAATTATCACCTGGCAGAGGAAACGCGACTGCTCACGGATTCAGGAGCGGTCACTGCGACCTCAGGGCTGGGTGTTGACGTCTGGCTAGGGGGATTGGGAGTGGCTCGTCGGGAGAGCTGAGACAATTCTCCGATGAGCCTGCAAGGTAGATCGTTAGCATGAGCTGTAGATGCAAGGGGTTCTCAAATATGAACGGCGAGACTGACTTGCGATGGTCTTCATACCACTCATCGTTCGCCGATCGAATATGCTTAAGCTGTTCGTGAATGCTGGCCATCTACGATTATTGATTAGTGTTTGAACGTATAAAATTGTGGCTTGAGTCTCATGTAAATGGATGAAAGACGGGCAAATTTGAGGAGTATGATGGGTTAAAACGGGGATCGCCCACCGTTCCCTCGATAGATGAACCAAGGTTCTCACCTTCGGTTGTCGCTGCGCCTCCATATTCGTCTTGTTCGCTACTGTCATCCGCTGTTGCCCACTGGCTTGACTCCAAACCCGACGAGCTGCTCCTGTCTCTCTCTGCGCCCAGAAGCTGTCCTGCTCGCAGAGAAGCGAGATTCGCCTCAAGCTCGCGGACTCGTCGCCGGCCAGCGGAAATTGACGAGTCCAAATCACCAAGCTTGTTGAGAAGAGTCATGTTTTTGTCGATTTGATCGTTCATTTTTCGTTCACCAGCAGTAACCAGTTCTTCCATGGCATTGCCAAAGGCCCTAGACTCCTCTAGCTCTTCGCTGACAGCGGTGTGCTTCGCCCTCAAAGCAGTGACATCTTCCTGAGACTGAGAAAGCTGTTTCATGATGGACTCCAACTCGGAAGCCTTACCGCTGGAGGTAACGAGAGATTTTTGAAGCTCTCCGATCTGGGAAAGTGCGACATCATGTTTGGCCGCAAGCTCCGAGTGCTGAGCCAGAATCTTAGCAACCTCAGCGGCGTGCTTCTCCTGAATCTCCTGAGAAGTAGTCACCGCAGATTCCTGGAAAGTAACATGGGTTTTCTCCGAAGCTGCCAGCTTCTGTTCAAGCTCAGTCACGGTGGCCATCAAACCATCAACAATAGATGTATCCTGCGCGGCTTCGTTGGCCTTAGAAATTTGCTCGTTGGCCTTGGCTAGGGCAACCTCATGGATTCTCTGCAGATCACCAAGTCTAGCCTCGTGGGATGCTTCAAGCTCCTCTCTCAGATTCGCCAGCTTAGATTCTTGGACAGTAAGAAGCTCTTCAATGGCCCTTCCGTGCTCTGCATCAGCATCGGAAGCCTTTGAGTTCTTAGCAGCTTCAATTTCAGCTTGCAGCTGAGCTCTGGTCTTCTCAAAGTCCTTCTGTAGCTCAGCAATCTCTTTTTGATGAGAGTCACCATTGGCAGTGGCAGAAGTTTGCAAAGCCTTGAGCTCAGCATCGGCCTTAATTTGGGATTCTTGAATCTGCTTCTGAAGCTCGGCGGTCTCAGCTTCATGAGTCTTGGTATGTGTGGCAAGATCTCCAGCGTGGCGGTCTTGAATCGATTTCAATTCAGCCTCGAACGATTCAACCTGGGAAGCGTGGGTCTCGTGGGTCGACTCCAGTTCACGGTTCTTTGCCAGGAGCTCGTCATGCTTTTGTTGGAGTTCACTCAGAGCGTCTGCGTGTGAGCCAGAAGCTTCCTTTGTCACTAGCGCCAACTCGGCGGCATGTTCGGCCCTGAGAGCCTCGATATCGCGAGCATGCTGCTCGGACACCGAAGCTGACTTGGCGGTGTGCTCTTCAAGAAGTCGAGTAGCCTCGGCGGCCTTGTCTTGGAGACCTTTCAGCTTGTTCTCCTTCTCAACGTCCCTCGACTTAGACTCGCCCTCGAGGTTCTTCAAGCTGCGGTACAATTCCTCAGCCTCGGTCTGCTTGCTTTGAACCTCTTGTTGAAGAGCATTGATCTTGCCAGCACCGCTAGAGACCTGTGGCTCAAGGGCTCCAACCTTCTGACGGAGAGCCTCAACTTCTTGAATGGCGGACTCCCGCGCGGCAGCATGACCCTCCAAAGCCTGACGTGATTCACTGAGGGCCTTCTCTGACTCCTCCAACTTGGGCATGAGAGAATTGAGCTCAAGCTGATGGGCAGCCTTGAGATCTGAAATGGCATTTTCATTCTCCCCCTGGGCAGCAGTCCTGGCAGACTCCAATGCGTCAGTTAGTTCTTGCAATTGCTGAGCGTGCTCAGTACCGGTGGACTCCGTAGCGGCCTTGGCAACAGTAAGCTCTTCCGCATGCGAGGCGGAAAGGGAGCTCAAAATTTGATCATGCTCGACTGTCACCTTTATAATGGCAGCTTCGTGAGCGGCCTCCAGTTCTTTAACCTTGGTGCTGAGGGCATCAGCAGAGGCTTTCTGTGCCTCTTGAAGGTCGGATTGAACCTTGGCAAGGCTCTGCTTAAGATCCGTGATCTCTTGATCCTTCTCAGTAATCGAGTTCAAGATTTCCTCTGAATCGTGCTGAGTGGTGGATTCAGACTCAGCGATCTTGGCTTCCAAAGAAGCAAGTTGCTCGCGAAGAGCTAAAGTAGCCTTCTCTGCGGCATCCTTCTCGGCCTTAATTTCCTCATCCTTGGCAGCGCCCAGCTTGCTGAGCTCAACCTTCAAGGTGTCGAGTACCTGATCGCGGCCTTCCAGTTCGCGTAGAAGATTATTGAGAGCCAGAGCCTTATCCTCAGTCAACTGGGCTTTCTGCTCTTCAAGATCCTTTTTCAGAGCTTCCACTTGCTCCCCCAAGGCAGTAGCAGAATCCCTGTATCCGGCGAGCTCCTTCTGAAGAATTTCCAATTGAGCTTGATGTATTTCTTTGAGTTCATCCAGAGCAGCGGCTGATTGGTCGTCCCCCTGAGCAATGGCTGACTGCTTAGCAGCCTCAAGTTCGTCCCGAGACTTTCCCTCCAACTCTTTACGCTGTGTCTCCGCCTCTACGAGTCGGATCTGCAATGATTCAAGCTCATTTGCATGAGCAGAAGCAAGCTTCGCCAATTCAGCAGAGTGCTCTGCTTGAAGGGATTCCGTGGCACCGCTATCCTTGGTGGCCTCCTCGACGAGAGAAAGTTGACTCAGCTTCTCGTTGACTGATTCAAGTTCAGCTCTAAGGTTGGTAGCGGTCTCTTCACTCTCTGTGAGCTTCGCCTGCAGGGCTTGCAATTTTTCCGAGTCGCCAACACTTCTAGAAGTCGTGCTCGAAATGGTGCTCATGCGCCTGGTCGGGTCTCTCGTGGAAGGCGCCGCAGTGCGTGTAGTAGCGGAGGTGGCGGTCGTCGGGCGAGTGGTTGTTGGGCGGGTAGCCGAGGTTGAGGAAGTCGGTCGAGCACTCGGTGTAGTCGAAGAAGTCAGCTTACCAACCGGTCTGCTGGTAGATGCGGGAGTGCGGGAGGTAGCAGTCGAAGGAGCCGCAGGCTTTCTATCCAAAGCCGGGCCAGCAACACTTGACCTGCGGTCGATGGTCGACGTAGACTTTAAAGGAGCCCGTGTAGATGGGGTGGCAGCCATAGAAGTGCGCTTGGATGAACCCAAGATGCTGCGCCTCTCGTCTCCAGAGCTTGCGATTGACCGAGGCTTCTCATCTGCAGAGCTGCTGACCGACGCGCGGGATCGGTGAGATGAAGTGGTCGAAGCACCCAGGGGCTTCCGGGTGGCAGTCGTCGTCGTAGTAGTAGGTCGGGTAGGAGGCTTGTTCAGTGCACTGCTGGTACTGGTGCGGGAAGTTGGGGTAGCTCCGATCTTCGAGGTGGTTGAGGCCGAGGTCGGTCGCTTGGCAGCCGTAGTGCTTGCGACAGGACGTTTGGCCGGTGTGCCAGCACTGGTCTTAGCAGGAGACACCGGGATATTCTCTTTAGATGCCTCGGGGCTGAAATCGCTGGCTTCTTCACCACCGGACAGCACAGTCGAGTCTACGGGAGTAGCTGGAGGCGCAACTTCAACATTGGCATCAACAGCGACCTCGACCTCGACATCGGAGGGAACAGAGGTGGGTTCTTCGGTGGACGCCATATTATCGGACCGTAGTGATTAAGATGAGAAGGATAGTTGTAGATCGGGGAGGGGGGGTTTGTCGAAGAAATCCGAGTAAACCGAAAAGGGGCCTATGAGGGGAGAAAAAAGAGAGTGATTAGCAGGTGTCAAGTAAAAGAAAGATTCAGTGCCCAAATATGAGTTGTGACATGTGTTCTTAGAGTCTCATGTATTCTTCTGCCATGATATCTGTATGTAGCTCATGCCTTCATAGCTTCAATGCTTCGAGCTCGGCAGAGCCGGCTCAAGGAGATGGCCGTATTCTGCAGCCATTGATTTCTCAGATGATAAGAAGTAACAGCTTTCAGGGGCAAGAATACATGGCCAAAAGATCCACAGCCACAGACCTTGAAACCTGGAGAGGAAGAGAGGTATGCACCAAGAGCAAACAGGCTGTACTTACGCGCCACGCGCAGATTTGGTCGAGAAGCTTCAGGGGCTTTTGGCACCGAGGGTCTCGAGGGATGTACCTCAGTACTGATGAACAAGCTGGCAGCGCGCGAAGCTGTCACTAATATGCAGGTGACTTGTACGGTGTATGATGTACTAGTTGGTGAGGATGTATCAAGAAAAGAAAAGGAGAAAGCGGGAAAAGTAAAAGCGGTGTCGGCGGAGGGAGGAGGGGGAGGATCGTCGCTGCTCCATGCACATTGCTCCCTTTCAACCCGCCCAACCCCAAGCTTGAGAGATATGGGGGAATCGATCTGCTTCTGAGTATGAGACTTTTAATTCACTACCAGTCTCGGTGTAGTATTCAACAAATCGGATCCTTGTTTTCTTTTCTAATCGAGTTTGATCATACTGAATGAGTCCGTTTGTTTGCAAAGGAGGAGTGTCGATCACCGTATTTTAACCTTTTACCCCAGTTTCAACGGCGTGAAACAAAAGAAGATTGAACCTCCAGAGATCAGGATCTTATATACATGCCCTGTTTGATCTTCATGCGCAACCGATTTGTTCGTACGTACAAGCTACAAGCGCATTCCTAACATTCCTAACGCGTGAAAGTGTGTTGACCAAAACAAAGGATTCCATGGTTCACGGAAAACCGAACCCGTGGGAACCAAACCACTGTTCCCTATTTCAATGGTCTAATATATCGAAACATTTCATTTGATTATTTGATCATTCAATCGTATTGCTAGTATCATTCAATGCTGATGCTATTAGTAATATGTACATGTCTATGAGCACCCTAAAATAACAAAGATCCTCATTTATGACGCAACTAGTGGTAGTATGCACTCGGATCTGTAGAGCTTGAAGCTTCAACAGTCATTGGCAATTCAAGTTGGCGAACCTTGAGTCTCAGTTCACTCAAAGTGTGTCTCGAGAAGTGACTAGCAAAGTCCATCTTGATCAGAATGTAGCGATCATCTACCTCGCTTGCTGCAGACGGAGTTAGCGTTTTCCCAAGAAAACTTGTTTTTTCCAACAGAGCCTTGGGACTTATACTCACATCTATACATATCCCACGCTTCACGAAGCCAACGCTCCTCTGATTGTGTCCATTTGTTGAATGTCGCTGGAGGTCTCCCCGTCTCAAATGATTCACGTGCTTGTGCAGTTACAAACATTCTCAGCGTGTGCTGCTTTAGTCCGGTCCTGATTTTCTTGGCCCGCTTCCCGAGACGCCAGGACCGTTGTTGATTGATTTCAGATGTATAATAGCTTCGAAGAGCATTGATACGTTCTGAACAATCCACCAACAGCCCCAGGCTATCATCAAAAGCACTAGTGACCATTCGACCAAATTGAGTATACGCCTTGAAACTCCGCATGACTAAGATGGCAAGATGTGGTAGTAAGTAGCCTTCAAGCTCAACAACCACTTCACCAGCTTCTTCTCGGTCATAGCCACCGTTTGGTAAGTCTGAAAAATTCAGAATGCCTTTTATTTCCGAGAACGTGGCAGCGCGGAACCTTGAGGTTTGCATCCCCAGCTTTGTCGTTGGTGGGGTTTCAAGATCGTCGTAGAGCTCTGTCCAGTGCTTAATAAACTGAAGCGCATCTTTGAAAGATGCCGGCATGGGGGAGTGAACGTAGTCCAGTAGTTTGAAGGCGCCTACATAAAACTCCATCCAAACTTCACTCCATGCACTGTGTATCTGAACCTTGTCTACCACCCAATCTTTCAACTCGATATCTTTCTTGGCCAAGCCTTCATAGAATACAGTTTCAGGTTCACCTGGGTTTGAAGGTGAAGCTGGAACTTCTGGTGCAGTTTCAGTCGGAATGATAGCGTTTATATCATTTGAGATCTTATCGCTCCTATCGGACATGGTAGCATCCGTAATTCTTAAATTCTGCCGACGCCGTGTCCCCGGTGACCGGATCATGGTATTTGTTGCATCATAGTGTGATCTGGCAGCGTCTGCATTTCTCGAACGCTGCAAGCGAGTCCTAGGCTCTCTTTCGTTGTAACGTGGTATGACAACTTCTGGCTGTCTTGACCGCTGCGGGTGCGTCCTGGGTGACCGATGAGAAGGCTCTGTGTGGTTTTCGTTCAGCATGACAGCGCTTTGGTTCTTTGTGAGCTGCGCCCGAGTCTTGGGTGATCGAGCCCCAGACTCCGTTTCATTGTGGTCTGACATGGCAGCATCTGTATTTCTTGAATGCCCCATGCGTCCTCTGCGCAATTGCGTCTTCGAATGTGGAGTCTCAAAATTTGTATGTGTTGTCTTTGGCAGGCCAGTGGCGAGAATATGTGAATTGTCACTCCTATAATATTGTCAGCCATTTCTTATGCTATTATCAACTATGAACCAGGGGGGCCTTAAGGGTACCTTTCGCCGTCGCTGTCTTCTACCTCCTCCTCTCCTTGGGTATCGTCTTGATCACTTTCATCTCCACCTTGGTTGTTCTCGCCTTCGCTTTCCTCGTGACTAGGTTTGGGTGGACTCTCTGAATTTTCATTTTCGGAATATGACTCAGGTAGCTCTTTCTTGGACTCGCCAGACGACTTGGGTTGCTCTTGATTGAGCTCGGGAGATGACTGTGGATGCTCCTGATCATCATTCCCAGATCCAGATGCGCTGTCAATCTCTTCATTACCGGAATATGAGTTGGGTATCTCTCTATTTGACCCAGACGGCGACTCTGGTTGTTCTTGGCTCTGCGCGAGAGATGCATGAAGTTGCTCTTGGCCAGCCTCGCTAGATGTTGCCGGGGATGTTATTGGGGAGTTGCTTTGGCGGTCTCGTTCGAGTGCGGAGCGTCCTTCGGAGCGACTTGTCAAAGGGGTCGGTGATGTAGGTAGATCGTAGATACTGTCATTGTTGGTGGTGTGTCTTCGACGCGCGCGCGTATTGTTCAAAAAATCCACCGAGTCAGTGGTAGAGTAGTTGGATTTTCGTTTCCTGGTATTGTACGGTGACATTGCAAGCAAAATCACGCGAGCTGCGAAGCCCGGGGACGCGAGGGGGAGGGGTGGCAGGCTTCCGATTGATCTGGGTGGTAGTGGTCGCGTAAAGCTAAGATCGATAGGAAGCTCGGGTGGATCCCGCTCCGCGTCATTCTTGCTTTCCCCTCCATCCCGCTTCGAGCATCTTCCTTCCAAGCTCAACCGCCTGCATTCACCCATCAAAAATCAAAATGGAATCGGCCGGCCGGTCTGTTCGCTTTCTAGCTAAATTGGATCCCTCCGAACCGCATAACTTTATCACACCTTGCAAGAAGATCAACGAATCGCACGATGTTTCGGCCTTCCTCGTTTCAAAAGCATACACGGATATCATGACCTTCGTTTTACAACTGAACCGCTCAATATTTCCCACAAAACTTGCGGACGGAGAATCGCAAGCATGGCCTTTGGGTACAGAGGATGTACAATTCTCCGCGCCCATTCGCAAGCTCCAGGGACTACTTTCTAAGCTCGAGGATCTCATACAGGAGGTCCCGCCAGACACTGGGCCACGCAGATTTGGAAATATCAGTTTCCGGAAATGGCATGAAGTTTTGGCTGAGCGCGCCTCTGGTATGTTGAGGGAGTGCTTGCCCGCGGATCTTCTGGACATGCCTTCAGCGGACCCGGCGGGACCTACAGCGGAGGCGGAACTGAAGGCATACTTTCTCGGGAGCTGGGGGAGTGGGCAACGGTTAGACTACGGAACTGGACACGAGTTAAGCTTCTTGGCATTTCTGGCTGCTATCTGGAAACTTAATGGATTTCCAACATCTGATCCCGGTGTTGAAGAGAGAGCCATTGTTCTCGGAGTCATTGAACCGTGAGCACAAATCATGCTCGGCTATAGCTTCGCGGATCCATCTAACATTGTCTATAGGTATCTTGAACTTGTACGGAGATTGATCAAAACATACACCCTTGAACCAGCCGGGTCGCATGGTGTATGGGGACTTGACGACCACTCCTTCATTCCATACATCCTAGGTTCCGCTCAACTCGCCCCAGCCATCAACGAAACGGACCTCACCCCGGAAGAAGGGTCATTGCCTGATGCACCCGCTCCCGGTGGAGTCGCCAAACTCAATAGCGTGGAGAGGGAAAGGAGAACCAATCTATATTTCTCAGCAGTTGGATTTATCTATGATGTGAAAAGGGGACCGTTCTGGGAACACAGCCCTATGCTGTATGACATCTCCGGTATTACGGCCGGATGGGGCAAGATCAATAAGGTGAGCGAACCCTTTTTGATATGCCAATGTGCTGCCCATGCACTGGAGCTAACAGACTACATAATAGGGCATGGTGAAAATGTATAACGCCGAGGTTCTATCCAAGTTCCCTGTTGTGCAACACTTCCCCTTTGGTTCCCTATTTAGTTGGGCGCGTGACCCTAACGCAGTCGCACCCCCGACAACCATCCACTCAACCTCTGGTCCGCAAGCGCGACCCGTTGTGCCAAATGGAGGCCTATCGGATACACCTCGGCCGAATGTGGACGCAGGTACAAGGGCGCCGTGGGCAACCGGAGCGGCCGGATCTCGCGTGCCTCCCATGGGGTCCACAGCAGCGCCCTGGGCAGCTGCACGAAGGGACGTGCCGCCAGCTTCAACCACAGCTCTTCCCGATACGTCTCGGTTACCTCCAGGCCCCATGGCCCCCACCAGAGCCCCCTGGGCAAACTCACAAGCTCCTCCACCGCCAGGGGCTGACGGGCCTACAAAGGCACCGTGGGCTAAATAAATTGCAGAATGATACCCGTCGTAACATAGCACAAACCTTGAATATCCATCAAGTGAATTGGTATTGAAATTCATGACTGTTTCTTCATATGTGAAAAAAAAATCATTCGCTCGCTGGGGTATAAAATATACAAAAAGTAGTTCCACAGCTCAAGGTCTTCCTAGTCCGAGTCAGACCCATAAGCCAACAATGCTTTTGGAAGCACAGATGGTTTCTTGGGAGCATTTTCTGGCAAGCTTGGCGGCGTGGGGGTTGAAGTATGCTTTGTTGATGAGTCGGTCGTATCACTAGGCTCGGTCCCTTCACGGTGGCCAGGAATCAACGAGGCGGGCTTTTTCCGCTTCCGAGACGTTCTCCAAGAGCTTGGATCATCACTAGCGTCCTTCAAGAACGGGTCGATAACTGCACGTGTATTCCCAGCCAGCTCTTCGCGTAACGAAGCTTTACGCTTAGCAAGCTCAGCAGTTTTGGTTCGGGTTAGACTTCCCTTGCTTTTCCCCTTATTATTTTTGGTAGACTTCGCCGTATCACTGGACGTCAGTTGCTCAAACATAGGACGTCTGCGATTTGCGCGGGTAGCTTCGATTCCAGCAGCAGCCTGATCATCGCCAAAGTCCACCATGCCAGCTCGTTGACGATCTTCTTCCGTTTCATCAACAACATCAAATCCCAGGCTCATTTTATCTTGCAAAGCCTCGCGATTCGACTCCAGCTTCTCGAGTCCTTTCCTCTCGGCTCGGAACGTGCGCCTTAGTTTTTGCGACAACATGTATGGATCTTCCCAATCACGATTCTGTCTCTCCTGCAACTCCAGAATCCGACTCGCCTCTGTATTGGCCTTGCGCTTATCCTCCATCTTTCCCTCGATCTTGGAAAACGGGTCCTTCTCCGCGGGATCTGGCTCCAAGCCCGGAGCTCGAATGGCGATCTCGCCAGGCTGTAGCGGTTTATCATCACCAGTATCCCGTTTCCGTCCACCTTCGTGAACAACATATGCGGTATTCTGCGGGTCCGTTCGAATTTCAATCCATCCTCCGCATGGAATGTGTTTCATGCGAAAGCTGTAGATCGGAGTGGAGTAGTAGTTTCCAATTTTCTTCTTCTCAGCGTTGAAGCGCACGCCTTGACCGATGATAGTCTCGTGAGGTTTGCAGTTTGTGCACCATGTCGCGAAGGGCATTTCAAAACGTACAATAAGTGCGCCAGTGGTGTTGAGGTGGCGTGCGCGTGCGCCGAGGGGATGTTTGCCGGCGAGCTTGTTTCCGGTGGTCAGGCCTTCTTGATCCGGTGGGACATACCTGGTGAATATGTTAGTAGCTGTGAGTAGACGTAAAGTCGGTGCGGGGGGCCTGGTTTTCACGACATACCGTCCCATATCTAAATTCACTTGTTAGCGATGTCTGAGGCGCCGAGGCGGTAGCGTAGGAAGTGCGACTTACTAAAGCCCTGCATCTTGAGTCGCACGCAGGCGATAGTCTTAGACTATCCAAACACAGACGATATTTTGAAAGCTGAATATCGAAAAAAAGGCGGGGCGTCGAACCTCTCAGGGTAGTAGCTGTGGGGTGTGTCGAACGGATGGTTCTTTTTTGCGCCCGCGCGAAGCTTGGACTTGCGAAGCCGGCGATAAGCAGGTTAACGCCGAAGCCTTCTACTAGTAAGTATAATAACATTTAAATGTAAGAACTTTCCCACTTACACAATACTGCACATGTGTCTTCAATGTTTATCTTTCCAGATGTCTTTCATCTCTTCAAATAATGCCTATTTGACTGCTACAAAAATGAATACACATTTCGACTACTTCAACAAAATTCCACCGTTCGACTCAATAATCGATCCTGTCACAAACTGATCCCGCATCGCGTAGATATAGCTCTCCGCCAAATCCTCAGGTCTCCCCACGGTTCCAGTAGTCGACTGATCCCTAAAATTTTGCAGCACACCATCCAACGCCTCCTTCGGGACAAACGAAAAGATTTCCGTATTCACAGCACCAGGTGAAACAGTATTGACTCGCACAGGAGCTAGCTCGAGGGCCAATCCACGTGCAAGTCCCTCAATTCCTGAGGCAACAGCGGTCATGATAGACCAACCCTTCGCAGGCTTGCGGCTTCGCACACCACTAGTCAAAGTGAAAGAGTTTGAAGGCGACGAATCCATGTATTTGGGAAGATACTTGACCATCACGGCCGGAGCAACGAGGCGTACGTTCATACCACTATAGATTTTTTGGGCGTCGATCTCTTTGAGAGCAGGGATCTTGAGCGCATCTCCTGCTGTGGTAACGACGTGATTGAGTTTGTGTGTGCCATTATTCGTAGCAGCCTGCAAGAGGCTCTCGATGTTTGCATCGAGATTGGCAGCGTCGGAGAGGTCGCAGACGTGGGTCTTGAGAGGGTTTGTTGAGGTCTGGGTGGGATAGGCTGCTTGCAAGCGGGCGACGGCATTATCGAGTTTGCTTTGGCTGGAGCTTGAGAGAATGACCTGGGCACCATACTCAATGGAAGCTTCTGCAACGGCGAAGCCAATTCCTGAGCTGCCACCAAGGATCAGGACCCGTTGGTTGGCGAGCTTGGAGGTATACTTGAGGCTCGATGTAGACATGATGTTCCGCTGCAAGTTTGAAAATTGATTTGTTTGTCTGATGAATTGTCTGTAGATTAAGAAATCTGGTTTTCTTAAGTATCAGCAAGATCATATTAGTAACACGATGGATTTATCGCGGAGTTTACAAAATGTAGTGGTCTTAAGAGCCACTAGGCACGCTTAACTCCGATTCTGACAAATGTCAACTTTGGAATCATGAATTGACCCGAATTCCGATATCATTTCACTAAACTCCGACATACCTACTAGATATGATGAATCATGAACTGAGAAATTCCAACCTCTTTCATCTATCGGTCCAATCGATGTTCCGAGTGTTAAATGGCCTTTCCACTTCAATGCTAATTCAAACTTTAGACAGAATCCATGCACACCACTGATCAGTCACCCTCCTGAAAGTTGCTTCACACTTTGAACTTCTGGCTAGTCATTCGGACTTTCTAGATAAGAGTCTCCGAAGTCCAAGCGAGACTGATGCCACCGCCACAGGACATGATTTTCACAAGAAATTCTCTGACGATGGTAGTAAAGGACCAGTGCTCACAAGACACATAAATGGCTCCTGCAACATAAGTCGACCATTCATCAGATTCAAACAAACATATACTCGAAACACGAAGTCCCCATGGGTAAGTAGGTCTTCGATCTGGAAGATCTACCTAGTCAAGGAACTCAACACATGTCAGGATCAATAGTCAGAGACACGTCGTTGCAGCGCTCCATGATTGAAATAAGTAAGTGCAAATATCAATCAGCTTGCACAATTCTTGCTCACGCAGATGGTCTATACTTTTAGTACCTAATATTGATTAGAGCACGTACCCCTTTGCATCACGCGGCCAGAGAGTCATGTTGCAGTGATCGAGTTCAGTTTTATTCAACATGATCGGTTCATGATAACCCAAATATTCAATGTTTGGAAGAAGAAAAAGATGCAGTACTTATTTTGGCGTTTGAGACTCATCAAGTTGGCGACAAATAAATCACATGCGCCTTGCATCTAGCTTGCTGTGTACACTGTTGATTATCAACCGATCCAAGATTCCAGATCGGTATCTGGAAATGCAATGCATCGGCCAATGAGAAACCCTATGCAGGATATCTCATTCCAATCATTTTCAAGTCTTCAAACTCCCTATCTTTGTTCACCTGAGAGCCGAGGGAGATATACGGCGAAGCAACAAACAGACTCACGTGTGTTTACTGACAAGGTTGAAGGGACAAGCGTGTGGGGATATTGCTAATCTGCGAACTGACGTAACACAACACTTTATTTTTGGGAATTTTTTTTTCCTTTTGAATTGATCCACTGCCGATCTACCATTTTTTGCATGGCTACGTATCTCCGTACCTATGATGTCGATTCTCAAATGCCCGAAAAAGCCTGGGCAGGACCCACTTAGGCCGCGGTGCCTTGGAGAATTGCATCATAGCTCATCCAATTGTCTGATTCCATACCGCACCACCTCGTGGACCTGACGATCGCCCGATCGATCGAACCCATCGCTCAACTTGGGAAAATTGCGATCTTGTAGATCGCCAGCAGCTGTGCCGTACCAAATACAATCGATTCGCCAGGCTCGATGAGAACCGTGGATTGGGTTCAATAAACCATTCTGATCCTGGCCTGGAGGCCCACGATCTAGCCATGGTCGGTCTCTATGCTGTTCTCTTAAGTAGGGTGGCTTGCCCTCAGGTGCAGCTCCGCCAGATCGATCAATCCCTTAAAAACATTGCCTATCGTTATGGAGATTCCTGATATTCCCGATGACCGACCACACAAGCCCGCATCGGTGCTCACCTCACCCACAATTGTCCTCGATGACTGTTCTCCAGATTACCCCGAGTCGCAATACAGAGGCAGCAACCCGGAGAGCACCAATTTAACAAATGGCGAGTTAATGCACGAACAATGGTGAGAACGCGACAGTTATTGCGGAAATATTTCGCGCGAAATGCGCTGACCTGACCGAAACAGTCCCACTCCACCCGCCGATTCAATTTCCAGCGATCTCCGCTCACAGCCTTCAATAAAAGCACTTCGTCGCAATTTTACTGTCAACGATGTCAATCAATCAAAAGACCTGCCTCTCTTACAAGCGACCAACCCGAACGATGGTGCCGAGGAATTTCATCCAGTCGATGAAGATGACGAAGACTGTTCCTTCGATTTGGTTGCCCCATACGAGGGTGATGGGGATCCTATGCACACGCTTGAGCGCCAAGCGGATACTATGTTTTCGTCAGAACATATGCTAGTCATTCTCAAAAACCCGCGCCATCTCGCCAAGTTTCGAGAATTTTTGCTTAAGGAGCGACCGAAGTCAATTCCCGTCCTCACATATTATCTCAATGCCTGTAAAGCTTTGAAAGCGCTGGAATATGCCAATTCCTTGATCAGGCTTTCGGTCCTTCTTCCTCCAGGTGGAGTGGAGGAGGCAAAGGAGCCTGTGGATCTTAGTATAAACCCAGCACTTGAAGCTCGCGTGCAAGATGGGCTGAATGCCCTTACTGCAGAGGAATTGCCGGCTTTCATTACATCTACTTGCATCAATATTACAAGTAAGGTTGTTGAAGAGCGCGTTCGAGGAACTCTGCCCGAAAAGTTCCAAGGAACTTCCGATGCGCTGGCCGAGGTATTTTGTTTGACAGATCCGTCACGGCCCGATAACCCGATTATCTTTGCTTCTGGAGGTAAGATTTGGTGCATAGAATGTTAGGTCTTACAAGACACACACTAACATTTCTGTTAGAGTTCCACCGAACCACACAATATGGCATGGACTATGTACTAGGACGAAACTGTCGCTTTTTGCAAGGCCCCAAAACCAATCCTAACAGTGTCCGCCGTATCAGAGAAGCACTCCAGGCTGGTCGCCACCACTCCGAGCTTTTCCTCAACTAGTGAGCCCCCCACTAGCAATCGCGTCCATTCAAGATACAACGCTAACTATGGGAAACAGCCGCCGCGACGGCTCCCCCTTTATGAACCTTCTTCAAACCGCTCCTCTCTGCGACAGCCAAGGTAAAGTCCGATACGTCATTGGTGCTCAAGTCGATGTGTCAGGACTGGCTATGGAGGGCGCGCAGATGGAGTCGTTACAAAGCCTCACTGCAGAAAAGGAAAGGAAAGAAGCCGGCGAAGAAGAACCCCAACAGCCAAAATCCGAGTTCCAGGAACTGGGCGAATTATTCAGCCCCCGTGAATTACAAAACGTCCATGCATACGGTGGCAATTTGTTCCAACCCATCGACGAAAAGGTCAACCCGACAAATAGTCGCCTGTTCATACCCGGTAGCCCCGACTACGAAGCAGAGAAACGCCTGAGCGAGGTTCCGCAGCCCGCTCCATCAGCCGGCCCCAATGGATCTCTGACCGGTGTTTATAAACATGTATGTTTTCACTTTCCATTCAGGGGCGATTATCGATCGGAATAAAGTACTGACAAAATCAATAGTATCTCCTCGTCCGACCATACCCATCACTCCGTGTCCTCTTTACCTCTCCTTCTCTACAGATCCCTGGCATGCTTCAATCATCATTCCTTTCACGAATTGGAGATACTGGTGAAAAGAGGGATAGTATTGTGCAGGCTATGATGGAGGGCCGCAGTGTCACAGCCCGGATCAAGTGGGTAACTCGATTTAGTGAGAATGGGCGTCACCGCTGGATTCACTGTACGCCTTTGTTAGCGAACAATGGTGGCGTTGGCGTGTGGATGATTGTGGTTATGGACGATGAGGAGGAGCACTTTGTGCGGTGGAAGGGGAACTGGCCTATGAGCCAGTAAAAGGTCTTGAATGTCTCCAGGGCTATTTTTTTTTGTATATAACGGGGCCTCTGGCGGGATGCATTTCGAACGGCGCCTTTTATTATCTGTATACTATCATATCATATTACTTTTCTGCAATCCAAAAAAACGAATCATTACGGAATCTATGCGGATCCTGGATAGAAATTCTTACCATACTAGTCAACTAGTCAATTCACATCTAACCTTTCAAACTTGCATATCCAACCTTCACACGGAATCACACCCACCCTTCACACCCCATCCCTTTCTACCTCATCCTTTAATTTCACGCGTTCCCCTTCCACCTTACACATCTCACCTTCATACCCTACCCTTCACACCCCACCCTCCCCACCTCATCCTTTAATTTCGCGCGTTCCCCTTCAACCTTACACGTCTTACCTTTACACCCTACCTACCCTTCAAACCTCACCTCTTCCCACCTCATCCTGTAATTTCGCGTCTTCCCCTTCAACCTTACACATCTTACCTTTATATCTCACCTTTCAAACTTACACATCGTTAGTATTCCGATTCGCATATCCTTGTTTAGTAATATTTTTTGCAAATTCGCATTGGCAACATTTGAAACTCTTTGTACCTTTTATGTACGCAGTTGTCCCCGTATATGTAGTAAAGATCACTTCAAAATCCTTCAAGTGTTTCGAATCTTGCACATGTGGCAGGAAGCGTAAGGTGTAGGATCTATTTGTCTGAAAGAAATAGACTTACGCGCTGCTCAATTGACATCTCCTATATGTAAAACTCAAAGTTCAAATTCGACAGAAGGGAGGTGACTCTTATAGTGAGGAACCGCACGAAAACATTTGAATAGATGTTAAGTAAATAAGCATCTTGCATGTGGAAGACATGATCGACCATCCCTAAGAGCTTGCAAATCGCCAGCCTCAAGTGCTGGCCACCCATTTGCGTCGTTTTCAATGTTCTATTTTTACGTGAAGCCCGAGAGGAACTACAAGAACTCACAATGAGACAGGTGGTATGTGAAAGAAAGGCACCAGTAAACCAAAACAAAACCAACAAAATTTCATGTCGAGGACTCAATACAAGACAAGCCAGTAATTGTAATGATAGAATGATAATAGATTGAGCGCTAATAAATAAATATCTTCTCAAAAAGTGAAGAAGAATTGGGCTAAAAATACAAAAATACTGATACAAAACTAAAATATATTTGAGGCACAGGATCTCTGATCACTTGTGCGGCGAGCCTGACCTTCCCCTTCCCCTGCTCCCCTCCCTGCTCCCCACGCCCCCCACACCCCCCTGCCTGTGCCTTTTTAAGGGCCAGTTAACTTCGCCGTCTACGTCCACGGCGCAAGCAGCACTCCCAGGTCAGATGCTCGATTGAGCCACAACGTGGGCAAGGGAGGACCGAATTCAAGACCCACATGGCGAGCGGGTCCCACTTGTTCTCGTCCTTCTGCCACTCCACACATCGCATCATCGGCGAAAGGCCTGCGGCAACAAGCTGGTGGAATTCAATTCCAGCCAGATTTTTCTCGGTCTCTGAACGACCAAGAGGCAGCTTCATTGCGTTGGGCCATTCGCCGATGATGGTGTGCTTCTTCTTTGGCTGAAGCTCGCACTCGTGCCCGATTTGCGCAAGGGACTCTTCCCTGGCATACCTGTTATAATTAGCGGGAACGAACGGATCAAATTATGCAAGACGCTTCTTCTTTGTACTTACCGCTCCCAGATGGCGTCGTAGTAACAGACAAGACGCTGAGTTACCAGGATCTTGATTGTTTCAGGATCGCCAAAGCGGATTGCCTTGCTGAAGTCGCCCTCGAAGAAGCTCTGAAGCTTGTTGTAGTTCGCGGACGACTTTGGGGGTCTGATGAGCTTGGTGTTGTTTGGCGTGAGAGACGCAGAAACAGCGTTCTCGAATCGAGTCATCAGCACTGCATGGACGTTCTTGTTGCGAGGCTGGAGAAGGCCGGACAAGGTGCCGAGCGTTGCCTGCGCACCACGACGCCCACGGTCTATGATGTTTGAGGTCTATGAAAATAGAATTAATTAGTGTCCTGGACTTCAAAGTTTGAGTGGCCAGCGTGAGTGACGCCGCAGGGGTTGTCGACGTTGGACGGTAAAAAAAAACCACTCACATCGATTCTGTCAAACTTAGTGTCCCCCAAAGCCCAAGGCAGAGCTTCAAATCGAGAATTCAGAACCTTGAAAGTGACATTCAGATCCTTGACGCGATTAAAAAAGCGAACAAGAACGCTGCCGAGATAAATCCAGAGCTTGCCGTAGATGTCGTTGATTGCTGGCCCAGACCATATGTTGAACACTTCAGTTGGGTTCCACCCATCGAGGGGATCGCCATCACCTCGTTGAAAGGGGGCATCGGCATCATGCCAAAATGTACTAGATAGGGTCAGCAGGATGGTATCAATTTGGGTCGATTGTCAACTCACGGATTGGGCTCTGTGAATAGCTGGCGCGGACATCCGAACGAAAGCATCATTCCATCTTCATAGTACTTCGCAAGGGCGAGTCGACAAGTAGGTGGCATACGGCAGAAACGATGATTGCGAACATGTTCCGTAACGACACACTTCATAGGATTGGCGAAATGATGTTGGGCTTTTTCGAATGTCAAGCCAGCCGGCGTCTCGATAAAGGTAAAGAGCTTGTTCCATTTCTCTATGCTGAGAGTGGCTTGGATTGAAGTCGATTTCAAGTTCCATACGTGGACCATGGTTGTCACGTTTGGACGATTGGTGCGGATTATCCGGAGTTTGGCCTTGACTTTGTCAAACAAGGGCTTGATGAAATTTTGAAGAATATCAATATGGCTCTTCATTAGGAAAGGCGAGTACCAGATATGAATCATGCAGTCGATGACGGCGTGAAGATCCATAAGCTTATTCAAAACGGTACCCTCATCCTTCCGGACCCCAAAGGCAAGGAGAAGCATGATGATATTGCGGAAAACAATCTCATCTCCACGGTTGTTGATTGTAAATTCGATAGAGCCGGTGTAGGTCTTGGGGAGCTCGGAGATTGTCAGGAAGACACTTGCAAGGTCTGCTGAGTCTATGTGGAAGACGGACACAAAGAAAGAATTAGTAAAATGGCCAGACCATCACATACACAGATAAGAATCTGATTGTGCAGTGGGGTGTTTAGGGTGTTTAGGGTATCTAGGGTGTCACTTACCTTCGAGGAGAAGATGTAGATCTCCTTGGAAGTCTGATCCCTCATTCATTTTGAGATTGAGCATGTCGACCGCAGGAGTACGGCCCCAAAGACGTCTCGTGACGAATTTTCCTTTTTCGCTGCGAGGCATAGGGACAGCACCAGAAGTACTGCCAGACGCAGGGGTAGCATCAGAAGCACTGTTAGCAGGAGGAGGAGAACTTGGAGTACTGCCAGCGGCAAGAACAGCAGGATCAGCATTGCGGCCAGACGTAGCGGCAGCATCAGAAGCACCGCCAGCGGTAGGAACATCACCATCAGAAATATTGCCAGATGTGGTGTCAGTATCAGAAGAACTGCTAGAAGGAGGAGGAGATTTTGGAGTATCGCCAGGGCCAAAAACAGGAGCATCAGAAATATTGCCAGACGTGGTCTCAGTATCAGAAGAACTGCTAGAAGGAGGAGGAGATTTCGGAGTATCGCCAGGGCCAAAAACAGCAGGATCGGAATTACTGCCAGAGATAGGGGCAGCATCAGAAGTAGAATGGTCGTAACCCGGATAAGTTGCTCTCCACGTCTCCTTGCCCAGGTCTGACTGGCATTGGACACGGTGACGAGCAGAATCTGCTAGCATGCACTTCATGGTACAATACTATTGCAGGAAGATCAGCAAACGACACAGTGGAATAACCAACCTCATTCGAATGGACTTACCCCAGGAAGCAAGCACTTTGGACAAGTCGTGGTCACGTCTCCCTTGCAGTAATCAGTTGCAGGGCTCCAGTTAGCACAGCGAAGTAACTTGGGCACAGGAAGGTTATCATAGGTGCCATAGGGAAACATTTTGTCTCCGACAACCAGAGTCACGAATTCGGAAGACATGGTGAGTTCAATTAGATGAGACTGGATGAGACTGGATGAGACTGGATGAGACTGGATGAGACTGGATGAGACTGGATGAGACTGGATGAGACTGGATGAGACTGGATGAGACTGGATGGGACTGGATGGGATGGGATGGGACTGGATAGGATTGGATGGGATTGAATGGGATTGGAACAGGATTGGAACAGGATTGGATGGAATTGGATGAGATTGAATGGAGTTGGGTGAAATTGGATGGGATTCGATGAACGTGGATGAACGTGGATGGGATTTGATGAAATTGGATGAGATTCGATGGAATCGAATGAAGAAACAAGGCAAGTATGGAAGATCAAGAAAGACGAAGATGTGAAGATGATGAAAAGCGAAGAAAGACGATGCTGGAAGGGGGCAAAGAAAAGGTGAGAAGAGAAGAAGTGACGGAACGATGGAGATGAAAACATTAATTGTTACTATGGTCGTTATAGTAAACAAAAAAGTATTCCTCTTTGGTAAATTGAGCACAAAATTTACACCACTCAGTGATACAAAATAACATCCAAACCCCCATCATAGGGCATAGTGACCCTTCGATATCGGCTTCCAGGCGCATCCAAATAATCAAACAGCTCCGCATACCCAGCCGCCGCCTTCAGGGTATTGTCTGCAATGATCATTGCACCTGGCCTGAAGGATGGCTCAACCAGTCTCAATGCTGGCAGTGCAAGCGGCGTCCAGACTAACGGATCAATCAGCAAGTCGTCCAACAAACCTCTACCCCCGCAACTCAAATGGAATATTTTGTGAAGAAGAAAGCTTACTATCCAGAAGCAGGAAGTCCACCGTCCCAAGATCCTTTCCTAACGTCGCCCGGAGATCGCCAACACGGAGATCAATGACACCTTGAATCTCTTCGCCAGCTTGCTCCCAGTTCTTCTGTGCTTCCGCAGCCTTGGAGACCTCCTTCTCGGTGGCGATAACCTTGGCAGTGGAGGTTCCTCCACGGGCAGCGTTTTGAGCTGCGGCAAGTGCAAGATAGATGGTGCTCACGCCGAAACTTGTTCCAGCTTCGACAATTGTCGTTGCATTGGTGCTGCGCAGCAGGTGATAGATCAGCTCAGCCTTGTCTTGGTCCAAGGCGATAAACTTGTCGCGCATGATGTTGTCGAATTCATTGGTCGTCTGGCCTGGGAGGGAAGTCCATTCTATCTTCGACTCCTGGCTCAGTGATTGGGAGTGGAGGTCCCCCAGAAAAGATAAGAGGCGTGGGGAAGCTGCTAGGGGCGGTTGGGGCGCCATGATGGGGTACTTTGGACGTCCACAATGTTCGTTCTGATCCCGAAGATATGATGAGGAATCTTGATCAGTTATATAACGATCAACCTTCAAATGTTGGGATACAGAGCGGTATCTCTGCACATGTGGATATGGCGGCTATATTACTCGTGAAAAATGCACACGTGTTGCAGACGTTGCAGACGTGTTCCAGACCGGCACCGCCGATGGAAACAGTGAGTCAGAAGCTGAACGATCTGTGCGGAGTAGTATGATGTCGCACCGTCTCGCACGGTTGTTGTCTCGGCACTGCAGGACCCACTTGGAAGTTGGGGTGTTCTGGCGGCCAGAAGTCCGGACCCTTTGAGTCATTGTTACCGCCCATACGTTATGATACCCTAGGGCTTCGGTATTAAACGTGGTACTACACAGCCGCTCTGCTAGGGCATACCGACTAACCGGGTGCTTCCATAAATTACCATGTATTACGGACCCTCAGAGCGTAGCGCCCGGTTCGTAGGTACATCTGGCTAGCAAGTCGCCTTTTTTGACCGTCATTGGAAGCGCCCTCAGTTTAGAGCTTATTTAGCTTTTTGAATTATCTGATCAAATTATAGTATTAATCAAAGACCTCTTAGGGTTTCTCCAACAAATCTGCATAGCTGTTTAAAGACCTCCCGATCAGATTAACCATTTCCCAGATGTAATCTGCCGTGAAAAGGCGCGCCCACAAGCGGGTCACTGCTGCACTAAGTCTACTGTTAGTGGCAAGGAGCCACTCACGGGAAACGCCATGCTGCACCTCCATGACCATTTCAAGAACAAAGTCTCTTAAGCGAGTCTCTTGTTCCGTCAGCACAGGATCTGGATCCGGCCCCGTTACCGCTTCAAGCCACTTGGCAAGCACAACAGCGCATTCGAGTGAGCATAGCGCGTGTTGGTTTGACCATAGCGCGACCTGTGAATGCGCCACGTACCCAATGCCTAGCTTGACAGGTGTGCTAAGTGCATGGGCACAGTGCAGTGCAGCCCGAGTGAGCCGATCGCCACGCTGCACGGAAAGATTGTCTTTCAGGCTCTTAGCTATTTGAACGGAGTCCCAGGATTGAAGTTGCCGTGTAGATCCACAGTCGGCACTTAGTCGGATATATGCTAACCGGAGCAAGGCGGCTGACGTGAATGACAATGGGCCATGGGGACTGAGTGGGTCGATTGATGATTCCTGATTACGTTCCCAGAATTGACACCATCTTTCCAAAGCTTGGTCGAATATAATGAGATCAGAGGTTGGTGCGATGCAAGAGTTGAGGCGGTTATTGAAACGTGAAACGCAAAGACGGCTCGTTTTAGTCAGCAGCCATATATCCTGCAGCAAGGCGTGGATGAGCACATATCCGCCTAGGGACGAGAATTGTTCCATGTCGCTATGAGGATTGAATAGCGCCGATAGTGCATCTTGAAACTTGGGTTCTCCAGGACTTTGGCTGCGAGCCAATTGCCACATCTCGGGACTAGATGCCTGCCATTCTCTCTCGGTGCACGGCAGATCAAGAGTAACTTCTTCCGTGAGAATGACCGGGGGAATATCAAAGACAATGGTGTGGATATTAAAAAAGCAGAATACAATCAACTTTGTTCGCTTGACTTGCTCGCGGAAAATCCAGCTTGTCCAGCTTCCGTCCTGCTCGGGCAGTCGGTTGAGACCTCCTTTCCGCACAAGGGCACCCATGGTGCTTCGAATGGACAAAGCTTCGTAGTATGGTGGATCATTTAAGAACCATGATGAGACAGATATTAAGAAGAGCAAAGACTGAACCGTTTCAAGCATGTCAAGACTGTTCGCATCTGGTTCAGGCAGCGTACCGGACTGGAACGTGCGTCGTACATGTTCCAGTGTGACTGGTTTGGCGATTTGGTACAGTCGCAAACTGGTATCTGGCTCACGGCAGTACCGTGCACCCAAAGCAGCCATAGAGAGAAAGAGTGGAAGAGACATAGATTCAACCTGCAGAGTAGGTTTATGCACAATTGGATAGTGATCGTGATATCCCATTAGATAACCGGTTAAGCACCGGGATAAAGCATGACGAGAGGGCAAAGACGGATCTGGAACTACATTCGAATAGTCTGTTAAAAGGTGGAGAATTTTTTCTCGACATTGGGCTGTCACAGGCAAGAACCCTGTAGGCTGCCTTGCCTTGTTGGCCGGGGATTGATACCCCTCAGGCTGAAGAGATGGTAGTTGCGCACCATGTCGCGGTAGTACCGAGCTTGATGGCGTGGAGGCTGGCTCTGTTGGCGGGCCCCTGTCGGAGGTTTGTTCAAATTCCGTAGTCACAGGAGAATACTGTAATGGTGGGAACAAGGGAAGTGGCTGAAAAGCCGGTGAGAAGGGATGACTTGGCAAGGGGACACTGTCTAGGAAAGAGGTAAAATCATTGTCGTCGTAAGCCCCTGCCGGAAATGCACCCATTGGATATCCAAATTCGGATCCCTGCAGAGGCATAGCGCCAGTTTGCTTTGTTGGGGGATGGTCCGAGTTAGATAGCTGAGGGCCGACCAGCGAGCCTCGGTGTACAGGCATGCCATCCGTAAATTGGTCACTTTGCCCCGGCATCGGAAGGCGCGAGTGTCCATGATTAGCCACGACAGATGCCAAAGCGTCCAGGCCATCTAGACTTGAACGAGCTGGAGATGGTGAAACTGTCTGATGGCTTGCGGGGCTCGCCCCCTGATGGGCGAGTCGCTCATGACGGGCGAGCAAGTCTCTACATCAAAATTAGATATGCACGATGACATTGCAATATTTGAATAGAATTATGCAACGTACTTCCGTGTAAAGGCTTTCGGGCATTGTGCGCAGACATACGGTTTTTCTTTAGTATCTGGCTTGACGTTAGTGGCAAATGGGGTATCAGATTGGAGAAGTACCCGTACGGGACCGGTCATGACGTTGGAGATGCTCTAGACGCGCAAACGCCCTGGAGCATCGCTGACACTGATAGGGCTTGCCATCCATGGCTTCATGGTGTGACCACTGATGTTGCGCAGAATGGAGGGGGTTTTTGATTAGAATCCGGGGAGATGCTGACCAACTCCGGCGACATCATGTGCTGCCGCCAACTGGTGTCGTATACATAATTGGTTAGTACATTCAAATACACTTTCAAGCTTATACGTGTCATACTACTAGTGCATACTGAATCTCGCATCTGGAGATCTGCTCAAGAGTTCAGATCACGTCTCGCTCCCCAAAATCTAATTCTTGTTTTCTTTTCTTTGCTAAAGTGTGTTGTAGATTACAAATGATGCCTCGGAGATTTCCCCGAATTCCTCCAAATTGGGGATCGTCATAAAAGCGGGGACTTTGCCATTAGTAATGAGAAAAGTCAAACCGCTGTTACTTTAGTTCGTTCACTAACTGTCAAATGCTCGGCTAAAGGCAGGATCCCTGCATAATGATTGACACTCCACTAGTTAGTGTTGGACGAAGTACTAGCACTAAATCTAGTTGGAAATCTACATCACCGATTCAATGTTGGAATATTTAGTATGCAGAACAACTCAAGTACGATAAGAGTAATCAAGTAATCGCAAGTTAGCCACCAAACAGCTTTGTTTGGATAGTAAAATTGGAGAAGGCGAAAGCCCGTGTTCCAGTTTCCCCAATTTTATTTTTCAACGATGAGTCTTTCGACCCACGCTTGTTATTTATACAAGGTCTGATCCCATTTTACAGCCTGTCAGCCCAAAGTAAAAGAGGTTCATGCCAAGGATATATGTCCTCCGAATCACCTACGGTATACATGGCATTTGAAGCTTCTACACTATCCAAATCTGGGTCCGTAGTCACTATGGACAGACGCGAACCCAGTACCGACTCCTCAGTGGAGTCGAATGAGATTGAGTATCTCTACCTTGAGCTAGAGACCCCGCTCCCTACACCATGCATTACTCTACCTCCATCTGCGGGCCAATCTGCACCACCCGAGGCTCCAAGCTTGGAAAAGTATACTTCGCCATTCCTATGGCCGCAGTGGCGAAAATGGATGATGACTTGGATTGCCTGCGGAGTGACAGCGCTGGCGGGTTATTCTGCTGGCGAGGTCAGTCCGGCATCTGATGAGTTGACTGCGAAATGGGGCATCAGTGCTGTGGTGTATAACCTCAGTATTACGATCTTTTGTATTGGGTTTGCCCTTGCGCCTATGATCCTTGCCCCATTTTCGGAAATTAATGGTCGCCGGCCTATCTTTGTTGTTAGCGGCGTCGTTTTTGTTGGTATGCATTCTTACTATACTCATGAGCCATGTACTGTGAGAGATCCATGATACTGACGATTTTTTTTTCCAGCTTGTCTTATTGCATGTGGAGGAACTCACTCATTCGCCGGGTTGCTGGTCGCCCGTTTCATCCAGGGATGTAGTGCTTGTACGTTCTCGCTTGATGCTCATGATTATAGGCCTAGCTAACGAATTCGCAGCCACGTTCTCGACTATGGTCGGTGGTGTTATTAGTGATATCTTCCACGCGCATGATCGCAACACCCCGATGGCCCTCTTCTCCGGCGCTGCATTGTTCGGAACTGGCCTGGCACCTATTATTGCTGGTGCGATCGTCACGCGTACCAGCTGGCGCTGGATCTACTACTCGCACGCTATTGTGTCTAGTGTTTTCGTTGTCATCATTTACTTCTTCTTCAAAGAGACACGCGGTAGTGTGATTCTGAGCCGCAAGGCCAATGCTCTGAACAAATACTACGAGAAGCTTGAGGAGGCGGGCCATATTGGCGTTATCACGGTTTCCGAAGACCAACCTGAAAAGCAGACTATCCGACGAATTCGATGGAAGGTTGAGAGCGATGAACAGCGCGCTTCATTGCTTACTGCAGTCCAAATCTCAATTTATCGTCCTTTCCGTGAGTTTTCGAATCACGCCCTTCTCATTTGATCTTTGTACTAATATGGTATGCTTCATCTTCAGATATGCTTTTCACCGAGCCTGTGGTATTCTTCTTCTCCCTTTGGGTATCATTCAGCTGGGCCACTCTCTACCTCCAGTTTAGCTCGATTCCTTTGGTCTTCCGCACAAACCACAACTTTACCGTTGAGCAAACCGGTGCCGTTTTTACCTGTAAGTCCAATCATTCCAACGAAAAAAAGAGAAGAAGAGAGGGGGAAAAAAAGAAAACTTCTGACACAAAGCAGCCCTGTGTGTCGGTGTCGTTATTATTACACTTATCAGTATTTACCACGAATCAATCGCTGCGAAATTCGGAAAGCTGCCCTCAACCGCCGAAGGCCGGCTATACTTTGTCTGCATTGAATCCATTCTCCTACCGATCGGTCTATTCTGGTTCGGCTGGACTTCCTACCCGTCTGTACCTTGGATCGTGCCTACTATTGCAATCGGTTGTGCGGGTATGGGTATTTTTTCGATTTACCTTGCGACATTCAATTATTTGGCAGACACATACCATCGCTACGCTAGTTCGGCGATTGCGGCGCAATCATGCTGTAAGTTTTCAAGTCAGACTTAGCAAGGTCGTTTTTGAATTTCAAGCTAATCTTGGTTCCTAGGCCGAAATCTGCTTGGTGGTATCTTCCCATTGGTTACAAGTGCAATGTTTACGAACCTTGGATATCCCGAGGCCTCCAGTCTTCTGGGTGGAATTGTGAGTTGGAGCTCTTCTTATTTTATTTTTTTTGCTAGGGACTTGTCACTAATACGGCGGATGCAGGGACTTGTTCTTACCCTCGTGCCTTGGGTATTGGCTTTCTACGGGCCAAAGATTCGCGCCCGTAGCAAGATGGCTAGTGTAAGTTTCCCTCCAGAGAACGAAGTAGTGGACTTGAGCTAACTTAGAATGTCACAGGAGCTGAACAAGTGAACATAGATTGTTGAAAAAAAAGTTCCGATAATAGAAATAGATTAATTTAGATGACTCATTGGATCCATGCAGCATGCAGGTTCCACAACATTAATGCATCCATACGAATGACTTCTTACGCCCCAAATATGATGATGCATCGCCCTATCAAAGATCTACATAGTCACGTATGTTAGGATGTAAATGTAGGATGCAATTCTCTTAAGAGAGATGCTAACATGAATGCATGTGCTTGGGCCATAATTACACCGGGATCAAATGGAAATGATCCGACAAGGCCGATGCAAGGCCACACGCAAAGCCATTCCCTTGATGAATATGACGATCCGATGCAACCGTTAATATGGATTACTCGTGAGACCTCCTAGAAGTCTGTACACGAGGTTTGGGACGGTATGATGCATACCGCCCGTCGTCCTCACTGTCACTTTCCATTTGATCCAAGATACGGTCGATTTCATCTCCGGCGTGATATTCCAACCCAAACCCAGAGGGCCTGAGTTCAAAGCTCCGGCCGTTATGGGACTTCTCGCTCAGTGAGCTTTGACTGTGATAGTCACTTGCTACACCATTCGAGAGCGAGTGAATTGACTCATTTAAACTGAGTTGCGAGGCGAGAGGCTGGAAAGGGCGCGGACTGGAGCGGTATCCAGAATTTTCTGGACTTGACATGAACATAAGTGTCTCGATTGCATCTTGTTCCATCGCTGTGCTTTGAGAATGAGTGCGAGATCTATAGACCTCATGCTGCGCAGATAGCGGCATGCGTGCAGAGGGGGGGACATGTGGCGTCCCTGGTTCTAGCATTGGAGGGGATCCCAGAGTTTTAGTCAGGGAAGGCTCCTGCACTGAATGGTGTCTTCGATGATGACTGGTATAAGGACTGCGATCAAACGGCTTGGTAGCCGTATTTGGATTAGGTCGGCGTCGCCGTGTATCCCCGGCAGATGATATGATATCGACAGGAGGCGCTAATTTGGGTACTTGAAGAAGTTTTCCAGAGGAAATAGCTGACTGAGAACGGTTATGAGAGGGGAAGTTGCGAGGTGTAGGTGTTGATGATGAAGGTTGTGGATGAGATGTTGGAGTTGCGCCTTGGGTTGCACCATTTGGTGTCGGCGGACTTGCTGATGAGAGACTTTCCAAGCCTTGGATTGCAAGTTGAGTTTTATTGTCACGCGACTGTCGGGACTTTTCTATCTTGGCAGCAGCATATGAGAGACGTGTGCGAATATGGACGGACAGCTAGACGCATGTTAATATTGAATCGCACACGACCACGAGGGCATTTTTACCTGTGCAATTCTGCTTCCATGAGCCGATGATCCTGTGCTCTTTGAACGCCGCCGAGCAGCCGCTTGAGGGTCGAACGCCTGGGGCGTCGCGAGACTCGATATGGTTTTGACATCTCCAGTGGCTGTTCTTTTGTGCCCTGGAGCAAAGTGCACTTCGTTTGTCGACTGCGAAGTGGAACTCTTCGGAGACTGCTGCGGGGACAAAGAAACGCTGCCCTTTTTTTCTGAAGTATAGCCGTCTATTGATCCACTCCCATTGACCGAAAATTGATCTTGAGAGTCCGAGTATGTTTTGGGGGTTTGTGCGTCTTCGGTAGAGGACTGCGAATTTTCAATTTTGATAGATTGATTGTAGTCGTTCATCGAGGAGGAAGGAATGCTGGACAAAGAGTCCGTGAAGGTGCTCGCGGATTGTGGCTCAGGTCGACGAGCATCGGCAGACGTGTCGCTGTCGCGTTCGGATGACTCGACATATGATGGGAAAGCGCTAGACTTGTCATTAAAACGGGAATCCAACCCATCTATATGCAGAGATAGCGGTTGAGGAGATCGAGGGACCTGGATTTGTTCCGCACGAGTTGGGGCTCCTGGCGCTCGTGACGTTGAAGTGTTCACAGACCCGGCGTTCGCACTGGCCTCCACATGCGGAACCCCGCGACTAGACGGAGCGTGGTGGAGGTCATTCATGGCCGAGCAGCAGACTGTAGGAGGAGTCGGTCAAGTAAAGTGAGACAACAAGGAAACCGGAAACGACCAACACGCGACCATGCAGCAATTGCGAAATTACGCGGCCACGAGGGGATCTAAACACGCAATACCTAAGCAAGTTGCGCCGAGTCACCGCATGGAGACGGAGTACCGGGAATGTCCGACGTGAAGCGACCAGAGATGTACCAAACAGACGGTCAAGATCTGAATAACTTCGAGGGCGGGTGTGTGCAGTGATGTTGATGCGGGTATTATGAGTATCTGCCCGATCCAGTGGCGATCGACCAGAACGCGCAGTGGACAACGGTCAACTGGCAGCCTCTCCCACAGATAATAAAGGACAGATTCGGGGGGGGGAATTGGCACAAGACTAGGAATATGTGATGAATCTGGATTTAGGGATTATGAAGAAGAACAGCAGGAGCCAAACACCGAGTTTTTCTCCGGATTTGCTGGAGCGGAAGTCAAATTGTCGCCTTCGGCTTTCCCTCTGCGGCGACGCGTTCGAGACACGGTCACGTGCGGCGGTGCCACTTACGGGAATTGATCGTTAAATACGAGACTTTCAGTAAAATAAATATGATCTATTAAAGCCATGACTTGGTAAATTGAACAGGGACATGTGTTCAATGTTGTAGGTGGATTGATTCCCCGAGTCTAGCCCACAAAAAAAAAAGACATACTTCAAATGTCAAGTGAAGAAAGAATCAGAGATAAACCGCGGGAGAACAATCCGCCCATGCAGATATTCTCGCTGCAGTTGACAAGGATACTAGTACGGGAGTAGTGCCTAGTGCATGCAAATTTCTTTCAAATGTTCGTCGTATTAGCCTTCAAGTTCAACCCATATGTATTAGCGGCATTCCAAAACAAAAAATATATAGAAAAAAAAAGTCAGGAAAATTCCCCATGCAGTAAGTCATCGCTCACGATCGAAGCCAAACTACTCATTCGATTTTAACAAGCGCAGCACTATAGATTATGTCAAAAGGTTCCGGCGGAAATGCCCCACCAACCCCGCCCAGGCAACTTTGTCTAGCTTGATTAAGGTCCCAAATGCTTCGGGACTAAGAGGCTCGCCTGCTCTTGAGGGCATGAAAGAATGGCTATTACTGCTTGGACATACAGTATGCACCCGAGTGCTTTAAATGCATTCGTCTCTACTCGAAACCCGCTTACAGAGATCAGCCCATAGTCATCGATAGTTTGAACGTAATCCATGTCGCCGGAACGAAAGGCAAAGGCAGCACATGCGCCTTCGTGGACAGCTTCCTACGTGAACATGGAAGAAATAATGGAATCACGCGAAAAATTGGACTCTATACATCGCCAAGTCTGTGGCCGCAGAACAGAATCCGGATCGACTCAAATCCGTTATCAGAGGAACTGTTCTTCCAGCGCTTCGAGGAAGTATGTGTTGGCCTGTCTCTTGATCCTGATGGGCTGTTCCCTGCAAATACCAAGAGACCGGGTTTACTCCAAATGATGGCCATTGTGTCATTCCACACGTTTATTAAAGAAGGCGTGGATGTTGTCATTTGCGAGACGCATCACGGTGGTCAATTTGATGCCACGAATTTTGTTGATCGTCCGGTTATTACTGCTATCACGAAGATTGGAATTGATCACGTTGATAGTTTAGGAGGATCTATCCAACATATTGCTTGGCACAAGAGTGGGATCTTCAAGGACGGAGTCATTGCCTTTTCTGTTCCACAGGTCCCCGAGGCTGAAGATGAGATAAAACGCCGAGGAAAGGAGTTAGGCGCATCACCTCACTTCATGGAAAATGCCAAGAGCACGTTAGTCCAATTTGTTACTGATGACATTTTTGACACGATACAGCCTGAACAGCAAGAAAACTGTGCACTGGCTGCACAGATCGCTCATACATTTCTGCAAATGAATGGTCAGTCTCTCCAGGAACAGGACGTTCAGGAAGGCATCTTGAAGTTTCGTTGGCCTGCTCGCTTTGATATTGTCGAGTTTAGTGGGTGTACTTGGTACCTGGATGGAGCGCACAACGAAATGAGCATGCAAGTTGTCGGAAAGTGGTATGAGCGAGTGGCCAACACGAGGTAGGTGTCATTTTGTTGTGGAAAGACAGCTGAGCATTTCTAATAGAATAGCAGGCCTACCGGAGTGCTTATATTTGCTCATTTCTCACCGGAGAAAAGGCGTGAGTGGTCCAAAATACTGCGAAACCTGGGAGAAACTTTGCAAAGGCCAGTACAGCACGTCGTGTTTGTCAAGCAAATTGAATTTGACGACAAACTTAGCTGCACAGAGGAGCGGCTACAAGCGTATGCTCAATTCTGGAAGGAAAATTGGCCCGAAAGCACGATTTATAAGGCAGACTGTGTTGAGGACAGTATCGAACAGGCTAGGAATATTGATCCAGGGGCGCAGATCCTGGTCACAGGAAGTCTGTATCTAGCAGAAGCAGCTCTCAAAATTTTGAGTAGCGAGAGTGAGCCTGGCAAATGTGAAGTTTGTACTCACCAAACATGACCTTATCCATCGATATCGGCGGGGGAAAGAATGCAACACATTAGGTAGGCCCGATGAATAAGATTTGAAGATTTTGGATCCCGATATGTATATAGAATTGGCCGTTCAACAGCAATTATGTATAGAACTTTGGAACTCATTGGTATATAAACAAAATGACTGTATATCCCGTGCTGCCTTGATTAAATCAAGAAGCTTAAGGGCAGCCACTAGAAGGGTAGTTGCAACTGCTAGTCTCGCCACCTCCAGAGATCGAAACTCCAGAGAAGGTAAAGTCCGAGCAACTGTCGCTACCACAAAGAATGTAGTAATCCATTCCATCATCGGTAACAGTACCAGTAACATCAATGAATGAGACATTGCTAATAGTGACACCATTGGTAGGGTCTCCAGTAGCACCGCCGTTCAAGTAGTCTTGCTGGACATCGATTCCATAATCGCTGATCTCGGAGAGAGTGATGTTTTGGTAGATGACATTGGAAATGCTACCAGTAGTATCGGCATTGCTCTTGATACGGCAGCCGTTCTCGCTGTCAACAATCTGGGAGTTCTTGAAGGTCACAGTGTCGACGACGTTGTCACTCTTACCGCCGACCGAACCAATGCTCAGACCATGGCCTCCGGAGCAGTAGAGGTTGTCGATGACAATATTGGAGCCACTGGTGACGGCAACGCAGTCATCTTGGTTGTATACGGATGTATCCTCGATGGTAATGTATGTGCTCTTGGAGATATCGAAGCCGTCGGTATTGTGGCCTGCTGGGTCGCCGTCAGAGGCAGAGTTGGCTGAGTCTCCGGCAGTGTTGTTGAGGATGAGACCGGAGATGGTGACGTGGTCAGCATCTTCGATCTCGAAGCAGTGGACTGGATAGTTGACGATGTTGAGGTTGGTGATCTCTGAGTAGTAGAAATCCTTGACGACAATGAAATGGTCGGGCCTTCACAGAAGAGGTCAGCAGGGTTTCTTTTTATTTTTCTACTTTGCAGTTGGTTCGCTCAACTGGTACTTACTTGTCCTGTCCACCATTGGAGCCTTCGCCGTCCCAGTAGGCTTCACCGTTACCCTCAATTACGTGACCAGTAGCACCGGTGATGGTAATGTTGGTTCCGGAGATGACAATTGGGTCAAAATCGTCATCAAAGGTGTCACCAAAGGTCTGCCAAAGTCAGTGAATACTCAAATACAGAAAATTTCTTTTTTTATAACATACGGTAGTACCAGCAAAGGTGACTGAAGCACCGGTCTGAAGGCTCGACAAGTCAATGGTGCTTGAAGGAGGCGCATACAGGTCAGACAGTATAATATTGGTACACGATGCAACAGCCGAGGAGAGCGAAGCATATTCGCTGACCACACAGGCCGATCCGGTGACAGAAGCAGCCTCAACGGAAGCCACAGAGACCGCGGAAGTTGTCGTAGCAGTTGTCGCGACAACGGCTGCGGCGGTGGTACTCGGGGCCACAGCAATAGAAGAGCTAGAAGAGCTGCTTGAAGAGGTAGACGAGGTCGAAGAAGCAGAAGACGTAGAGGCAGGTCGAGTAGCTGTCACAAAAGTAGTTGGCAAGCTCGAAGTGCTTGTAGTGGTAGTTTCGACGGGCGCAGCAGATGAAGTACTGGTTGTTGCAACGGCAACAGTGGTAGGCTCTGATACAGCCTGCAAGTAATGGTTAAATGACTGCCAAACGCCATTGCAAAGAAAATGTTTCAGTAATTGCTTACGCTAGCCGAATCAGTCTTCCAAGCAGTATCGAGACAGCTGCATGCGCTAGATAGATGCTTCACATCATTGTCGCAAGCAGAAGCAAAGCTAGGAAGACCAGTAGTGGCAGTCACAGAGCTAGCTGTGAATGTAGCACAGAACTCTGCAGCCTCAGACCTGGAGGCAGTGTACGCAGAAGCACAGGCATGCGTAGCAGGATTGTTACATCCCAAGGCTAGCAGCGGAAGGAAAGAAAGAACTAGCGCGCTGCGCATAGTGAAAAGAGTGTATAAAAAAAAGAGTGAATAAAAGTGAAAGAAAACAAAAGAAGAAAAGAATGATACAGGATGAAACTCGAGCAAAAACGTCTACAAGTAGGATTATAAAGACTCTTATAGCGTACAAATCCAGGGGAATCACAATCTAGTTCAAACGCCCAGATGCTGCATGACGAACTGGGTCCACTTGGCAAAGCGTTGGGCGTTGTTCTAGATGGAGAGCTCGTAGGAGATTCCGGCAAAACTCTGCCGACTGGCGTTGTAAATCCACTAATGATATCCCTAGCCACTGGCGCTGTCTACTAAATGTGGATGTCTCGTTTCAAATGCCCCGAATCACACTAATTTGGCGTTATGGAGACACTTAACCTTAAGTGGATAAGTCAAAAGGGTCAAAAGTACCGACCGGAGAGGTACAAGTCCGGCGGCACCAAGCTATCAGCGATGGGCGTTTCATGTTGAGAGGGGCAAATGCCAAGCTCAAGGTCAAGCGAGCCAAGTAATCTTGACACTGAAATCTGGTGGAGCACTCTAGCAGCTGCAAAGCCAAGTACTAGCAAGCATCAGTGAAACAGCCAATTTAGGTAGGAACTGGAACCTAAACGATTGACTTGGAAGGAGCCATGGGGCCCATAGTTAGCACATGTGCGAACTTTTTGATCAGTCAACAGTTCATCAAGTGGGGAATGTATGAAGCCTTGAAGGTTAGCTCATTTTCGTACACGTACTGAGGTCCGTATGGGATGCCACATGTAGGTACTGGTACGGAGTGAATGTGGACCTCGGGAGCTTTGACCTACATAAGCGAATCTGCTGATGCTGGCCCACTCAAGGTCTTTAGCGCAACCTTGAAACATTGAAAGTTGAAACAATGGACTTGGAATAAAACAAATAAGAGATACTGCATGTACTATGAATGTTCACATGTGCAAACATTTGAATGTTGGTGATTGAGAGCATTGAAACATTGAATATTGAACATTTGAAGGGATATACAATTGACTTTTGGTCTTCTAACGCCGTCTATGCAAGGAACAAAATCCCCATGCCTGTCCTGACATGTACATACAAAAAAACTAAGAACACAATCATCTGCGCTTCTTGCCACCACCGCCGCCATCTTCATCGTTCTTGCGCTTCTTGCCCTCCTTGCGCCAGTAGTCATTGCGCTCTCTCTTTTCACGCGCCTCCTTCTTCTCCAAGCTATCGGCCACCTTGGCACGGTAGACCTTGCGACGTTCTTCTTGCTTGGCCGAACGCTTCGCCTGCTTCTCGTTACGCATAGTAGTCAACTTCTGCATGAGATCGCGAGCCTTCTTCTCTTCTCCACCAAGGACAACAGCACGCTTTTGCATATAAGTCTGGTCCTTGCGGGCCTTCATCTTGGTGATCTGAGATTTGTAGGGAAGATCCTTGGCCAGCTGACGTGGCACACGGAGTGGGTTGAAGTGACGATCTTGTCGCTCGATCTTGCGGTAGGCCGAGTCACTGTTCATGGGAGTGGGGATACCCTGGTCACGGCGGACTTCACCGGTCAACCGCATACCCTGCCAGCCACCAGAGCCACCTTCGGTTTGGTCGAGCAGGTTAGTAACAGGGTTGTAGAAGCGGTGCGGCTTGATCGGGTACCAGGCACGCAGGAAGACAATATCACTCATCAAGATCTTGTCCTCGAAAGTGGCACGGAAGTAACCGTCGGGCTTGCTGAGGGCTCGCTTGATCTGACCACGGATACCGGAGACAGTGCGGATCGAAGCACCTTCGAACTTGGCAATCTCAAGACCGGTGTTGAACATGTCCTTAATGAAAGCGGTGTTCTTGAAAATCTTGTATGGAACACCAGTGAGTTTCAACTTCTTAACAATCTCAGTGTGCTCATCCACGGCAAGCACCACACCGGTCGCGGCAATGCGGAATCCGGGGTTCTTGTTGGAGAAGGATTGGACACAGCAGAAACCGGTGTTAGGGGCCACAAGGGGTCCGTAGAAGACACCGGAACAATGCATGTGTTCAGGAGTGTACTTGAGGAGACGGTTTCGCGTCCGACTGTCCGAGGTACTGTAGATGGGCATGGACTGGAAGCGACGCCAACCAAGGGAGAAGATCAAGGGGTCGTTGCTCTTCAGGATCTTCTTGTGCCAACGGTGACGCTTGATACGAATCTGAACATATCCGAAGCGATCCTCAGTAGGAGCCAGTCCTCCGACAATCACAGGGAAACGAGGGTTGAACTTTTCAACAAACTCGCATGGTACATTCTCCAGAACGATTCGGGCGTAGGTACCGGCCTTGTAACCCTCAGCGCGAGCGCGAGAGGCTGGATCAAGGTTGCCGAACTCTGCTTGGTTGATGTCGTTCTGCTTCTGCATCTTTGCTTTCTGCATCTCGTACCAGTCATCCTCGCCGAATTCTCCATCGCCACCATCGCGAGCGCCATCCTTGGCATTTCCAAAGCCCTCACGATCCTCTTCCTCGAAACGGAGTTTGAGGTCTTCCTTCTTCTTCGCGTTGCGCTCACGCTCGGCTTCCAAGTCTACGGGACCCTCGGGCTCCGCATCTTCATCTTCACCCTCGTTATCCTCATCCTCGTCGCCGTCGTTAAACCCGTCAAAGACTTCACCTGACTCCAAATCTTCGAAGGCTCCATCACCCTCGTCATCATCATCGTCATCGAAATCGTCCTCATCAACTTCGTCGTCCGAGCCACCGCCGCCAAGTTTGCCGGTAACGAAACGTTGCTTGAGTGACTCAATCAATTCCTCATCACGCCACTTGCGCTCGAGCTCATCGTAGTCATATTCGGGAACAGCACGGATGTCGGCCTCATCATCCTTCTCGTTGTTTGTTTTCTTGAAGAAATCGTCCGCCTCTTCATCAGCCTCGATGTCTGATTCATCCGATTCGTCGCCATTATCTTCACCACGCCATATTTTCACAACGTCGGCAGGGGCGATTGAGTCGTCATACATCATACGAGACAGATCACTGACACGGAAAGCTGGCCGCTTACCATGAAGGACCTTGGCGTTTTCCAGCATGTTCTCCTTCCAACGAACGTTTCCTTCTTCATCCTCGTCGTCTTCATCTTCGTCGCTATCCAATTCTTGGTCATCGCCAGATACAGAGCCGATGTCGGAGTCGCTGTCCGCGAAAGCAAGGTCACCATCCTCACCGCTAGCGTCTTCAGTCTGTCTTTTCTTGAAACTATCTCCGAAGTCTGCTGGCGCCGATACGTCGACTTCATCTTCATCATCCTCGTTCTCGTCAAAGTCACCTCCATCTTCATCATCAGAAGCATCGCCGTCCTCGATGTCCTCGTCGTCTGATGCGGCTTGCACACGCTCAGAATCAGCTATGCGGGCGTGTCTGCGTTGTTTGCGACCAGTGCCTTCGTCTTCGACGTCCTTGGAGATCGCTTCACCACCACGGAACAGACGAACACCCTGGTCAGCCTCACCGAGCAAGCGGCGCTCACCCTGTAGACCTACGACGAGCTGCTCGCCGAGGCCCCGATCCTCATCATCAGACTCCTCATCATCTGAGCCCCGGTTGAAAGTGTTTGTCTTGACCTCAATATAAACAGCATCTTTGTCGACCAACACTCCACCGACATCAGACATGGGAGCAAAGAGCAGTTTCTGCTTCTCGCCCAGTTTACGTCGTGAAGAAGACTTTCCGCTGGCCTTGGCAATTTGCTGGTCCATGAAGGGAGTTGGGCATGGATCAGGCAAACTTTCAATACCAGAGACAGTCAAATCACCGACACCAGGAACGTGCACTCGGGCACTATGGGCCGGGAAATTCGTGCCTCGAAGATAACCATATAGTGCAACAGTACGGTCGCACTTGGGGTTCTCTTCAATTTTAGTCGGGGGTGTAATATCCAAGAAGCGATCTGCCAACGCGTAGGGGTGAGAGTTGCGCCAAATCAGAGGACGCGGGTTCTTCATGACGGACAAGAATCGGGAGAGATTGTGCACTTCACGATCAGGGTAGCGGCCGTTAATCACACCGGAAAGGTAGAAAAGCTTAGCACCCTGGTAAAGCTCGCTCCAGAAACGTTGCTTCAGGCGCTTCTTGGTCATCTTCAATGTGCTTTGCTTCTTGAACAAATCCAAGTGAGTCAAGATACCGAAGACGTTACCCGGCATACCACTTGTAGACAAAGCATTCAAGAACTCCATTGTCTCCATCTCGAAACCGTAGTTACCATCGATCATCAACAGGACGATATCTGCAATCTTGGAGACATCGATCATAGCGGCGAGAGAGTCGGAAGGACATTCGAGAAAAGTCAGACGCTTCTTCTTGGAGGTAACGACAGTCAATGGACCCTGGGGCGAGCTGAGGGTCTGCTTGGTGTAGCGACGAATCAAGGACTTGATAAGAGTAGTCTTGCCGACCTGTATGTACCAAAAACTTGTTAGACCTTTGATATCTCAATTGACTTGAGGGAAACACCATGACTTACACCGGGGGGGCCAACGACCGCAATGACCGTCGGAGGAGCCTCCTCGGGCATGCGATCCACTTGAGGGACATGGAGTCTCTTCTCCTTGACCTAGAAGAGCAGTCCGGGTTAGTTTTTATATGGAGACTCTTGGGTTGCTATCCAAGACGTACCTCCGAGGATCGCGCAGCCTGCTTGTTGAGTTTTCCCGGGTTGGCGTAGGCAAAAGCCTTGGGATTTTTTCCTATAGATTTCACATAGTGTTAGTAAAGCCCGGGTTGCATATTTTGAGTCTCGATAGAATCTCCGCAGATTTGCGGAAACGCTTCAGCGACCTACCTTCATATTTCTTCTTCTCCTTAGCGGGCCGATGCTCTCGGTTCGCTTGGTTGTCCATATTGCGCGAAGAGGTCTCGGACCTCAAAGCTACTCTCTGCTAAATTTCAGAGAGAGGACACTGGGCAAAGGCGACAGCAGCGATAACTCGAACTCTCTCCGTCCAAAATTATTATTTCGGGGCGGAAATATGTGGAGCCGATCATGAAAAAAAGATGAATCTAGAATAGGTTTAGCGTGGAACAGCTCAATTCTGAAAATCCTATAGCCTCAGGCATTAAGGCCAAAGTTCAAGCCGCAAAATTATGGCATAAAACCGAGGCAACTCCGCTATCTTATCAGCTTATCAGTGACCGGGCCGGTCCCCAGGCGATAACTCCAACACCCCACCCATCGGGCCGATTGAACAATGGCCCCTCTCACATTGGAGTTGTCATTTATGAGCGGGGTCAACAATTTGATTTCGTAAAAGATTGAAGATTATTATGTCCATGGTTGAAGCATAATTGACCTGATCAAGATGTTTTCCGCGGTGTGGCATGCGGGGCAAACCGCAAGTCCGTGAAACTACTATACATAGCACCAGATAACGGCAATCCTCCGAGGGTATGACTGCACCCGTAGATGTTATTTAAGAGAACCACTACCCGGGGACCATATAAAGTTCTATTCGTTCTCCAAATTCGCAGTCCTGCCATTTTCAATCGCAAGTACTACGTAGTGTTGCACAATCTACACCTACTATTTACACTTGTATTCAAACATGGCTACTCCTCGTCGCCCTCCTCCGGCCTACACAGCGCCCCCGGATTCGGGGATCCATGCGACATCCCAACTCTACCAGTCTATCTCCAAGACAGCATCAGACCCCGCCGCACGCATCCCTAGGGAATCTTTTACAATTCGGCCGTGCTCGGGTCAGGCCTGGGTCGTTCCCGCTGGCCACATCTGCCGTTTGACGACACCCGAAGGCCCCCAGGTGGGTGACCTGAATATCTGGAATGCGAACAATCCCCGTGAGCGAATGTGGGCAGCGCGAACTCGGCAGATTCATGCCTCGCATGTCTCCGTGGGTGACCGGCTCTGGTCCAACCTGCCGTATCTACGACCCCTAGTGACAATCACAGGCGACTCACTGGGAGGCGGACAATTGCATGAAGTGTTAGGACCAGACGGAAAGCGGAAGCCGGAAGTTGTGTTTGGCACTACGCAGTTTGGAGGACGGGTGCATGACCTTATGGGTACTCGATGTGATCCCTACGTAAATCTTCTTATGGGTGGTGAAACTTTTGATTTTCACTGCCATTCCAACTTGACCCGGGCGGTGGCACCTCATGGCTTGACAGAGCTGGACGTTCACGATGTTTTGAATGTGTTTCAGGTGACAGGGTTGGATGAAGAGGGTAAATACTTCATGGAGACTTCACCTGCAAAGGCGGGCGAGTACTTTGAATTCTTTGCCGAGGTTGACGTTCTCTGTGCACTTTCGGCATGTCCTGGCGGTACGTATCATAGTGATTTATGTGTCATTAATGAATGGATAACTGATATTCATTACGACCACAGGCGATCTCTCGAACTGGGGTTGGGATGACAAGGAGGGCGGCATGGGCTCGACCTGCCGCCCACTTGGTGTCGAGGTGTACCAATTAGCTGATGGAAAGGTGCTTAACGATTGGGAATCCCCATCGAGCCCTCCATACAAAGGTCTGCATGGAATGAGAATGCCTTCTCGTGACTAAAGGCACCCGGAGAAAGGAAGAAAGAAAATCCCCAAGAGTCAAGACGAATAAGGTACCAGTTAGTGGCACCAGTTGGCAGTGGCTGACTAAGATGCGCCTGGAGACCCAATTGCCCCGCGTTTGGTTTGGAGACGCACGTCATCGGAGATCCTGCCGCATAGTTACATCAGCGGGTGGAATTCAAATGGAAAAAAGGGCAAGGATGCAGAAAAAGAAGAGAGAGTCTCTCTAATCTAAACATGTCAGACCTGAGCGCAAGTGGCGCATAACGTGGCTCGTTTTTATCTTATTCGTCATCGCTGATCAGGATTGTCTTGATCAGGCATCCATTTTTTTTGGTTGTCTCAGGTCTGTATGGGCATGGATTGCAGCTTCCAGGGTTCACATTTTGGCTTAAAAAAAGAAAAATCACGACATCTTCAATGTTGGACAATAATGGAGTTGACGCGGTGTAACATTTCCTTGGATCAGTAGTCAAAAGCCAAAAGCCAAAAGCAAGTTAGTTCAACTTAATCCCAGGGGCTCCAAGAGTCGCCAAAGGTCCTTGGTAACTGGATGGCGTAAGACCAGCATTCAAAGTTACTAGTAGGCCCCTCTTATCAGCTCACGTATATAAGGCAACTTCCCCCCTCTCTATCTCCACCTTTTCTTATCTCCACCAAACTTTCTGAACGTCAACTTGTCACCCCCGCTCCTCTTGCTTATAACCCTCAACTCTCAACTATCACTTTCCTCCATAAAATCATGCCTCAGTACAACGTATGTGCTTTGTGTTGAAGTACTAACATCTTGAGTTTCAAAGGCTCTGCTGACATGGATTTCTATCAAGGTCACCTTGAAGGCCGATGCTCCGCCCGAGGCGTTGGAGAAGTCAGTTTTTACCCTCTACGTTTGAGTGAAATGTTATTTTGGCTGTTTTACTAATATATTCGTCACAACAGGGCCAAACAGGATGCACAGGAGAAGGGTGGCACCATCACACACGAATACTCTCTCATCAAGGGCTTTATGTATGGACTCCACTTTCCCCGCAGACGCTCTTTTGTCCACCCAAGCTGGCACTACTTTGCCCCTCAATCCCCTCACAGTCATTTGAAAAGTCATTCACTAATATGCGGTCTCGGCAGTGTCGAATACCCACCAGATCACGTCGACACCCTCGAGTCCAATGATAGCATTCACGTCGAGGAGGACGGTGAAGTGAGAACCCAGGAGTGATATGTGGAATAAAGCCCAAACGCCATGCAGTCATCCGTGGGACAGCTGCGAGGGCCCTAGGCCGAATACCAATCCAACCGGGCATGCAGAATAGTGGAGGGTTTATTACTCCAGCGTGAAGATATGATACTAGGGATACGCTTGGCCCTTGTATGCTATGTCATGTGTCTTTTATTTTTTAGCGATTTCAGATGGCTGTTCAGGGACCTTCAGAATGCCTGCAGTCAGATACGAATGTCCACGACCTTGAATATGAACTTTACTGCCATCAATACCTAGTATCCACTACTACCTATACCTAATATATATAATATATATGTATAGTTCGGAGTTCCCAATCGGGAGCATTCAGTGTAGATGACATTCGGAGTATTTGGGTTCACCATGAGCTCCCGAGGTCAAGTCATGTCATTCCAAGGTTGATCTGAAATCGTTGCTCGCCAAAGCTTTCCAAGGCTTCAATTATTTGATTGGTGGTCGCGTACCGAGGATATCCGTCTTCTGATAAGGTCGGCCCTTTATCTTGCATAATCGTTACTCAGCTAGGAACGTGCCCAGCTGCTCTTCCGGGAGCGAGGAACTTCTGGGGTACATGGCCTGATAATGTCATGTGAGCAATTCCGATGATATTCCGTGTTCCGCCCAATTTGTGAGCTAAGTAAGATTTGTCGTGCATGTAGTATGGAAAAACGAAGAGGCTCTGGTGGTCACGGGTGATAAATACTAGACACCAAAGGATATCATTTCATACAAGCCAATGATAAATCTACCTTACCAGACTGTAGGGCCACAGTGCAGAACCTTAAATTGTACTGAGTATGCATGTTCCATTCAAATTTGACTACTCTTGCCGGGTCAGATTCCAATCTTGATGGGATTTGATTTTTTAAATGCAAATAGCAAGGTTGCTTTCCAGTCTACAGTGAAATTTACGCATGAGAATTTAAAGATCTTGACAAACCTTACCACGTCGCTGTAGACTTGTCTACAGTTCAACTTGTAGGTAGTGCTTTGGTCCTTAGAATTGTCTGCCGTTAAGCCTAACCTGTAAGTGAAGTGATGAGATGATTCTTGGGGACCAACGACAGTTCTTGATATCAAAAATGTAAAAACTCCAGCAAGTAGAACATTGCAGGTCGATAATATAAGTTCTACGGACAAAGTCCGCTAAACATGAAAGAAACCAGATACAGTCCGAGCGCATTAAGCTTATCGCGCCGATGCCGGCGATAGCCTTATCTAGGCGGGGCTCGGCGTCCTCAGATTACCGTATCTGGCCGTATACACCGCTAATTCACAAGGGAACGCAATGGACTAACCGTATTAGGCGGTATTCGCACCCCTCCAAAGTGTATTTAATCTTGAAAGCACGCCCTTCATTGACAAGCCTGCAGATGAACGATCGCAAACCCCATTGTTACACAGAAAACTTTGCATTAGATAACAGAAATCCACTTCCTGCCTACTTACTGGCTGAATTGTATACTGACCCCGAAAAAAAAGTATCTAAATGGTGTATTAAGCTGTATTGATGAGTCATTCGATCCAATCGGAACCGCGATGCCGAGTGGATAAAGCTGTTGTAAATTCCACCGGAATGCACCAATTCGCCTCCGTTACCTCACTAGATTCTGGCGTCAACCCTTGCTATTCTTTCGCAACACCGTCAACGTTGACCTGAGTCTTGCGCCATCCCTAATTTTTGCATAGCCCTGCCGTACCGATTCTCGCAACTTTTCGCACGTTGCTTCCTCACCGATAATTACCTTTCCTACCCGCACCGAGTCACCGAGCCGACATGAGTCCGCCTTCTGCTGTGGATGTTGAGATGAAGGGGGTCACTGACACCTCCGCTGTGCCGATCCCTGACCCTTTGACCCTCAATGGTGTTCCTGCATGGCGTGAGAAGATGGCTCAGATGCCCACTGGTGTTGCGCCGGCGTGCAGCAGTGATATGTTCAAGAGCCCGGTATGCTTCCAACGACCACAACAATACAATCTCTGTGTCATCTTTGGGGAAAAGCAAGTGGTTGGGTCATGGCTGACCGATTGTGCTATTTTGGTCATACTAGGCTTGCTACACCAAGCCCAAGGCAAAGCGTTTTGATCGTGAGTTTTACCATGTTAGACTATGGCGGCTAATTTCTTGCGCTTGGCTACGAATCTATTGGAATAGCTCTAACCAGTATTAAACAGACTTTTTGTCACTTGAAGCCAAGTCTCGCAAGGTTGGTATTCCCGATGATTATTCAGGACTTTTCAGTAGCAAGTCGTTTAACGCGACTCCCAGGCTTCGACATTGAAAACTGCCGCCAAATTCTTGAAGAACCCGGGTATGTTCAAAAACACAAACTATATTCCTAGTACCTTTTATCGTGAACTAATTGACCCCTAGGTATGCTCTCTCTTGGTGGTGGCCTGCCCTCCTCCGAGTACTTCCCAATCGAGCACCTCGATATCAAGGTCCCCACTCCCCCAGATTTCACCCCGGAAGCTACCCAGAAGTCGGGCACTGTGCTGCATACTGGAAAGCACGATATCAAGGAAGGAAAGAGCCAGTATGGTACGTTGTTATCGTTCAAAACACCGACTATGGCATGGATCTCTGATGGACAATGAATGCGCAGATTTGGAAATTGCTCTCAACTATGGCCAAGCTACTGGATCTCCCCAGCTTCTCCGATTCGTCACAGAACACACCGAGGTAGGGTCTCTTTGCCTTTTCAGATGACAGAAATCCTGACGTTGGCAGCTCATTCACAACCCTCCGTATGCGGATTGGCAATGCACCTTGACAGCCGGTAGCACATACGCTTGGGATACCGCACTCCGTTTGTTCACAGAGCGGGGTGACTACATTATGTTGGAGGAGTACACATTCGCCAGTGCTGCTGAGACCGCTTGGCCGCTTGGCCTGAAGGCGCTAGCCTTGCCCATTGACGAAGAAGGTATTATTCCCGATGCCATGGACGAGCTTCTCAGCAACTGGGATGTCAAGGCCCGCGGCGCACGCAAGCCCTACGTTCTTTACACTATCCCAACCGGCCAAAACCCTACCGGTGCTACACAGTCTGCTGAACGCCGCCGCGCCGTGTACAAGGTCTGCCAGAAGCATGACTGTCTCATCGTCGAGGATGAGCCATACTACTTCCTGCAAATGCAGCCCTACACCGGCGAGGGAGCTGCTGCCCCTCCCCCACCCGCCACTCACGAGGAATTCATCAAGTCCCTTGTCCCCTCCTTCCTAAGCATGGACGTTGACGGTCGTGTGTGCCGAATGGAATCTTTCTCCAAGATCGTCTCTCCCGGTTCCCGTGTTGGTTGGATCGTTGCCTCCGAGCAGATCATCGAGCGTTTTGTGCGTAACTTCGAGGTCTCTTCGCAGAACCCCAGCGGTATCTCCCAGCTTGTCCTTTACAAGCTGCTAGATGAGCACTGGGGCCACTCTGGATTCTTGGATTGGCTTATTGCTCTGCGCATGTCTTACACCGATCGTCGCGATGCTTTGCTACACGCTTGCGAGAAACACCTCCCCCGCGATATTGCCCACTGGGTGGCTCCCGCCGCGGGCATGTTCGTAAGTCACATATCTTGATTCCGCCACGCCCCATTGAGATAGATTCGTGTCCATACTAACGCAATTTCTTTTTAGCACTGGATTGAAGTCGACTGGCGCAAGCACCCTGGCGTTGCAGCTGGTAAGAGCCGTGATACCATCGAAGAGGAAATCTTCCTGTCCGCAGTCGAGCACTCTGTTCTCCTGTCTCGTGGAAGCTGGTTCAAGGCCGATAGCTCAGCTGTCATGGAGAAGATGTTCTTCCGGGCGACCTACGCCTCCGCCTCCGGCGACCAGATTGATGAAGCAATCTCCCGCTTCGCCACCACCCTGCGCGAACAGTTTGGTCTGTAGACTTTGATGAAAGAAAGCGTTGGTATGGTAACAAAGCAAACCGTACAGCAACCGGCGCAATAAATTGGAGTCTAAGCCATTATATTCAGGTAGAATTTCCGCAAGTGTACATACATCTAGCGCTGAGTTTTCTGGATTGGCTCTGTCAAGTACTAGTAGACAGTTCATCTCCCGCTCATCATTGCAATTTACGTCTCACGACCTTCAAAATATTCATGCCTCTCAGATGTGAAATGCGAAATTCAGATTCATGACATAAATCATCCAGCGTGATATCTTCTCAAAATAAATGCCAAAATTGCCAAGTAGATAGTAGTAATAAATCAAGGTCAAGATATTTCCAAATCCTGGAAGCCGAAGGGTTCATCCACTAGAACCCACCAACTCCCCTCACTCGCTTCACGGCACCAATGACACCCTTGGCCCAGCTGAAGTGTCCCGGGTCTGTACCAATAGACCCAGGAGGAATCTCGCCAGTAGACGGATCATGCCAGCAGCCATCTTCAAAGCTTGCAGCACCGTACTTGGCCGTGTTCTGGTTGCGATCGATAGCCGCAAGCCACGCCTGGCAGACAAGCTGGGAATCAAGCATAACATTGATTTCCTGACTGTGGAAGAAGGACTGGGTATCCAAGTTACCGTTGCCTATAAATAGAAATTTCGCAGATTAGCACGTGTTGACGAGACGAGATCAGGGCTATATCAAAAGAAAGATGAGGAAAACATACCTTGGATAGCAACATGTTCATCGACGATCATTAACTTAATATGGCAACTACGTTTCTTAAACGAGTTGTGAATAGGTTGAATCTGGTCTTTACCAACGTAATAATGTACTTGAAGTCTTGCCTTCTGTTCATCCGTTTCAAGAGCGTTGTAGAGCCTGTTAGCGATCATCTCGTTCGTACCATTCTGGAACGGAAGTAATTCGCCTGCATCGTTGTACCCGAGACAGAGATAGGGCTTGACAGTGACGCCACGACGGAGTGCAGCCAAGAGAGGCTCGATAAGGGGCTCGGCATTCATGTTGGGGGTTTGGATGAAGATCGTGCGCTTCGCGTTGTTGATTGCCGAGACGAAGGCTGCATCTTGGGGGTTGTGGGTGCTGCTATGGTTTGGAGCTGGGGAAATTGTCAAAACGCTTGCTTGATTTTATTTTCCAGTTGATCTTCACTCACATCCGTATGGTTCTCGGTTAACCACAGCCATGGGGAAAGGCTCATGCTGGGGTAGCAATATGTACGGTGTCATTTTCAGGTCTTGATCGGTATCAGGAGCGTTTCCTGTGGTGTCAGGCTGAATGGTTGTATCTGGTGACAAGTTAGCAAATGCATGTGCGTATGCTTTAGTTTTGCATGATTCCAACATACTCAAATGACGGGTCACAGCCTGGGTTGGCGTTTCATCTCCACGGGGATCAACACTGCTGTTGACTCTGTGTGCCTCGCCTTCAAAATCAACATCCCATCGAGGCGTCTCTGACGTATTTTCGGTCAAGTCTGCGGGCAAATCCTCCGTAGGATCCAGCTTCTGCTCTCCATGGTGAGCGGGGATAGGAGCAGATTCGGCCGGAGAGTTCAAAAGAGGCAGAGGAGGATCAAGAGGCTTGCCCCAAGACAACAGAGCGGCATCGTAGAAAGAATCGACAATCGGCCCCTCAATATGAGAAAGCATCTCTAGGTTATCATTGTCCTGAATATTACTGCTCTGCAGAAGACACATGCGCCGATCAATGACAGTGAACTTCGAGTGGAATGTGCCAAAGACTGGACGATGGAAATTGATGACTTTCAAATCGACGTTCGGGATCTCATGCGGTGCGGGAAGTTTGACTTTCTCGGTTGTCCGTTGCTCTCCATTTACTTCGAGGCGATTGTCCAAGACCTAGTAGGAGTGAATTAGCACATGTGCGATAAAATGCAAATTTGTCCCGCGGTGTTGCTTACTTGCTTCGGGTCTCCGCGATCGTACACCATCTTCATCACCACCTTGGTGCCCCGTTCTCCAGCTCTCCTGTTCAACTCCCGGATGCCGTTTGTAACCAAAGTGGCTGCATCGGAATGAATCCAAAAATTTGTACCCAAAAACACTTCATGTTCAGCGCGCGCAATACAATTTCCCAAATGACGGCAGAGATCCGGTAACGGGGCGATGATGGTGAGGGGAATGACGCCTCGGCTCCCGATCAACGGGGGAGACACAACTCCCGTACTAGGCTCTTTATCCAAGGAACCAAGCACATCGTGATAAATCTAAGTCCAATTGAATTAGCTGAGCTGTCGGGATTTCAATTCTAGGAGTTCCCCAAAAACTCTCACCTGAAGAAAAAGTTCACTGGGCTCTGTTGAACCCCAATGTCCACAAGCTAATGCTTTCTGTACAGCATCTTTCTTTTCAAATTCCTCAATTTCCTCTTTGGATAACCCATGGGCTCCATGTTCCTTCAAATGGGGGTGCGGGACTTCATGGTGATCGTACAGCTTTTTGAAGATCGTCCCTGGGGTCTGTGACGGATCTTGCGCTAGCTCCGAAGTTACAGTCTGCGACTGTTTCCACAATCCATATACCTTAGTAGTGACCATAATGATGATTCTCAGAACGGAATTATGAAGATTGAGGGAATGAGAAGGCTTCGTTCAGCTTTTTCTCCTTTTTTTGTTTGCAAAGTTACCAAAGTTACGTGACGTAAAGAGGGCTTGAAGCGGGGTCGGGAGGCAATTTTAGTGATGAAGTTGACCTGGTTAGTTGTTGGGGTTGATTGGTTTAATATCCAGGCTAAAAAACCACTTTTTTCCGAGTCGAAATCAATATGATTGCCTGGAATATGACGTAAGACATTTAACCAGTTGGGAACTTGATGAGAATCACTGCTGGATCAGTTCCTTACAGGGCTGAAATGACGTATCCAGTGGCCCCACAAAAGCTTAACAAAGCTTGTTTAAGTAATTTGTTTTTTTGCCACGTCGAGGCTATATATAGAGTAAGTCGTTATATGGCATGTTTATTGTCTTAATATATTGAATCCTGATTTCTCATAATTAAGTTCCGTCCTATGCTGTCTTAGGGAAAAACTGGTTCTCTGGCCGTGCGAGGCCAAAGTGTTCACGCAGCGTAGACCCCGTATAATCATCTCGGAACAGACCTCGGCGCTGTAGCTCCGGAATCAATTTATCCGTCACCTCTTCCAATCCCTGAGGCAAGAAAGGGAAAGTGCAAGTGAAGCCATCCGAGGCCTCTTCCTTCAACCAAACCTCCATTTCTTCGGCAATATCACTCGGAGAACCGAGGAATGTCAACCCTGAATATCCTCCATACCGTTGTGCAAGCTGACGAACAGTCAACCCTTCTTCTTTAGCAAGACGCTCCACCCCCTCTCTGCTCGTCTTGCTTGCATTGGTATCAGGCAAACCTTCAGGCAAAGGACCCTCCGGGTCGAATCCACTAGCATCAACCCCAAGCGAAATCGACAAAGAAGCAATGGCACTTTCGTAATGCACCAGACTATCCAACTCTAGCCTCTTGGCCTGAGCATCTTCTTTGCTCTCCCCAACAATAATCATGGCCGCAGGTAGAATCTTCAAGTGCTCTCGCTTCCGTCCAGCCTTCACAACGCGGTCCTTGATATCAGCATAAAGCACCTTAGCAGCATCGATATTCTTTGGGCTGCAAAACACCACCTCGGCCGTCTCAGCCGCAAGTTGGCGACCAGGCTCGCTCTGCCCGGCCTGTACAATAACAGGCCATCCCTGCACAGGTCGCGCAATGTTCAATGGTCCTCGAACCTTCAACTCATCCCCAGCATGGTTCAAGACGTGCATCCGCTCTGGGTCAAAATACTGACCCGTCTCCACATCACGGGTAAATGCATCGTCGGCAAAGCTATCCCATAGCCCTGTGACAATGTCGTAGAATTCACGCGCACGCTTGTATCGGTCCCCGTGGGCCATGTGCTCATCGAAGCCGAAATTGTGGCTGGATTCCGGGTTTCCGGTGGTGACTATGTTCCATGCTGCCCGCCCGTTGCTAAGGTGGTCTAGACTGGCAAAGCGGCGGGCGACGTGGTAAGGGAGATCATATGTTGTGCTCGCTGTCGCTGCGAGACCGATTTTATCGGTGACGGATGACAGGGCGGAAAGGAGGGTGAATGGTTCGAATGAGGTGACGGTATGGCTGCGCTTGAGGGCTTCAACGGGCATGTTTAGAACCGCGAGGTGGTCGGCCATAAAGAAGGCGTCAAACTTGGCGGCCTCGAGCTTCTGGATGAAGTGCGTCAGGTGTTTGAAATTGAAGTTTGCATCAGGGTATGATCCTGGATAGCGCCATGCTCCCGTGTGTAGAGAGACTGGGCGCATGAAAGCCGTTAGATGTAGTTGACGCGGCTGGGTGTCTCCCATTTTGATATGCAGGTTATAAGCGATTTCAAGGTTCAAAATATTGGATGAGTTCGAAAGTTGGAGCTTTGGAAATTACTCCAGCTGCATGTGTGCTATTCTCATGAGGCAGGAGTGAAAATAAAATGCATTATATATGGAAATCTTTCCGCATATTCGTCGTTGTATTAATAAGCCTATTTATAAGCTTCGGCTTTTGATGCTATGGCGTGCTCTGTATAGCTCGCTCGCGCAAGCGGCTACGATGATTTCGTTAAACCTCGGAAGGCCAAGAAAACCCCCGCAGTGGGCGCGAGTCCAGTACGTACATAGTAGATGACTACTAAAGTTTTCATCGGTCGGCCAGGGCTGAAAAATCTGCTATTTAACGCTAACCTTCCGAGTCCATTTGCATCCAGGGATGTTTGGCAGTGCCGAATTTTGGAAGTGTATGTAAGAAACAAGGGAGCTTCTCAGGTTCGTCATCGGGTCTACCGTCTTACCAAGTAGAAACTGACCTTAACTTAATTTCTGCTGTTCATGTGAGATATTCGAGGTGACGAACATGATAAGAACACTGAATAATAATAAGCGGTTTTGACCTGCATGAGTCCTATAGATGAAAATGTGATGATATTGGTGGTGTGGTCAAGGGAACATACTACTAGTATACCTCCGCGAATGTGGATACTAAGACAGAAAATCATCAACATCGAAGACACTCAAGAAGCGAAGACTGAATGGGCAAAGAAAGATTGAATTGGATTAAGTTCCATCCCCAATCTTTGTCATGAGATGACAGTACCGGCACTTGAATTCTGCAATTGAATTCTTCGATTGAATTATTGAAGCCTGAAACCTCAGGCTTCCACAGGGTATCTAAGACTGTTTATTCTCTTCTGTTTCTCTCTATCTCCCTTGTTATTCTTTGTGGGTGTCTTTCTCATATTTCAGGATCAACGTCGTTTCTTTTGTTTCTGCTTGCCGTGTTACAATCTTGATCTATGCAGGAATTACTGTAGTGTTTCTATAGATACTTTGTTGCCTCAGGCAGGACTTATAGCCTCAGGCATCAAGATCACGTGGAAGGGGGCCACAACGATCGTTGTGAAATGAGCGGCAACCTCCGCTATACGACATTGAACCTTTCAATCTATCTCACGATTAATGGTATACCTTCTCAATTAAATTTATCGGTACTTGCTGCTCATTCGCTACGCTTGTTGGGCTTTACAGCGGATTATGGCGGGAGGATACACCGCTTGAAGATCCTGTGTTGATCCTGTCAGAAAACAGCAGAGCTGTTGTGCTAGTAGGCCGAACACCTAGATCTAAAATAATTTTGGAAGTGAATAACTTCAAGTATGTTTGCCATCCATGTCCTTCGTGTCCACCGTGCCCTTTCTTGTTTACATAAACCCTCCAACTCTTCAATCTTCCATCATCTCCAACCTTTCATCATCCCCATCTCCATCTATCCCCATCCCTATCTATCACCAGGTTAGACTACATCCATCAACAGCAAAGCCATGACTGACTTCGATTATCAAGACCAGCCTGTGGCTGCTGATTCCCAGCTTTCCTGGAAGTATCGTGACCGCGTGAACCGCAATCTATTGGACCCAAGCCCCTCTTTTAGATCTAGTTCCGAGTCCGAGCAGACTCACAGTGGTAGTGTATCTTCCTTCTCTTTTTCTGATATCTGGTCAGACGAGATTGAAGTCTCATCATCTCCTACTCCTCAATATCGGCCTAAGTAAGTGATCATCCAGCCCAAAACGCGTGAATGTACCTCTAATGAGCTACCCAGCAAGCGTTTTCGGTTGCCCCAGATCAACCCTGAGGCTTGCCCGCCAGCACACTTTGAATACAGTCGGGACCTGTCTTTGGCAGACAACGACTACAGTGCGTCTCGAGATTCTGATGCAAGTACCTTGCTGTTTGATGAATTGTTTGAATTGTTAGGAGCATCTCCTCAAGATTCCAAACCACCACTTTCGACTCCTGGAACCACGCCCTCTTCTTCTTTGAACTGCGACACTACTAGAGAGGTTAATAAATCTGCTGTTGAGCCCTCAACCCCAGAGAAACAAATTGTCTCCATTGGATATGAAAATATAACACCTGGAGGTAAGTATTCCGCCTGGATTTTAGCAACAGATGCTCACTCGATCTAGCTCCACCGAAATACGGCTCGACTGTATCTGACAGCCGTGTCAATCTTCCACTGTCAAGGACCGATAACCCAATTCAACTTTCACCCTACTTTGTAGTGCGTAAGAGTAAAAACCATCGTGGAGTGGATTTCATTGACGGGCCTTACTATCGTCCCACAACCAAAACCACCGCCGCACCCAACTCCGCCACCATCTCTAACTCCTCCGCTATCTCCAACTCCACTGGCCCTCCGCAGAAAGCTCTCTCACCTTCTCAATCCATTGGCATTTGTTCTCGAAGCCGAAAGAAACTTATCATCAAGATCAGGAATCGCCTTTCCACTTTCTTTGGTAATCGGCTCGATACTGATACTCAACCGCAAAGAGGATTTGCCAGCAAGATCAAGAGTCGACTATTCACTGGTTTTGGTAAGCGTCCCACTGTAGCTCTTTAAGGAGAGTTACAAATCATTCAGGGCCTTCGGATTCGCCGCATTACGTACGGTTTTTTAAGCGTTTCACATTTTTCTGGATATTAGCACTTGCTCTTTCTGCATCACTTGCGATTCTTCTCGAAATTACGACATCATTGAAATTTTCCTCGCCAATTTTGGGTTTTCTCGCTATTCCGCGCCTTTTTTCGCGCCTTTTACGGGTTTTCTTAACATTTCCGATTTCTCGACACCACCTCCTCTTTCCTCTTCATTTCTGATCTTTTCTCAAGATTACTCCTTTACTTCTCCTCATTCCTGGTCTTTTTCGATCTTACTCACATTTCCATTTTTCAAAAAACCGACAAAATGGACACACGGGGCTCCCGGTTCTTAGACCCATCGTCTGCGATGGCAGCGATTACCAGACACAAAGCGGAAGCAATTAAATTGGCACGAGAGCAAGGAACGGCTGTCAAAGAGATGTGTCGACGTGCAAAAACAGAGATACCGCCTTACGAGTTTGAAGAATTGATCGGCAAGGGTGCATATGGTCGTGTCTACAAAGGCAGAGGGATACCATCTGGTCAGCTGGTCGCCATAAAAGTGTTGGACATTGATTCGCTCGACTACAAATCTCTACGCGATTTTAGAGATGAGTCCATCAAGGACTTCATCCATGAAACAAAAGTTATGAAACAGGTGAAGGATTCTGGGGCCAAGAACATCAATGAGCTTATTGAAGCGATCTCCATCCACTCGCAACTTTGGCTGGTTTGTGAATACTGCCCTGGTGGAAGTGTGCGGACATTGGTAAGTTTTATCTATGATAACCATGTGAATGGACTCTGATTGGTTCTTTTTTTTTGCAGATGCGCGCGACTGGTGATAAATTAGAAGAGAAATTTATCATTCCAATTGCTCGAGAGCTCGTGATTGGACTGAATGCAATTCATAATGCTGGCATTATTCATCGTGATATCAAAGGTGCTGTCTTCTGCTTTCTATGAGCCCTCGGTGGTTGACTGACAACTCTATAGCGGCGAATATTCTGATTCACGAGGAAGGCCGACTGGAGATTTGTGACTTCGGTGTGGCCGGAGTCCTGCAGTCCCAGCGAGACAAGCGGTCAACATGGATTGGCACTCCTCATTGGATGCCACCTGAGATGTTCTCAACCCGCGGCCAAGCCCATCAGTATGGCAGCGAAGTAAGTGCTTATCCATTCCAATTTCCAATCATTTTCTAAACAAGTCAGATTGACGTATGGGCGTTTGGCTGTACATTGTTCGAGTTTGCCACTGGCAACCCACCCAATGCTGGTCTTCGTGAGCGGATGCAAATTGGACGCCAACTGAACCGTAACACTCCCAAACTTGATAGCGAGGATTACAGCGAAGGCTTGAAGGACCTCATTTCATACGCACTTGACTCCAACCCGTCCACCCGTCCTTCTATGGCGGATATTCTAGACCACCCCTACATTGCGGGTACTGAGGAAGAATACCCCACATCATCGGTGGGTGAGCTTGTCAGAAACTACTACCAATGGTCTCAACGAGGAGGACAGCGTATTTCCTTGTTCCACCCAGGTGGTGCCGCAGCTGCAGAACTTCCAGGCGCGGAAGAGTCAGAAGATGATTGGAACTTCAGCACAACAGACGGATTTGAACGAAGATTCTCCGTCATTGACCTAGATCAGTTAGCTGCTTCTTTGGCTGAAATGGAGGAGGCAGTCAGCCCAACCACACCTACCGCAGAATTTGACTTTAACGACGACCCATTGGAAGGCGAATTGAAGCCAGAAGATAAGGCTAACTTCGATGAACGGGTTCGCCGAGGAGCGGTTGCGATGGAGGGGCTTTTTGACGAGCAAAAGCCAAGCTACAAATACGAAACGAAAAATGACTTCGTTCCAATTGAGCCCCCTCAACCATCGTCCGACCTACCCTTGCGTGCTGATACAGATCGGTCCTCTGTCACATCCACATTCCTCGATATTGATATCGGCTCCTTTGATTCGTCTCACTATGCAGCCGGCACACCTTCCGCACAGCCTTTTCAATTAGCTGATGCTGGCACAATCCGGGCAAACCGATCAAGTCTTCGTGGTAGTCGTAACTCCAATGACAACAGTTCACAGTCCTCCGTCAGTGGTGAAGAGACGACTGAAATGCAGGAAGAAGAGTTTCAACCTCAGTCCGGCCCGCGCCCTCCTACTATGGATTGGAAATTCCCGGTGTTTGTGAATCCGGAAGAAAAGGAGGAGGAGGAGGAGGAAGAAGAGGAAAAAGCGAATAAGGAAGAGTCAGGTCCAGAATCATCAGCAGAACCCGCCCAAGACGAAACATTCCAAGCTGAAAAGCGTGCCACCATGGAATGGACTTTTCCTGTCATGTCCCCAGACGAAGTGTCAAACGATATTAATACAGATCGTTATGATACCCTCAAAGCACCATTGCCCCCGCCTCAATTGCCAACCGAAGAATCCGACCTTTCTCGCCCCTCAACATCCGCCTCCAACATGTCGAGTGCATCTGACTCCGATTATGATCCTTTCCGTTTTGATCGTCCAATCACTCCCGAAGGACCATCATCCAAATTCTCCAGTCGAGCTCAGTCATTTGATTCAACCCACAGCCCAATAGGCCCCGAGTACCCTGACGACATGTCTGTTTCTCTTGATGGACCTGGTCCTGATGAAGAGGAGCCCCATCCTCTATGGAATGAGAACACTGAAGTCATCGACCCCAACAACATACCACCACTTGAACTTCACATGCCTAGTAGCAAAGATGCTGAAGATGTCTCCACTCCCATCTCCGAGCCTGGCTCACCCATCTACGACGATCCACCGACTATTCGACGAGATACCTTTTCTCGAGCCAGAGATTTGCCAGGACCCACCGCAGGAATGATTCCATTCCCAGTCCTTATTCCACCGAGCGCGGAAAGCTTGATGGAAGGCTCTGATGATGCTATTGTGACCGCTGAGCTTGAAAGGCTTCTTGATGACTTCCTTGCTGGTCTCTCTGCAACTGGACAGGCTCTCTCCAGATACGCTGCGGAAAGACAGCCCCGCGATGTTTGACGCTGGAGCTAGATCTAGATAAACCCCTTTTTTTTTGAAAACCATCTATGGTTTTCAAGCATAGATGGTTTTCAAGCGATGAAAATTCCGCCTTTGTGGCAATGCTTTGCGTTTATGGCCCTGTCCTCACTGATGTGCATATAGCGTTTCATGTCTTATTTTTATCCTTCTTAAAATCTTAGGTATGAATGAATACATTAGACCAACCCTTCAAGAAACATTCAGAACATGGTAGTATTAACACATAATTCTTCATGAATATCTATCAGGGACAGTGGTTTTCCAGCTGTCGCCGGATTTAACGTTCATTTCACATGCATCCACCACGATTTGACTGGCGAAGACTGTGTGGCCTTTATTCAGTAGACGGATTTAAATCAGCGGGCCTATAATTAGAGGCTCATCCTTGTCCTTGGAGTGACTTCTTTACGTGCAGTCCCATGGCAAACAACGTAAACGCGTGAATGCCAATTTCATCACGTCAAAGGTTTCACACATCGCCATATCGACGTGACTCCCCCACTTCACGTCAACCCCCCATCTCGCGTCCATGATCTTAACTACCTTCTTCTCTCTTCAACATGCTTGGGGGTTTCTCGAGCAAGAACGGTCCAGCATCCTTTTCGTTCCCTTCAACACCTCTACCGCCACAAACCATGATGGATTGGAAATCTGCTCTGCTGCAAGCCAAGCGCTTGTACCTACAGAGGCAATACAAACAGTGTGCAGCTCACTGTAAGAATCTATTGAGCTGTGCAAAAGAACCAGTTTGTGCTTTCTGATACCTCTTTATACTCAATGCTAACAGTTTAACGTTTTGAAATAGATCAACCCTGTGCACAAAACCTATCTCACTTTTTATGCTGCAATCTCCTACGAGCTGTTAGGCCGAGCTGCCCACATCTACTCTACGAGAAAAATAAATCTTCTTCGTCTGGCCTTGGAGAACTTTGCCAATTGCGGCTCTGCTCTCCCTCCCCTGGTGGGTTTGCCTCGGCTCCCCAAGATCGCTGGCGATCTATCGGCTCCACCATCTCCAACTAGTATCGATGATTGTCTGGCTTCTTTTGAGCCTATGGGCGGAGTACCTTCTGGTCGTGACTCCATGGTGGATAGCATCACTCGGCTTATCGACGCTTCGATCTGTGGACTGGATGATCCTTTCTTGGACTCTTCTGATGAAGCCAGCAATGGTCTTCCTTCTCCTTCCCCATCCCCACCGCGCTTCCCAGGTCCAATAGAAACATCGCCCGAGCAAGATATACTTGCGCCTTCCCCTCTTTCTATTCGCAAGGTCTCAGATCAGAAGGTCTCCTGGAAGGTGCCCCCCAAAAATCCTGCCAGGCTTTCATTCCATGACAATGAGAACGTTCCCAAAAAGATCGCCAGGCTGTCGATTGGTGGGGATGAGAACGCTGGTCAGAGCAAGCGTGATAGCAGATACCGTCCTCCAAGACTGCCGCTGAAGGTTATCCCATCTTCCCAGCTCAACGCTAACCAGTCTGCTTTCCCCTCCCCTCAAACTGACCTCTCCAGCCCAGCTTGTATCACGCCTCTTTTCTCACGCTCTGCTCCAATGTTGCCCACCCCAGACACCACGCCGCAAGAGCAGGAATCCAACAGAAAGACCATCAGCACAGTCTCCATTGACGACCTCACACCCGCCCGTGCAGCCCAGATTGTCCGCTCCAACCGTGGAATCGCTCTCCTCCGAGAGCAAATCACTTCCAGCATTTTTGAGATTCGACAGCAAATCCGAAAGGTCAAGGAGATTCAGGAAGTTCACCGCACCCGCAGTGTCCAGCGTGCGTCTTCTTTCTGGACCTTCGATCCAATTCTAGAGGAGGATAAAGAGAACGAGGCTTCTTTGGATTCCGAGCCCATCATGGATGAGTTTGGTCACATTCTTGTCAAAGAGACTATATATCAGCGCATTATTCGTCTCCGCAGTGAGGGGTGGGATACAGTTGGATTGCGGTCGCCGCGGAGCACGTGGAAGGGAGCACGATATTACCAAGAGCTATGCACTATGGTCATGACTGAGCAGGACTTGGACTCGTGAGATAGAGGCATACAGGGATCAAAGGGGCCCAAGTTGATTAGGCCGATCACGCAGGTCGGGATTTGTGACGAATCTTTAACGATACTTACGATTTATTCAGACTTTCGGAAGAATGCTTGACATAGGCTTACATCAATATGGGGTTTTAAACGTGGTGGAATTATTTGAAATCATCTATCACCTATCTCTCAATGCAATGGAATGTTATGCAATGCTAATCTTGTCGCTGAGTGGATGTCATGATCAAGTAGATCAGTATAGTTTAAAGACCCTTGCTCAGCACCGAGCCCACACCCTCACCGGCACCACCCTTGCCAAATGCGCCTCCAATTCCATTACCGAGCTGATCTTGCAACTTGCTCAAATTCGTGTCTTCGGCTAGAATCTTGGCCGTGAGACTCTCTAGTATGTCGGATTAGTACTGGAATGGTTCACATCCAAAAAAAAGTTGTACTTACTCTTAAGTCCGTACGACACTTTAGTCTCCCCCATCGCGTACAGGACAATTTCCTGCAGTCTTTTCTGGTACGGGTCTAAGGTACCGGAGACCCAGGCACCAACCAAGATTGCTTGGGAGATGACGTATAGAAGGAAGTAGAACATGATGAAAGTGGTAATGTTTTTGAGGTCGTCGAGGTATGTGGTAGTATGTATGGGATCTGCCTTGTGGAATGAATTGATCTATTCATTTTTTGCCTGTCCATTATGCTGGTTTTATATGCAAGCTGCACACGCGCGGGCCTGCAGGGCTATGACGTTCTGGCGCTGAGGTATGACGCTGCCGTACCACATTGAAGGTGTCAGTGGGGCTCATAAAATCTCCTGCCAATTAGAGTTGCTCGTTGAGATTAAATCCACAATCCAACTATCAGGGTCTATCATGATGTGCATCAATATACGTGGACTGATTGATTAACAGAACGTCATGAGCCAAGACGACCACGTTGCTAAGACCTAGAACATCTCTAGGGCAAAATGTCCGGGTTTTGCCCAAACTCACCGACTAATGCGCGCGGGAGGTACATTGCAAATAGCCTCATCTACATCACCGAGGTATGATCATGCGAAGACAGATGCAACATTGAACAACAATTTTCGAAGCAAAAACCCAATAATCCCAAATGCTCATTCTCTTGTGGACCTTCATGTTAGCTCGAGTTAATCCGAAATAGCATCATAGTCGCTCTGTTCGCAGACAGCCTTGGAGAGCCATCTTCGTTTGGTGGTTTTTATTCATCAGCGCTCGACTCCATTGGATTCTTTCCAAGACATTTCTTGGATATTTCCGTCGACAATGAGTCTCCAGGAGACCCTCGAGGGGTGAACATACTCAACACTCAAGGAGGAGTGGAGGCTTTTAAGGCACCTCTTGAAACAAGCTGTACGCCACAATGCGGCCTCCAATCAGTCGCAGGGGATACACGCATATGACTGCATTATTGCAGTTGCGCCTGACAAGGGTGAACTTTGGAGGTGATGCACTAGACCGCATGATGGATTTTAGACGCATCACATCAGGCCGTGGCACTGCCACACTTAGATGCTTGTATTTTATGGCTCATTTCTTGCGCTTTTAAACTGGTTGGAGGAGACTGTCGCCGCACAAGTGCGCCTTGGCGGCTACAGTACATTGCTCGAATTACCTTGTTACCACTGGATTTGTGGCGTTGTCTGGATGCAATTGACAAATGAATGACTTTTGAAAAGTGGCGGTACGAGTCGGAAAAAGGTACCAGAGGCCGATATGTATGTGTTTCCCCCCAAATGCATACCGTATATGTGCGTCCCCCTTCATTCAAAGGTCCGATCGATCGAAAGTCTATATCAGTGATATATCTTTCCCCTCCCCCTTTTTTTGAACATTCCTCGGAGAATTTCCAAGGCAGCAAGAATAAATCTTCACATGCTGCCCGGTACATACACTTGTTGTTGAGAAAATGAAAAAAAAAAATACAATAATAAGCGGGATTCCAGCCCCCAAAATATGCGTGGAGACCAGTTTCAACTTTCAGCCGTGGCGGTGCAGTTACAGAACACGCCAAGGCTCCACTAAACCCTACAGCCCCAAATTATCCTTATCGCGCGTCTAGAACTCTCCCTGACCCTTTTTTTCTCTCTCGTATCCCTTAAGATCTCGAGTCTTCTGGCCTTTTTTGTAGGGTCCTTTTCACCTGAACAATCTTCAAGATCGAGTCCGTCGCCCTAGGTATTTGGAACGGTAAACATCTCCGTGTTTCCCCCTGATCTCGGCGCGCAAGAGCGTCGTGGCATGAGCCCACCCATGCCCCGCCTGGTCCCTCAAGGGTGCGATCTGGCTTTTTTTTTTGTTCGATTGCTAAAAACTTGCATTTTCAGATCATCCAAATTCTACCCGAGTCTCTCCATATCTTCCGATCACCAGATAACCCTCGCGTCCCCCCGAGATCGCTTCCCATTTGCTCGCCCCGCCCTCTCCTCCGCTGCGGGGTTCACCAGCCCGCTTTTGCTACCTGACCAGATCTCTACCCATCGCATACCAATTTCAGTCGTCGGGGGTCCATATAGCCCTATCCGCACATCATGAGTTGTGAGTCAATTCAATACACAGCGCTCCAGCATTGGTTTGCGCCCAGTTTGCGCCGTGAATTCAGGCCCCCCGCGGCCCTTTCTATTTCGAGCGGGCTGTATTTGAATGCCCACAATGCCAAAACTTTTCGGAGCTAGAGACAAATCAACCATGCCTTGTTCAATGCTGTTTTCCTATGCCACATGCTATTTGGCAGATCCCTGGTCCTGTTTACCCTCTGGTGTAATGTTGTGGGACAATGCATATCCCCTGTTCAAGTCGTTTTTGCTGCCGATTACTCATTATCGGGCGCCGTGGCATTAGACAACGGGGCCATTTGCTAATGTTTGATCTCTTTAGTCGCAAACATGCTTAACAAGCTGTCTGGCCAGCCAGAGAGCTATGAGAAAAAGTACGAACTTCCTCCAACTATCGAATACCGAACACTCGCTAACTTCGCTTGCTTCAACTCAGGTCCCTGTACAAGTTTGGACGGACCCTTGGTGCTGGCACCTACGGTATTGTCCGCGAAGCCGATACGCACGACGGAAAGAAAGTTGCAGTCAAGATCATCCTGAAGAAAAATGTCCGGGGCAATGAGGGAATGGTCTACGATGAACTGGAAATGCTCCAGAAGCTTCAACACCCTCATATCGTCTCATTTGTGGATTGGTTCGAGTCTAAGGTTTGTGCAAACTTACGAACCTCGAGATCTGCAAGGCCTAACCAGGAATTAGGACAAATTTTACATTGTGACACAACTGGCCACTGGTGGCGAGTTATTCGACCGGATTTGCGATTATGGCAAGTTCACGGAGAAGGATGCGTCACAAACCATTCGACAGGTCCTTGATGCAGTCGACTACCTGCACAAGCGCAACATTGTCCACCGTGGTAAGTCCACCCTACTAATTTTTTTTGAGGGTTGCAACGAGACTCACACACGACAGATTTGAAACCCGAGAACCTTCTCTATCTTACACGCTCTCCTAGCTCTGAGCTCGTCCTGGCAGATTTCGGTATTGCCAAGATGCTGGACAGCCCATCTGAAGTTCTGACCAGCATGGCGGGCTCCTTCGGCTACGCCGCACCCGAAGTTATGCTGAAGCAGGGACACGGAAAGGCGGTTGACATGTGGTCTTTGGGTGTCATTACCTACACCCTTCTGTGTGGTTATTCACCCTTCCGGGCCGAGAACCTGAGCGACCTTATTGAAGAATGCCGCACTGGTCGAATCATCTTCCACGAGCGTTACTGGAAGGATGTTTCCCAGGACGCCAAGGACTTCATCATGACCATGCTCCAAGCCGACCCCACCAAGCGAGTGACATCTGAGGATGCCCTCAAGCATGAGTGGCTGACCGGAGAATCTGCCAGCGACCGCGATCTGCTGCCCGAGATCCGTGCCTACATTGCGCGCTCCCGCCTCCGCCGTGGTATCGAGATCGTCAAGCTCGCCAACCGAATTGAAGCCCTCAAGATGCACGACGAAGACGAGGAAGAGGGCGACATCCCTAGTGCTATCCCCCAGGATCCCGAAAATACTGCGTCCGCTTCGGGCTCAAATGGAGATGCGGCTTCCGGTCACCACAAGAAGCGTAGCCTTGGCAACATTGCTCGCGGGGCGATCTTCCGTGAGGTTGTTTTGGCAAAGGTGCGCGAGGTCAAGGATAATGAGGAGCGTGAGAAGTTTGAACATGATGCGCGCGAGAAGGCCTCCCATCACTAACTTGATACCTCACCTCTTTTTTGCTTTCATATTTTTACCCTGCTTATACTTTCTTCTTTTTTTTACTCGATGCTGTTTCATGTCTGTAAGTTGTCTGGATCTGGATATAGTTACTTGATTCCCCATATTCAATGCAGTCTGCACATAATGCGGTAAGACCGCTTGCATGAAGTCAATTTTATTTCAAATGTTTGCATTCATGCATCAACACCAACTTGAAAACATTTTCTAAATACATATTTTTGTTCATCAAGGCCCACTCATAAGTAGTCGACTTGTATCTGTCATAGATAGTAATACATACTAGCACTTGAGTGTGTAATGTATGAAAGGTCTGCAAATTATTGAGTTGATGACAGATTTGAACGCACTTGAGTCGGAAAGCAGCTTCAATGTTTGAGATGGTGACCAAGCCAGTCATGTATATCGGTATGTACTGAGTACTTGACAGTATCTTTAAGCCCCGTACGTTCCGAGGAAGGTTCTTAGGGACATACTCATGCACATACTCGATAGTTGTAGTGGTGAATCCTCTAGTTCATATAAGGACTGCGCAAATTTTCTTGGTATCTTAACGCCACCGTCCTGCAGTTTTCAGTTGACTACTAGTACGACTACTACTTGTGAGGATACCGTAGTAATCATAAAGGCCGTGGCATTAAGGAAAAATATGTGCTCCCGTGGAGCAAAAAAGAAATTCCCAAAGGGGTTAGCCCCGAAATCCCCCCACGCGTAACATTTGTTTCCCTCCCCGCTTTTTTCCCCTTCTTTTCCTTTCTGCCCCCCACCACCGCCATCAAGCTTCTACGCACGCGCATCAACCTTCGAGCGACGCACTTAAGCAAACGAGCAGATTGCAGGCATGGATACCTCCAGCATCAAACGATTTTTGGCCGGGCTGTTTGTGCCCTGGATTTACTTGGGGCGAGCAAGCTGCGATGAACCCCTTTGGAGATACATGCTCCACAACAATCGTTCCATTGACCTCGTGTACCGGATGGTGCAGATTGTATGGGAGCTCGCCAAGAGGATGTCGATCATTTGGGTAGGCCCGCTGTCACGTGCGTGGACACTCTTATCGGCCTCCGCGCGCGCTATCGTGAGCAACCCGCATTGGAGCCTCCCCTCTCTGTTTTCCACTACGTGGTATGCGTACCGGCATTTCTTCCAGCAACCGTGTGCACTTGCGGTTTCTGCGTGCGCCTTTCTCTCCCCTGGTCTTTCGGTCTTCAGAAGATTCCAAGGCGTTCCCATCACAGCCAGCATCAGCTCGCCGCTGATATACCCCCTCCTCCGTGCATCACTTGGACGAATTGACACACTTCCTTTCTGGTATTCGCCAACCCTGCTCAGACTGTCCGAACTTTATACTCCTCAACTTCTCCCTCGGACAACTTTCGACATACTACCTCCCTCCTTTTTCTTGCGAACCCTGGTCCGAGTCTCCCGGTTTTGCGCCTCTCTTCCTTCGCCTCAGCCATTCCTCGATAGATATGTCGAGATCTTTCGCGAATAAGCGGTTGGCAAGGGTATGTGCTTTACAGGATATTGAACTTGCTTACTTAATTCTCACTCCACTCTCCCCTCCCTCCGCTCTTAGATGTATTTCTTGCTAACACTTCATTCACTCTCTAGGAGCTAACTAAGGTAATAACTTCACGTCCTCTCGGCTGCATGATAGATACCCTTGTATCTCCGCTTGCACTGCACCCTCATTATACACTCGTTTGTTCACCAAAATTTGAAGCATCGATACTGACCTTTCGTCCGTTGTTTTTTTTTAGCTCCAAGAGCACCTTCCACCCGGAGTCGCAACTGTTAAAACCGACAGTCTGGAAGAATTCCACATGGACATACAAGTCCTTGACGAAAACCCGCTCTACAAAGGCCAGACGTACCGACTCAAGTTTCTTTTTTCAAGCAGATATCCCATTGGTAAGTCACTGCACGTGATCTTCTTGCCCTTATTCCTTCCCGACAGCGATAAGTCTGATTCTGACTTTCCTCCTCTCTCTTCTAGAACCCCCCGAAGTCCAGTTTATTTCTAACACGGCCCCCTCCGACACCCCCCGATACATTCCTATTCACCCGCACATCTACAGCAACGGCATAATCTGTCTTGATCTCCTTAGCCAAACGGGTTGGTCCCCTGTGCAGACAGTGGAGAGTGTCTGCATGAGTCTTCAGAGCATGTTGACCGCCAATACCCGAGACGAACGCCCACCGGGTGATATGGAGTTTGTGGCAACCAATCGCCGACGCATTCGGGATATCAAGTTTGTTTACGAGGATGATAATGTTTGAGGAGATAGTTTCCCATTCCCGCGTTTGTATTTCTATCTTGGTTTCTTCAGCGGTTCTTCTCTTTTTCTCTTTTTCTCTTTTTCTCTTTTTTAGAGGAGTTACTGGGGGCAAGCTCATGGGGCTTTCGCACATATTTTATATCAGCATATCTTATCAATTGATTGATGCTCGTTTCAATTCTTCCTTTTCTTTTCACCATTCCACCTTAAGGATTTAGAATCTACATGTGGCATACATAAACGATGCTACTACCTAGGTGCTAAGTACACATGTGCATAGTACATGTATTCAAATGTTTCAAGATTGGCCTTGCACTGTCTATTCAACATTTGAATCTTTCTTCTTCAGAGCTCTTCTTCGACAGACAGCAGTATACACCCTGCATTACTTCTTAAGTTCTTATATGGTCTCTGTCCCCACATGTGCACCCTCCCGAGAATTCTGTTGAATTCTATCAAATTGTCAAGCAACTTGCTCCTGACTTCAAGCTTGGAAAGGCTCAACAGTTATGGTCAACCTCATCACATTCGGGATACCAAGTGGATCTTCACATGCAAGCATCGCAATTAGATTAGCGATCTCCTTCAATAGGCAGTCAACTTGGCACGTAAACCTGTCTTCACCCAATCACCGGTCATATCTATCCAGGGTTACAGCATCCATCCATACAAATCCTCAAGGAGCAGAAGATGATTCCCAAGGAGTACACAGAACGGGTACAAGCCAAGACTTTTCGCAGATCACCCAGCATCAAACCCACATCCCCACACAAGCTCCAACTCAACATAAAATAACCGCTAGAGCCGAACAAGCAACAAAAGTCCCTTGAGAAACCAGCCCCTTGAGATCCTCTCCAATGATCAGCTGAACAGACAACCTAATCCTCTGACCATTTATCCTGGGGTGGCATCCGATTGGCGCCGGCGGCTTGAGGTTACTAAATTCCTCATACAAATAGCCTGGGAGCTTGGACAGTCCTTGCATATCATATGACCCAAGAGCATCGGACATGAATAGCATCAGTGTCAAAAGCCCAGTTGGCGATTCGTTCTGTTAAATGTTCCCCCCCTGCCAGCATTCCAAGGGTTTGTGGTGAGAAATTTCAGCCCTAGTTGGTAGGATCAGCGCACGCGAAGCTGTCAGGAATGTTGGAGCTGTCGACAATTATCCGATAAAAGCTCCGTCATTTTTAGTAGATAAAGTGCAGATGGAAGCTGTAAAGTATGGGATTTGGATTCGGACTCGGGCTCAACGGTATAAAACTTTATACCTAAATCATTCATCGTTTCTATCGAACCAAGATGGCGGTTAAGGATGTGGATAGAGGTTTGCGGAGATTGAATCTGGGCATTGCCTTTATGCTGGCTGCTTCAGCTACATCGGGGTATAATGCCAGCCAGATCAATAGTTTGTTGGTGCTACCTGAGTGTGAGAAACCTTTCCCTCCTGATGAATTGAACATCGAATGCATGATGCATATTCCGTCGTATTAACATGTTGCTAATAAAGGTTGATCATTTGAAATAAACAGTTGCCGTTTTCTTGAAAGGACTCAGTGCCAATGCCGAAGGCCTCATCATCGCTTCTGTCTCTCTGGGCTCATTCCTAACTTTTATTCCCGCCTCGTACGTTGCCGACAGACTGGGCCGCCGTCCCTGCGTCGCCATCGGAGCTACGCTCGTCATCCTAGCATCGGTAATCCAGGTAGCAGTCAAGCATCCATGGGTATTCTTCGGTGCTCGCGTCGTCACAGGAGCAGGTGTTGGTTTCTCACAAACAGCTGCGCCATTGCTTATTGCCGAGGCGGCACACCCGCGGCAACGAAGCGTTCTTACCGGTCTCTATAATGCAATCTGGTTCTGTGGCTCGATCACAGCGGCTGCTATCGCCTTTTCCACCCTGAGTATCGAAAACAGTTGGTCATGGCGGGTTCCCTGTATGCTGCAGGTTATGTATCCAATCTTCCAGTTAATCGGGCTGTTCATCATCCCCGAGAGTCCTAGGTGGCTGGTCTCCAAGGACCGCAAGGGCGAGGCACGAGCTATGCTTGTACGGTATCATGGAAATGGAGATGTAAGCAGTGCGCTTGTTCAGGAGGAATATGATCAGATCTGCAGTAGTATCAGCGCCATGGCGGATCTGAAGGCCACATCTGGATGGAGCGCCTTCCTCAAGACTCGCGGCGATGTGCATCGTCTCTCAATTTGCATTCTGATGGGATTCATGCAAGAATGGACAGGAAATGGTACGTACTTTTGCCAAGTTCAGTGATTTCAAGATTCTTGTTTATGAAATGGCCTTATCGCTAATATCGGCTTCGCATACAGGTGTCACTTCTTACTATCTCCCGCCCATTCTCGCCTCAGTTGGAATCAAACATGCCTCTCACCAAGCAGCCGTGAACATCAGCTTACAAGTGTGGAATTTGATCTTTGCCGTGGGGGGAGCCAGTACCTCAAACCGATACGGACGTCGCGTTCTTTGGCTGAGCGCCACAACTCTCATGTTGATCTTCCTGTCCACAACAACCGTGATGACAGGTCTTTTCTCCGAGCTCCACATTATTGAAGCTGGAATTGCAGTGATTCCCATGCTTTTCCTTTTCTGTGCAGCATACGACTTTGCATATATGCCTCTTTTCATCGCGTACCCCGCCGAGATCCTCCCGTTCCAGCTGCGCGCCAAGGGTCTCGCTATCACGCTGACCACGGATTCTCTCGCCTGTTTCTTCAATCAGTACGTTAACCCGGTGGCGTTTGCCGTGTTACAGTGGAAATACTTCGTTATCTATATTGGTTGCCTGATCGTCTTCCTTGGCGTGGTATACTTCCTTTTCCCCGAAACGCAGGGACGGTCTCTGGAGGACGTGGCGCGTATCTTCGAGGATGGTAAGATCCTCCAAGTGATGTCGCCCACTGACTCAGAGAATGAGGGGGAGTCGGAGAAGTCTTTTGAGAAGACCTCCTTTGCGGTGAAGTCGGCGCTGTGAGCCATAATTCTAAGCCGTGGGCCAGGAGCTGTTACTATATTACCCTGTTGAAGACGTCTTTGTACACGACTAGTCAACGTTTCTGTCTCTTTTGCTTTTTGCTTTTGCATTTGATCTGTCCTTATACAATCTTGGCATCTATGTATCAGACTATCTTGTATTTTGTCTGTTTTCATTTCTTTTTTGTCGGGTTCTTAGAGTAGAATGGCTTGCAAATTTACGTTTTGCATAATTCAAGGCTTGAACGCCTCTCAGGCTCCCTTGAAAAGATACGGCTATTGCGGGAATAAAGTTCAACAGTTTTGTAGATCTTATGAATTAGCAATTTTTATTCCTTGTGGCGTTATTGACGTCAGATCATTCGTTCGGAGGAATTCAACCAGTTTACATTGATACCAGAGCGCAAGAATGTCAGGATGAACCTTGGGACCGGAAGTAAAGATTGTTTCCTCCCATGACACCATTCGAAACCTTAAACTGGCGCGAAAACAAAAGACTGCAATAATGTGAGATGAGGTAGTTCGCGATCTACGTACTTTCCCATCTCAATGACACATTGTGTTGCGCAGATCTTTAAGGAAGCTGATAACTCCGTGCTTATGAGTTGCCTTAAATGAGTCCACTCTTAAAAGGGATAATTAATATCTCATATCTCATATCACATGTCTCGAGTCATGTATCTCACGTACTTCTCCATGAAAATGAAATGCTGACTCATGTCTTGGAAGGGCAAAAGGTCTGAAGAATTTCTGCGTGGGGCAATTGTATTTGACGAAACAGTAGATAAGTAGTTGATTTGGGATTAAGGGATTGAAGCTAGCATCCTAAATTCATCAAACTGAAATAAAATCGCAACTGGATTTCCAAATAAAACCACCCCGTCCATAGCAAGGGACCACCCACGAACTCATTATTACCTCCGCGTGAAAGTTTAAGCAAATGCACAGGCAAAAAGTTCAATGACGAGCAAAGGGGGTATTTCAGCATGGGGTACTTCAGAGAAAAGTCAAATGGGTAGAAAGCAAAAACAGGTTTTAGATAAATAAAAACGGCCAGCCAGGCCTAATGTCCGTATTGACCCGGATATACCTCAGGAGATCCTGAGGCCAAGGGCCATGGGTAATTAGAAAGCTACACCAATAGCAGACTCCGGGAATGTAACTGGATCGCCGTGGCGAGAAGAAGGGAACGCAGGTCGTTGTTGGCGGCCTTCGTAGGCGGTTGGTTGATAGAAATCCGAAACAATATCTTTCTCTCTGTTCAGAGATGGTTGATGTAGCGAAGCCCGTGGAGTGGAGCTACCCATAAACGAGCTGGAGATGGAGAGATTGGATGGTCGTGACTTGGCTCCGCCAGTAATGGTTGTTGTGATAGTCGAGCAGACGGTAGTACCACTCAAGGTGCGAGTTCGCTCCCACTCAAAGGCATTCTCACCATCGAGGGAGATTGGTTTAGGCGGGGTAGCATTCTCTCGAGAGAACCATTGCGAAACACGGTCTGGCAGCGGTACCGCTGCGACGGTCTTGCGGTAGTCGCTTGGTGTAAAAGAAGGTCGGCGTAGCGAGGAAAGTCGAGACGGAAATGTGCTTGAGCTGGATGTGGAGGGTGAATCTCTAAAGAATGAAGATTCGTTCGGGGAGTGTTGACCTATTGTGCTTTCTGGACCCGTCGGTGTCACTGGGGTCTGTGGAAGGTCTTGCACTGCCCGCGGTGTCTGAGCATCGCTGGAGTTGTCGGATAAGATATCGGTATCGAGGGTAAGCTTGCTCTCTTCCGAATGCGTCCTGCTGTGTGCTAGAATGGACATGGGGAGAGGTCCTCTTGGAGTAACGACAGAGAAATGGGGCACCAAAGAGCTCGCGGGCTTGTGGGGCTCCGCTTTCATTGCTGGCTCTATAGGATTTCCAAGAGAGCGACGATCTCCCGAGCCAACGGGCTTGCGTGCAGAGGCAGTTGACACATATCGTCGATGGCGAATACTCGATTGCGAAAGAGCACGTGCTGGTACTGCAGGCATCGGGTATTGATATTGGCGATCCTCAACCAGTTGAAAAGACTCGAACGAGGGTAGATCTGATAATCGGTTTTTATCCTGATGAATGCTGAGAACAAGTTCATATGTCTTTGGTATTTCCGATGTTTCAAGTGGTTGGGCTCTGTCAGTCAAAGTATGCACAAAGTGCTGAGACAACGAAGTCTCGTGGAAGCGACTTGAATCAACTATGAGGAAATCCGAAGGTGAACTGATTTCCAACGGTGTAATTGGAAGTCTTCTTCGAGATTTGATGAGACTTGCTCGGTTAGATGCCCGTGAAGCCAGGTTCCGGCCCTCTTCTAGCCACGACGACAATGATTGCGAGTTACGAGTGTGATGTATCCGCGGATCAGGAAGATCATCGTACACCCTCAGCTGCATTGGAGGGACAAGATGGGGCTGGGCATGGCATACTTGCATCTCCCGCTTCACACCTATAAATTCGAAGCATAGGAGATCAGCACTTGTAGATTGATAGAATCGAAAGAACGTCTTACCTTTGTTCTCAACTGACAGGGCAGCCTGGCCCTTCTCTCCAGGTGATAAATATGACAAGCATGATCCTATCCAACCGGTGAACAGCGACCCCGCTTGCTCGAAAGCTGTCATGGCGACCAGCGCTTGAATGAAGCTAATCCATCACCTTCCCTAGAAGAAGGGGAAAGGGGGTACAAAGGAAGGACTCGCAGAGCAGGAAAGAAGAGGAAGAAGAAGCCTTGGGAATCCATAAACAAAGACTCGTACGACAAGCACCAGGATGGGGATCCCTCCAACGACCGTGCGCCGCCAGGTTTGACTCGTCAGGCACCACGAGTGAGACTGTGTGCCGCTAAGATCCGGAACTATACCGGACAGAGCAAGTCATCCTGGTGAGCTGCTCTCAGCAGACGGATTTAGTGGTGGCACCGGTGGGGATCGTCCCTGCGGAGTGCAGTGTGGAGTCTTATTCGTTGGTTCGAGTGGAGATGTCACAACCTTGTGCTTATCAGGAACTTTGACCATGTACTAAGAGTGGGGCGTCACACCTCGGGCGCGTAAGTACAAGAAACATGTTGCGCTGACTTGCGTCTTTGAATGTGGTGATTGGTTTTCTCTTCTTCCACCAGATGTTCCAGTTTTGATGTTTTTTTGCCCGGGAAGTTGTCATTGGCTCGTTTCATGATCCCTGAATATCGGTTGTTTATACCCAACCTCCCAAATCAATACATGTACGAATCAGTACGATTACCTTAGTGCGGGACAACTCACAGTCCACTCCTTATTTCTGGATTTAGCGTTTCCACTTCCGGAGAATACACATGTTTGTAGATCTTTCGCTGTGTCATATTCTAGTGCACAGAGTACGTACGAAGTACTAAGGTACTCATCTCAGGGAATAGAGGCCCGGCACCAGTTGACGCATTGTTAGATGCTAAATCAATAGCATCCAACAGTAATTGATCCTGCACATGTGAAATGCCTACGTATCCGGATTTAATTTAACATTAGATAGGGCAGACCTGAAATTACTTTGGGGCACTTCGAAACCTTGGAATACTCCAGATGTCAAGCCCTGGAGGCTATCTTGTGCAGCCCTGAAGAGAACAAAACACGTGGAATTGGTTCCTGAATGCTTCCAATTGAGCACGACACCTCATTAGTGGGTTTGGAGAGACAACCTTAGAAAGTTGCGCTTTTAGTACCCGTGGACTTTTACCTCGTTCCATGGGTGTCAGGGCATTTAAGGTAGAAGAGTGGGGTCAATCTCGGGCGCGTAGTACGTTCCAAGGTTACGGAGTAAAAGGAGGGCAATTTGGGCGAGCTTATTTACCATTTCAAACGGGGGTGTGCGCAACAGAGACCATTTATTGGTTAATGTCATGATACAAGCTGTGTTTATTGTATACAGAGTACACACCGTTTATCTCGAAAGATTCTGGACCGCAGGCCAAACTACGGCACCGTGCGCAGAATAGGGGAGATTAAAGAATTAGAACCAATCCACTCGAGAGGCTCTGATGCTTCCAAATCAAATACACGGAATCCTCCGTATGGGAAACTCACAAATCATCATTTGCCCCACACATCATTGTCGTCTTCCAGGGCACTATACCATCGCGTGGCAGCTTGCCCCTGGACCGGCTCCGTTGCGTGTTCCTGAGCCGGCTGGTCGGGCTGGTCGGGCTGTTCGGGCTGTTCACTCTCTTCTTCGATTGGTTGTCCAGATGGTCTCCTAAACAAAGATTAGAAACAAGGGTCAGCAAGGTCATCCCAATGATGCTTTATAGCCCAATCATTCATAAAAACTTACTCGTAGTGTCGGGTTTCAGCTTTCCAGGCCGAACCAGTTTCCCGTTGTGCCTGAGCTCGATCTTCCTCCTCGGCTTCTTCATTCTCCACCACGAGGTCGACAAGCTGACTGCGATGTGACTGTTGGGAGCTCGTGGAGCTGGCGTTGCGCTGCAAGGGACCTGGCCCACGGGAGCTCTTACTGGACTTGCGCGAGGAATTAGGATCCCGCCTGCTGTCGCTGCCCGACGCTCGGCCTTTTCGGTGTGTGCGGGACTTTTTCACTGGGCCATCGGTCGATTGACTGGAGCCCTGGTAGCCCCTGGTTATTGGTAACCGTTGATCTCGGGGGACTTCGTTCGCGGTGATGACAGGATACTACAAGCGGTGACAAAATTATTAGCTTCCCACACAGCGACAATTCACTCTTTACAATGTTAGTGACTTACATTCCAGTCTCCAAATTCCAGTGCACGCGCATTGGCGAACAAGTGTTCATCGTCGTCGTCCAGCGCGATTGCGATCTCACTATATGATCGGTATCGATCGGTAGAGCTACGGCTGCCTCTCTCGTTGCGGTCTCGGGCACTGGACCCCCCGCCAGCGAGAAGCGGGGTACGACTATCAGTCTCTCCAGGCTTGCTAGTCTCGCCCGGCTTAGGAATCCAGTATTTTGCCTTTCCTCCTCGTTCGTACCGCATTCCATCCATGACTCGCTTAACTCGGGAATCGGACTCCTCGTGCGCGATGATATTGTCGCCTGAATCAAAGAGCCGATAGTCATAGTTCTCTCCTCGGAGTGTGATCTTTGTATCCTCAATCAGATCGAGGATTCCAAACGCGTCTCTAAGCGCGTACTTCACTGGCATACGGGCAGCCGATATTGTGGGATCAGCATAATCATGCCATGAGAATGCATACCAGTGTGCCATGGCGAAGAAAGGCATTTCAAAGCACAGCAGGCTATCCTGGATGGCGGCAGCAAGATTATCCGGGGTGTACCCGGCGACACCATTGCCAAGAGCCCCCAGCCATTGCAGAATCGACAAGAAGAATCCTTGCCAGTATGAAGCAAAGATGATGAGTTTGACACAGAGGAATTTGGGGACAGGGCGGAACGGCAAGAGGTCGTCGTGCAGACACACCCAGAACATTGCTAGGGAATACAGGCTGAGGGTGACACTGGCATTGTACACAAGGCCGGTCCACAAATAGCCAGATCCGATATCCAAATATCCTTCATGGTATGTATCGGTGGCTTTCATCACAATAGATGCGAGAGCCAGAATGGGCTTCAACCAGGCATACTGCAGGATGCCACGTTTGACAGCTAAGAAAGTATGCGGGTCGGAGATATCAACCTTCGGCAGGAAATGGTTAAGTGGCCAAGCATGGGAGATCGGTGGGCGGCCATGGGCCATAATGATTACTGCCCGCTCACCACCAAGGAAATTGATGAGCAGCTGGAAGAATGTGTAAATAGTGAATGCCTATCAATCACCTCGTCAGCATAAACCCGACCGACCCTAGGATATGCAAAATACCTCATAGATATCACGGATCGGATCAAGAAACTGAGCTGCAGTCAGGGATACGATGCTCGTCCATGAAGCTGCCGCGAATATTGGCACCCTTTTGTCAATTAGCATGACTCCTGAGTCTTCCGAGACGGTCGGCAATGGTATAGCCAACACTCACATCAAAAGAATGCGCACAACATATCTCTGAAGAAGGGGCTTTCGATAGTTTTTGCTATTGATGCTCGAATTAGCAGCTATTGGGTCAGGCTTGGTTGCGATTGGAGCTCATACGTTTGGAACCATATGGACCTGCACAAGATAAGGAGAAGTTAGCTTCATCAACAAAGATTAAGGTATTAGATAGCTCGCGAGAGTTATATACTCACACAATAGAGAGTAGTGAAGCTACTAGAGCTGAGACACCGGTGACAATAATGATTGCTCTAGCTAGGCTGGAGCCTGTTCCTCCACCTCCACCAGCAGCAGCGGCAGCGGCGGTGTTCATGGTTACGAACGAGTATGGCAAGCGCGGATAGGGGTAGCCGCGATTCTAGGTACAATAAGTCATTTCGTAAACTCGTGAGTGGCGTAAGACATGGTACACTCGGCGCGCGCAAAGGACTGGGGAGCTCGAGGAATAAATCGTCGCCAGGAGGCGTGTGCCGATGACGATCGTTCTCGTGACACCGCCTTAGATTAAAACAATCCCGCATTTCCAACATTCGCGACTCCACGCCACGCAACATTTCCTTAGATCTTGGAATGCTAAGGCTCATTTATTGGGCTCGTCAATTGCGAGTCAATCCATTTAGCTGAAAAATGCTCACGCCAGCTGGCGGTTTCAAGGAGAAATGGCCAGTACAAGCTTGACGGCTTCTTACCTGACGCCGGACCCAAGCTTCAATTGGTCCGTTGCATTTGGAAATCTTGCACACGTATTACTAGTTGACTGATTGAGACTTAATAGGTTTTTTCTCCTGGAGCTCTTCGTTTGTTGTATTCTGTGAGTGTCTTTTAGATATCCACGACCAACTTGTCGCTAACTTCTTAGTGTTTTATTCTTTCTCCTCTACTTCAATCGGCTGTTCGCGACCCTTGTATCCTACGGAATTCGAGCCTATACCTGGCACTACTACCGCGTTTATGTCGATATCAACGCGTTGCAAGTGTCGCTCCTGGGTGGCAGAATATTCTTCAAGGGTGTTCGGTACCATGGAGTGAATGAAACGATCTTCATCCATGGAGGGTTCATAACGTGGAGGTATTGGAAACGTCCAGTGGCACGCACCGATCTATCCGACTTCAAAGAGAAAACCAGCGGCTATGATGCGGCAAGCAAAGAAGAGAATGGTTCTGTTCCAGACACACCCAACAATACAAATGCAAGTCTGGGAGAACAAGGTGGAGCTGAAAAGGCCATTAAGTTGCCGTGTCGCATCTCAATTACAACCTACGGCTTAGAATGGTTCATTTACAATCGAACTCCCGCCTACGATAGTATTCTTGCTGGCTTTGGATACACCAAGGATGTATGGGATGATGGCGAGAGCGATGATCACTCCCAAGTCGGCGTACAGCCAGGGCGGACTGACACAGCGTTCACAATGGAGTCTGAGCGTGGAACAAAAACAAGCCTCGACAACGTTTCTGATAATAATACGGGTGAAAGGGAACATTTGGATTATCAAGCCTCCAATAACCGTCATGCCGAAATCTCGGAGCCGGTATCGAATTTGCTTGAGCTCTTACCGGTAAAACTCGATTGCACTAAAGGAGCAATTGTGATGGGAAACGAGAACACGCGCTCTGTTTTGACAACGACTTTTGATGGTGCGACCGGAAATATTGCTGCTTGCAAGGCAGGCTCGCTAGACTTGTATCGACAGCTTTTTTCCTTCAAGTTCAAGCACCCAGTGGTCCAAATGCGGCCCAACCCCGACTTCAAACAGACGCAATTGGCTACTGCTAAAGTTTTAGGTGCTGCAGAAGATGAAGAACCAGTCTTGAAATGGAACCGGGGGAACATCTTCAGCTATCGCTTTCAGAGACGCAAGATATGGCACGGTATTCGTGACCTTGTTCCGTACTTCCAAACCTCTGTGGAGTCGTTCAACTTGGGAAATAGAAAAGCCGATAACATGCCAAGAAGTCAGGCAGAGTTTCCAGATGATATCCGTTGGACTGGTCTCTCCCGATATCTGGACGAAGCTGATGACGATGATCATGAAAAATGGAATTCAGTCGAGTATGCCCGATTTTCCACCATCTTTGATGGCCCCAGCTTAGAATTGACGTATTTCTGGGACATTCCCGGTCATGTTAAGCCGGAGCATGTGGTCTCTGACGAGCAAATGAACAAGAACATCAACCATACCTCCCCTCCAGAATGGGGCATCGATCTCAAGATAGATGGTGGAACAATCAACTATGGACCCTGGGCCGACAGGGAGCGAATTGGGCTGCAAAATGTTTTCTTTCCCAATTTTTATCGCAGCGCGGAAGCCGCAGAGTCGCTTAGGCCTGGCATGTTAAGACAAAGTACTTCCTTCAAGTTGCAAATTGAAATTAGCCAGGAGCTCATACTCCGAATTCCCACTCGAGAGCAGTCAAAGGACTGGCAGTGGAAAGGCCGCGCGGACGGTGTTGGGGGTACTTCGAAAGTGAAGAAGCAAAGTGAGAGAGGGAAATCGCGCCCTAAGGAAGGTGAAAAGGGCCATATTGGCCCTGATATTCGTCCATTTGGGTGGCTCTCTCTTCGTGTTGGCCCTGACTCGACCATCAGCTATAACATGGATATGGCAGCATCACGTACAGGGTACCGAAATGAGCTCGCTCTGGAATTACGCGACTCGAAGCTCTCTTCCAGCGTGAATCATGGGCTGCTATGGCAATGCCCACGACAGTTAGTGACATGCGACTTGTCCAATCCCCTCTCCTGGAACAACCTGCGTTCATGGAATTTTGCGATTGAAAGTCATAAAATGGAGCTCTATCTCTTACGAGATCACATTTTTCTTTTGACTGATCTTGTGACCGATTGGGCATCTGGCCCCCCATCCGAATATTACACTTATGTGCCATTTATCTACAACATCGACCTCAACTTCTCAAACCTGGAGTTACTGGTGAATGTAAATGACCGCAACATCATCAGCAACCCGTCTGATCGCGAGGATAATCGATTCATTGTCATCAAGGGCAAGCAGTTGACAGCGAATGTGACAATTCCCTTGGATAAGTATCAACCTGAACATAATACAGTGGAGTTTAAGGTTAACCTCCAAGATGGAGGTGTGGATCACTTGGTTCCTGCCTGGGATACACATCATGCTTTCTTGCCAGGAGCTGAAATGGCAACACTGGATAGCCTTCTTATTGATGGGTCGTACACTTACTTCCTTTCAACATCTCCAGAATTGACAGATACTCTGGTGCTTAATCTCGATGGTACGGCACCTAGATGCTATCTCTATGGATTTTTGATCAAGAGCTTCATGGCCGTCAAAGAAAATTACTTTGGTGATGAGATGCATTTCAAGACTCTTGAAGAATACCAAGACCTGCAGGTGGCGTACACCACCTTGAAGGAACCGCCCGCGAACCCTACGGGTATCAATCCGAACCGAAAATCAAACGACATGGATGTCTTAGTCCATGTAACGGTGGACAGTCCGTGCGCTCTACTGTCCGAAAATATCTACGACCATTTGCAATGCACAAGACTTCGGGCTGCCTCTCTGGAAGCAGATTTGCGATTTACCAACTACTACATGGACATGCAAATGTCGATTAGTCCACTCAAGATAGATTTGCAGTCTACTGAAGAGGACGGGTCCACATCCATATCCGAAACTCAGCTGTTCCTCGATGGGATCTCAGTTTACGGCCATCGTCTTTTTGGATTACCTCCTGCTGAGCCAACCTATGTTTGTAACTGGGACTTCGACGTGGGCAAAATTACAGGCGAATGTTCCCCGGAATTTCTGGCATGCGTGGCATCGAGCCTCAAAAGCTTTGATTTTTCGTTTGACAATGAGGAAAACACGTTGCATCCACTCTTCCCGCCTGTTCTCCATGACGTGACCTTTTTAAGGGCCAAGATTAACTCGATCCATATCACTGTTTTGCTGGACCAGACGGCTCTCATGATTTGCTCTAGGCCATTAACAGTCAACTTCAACGACTGGGCAACCACTAAGTTCTCAAAGCGTATGAACTTATTGATGCCTGACCTGACTGTCGCTGCAGTTGATCGTCAGTCCGCTACCCTAGCTTTCCGATCGTCTGACAAGAGAGTGGACCCTCTTGGAATTGTCAAAGTGGCGATAGGATTCAAGATGGCGATTCGCAAACAGGACATCACCGAAAGTAGACGTTTACAACAGGAACATATCAGAACACAAGATCGGCGTACCCATCGAGCTCAGTGGCTACTTTTTGACTTGGAAGAGATTGCGCCTATCTCGTCTATCCCTCACGCTGATGGTCTCTCAATACCAACGATCGCCATACCTTCAATGCCTGAGCCTATGCATCAAAGCTTTGGCTCTGTAAACGCCCCGTCATACAGAGGGTTTTCGGGGACTCAACCTGCGGGAAGTGCCAGGAGTTTTCTTGTCCACTCCGAAACATCAAGTATCAAAAGCACAAAAATTCGAAACAATGGCTTTCAAACCATCGTGTCAGCTCCTAGCTCAGAGTCATTATATCGGCCTGTCGCCCCCCTCCGTGAAGACAGTTGGAGCACTTTACAGGTCAATCGAACTAAGGATAATGACAGCCATGGTTATTCTACTCCCAGAGCAACTTCGTATTCGCCAGCAGCCATCAGAGATGCGAATCCTTGGATCCTACCACACTTTTCCTATTACAAGCTTTCTTTGAACACCTCCGAGCTGCCATCGACAACCAGTAACGGGCCTGTTGCTAATGAAGATGATAAATACACGACCGCGAGTTCTATGTTTTTGACCTTCGAAGATGATCAAACCACACACACCAACCTTGCATTGGATCTCCCATCTGGTATCCGAGGCTTCTGTACCCCAAGGTTCCTATTCTCCTTGTCTGCCTTGTTGGATGGTTTGGAGCCAAAACATCCAGTTCAGATCATTGATTCCCTTCAAAAGGATGTCATCGCCGATATAGTAGGTTATGACAAGTCTATGAGCCAGCCGAGGCAAACAACTTCCGTTTCACTTCGCATCCCATCCATCAAATTGAGATTGGTGGATGTTTCAGAATCACCCGTCAATAATCAAATTGAACTTCGAGATGAATACGGCATTGAGGTTCACCATCTTCGAGCCGAGGTGCAACGACGCGTTCAACGGCAAAAGGGCGATCTTCTTGAAGGTCTCAACCAAGGCATTACTGCCCATGTGGCGGCGGATCATCTCTCCGTATCTGTTGAAGGAAGTCGAACAGATGCTTTCCAGGAAAAGGCCGTGTTCAACTGCAATCTGAGCGATTTGAACTTCTGGCTTGTGACATCTCCCAATGTTCGCTCGAATTTACAGATGCGAACATTCAACACTGCAACTTCCGCTAGATCAGTGGAACGGCTGGCATTTCTTGTCCGACGAGCTACAACCATGTTTGACTCTGTTGCATCGGCATTCCAAAATATTTCAACTGCAAGCACGCGGCGCCTGCAGTATCTCATTTATTTCGCGACGCAATCAGCAACCGACATTCCGGACCCAATATTCCTCGCACGCATATCCTATGTTCTTCGAGTTGCGTCATCTCATCTGCGCCAACACGATTCTTGGAAAATTATTTCTCGAATCCGAAATATCTACAAAAACTCTCCGGTCCATAAACGCCGCGAATTGGAGCGAAGATGCCTGGAAAACAATCTTCCATTGCCGCCTGATGCTAGATCGACTGTCTTTACTGGCTTTGACCAGTGGCGAGCATGGGATTTGGCACTTGTGGAAAAGAGTTATGTCATGCGCAAAATTTGGCCAAGCCCTGAACCCCGAAAGACTGCAACCAAACCATCTATGTTCATGTCTTGTACAATCAAGACATTTAGGTTCTCTTTGGATCCCGGTGCAAGGGGCAATGAGTTTATTGTCGAAGATTTGTCGACAGTCGCAAAGCTTGTGCCCGAACACATATCCCAAGATGAGGGCACGATACACCTCAAGAAGCTTATCACATTGCAGGCATACTGTTCATCTGCCGCTCTTCATCTACGCTGGGAGGTTCTGGATCTTGTCGAAGGCATTGTGAAAGTGATGTCAACAGTCACCCTTGAATCCAAATCGGTACAATCATCGCCCAGTGATGGACAGAAAGAGCCAACAGAGTTGCAGATTGCTTTTGGCACAGATTTTGGATCCATCACTCTTGATGGTATCAACGTCAAGCTTGCGTTGGTCTCCAAGGGTCTACGAGGCTCCATTGTCCACAGCTCAGCCGGTACAAAAACGACAGGCAAAGAAGAACTCGCTCTTTTGTTCAGTTCAGAGGCATGCTCGTCTGAATTATTGAGCCAGTCGGGATCGCTCATGCTGTCCAGAATTGCCGATCCATACTTGTATTTCTCACTTGTATCCGAAGAAGATGAAAAAGAATGCCAAAATGATTGGAGGGTTGCTGCGTCGTGCAAAAAACTTCGATTCGAGATGAAAGAAGATCCTGTTGGTCTTGCCCATGTGGCAGACCGACTTATTGAGGACGAAGTCAGGTACATTCGACAGCTTACCAACAACTGCAAACTTGCACAGCCTGCTAGTCCTCAAGTTGAAATTCGACCAGTGTCGGGAAAGCCCACCCACAATCGCATCAATGTGGCCATGTTCCTGGATGACTATCAGCTCAGACTAAGCCTCTTGCCGTCCCTGACTTACATTATCTCTGGTGACGTTGCCCGCATGTCGATTATGCCTACAAAATCGTCTCAGATCGAGGTCGACTTTGATGTGAAGCAAAATTCCCATACATTCCTGTCAGGTGAAGGTGTCAAGTCACGGGCGTTGTCGAAATTGGATATCCCTCCAACCAATGGTCGGATCCTTGCAAATCTCTCATCTGGCCGCAAGGAGTTGGAGGTGGACCTCACAATTGAAATGATTCGTCTTGAAGCTAGTGCCGTTCGGAGTCTCTTGGGTGTTCTGACAGGGCCAGATGTTGCCCATCTCCTGGAGGACCTTAAACAGAACGTTGACGTTCTTCAGTCCCACTTGGGTGATGCACTTTCGCTGGAGAAAGCAAGTAAACCGAATCCTGTCTCTGATGAGTCCCCAGTTCTATACAAGGCTCGGCTTACAATGGCTGGATTTGAGATACATGCTGTTGCGCCCGGGTTGAATGGAAAGGATTACAAGGCAGAAATGGTCTTCAGCCTTGGGACGATGCAAATGAGTGTCCAGAATGGCCTGGACCGAGGTTACCCCATGGAATATCCCGAGTTCAATGTTGATGCTTCTCAAATCGGCTTCCTACTGCGACGTCTAGAGAAAGACCAAGCCAGATCATACGGCGGCTTCACGTTGGCCGTCAAACTTCATGGAACATCCACTGTTCGTGAAAATGGGGAAGTCATGCGCGCCTACCATTTCACGAGTGACAAATTTGACATTGAGCTTTTTGCCGAGACGGCTGCTTTGGTAGTGGATATTGCTATCTACACTCAAGAGCGTATCAAGACATTGGATCTGTCTCATGAGGTCAAACGCCTACGCAGACTGCGGCACCGCAATCACAAGCAAACAAATGACACCCATTCTGACGTTCCAAAGATTCAGGTGAATGATGATGCTGCTGCTGCTCAAGTATTTCTGAATGCCCTATATTCTTTTCATTTCAAAGGCATCCAAGTCGCGTGGAATATGTCATCTCCTCTCTCGGGTAGTGGTGGTCGCCAGCCAGAAGATCTTGTCTTTTCTATTCAACAAGTCGAGTTGTCCAACAAGAAGAAGAATACAGCCAGGCTTCGGATTGAGAATATGCAGCTTCAGATGGTTCCGTTCCGTGCAGATCGGAGGAAGCGGTCTCTGAACTCCGCTCTCATGCCTCAACTGGTGTTCAATGTTGCTTATCATTCCATTGGGAAAGAACTGTGGCTCGTATTACAGGCAGCAGGCAAATCCCTCGACATTCGTGCTACATCTGAATTCATCATTCCTGGCAATATGATCCGGAACTCTATCGCATCCGCGAGCGAGGCCTTGCGGGAGGGCAAAGCAGCTTGGGCTACAAATCCATCTCCTGATCCAGATAATGGCCCAAAAAGCCAGGGTCTGTTTGGCAACAGACGAGTACGATCTGTTCTCGTGGACGTTGATTTTGCCGGTGCTACGGTCTCGCTACAAGGAAAGCGAAGTCAGGATCCTCAGACTTTGATGGCTGCCAATATGAAGGGTAGCCGACTTTCCGAAGCGAAATATGGCGAATATGTACAAGGAGATTCCGCGACCACCGCGACTTTGCAGGCGCCAGGGGTGGCCTTGAAGGTTCATTTCGAAGATAATGGCACTGATGACCCAGCGCTAAATGCAGAGCTGAAGGTCAATCCATCCAGCAATGTTCTATACCCGACGCTTGTCCCACTTGTCAAGCAAATGACGGCTACTGTGAAGGAGATCATGGGAGCGAAAAATCAGCAAAGTCGTCCTCGACGTCTTTCCGCTGCAACGAAACTACAATCGCAAAAGATGATGCAAGAACCTCCATTTGGTGCACCGGATCCCAGCTCCATTCTTGGGCGATGCAAGGTCAATCTGGGGTTGTTGTTCTGTAAGCAAGAATTCAGTCTTAGCTGTCAGCCGATCGCCAGAGTGGCAGCAACGGCACGATTCGATAGTGTTTACGTTACGGTCAACACAATCATGTCCAAAGAACAGGGTCGTTTCGTTGCTCTTTCTCTGGCATTCAATAATTTGGAGGCTTCTGTAAAGCATGTTTACTCCAATGAGTCTACCGCGAGTTTTGAAGTTCAGTCCATGGTCTTATCTCTGATGAACAGCAAGCATCTTGGCCGTAAAAGTGGCATGTCAGCGATTCTCAGAGTAAGTCCAATGAAGGTTGTCCTCAATGCCAAACAAGTACAAGATACCCTGTTGTTTCAAGAGATCTGGCTTCCATCCGATGATGAGCCTAGCTCCAGCTCAACGCTACAACCAGAGGAACCGCCTGAACCAGAGGCCCAGACCTACATTGTTCAGCGTTACCAGCAAGTTTCTGCGGCATCGGCTTTCCCTTGGAACACGACTATTGCTATTGAGAAGCTGGAAATTCAACTAGATCTCGGATCAACTCTGGGCAAGGCTCAGTTTGCCATCGACAACTTGTGGGTTTCTTCCAACAAGACCTCAGACAACGAGCAAACTATGTGCATCAACTTTGATTCTATTGGTATTGAGAGCAAGGGACGCATGAGTGGCATTGTTGAAATGCGAACAGTCAAAGTTAGCACCTCCATTCAATGGCCAGAGTCCCGTGAGGCTGGGCACACACCCCTCATTCAAGCCTCCATCGCTTTCCATCATCTCCAAGCGAAGGTTTCATTTGACTATCAACCGTTCCTGGTGGCACATATTGCCATGTTCGACTTCCTCATGTACAATGTTCGTGAACCTTCGGGTGAACAGAGTCAACGGCTCTTTAGTATACTTGAAGGCGACGAAGTGCAAGTTTTCTGTACATCTTTGACGGCATCCCAGACCCTCGCACTCTTCCAAGCCTGGCAGAGGCTAGTGCAGGACAAGAAGTCCGCTTACGAGGCATCTCTGCGTGAGGTTGAGCGATATCTACGCCGCAAATCCTCCATTGCTCCCACCCAGTTGGGTATTCGCACAAAAGAAGATATCAAAAAGGATGATGAGTCGGAGAGGGCACCCATACAACTTCATACCCGTGTGGTTATCAGTATCCACCATATCAATCTCGGTGCCTTCCCTAGTTCATTCTTTGACAACCAAATCTTCAAAATGGAAGCCTACGATGCGCAGGCCCGATTTTCCGTGTCGCTTGAATCCGACAAGATCCATAGCGCATTGGGCTTGACGCTTGGTCAGCTCCGCGTGGCACTTTCTGGAATAAGCCGGCCTAGCTCGGTTCAACTGGAAGAGCTGTCTGTGGATGAAATCGCCCAACGAGCCGCCGGCTCCCGTGGCGGCACCATTCTCAAGGTACCTCGACTTGTGGCGGGGATGGAAACCTGGCAAGTGCCGGGAGCTCGGGAGATTGAATACATCTTCCACAGTAGCTTTGAAGGCAAGGTCGACGTGGGCTGGAACTACTCGCGCATCAGTTTCATCCGCGACATGTGGGAGTCACACTTGCGGGCACTCGCCTCACGGCTTGGTAAGCCACTCGCTCCCTCTGCGGTTCGGATTACTGGTGGTCCTGGCAGCGGTAGTGAAGGGGGTGGCGAAGGAGCCGAGCAGCAAGAGAAGATTACTGCTGTGGTCAATGTGCCGCAATCCAAGTATACCTACACGGCATTGAAGCCACCGGTTATTGAAACGCCACAACTGAGAGACATGGGAGAGGCAACGCCCCCGTTGGAGTGGATCGGGTTACAGCGTGATAAGCTGCCCAATGTTACGCACCAGATCATCATTGTGACCTTATTGGAGATAGCCAAGGAGGTGGAGGATGCTTATGGAACGATTTTGGGAACGTGATCGCGTTCCACTATACCCCTTTTTGCCCGGGTGGCTTCCAAACTTTTTTTTGTATAGATTTGAAGCCTTGTTGATGTTCTTTTGTTTTTTTTTTCTTTATGTACTTGATTCTGTCTCTTTTTGGATGTTTTCACTAGTGCCCACTTTTGGGCCTGGTTTCAACACCACCTGTTGTTCTATCTTCTGTATTAATAATACCCCTGCGTTTTGATACCTACCACTACATACTACTAGTACCTAGTACATTCGGTGGCGAGTTCTACCCAAATGTGAATATTTCAAAGTATAAAATTTTTATTACCTTCCCAGTCAGGTATGTAGCTTACTATTGCATAGCTCACCTAGATAAGGCATATCCATGGATATACCTCCCGAGCTCGGTAGCTAACCATTACCTAATCGTCAAAGTTCCCCCATGGCTGATTGGGTAGGAAGGCTACGGTTGGGAAGAGAAGAATTTTTTTTCCAATATGATTTCATCCAAATCACAAGGTTTAATTTTTACATGATACACCATCTGACCGAGCTAACCCTGAGGTAGATTACAATGGGATCGTCCTTTTCAATGTTAATATGTATTATTAATCCACTACAGCCCACCACCCCGCGCAGGCGGTGAGATAGCGGGGCTGATTGGCTTAGAAAGAGAGAAAAAAACGAGGGCAAAAATGCAAAAATGCAAAAACCTGCAAATTCTTTTCTTGTTTTGTGTTGGATCGTATTTCCTGTAATTTTACACGCTGTCATGCGATAGAAGCTAGCTTGAGCTCAGAAGTGAGTAATATATGGTTGGTAACCACGGATACCCTCGGAAACGTTGAGTCAACGAGACTTAATATACTATCATCTTTGATTTCAAATATCAAACCGAACGTTAATATGATTCAGAATATACTCGGTAGAAAAAACTAGTCGATTCGAGTGATCGGAAGTAAAACAAGTAACATGGAAATAAATTGAAATGGCTGGTTCGCACTGTACTACTAAGTTACTGACATTAAATAATCTGGAAACGCACACAAACCCGGAGCGGGGCACACAAAGTCCCCACTCTCGCTCTCATTTTTTTTCTCCCACTTTTCTCTGCACCCCTCCTTCTCCTTCCTCTTCTCTTCTCCATCCCTTCCCTCTCCGGAGCAGTTTGCACATAGCTTGATTGATCTGGTCCGCGGTCCTGATCATCTGTGTGTGTTCTTGCTTCTTCTATTATTCTAATACTTCCCTTGCCTCTACGGCCTGTTTTTGAGAAGTAAACCGCCAAGATGGTCAAGTAAGTCAAATCTATCCAGCCCAGATGAAGCCATCACGCCCACCATGAAAATTCGGTTCAGCTTGCTAATATCGACTTCTTCAACAGCTTCACCATTGAGGAGATCCGTGGCCTGATGGACAAGCCGGCCAACATCCGTAACATGTCCGTCATTGCTCACGGTATGATTATCCTCCCCCCTACATGGGCCATGAAATTCCCAAATTATATCGAAACTAACTTGCTTTCCTACAGTCGATCACGGAAAGTCCACTCTGTCCGACTCCCTTGTCCAGCGTGCCGGTATTATCTCCGCCGCCAAGGCCGGTGAGACCCGTTTCATGGACACCCGTCCCGATGAGCAGGATCGTTGCATTACCATCAAGTCCACTGCCATCTCCCTGTACGCCAAGTTCCCCGACCCTGAGGATCTCAAGGAGATCTCCCAGAAGGTCGATGGTTCCGAGTTCTTGATTAACTTGATCGATTCCCCCGGTCACGTTGATTTCTCCTCTGAGGTTACCGCCGCTCTCCGTGTCACTGACGGTGCCCTTGTCGTTGTCGACTGTGTCTCCGGTGTCTGTGTCCAGACCGAGACTGTCCTGCGTCAGGCCCTGACCGAGCGTATTAAGCCCGTTCTCTGCATCAACAAGGTTGATCGTGCTCTTCTCGAGCTCCAGGTCTCCAAGGAGGATCTTTACCAGTCCTTCTCCCGTACCATTGAGTCCGTCAACGTCATCATCTCCACCTACTTCGACAAGACCCTCGGTGATGTCCAGGTTTACGCGGAGAAGGGTACCATTGCCTTCGGTTCCGGTCTGCACGGTTGGTGTTTCACCGTCCGCCAGTTCGCCATCAAGTACGCCAAGAAGTTCGGTGTTGACCGCAAGAAGATGCTTGAGCGTCTGTGGGGCGACAACTACTTCAACCCCAAGACCAAGAAGTGGACCAACAAGGCTGAGGATGCCGAGGGCAAGACCCTTGAGCGTGCCTTCAACATGTTCATCTTGGACCCCATCTTCAAGATCTTCGCTGCCGTCAACCACAACAAGCGTGATGAGATCGAGAAGCTCGTTGAGAAGCTCGAGATCAAGCTCCTTGCTGACGAGAAGGAGCTCGAGGGCAAGGCCCTCCTCAAGGTCATCATGCGCAAGTTCTTGCCCGCTGCCGATGCCCTGCTTGAGATGATCTGTATCCACCTGCCTTCCCCCGTTACTGCCCAGAAGTACCGTGCCGAGACCCTCTACGAGGGTCCCGCTGACGACCGTGCCTGCATTGGTATCCGTGACTGTGATGCCTCCGCTCCCCTCATGCTGTACGTCTCCAAGATGGTGCCCACCTCCGACAAGGGTCGTTTCTACGCCTTCGGTCGTGTCTACGCCGGTACCGTCAAGTCCGGTATCAAGGTCCGTATCCAGGGTCCCAACTACGTCCCCGGAAAGAAGGAGGATCTGTACATCAAGGCCATCCAGCGTACCATCCTCATGATGGGTCGCTTCGTTGAGCCCATTGATGACGTCCCCGCCGGTAACATTGTCGGTCTGGTCGGTGTCGATCAGTTCTTGCTCAAGTCCGGTACTCTTACCACCGATGAGACCGCCCACAACTTGAAGGTCATGAAGTTCTCTGTCTCCCCCGTTGTGCAGCGCTCCGTTGAGGTTAAGAACGCCCAGGATCTGCCCAAGCTGGTTGAGGGTCTCAAGCGTCTGTCCAAGTCCGACCCCTGTGTCCTGACCATGATCAACGAGTCCGGTCAGCACGTTGTTGCCGGTGCTGGTGAGCTCCACTTGGAGATCTGTCTTAAGGATCTTGAGGAGGACCACGCCGGTGTGCCTCTGCGCATCTCCGACCCCGTTGTCTCTTACCGTGAGACCGTCACTGCTACCTCCAGCATGACTGCTCTGTCCAAGTCTCCCAACAAGCACAACCGTCTGTACATGACCGCTGAGCCCATGTCCGAGGAGCTCTCCCTCGCCATTGAGGCTGGCAAGATCAGCCCCCGTGACGACTTCAAGCTCCGTGCCCGTCTCATGGCTGACGAGTACGAGTGGGATGTCACCGATGCCCGTAAGATCTGGTGCTTCGGTCCCGACACCACCGGTGCCAACTTGCTGGTTGACCAGACCAAGGCTGTTCAGTACTTGAACGAGATCAAGGATTCCGTTGTCTCCGGTTTCCAGTGGGCCACCCGTGAGGGTCCCGTCGCTGAGGAGCCCCTCCGCTCCGTCCGCTTCAACATCCTCGATGTTACCCTTCACGCCGATGCCATTCACCGTGGTGGTGGTCAGCTTATCCCCACTGCTCGTCGTGTCCTGCTCGCCTCCACATTGCTTGCTGAGCCCGGTATTCTCGAGCCCATCTTCAACGTCGAGATCCAGGTTCCCGAGCAGGCTATGGGTGGTATCTACGGTGTTCTTACCCGCCGTCGTGGTCACGTCTACTCCGAGGAGCAGCGTCCCGGTACCCCTCTGTTCATGGTCAAGGCTTACTTGCCCGTCAACGAGTCCTTCGGTTTCCCTGCCGATCTCCGTTCCGCCACTGGTGGTCAGGCTTTCCCCCAGTCCGTCTTCGATCACTGGTCCGTCCTTCCCGGTGGTTCTCCCCTGGACCCCACCACCAAGCCCGGTCAGGTTGTCACCGAGATGCGCAAGCGCAAGGGTCTCAAGGAGGTTGTTCCCGGCTACGAGAACGTAAGTTATTTCCCACTGTCTCATGATCCCATTGTTGAAACATCCACTAACTCTACTTTTAGTACTACGACAAGCTGTAAAAATGTTCATTGGTCAGATTACCTTCCTGCCAGTCAACGCGCGGAATCTTTTTTTATGAGATTGATGAATGCAATACAATTTCCCAGTTCAATCAAAAATCCATGTCTAAATCGGCATGCTTTCGTCACCTGTTAGAATCTGCGGTTTCTATGAATATCCTTACCCCCGGATAACGTTTGCTGGTGTCTTAAATAGTTGTTCCTTTGCTTTATGTTTTATTTTCGCTTTTTCCTATTTGCTAGTTTAGCTTACCAGTTTGGATATGAAAATCAACATGGTATGCTAAACAAAGCTTGGATCAGTGTAAATCTGTAGATGTTCTATTTTTTTGTAATTTGGACAAGTAGTGTAAATCGTAGAGCAAGCTCCATCCTTCCGATGATTGGTATGATGTATCTGCATAGTACCTATTACTAGTATGCACTGGTTTCCTCACAGTCACGTGATGATTGCGCGCTTTCGCGTTTTCAGAATTTCTGTGCTCTCAAAAACTCTTTTGCTCACAACGATACCACCTTGCAATGATTGAAGGTGTTTTTTGCTTACATTGATACCCTTTTCAGACTGAGAGTCTGATTTATCTTTTAAAACTACCGACCGCCACTGGGGAGTCTCAGTTTTGGTTGTTCAAACGTCTGCAGCTTACCGTCACCCCGGATCCCTGCGATTAACGTCACCTCGAACTTTCATTCTGCTTACCATTCAGTCCCGAGCCTGCCTTGCTCATCGCCATAATGCATTTTACCGACCCAGAAGCTGCTGAGGTCAAGACATGGGTAGTGAAGAAGCTAGAGGACATGTGAGTTTCATCTCAAGATATGCCCAACCACGCATAGCTCCTTGACTTCGGGACTTTCGGCTAATTTGCGTTCGCAATGTTTTCAGCTCAGACGCGGACTCCGATGTCCTTGCCGACTACGTACTTGCTCTGATTAGAACCGATGCGCCGGACGATGAAATCCGAAAAGTCTCGGTGGAAAACTTGGAAGATTTCCTGCGAGAACGTGCGCTTGACACTTTGAATCCCCAGTCCAGTCGAGTAATGCTGACACCTATCAGACACCCAGCCATTTGTTGACGAACTCTTCACCAATTTCGGCCCGAAACAAGCTGTTCCAGTTCCACAATTCCAGCCACAACAGCAGCCGCATACCTTCTCCGCAACTGCCCCAGCATTCAACCCGCCTAGTGGCCCTAAAAATGAATACAGCAGTCGCAAACGATCATTCAATGAGGGCTTCCAGGGAGAGCAAGGAGGCGAAGATAGCGCGATTCAAAATCGCGCCTTCAAGACTCCTCGACGAGGCCGTGGAGGTGGACTTGGTCGCGGTGACTGGATGGGTGGGGGTGGACATCCTATGCAGGGTGGCCAGCAATTCCCGGTCCAGCATGGTGGATTCCCTATGATGCCTGGCAATATGCCTGGAAACATGCCCGGGAACATGCCCGGGTTCCCTGGCTTTGATCAGAACGATCCCATGGCCGCCATGATGGCAATGCAACAAATGGGTTTCCCTCAAATGCCTGGGATGCCAATGCCTGGAATGCCCGGTCAGCCGGGTATGGAGCATTTGGCCAACCAGCGCTGTCCGTTCTACGATACCCAAGGTATCTGCTACTTGGGAACTGCGTGCCCATATAAACACGGCGAAAAGGATGACGGTAAGACTGGTATCTCGTGTTAATTTGGACATGGCACTAATATGCTTCATTAGAATATGACCCGAAGAGTGCAACACTTTCAAACAGAGATGGCGATTCGTCGCGTGGCGGCGAGCGAGGCCGGGGTCGTGGGCGTGGTGGTTTCAGTGGACGAGGACGCGGCCGGTCCGACTTCTCGTCTGCTGGGCATAACGAGGATCGCTCAGTTACAACAATTGTGGTCGAGCAGATTCCCGACGAAAAGTTTTCGGAGGAGGCTGTGCGCGAGTTCTTTTCCCAGTTTGGCAACATTGCAGAAGTTTCGTTGCAGCCTTACAAGAAGCTTGCTCTGGTTAAATACGAGACATTTGCCGAGGCTAAACAAGCATGGGCCAGTCCCAAGGTGATCTTCGATAACCGGTTTGTCAAGGTCTACTGGAATAAGCCCAAGTCCCACGACAAGAATGGGGAGTCACAACCCGAAGTTCCCGCTTTCAACCAAGAAGAGTTCCAGAAACAGCAAGAGGAGGCCCAGAGGTTACACGAGGAAAAGCTGAAGAAGCGTCTGGAGACTGAAAAGGCCAAGGCAGAACTTGAGCTCAAGCGTGATGAACTCATGAAAAAGCAACAAGAAGAAAAATCACTCCTAATGCAGCGTCTTGGTGTTTCATCCGGTAACAGCCCTGATACTGCCATGGTTCAATCCGAAGATTCAGCTGCAGATGATAATGCGAGTGAGGAGACCAAACAACTACGTGCCCAATTAGCTGCTCTCGAGGCAGAGGCACAAACTCTTGGCATTGACCCCTCTGATCCCTCAGCCGCATATGGTCGTGGCGGATACCGTGGTCGTGGTGGCTACCGCGGCCGAGGCGGGTTCCGCGGTCGTGGAGGCTACGACCCTTCATACCGTGGTGGTCCCCGAGGTCGTGGTGGATTCGCCTCCCCACGTGGTCGGGGTGGAGTGCTTCGCCTGGACAACCGACCACGACGGGTTGCTGTGGCAGGCGTTGATCTCCACTCTGATAAGGATGAGGCACTGCGCCAACACTTGATTGTAAGTTTTACATTTTCCACAGGTTTCAAAAGAAACTCCAAAGCTAACCAATCGTTTAGGGTATTGGCGAATACGAGTCCATCGAGGCTAACGGCAGCACACCTGGCTCTATCATTGTGGCCTTTAAGGAACGATACCAGGCCGAGAAGTTCATGTTCAGCCCTTGGAACATTCCCAACGTGGGCGAGGTGCAACTCTCATGGCTTCCCAACCCTCCCATCACATTGCCAGCGGCAACATCAACAGAGTCGAAGAATGGTCTGGGTGACGAGGATCATGACACAAACATGGATACTACACCAGTCACTACTCCGGCACCACAGCAGCCACCGCGTGATATGGATTATGATGTTGCGGAGGATGAGGGCTGGGGTGCATAGTTACTTAACCTCTTTCCATCTCATGTACTATTTGAACCCTGTGAATAGGCTAGTACATCTATTTCCATCTTCTTGAGACGAGACACTTTGATCTCGATACCTTTATCATGCATATACTCGGTCACCTTCCCATATGTAAACCAACATTTAAATCTACTAAATATCCTGTGGAGTCAATTCCACCATATATCCGTCCTGGGGAGGAAAGTCAGCAACGCTACAAGCCCACATTCCAAACATCCATGGGATATATGTAAAAACCCCATATCTATAACTCACCGGATCAGCAACCATGCCAAAATTCTCAAAAACCCCAGCATAATTCTCATGAATCTCCCCTCTCCCAATCCCCCTTTCAGCCTCCCACTCACTCAAAGGCACAGACTCCCTCGTACAAACCCCAGGCTCCTTCAAAACCGCCACCCCATCAGCCCTCAGCCTCTCCACCGCAGCCCCAACATCCGGCACCGTGGACCCCAGATGCGCAAACCCCAAATTAGGCGGAATATTTCCATTCGAGATCCCCTCATCATTCTCCGTCCCATGAACATGGAAAAGTTCCAGCAACCCTTTCGTCCTTGTCAGCACCGGCATCTGGGATGTGTTCTCCGCCCACTTCCCCACCCCTTCGTCTGCTAGCTCTGTGTCCGGTGGCGGGTGGCCGAGGTAGTAGATTGTGAATGGGCCTGCGTTCATGCTGAAGACAACGCGCATGCCGAGCAGGTCGACGTAGAAGTGGAGGGAACGGGCGGGGTCGGTGATGCGGAGAGCGAAGTGGTTTAGGCGGTAGTTGTTTGTTGCGGGGTCTTGGGTTGCGGGGTTGAAGGTCTTTGTTGGTCCGCCTGGGGCGAAGACGCCTACTTCTGAGGGGGGAATTGTTGGGAAGGAGTTTGATGTCATGTTCGTGATGAAGTATGTATAATCTGAGTGTGTACGCTGTGTTTAGTGAATGTCCCCTCACCTTTACTACTCGGGTACTTGAGCAGGATTTTGTCACATGATTCCCCCTGTTGGTAGCTTTGGTAGCTTTGGTACATAGTAGCTTACTAGTATGTTAGGCGTTGACTGATTAGTGAGTACAATACCTATCTCGAGCGAGTACCTAGGGCTGTGGAGAAGAGACATTACATACTGATGTATGGATATGTTAGAGTTTAGGTACGGCCCACGGATGTTTAGGTTTGCAATTCAAACCAATGTCTTCATCTCAAGGGATCGACGTGATTGAGGCGCGATTTGAGGCGCCAAACCAATTCCTTCCATGCAGGTCAATCACGAGAAAGCGGGGTATCATTACAAGCCTCAAGCGCCAGGCTGACTTGCATAGCCTCCTTCGATTCTTGTGAGCTGGTTTTTGTTCTTTCATCCTGCTTCAGTCTTCTGAATCTATTATCCCGAGAAACAAGAACAGCTATCGGAACGGATCCAAATGACGTCTGCAGCAAGACGCTTTCGCCCTGAAGACTATACGGTCGCCTGGATCTGTGCACTTCCCCTGGAGATGATCGCAGCTGCGGCTATGCTGGATGAGACACATAAAGATTTAAAGGCGAGGCCAAACGATGACAACACATACATCTTGGGCCGGATATGTGATCATAATGTGGCCATTGCATGCCTCCCATCAGGGATTTACGGCACAACCTCCGCCACAAGAGTGGCTACACAAATGCAATCCACTTTCAAGTCGATACGCTTCTGTCTCATGGTAGGCATCGGAGGGGGCGCTCCAAGCGGAAAGGTTGATATCCGGCTGGGTGATGTGGTGGTCAGCAAGCCAACAAGGGATTTTGGAGGGGTCATACAGTACGATTATGGGAAAACAGTGACTGATGGCCGCTTTGAACGCACTGGTTTATTGAACAAACCACCAACAGTTCTCTTGACAGCGATCTCAAGACTGCAATCAGAGCATGCATTGAAGCCAAGCAAAATTCCTTCTCTTCTTTCAGAGGCGGTGGCTAGGAATCATAGGATGAGAAAAAAGTTCACATATTGTGGCGAAGATCAGGATCTCTTGTTTGATTTTGAGTACGATCACCCTGACCCGGAAATTGATTGCGACAGCTGCGACACACGGAGAGTCGTAACACGACCTCACCGAGCTAGCAATGATCCGGTTATTCATTACGGCCTTATTGCCTCTGGCAATCAAGTATTAAAGCATGGCCGCACCAGGGATAAATTGACTCGAGATCTTGGTATTCTTTGCTTTGAAATGGAGGCCGCTGGCTTGATGGACAACTTCCCATGCCTTGTTATTCGAGGAATTTGCGACTATTCCGACTCACATAAAAATAAGCAGTGGCAGGACTACGCAGCAGCAACAGCGGCAGCTTATGGCAAAGAGCTTCTCTCCTTAGTGCATAGAGAGCAGACTGCGGACACTCCACCATTAGGAACGATGAACGAGTGTATGTCTTCTGTGCAAGGCATGTGTAGGTCACGATTATCTAACCAAACTCCAGTATACTCTTACAGGGAACAGCCATTACCCAGGGCGACACTTCTCAATCGTGAAGTCGTTAAATATGGTGAGAGCTGCAATATTATTTAACAAGTGTTAACTGACGAGTTGTAGACGGCCAGGAATTTGACGAGCTACTTGAGCGGATCTCAAGTTATGATTACGAGAGAGTCCATCAAAGGCTTAGTCGGAAACGACTTGCTGGAACCACGGACTGGTTCCTTCATCATCCGGATTTCCAAGCATGGTTTACCAAGGAGGATTTTTCCAGTTTGTGGTGCTCAGGAAAGAGTAAGCCTACTTTCTATACAGTGTCTTTTGTAAACATTATACTAATACGCAACCGCATATCAGTTGGCTGGGGCAAAACAATGATAGCGTTCGTCTACCCCCTGGCCCCTGGGTAGTACTCATGCTTATTATTATCTGACAATTAATAGAACTGCAATAATTGACGCAGCGAAATATGATCTCCGCCATCCCACCGTCTTTTTCTACTGCGAGAAAGATCACCATGCAGCCCTCGATGCATTGTCTATTCTCTCAAGTTTTATAAAACAACTCTGTTCATTTTTGCACCAGGCCACCAAACCTTTTCCGGAAGATGTCTCAAAGGAGATTACGAAGTATTTTGGACGCAAGAGAGTGAAGCCCGACCTTGAAGACCTGAAGGACATTTTCACCATCTTATTTCCCTGCGCCCCGGGCACAATTTATGTCGTTGATGGCGTGGATACCCTGGATAGGGAACAGGCGATATCCCTTTTGAGCCTCTTCAGGTCGTTATTCTTAGAATCCAGGCGCCCAAATGGATCGCGGATTTTGTTATTCAGCAGGGACCAAGTTCCAGGATACATAAACATCGATACGTTCATGCCTGGGATTTGTCGGATCTCGACATCGGCCAATGTTATGCAGGACATCGAAACCTATATCGAAGCAAGCATCACTGACAAGACCATGCACCGAAAAATTACGGATGATCCTATGCTGGCTGCAGAGATTCCGCGGAGGCTTTTGATTGAGTCAAGCGAGATGTATGCTTGTCCCGATTCCCAGGCCTCTACCAGAGTTTTATTCCGTGGATTATATACTGACTGGCGTAGGTTCCTATGGGTTTATCTCCAGTTAGAGATTCTTTGGGACACATGCCATACGGATGAAGCAATACGGTCTGCATTAGCTTCGCTACCAAAGGGTCTGGAAGACACATACGGCCGTTGTATTGAGAGAATTGATATCAAGGACAGGCGTGTTCTCAAGGTACTCAAATGGGTTAGCTTTGCGAACATCCCGCTTCATGTCGAAGAATTGCGAGAGGCAGTCGCCTTTGACTCAGAAGACACGGCGTGGAATGCCGAGAAGATCCCGGGAAAAGAGTTTGTTATCGGATGCTGTGCAAACCTTGTTGTTGTGGATTCCACAGACAACCGGGTACGTTTTGCACATCCCTCGGTAAAACAATATCTCGAGAAAAGTCGAAGCAAGATCTTCATTCAGGGGTATCCATCCACAGCGCAAGGTGCTCTTGAGTGCGGGGAGTTTTGTGTTGCTTATCTTTCTTTCTCGGACTTCAGTCTTCAACTGAGCACGCGAAGGAACGAAACAGCCATGGTTACTGTCCCACCCCCCATCCTCTTCGCACCAAGGGCACTACCTAGACTATTCACCAAACGGTTTTTCCAAAAGCCCCCGGACCAGAAGCATTATGCCTCTGTGCCAATCCGAGGGATACGCACATCATCAACGCCAGATCGCAAACAGTACAAGTTCCTCGATTACGCCGTTGCAAACTGGGCCTTACAAACCAAGCAGATACCTCGTTCATCGGCATTCTGGAAGAAGTTCGAGCAGCTCGTCATGTCTTTTAATGAAACTTGGAATTTCCACCCTTGGGTCCCTGGTGGCCGTTCGACACGTTCCCATCTCCACAGTCTCCTCGGATGGGCGGTGAAGGAGCGACATTTACCCCTTCTGTCAATTGTACAGGCTGCGGGACCCGATTTGCAAACTGTTTGCAATCTTCCGCTAGTCGGTGAAAGCCTTCCTGCACTTCATATTGCGGCAAAACTCGGATACAAAGCTATTGTTGAGATTCTTCTAGCCTTTTGCAATGTGAATGCGCAAGATCTGGAGCAGTATACTGCTTTGCACCATGCAGCAAGTGCGGGTCATCTTGAAATCTGCCAAATTCTATTGAGTGAAAAGAAGATCAAGATGAACAACAGACCAGAATTTCAATATACAGCGATCAGCTTGGCTGCGAGAAACGGACATGAGAAGGTTGTTTCTCTTCTTGTAGAGAAGCAAGGAGAATTTGAGACCAAAGATAGTTCCAGTCCAATCTTATTGGCTGCAGGAAACGGGCACGAGGCAGTAGTGAAAATACTACTCGAGAAGGGTGCTGATATTGAGGCCAAAAGGGAATCAGGTTGGACACCACTCATATTCGCTGCAGCCAACGGGCATGAGGCAGTAGTGAAAATACTGCTTGAGAAGGGTGCTGATATTGAGGCCAAAAGTGAATCAGGTTGGACACCACTCATATTCGCTGCAGCCAACGAGCATGAGGCAGTAGTGAAAATACTGCTTGAGAAGGGTGCTGATCTTGAGGCCAAAAATGAATCAAATCGGACACCACTCTTCTTCGCTGCAAGGAACGGGAATGAGGCAGTAGTGAGAATACTGCTTGAGAAGGGTGCTGATCTTGAGGCCAAAAATGAATCAAATCGGACACCACTCTTCTTCGCTGCAAGGAACGGGCATGAGGCAGTAGTGAGAATACTGCTTGAGAAGGGTGCTGATCTTGAGGCCAAAAGTGAATCAGGTTGGACACCACTCTCATCAGCTGCAGAAAATGGGCATGAGGCAGTGGTGGAAATACTGCTTGAGAAGGGTGCTGATCTTGAGGCCAAAGATAAATCAAATCGGACACCACTCTCATTAGCTGCAGAAAATGGGCATGAGGCAGTGGTGGAAATACTACTTGAGAAGGGTGCTCATATTGAGGCCAAAGATCTATTCAATCGGACACCACTCTTATTAGCTGCAGAAAATGGGCATGAGGAAGTAGTGAAAATACTGCTTGAGAAGGGTGCTCATATTGAGGCCAAAGATCTATTCAATCGGACACCACTCTCATTAGCTGCAGAAAAAGGGCATGAGGCAGTAGTGAGAATACTGCTTGAGAAGGGTGCTGATCTTGTGGCCAAAAGTGACTCAGGTTGGACACCACTCTTATACGCTAGTATGACCAAGCAGGAGGCAGTAATGAAAATGCTGCTCGACAAGGGTGGTGCTGGTACAGTGGAAATGGAATACTAGCAATACTATGTATGGACCCTTAATTTATTACCATAATTTCATACTAGATTTGGACGCCGCTTGATCCACTGCCCTTGAACGGTTGAACCTTTTCAACTGGCAAGTGGGAGGTTATCTTTATCTATTTATCTTATCACCACATGACGTTAATTTCCTCGCGGTTGCCAAGCGGAGGGTGACCAATCAGGGTGATTTTGGTGCTGTGTACGGAGTAACAGATGTTTTGTTCATGTACGGAGTAAACCCCAGAGTACAGGTTGGACCACCTTGACCCCATAAAAGGTGGCGCGGGACATCTGGAAGTTTGAAGAGGTGGCCCGACCTGATCTCTGAGCCTTGAGGACAGTCCTGTAACTACTTGATTTGTAAGTATATTTGTTGGCCAATCGGATAAACTTTTGGGAAAACAGTACGAGTCTGTACGACGGAGCCACGGATAAACGGTTCTACTTCTACAGATGAATACTCCTCTCTTTACAAGTTTGGAAGTGAGTACTATATAGATCATGTCAACTTCTTTTATCATTGGCATCTTTTCAGCCCACTGTATCAACACCAAAACACGAGCTACATATCATTTAAAAACGAAGGATGCAATCCATGTCCCAATTTCGACCAACGCTTCTGTCGCCGATTTGGAGAACGCCAAAAACCAGTCATATGGCGAGAATTCCAGTGCCATGGATCTCCGCTTGGTAGAATGGGATGGACCTTATGATCCAGAACTTCCCATGAACTTTCCCTATTGGAGGAAATCGCTCATCGTGGAATATCTCGCTCGGGTCTTTTTTATCCGAATCGATCTCGCCATCATCGGCATCATTCATGCATGCGATTCTCAACATTGAATGGCTTGCCCAAATGCTCTAGAATTTCACCCATAGCCCCAAACACAAACTTGAGTTGTGTTCATTTTCCCAAATCCTTGGAAGTGGACCTCTCCGGGACCCGATCTTGTTCCAAGGGTTACATAGTACTACGAGGCATTTGTATTTGGACATACTGATGCATTGTCTTATCTTCAGCCAAATGGCCTAAAATGTATTGCACATGGATAGAATTGACACAATGATATGTGATGAAAATATGTGCAGCGAGGGTATCTTGTCGAAGCCAAAAGGGATGCACATGAAGAAAGAAAATCAAGACGAAAGCACTTGCGCATCGTCTGTACTATACAGGCTAAGAGATTCGAGGCAAACTCACTCCACTGACACAATTTCCAGACCATCGGGAACAGGACCGCTTTGTGAGCTGTTTTTATGGGGATTTTGCATGCCCAGGATTTGCCATGCACGACCCATCATGCCATGACCAAGGCCCTGGGGGAACTCAACAGAGGCTTTGTGGGCATGTTTCGGAATGCGATCACGCAGCGCACGCTCGCGCTTGGCAGCAGCCAGTCGATCTTGTTCGCGCTCATGGTTGACGATGTCGTCACGCCATTCGGACCAGTGTTCGAAATTCTCACGCTGCCGGAGCACTTGGTACCGGAGTCGAGACTTGGATGGACGCCATGCGGTGCGGTTGATAGTACCTTCTTCCTCGTTGTCCCGTGGGACCATTGTAGATTTCAGATCTGGGACACGAGAGTCCTTGGTGAGCTTGAGCAGATGAGTAAAGACATCACGGCTTTCCAGAGCTGTGCGCTGTATTTTCTCTTGCTCTGCCGTAGGAGTCGAGCGAGTAAGAGGTGCATCCAGCCAGGCGTACATATCAGTTGAACGTTGGACAGAATACGGGTCCATGTGATTCGCACGGCGGTTCTCTTCGCGCAGATAACGCACGGCGGATTGAAGACTTTCCACTTCGGCACGAAGAGTTTCGTTCTCGTGCATTGCCGCCAAAGAAGCCTCGGTATCGATGACGAGACCACCGCCTGTAGTTGTGACACCTGCAGTTCCAGAAACGCGTTTCATTCTTTCGAGGCGATTCTTATATTCGTCTCGTTCTGCTTCGGCGGTTTGAAGCTCCTTCTTCTGTCGTTCGACAGTCTTCTCCAGCTCGGCGCTCATAGTCTGACTCTCTTCAATCTTGGCCTCAAGATCCTTGACCATGGATGCTTTCTTGCTTGCTTCCTTCATCCGCGACTCGAGGAGTTCGATTTTGATACCTTGCTCTTCCAGAGTGTTGTCCTTAACGCCAAGGGCGGTGGACACTTCATGAACCTCATTCTTGAGGCGACGAATCTCTTCGTCGGCGTCCGGTGAAATGGTTTTGTTGGACTTGAGCTCCGCTGCACGCGCAATCCAAGGGAATGCACCTCTCTCAAACTCAGTAGTTCGAGAAAGATCGGAGGAGATTGAGTCGAGCTCATCAAGTTGGCTGGCCAGGTCCCGCAATGTATTTAATAGCAAGGCGAGCGGGTCATTTCCGTCGGTGGGATTGTCCGAGCCCTGCAGAAAAGCGGTGGCGGCTTGCGACATACTGTCCAGAATTTCCTGGAGAGTGTAGGGCTCAACACGACCTTCATCACTCGTTAGGCTAAGCACAGCTTCGCCCAGCTTTCGAGCAAGTTCTGAGAGCCCTCGCGTGAAGACCTCAGTCTTCTTGAATGGTTCATCGGCTTGCTCTGAAAGTACAAGAGATCTTGAGCGTAAATCTTCAACAGCCCGGTAGATTTTGCCCATCGCTACTTTGGACCCACGAGCATGGGAAACAAAAGCATCGAGTTTGTTGAAAGCAAATTCAATTTCTTCATTGCTTGTATCGACTTCGTCACCCTCACTCTCTTCATTTCCTTCGCCGGCTTTCTTTGGAGCAGGCAATTTGGACTGGATGAGAACTTTCAGTCGAGCGATGGCCGTAGCAGCATGGTCGAGGTATGCCTGAGATAAGTTTGCACGCATACATATCTCACCTGCAAAGTTCTCCGGACTCGATGGAAGAATGGTTTCTGCCAGATGCGCGAGAAGAGCGATAGATCGTTGCAATTCGACAGAAAACTTGCTCATGTTGACTTCGTTCTTCTTCAAATTCTCAATCCAGAAGTTAAGTGTGCGCTCCACAGGCTCCATTTCAAACAAAGCGGCCTTTGTGCTATTGAATTGTTCCGGTGTGCAGGCATTAATATAAGTCACAAACCGATCGCAAACAGTCGAGATCCACAGAAGATGCTCAGAGACCCCCAAAGCATTGAAGATTTCCTCGTGGCTTGAGATTGCAGATTGCTCGGCGATGCGCTCACGAATCGTGCCACTCATCACAGCAGCCTTGAAGCTCACACGCTGGAATCGAAGTAAAGACAGGACGGCATTCCGCTCGCCTTCATAGTATTCAGGCAAATAGAGTTTCACAATCGAAAGATGTTGTGCGGCTTCTTCTGCCTCCATACGCTTGAGTTCAACATCGATGGACTTTGTCTGAGCCTTTGATACCGAGGCATGCAGCTTCATGTTCAAGTCCATCATTGCGCGAGATCGTGTCGTGAGATCAGTGGCCTCGGCTTCTGAGATCTGCTGAGACGCTCGCATATCTTCTAAATCAGCTTGGAGGTTCGTCACTAGTTCTCTGAAGCGAGACAATGTGTACTCCAAATCCTCAATGACTTCATCTTGTTGGGTGATTTTCCTGGATTGTTCGTTGAACACGCCATCACGATAATCGATCTCTTCTTGGAGCTGTTTCTCAGTCTCAACATGGGTATACTCCAGTTCATCGCTGATTTCTCTCAAAGCCTCCAAGTCTTCAATGGCAGCTTTGAGCTCACCGATCTCCTCCTGGTACCGCATGTTTTTGTCGGCAAGCTCTTCAATCATCTCCTCGGCACCCAGAGCAGTCTCTAGTTGCTGCTTGAGATCATCAACATTGGTCTCTGCAACCAGCAGCTTTTCTTTCGAAGCCTCGAAATCAGATTTCACAGCGGAGTACTCTTCAAGGTCTTGTTCTAATTCCTTGATCTGGTCTCTCAGGTCTGATTCTTGCTGCTGCGTCATATCGCGTAGTCGGATAAGAGCCTCGCGAAGGCGTTCGTTGGTTTTCTCCATTTGCAGCCATCCATGGCTAGATCGCTCCTCGGGGCTTGTGACTTGGCTGAACTCTTCATTCTCCTCGCGGAGAACCTCGACCTCTAATTGAAGCTCTTCCATCTTAGACCGCAGCGCTTCGCATTCGTGTTTGAAGGCATCGGCGGTTTCTTCTGCCATCTCCCTGTCGAGACCCGCCATTTCCATGAGAGATTCATGCTCAGCCTGCATCCGTTCGACTTCCTCCAAACGAGCCTCAGTATCCCTCAGTTTCTTGCGCAAATCCGTAATTTCCATTTGCTGGGGCTGATATTTCGCCTGCAACTTTTGAATGATAGATTCGAATTTATCACGCTCAGACTGCAGCTGCTCGAGGGCCTTCATCTTTTCACGATCGTCAGTCCGCTTTTTCTCCATTACGCGGAGCTTAGTTTGAAGCTCCTCCAGCTCTCGATTGACAGCAGCGCTTTGCCCCGGGCGCTGAGTCGTGGACATTGTAGGTCCAGGCCGAGGGGCCGTAGAGCGCGTGGCAGCCATGGACTGGCGAGAGGACCTAGCCGCGGGCGGGAGTGCCATCTCGGAACCCTGTTGACCATCTTCGTTATCTGGAGATTCAACATCCGTTGGCTCTTCCGATGGATCTCTTGTTGCTGTTTCCCCCCCATCTGACACTTTTGTAGGGACAACCTGGCGTAGGGAGGGCCGTTTCGATAATCCGGGCGCTGATACGTTGGTTTGAGATCCTGGTCGCGAAGTCCTAGCCGAGCCAGACACAGATGTACGAGAGGACCTGGGTGTTGATGCCGAGGTTGAGGATGGGCCGACTGAGGGTCGGGTGGTAGGTGCTGGCCGAGGTCGATTAGATGCCACGGTGGAAGTGCGCGAAGTACCACCCATCGAAGGACGAGCAGGGGCGCCCGAGGATAGCTGTTTCGTTGGGGATTTCGTTGGAGACTGAAGTTATAAATAGTAATAAGTACTTTGCGCGGGACATTGCCGAAGATCATAACATACCCTTAGAGACGACCGGGGGGCCATCTTCCCAGCCGGGGTGGGAGTAGATGCATTGACGCTCTGTCTTTTAATCGCACTCGGTGGTACTCCAGGTGGCTTTTTTGCAGCTGTTGAGATCGATGGTCTGCCGGCAGTTGCATTGGTACCGGCTCTAGCCCTTTGTTTACTCTCCCGCGGAGCTTGCTGTAAAACCGCGCCCACGGCTGTCGGTCGGATGAACATGCCATAACCTGGTTCGCAATCAAAGTATCGCTCTCCTTGGACTGCGCCATCGTTCTTGCCCGTAGCGTCTGTCAATTCAACGCCTATCCAATCTCCAACTGCGAAGTGAGTGCTGCCAATGAACCGCACGATGGCCTGTCGTCCGTCGGTCAAGGTGATCACCGTGCCAGGTGATATATCTTGACCAGACATGGTGAGGACAAAGGTTCAAGGACCCACAATGCGCTCAAATTGTAGCTAAAGGTATTTGTCGATGTGAGTTGGGAGAAGAGGGACGGAGACACTAAGGAGTCGCGGCGCCGATCAATTGTTGCCTGAGGCATAAATGATGACATACTACTAGCACCACTTGAGTAGTACTATGTACGTACGCGCAGCCAGCTCGTTTTCAACAAGAAACAAACATCTGCTCCATTTAAAACAGGCGGAAAGATTTTGTTTTATAAGTTGGGGGGTATCTTAATAATTAGAATGATAGTCTATTGTTCTATGTAAACTTGGTCAATCCCCAGAAATAAATCGCGACCGCAACCAAAGGGAGTGGCTAGTAGTATGTACAACAACCTTTAGGCTCTAGTAATAAGAAACAAAATCGTTGAACTCGTCAAAACAAATTCCTGTTCAGGTGAGCAGGTCCGTATTACGCCCTGAAGACTTCGGGGAAGTGGACACGTAGCTCCTCAAGGTTTGAGATCATATACTTTGATGCTGGGACGCGAGGAATCTCGACTCCCTCTTCCACAAAGTGAGCAGTTGACCAACCTCGGGCCGCTGCATGCTTGCAATTGAGATATGAATCATCTGAACGTTCGAAAAGATCAGCACATACTCGAGGCATCTAGACTTTGACACAAGACGTCACGGATTTCAAGGCGACTTACCGACGAAGTAGCACGACTCAGTACTGGGAGCCCCAGCCTCCTTCTCTGCCTTTGCATACATATCCTGGCTCGGTTTGCAAACCAACGGCAACTGGGCATAGTCGCAGTACGTGATACCCTCAAACAGATCTTCAATACCCAACAGCTTTACCACTCGCTTTCCATGGCTCACATACGCATTAGTGAGCAACCAAGGCTTCACTTTGCTGGTATCCAAGGCCTCTAGCAGAGTGCGCAATTTGGGGTTTGGCTTCAAGATTGTATCGAGGGGAAGAGCATCGTCCACCTCTTCGTTGAACTCGAGCGGGTCGATCTTGTGGTGGCGAGTCAACCCTTCAATGGCAAGGCCGTACTCCCTGTAGTATTTCTGGTGCAGCATATGCGCATCTTCCGTAGTAAGATCGAGGTGCTTGCAGAAGAATTTGTCTATATTGCAATGGCGGTCAGTCCCAGCGCACATGACAGTAGGTTATAGTAAGCTAGGATGACCTACTGATCAACTTCTGCATCTCATCATGAATGTTGCATCCTGGGCGCAAGGGTCAGCAATGCTGCTTAATTTGTTATATGTAGTAGTCGCAATTGCCCTGGCAGTCGAACCTTTGGAGTAAAGCTAAAACATAACGCTTTGAATTAGCAAGTCACTTCCAATGCAGTCATATTCAGGGTTAATCTCCGGTCAATCGCCGTTGAACTTACACAGTTGTCAATGTCAAAGAAGAACACCGGCCGTGAGTCACCTCCGTTAGCCTGATCGGCAGTCATTGTAAAGTATCGATTGGGTTGGGAGAGAGAGATGGGTGACCGTGATATATTTGAAATAGGGCGAAGAAACTGACGAGCAGGTAAGGAGAAGAACGAGCGAGGCATGGGGAATTAGAGGGATCAGTCGGGGACCCAAAGTAGAACGAGTTGGTTTGGGGACTTATCATTGGCAGCGCGGAGAAGAAGCCGCGTTACCTAATACGCCTTAGCGTAAAAAGCACCCGTCGTCACTTTTTCTTGTTTTTGCTTCAAGTCCGTTCTTGCGATCTGAGAAAAGTAATCAAGCCATTTCTTTTGACCGCTCGAATAACAGTGTGGAGTGTGATAGGAGGTTATATTCCCCTCTACTGATCACTTTATTGCCACTACTCTAAGCAGCTACTGCTCTAGCTTCACCTTGATCCCTTTCATCTCTCCCCCCAAGCTTTCCTTGGATCATGGCGGCAGCCCATGGGACCGCGACTCACCTTACAGCAGGGCCGATCGCATCTTCCGCGTCAATACTATCCAATGAGGTACGGGAATATGAGAAGATTCTGAGAATCAGCGATGAGATTTTCTCAGGGTCACATCCGCGCCTCAAGGTTCCCCAGAAGTTTGTGCGCAAGCCAAAGGCTCAACCAGGTCAAAATGGCCATTTGACCCAACAGGCGATGAAAAGCAATCCTACAACTTCAGAGCCTGTACCTCCCATGAATACCACTCGCCATTCTCAAGCCATTCAGGCACCTACGCCGCCTAGAAACGCGCCATTTCCTGCTACTACCAGTGGAGCACCAATCGCTCGCGTGGTTGCTAAGCCGGCGTCAGAAATCGATCCCATATTCTTGACAAAATCGGATGATCTAGTCAGGGCGGAGCTTCAATTAGAACGACAGAGAGTGGAAAGAACCCTGCGTGATCAGTTGGATCAGAAGAAGCAGGATTTAAAACAGAAACCTACAGTTCAGGACACGAAGCCGAACTTTGACGTTTCAGATGTTCTCAATAGGGCACTTGACCTTGTGAAACCTGTCTCTCTGAGCGATCCATCTGAGACCTCGTTTGATGGGAATTCATATTATTCCAGTAAAGCACCTGATTCGCCGCCTCTTGTTGGCGAGCTTCAGAACCCATCTCCCGTGGTCCCGGCTCAGGCACTAGGTGCAGCAGCAAGGGCTCCGGTAGAGCAATTTGCAGATGAGTTGCAGCGGCTTGAAGCTCTGAACAGGACTGGATCTGATCAGGAAATGCAAGATGCTTACTCTGTTGCTGACCACCGCATTCCCCATTCCCAGAAGCAGCTGCGCCCCAGCCAAACCGAGGCCGCTCGCCGGCATCACAAAGCTCAGCCGGTTGAACCATTAGAGGAACCCGAATACTCGCCTCCTGCACCGGTGGCCCCGCCAATTGACCACAGGGATCATCAACGAGAGGCGACAAATGGCCAAGGCAGAGCTAGATACGCAGAGCAGTCTCGGGACGTACAAGGAATTTCATCTGGGAACAATGTCACAGTAGTCCGAAACCACATCACCTCCCCAGCAGCTCCTCGACCCTCTCGTGTCTCCCCCTTGGCAACTCAAAAGGTCCCCTCAGTCCAGCAAATTCGGGATGATCGGTTTGAACATGTATTAGATCGAGTTTACCCCGATCCCGAGTCTGGCCGGGCCAGTCCTAATGGTCCAGCCCCACAGCCCATTTCTCGAAAGCGAAGAAGGCAGGAGAAGGGTCCTGATGCTCCAGTATCCCACAAGCGGCAGAATGCTGATCATTCTGATGCCTACATTAAAGAGGAGCCGGTATCCCCACCACCTTTCACTGATGACCCTGCCATATCGAAAAACAGACAGCCTCGTGAACAGCCTGTATACATTGACATCTCATCACCGGGATACAACCCCGTGGTTGAACGACGCGAGCCGTCAGGTCGAGCACCAATATATGAGGTTGATCAGTATGGTGAAGTCCCCTTTGAACAAGGACCACCACGGACTTCATCTCGAGTGAGCATCAGGCGTGACGATCCCAACATGCAACGAGTGGCCAATATTCAATACGCTCGACAACCCGAATATTCCCGAGGATACATTGAGCACGACCCGCACGGTATTAGATCTGCATCCTACGCAGTCGTTGAAAGACGCCTACCAGAACAAACCAGGTACTACGATGACCATCCGCCTTATGGATCACGATTCGTTGAGGTAGACGATCAACCACAGCCAGCCTACCGAGCACAATATTATGAAGAACCTCAACCGACTCGGGTCATGCCTCCACCTCCTCGCCGATTTTTTGTTGATGAGCACGGCAATGAGTATGAAATGGTACCATCTCGGAGGACTCAAACTATGGCGCCACCGCCTCGTCCACCATCTCGTGCCCCGGCTCCACAGGGCGAGGTATACGAAGACCGAACTCCTATTCGCACTGCCAGTGTTCGTGCTCCATCGATCGTCCAAGAACCCTACCTTGAGAACCGATATATTCAAGAAATGCCACCTCCCCAGCCTGTCTACCGGCGCGTCACTTCTGATTATGTTCGGCCTGTTGTTGGTGGAAGACAAACTTACGCTGCACCTCTGGAAGGACATGAGCCATATTCTCGTGCTGGTAGTGTGCAGGTTGCTGAGTACATACCTCGTCGTCAAAATTATGTAGAAGAGCCTCCTCTCCCCCAAGAGAGGGTGATTCGCACTGCTAGTGTGCGACCTCAACCTCCTCAACATCGGTATGAGGAGCAGACCCATGATGTCATTCAACGCGTTGGGAGTACTCGCCCTACTGGGCCTGGCCGGGAAGTGTACATGGATGAGAGACCCGTGGGTGACTATGTTGAGCGGCCGTATTACGTTCGGGAACGACGTTATTATGAAGGTGATGATGGAAATCGCCTGGCGTTGGATGGAAATACGGAGCCCGTGCATCGCGGTCCTCAGCATTACTAAGCCGCTTCTGTTTTTAGCCTTTCATTTTTCAAGTATGCATTCGCATTAGCATTTGGCGTGTATGATCTATCATTTAGCTTATGTAAAGTTAACTATTCTGAAGCCTCAACCCCTAATTGTTGGTTCAACTGGCTTCAATGTTTACATTATCACAGTACGACGTCAACATTTGAAGATTTCTATTATAAGGGACATATTATAGGCATGTCGTCCGGCATGGTTACAGCATGTTAAGCACTAGTGAAGTGGTATTTAGTAGAGATGACGAAGGTGAACATTTGAACACTGAAAACATTGAAATGGCACAGGTACTAATCAAGGAGCTCAAGAACAGAAAATTTGTTTTTCAAGGAATCTAAAAGTTCAATGTTCAGTATCAATACCATATCTCGATGGAACCCAGGCTCAATAATAAATAGAATTTTCCATCCTTGGTATACCTTATCATCCGTTCTATTTAATCACAACTCATATCTCGACGAATTGCGTGATATCTTTGCCTCGCATCAGAAAGAAATTCATTATGCTCATGTTTTGAATCATCGAGTTCTCGTTTTAGTCGTCATTTGCGAGGCTTTGATTATCATCCCAGTCCATAGAAGAATCACCATGTCTCATGCATGACACAGAGTGAACTGTTATTGTAAGGAAATCCCAAGATTATACCAGTATCAATGGCTGTGATCTCCAAGCTTTGTTGGGTCTGGCGCTCGGGCTCTGTTCTGGGTTCTCGGGTCTAAAAGATATTTGCGAGTTAGTTACTGTATGACCGGAACAGAGTGAAAACGTGCGCTGTAGCAAGTTCTAGAAATATGCGCAGTGCTTTGATCAGGTCTCAAGATGGTCGGCATGGTTAATTCCGATGAGGGCAAGTATCATCATCATGAATGCATTCCACAAAGCTCATCATGGGGGTTGATCTGTTTACCTTTAATGAAATGAAATATATCCCAATAGAAGTGCGTCAAGTTTTCTGATCAAAAAACCACCAAGCAGTCATTTGCACAGTTCAGAATTACTGGCCGTCTCCGGCTTTCACTCGCAGATGCATGACTTAGCACCGGTGGAATATTTCAAAAAAATCCATGATAATCAAATTGCTGAAGTATGGTACCCAACTTTACCTAGAAATCACGAAAGTTAGTCAAGGAAGTTCATGCATCTATGGTAAATAACATCCCAATGCGCAACCAGGCACAGTCTCGTATCAGAATATCGATGTTTGCGTCAGCATAGTATTTATGACGAACCTTACTTGTCATCATTTACGAGGCGTGTATTCAAACTCGAAGATCAGGGAAGGTGATGATGAATGGCGAGACACACCTTATAAACAATCTAACAAATCCACGATGACTGAATGACTGAAGTAGAGTACCTAGCTTTACCTAGATATCACGAAAGTTAGCCAAGTCCATGTATATCTTGTGAGCAGCCAATCTCAATACAAATCCAGACACAGTCTCACATCAGAATGACAATATGTAATTCAGCATAGCATCTATGATTCTTGCTTCTCATCATCTGTAAGACGTGTATTCAAGTTCAAGAATCGGTGAAGGTGGCGATGGGTAGGGAGTTAATAACTAACAGGAATGAGGATGTGAGGAGGGAGGGAGGAGAAGCTTCGGTTTTTTGGCGTGATGCGTAATATACCGAAAGGTACTGGGATGTTGAAAACCCTGTAGTAGGACGCTAGCTTATCTTGCATTTTTTTTGAAGGCTTTGGGTTTATTCATCATCAAAAAGCCCAGGATTGTCCGGGCCCGGTAGGTTATGGGGACCAGGGGCTTCGAGTTGTTTCCACGAAGAAATAAAATAAAAGGTCAGGGATAGGGTGATAGAGGAGGGAGGAGGGGGATGGAGAGATAAGCAAAGGTAAGTGGAAGAGGAGGAAGAAGAAGAAGAAGAAGCCAAAACAGTTACGAGTACTAGTAGTAATTGTTGACACACCTCACAGGTGTAAACAGAAGTTGCTGGTCTCACTTCCAACTTCAAGGTTCAATGTTTTGCTCACCAAACATTAATGACATGTTTACACAACATTTAAATTTTGTAAAACAAGAGAAATCAATAATCAATATCAAATGGCCTGGTAGTATAAAGCACGTAGATTAATTATAGCAGATTGCATTCAACATTTGAAGTTAGAAAGCTACTACTAGGTACTGGTTGTTCAATGTGACTTTAATTACTCTAGTAGTAGTTACTATATGGCTTATATAAAAGTCTATTTCAGCCAGCACCAGTTGACTCAAGTGCCTGAAATAGTAGCACTCAATACTTGGTAAGAAAGGCATTGGGGCTACAAGTACTTGTCATAGCAGAGTTGAATGTCGATGATCGGAAATTCAATCTCAATAGTTTTGCGAACTAATTGCTTAGAAACTTTTAAAGTGGAGAACAATTTAATCCTGATTGGCTAGATCTCGATGCAGACCCTCATTCTTGAAGATCGGCACCATTCATATTCAATGTTATCGCTTGGGCCGCTACACACAGTGGACACAGTGGGTCATACCCGGGGAGTGCAGGGGTACTCCGTGAACTGATTCTGAATCCCCGAGAGCTGTGATCGTCGCTCGATGACTCGTAAGCATGATTTTCTATTTTCCCAACTCGAGATCCTTGTCAGTCCTAGTCCACACATGTGCATATATCAATTAGGATATTCCTAAACACTGATTTTCTCTTGGCGGACAATCTCCAGAGTCCAGACCAATATGGGCATCCACAATGTACAGGGGCAGAGTCTTCAGCGCATGATCGCCGTTCTTGGTGCGGTCGCATTTCTGGTCCAGGGATATAACCAGTCTATTATGAATGGCTTCACCACGCTGCCCAGTTTCTTGGCTGCGATCCCGCAGGTCGACACGGTCAACACTACAGGCGCACAGGCATCGCACAACTCCACGATTCTAGGTTAGTCATTCATCACACACCAAAACTGTTTTTTGGCGAAATTGTTAACTGATAGTTACTCACAGGTCTTGTCGTGGCTATTTTTGAGCTTGGTTCTGCAATTGGCGCACTATCTTGCCTGGCTATTGGTGATAAGCTGGGTAGGCCCAAGACGATGTTGGTCGCCGGATTCATCTGCACTGTGGGCGTGGTGATCCAAGCATCCACGTACTCCCTTGCCCAGATTCTCGTTGGCAGAATTGTCACAGGTATGTCCATCTTTAGTCGAAAGTTTGTCTATCAGCGAGCTAACATCACGATATAGGTGTGGGAATCGGCATCTATACAGGAACCGTTCCCATGTACGTGAGTGAGTCATCCAGTGCCACCAAGCGAGGACAGCTTGTATTGGTAGAAGGTGTCTTTGCGCTGAGCGGACTGGCTATCGCATCGTGGGTCAACTTCGGCATGTTCTATACAACAGGCTCGGTCAGCTGGAGATTCCCCATCGCTCTTCAGCTGATCTTCATTGCCATTATTCTCTCGCTCACTCCATGGCTTCCGGAATCTCCTCGATACCTAGTCAAGAAGGGAAGAATTGAAGAAGCAACCGCCATCATGGCAAGACTGATGGGTCTACCTCAAGATGACACCTCGGTGTCCAAGGAGATTGCTGTGATTCAGGCCGCGCTTGCAAGGAACAGCCAACACTCCGCAAATCCCTTCTCGATGAACGAGAACAGGCACCTCCAACGATTATTGGTCGCGGCAAGCGGAACGATGATCACTCAAATGACCGGTATTAACGTGATCGCGGGCTATTCTACATCCATCTTCGAGGAAACACTTCATTACTCCGGCAGCGATGCTAGAATTTTCTCCGCTTGTCTGCAAATGGCGTTGGCTCTCGGCGCCTTAACTGCGATTTTCCTGGTCGACCGAGTTGGCCGTCGTCCCATGATGCTTTTCTCCACGGGCTCCATGGTAGTAGCCCAAGCGGCCGTTGCAGGCTTGACATCAGATCTGTCAAACCCAGCTACCGGCAAAGCAGCAGTGTTCTTCTACTTCTTCGCCATGTACTGCCTCCCCATCGGCATGTTCATTATGCCATTCATGTACGGTTCGGAAATCGCCCCGCTGTCAATCCGCCATATTGTTGCGGCTGCGACGGCCGTATCTAGTTGGCTCTTCAACTTCATGGTGGCTGAAGTCACTCCGGTCGCACGCGACAGCATTGGTTGGAAATACGACATTGTTTATGCTGCAACCAGTATAGGAAGCTGTGTTCTCATATATTTCTTTTATCCGGAGACTCGGGGCCGGTCACTTGAGGAGATTGATGAGATTTTCCGTCAATCTAAGTCTATCTGGGATCCTGTTCGTGTGGCAAAGAAGCTTCCTGTCGGATTTGATGTTCTAGAAACTATCGATGATTCTGCAAAGGAAGCTTCCTTTCATACATCAGGGGTCTAAGCTTGATTAAAAATATTTTATAATGGATCAATGGCAGTTGACCTGTCTTTCGATGAAGCTATGCAAAAGATGTTAATGATTCAAAAGCCCACTTCTTTTACATACATGTATGAAAGTCTCAAATATCAGATTGAGGAGAATTCTCCACCTACATTACTCAGTTACTCATGTTATCTGCAAAATATCCATTTATATCAGATAAAAGTAAAGAAGTAAAGAGCGCGTAGGTTATAGCCTGGAGTCTGGACCCTTTGCAGCCCGCACGTGATGAATGTCAACTGGTAACGGATCTCACATCTGGAGCCCTGGAGAACGTGGGGGGAACGCGGGGAACAAATCTAGTCACCAATGGTTGCTCTCCGACTCTTTTCACATCTTGATCTGGAATTCTACCTAAATTTCGGCTTTGAACCCGTTATGACAGACCACATTGGAGATCCTTCACTTTATCCAGGGGAAGTTCTCGACACAATATGCGGATTCCCCACAATATATCACTACCAGCCAGCTTTGCAAGCCACAAAACCAGAAGATGAACAACCCAAACCCAACCCATTAGTTGTGTGCATACCTGGCTCGATGCATCTCGCACGAATATTTTATGGCGGACACAAAGGATCAAACCCCAAGGATTTCCTAGCGTACCAGCTCAGCAATCATGGGTTCAACGTCCTATCACTCTCCTACCCACTCGAAACAACCCCCGAAATAATGCCGAGCACCGGTGCCAGTTTCCGAATCCCAGACTGGGGTCATCAAGCTGCCACGACAGCCAAAAAGATTATCGAAGAGAAAGCCCTGTCTACACGGTCCATCATTCTCATCGCGTGGAGTATGGGCGGCCGAATGATTGTTCCTTTCAACATTGCAGCTAAAAAGCTAGGCTTCGAAGTCCAGCAATTCATCGGCTTCGCTGCCACGCCTGGAATCTCGAAGATTCGTAATCCGGCGCCGGGTATGGCGTGCAGCGAGGCGGGGTACTTTTGCATCCCTGATCGATTGGGTAATTTCTACGAGCAAGTCCAATTGATGGAGGAATTCAATGATGGCCAGACTGCAGTCCCTAAAGACGTTTTCTTACGCGAGTATGTGGGAGGCACACCGATCAATTTGACGGGTGTACGGATGAAATATGATGGGGTGGGAGCTTTTGTTCAAGACGAGTTGACGCACGAAGAGGATACGGGAGTCTTTGATGTGGCCAATCTGCCGTTTATTACGGCTCTTTATCCAACTGGGATTGTTGATGCTAGTCACGCGTTGGCTGATCGGGCGAGCTGGGGCTTCCTGCTCACCTATCAATTAGAAGCTATGGTTGGGAAACGGGGTTTACAAAGAGTTAAGGGGACAGAGAGGTGGCAGGAGTTGATGGATTTGGTTCATGCAGCTCCAGGGCGGCTGTGTTTTCCTGTTCCGGGCAGTCATTTCTTCTTCGTTGGAGAAGCATCTGCTCGTGAGGTAGCTGAGAAAGTGGTTAAGCTTATCTCTGTTGCGGGGGAATTTCAGGACACATTATCTGGAATCTTATCATTGACTGCTCCACCGTTATAATGTTATACTGCATGAGTCAAACATTGAAGATAAACGCGTGACTCATCCAATTGTATTTGAGGGGCTACATTAAGCTTCCTGGCAGCCCCTCAATATTCCATGTTTTAGTTCTTCAGGTATCTATAAAACCCCCGACAATAGTAAAGATGGTCCACGTCAAGCCGTTTGCTCTTGATAACTGGGGTAATTATACACCGGGTTCTCGGTTTTCATTAGGAATAGGCACTCCGCTAACATTCAACATCGATTCTCATAGTTCGCCAGTTCAAAGTAAGCCCTCGTTGTCCACCCTCTCGATCAATTCACGCTCTGTAGCTTATTTATGATTTGAAAGTCTTCTGCTAGCGCATATCTTCACGGTACATTCCCGGTCACATGCAATGCTCCATTAGTCTCACTTCAATATTCCTAACACTGCGTCAATATTAGATACCTGCGTGGATCCACTATCTCTAAACGAACTTTCGCAATTTCAAGCCTCTGACTCGTCAGCCAGTCCCATCAATACCTCGAGTGCTATATTGTATGGCGGTGTCACGGGAAGCCCCAGTCTTCGAGACAACATCCTCTCACTCTATACCAAAGATGTGACCGACCCCGCCAAAGAGCTTTCTCTTACCCTCACACAGGGCGCCATATCAGCCAACTTCTTGATCTTGGATACAATTCTTGGCCCAGGCGATCATGTCGTCTGCCAGTATCCGATATACCAACAACTTTACGATGTACCCCGCCGCGCTGGTGCAGAGGTTTCGTTATGGCGCAGCCGCGAGGAAAGAGGATGGATCCCTGATCCAGCTGAGCTCTCGTCACTCGTCCGAGAAAATACAAAGATGATCATTATCAAGTAGGCACAACATCTACGCTTCTGGAAAATCGCTAACGTGATTCGCTAAACAGCAACCCCAACAATCCGACCGGTGCATTGATCCCTTCCGAAGTCCTTGAAGAGATTGTTTCCTTTGCCGAAAAGCGAAACATTATAATTCTCAGCGACGAAGTTTTCCGTCCTCTCTTCCACGGTCAATCTATTGAGAATCCTCCTTCGATCATCTCCTTTGCCGGGCGGTACAAGCGCATTATCGCTACATCCAGCCTATCAAAGTCATACTCATTGCCCGGCATCCGAGTTGGTTGGGTTATTTCCCCTAGCGCGGACCTGGTGCACCAGGTCGTTATGGCCAGGGACTATACTAGTATTTCGGTGTCGCAGATAGACGGGGAGATCGCGGCTTACACTCTTGATGCCCAGGTACGAGAGAGGGTCCTCCAGCGATCGCTGTCTATCTGCGAGCGCAACCTGTCTGTTCTGGAGAAGTTTATTGCGTCGCATGCAGACCAATTGCGTTGGGTGAAGCCAAGTGGTGCGTCCGCGGGATTTGTGCAGGTGGTAGATCCTGATAGCGGCGCACCGGTGGATGATAAGGTCTACTGTGAGAAGCTTGTTCAGGAAACTGGACTGTTGATTGTGCCAGGGGGTGCGACCTTTGGCACGGAAGGTGAAATGGACTTTAAGGGCTATTTGAGGGTGGGATTTGTGTGTTCTGCTGAGCGGTTTGAGCAGGCGTTGGCGATTTGGGACGCATATCTGAATCGGGATTAAGTCCGATCAACAGGATAAACAGTGATCATTCCAAGTTAACTACCTATACTGTGATACTTTGGGCTTTTCTCGTTCATGGTGATACATTTCTCACAAATTGAAGTTCCTGATTCGCCTTTGAAGATATTAAAGTGGGCTTCCAAGGTTCTTCCCCGGTTCACCATACATCATACTTCCTAGGTACCGGGTACTAGGTACGGTACGCTAGGCCGTTTCCCAGGTTTGAAGGATTGGAGAAAAGCAAAATCTTGGATGTTGGCTTGATCAATTGATCAGTGGCTGGGATGATCGGCTTGATATGTAAAGTCGGATGTATAGGACTATCAGCAATTGTACTTCAATTATGTAAATTCAAACGTGAGGATGGTATAGAAAGGTGCACCTGGATATTAAGATAGACCCACTCGGTTTCCAAACCAACTACATGAAACAAAAGTAGCTCAAATCGGTTGAAGATGACGAAGGTTTCCGAGACAAGAGGTTCACGTTTCTATTGGTGCAATTAACTTTGGGGGTTAAGGTCAAGCTGGTGAAGGTCACGCCGATCAACACGTCTCAAGCTGCCTCTGTTAGCGACGACCTATGTAGTTGGGGCCAGAAACTGGGGATGCGGCACGCTGCAGTCAGCTTTCAAAGTGATCACCTCCACGGTCCATCCAGTCGGAAGCGATTTCGAGACCTCGAGTTGTCTTGATTGTTGGAAGCAGGCGACCCACCACGCCATACGAGACAATGACGTCGACCATTTTAGAGCAACCTTGTCCTACCTTTTCTCCCCTCATTTACCAACCTACTACTGTATGGGCTACATGAGTTTGCCTCCTTGAAAGCTTCTGGTGGTACGATTTCAAACAATGAATTGTGGCCCGCTTTTTTTTTTTTTTTTTTTTTTTTTTTTTTTTTTTTGGGCATAACAAGAGTTGAACTATTTGCTTCCCCGTGGAGTTGTGGCACATGGGCTTGGGTGGCAAAAGAGGGAGTGGAGAGAGGTGGTGCGTTTCCCTCTTCCCCCTTTTCAGGCATCAGCAGCGGCAATAGGTTCCTCTTGATCCACTGGGCTGAGAACCCCCTCCCTCTAGGTGCAAGTTGAATCAGGTCGGTGGCCGTGTCCGGGCCAGCCGGGGCCCATGGCCTCTCTGAAGTGGATCTCAGATACGTCGCACAGGGCTTCTTCTCCCGCGACCTATGAGAAGTAGGAATCGGTGGGATGGCTGCTGTTGGAGACGCGGAAGGACTCGGATCCTAAGTTTTGATTCAATGGTCTAAAATCTGGATCTGCCATCAGATGCACCAACGGCGACGGTGCCAAAGCCAAGCATTCGACTCTCCCCCTCCAAAGCCCCCAAAGTCTCCAAAGTTCCCAGGACCCTCCCACTTCACCAAAAAAAAGGTACTTTTGTTTTCCTGTTTTGGATCCAAGTATGACCGATACCGTCACGTGATGTCATCTCGACTAACTGTTCTCGAAGTTGAAGTTGAACTGACTGATTCATATTGACATTCAGCAGCCAGCCTCATTCTTCTTTCCTTGTTTGTTTCTCAGGTCGAATACTGTCTCTACTAGTACTAATAGAGTACGTTCTCTCCAAAACCTCCCACTGACAATACTTCAGACCTGTCAAAAAGTACCATCCGAGACTATTTGATGGCGCCAAGAGAAACCCTTGCCCAGGTCATTCTGTCGGATCGGCCGCATTCTTTGCCAGCGAGGCAGTGCTAAAATGTGGATGCGTGTACTCCGTACCACTTCCCCTTTAACAAATAATAAAGACAGTTTATGGTGAATAGTAGTTGGGTCTAGAGGTGTTGAAGAATCTACTATAGCGTGTACATTGGAACAATTCAACCTGAAGAGTCATCTGTAATATCCTCCGTTGGACCATCTTTACCGTAATGAAATGACCCGCACAACGACAACTTCGATCCCTTTCGAACTTCTTCATTCATTGTCAATTTCGATTCTCTAATTATTTTCTTGATAAATCATTTTTTTTGTTTTTGTTGAAACTAAATATCCGGGTATCGTGGATCCGGTCCCTTCTTTTTTTTTCTATTTTTTTTTTCTTGTTCTTGTCCCCCAATCGATCGATCTTCGTTCCCACCATTCCCGAAACGCCCACACAGCGCCATTCCTATCCCTGTCAAGAACGGTAGCCTTGATCTCTTTCCAACCCCCCTCCATCCCCTTTCCCTCTTAACCCCCAAGTTCAGTAGGGGTGAGAGAGAAGGACTCCGCTCTATACCCCCTCCGGTCATGCACAAGATCTCCAACTTCACGGGCCAAGCCCGTCATGGTTGGGAACGAATGACGCCAACCTTCGGGATCACTAGACCTCATACCGATATGGCCTTTCGCCGGCCACATGGTGCTCCGCCCATGACCCCTCCGACGAGCATCGACCCGACCGTTAACCTGTCCTTCAACGTTCCATTCTCCTCCACCTTGGCCGGCCCCGATGTCGAAGATGTCTTGCACGCCAGTCCCGCCGCTTTGCAACGCTGGACCTTCCCAGAAGGCACACCCGATGGTACCTTAGTGCATCAGCTCCCAGTGCACACCAGCAATGTCGAAGGACTGCGGAGGTTATGCCGTCAGATCACGGAAACCAGCGGTGGTCGCATCGAAGCCACTGTCACCTCTTCAGAGCCCAAGGCCGTACCGTCGCTACAAAGACGACCCAACGGATTAGTGACCAATGTCTGTGTGACTGGTGACGGAGAGACCGCGCGCAAGATGAGAGCAAAGATTTTGAATGATACTCCGATCATGCTGGTATGTGGATGAGTTTTCGATTTTTTCTCGATTTTTTTTTTCATTGGGCTCGTTGGGAGCTCGGCGGAGAAGATAAAGAACGAATCCCTTGCTAATTGCCGTATTCTGGATTCATCAGCGCTGTGCAACTGTCGACATGGATATGCATTTGATTATGGATGGATCACCCAAGGGAATTAGAGCGAGCGTTCTCGAGCACATGGATACGCTCGCCGCCTACACCGGAACAGACATTTTCTTGCTCACACCCAAGCTTCACGACGCGGATAGTGCAGTTGTTTCTTCCTATGGATATGCGTCGGATAATGACTTGGACCAACGCTTCCGAGTCGCCATATACGGTGACATGGAAAGCTCGGAACATGCCAAGACCCGGGTTCTGATCATGATCGATCAAATTGTGCGTTCTCCTCCCAGGTTACAGTTCTTGGATTCAGTTGACTAACATACAGATAGCTCAAACGCCATGTTGATGCCATCAAACTGGAACTTACCATGCACACCTTGGTCTGTGGTCGCACTCGCAAGAACATCAAGCTCATTGAAGCCGCCACTGGTACCGCTATATACTTCCCTCCCCCGTTCCCTCGAATTTTCGGATACACCCCTCCTGGTGCGAATCGTCGAAGTGAAGATGAGGTATACATTACGGGAGAGACGCCGGAACAGATTGCTCGGGCAAAGCAAAAGCTTCGGGAGCTAGTTATGGGCGTCAAGATTTACGTCAAGGATGTCGTGGTTAACTCGAGCAAGATCGACAACATCTTGCTTGACCGGCTGGACAAAGTTCGCAAGGTGATGGAAATGAATGGCTCTTACGTTCTCTTCCCGCAGCTGGGCAGCCAGCGCGGTCTGGTTCGGATTCAAGGCACCGAGGTCTTGCATGTCGAGCGGACCGTTCGGGAGATCATGGCTCTGGTACGACACGGACGCATAACAACTTTGAGGAAAAACCAGCTAATATTGTCTAGGCCGGCCAATTTTACAGTGCCTCGTGGTGGATCATCATGCCCGACCCTGCACAGGGTGGCATCCGTGCCCCCTCAACAGCCGACGTTCGCTCGATGCTCTCAGATATCTGCACCAACTCTGAAGCAGAGGTGAGCTTCGATAACCTGACCTTCACCATCAACGGATCCGACGATGCCGTCAAGGCCGCCATGACGGTGGTGAACCAGATTCCCTTCGTTACCCGCAGCCAGTACCAAATGCGGGTCAAGATAGAACTGGCCAATGAACACAAGGAATTCGTCAGCGGCAAGAAGAACGGCAAGATCAACAAGATCATGGGTCAGAGTAAGTTTGCTCCATAGTCCATCTGTAAGGATGAAGAACTGACAAGCAAGCAGGCAATGTCCAAATCATCTTTGATGGCTTCAATGAATACAATTTCTACATTGATGTCTGCGGAAACCAGTATGAGTCTACCAAAAACGGCCTCGATCTGGTAGAGCAAGAGATGCCTGCTTCGATCTCATTCCATGTACCTGATCAGTACCACAAGCGCATCATTGGTATCGGTGGACAGCACATCCAGCGTATCATGAAGAAATACTCGGTCTTCGTCAAGTTTTCCAACGCCATGGACCGAGGTGGAATGGGCAAGGAGGATGATGACATCAAGGTTGACAATGTGATCTGCCGGACTCCTGCTCGTAATGCCCAAAGCCTGGATCTTGTCAAGCAGGAGATTATGGATATGGTCGAGAAAGTTGTAAGTTTATGTGTATTCTCCGTCTCACTTGCTTCAAACCCAGCTGACCATGATGTTTCCAGGATGCCGAGTATGTCTCAGAGAGAGTGGTCATCAACCGACTATACCACCGCGAGTTGTTGGCTCGCATCACGGAGATTGATGAGTTGGAGAAGAAGTGGAACTGCAAGATTGAGTTCCCCAGCACCGAGCTTGCCAGTGATGTTGTGAACATCTCCGGTCCCGAATACCAGGTCCCACAGGCGGTTGATGCCCTGCTAGGCATGGTGCCGGAAAGCCACGAGCTTCACTTCCAAAGCTCCGCTGAGCTGCGGGTGTACTTCCAGTCGCCAGACTTCCTCGCGGACGTTCGTACCAAGCTCAAGGAGCAATACGAGGTTGACATCAATGTGGATACCAGTGCCGAACTTCAAAACCACGAGGACGGCTCTTCTTCTCCTGATCCAGCCCCAGAAGATCTTGTGGTTCTTGGTTACACCAGAAACAACGCTGGTGGTCTCAAGGATGCCATTGACTTCCTGATTTCCCGCCTCGTGGCCCACGGCCTCGACGCCAACACCGTCAAGGGTGCTATCCCACGCCCTAAGTCGGACTCATTCGAGGAGTCCTTGCCCTTCTTTGACTCGAAATTACTGCAGCATGCGCCAGCCCCGCTCGTAACCGACTCGCCCACGCGACCTAGCTTTGTTGATGAGGTCAGCGAGCGTGGTTCGATCTTCGAGCGGCTCCGCAAGCCTGGCAGTATCTCGTCCTTCTCGTCCTTCATTGGTCGTAAGAACCACTCTGGATCACCGGCCTCGTTCTTCAAACATGCCTCTAGCAATGCCTCCAAGGCATCACTGGTTTCGATGGAATCTCGAGACAGTGGCTACCGCAACCCGTGGAACGATTCCGGCGTGAACCTCCCCGAGGACGACGTGCCCGTCCTGGGGAGTTCGCATAGCCACAAGAGCAGCAACAGCAATACCAACAACAATGGCTGGCCTGCACGATTTGACACGAAGTTTCCTTTCGGTACGGCGCCCGGAGACATGACACCCAAGCATGATCCGCGCGCCTCTTTTGACAGTGGTCGCCCTAGCACTTCGAATTCTACTTCTGGATACCCGGCCCCCATTGGGCCACCGCGTTAAACCCAAAATATCCATTTACAGCAGTATACCCTCTTGGTCGTGATTTGTTTTTGTCTTTTTTTTATTCCCAGCGTGGTTTTTATCAATTTTCTTTCGGGTCTACGTGTCTTTTCTTTTCTGTTTCTTTTATTTGGTTTCTGATTTATTGATTGATACCACGGAACGCAAGCAACGAAGGCGTCAGAAAAGAAAAATGAGATATCCAAGATCTGTGCGCGAGATAGAGCAGGGTGATTTTTCCCCCTGCCCAGTCTTTTGATGTGTTTATTGTTTTTTTTGTGTCGCAAATTTGTTGTGACGAAGTAAGAGTCGACGTTGATCGATTTCAATTAGTCGGATTCTGACTTCGTTTCTTTACATGCCTGGTTTTGGTTGATGTTTTATTTTGATGTTTTACTCTTTTGATATCCCCCATCAATAAGATTCGACCTTAGATGATTTCCAGATCAAGTACACGATATCTTGAATTCCAAAATTCTAACGTTAGAACTTTCGGGTGTAACATGGCGCGGAGATAGTGAGCGCCGATCTCGCTGACGTAGTATCAAAACGTGGGGTAAAGCCCCTCATATACTTCATACTTCATACTTCCTTCCTACACCGATGCTCTCACCCAGTTCATATTGAAGCCCAATCATCCCATCAGTTACTCAATCCTATAGTTAAAGAACAAAAGAACAAACTCAAACCAAAAAAAACCACAATGGCATCCTACCCCCGCCCAGATTTCCAACGCAAATCCCTAAACTGGACAACCCTAGACGGCCCCTGGTCCCTCCTCTTCGACGACACAAACACAGGCCTCTCAAACCAATGGCAAAAAACAGCCCTCCCACCCCAAAGCCCAACCAACACATCCCACAAAAAACGGCCCATAACAGTCCCCTACGCCTTCCAAACCCCAGCATCAGGCATAAACCTCCACGAAGTCCACGAAGTGTTATGGTACGAACGCACCATCACAGACATCCGCACCGAAGCCGAAAAAACAGCCAAAAACCGCCTCCTCATCCGCTTCGGCGCCGTAGACTACCAATGCACCGTCTGGGTCGACGGGAACCTCGTAGGCTCGCACCGAGGCGGCCACGTCCCCTTCGACATCGACGTCACAGATGCCTTCACGGGCCCCGATCCAAGCGCCCGCCTTACCCTGCGCGTATGGGACTCCGCCACGGACCTGGCCCAGCCGCGCGGCAAGCAGTTCTGGGGCCCGGTCCCAGAGAGTATCTTCTACACGCCTACCAGCGGGATCTGGCTTTCTGTCTGGATGGAGAGCGTGCCGCGCATGCGGCTTCTGGATGGGAGCGGGGGCACGGTGCTGAGATCAGACGATATCGATAGCGGCCGGATCCGCGCCCATGTTGCCTTTGCGGGACATTTGGCTGCTAGTGCGCAGGGGCAGGCACGGGGTAGCGTTGAGATCGAGGTCTCGATTGCTGGGGTGGTGGTTAGTACGACGCGGGCCGACGTGCACGGGAGCCGGGACTGGGCCGAGCTAGAGGCTAGTGTGAGTGTTGGCGAGCACGAGGTCGCGGGGTTGAAGAAGCGGAAGGAGAAGGAGCTGGCTTGTTTGCGGGCTGAGGGGGCGTGGCATGATCATGGGGTTGGAGGTGTTGCGTTGTGGGCGCCGGAGCACCCGATTCTGTACGATGTGGTTCTCCGGCTTTACGATGCGGAGAACGTGCTTGTTGATGAGGTGGGCACTACGACCGGGATGCGCAGTTTGGGTTGGACGAGCGGGGATGGGACGTTCCGGCTGAATGGGCGGCCCTATTTCCAGATGCTCTTCCTTGATCAGGGGTATTGGCCGGAGACGGGGCTTACGCCGCCTTCGTCTGAGGCTTTGAGGGCGGATATCGAGATGGCGAAGGCGTTGGGGTATAATGGGTGTCGGAAGCACCAGAAGGTTGAGGATGCGAGGTTCATGTATTGGGCTGATCGGGTCGGGTTCATTGTTTGGGGGGAGATGGCGAATGCGTATGAGTTTGGGGCTGACTATGTTGAGCGAATGGATGCGGAGTGGACGGAGGCTGTGAGGAGGGATATCAATCATCCTTGCATTGTGACGTGGACGCCTGTCAATGAGAGTTGGGCGTATCCGGATTTGAAGGGGAGCATTGAGCAGAGGAACCATGTGCGGTCGCTGTATTATTTGACCAAGTATGTGATACGGTATCTTCTGATTCAGAAGCTAGCCTGGAAGGCGAGGCAAATTGGTCATGTCAGAACTACAACTAATGTCCTTGTGTTGGAACAGATCACTCGACCCCAGCAGGCCTGTAAATGACAACTGTGGCTGGGAGCATGTCCTCACGGATCTGACTACTTACCATGACTACGCCGACTCTGCCGATCTAACTTCCACATGCTCAAAGATGGAAGGCGGCATCCTTGGCCCTAAAGGTGGACACGAGATGTTCACCAAGCCTATCTACTCCGGGTTTGCAGGCCACACGCTTCTCGACTCCGGTGCGCAGCACAAAGCAGGTGCACCGGTGATCTGTACAGAGTTTGGAGGTGTGAACATCACGCCTGCAAAAGATGGGCAGAAGGCCGGGGAGCGGGATTGGGGGTACACGACTGCGGCAGATGTGGAGGATTTCTTGGTGAGGTATGAGAAGTTAGTTATGGGGGTGGTCAAGGGAGGACATTCCTGTGGACTTGTTTATACGCAATTGTAAGTGCTGAGAGTGGTTGACGTTTTGAATGATGAGTGAGTGCATGGATGATAAGAATGAGTTACTGATGGTTTTCTTCTAGGTGTGATATCGAGCAGGAAGTAAATGGTCTTTATTCCTATGATCGAAAGGAAAAGGTGCCTGTCGACCGGATCAAAGCTATTATGGATGCGGCAAAGGATTACTACTACGACCATGTTGGTGTACAGACGCATGGAGCGAAGGGATGGAAGAAGCTTCTTGAGCAAGGAAGACAGGTACTTCACCGATAAATGTGTACAGCAGGGCAGCACGGAACAATTAGACCCCTGGGGATAGTAGATATTATACACAATTTTTGGGAGACAAGAGCAAATTCCATAGTTTTCATTAAGCAGGCTTCTTTTTCCGCCTGTAAGATCAGTTCGCTGAATGTGCTTGAGAATGTGAAGTAAGGGGCATCCTATCCCACTCATAACGCCAGATATGCCGAGAAATTTCCTGAAAAGAGAGATAGAAAGAAAGAATAGAACAGAGGAGCGCTGAAGAGATGCATATTACAGAATGTTAAAAGATGTGCGCAGAAGAGCCGAAAGCAAGATCACATGTTGGCAAGTTCGTGATCGATCTGTTGATCCAGGAACGCACGCTTCTCGCCGGTGAGCGAGGTTTGGAGGCGTTGTTCAACAAAAACGCGGACTAAGAAAAGTTGTCAGTTAGTTGTTTATGGATTTCATGATGAGCGAGGTTTGATCTTACCCTGCTTCTTGGTGACGGTGTCGAGATCCACCTCGGCGAGGCATCCGCGGATAGCTTCAGTGATGGCCTGATCATCAGGACCAGCGGAGGCGCTACGGAAATCGAAGGCGGTACTGGCTGGACGTGGGGGGAACTGGCCCATGGGGCTACGTGAACGTGCCAGGTTGTCGCTGCTCTGCATGAAGGCAACACTGTGACGACTGGCGTGTCCAGGGTTATCCTGGTAGGCACTGAGATTACCGATGGACATGTGACGAGATGCAGCCGCCGGGTGGCCGCCTAGTTGAGGGTAATCAGTGTAGCGTGTGAGACTAGACATGTGCGAATTGCGGTTGCCAGGCACGTTAGCACCGGCATACGGAGCCGGTGACTGAGGAGGCATGTATGGGCTAGCGTGGCGGCCATGACCCGGGAAACCAGTGAGAATTGTAGAGGCGGGCTTCACGGATGAGTACTGAGAGTGCATCTCATCCATCTCCAATTCATCGGCATATGGACCAGCAGAGTAGATCTTCTCAGAGCCAAGATCTCCAGCACGGCGACCAGGAAGATGATTGGCGAAAGCGTAATCATCCCAACGTTGCAGGGGAATACTGCGAGGATCAAATGTTTCATCTTCCACAGCAATGACCCGCTTGGAACCTTTCTCACCAATGACGACACGAGTGCTACCCCAAGTGAAATCATCCTGCTTCCAGAATGAGTAGAGGGGCAAGATGAAATTGAAAACCGGGAATGCGAGAAGATAGATGATCATCCATCCAATGTGTTGCCACTGGCGCTTGACAATGAAAATGATACATTGAAGACCGTACATAGCGGCCAACATGATAATCGAGATCAACGGGAAAGGACCAGTGTCACTGCCGATCCGGTAAAACAGATAGACAAGGTAGACACATGTAGCAGGTAGGATGAGTGTTCCGACCAGATCCACCAGAACGACAAAACGCATGCTGAAACAGCAGAAACCGCACAGATCTTTAAGAGCAACCAGTTCCACCAGGTTGTGAATAGTGGAATTGATCCAACGACGTCGCTGCGAGATAAGCACACCCCAGGTCTCCGGAGCGGCCGTACTTGCGTGCGCGCCGGGAAGGAATTTGTAACTCATTGTTGGGAAGTGCTTGGTCATGATGGTCGTCAAGAATCGATCTTCACCCAGAGAGAGTAGGTTCTTCTTGTGCAGTGTATCAATGTCGATGTCAGCGTACTCTTTGATAACTATGTCGGAAATAATCAGAGGGCGACCCTTGTCTGCGGTTCGAAGACGATACATGGTGAAACTAAAAGATGTGGTTAGACGGGAGGTTCAATGAATAGAAAACAGGAACACAACATACCATCCAGGAAGACAAGTAACACTGCCAAACAATGATTCGAAGGACTTGGAGAGATGGTGCGCAATGTAGTATTCGTAGACTTGAATCATTGTCCACCAGGAGCGCTCTTCGTTTTGCAAGCTAGTCTCACCACAGATGCCAGCAATCTTAGCATCTGAGGCACAGGCAGCCACTAAGCGATTCAATGAATCCTCTTTGACGCTGGTATCAGCATCAATCATAAAGCAGTACTCATACAGCTCCGGATCCACACCAATGATATTATTGATCTGGTGGAAACATTCAAGTTCCATAGGGGACATTGGAGCGCGGTGGTGGACACGGTTCAAGAAGCGCATCAGCATGACCTGCGTATCTCGTTTACCTCGGTTACCAGGCTTGGTCTTTGTTTGCTCAGACTCCTTGCCAACCTTGACCACGACGATGTAGGGAACAACATTGCCTTCAAACTCGTACAGACCGGAGTAGACCTTGGCATAGTTCAACTGCTCACTACCTTGACCGACAGATCTGAACGGTAGAGCTGGTGGGTCCAGTTTCGGATCCACGCCAAGGATATCAAGAACAATCTTAGGTGTTGGTCGATCGTTACCTCCACCGACAATCATACCATCACAGATCACAAATATGAGCTTTCTTTTGTTGTCATACTGCAAGGCGGTGAGTGAATCCAGACTCTTTCGTAGAGAGTCTTCACCCTCGGTATAGGCGGGCACCATGCAAATCACGAATTTATCTTGAGGTGCTGGTCGGCGCTTGGTGCCCAGCTGCAGGGCAGCCAAGAACTTGACACCAATAACCATACAGATCAGAATAGTGAAAGTAAGAAGGATCCAGTTGTTCACGGTACAGCGGGCATCCTCTCGGAAGTCCACTTTGCCTTGGTAGAAGACATAATCCAGGCACCTGGTGGCTTCTTGCCACTCGGTAGATGTTCCCCACTGATCAGTCACGTCAGTTCCGGCGTTGTTTTTGAACAGTGTAGTCATGGCATCTGGCAGGAATTCATAAGTTGTATCGGTCGAATACAAACTGATGGTGTAGAAGTAATTCGTCAGGTCGTAGACTTTTGAATTAACGATAACCCAATAACGCGAATAATCGTTGGCTTGCTTCTCGATGGTAGCCTTGGTCCAGACTAGTTCACCCTTGTAGTAATCGTTGATCTTAGGCAAAAAGACATCCTCATACCAGGTGATCTTGTGGAGTGCGGTGGTGTTTGACGGGTAGTTGATGGGGCCACAGTCGTGGTCGGCATCCGTGTACAAAAGTGCACTGGTGTCGTTGTTCGATAGCGCAAGTGTCGAGTCTGTCACAAAGGGATTGCAGAATTGGGTGAGTGGCGGGGGGAAATAAGCATCCAAATTCTCGCCGGCGAAAACTTTCATGTTTGTGGAAGTCGTGTCGGTGCCATCGTCACTGTGCTGCTTGCGCCAGAACTTGCTGATATCGTAGACACTGCCATGGATGCTGACATAGAAATCGTCGTCTCCAGTCTTCCAGCTGACTTCCTTAGTATTCCACACTTTGTCTTTATTGGGACAAAGAAGATCGCCGAAGGCGATAATGTAGAAACAGACAATACCATTGAACAACAGGATGAGGAAAACCAAAACAACCTTTTCTCTCCATGCCATTCGAACATCCGGGCGCTTCATGCGACCAACGTATCGAAGCACGAATGATGGGATCCAGAAAGTGAGCGCCCATACAAATCCTGCCCACAGTCGACGGCTGAGTGGGATGGTCTTCTTCTCAATGTGCTGGGGGTCTCCAAATTCAGGGTCGAGATCACCGATGTAACGACCATAGTCATCGTAATAGGTGACATCTCCCTTGTTATCGTCACCCTTGTGACCAAGACCATAGTCACCGGCGGCACCAGTCTGGGTGTAAGCAATTGACTTAGCACCTCCCATGACGCTTGGGGGTACCATGGCAGACTGATTCAGGATATAATCATGCTGACCTGCCAACAAGTTGGATGACTCCCCGACCGGATTTCCATCGGGTGTAATGCCTGGCTCGTAGAGTGCAGCGCCGTATCCAAACGGATTCATGGGGCTTTCATCTGGCTTGAGATCAAGCATAGTTTCAGCTTCTCGCCACGCGCCTTCTCGCATCCAGATGCGCTGGTGACCGACGACCGCATCGCCATTGCTCCAACCTCTCTCAAGAATCCAGCTCTCAACGCCGTCCTGGCCTTCAGAGCATCCCAACCGGGCGTATCGTTGAACAAACTCCTCCACATCGAAATCCGCGGTGAAATCGAGCTGTTTGAGGCGACGGTTTGCCCACTCTGGCAGTCGCCAATCTCGGAGCTGCCGAGACACTGTACCGGCTGACCACGCGGGGTTTGAGGCGTTCAGCTGTTCGGGTAGATCGTCGGTAGGGTGAATAGAGAGATGATACCAGACACGACTGCTCAGAAGAGTGGTTGCGAGATCGAAGCGACCGCGTTTTCCCAAAGAGATGCCTTCGCCGTCAACCGGAAAGAGCAACTTTTGCAAGAACGAGCCGGCTTCGAACTCGACTCCAACTTTCTCCAGAAGGCCTTGTCGCCTATCAAGGTCGTGTTCACGTTCACGGGTGGCGGAAGTCCCTGTCATTCCGAGATCTGCCTCGACTTGTGACACGGCAGAGTTCATTTCAGTCAAGACGGATTGGCCAATGGCCGGAATAGGAATCCCGTCGTCTTTCATTTCAGCGTTGATACCTAGGTCGTCATCAAATACACCTCTCATGGCGACAGCCTTTCCAAGGGCTGGGCGTGGAACATCAATCACAGTCAGGCTAACGGTGTCTTCGTTGGCCAAGTGTGCAGCACTGGGACCACCGACGCTAGAGTCATTTTCAAGCATGTTCTGGATGTCGGCTGAGATGGCTACGTTCGCTTTCTCAATTATCCAGTCCACGAGAGCTTCGTAGATAGCGGCGATCAGAATCTCACGTTCATCGGTGGAGCATTGGTGTAGAAGAACCTCTGGGTCGACTCCCAGAAGACCACCCACTTCCTCACAGGTTTCCTCCAACTCTTCCTGATCTACCATGAGACCTGCGGCATTGCCGAGTTTGAGCAGACCGGCCAGAACGGAGAGCAGATGCCTTTGGGTGGCACCCTTGATACCGATGGCCTTTAGATTCATACGAAGATCTTCCGCTGCTGCCGTATCGTCTGCAGTTGGTAGATATGACGGAGGGTTGTATGTGCCAGATCGATTCAGCAGAGCATATGCTGCAGGCTCCTTGAGGTCCAGGAACTCCCGCTCGGCCGGAGTGGAGGCAGAAGTCAAGAGGTAGTAAAATACGTCAAAGGCACGGTAGCCGGACTCTGCTGGTACGTCCAGAAGACCCTTGGCCACATTGAGACCTGATGTCGACAGAGCCAAAGACAGGCCAACCACTGTACCTCCCAAGGTCAATGTATAAGAAGCAGATAAGGCCGAATGAAGAGAGTAAGACGGATTAAACGAGGTCGCAGCTGAAAGGAATGGTCGCAAAGTGGCCAGCGCTGTATATCCAATATCCGGGGTAGAAACTGGCAACGATGCCAGAAAAGGTTCGAGCAATGATGGGGTAGATTGGTGAAGTGAGCTATTATCAAGTCATTAGCACCTTCAACGTCCGACTTGCGGATACGACCTGAGCTAGATTGACGTACCAGAGAAGGATGCAACCATCCTCAGCTCGTCTGCGGGCATGTTCCCAGGCCCGAACTGCCAAATCTCGATCAATTGCGGCTCCACTACGACCATCCGGTAAGATGGTGGCCGCTGTCACCCATGTGTTGACAACCAAGCTAGTACTGGCATCTAATTGATACGGTTGGCCGGCGGTATAGAAAGAGTGTAGAGCATTGAGCAAGGTGGTGGTTGAGACTTGAGAGGCATGTTGAGAGACTGGCCGAGAAGCTGTCGGAAACCCCCCCGACTGGGTAGAGAACACGGAGTAGCGATTGGACATGGTGAACGCTGGAGCAGTGTCCCGGGGTAGATGGTGGATTGAAAGTCTCAGAACGGCATCAGGTGAAGATGGGAACGATTTAGACGTGGTGATTTGCGTTGTTCCACGGCGGAATAGGTGTGTGCACAGATGAGGTTGTCACGTCAACAAACTTGCAAGTGGGAGCTTCTGTTGGATGGGTATACTCCGAAGAGGTGAGCGAGTGACTGGAGATGGGCGATATCGAGGCAGGGTTGAAGAGATCGATGGTCAAGCGAAATGAAGGGGAAATGGAAGAAACAAGGCAAAAAAATGAAGTAAGCAGCAGAGCAAAGCAAAGCGAAAGTCGGGGAGGAAAAAAAAGACCAACGAGATAAGGAAAACGATGGGCGTGGGGAGAAGAGGGTACTGTGTACATACAATACGTGAGAGATACCACTAGGGTTCACCCGGTTACTGAGTTTACGGGTACAAGTTTCTAGTGGTTTTGGTGGTTTTGGTGGTTTTGGTTTTATTACAGCTATCAATACCGACGATCCGGAGCTAAATGAACGATCGTCCGGGTAGCTTGGCAAGCTTTAGGTCAAAGGAATGGGTAATACCACATTTACCACATTTACCACACTTGCATCACATTTCACTATAATTCTAATTTCCAGGGGTATGGGAGGATATCAACAGTTGGAAATTGAATTTTTAAAAACACCTGTAGGATTCTTGAATTCTATCTTTTATTTCTTTTCTCTTCTTCTTTGCCAATTCTTTCTTTTTTTCATGAATAGCCTTTGTTTTGTGCATACCAGTATAGCAACTTTATGTATGGAATAGGGGGGGACCTTTTTTTCTTTTTTGTAATGAATGTGTCAGGTGGCCGAGGGCCGTCTAGTCCGACCAATCAGAGTTGAGGGTACATGTGGTAGTTGCAGCCGGTGTCTTGCCTTTTTTCTCCCCACTCTAGAAATCGGGTGAACAGGCCTATTACACAGCCAGCTCTTCCCTTTCCCGTCTATATTTGGCATGTCTCACAAAGGAAAACTTGCCACCCAGGGATTTGCTTCCCATTTCGATACCGTTCCGCCACGAACCCCCCCCCCTAGTTTCACATGGTCCACTCACAGACCTCGGATTTGTGCAGAGTGGAGGCTCCATTCAGGCCAGTGCGGTTTTTTTTCGATCGCTCTCTTTTGCAGGTCAGATTTAGAGTATTTCAAATATAGATCAATACAATGCGTGAGACTAGATATATTCCTCTTTTTTTTTGACGTGGAGGCTGTTTTGGAGCAAGGAGGTGGTGCATCAAAAAGAGAAAGAGTTTTCCGCAGTCCCTGAGAAATCCCTGAAAATCCCTGAAAATACCAGACCCTGCAAACAAGAAAATGATCAATCAGAGGCAATGTGTGGGCCAGACCCTGGGGTTATGTAATGTCGGGTGGAGCCGATTATTTACTTGAGACTGAGGTTGGATGCTACTATGTATACTAAACAACTAGGGCCCAAACATTGGCTTTTTGTTTTGTTTGGTAACTTACTGGAACATTTGAACCAAGATGTGGAAAAATAATTCCAGAAACAAACCCATAACAAAATAGTTAAATCCAATGCTTCCATATATGCCACAACGTAAATTCAACCTCACTTGTTTAAGATAAAAATAAAACATAAAAAACCAAGAAGCTAGTGGAAAGTTTTCGTTTTATGGTACTGTCTCAGACTGGTACTGCGGAGAATCAGAGTGGATTTACCCGATCACAACACTAGCTCTATTCTTAGTCTGGTACCGGTACGGCGACTCCGTAATAAAATACATACACAACACATTTGCCCCAGATAACTCTTACTCTTATCTGTTGGAAATTCGTTCAACTCTTTTTTTTCCCCTGTTTGTGACGTTTCCAAAACTAGTCGGTCTTTTGCATCGTTCCCGAAAACAATCCCTCTCTCTCCAAATCTCTAATGTGTACGACCTTCACTCGCTAGGGGGTTTTTTTTCATTCCTCCCTGACATTCTCCAACTCCACGTTCATTCCGAGACGTGTCGAGACCCTTGAACTCGACCCACGGACTCGTGATCGATCGGAATACATACACTCGTTTTTTGCTCCCCCGGACTTCCGAGAGGAAGCATCGCGACATCTCAAGATGGCGGGCAACTCGAGCAACGCTCCAGCCCACGCCCAATCCTCTCTACCGTCCCTCCCCGCACATCTCCAGTCCGATACCCATCTGACTGCTCAACTGGCCAGTCGGTACGTAGATCTTGGTTCTTAAGAGATCCCCCTCACGCCTACTAATTCTCCGACCAGATTCCATGTTGGTTTGCCTACCGCCCATCTCTCCTCTCAAGCATTGGTCGCTCTCAACACATATACATCCGCTACCAAAGGTCCCGATGGCACCAAAGAAGGAAGTGCAGCTGGAGAAGCGGAGGATCTTGCCCGTCGAGCTTTCACTCGCTTAGGAGCTCGCGGAGAGAACCAAGCCGTGGTATTTCTGTAAGCCAATCTTTCCAATCCCTAAGCCTTATTCCAATCTAACGCATAAAAATCAGAGGCGAGAGCGGCTCAGGAAAAACCACCCTTCGCTCACATCTACTATCATCTTTCCTGTCGTTTTCATCAACTCCACTTTCCTCTAAACTATCATATGCGGCTTTTGTTTTCGACACACTGACAACGACCAAATCCGTGACGACTCCTACAGCTTCCAAGGCTGGTCTCTTCCTCGAATTGCAATACGATGGCTCATCTTCAGTCAACCCGACCTTGATTGGTGGTAAAATCATCGACTATCGATTAGAACGGAGCCGTATCTCCTCAGTGCCCACTGGTGAACGCAGTTTCCATGCCCTCTACTATCTTCTAGCCGGTACCAGTTCTGCTGAAAAGTCTCACCTGGGATTTGACAATCCAATCAACATTTCCACGGGGGCAGGCGCAATCAGCCACAAGCGATGGCGGTATCTTGGTCACCCTACTCAGTTGAAAGTCGGCGTCAATGATACTGAGGGCTTCCAGCACTTCAAAACCGCTCTACGCAAGCTCGAATTCTCTCGCGGAGAGATTGCTGAGATCTGTCAGATTTTAGCTAGCATTCTTCACATCGGACAGCTCGATTTTGTTTCTGGTCAATCGACCGCTACATATGCCGAAGAAAGCGGTGGTTACTCTCATGAAGGTGGTGAAACTGTAACCGTGGTCAAGAATAAGGATGTGCTTGACAATGTGGCGGCATTCCTGGGTCTCGGCGTTGAAGCTCTGGAGGTTAGCCTGGGTTACAAGACCAAGACTATCCACCGGGAGCGTGTAACGGTTATGCTGGATCCCAAGGGCGCTCGACAGAATGCTGATGCGTTTGCCCGTACCATCTACTCGCTTTTGGTCACCTATGTGATTGAAACCGTCAACCAGAAGATCTGCGCCGCCGAGGATAGTGTGGCAAACACCATTTCAATCGTTGATTTCCCTGGATTTGCTCAAGCTGCTGCGACTGGCTCCACATTGGATCAACTTCTTAGCAATGCGGCCACGGAGTCTTTGTACAACTACTGCCTGCAGTCCTTCTTTGACCGAAAAGCCGATGTATTGGATCGCGAAGAAATTTCAGTTGCAGCAACAAGCTACTTCGACAACACCGATACCGTGCGGGGTCTTTTGAAGCATGGCAATGGACTGTTGAGTATCCTGGATGACCAGACTCGCCGTGGTCGATCAGACGGCCAATTCTTGGATAGTGTTCGCAGACGGTTCGAAGGTAAAAACCCGGCAATCTCTGTGGGCGATTCCCATGCTACTGGCTATATGTCTCAAACCCGGAGCGCATTTACCGTCAAACACTTTGCAGGTGAAGTGGACTACTCTACAACTGGCCTGATTGAAGAGAATGGTGAGGTGATCTCTGGAGATTTGATGAATCTGATGAAGTCTACCCGGAGTGACTTCGTTCGGGAGCTCTTTGGCCAAGAAGCGTTGCAGACTATCTCCCACCCCCGGGAGAAGACTGCGATCATGCAAGCTCAAGTATCCTCTAAACCCCTGCGGATGCCAAGCATGGCCAGGCGCAAGGTCAACCAACAGTCGCGCCTTGCAGCAACTCCCGAAGACGTTTTTGGTGCGGAGACTGAAGAAGTTGAAGATAACGATAGTCAAGAAACAAGTTCCAAGCGCGGCACGTCTAGCCGACGGGGTGGTCTTACCACTGGTCCAGCACAAGGAGCGGCCGGCCAATTCCTCTCGGGGCTGGAGATTATCAACAAATGTCTGAGTTCGCCAAACCTGAATCCCTACTTTGTGATCTGCCTCAAGCCCAACGATCGCCGCATTGCAAATCAATTCGACAGCAAATGTGTGCGTATGCAAGTGCAAACCTTTGGTATCGCGGAGATCAGTCAGCGGTTGAGAAATTCCGATTTCAGCGTTTTTCTCCCCTTTGCCGAATTCCTTGGGCTGGCTGAAATTGGCAATGTTGTTGTCGGAAGTGACAAAGAAAAGTCAGAAGTCATCTTGGATGAACGACGATGGCCTGGCAACGAAGCCCGCGTTGGCAGCACTGGTGTCTTCTTGAGTGAACGCTGCTGGGCGGACCTTGCCAAGGTCGGGGAGCGTGTGGTTCCGTCGTATAAGATTGGTGGAGCTGAATCTGGCGAAGGGGGTTTCAATTCTGCTACTGGAACTCCGGATGCCAAAGTCCGTCTCCTCAATCCAAACGACCAGTCTCCTGGTGCCTATATCTACGGAGACGAAACGAAGCAAGGTTACTTCGGAAGCCGTGAGATGGATGGCCGTTCCGATGCTGGAGGCTCCGCCTTCAACTCTGGCGATATGTTCCGGAACCTTGAGACCCGAGAGCAGATGTTGCAGAAAGGCAACGAAAAGAACATGGAGGAGGTAGATGAACTACCTGTCTCGGGCTCCCGCAAGCGTTGGATGTTCTTAGTCTATATGCTTACCTTCTACATTCCTGACTTCCTTATCAAGTGGGTCGGCCGTATGAAGCGTAAGGAGGTGCGTGTGGCTTGGCGTGAAAAATTGGCCATTAACATGCTCATCTGGTTCGCCTGTGGCTGTGCCGTCTTCATGATTGTTGGCTTCCCTGGAGTAGTCTGTCCAACACAGCATGTCTACTCCAAGGGAGAACTCTCAACTCACAATGGTAAAAAGGGTGAAACATCCTTCATTGCGATATCGGGTGTTGTGTTCGGCCTTGGCGAGTTCATGCCTTCCCATTACCCTAGTATCGTTCCCGAATCGTCCCTTAAGACTTATGCCGGTACCGACGCCAGCGATCTTTTCCCTATACAAGTTTCAGCCTTGTGTCAGGGAGTGAACGGCAGTGTGGACCCTAGTGTGCCATTGGACTATCGATCGAACTTGAATGAATCCAGCTCATCCACGGCCACTGGTACGAATGCCAATGCCAAGTACCACGACTTCCGCTACTGGGTCACGGGTGATTACCGTCCGGATTGGTACTATGAGCAAATGGTCATGTTGAGATCAAGCTACAAGAAAGGTTGGGTCGGCTATACTGCTGCCTACATGAAGGATCTAGCGGACAACGACGACAAGCAGATTGTGAGCATCGATGGGAAAATCTACGACATGACCTACTATATCGCAGGTCCTCGAATTCCCCGTTTCCCCACCGGAGTGAATAAATCTACCAGTGATATCGATACCGACTACATGAGCCCTTACATCACTACTTTGGTTCAGGAGAAATCCGGCCAGGATGTCACCAAGTATTGGAACGACCTTCCCTTCGATACTGCATTGCGAGCACGGATGCAATTGTGCATGGACAACCTGTTCTTTGTCGGACATCTCGATACTCGAAACTCCCCACAGTGTCTATTTGCGCGTTATTTCATTTTGGCTATCTCGATTCTGATTTGCACAGTCATCCTTGTCAAATTCCTTGCTGCCCTGCAGTTCGGAAAGAAGAATTTGCCTGAGAACTTGGATAAATTCATCATTTGTCAAGTACCGGCTTATACTGAAGACGAAGACTCACTGCGTCGTGCCATCGATTCTATGGCCCGTATGAAATATGATGACAAGCGTAAACTGTTGTTGATCATCTGTGACGGTATGATCATTGGTCAAGGCAATGACAGACCTACTCCTCGAATCGTGTTGGATATTCTAGGTGTTCCTGAAACCCTGGATCCAGAGCCTCTCAGCTTCGAGAGTCTGGGTGAGGGAATGAAGCAGCACAACATGGCAAAGGTTTACTCTGGCCTCTACGAGGTTCAAGGTCATATCGTCCCATTCTTGGTTGTGGTCAAGATTGGCAAACCCTCCGAGGTGTCTCGCCCTGGTAATCGTGGTAAGCGTGATTCCCAGATGGTGCTCATGCGATTCCTGAACCGGGTTCACTACAATCTACCCATGAGTCCCATGGAGCTTGAGATGCATCACCAGATCCGAAATATTATCGGTGTCAATCCAACGTTCTATGAGTTCATCTTACAAGTCGACGCCGATACAGTGGTAGCACCTGATGCTGGTACCCGCTTCGTTTCGTCTTTCTTATCTGATACACGACTCATCGGTGTTTGCGGAGAAACTTCCTTGTCTAATGCCAAGACATCGATTGTTACCATGATCCAGGTTTACGAGTACTATATTTCCCACAATCTGACCAAGGCATTCGAAAGTCTTTTCGGGTCAGTTACTTGCTTGCCCGGTTGTTTCACCATGTACCGTATCCGTTCTTCGGAAAGCGGCAAACCACTGTTCGTCAGCAAGGATATCGTTGAGTCCTATGCGGAGATTCGTGTGGACACCCTCCACATGAAGAACTTGCTTCACCTGGGTGAGGATCGATACCTGACCACGCTGCTCTTGAAGCATCATCCAAGCTTCAAAACCAAGTATATCTTCCGTGCTCATGCCTGGACCGTGGCTCCGGAGAGCTTTGCTGTTTTCCTGTCGCAACGTCGCCGATGGATTAACTCGACTGTGCACAACTTGATTGAGCTGATTCCATTGCAACAGCTTTGTGGATTCTGCTGTTTCAGTATGCGGTTCATTGTCTTTGTTGATCTGCTGAGTACCGTTATCCAGCCAGTCACGGTCGCCTATCTAGTGTACCTGATTGTCTACATTATCCGAAACACCTCAGCGATTCCAGTAACGTCATTGATTCTTCTTGGTGTGATCTACGGTCTACAAGCATTCATTTTCATTGTTCGACGCAAGTGGGAGATGATCGGTTGGATGTTCATTTACCTCCTTGCCATTCCCATCTTCACTCTTGCTCTCCCTCTGTACTCTTTCTGGAACATGGATGACTTCAGTTGGGGTACCACCCGTGTCATCACTGGAGAGAAGGGCCGCAAGGTTATCATCTCCGACGAAGGCAAATTCGACCCCGAATCCATCCCCAAGAAGCGCTGGGAGGATTACCAGGTCGAGTTGTGGGAAGCCCAGACCTCTCGCGACGATCGATCCGAGATCTCGGGTGTTTCTTACGGAACCAAAGCACATGGTTTCCCGACTCCTCATTCCGAGTATGGATTCCCCGGTTCTCGACCTGCTTCACAGCTAGATCTGCCCCTCCTCCACGGCGGCTCGCGTCTTTCTGTCGCGCCGTCTGAGATGCTTAGCCGCCACATGGACATGGATATGAGCATGGAGGACTTGAGCCACCTGCCCAGTGACGATTCCCTCTTGGCTGAGATTCGAGAGATTCTGCGCACGGCCGACTTGATGAGTGTCACGAAGAAGAGTATCAAGCAAGAGCTTGAACGACGATTCGGCGTGAATCTGGATCTCAAGCGGCCATACATCAATTCTGGTATGTTTCTTACTTTCATTTCTGGGTAACTTTTGATATAATTACTAACATGACTCTCTAGCCACCGAGGCCGTCCTTTCTGGTCTTCTATAAACCAGACCAATATTCGCCTCCCGTCTCATCGCGGTCCGCACTAGGTGCCTCGGATGAGACCGGTTTTTATTCGAACATGTGTTACTAATGCCTGTTACCTGGAGGTATCCATGGTGGTTTGAACGTCACTTTGCGACATTTCTCTCACCTTTTTTTTCTTTTTCGAGCGACATATTTTGCATGGATGAGAGCTTCTTTAGCGAGCACATTGGTTTTCTTATTTTTTTTACGCTTTCTTCTCATTGTTTTTGATATCTTGGTTCACAGTTCATAAAATAGCTATATATTCGGGGGAACATACTATGTTTTAGCATAGGAATCCGATAATGCCCAGTGTATCTGGTGTTTAATTCAATATTTGAAACAATTCATCTGAAAACAACCTGTGTAAAAATGAGGTCCAGACTCAAGGGCCTAAGTCAACAGATCATGTAGCGCTATGGCCCTGGCCACCGGTGTTTCAGCCACCGACTAGACCTGGATGCACCGGTCGACATGCACACATTGCACATGCGTTCCAGCCAGTTGACCAGAATTTCCAACGTTATCAATAGGCTGACAGCACGCCACGCCAAGTGGGGTTGCAGATCAGACTCCGCAAACCTTGGAACATTTCACTACATTTATATATGTATCAAGTCCAGCTTCCACATGTCCACGATTGACTCGCATCAATCACATATTTCCCCCAAAAGCCGAAGTCTTAATTTTGCCCTTTCCACAAGTCTCTGTTCCTTAACATCCAAACCCCAATTCCCAAGCTTATATCCCACCCTTGGAACTGAACCGTGGAAGGTTCCAAGGTTCCCTCCCGTCCCATCCCCCCACATCTAATTTGAAATCCACAAAACCTTTAACCAACCCAAATATCAAATATCAAAACAATATATACAAACATCTGAACGCCATAATGACCTCCCCAACCACCACCCCCTCCCAAGCCCACCTCCCATCCACAGACCCCGATCCCAACACCCTCGACCTAGACCCAGAGCAACGCCAAAAAGAAGCCCTAGCAGCCTTCACCGCAACCCTGCACAGCGTAGGCACAAACCTCGAAGCGCCGCTGCGCGAACGCGCAGCAATCATCAACTCCAACACGCTCGCGCTGGAGCGGCAGGAGGCGGAACTTGCGGAGACCTCGGCGGCGCTGGGCAGGCAGAATGATGGGTGGGAGAGGATTGCTGATGAGACGCGGGTGGGGCTGAAGGAGATTGGGGATGTGCAGAATTGGGCGGAGATGATTGAGCGGGATCTTTTGGCGCTGGAGAGTATGATGGATGAGGTTGAGGGGGGTGGGGAGGGGATGGATTTGGATTTGGATTCGGATCTGGATTTGGATGGGAGTAGTGCTGAGGAGGAGGGTGGTGTTGGGGTTGGGATTGGGGATGGGGAGATGAATGGGAATGGAAATGGGGTGGAAGATGTCAAGAAGGAGAAGAGGAAGAGTTGGTTTTCTTGGTGGTGATTGGGATTTTTCAAAGCTTTTGTTTTTGTTTATATGCGTTCATTATGTACTGATGATTACCACGCTTTTCAATGTTCACGGTTCTATATAGTGCCTACTACTTGTAGGTAGTAAGTTGCTGGACCTCGTTTCATTCATCGTCCATTTCCACATCCACATCCGCCTCCCCTTCTACATACCGTTGCCATAGATCTAAGCCCGTAGGTTCATCCGATTCAAGCTCCGACTCAGGCTCTCCATCTTCGGCCGGAGCCTGATCCGCATATTCATTCCACTCCTCCCACTGTCCTAGACGCATCAGATGCCTCATAGTAGGCCGGCCGTGAGGACAGTTCCAGGGCTTATCGATCGTGCCCATATTTCTAACAACGCGTTGCATTTGGCGTGTTGTCAAGGTCTTCCCGATCATGATACTTGAGCGACACGCACGCATGGCAAACATCTTCCGCACTTTACCAGGGCGCGGAATGGAGATTCCATGATTAACAGGCGACTCCGACAAGAGGACGATCAGTTCCTCGAGATCACGAGATCCAAAGACAACCTCCTTGCTCAGGGGCAGCGAGACAAGCTGACACCGACGGCCGATAGGCTCGTCGCCACTTTCATCGACCGTGACGATGAAGCCGTTCTTCTCGAGGGCGGATCGATTCTCCAGCACGACCTCTTCTTCGACGGCTGTCAAGTCCAATCGCTGTGGGCGGACGAGCCGTTGATTTTGGACGACGGTTTCGGCCTGAAGTCGTTCGAAATTGAACTTTTCGTCCGAAGCATGTTGGTCGATGATGAAGAGTTCGTCGTGGTCATCGCCTGGTCGGACAGCAAGGATGAACCCCAGGTTGAATTGGCCTATTATGCGCATTTGGGCAAAGTCCGCTTTGCTGACCGTCAAGGAGAGTTTGTCTTCTGCTGTTGTCTCGTCTGCGTCGGCGTTGTCAACTTGTGATGAAGCACTTCGTGGTTGGAGACATTCTCGGATTTTGTCCATTTGGGTCCGAAGTCGGGAGACAGATGCATCTATTGTGCTGATGAGACTGACAGTCGCGTCGCGGTGCGCAGCACCCTTGTTCATTTTGTTGGCCCGGCTGGCGCTATGTTCATCAGGCAGAACGGCTGTTTCCTCGGCTTGGTGGATTAGGCGTTGGACTGTAGCTTCTTCTTGAGCTTTCTTCTTGGCTTCGTCAAAATCGCCTTGACTATCACTAGTGGTTGTTTCTTGCCTAATATCCCGGCCGTCATTGATGTTTGACCGAAGAACGGAATCGTGAGTTTCTTCTGAGATATCATAATGTTCAGGGTCCAGGGAAGGCACTTCCGGATGCTCTGCTTCGTCCTCTTCATATTCTTCATCCTCAGCCTCGGCCTCCTCTGCTTCAACATCTTCATATTGCTCATCATCGTCATCGATTTCTTCATCCTCGCCCTCACCCTCCTCATCTTCCTCCTCATCTTCTTGTTGTGTCCCCGGTGCCGAAAAGGCTCTCATATGTTTCCCGAATATATTAGGCCTAGAAGGCGTATGGACTCTTCGTTTGCTCTTGGGGGTTTCATTATTTGAAGAGCCGTAGTCAGAAGTGCGTTTCCGCGGTAGGCCACTTCCAACCATAGATGTCACAGTGCGTCCTCCAATGGTAATAGTAGCCATCTCAGCTGGCACTCGACGAGGACGTATGCGATCAAAGGCATTTTGGACCACATTCGGCGTTTCTTCAGATTCTTGCGTCCCAGATTCCAGTTCCTGCTCTTCATCGGAGACCTGGGATGAAACATCAGGCACCTCGGGAGTAGCTTGAATGGTTTCTGATACCGGGACTATACCACGGCTCTTAGGTTGACCAGGTGTGATGTTTAATTCTGGCTCCGGAGAGGCGGCAACCGGAGGCAGCCTTGAATGCCGGGACACTTTGGTAGGTTTTGTAGGCGAAGAAGGGACGTCCACCTGACTAGAGCCATCTTGCGAGCTCATAAATCGGCTTATACTTCCTACGGTCTGACTTTCTGCTTCCGGTTGGGTATCGGCATCCTCCTTGCCGTTCCGTTCCAGATGCGGAGTTATAGGGGATGCAGATGCACTCTGAGCAAGCTGTCTCGCAGTCACAAACCCTGGCAACGACGCCTGCTGCTTGCTCGCCGAACTTTTAGATCCCAGCACCTGCGACTGAGGCACTGTCTGATCCGCTGCCTCAAACAATTGAGCCAGCGAGGTCTTCAGAGACTCAATCAGCGCCGCTGCATCGTGGAGCAAGATCGTTCGCTTATCCGGGGACACATTCACATCATAAGCATTAGTATCCATTTGAAAATCCGCAAAGATAAATGGCGACTGCGAGACATTAAACGATTTATAAACTTCATTGAATGCCTTCGCAATCTGCGGCAATCCACAAGGTCTCGAATTAACGAAGAATACCTGCCGATCAGGCGTCTGACGACCCTCTCCGAAGACAGGCCGCGAGATATGTCCTCGAACCTGGATCTCATTCACCTGTCCATCGCCCCCGGCTCGTTTCATCGAATAAGAAGGCTCGAATTCCAAATCCAGATCCAGAGGGATCAGAGCAGATAGTGTCTTCGCGCCGTAGACATTGGCGATATTCTCCTTGGTTGTAGGGTTACTATTTGTAGAGAACACAACCACATTCTTTGTCTTGCCGACCGTATTTCGCACGCTGAACCGGACCCCCGTGCTGATACAGGCGTATGCATGTAGAAGGTTCAGCACCTTGCCGTATTCTCGCTTGATGTTCTTCTCCAGTTCTCGTCGACGGACGGGAAGGCGCTTAAAGATTCCACCGACAGAGGCGGTGGTACCTTTTTGGCCTGCGACGATCTGAGTCTTGCGTAGTTGACCTGATATTTCGAAATCCAGCCTGTTCGCTTTCGGGGCTTGATGTGCCTGGGCGGTTACGACGTGAAAGTCGGCGAGGGCGCAGAGGGAGGAGAGGGCCTCGCCGCGGAAACCGAAGGTGTGGAGGGTTGTCAGGTCGTCATATGAAGATAGTTTGGAGGTGTAGTGTTTTAAAGCTGAAGTAATTGGACGATTAGTGCTGAGAATGAAACGATCTAAGCTCTGAAGCCCTCAAACTCACCGACATTTTCATAGTTCTCCGGTGAGATTCCAGCGCCGTTGTCTTGAACCTCAATCAAGTCCAACCCGTTGTTCTTAAATCGAACCTCTAGAAGAGACGATCAGTAAGCGAATCGCTATGCAGTGCCCGCTATGCAATCCAGCACCCACCAATGCTAGTTGCGCCCGCATCAAGACTGTTTTCGACTAGTTCTTTCGCGACAGAGCATAGGTCGGTGATAACCTGGCCAGACTGAATTTGGTGGACCTAATCAGGTAACAGATTAGATAATGGGACATCTGCTGGGTAAATGACCAGAGCCTTACCGAGCGGGCCTCGATAGCCTTGATGGTTGCCATTATACCATTATGCCCGGGTAGTTGGTGGTTGGAGCACGCGTCGCACTTTACGCGTGGAATGGGGTTGCCAAGCCTGAGCTCCACTTGATCCACAGAAGGTGATGTTCGGGGGAAGTACAACGTACAACGTACAACTACGGAATACTAAATCTCATGGAAGTTTCAGCTCAAGAATAGCGTATGTAATAATAATTGCATACATAGAGGCTGGATGTGCCAAATGTATAATAAAAACCAGCTATCGCTTAGAACGCCCGAAATTTCAAACTAGCCGCCAATACTCAAGTCTACATTTCAAAAGCGATCGGGCAACACAAGCGGTGCGACCAATGTCCACAAATAAATCGCGTAGCACACCCAGGAACTAATGATTTTCACCCAGCTCGCCCAGTATGTCCGACCCACGGGCGCGAAGTCAACGTCAGTTGTATCAACCTGCAGTCCTTGCGCCAACAAGGTGGCCACCCAGGTAGTAGCAAGGAAGAAGATGATGTGGAAAAGTGTGTAGCTGTACTGTGTCGAGCCACGTTCATCGTCTTTGCTGCTGGTCTCAAATTCGTCCTCATCGTCATCGTCATCTAGGGCGCTAGCCGGCAGACTGCCGCTTTCAACCGCAGCTCGGAGAGCCTCTGCCCGCATCTCGCGACGGGTGTTAGGTTGCTGCGTAACCAGCCCATGCTCATCGTCATCCAGCTGAATGTAACTGTGACCACCCTTGGATCCCAGTGCAATACCTTGAGTAGCAGCACGCGTGGTAGTGTATGCAATGGTGGCCATAGTGACAATGGCACCCAAAACGACGGTAACAGTTCTGGTACTGGTGGAGCGAACCAAGGGGTTGCAGTTTTTGTCATCGGGTTCCATCGATACAGCGGAAAGTGTCAAATATGTGCAGTAAACTGTGACCATGGCAGCCTGAGCTAAGCCCGCGCGAGGGTTGGAGTCCTGCACAGCAGGTTGCACGGAAACAAACGAGACAATCAGGAACAGAATAAGGTTGATCTAAGAGTCGTTAGTTTCATGAAGCTCGGTGGAATGGAGTAAGAAATCGTACCGAAATCGCAGCCTGGTTCATGGAGCATGAACCCCGAGCAAAGAAGATGAACATTAAGACCGTCATGACAATAGATGCCAAGTACATGCCGAGGGTAGAGCCAACGAGCAGACCGCGCCACAACCGCGAGTCATTATCTTCAATCTTCTGTAGACACAACTCAGCCCATGAATGCGCAAGATCCACCAAAAGGATCAGGCCCAAGAGGAGGAAAAGCATGGCACAGAAGAAGGCGATGTAGTTTCCGTATACAAAGAAGAAAGATTCGGGGATGAAGAATGACATGACAACAAAGGCCAGCCAGAGAATGATCTTCGGTCCCCAGAATCCGTTCTGAAGTGCGGCGCGAGTATCTCGAGTGTTTTTAACACCAAGTAAGAGGAGGGCGAAAATCAAGTGAAAGAGACCGAGACCGAAGTTGATGCGATGCACAGCAACCCAGCCATGACATTCTTTGCCGTCGCAGCGAATCTCCATATAATCAAGCGTTAAGTGTTGCAATTTCTTCAACGCCCATGGTGTGAGCATAATCCAGGAAACAATCGAGTTGATTAAAAGGATGAAGGCATAAGCGATTCTCGTCGCCATACTGTGCTAGAATTAGTGCAAATTCCCTCGCGCTAGGCAGCCAAGGGATCGTACCTGTTTTGGAATTTTCCACAAGCGCTGCATACCGCAGAGCAGGTGGCTGCACCACAGCATGATCCACCGACCGTGAGAATCTATTCAAGTGAAGAAGAGTCATTAGCGAAAGGCTCATCGGTCGCGCTCGGAAGGGATCTTACCGTGCTCACGCTGGGTATCGCCAGCAACGGCAGGGATAGTAGAGCACCCATAGTGGGGGTTCAGGCGGTTTAAAAATAGATCAGACCCGACTGCGAGTATTCGCTTTGATAAGTGTGACTTGACCTTTGAGCAGTTCTGAGATTGGGCAGACGTTTGAGGTGAGGAGATTCCCAAAGAGTGGAGTTGACGATCACAAACCCGCCTTCGTCATGTCCTGGTCACATGGCACTTATGTAATGGAAACGGTTCATGCGGGTTTTCCCGCTTTTCAAGTATAAAAAACCTCAATCTCAGCTATTTGACGAGACTTTGATTATAATCGACGAAGATATCGTCTCTCATCTTTCAGCTCTCCCCCCTCGCGTCTTGCCTCTTGAAGCCATAGCTATGGAAAAATAGAATGATATTTTGAACAACTAACAAAATTCAGCAGCTTTCATCACCTACTAGTACAGACTCCACACAGAAGTCCTCCACCATTCTACCGACTTGGGCCCCCAACTCAACCTCTCCCAAAACCTCCTCAGCACCATCCACGTCCACCCCTCTTGGACCACTTGTCTCACTAACAATCACCGTCTACTGACTGGCGGCAGAATTACTAGGAGAGATAGGTGGTCTAAGGGGGGCAGATGTGGATGGTGCTAAGGAGGTTTTGGCAGAGGATGAGTTAGCGGCCTAAGTTGATAGAATGGTGTAGTTCTCTAGAGTCACGATGACATGATGAGAGCCGATGCTGCTCAGTCAACTGCTTGAGATTGATCCACTGTCATGTGGTGCATGAAATTCGTTCACAATGAAGCAACACAACTCAAGAGACTGTCGGCCTCAATTTGAAGGCTACTCAATCAAATGCTAGCGCGGTTCTCAGCCCGACGCGCCTCAAGCTACTTCTTGTTATTTCTTCTTTCTTTCCTTCAATGTTTACTCTTTGTCTATATTTTTCTTATTTATCAGGATCACTGTCATCTATTTTGGGCTTTCCTCGCCACCTTACATCTAGCTTAGTGCCGACTTCAGCGAGAGTCCATCCCCGGGTGTCTTTTTTTAAGAAAGGCCACAATATATCTCTTCACTATTCGGGTACTGGCAAAATAATATTATCACATAATTTCCCCAGCTGGCAGACTTGTAGTTGAAAAGTAAGATCTGGAAGTAGGCACCGAGTCAAAGTGAGTACAATACCTATCTCAAGCAATAACCTTATAGTCGTCTCAAGTACTGAGCACTTGAGTAGGCCCTTATCTCGAGTACTGATATCGGGAGTGTATAGCACCCATGCCAAGTATCAGGTACATACTAGTATCATGTACACATGCACTTCTTGGACGGTTGAATACCTCCAGGGCTGCTAGGTATCTACTAGAGACGTGCCTGGAACTTGCATGTGGACTGCGCGCCGTGCGGATTGCTTTTAACTTGCACATGTGTACAACATACCTGGTACCTACTAATAGTACTAGGCATTAAATTCATATTGCCTAGGTAGCCTCAACTTGAGTGGACCTTCACACCAAGCCAAAACCGAGCGGTAAATACTAGTAGGTCTTTGGATATTTTAAATCAGCCCTACCTAGAGGGCGGTTCACTTCCATGTTAATCTAATGCAATATGCTATTCATGAAAATCTCAGTAGAATATCGCTCATTACTTTTTCTCTTTGGTGCCGACTTTCTGATAAATCCAGGGGCTGCCTGCGCCATCTAAAAGATCCTGGGCGATAAAATCTGCATTGTCCTCAAGCGTTGTCTTGTATGATGATGCCTGGCTCAAAACATTCAAGTAGCCACCGATGAGTGGCGTACGCAATAACTTAGATGACCACTCCGGGGGTGAAGTGCCAGCAACCGATAGATTGTTGGCCGACGCCTCGTTTGGAAGAGGATAGGTCGTTTCGCTCCGAGGGTGCATGAAACCAGGGCAAAGAACGGACCACTGAATGCCCGAGGGTGGTAAGGCTTGAAGCGTAGCCCAAGTATGACTGTGCTGTGGGAACATTCGCAGACTAGATTGAGATCAACCGTTAGCATATCTCCCAATAACACAAACAACGAGAGATATAGCCATTTGACTTACTAGTCCACGATTCGATAATTGCTATTAGGGATGTCCAAGAGACCGAGTCCTCCGAGGAACCACATTCGCAATGGAGCTTCGCGTTTTTGACCCATCTCTAAGGCAGCGGCAATGGCAGCATCCACGATTGAAGGAAGGTCACTTTTCCCCCAAGGAGCCATGGCAGCATAGCCAGCTGTATTGACGATGGCATCGCATTGGTGTTTGTTTCCAGCAGCTGTGATATCGGCACTTTTTGTCGCGTCCCCGAGCTCCACGGCCAGAAGTTGAGAGATAATGCTGGGAGGGAGTTTTGATGAATCGCGCGCAAAGGCGACGACGGAATGTCCTCGCGCTAACAGAGCCGACAAAACACGGGAGCCGAGTCTCCCAGTGGAACCCAAGACCAAAACCTTCATTTTGTCAAGACGGGCGAGATAAGAAATACGTCGGTGGGTCGGGGACTCGGGGACTCGGGGACTAGGGGACTCGGAGTAGGTGATTTGCGATCAATGGCAAAGGGAAGAAAGAACGGAAGGCGCGTGGAGTAGTTTAAGCTAGCGCCAGCAGCAACAAACCCCTGAAAAGTATTAAAGAAAGATTTTCTCCAGGTAAACAACACACGTCACACTATTTATTGGGACATATCTAAGCTGAAATCGAAGCTATAAGCCGCTAGTGTCCCCGCCAATGATGCAAAAAAACCCCACTCTACCGTCGGAGGAACTTTCGGGTCGACTTTTAAGTGATCAGTGATCGCCCGTGGTTCGAGCTTGAACTTGGATTCACAAAATTTCACAAAATTAGAGAAAACAACACACAATGAACTTCAACACCAGATGATCCAGATATTGAGTCACTTAAATCTCATTCTTTCATCCGCTCTTACACACAAACTCAATGGATGGGACCGAGATTGCTATGTATGCCATTGCCATGAGTCCCATGACATCTCTGGACGACCTCGGGAACATCGACATACGCTAAGCTCTATCCAGACTAGCACCGGAGGAACTTTTGTGACACTTCGAGTTCAAAGAGATCTCCGGATTGGCTTCCTCCAGCCCCAGAGTCAACATCGGGATAACTCCTTGCATAATTTCGGCCAATGGACTTTCAAGACGATGGACGTTCCGATCTAGGCACAGCGCCTCTACACTTGCGCGGCTCCACCACTCGCGAGAAGACGAGTGAGAGAGCCCCGGATCACAGGAGAGAATGGAGAGTATGCGATAACTGTAGACGGTAACTATACTCAGCTCATTCCAGATTCAATCCATGGATGCTTGGTCTGACATAATTTTCAGGAGAAAGGTCAAATGTACGATCGAGTCCCACAGATCTCGCCTCCATGGATCTGCCCTAAACTTGGAATTCTTGCTCTTTAGGTGATCAGGGGCAGCCCAGCTGTTCCCTCTGCTCCAGTCGAGGAGACGTGTGCACTTACTTGACAAAGCGACGGAAGCCTGGCCCCTCGAAGGGCACACGCTACAAGACTTATCCAACAACCCGTCAACCATCCAGTACTATTCTACCTATCCAACTTCGAATGGCTGGTCAATGATGGAACAATCGCTGACCGAACCGTACAGACTCAGATGCTTCAAGTTCGATCGGGCAAAACACGACAGATCAGTCGTCCACTTTATCATCTTCTACATCTTACCAAGAAACAAGCACCGTTCCTCACCTATCCAGTCTATCTTTGTATGTCCTCTTCACTTCCGCCACTTGATCTTGGCTGACGTAATCATTCCAAGAATTGAGAAATACTTCGACGTTGTTCAAGACGCAAATCCCATCTTCTCAAAAGACAAATTTCTCCACGACTATCAAAGTTCACTATGCGATCCAGAACTTGTCTCTGCGATAACTACAATCACGTTGAAGCTAATTGGCTCCAATTCTCCCGAGGACGAACACAATCTAGATGCCCGTATTGCCCGACTCTTAAGTTCAAGCTTACTCGAGGACGACATTATAGGCACAACTCCATCGCTTGACCAGTTCCGCAAAGCTTGTATATTAGCATTCTATGATTTCCATCAGTTCCCAGGGCACCAGTCCTGGATGCGCATTGGCCAAATTACGCGCATGGCATATCGCACGGGCCTAGACCGACTTGAAAGCCTTCGTGAACTGTATGATGACTGGGGTTCGTACAGCAACGACGAGATTCAAGAGTGGCGATCTGTGTGGTGGTGTATCTACCGCCTCGATTCCTATTCCAATCTCTCATCAGGCACACCATATCTGATTGAACACCAATTCGTCAATACATCTTTTATTCTTGACTACTCTCATCACTCTCCAGGAGACTCCGCTACTCCTCAAGAGGTGCATTTACCTTCGGACTATGCAGATCTTTACAAGCTGCTTCCAGTGTTTGCATTAAGTCCCAAGACTTTCTCGAAGAACGTCCATCTCCTTTCCATTGCTGCCATGCGGCAGACGGGAACAGCTAAACGAATGCATTTCGCACGACCGAGAGACGATATGACCGAGTCCCTTGCCAATATTCAACGTCAAATTTCTACGCTTTCTCTATCATTGCCACCTGGCTTTTTTAATCCTGCGCGGAATGCATTCGCAAATGAGTCTCATGAGGACCACCATGCACGGCTGGTCACCGTTCTCCATCTTATGATGGCCCGACTACTTCTCACAATGTTAAGCTGTGCTCAAGCAAAGAAAGATAAGGCAATGGTACTGCTTACCTGGCAACAGGTTCTTGAGGTTTGCCAGGACATTGCTTCGGTTATGGAGCAGTGGAACTCATTGTTCTGCATGAAAGTGGATCCAGCAATTTCGTTTATTCCCTTTACAGCACTCGTCTTTCTTGACCTCCACAAGAAGTCCACAGCAATGGACAACCCTACTCTCCAAACAAAGATTCAGTATCAACAGACCGTTCTTCGTCTAAATCTTGAAGAATTCGCGAAGCGTTGGACTCTTCCGAGGCTTCTCAATTGTAAGTGCCTCATAGACACCCGTTACGGAGATAATAAATAACTAGTTAAACCACCCGCTTACCAATTTCATGTCCAGTGTCATTTGCGGGGTTCAGCGAATCTGTTTCCGGTCCGCTATCCCACCGCCATATATTTGTGATTCTCTCGCGGTTCGAATCACCTCTTCATCCGAGGTGGCTACAATTCCTCTCAACGGCCCAGGCCCACCTAGATTCCGTCCAAGATGCACATCATTAAAAGCGACCCACTTACGTCGGTTCCCCACCAGATCCGAAGCCATGATCTCACGCCAACCGGGACTCCTGAAACAGATACGACAGGCCCCGCACCGGTGTACGACGGTGTTTCCTCGCCAAGGCGCCGCCAGGCCCGCCACTATACACGGGGCGGGAAGCCCAATCTCGCTTCTAAAATCCCGTGGCTGGATCTAGTCTAGAGTTGGGCGTGGCAACGCTTGATTGGCCCTGGATGCAGTTTCCGGGTCATTGCCTACATGCATGATGATGCACGTTCGGCAGCCTCGAATCGAATAGTTCGCAATATGTAGTTTGTTGACCTTGTTCTGGTTCTGACGGCCTGTCAAAAAGCCTGGGCGGTGTTGCACAGGACGCCTCTAATATTAATAGCGCTACTTCAATGCAGATGCGGCTCGATCATAGCCAAAGGGAATCGTGTGGCTGCAGAAGAAAATTTTTTCTTGTCTACGCTTAGTTCTGGTTTCCCCCTCTTCCCATAGTTGCATACGTAATGGCTGTCGGTGACTTCCCAGGCCCGGATTTGTCTGCACATATGTGGGACTGAAATCGAAAGCTACAATGTACTAGTCAAGTCTTTCCAGGTGTCTGGTATGCCTACTAGTAACTACCAAAAACATATCTGGTTACACCCTAAATAACACCCTAAGAGTTACAAGGTCAGGGTAATGAATGTAAATGTTTTTCATGTGGCTATTGCGGGCCCAGACCCCAACGCGGAATAATTCCCTGCGTTGCCGTCCTATCCCATGCTATCCCATGCTACCGGTAACTCACATTGGAATACTTTGGAATCATGCAAAAATAACCCGGACTTTTGTAAAAGAGCGCTTAGACCCATCAGTACTCAACACGAGAAAAGCGAGGGAATCTTCATTGTGAAATGTCACAGTCACCTTAACAACAACCCCCTCTCTACCCAAGTGCTATTTAGCGTCTCTACTATTTCCTTCAAGTCTTCAACATACCATTTGAAGGGCTCCTTCGCTCCACTTTTATTCCAGCCGCACCGAGACCGAAGGAGTACCTACCTGCCGTGGTTTGGCTTTTCCTTCTGGCAGAGTCCACGCCCCATCCGTTCCCTTCATGTGATCGGACTCGGAGATGCCTAACAGGAAGGAATACCTCAATGCAAACGAGTTCGAGAATGGTAAGCAGACCTAGATTCCGAGCATGCTCGCGGTCTGCTGAGTGACTGCGAGTGACTATGTCGTCTCTCTTGGAGTTTTGGTCTAGATAACCATCACTTCCAACCTGTTTTCTTTCTAATCATGTGTTCCGACATGTGCACCATACCGATCGAGAAGAGACTGCAAAACCAGACAGCTTGATACTTGACTGCTTGATACTTGACTGCTTGCTACTGTTTACATTTACCCCTCTGGTGGGCACATGCTCCATCATGATCTGCTGTTAGTAATATTGATGCAGCTGACATGATTCATGGAACTCCCAGGCCTCAGGACGTTGGATACCGAGATGGGTCGCGATGAGTGGCTCGTCGCCTTCGCCCCTATCCGACTCATCGCAGCAGGCGGGTATCTGGCCATATCCTTCTTCCACAATCGCGAAAGCACGGAGGACGTCGATTACCTGATCGATCCGGAATTTGAGCGAGAGAAGGAAATTCGACAGGCTCTCGATAGGGCCATCCTAACTGTAGCAGAGCAACTTAACTATAACGAGACATGGATGAATAACGACATGGCTATCTTCGTCACGGGTCCATCCCGCCAGACTTTATTTCGGCAAGCGCTTGGGCAGGGCATCGCGCTTTTCAAGGGGCAACATCTCGAGGTCTTGGCTACGCCCATCGAGTGGGCGCTTGAGACCAAATTACGAAGAATATTTAATAGCAACCGGGGCAGGAAGGCCATACTCGATATGGGTGATGCGGTGACTTTTCTCAAGTACCTGAGGACACGGAATAAAGGACCTCTGAACGCCGAGTCCGTCCGCACGATGAATATAAATGGGTTCGATGTCATTCCGGATGACAGGACAATGCGACAGGTGGCTGATGAATACCGGAACAAGTACAACGAGGATATCTTTTCTTAATTAAATGGTGTAAAGCCAGCCTGTGTTGGTAATAATATTACGCTTCAAGAAATTGGGACCTTTGCCACCTTTCTCGAGTACCAAGTTCCCTTCGGCATCTAGGCTTTCGGGGGGCACAGACTGCCTTAATAAATCTTTGTCCATTGGTGGCACTTTTGCCGTCCATTTCGGCAGCTCCTGTGGTGAGAACGGGGGCCATGAGGCATCGTTGGTCTCACGATACACATGCTCTTTATTTCGCCGTAATCCGAGACTCAGCCTCCAATTCATTGCCTCATGGAGCTCCTCAACAATGGAGGCAATCATTGCATACCGGAGCGGATCCGGGTCTTTCGGATCTGGAATATCTTTTATATCCCACCCTGACTGGTAGAAGAAATATTCCGTTTCCCATCCCATCGATGCGTACCGGTCAGCAAGATGCAGTTCGTAGAGGCGATAAGCCGAACGTAGCGGGGTGTCGCGCATACGCCAAATGGGGATCGCGCGGTAATTATGAACATCATTGAAATGTGATGCAATGATGCCTGTTTTGTTTTTCTCGTCGTTGATGAGCGCGCGGAGGGAGAATGGGCCCGGTATTCGGAACGACCATGACGGGTATGGGATGAACAGTCGTAGTAAGGTAAGTAGGGGGTATTGGCTCTGATGTCTGAGTCGAGTGAGACTACCGCGGAGTCGAAGTGGGGATTCTAAATAGCGAAGCCATCTTCGAAAACGAGTCCAGAGTGACAGCTTTGGCCGCGGCCGACGTGGGGTCATGAGCGGCAAGTTGCAACTCAAGGGTTGGGCAAGAGGCACCGCAGGGGTAAACAGAGGTGACGAGTTCGGGTTGTGGCGATCCAATACTCAGGTCTAGCTAGATTTGCCGTCATCAGCCCTGCATCATGTCGTGGCTTTGGAAAAAATCCGGCGTGGTTCATGGTTGCGAGTTGCATCTCCTGCCCAAAATAGCTATACGTCAACCGCTTCGAAAATCAGGTGATTTTGCCGCTAGGCCCAAAGGGTGCTATTTGTTGATGAGGCTATATCCCATTATGCGTTCAACCAACACAAGTGAAAAGTATAAGGAATTAAAAAATTGATGAAGGAAAAATTCTAGGCTAACTGCAGCAGCAGATTTTCCGGATAAAGCCTCCACGCGCGAAGAAAAAAGTTCCATACATATTGTATTACCGTCGGGCGAGTTATTAGTGGCGGAGATAACGGCGGGATTAACAGCTATCGGAGGCTACGATAAGCGGACTTGACGGTGGAATTTATACTCTCTACATGGTCACGGTAATTCATGTTGAGTGATTGTTTCGAAGCTTGAAAATGTGGTGTTTTTCTTGTCTATTTAAGAGTCTTTGGTCTCGCATTCTTTTCAATATGAGAGCAGCAGGCTTTATCTACTTGAGTTTCCTTTACTCTTCTCTACCCATCGCATTGATTACTTGACAAGGTTGAAGCTTTGAAGTCCAAATCAACGAAATGACAGCCCCGAATGAACTGCCCTTGCGCCAGCTTGGTCGTAATGGGCCCTTTGTCCCCCGACTTGGACTGGGATTGATGAGCTTGAGTGGAGTCTACAATGAGCCTCTGTCAGAACCTGATCATTTTGCTTTCTTGGATGAAGCCTATAAGCAAGGAGAAACATTCTGGGACACCGGTAGGCCGAACCCCTCAAGGGAGCAATCTAAATGCAACACTTACACATGTACTAATGGAATCTCTGCAGCCGACAAATATGGCACATCTGAAGAGGTGCTGGGCAGGTGGTTCGCTGTGAACCCTGACAAGCGCGAACATGTATTCTTGTCCACCAAATTTGGCATCAGAGCAGTCGCACCTGGCAAAGATGCCCCAGTGTTGACTGTTGACTCCACTCCGGAGTACTGTCGGGAAGCCATCGAGAGCTCACTTCGCCGTCTCAACTTACCTTACGTGGATATTTACTACATCCACCGTCTGGACCAGGTCACCCCGATCGAAAAGACCATCGAAGCCATGGTCGAACTCAAGAACGCAGGGAAGATCAAACACCTGGGTTTGAGTGAATGCAGTGCTGAGTCCCTCCGACGAGCGCATGCCGTGCACCCTATCACGGCTGTCCAAGTCGAGTATAGTCTTTTCTGCCGTGACATCGAATCGCCAGAGATTCGTCTTCTCGAGACCGCTCGTGAGCTTGGCGTTACCATTGTGTGCTACAGTCCACTTGGTAATGGGCTTCTCACCAATACCATCCATGCCAAAGTAGGTGAGAAGCCGGAAGGTTCACGGGGATATCTGCCTTGGCTGAAGGAGGAGAACTTGGAGCAGAACGCGGCTGTGATCAAGAAAATCCATACCATCGCTGCATCTAAGAATGTCTCATCTGCTCAGCTGGCTTTGGCGTGGTTGCTCGCCCAGGGAGATGACATTTTTCCAATTCCCGGAACAATTAAGGCACACCGAGTGGCTGAGAACCTGGAGAGTGTGCATGTTTCTATCTCGGCGGACGAGGAGAAAGCACTACGGGAGATAGCGGGCGGGATTGTTGGTGGTCGATTCCAGGCAATGACTGGGTATGTCTTTGCAGATACTCCGGAGCTGTGAGATGTACAGGTGTATTTTGAGCTCTGTAGTCCACGACTGGAGGTTTAATGCCTCGGTTCTTTGGCACTTTTCAAGCTTTCAGTATGTGTATAGGTCAATGATGTTTTCGCGGCAATGTTTCTCACGTCTCAAAGTTTGGAAAATCCGTGGTATTCGAAAAATCTTCAAGTAAAATGTGTAGCCTGCCAAAATACGGTAATGTAAAGCTCATCTTCTGGTGCTCAAAGATGGCTTTCGTGTAATCATTCTCGGGGGTTCCAGGCTCCAGCCATGTTACACATTTGGCACCATTGGCTGCACATTCTTCCATGTGCACCAAGTTAGTTAAAATTTCAACACAAGAAGGAGTCAGACTGCCGTTTGTGAGACTTGAAACTTTTTTCATGGTCTGAATCACATCATCAATAACTGCCAAGTCTCGAAAGCGCTGGTGCTCCAACGCATTTTCTGTCTTGAGCCGATGCTCGTTCATATGTATTTGGAGGAGGCACACCGCAGAAGCAAAGGCCTTCTCGACGAGACCAAGATATGGAATATTCTGGAGGGTGTCGCGGAATATGCAAAAGTGAGCGAGGACCTCGCGACTTGAACAAAGAACGGCCTGTTTGCTGTAGGTATAGTCTGGTAGCGGATGAGCCTTTATTTGATGATGAGTCGTTGATTTTAGACGGATATGCTCAAGGAGATACGGCTGATGAAGAACAACAACCAGATATGACTGATGCATCTGCGTCAGGATTTTGATGAACTGTTCCGGCGTGTCCAAATCGGGTATATCATGGCCTAGACTTAGCACTGGTGAAACCCACCAACGGATAGGTGGCATGCGACCGGCTCTTTTCAGTTCAAGATCAATACCGCGTGTCTCTTGGTAGTCATCGGACAGAAGTTCGTGCATATCGACCTTGCTTTCATTTCGTTGTTGCAAATAGAGGTTTCTGGTGATTATTTTGCCTACAACCGTAATATGGGTGCGCTCTAACCGATCTGACCACTCATCGGCCGCAAGCTGCCGTGCACCGGTGAGCTGACCGTCCACATCGACAAAAGGGAGTCCAAGCATGAGAGATAGAAACCGATCACTGTATATTAGACGGAACCAAATAGATTCTGCACGGCTCTCAGTCTCATGCCTCCGACACGGCACACCCATCGAGCGTGCAATCCCCAACGCTCGACGAAAGAGAAGCCAGGCAGAATGAAGATTGCCCACGTGGATATGGTAGCGGGCCTCCAAGATGAGAGTCTCCAGGCCATCAAGTGAGTCGATAAGCAGATCCTGGGAGGTGATATAGCGAGACGCGACGTTGATAAAATAATTGGCCACTTGGTGACTTGGTTGGTCAAATTGGAGCTCGGGCACTTGATGCATCGGCTGTTGTAAACAAAGAGCAAGTTGAATTATTGTATGTGCAAGCTGCACTTGCTGATTGGACTTCAGTTTGGATTGGCTGTCCACCCGAGCAAGTGTCTTAGAGCAGATCAATAGATAAAATGGTTGATTACAGAACGGGCTGCGATCCAAAATTCGCTTGAGAATAGCAGCAGACGGAAGTAATGACTGAACATGGCTTAAGGAGCCGGACGATACCAAATCATTTTCGGGAGTGCCATTAGTGTCTGTGGTTTGAAGATGTATCGCTCTGGGGTCTATCGTATCGAAAAGCAAATCCTGGTTCACTTCCCGACTGACTGGTGATCTTTGGGATGATGAAAAGGCCTCTTGATGTTGTACCAGCTGCGCCACCAGGCTTTCGACGTAGCTAATGCGCTGTTCCACTGCTTGATATCCTGCATCTTCATGGGATGGGTACTGCTGGCTGATGCAAGAGAGTCCCCTTCGCTGGCAAGATGCACATATTGTTGCAGAGGATGAGATGAATTGGCATCGAATCTTACGATTCTTACACTCCCAGCAGCTGGAGGTGCCTTTCCGGATCTTTCGATGCTTCTGCGTTGGTTGTTCCCGAGACTGTGATAGGGAAGCCATTTTGAATGGTATAGTTCTAGGCTTCTAACTTGAAGGTTGCCTCTAGTATCCGAGAGGTTGTTGACTGCACGTGTAGGGAGACACGCTAAACCTCATCCGGCGATGCTGTCATGGAGTTTGATATACGAAGTATGTTCGTATAGTTCCAACCACACAATTCCTGCACTTCTTGCATGATGTTGGGTTCATGGTCCCACTAAAAAACACAGATCGATGCTTACCTCGGAAAACTTCACTGTTGAATATCCACATGTAAGCGTTTATATTCGAGGATTAAATGCATCCATTTGTATAATATTCTTGTATTTTCATTGTGAAATGACGTAATGTTTTCAATTATACAGAAATTCTCCCCTTTGCAAGAGAGATGCGACTCTAACCTTTGGAAAAAGCATACATACAAGAGTACCTGTGTATTTCTTTTGCATTTTATTCTGATGAAGTGAGAACAGAACCATCTTATACATGTATACTATACATTGCGAAGAATGCTTGGCGTTCCGGGGATTTACCGGCCAGCCCCGGTGGCCCGCTCTCTGTCCGTTATCGTGGCCTCCCCGTAGGTCGATTACGACGCTCCTGAAACTTCACCTCCACCTGGCCCCCCTCGTTCGTTCTCTTTAACTCGGCTCGTTCGGCGTATTCCACCCCTCGTCATTCATTCGTCAGCTCCGATGTTCCTTAGCTGGTCGCCCTTCTTTTTCTCGAATACAATCTCCAGCGACCGTGCGCTCCGATAAACGCGTGACCCCGAATCCCGCACACCGATTATACTCTACTAGCTGCCATCGTCCTTTGTCGGACTGTGTCGCACCGTCTCTAGTGGACCAGGATATAACCAGAATCTCTCAAAATGACCAGCACTTCTCTTCATACCACTGCCCGGGTCATCTCCGTGATTGCGGGCACCCTGGTCGCCTTATCCTGCGGAACGAATGTATGTCGTCTTTGGTTCCCTGATGTGAAAATGCGATGACTGACCGAATGACTTGGGAATTATGATAGTATGCATACTCAGCATGGGCACCACAATTCGCACACCAATTGAAGCTTTCTTCGACAGAGGGTAACCTTATCGTGAGTCGTGTGACATTTCCCGTCTATATAGCGAAGAGCCCCCGATATTGACAGTTTGGCAGGGTGTAGCAGGAAACCTGGGCATGTATGCCATGGGTATTCCTATGGGCTTATTGACTGATGCAAAGGGACCTCGTCTCATCACTTTGATTGGTTCAGTGTGCTTGGGTCTTGGATACTACCCGATCTATCTGGGTATGTTTTCTTAAAAGTTGGAGACCGAAGCGGACAATCAGATCTAACATTTACGCCAGCCTATCAACACGGAGAAGGATCGTGCCCAATCGTTTTCTTGTGCTTTTTCGCTTTTCTGACTGGTACCGGTGGTTGCTCGGCCTTTGGCGCTGCTATCAAAGTCGGTACGTCATATATTGATTTGATCCCTTATCCGATTAAAGCTAACAAAGTTTCTTAAAGCGGCATCCAACTTTGGTGAGAACCGTGGCACTGCCACGGCGTTCCCGCTGGCTGCTTTCGGTCTTAGTGCTTTATTCTGGTCCAATGTCTCGACTCTTATCTTCAAGGATGACACCGGTCGCTTCTTGTTGCTTCTCGCCTGCGGAACCACTATCCTCTCCTTAATCTCTATCCCATTCCTGCGAATCTTCCCCAACGCCCAACACGAGCCTTATACTTCAGTGCCTCACAATGAGGGAGCCCCTGAGTCGCAACGGATGCGCCCACCAAGCACATTCGGAGACCACCCCGATGATATCCACGACTCTACTGGCTACGACCACGAGAACTCGGCTCACGCACGCAGTCATTCCGTCGTTTCGACCCACCGTAGTGGTGCGTACAACCACGACCAGGACGAGAGCTCATCGTTGGTGTCCAAGCCTGATGGCCGGCCATCATTCGATACACTAGACGATGACTACTTGGCCAACATCGCCGTGGAATCTCACCACACCGATATCCGCGGCCTGGCCATGCTTAAGCACGTCGAATTCTGGCAACTATTCTTGACCATGGCGCTTCTGTCCGGTATCGGCTTGATGACCATCAACAACATTGGAAACAGTGCGAAGGCTCTATGGCTCTACTATGACGATAGCGCCACGCCGAAGTTCATCCAGCAGCGCCAGGTCATGCATGTTTCTATCCTGTCCTTCGGTAACTTCCTTGGTCGCCTTCTTAGCGGCATCGGTTCCGATATTCTCGTTAAGAAACTCAACATGTCTCGCTTCTGGTGTCTCTTCACCTCTGCGCTTGTCTTCACCCTCACTCAACTCGCCGGTGCTTCCATCTCCAACCCAAACACCCTCGTCGTCGTCTCCGCCCTAACCGGCGTTGCTTACGGCTTCTTGTTCGGTGTTTTCCCTTCCCTCGTCGCTCACACCTTTGGAATTGGCGGCCTCTCCCAGAACTGGGGAACCATGACTCTTGCCCCCGTTTTCAGCGGCAACGTATTCAACCTTGTCTACGGCACAGTATACGACCGCCACTCCGTCATTGGTCATGAGGGTGACAGCGAATGTCCCGATGGACTAGTCTGCTACCGCTCCGCCTATTATATGACATTCTTTTCCGGCCTTTGCGGAATCGTCGTCTGTTTGTGGAGTATTTGGCGCGAGTCGCAGATCCACAAGACCATGCGCAGGAAGGCCGACAGCCGCATTGCATAGATGATATTTTTCAGGAAAATAATCAAGTGCTAGAATTGGTTGGCGCGGAGTCTTACCAGGTGGTCCTACCTAAGTAATGGTTCGTCTTTGATTTGTTGCTATGATACCATTGGTGCGCGAAAGGGCGCACCTTTATGATCCAGGATTGCTGGCCAATATCTCCTGGCCCTAGAGGAATCGGGGTTTATACTATGCATTTTCCCTTACATTTGGGTCTCCTCGTTTAGACTTGACACTTCTTGCATTTACTGCGACTTGACTTCTCCATTTTTCTTTCCTTGTCTTTTCTTTTATTTGATTTGGGCCTCGGTTTCGGTGAACTATTGTCCTTGTGACTTGAAAGTTTCAAGTATTGGAATTGTATATGAACCATTTCCTATATCCGGATGATATCAATTGACATTCTTCATGAAATTTGCTCGCCCAACAACTCTATGCAGCAAGAATGGCCGAGGAGAGGAGCGTAAAGGAAGCGATGGGATGGCACAGGATAGGATTTATCTAATTATACTTGTAGTAGTAACTACTAATTACCATCGCGAAGATGTCCACAACTTGTGTAAACTGTCCAATATTCAGCTAGAGGTAGTCACTGTGGACATTTGAAGAAAGATCGAAACTTTGGAATGAAACACCAGACATAATATATCAATTTCAAGAAACAACTCGGCTCGTTGACCTGTCAAACCAGCCGGGTGAAACAAGCACCTATCGCCTCTATCAGGGCAAGAAACGAAGTAGAAACAAAGGCTCCCTGACCAATATCCCGATCAACATTGCAAACGGGCTTATCCCAAACAAGAAAAAAAAAAGAGAAAGACAAGATTCATGTGTATTTTTTGTGATTTCACCACGGCTGAAACCTTATCTGATCTTCCCACTCCCGTGTACGAGATTCTGTAGGGAAAAATAAGGGTGGGGAAAGAAGAAGAAAGAATAGGTAAGAAGTGAGAAACACTATATTAGAAGGATAATCGGAGGTTTCGTACACGAACCCGTGGCGAAGAGCAAAGATTAAAAGAGATCTCTTGGTGAAGCATCCCGACAAGAATCAGAAAGGAAATTAGAATCAACCATGATTGAGCTTTTTGTGTTGAAAAGGGAGGAGACGAAAAACAATATCCATGCCACCGGTGACGAAAGAGTCGGGAAGGGTATCAAAAGGACCAGGGAAGATCGGACAAGCCAGCAGCCAAGCTAAAGCCGGACTCCAAACCGAAAAGATCGGCGCGGAGAAAGGCTGTTGAGGCCATAAAGATTGAGTGGTGGGGAAGTGAATTCTTTTTCGTTTCTTTAAGCACTGTTTGGTGACTTTGTCTGTGTGGGCGATTGCTCAGGCGATTGCTCCACCACGTCCGAGAGACGAATTCGCTTGGCGTGGGGCTCTAGGAAATCGGCTTCACCACCCAGCTGGCGCTCTAAATCATTGATGTGTCGCTTAAGTTCATCCTCTCTGTGTTGTGACTCTTCGAGGGAGCGGCGCAGACGAGACTCCGAATCGCGAGCAATCATCTCCGACCGACGTGCGCTAGCGTCGCTCTGCTCAAGTTCTGCAACGCGACCACGGAATAGCTCATTAATCAGATCCAGTTCACTGACACGGGTCTTGAGGGACGTGTTAAGGGCCAGTAGGCTTTCGTATGTCTGGGGGGAGTCGAGCTGACGATCCACGGCCGATGGAGAGGGCTGACGCAGAGGGAAAGAAGGCATTCCCGAGCTCAAGGAACCATCACCTCGAGTAACGCTATCAAACATGTGCTGAGGCGCGATGTTCGAGTTATGCATGGAGGCGAACCCGGGTGTCTCTGTTCGCGACAGGGGGGAATTTGATCGATCCGAGTGACCCGGAGACATTTTACGCGACGCGCGACGGTAGCCATGAGAGCCCATAGGGGGGGTTCCCACATCGGATTGTGTCGCCAGACCATTGGGATCGATAGGGCCGCCAGACTAGAAAATCGCAATGGGTGGTCAGCAAATCGAGAAATTTCTTATCTAAGGTCCGAAGACGACAGGGTGCAGAGATTTTTGGATGCGCTGGTCGCGTACTCACCTTGCGTTTGGGGCCCTGGCCAGTCTTCACGCGGTTGCGACTCTTGATCACATCAGTTTTCAAGCTTATCGGACGAGGGCGGCCGTGCAGTTTGAGGAACAAGCCGCAGGCATTGCAAAGCACGGAGCCGGATTCGTCCCGACGCCACAGGGGTGTGGTGGAGGTGCCGCAGTTCTGACAGACGGGCTGTAATTGAGGTCGTTTGTCGTCAGTCAATGTGCTCGCCATAGTGGGAAATGGGGAGATCAAGTGGAGGAAGAAATGGGATGTGGATTGGGGGGAGTTGTGATAGATGATAAGATTGGGGAGAGATTTGACGGGCTCGATAAGGGAGAGGTGCACGGATCGGGTGGTGCCAAGGCCCCAGCGACTCGCTGATAATACTTCCGTGCAAAGATAAGGAGCGATAGGCCCACTCAATGAAAATCATGATAGATAGGGACATGCGACAAGAGAAATTGGACAGGACCTTCCACTTACAGGATTACTTCCTTGACCACCAGTAGTGGCCGCTGGAGATGAGGTCGCGTAGGTCATGTTTGGCATGTTCAAATTCGCATTCCTGGACTCGCTGTGTAGGAAAACCGGTCAGCCAATCGATTCGCGCCCATTTCTGATGCGCCCATTGGATCCCTTCATGCAGAGAGGAGGGGTATCCAACTAGTCTGGGGAGAGAGGGGGAAAATTATGGGATATTCCTTGTTATGACTCGATAATGAATCCCATCTAGTCATTATTTCCTGTATCCATAAACGTACCGTAAATTGGAGGTGGGAGCAGACGCGACTGAAGCAAGTGCCGCCAATCCTGGCAGGGAGGCGCTCACAGAGACCGAACCTGGGAAACTTTCTCTGTACTCCGAGCTGTTGTATTTGCCAATACTGCTCAGATCTGGCAGTGCAGGGGAGAAGGATTTGGGTAGATCTGTATCCGTAGATTGCGACGCGGGAGTATCGATGGACGGAGACTCGAAACGGGAGAGCTCGGACGATTGATGCGGAGGCGAGCCTGGTTTAAGAGCCGGGTCAATGGGCGCCGCCCGGTAGAGGATGGAAGCCACAATGGAGGGAGAGGGTGCTGTTCGATGAAAATCCGACCGAAACCGAATTATACAAGGAGAAGGAGGGAGGGAAAGAGCCAAGCGGTTGGAAGGATGGAGGACGAGATAGGTGGGGAGGAAATCCGCGAAGTAAGGTTGACCGCAGATTGTGGAGGAAGGTAGATCAACAGAGCTTCAGGGTGCTTGTGTTAATTAACGACAATGCCAGTGGGGAGGCCGTTGGCCGTTGGCCGTTTCACTAGGAAGTGAACGCTACTCGCAGAGGCAGTGATAAGGATTCCTCGCAGGACACCAAATCATCAACAGAGGAAATGTAAGAATAGGTTGAGTTGGTCCTCGGAATTGAGGCCGAGAAGAAAAGATTCAATCGGATCTCGATCAACACAGTAGTCGGGGTTGGAAGATATGCGAAGATGCAGAAATGGATCTTATCCTTCCCGATTGTTATTATCGCGCGCCGTATCGAAATTATCCCTTATCGCGCTTGTCGCATGGGGCTGGGGCAGTGTACGGTGGTAATTACCATGAAATCCAGACCATTTGAACCATTTTTTGCTTTATATTTTCTGTTTTAATTTCATAACCTATTGGAATGCATATTCTTTATTATAAACTTTGGAGTCCTCTGGACCCTGCCCCCGCCATCTATGCTCATTCCAATGAGGCATGTAGACCCAGTGAGGTGGCCCCAGGCACCATTTGTCAAGTCAGGTCTACGGAGTACAGAGGACTTTCTAAATGATGCACTGTAACCCGTATTCAGATGGTCAATCATTTGTATGATCCCTTCTATTGTCTATCTATAGAATAAATATGATGGGATCATTCAGAGTAAATATTATAGATAATAACCGTACATACTAGTAGTCTTACTACTAGTTGTACTTAACAAATGGATAGCTTCAATGTGGTTTTAGTTGCGCCAATGACCAACTCCCTTCTTCTCGCTCGGAGACAGTTGGCCAATTGAGCATGTGGGTCAATCCACGACCTCATTTCCCAGCTTTTTCCCTGTTGACATATTGTGATAGTCTAGGAAACCTTGGAGCCGAACCACAAAGCGCCCAGTAGCAACCCCCTTTTATGCGGGTGGATTTTTAGGGGGTGGAGACTGCGGCACTCTGTGGCGGTGTCGGTATAGGTATTACTGCCCGTGAAAGAACATCAAAGAACATCACTATGAGCGTAGAGTGTATCATTGACCCGGATGCGGTAAATTACCTGTTACCAGACCCGCCTCAGGTCAAGCCCCCCTGCCTTAAGCCATGTCTGGCCATAATAATAATCAATCATGACGGGATGCGTTAATTCCTCTGCCTTCAAGTCCTCTCTTACCTAAACCATTATCTCTAATGGAGTGAACATTTTTTTGTCTTTCGTTTTCCCCCCCTCAGCACGTTGTTTTCTTTTCTTCTACTGGAATTGTCTTCTTCATCCTCTTTCTCCCAATAGATCTGTCCCTCACAATGCCAAAAAACCGCCCTGCCACGTCAGGCTACGCCCGTCTCGCCCAAGCCGAGGAAGAACGCGGTTACATCCATGATGACTCGGAAGATGACGAACTGGCTGCGGTCTCCTCCACAGTGTCAACCTCTAACCCCCGTTATGCTCCTATTTCCTCCCGAGCCCAGATGCAGGCGTCCGGTCTCGCCACGCCTCCAAGTCATCGACGCAGACACAGTGCATATTCCCGCCGCAGTCGCCGAAACTCTGGAGTGGATATCAAGGCTATAAATGCGCGTCTGGAGCGATGGGCGGATGAGATTGCCGCCAAGTTCAAAATCAACCGAGTCAAGGGCAAGACCTACGAGGAAGAGAAGCTCGAGATCTATCACTCCGTCTTCCAGGCCCCCGAAGGTGTGCGCCCAGTGTCGGCCGAAACTCTGGAGTCGGATGAGTTTGAGGGCCTGCAACGGAGGCAACGGGCGGAGTATGAGGAGATCATTGAGAGTGTGCGTCTGGCAATTGAGCTTGGTGTGCATCCAAGGATGATCGCGCAGGGAAGCTCAGGCAGTTACTTTGCTCGAAACCCTGAAGGAAAGGTCGTCGGCGTGTTCAAACCCAAGGATGAAGAGCCCTATGCCTCACGAAATCCTAAATGGACCAAGTGGATTCACCGGAATCTGTTTCCCTGTTTCTTCGGCCGGGCGTGTCTTATTCCCAACCTCTCCTACGTCTCCGAAGCTGCCGCATACGTCCTCGACGCCCGCTTACGCACCAACCTCGTCCCTTATACTGATATCGCGTATTTATCTTCGAAATCATTCTTTTACGATTTCTGGGACCGGCGCAAGGCTTGGAAAGGAAAGAAGATCTTGCCTCCCAAGGCTGGTAGTTTCCAGGTCTTCCTTAAAGGATACAAAGATGCCAACATCTTCCTCCGTGAACATCCTTGGCCCGACCAGATCAATTCAGGCTTCCGGGCAGAAGATGCCCCGAAGCGCAAGAAGCGGCCGTGGAACGAGTCGTGTCGCCCGTCTGGCGTGCAGTCCGATGACGAAGATGACGACGAGACTGGACAGATACCCACGCCAAATCCACGTGACGAAAGCGCTGAGCGTCGTTTCAATTGGACAGAAAACCTCAAACAATCATTCCGTGAAGAGCTGGAGAAACTGGTGATTCTGGACTACATAATGCGCAACACGGATCGTGGACTGGATAATTGGATGATTAAGATTGATTGGGGCACTGAGCAGGTGTCTATTGTGGCCGACCCCCCCAAGTCTACTGAGCCACAACCCAAACACGACGAAGATGACCTTTTGCCTCCTCCGCGCCCAGTCTCTGTCAATTCGAACGGTTCCAATCCCTATCGCCGGCGCGAGCAAATGATGGCAGTTAGCCGCACAGGAACACCTTTAGCCTCATCAGAACAGCAGGCGTCAGTTCAGGTTGGTGCCATTGATAACAGTCTATCATGGCCATGGAAACACCCAGATGCAGTATGTCTCTTTCATAACACACCTCCTTTTAACTATGCTAACCCACAGAAAAGTGGCGGAGTTTCCCCTTCGGATGGCTTTTCCTACCCGTGTCCCTGATTGGACAGCCATTCTCACAAAAGACTCGCGACCACTTCCTTCCCTTGCTTACATCGACTGCATGGTGGAGTGGAACGCAGATGGCTCTGCGCCGAGTCTTTTCCCAAGACGACGATTTCAAAGAAAGTATGTTTGCTCGGCAAATCGCCGTTATGAAGGGCCAGGCCTGGAATGTGGTTGAGACGTTGAAGCATTCGGACCACGGCCCGCTCGAATTGACCCGCAGGACCCGAGTCTGCGTGTGGGACGATCTCGTAGATGTACCCGTTGCCATTCCAATGCGAGTACCCTCTACCGACATGCAAAGACGCCAAGCCATGAATTATGACAACGAAGAAGAAGAAGAGATGGATATTGGAGCGGCCAAATCCTCTCAACCCAACCCCGAACACGATCTCCTAGGGTTAGGGCCGTCTTCAACCGACCTTCCAAACCCCAACCGGTTCGAGCTCTCCCGTGGGCCATTTGGCGGACGAGCTACTGACTCCATCGGTAGTCCCGCTACATTGAACGAAGGCGATTTTGCACGCACAACTACTGATGGCGCCTATGCCAGGTCACTAGATGGATGGCCTGACGTCTCGACTCGACCCAACAAACACCGCAAGCATGGTGGCTCTCTATCCTTCCGCGTCCCTCACATCAATTCCTTCGGCAGCGATGACCTTGAAGGAGACCTTGGATACGCAGCCGCCGAGGGCATGGAGGGAAATCAGCGTAAGGTCATTGTGGAGCGTTTGGAAGCCGTCAAGAGCAAGAACCCTGTCTTTACCTGGTGCTAGAGCTTACAACCTCTGCATTGAGGCTTAGATTTCTTTTCGCTTTTTGTTTTTTTTCCCACCTACCCTTTTCATGCCATTGCATTTTCCATCTCAATTATTTAATCTGCCATTGCTTCCTTTAGCGTTCCTCTTCTCGGACCTGCAAGGAGATCTGTTTGTGCATCCTCGCAATGTCTTCTTTTCTGTTCTGCACACACGTGGTGATGACAGTGTTGCTTCTTTTTCTTCATTTTTTTCTTTCTCGCACGCCACGCTCATGATTGGGGATTTTGTGTTGTATATAGACCGTTTCTGGCTGTTTGGGCTGGGGTTGCGGCGCATTGATTAAGCGCCCATTTAGCATACATATAGTGTGCTTAAATCCACCCCTTTACTACTGGGGTGTTTATGTTATTTTCATACCCAATATTACAGCATTTGCTTTCAGCAAGGTTCTCCGATAATCAATCCAGCATTGAAACCTTACGACTACATATCCATGCCATTTCCAAATTTTTGTCTACTTCCAGAAATCATCAATTGATCGGGACTTCGTGACCTGGTTATTTCTGGAGGACTGCGCAGTTCAATGTTTGCAAGCCTCAAGCAAGTGCTTGAGTTGGTTTGAAAAATGACATACATAGATAAACTCACACCGTGGATGCTCTGAACAATCCTCCAGGGCTGCCTATGTAACCATCAATCAATGATGGGTGTGCTAGGCAAAGACAAGCCTGGGCGTCTCCACTAATCCAGGACAGATCACAATCGATCAATAGGGTAGACTACTATCATGGATGCGATCTAATTGGAAATAAGCTTCTGTGTCCCATCCGAAAAATGGTCATTGTGAAAAAACCAAGCCCGAAGTCCTCCTCAAGCTACTGAGTAGACTAAAGCATCATCCAAATGATAGCTTTGTCTGAGCAAAGAAAGCAAGAAGAAAGACTTAATAATCAGAGGCGGACATGGAACTGACCGTGGTGTTTGTGTGGTTTACGATACCTCAAGAGGTGTAGTCGAGGTTGCAGGCGTGAAAACAACTGGACTTGAATAAGAGAAGAAGTGGAAGGGGAGCAGAGGAAGCAGAACAATGGCATGACGTTTTAAGTGATCAAGAACGCAAGAGATGCAGGAAACGCCAATAACTCGAGGGTAGGTCTCGTAACCTTAACATCCCCAGCACGACCTCACATATTGAATCATACATTCCATCTCAGATTCAACTTTTTGTGCTATCAATTGATGTGTATTATATTATCGGATATGATACGGCAGGGTCCTAACTCGGGCTCTTGTTGCCAAAATCGGTGTGGGTCGTTTGACATAGTTGGATGAAAACCCGGAAAAGACCGTAATGATCACATGTAAATAAGAAAAAAAGAAAGAAAAAAAAGAATAAGAAATTCCGAGATGCATCCGGCATGATGCGACGACACCATCTGCCGATGAGTCACAGTTTCAATATCGGGGGAAGAGCTGTTACTGTTGTTGCTGTTGTAATGCGATAACTTGTGGTAGTAGACCGCAGATGCGGCTTCAAGTAAGTCACAGTTCCCCTGGTGTCGAAGGACAGGCCCCCAATTGAAGTAACATGAAGCGGCATTGTAACCATGCGTGTTTGACGTGCTTGGAGACGCAGTTGCTTTGCGCATCTCCCCCGGAATCCTGCGCGGTTGATAATGTTGATGTCGATCTTGATATGGGTCGACTGGTGGGGTCCACTGTGGGGTCGTTCCTCGGGGGAAGGGCACTGATAACCTGAGGGCGGGTCAGATGACCTCAATAATTCATTCTTCCCTTCTTTTCGTCCTTAATGCCTGTAGCGGGCATGGACGCTGACCGGGACGCCCTCTTTATTCTTTCATTTCTTCCCTGATTTCCTGCAGCTTGTGAATCTGCGTCTCGTCCCAACCCTCCCTTCCCTCGGTCACTTGTCCCACCGTCTCCTCTCCACCTTCTCCTCATACTGAGTCTATATTATCGCAAACCTCATTTCACTCGCCCGTTGCCCCGGAGGAGGCTAGATTCAAGAAAGCGGGATAACGTTTTCCTGTGGTCTACGCAGATCACGGCTCTTCGAGGCATAATGGCCTCCAACCCATCCATGCTCTTGGATCCCAAGGGCTACCAAAAGCAGCAGCTTAAAAACCGCGGTACTTCTTCCTCTTCTCCTTCTCCCTCTTCTTCCTGTCTCCATCTTCCACCATCCCAAGGCAATATGGATACCTCCACAGAACCTATGGAATTATGTTCTGCCCCGATACTCAGAACCCAAGAAAAAACACCAGCTTCCTCAATGCTTTCTTCCTCAAACGGTTCGGATTTGGAGGCAACCGAACTACCCTGCTCACTTCCTTCTCTGACAGCCCCCTCGACACCGAACAACTCTGTCCCACATTCCCCTTACTCGATCGCTCCACCAGGAACTTCTCCCGCCGTTCATTTTTCGGCAACCATTCCGCGCAAGACGTCACCGAGTCCCGCGCCAAGTGACGCGCCGAATGCCGAAGCAAACATGACGGTGCAGTTTACAAGCGCCAAAGATGATGACAGTGAGGGCGAAATGAAGAGGACATTCAACGAGATCAGCGAGAAGGATGAGCCTGCTCGCCCACATCATTTGATCGAGGACATCTACGGCGTGGAAGAGCGCCGCCACCAACCGTCCAAGAAGATGAAAATAGAGGAAACTTCCAAGCCCGGGACACCAATTCAGCAGATTAGGACATCAAATGGTGGTGATCTTAGTGAATTCATGAAACAACATGATACAAACGACGCTCCATCCCCGGCATCACCGGGTGTTGTGGATTTGACCACGACTCCCCCAAAAGACAACACGGATGACGACGAACTCCAGGTCACAGGCTCAAATGATCTCAGCACCCAGCGTGTATGTTATGGCAAAATTCAAGGAGCCATGATCAACGCCCACTCCGTACCCTTTCCAACTTCCAAGGCCCACTTTCCCGATCAGTGGGCTGTCATCAAACTTGAACTTCACCGGGCCGAAGAGCCAAACAACAAACAGATCGGGGTTTCAGACCATACTAAGAATGTCTTTGGCTTCGTGGATCCCAAAGTAGCCCAAGCCCTCTGTCCATTACTTGACTCTCCTATCTTCTCGCTGGAAGTCTCGGCACGGTTGGACATGCGACCAATGCTCCCCGGTGAGACCCCCGGTGAACCTACATCGGCGTCTTATCGGGCCTCCCTGACTCTGTATGGGGAGCGCCAACGTGCAGAGATTGTTGGCAAATGTCTTAGTCAACACAATATCTGGCTTGCCCATCCCCCCATTGTGGAGAAAGGCACTCCTCTCTGGAACCCTCACGATGAGATAAGACGAGCTAGAGATGCAGCCACAGCTGCAGCAAATAATGGCCCGAGAGACCGTCCGATAGGAGTCAGGTACGAAAGTCGAACGGCGGAGGAAATCACCGACTCTGTGACCAAAATGTTCAACCAGCTCGTCAGCGCGGATGTTCCCACAATGGATCCGCCTGACGATGTTGTGACACCCCTTCTCCATCATCAACAGCAAGCATTGTGGTTCATGATGGAAAAAGAAAAGCGCCGCCGGTTTGGGCCGGAAGAAGCCGATAACAACTCACTTTGGCGTCTCCAACGCAACTCCAATGGCCAAGATGAATACAAGGAGATCATAAGTGGGACAATTTTTGTCGGTGACGAGCCCCCGCAAGTCCTTGGGGGCTTGCTGGCTGACATGATGGGTCTCGGGAAGACATTGAGCGTACTTGCTTTGGTCGTGTCGTCGCTTCCAGCGGCACATAGATGGGAGAAAGTGGTTCCGAGTCGCCCCATATCCCGCCAGGTTCCAGGCATACGCAACACCCGAACGACACTCCTGGTGGCGCCTTTAAGTGCTGTTAAGAACTGGACAATGCAGGTCGAAGAACATCTGAAACCGGACGCGCTTAAATTCTATGTCTTCCATGGATCGGCTCGAACTACCGACCTACAGGAACTTGCCAGCTACGATCTTGTAATCACAACTTACAGCACAGTCCTCAGTGAACTTTCGTCGCGTGTCGGGCGTGAAAGTCCTCTCACTAAAATGAACATGTTCCGCATCGTTCTGGACGAGGCTCACATCATCCGAGAGCCAAGCGCTCAGCAGACCAAGGCGATTCTTAGTCTGAATGCGACGCGCCGTTGGTCAGTAACAGGAACTCCCGTCCAGAACCGTCTTGAAGACCTTCATTCTGTTCTGAAGTTTCTGCGCCTGGCCCCGTATGATGACAGTACCCATTTCAAGCAGTTCATATTAAGCCGGTTTAAGCTTGGTGATCCCACAGTTCTCACCAGTCTTCGGGTCTTGATTGACTCGTTCACACTGCGTCGAGTCAAAGACAGAATCAACCTGCCTGACCGAGAAGACAAGTTGATCATGCTGGAGTTCTCTGAGAAGGAGCGGCATTTGCACGAATACTTCCGTACCGAGTCTAACGCCATGATGAGCCATCTTGTGGGCGATAACAAGACCAAGATGGGAGGCCGCATGTATCACCACGTGCTGAAAGCCATGATGTTGTTGCGTCAGGTCAGTGCTCATGGTAAAGAACTTCTCGACAAGGCAGATCGGGAACGAATCAAGGGTCTCAGTGTCAATGACGCTATAGATTTGGAGGAGAATGAGTCAGATGACGGCAGTACTGCTGCTAAGGAGAAGAAAGCATATGATATGTACGCCTTGATGAAAGAGTCATCGGGTGATCACTGTGCCCTGTGCAGAGAGCATCTTGACGAACCTCTCACCAGTTCCGGGGACGTTGACGTTCATGCACCCATGGCTATTTACTTACCATGCTTTGACATGCTTTGCCCTTCTTGTTTCTGGTCTTGGAATGAATACCATTTCAAAAAAACAGGACAAGTTCAGTGCCAAGTCTGTGATGGCTGGGTCGTGAGGAGTTACACTCTGCTGACGCCATCCATTATTACATGGTTTGATACTTCAAAGCCTGAAGGGTCAGAACGCAAGCAAGGCAAGGTACTAGGGGACTATGAAAAGCCGCATACGAAAACCTTGGCCCTTGTCGATCACCTTCAAGCATCTCTTGCTGAAAGCACCACCTTGGTGGGAGAACCTCCCATCAAGAGTGTGGTGTTTTCTGCCTGGACCACCCATTTAGATTTGATCGAGATCGCTCTCAAGGATAACGGGCTGGACTCATTTACCCGACTAGACGGCTCGATGACTCTTGCAGCCCGAGGAAGTGCCTTGGATGCCTTTGCCAAAGACGACAGCATCACCATTCTGCTGGCCACAATCGGTGCAGGTGGCGTTGGACTGAACCTCACGTCTGCATCCCGAGTTTATATCATGGAGCCGCAGTATAACCCGGCAGCTGTTGCGCAGGCTGTGGATCGCGTGCATCGTCTTGGTCAAACTCGTCCCGTGACGACCGTGCAGTTCATCATGAAAAACAGCATTGAGGAAAAGATCATGGAGCTTGCGAAGAAGAAACAACAGCTTGCCGATATGAGTATGAATAGAAGCAAGGCGGACAAGAGGGAGGCCCAAGAGCAACGCATGGAGGAATATCGGGAACTTTTCAAGTGATGCTGACGAGGCAAACTTTCCAAGAATGCGCTTTTATATTTTATTTTCTATGTTTTACACGACTTTGCTTACGAATCGGATTTCAACGGCAGGATGGTTTTGATATCTTTTATTTTTGATACCCGGATTATGGATGGCCTTTTTCTTCGGCGCTGGGGGTCTCTTTCAATTTACACATAGAATGGTTTCAACATTTGAAAGCTATCTTGGCCTTTTTTTTTTTTTTTTTAACTCACTACTTCATCACAGGCTGCTGATGCCTTCTGCCTTCTGCCCACTGATATCAGGTGCTCTGTTATTAGATGGTCATGCATAATGTGGTCTTATCCTTATGTCCTCCTACAACATACTTACAGTGGCTTCTCATAAGTTCCCATCTCTCGGTTTTCACCGCCATCTTATTAATAGAATACCATTTCAAGACTTGTATTTCAACCAAACTCAGTATTGATAATATACCGCCTGCTCGCCATGATAGATAGTAGAATGGAATAATTGGATTTTGTAAAGGCAGAATACTAGGTCTTGGTGCGGCAGAAATAAAGACATAAAGACATGAAAATAGAAATCTGGATGGATGGAAACTTATGAGAAGCCATGTAGATGTTCTCTCAAGAGCTGTCATCATAATACAGCATACCGCAGCACATGTGCATGCTAAACACCCGCTGGGAATAAAGGTAGCAATTCTAGTTGCTTAATGTACAGTATGACATAGTATACACCGTAAGTGTCATAAATGAGTCAATTCATAGGATCTCTAAATTGGTATCAAATAATATAACCCACCTGCAGCCCAAAACGCCTCCCATTTCCAAACCAAGTAATAGAGAAGGATGAAAGCAAATCCCCTCATTTCCGATACTCCCTCTCCGCATAAACGCCCACAGAAACAGCCCCAAGAACACCATCCAACTTCTTCTTCAAACCCCTCAACTCCCTAGCCTTCCCCTCCCTCTCCCTCTCCACATCCCTAAGCTGAACCTCCAGCTCCCGAATCCTAGCCTCCTGCTCCGCCTCCGAAGCCCCGATGCCCGGCAACACCGAAATCAAGTACTCGATCTGCTGCTCCTTGATAATGAGATCACGGGCCAGCTCGCGCTGCCGACTGGCGAATGTGCGCGGGGAATCAGCCTGTGGGGGCTGGTTGGGGTCTTCGCCCGCCAGCGGTGGTCCAAGGCCTGGCGCCGCGGCACCAGGTTGTTGTGGTGGTTGTGCGGGTGGAGAGGCGCGACCGGCGGCTTCGGATGTGTCGCCTTTTGCGGCGAGTGAGGCTGGGATTGGAGGCGAGGTTTCGTTCTTGGTCATCTTGGCTAGGGCGGGCACGACATTGGGGACGTCGGGGGGCGGGAGCGCGGGGCTGTTGTCATGGTATGTTGAGAGGTAGCCTAGTGTGGCGTAGAATTGGGTTGCCAGCTGTAGAGGTGTTAGCTTTAATGTCGGGCTGGGAGCTGGGGTAAGGCGTTTTTGGGGGGCTTTCTTACTTGGTCCAGGCAGGTTTGGAGTTGGGTTAGGATGTCGGCCATGGTAGGCGATAGTTGAGTGGTTGTATCAAGGCGCGCAAAGTTTTAAAGGGTCGATAAGAGAGGAAATATGTATGAGATGGGATCTTGAGCTTAAAGTCGATGTGAATTTCATGCGCTGGAGGTTCAAGTCCAACTTTTGTTATCTGACTTGGAGGGAGATGCGGAGAACAAAAGCTCTAATGCGGTGAAGGCCGAGGCGCGTTCAACTCAGTGCCTCAGTTCTTCACAATTTAAAGCACCACTCAATGCGACTCCTCGCAGCCAGACTTTCACTGGCAAAACTACCGTTCCCAAGCCATGGAATAACCAGCTTTCGGTTATTCTCCAGCACCCAAATCCATAATGACCTAACGCCCTTCACGCGCCGCCTCTTCAAACTCCCCTCCGCACCACCTCCGCCCTCCCAACACCACAACAGCCTCTCCCAATTCCTCACCTATGCCACCCGAATTTCGCTTCCAGAAACCAGCACAGTCTACGTAGGCACCCACTACGAGTACACAGTCCTCCAAAGCCTCCGCCGGTACGCATTCGCACTCCACCGCATCGGCGGCCGCGACGATGCCGGGATCGACCTAGTAGGCACCTGGCACCCGCCCACACACGAGGGCTCACGCGCGCTCCGCGTCCTAGTGCAATGCAAAGCGCTAAAGGCCAAGCTGGGCCCGAACCTGGTGCGCGAGCTCGAAGGCACGCTCCGGCAAGCACCGGTGGGCTGGCGCACGGGCCAGACGGTGGGTGTGCTGGTCAGCCCGCGCGAGGCAACCAAGGGCGTGCGGGATGCATTAGCGCGAAGCTCGTTCCCGTTGTTCTGGATGATGGTTGAGCGGGATGGGACACTGCGGCAGGCGCTTTGGAATTCGAAAGCGGAGGGACTGGGCTTGGGGGCTCTTGGGATTGAGACGAGATATGCAGCTGCGGCTGCTGGGGGCTCTGCGGAGCTGTCAAAGGAGGTTGCGCTCACGTGGGATGGATGTGATATCCCGGATATGGATGCTGTGGAGCATTGCTTGCTTCGGCAGGAGGAGGGGTGGGTTAAGGCTTGGGGGCAGGAGTTGGAACATGTTGAGAAGAGTGTGCTCTTGGATACTGTTGAGCAGGTCTTCCCGGATGGTTCTCCTTGTGGAGGGCTAGATGGGACTTTGGCGCAGGAAGACCGGACGAAGGTGCTTCAGGTCTTGCGGGGTCGTTGAGCGGCGAGCTGGGCTTATATGTATATTATGTATTATAGTAGGTGATTGCTTGATGGTCATTCAAGAACATTTAAAACATTGGCATGATCATATCATTGTCGTTCAAAAACTTCACGGGTATTAAAAAAACTCCAACCGAAAACACAAAGCTCGTACACAAAACGCCAATATTGATCTCATGGTCATCCTTGCACCGTCTGCCAGAAGTAATTCGAGTAGAAAAACCTTGAGAACTTCGGATCAATGTTGACGACATGCACATCGCCCTTGCGACTATTGCGAATGACAGCACGGTTGAAGTTACCCGCCTCGTCAGGTTCAATATCAATACCGAGTGAGCGGAAGATCTTCAGTCGCAGTCTATAATAATGTTAGCGCCACACAGAGCAAGGGTAGGAAGTAAGTGAGCCGAAACATACATCGTCGCATCGTCCATTTCACGTTCCCGGCGCGTAGCCTCATCACCCTCCAAACCTTGCGCCTCTAGGTCCGCCAATCTATCCTTGAGCATTTCTAATTCGCTTTCAAGACGCTCGCTTTCAATTTCCAACTCCGATGCAGCCTTTGCGATCCGGAACTTCTTGGTGTCGAGCTCAACTATCTCAGCGGCATGTTTACCCGAGTCATGGACTGCCACAGCCTCCTCATGGTGGGTAGTTAGGGAGTGTAGATTGCGGGAAAGTTTTCGCAGAGATGATTCTGCCTCGCGAATGCGCAGGTCGCGTGATTGTTGAAGAGTGGACAGCGAGTCATTAATGCGCGTGACGGCTTGTTTATCCGGATGGATGTTGAAATTGCCGATAGTGTGGTGGATGAGCTGGAGAATTCAGTTAGAATGAAATAAATTGCATGAATATACAGGTTTGCAATGTATAGATTATCAGGACAGAGTCATACCGTTCCAGGATCCTCGTCAAGCAACATGATGGGCTGATTAGTAGGTTGTCAAGTAAACTTTGGAATCGAAAGTTGGAGATGTTTTGATTTGTTGGGGCAGCAACCGCCACAGCACCGCCACATGTTTCTCCGCAAGTGACGTTTCGGCGCTTGTGATCGCGCTTGGGGATTCATTTTTACTGTCCTTTAATCTCCGCCTATTTGCTACCCATTCTCTCTGCCGAATACTCGAATTTCATACTCTCAACCAATATGTCAAACCTTCCCTGTATGCTACCCATGCCTCCCATCTCCATGCCCATTTGCTAACCCGTGTGCGCCACCATCCAGATGCCGCCGATGCGGAAAGGTCTGTTGCCTGAAACCACCATGGATAGCCCATGAGCCTTGCCAACTAACCTGTCTGCCCTATACAGCCCGCTGAAACCCGCCGAGCTTCAGGTGCTACGCGCCCAATATGAGAAAGAAGGCGATTACGTGGGCATCCAAACCAAGTTCAACTTCGCCTGGGTATGACGCTTCGGTCCCCTCCCCCCAAACATCCAACATCGCAAGCCACACGCCACACGTCACCATACTATACTTTACTATAGCGTACTTCCTATGCTAACCAGGCATTCGCCTCGAATAGGGCTTGATCAAGTCAAATACCCGACCCGACCAGCAAGAGGGCGTCCGCCTTCTGTCGGAGATTTTCCGCGGCGCACCGGAACGACGACGGGAGTGTCTATACTATCTGGCTCTAGGCAACTACAAGTTGGGCAACTACGGCGAAGCTCGTCGGTACAATGATCTGTTGCTGGAGAAGGAACCGGCCAACCTCCAAGCAGCCAGCTTAGGGTCGCTCATCGATGATAAAGTGTCCAAGGAGGGACTAGTGGGCATTGCTATTGTTGGGGGCTTAGCTGTGGCCGCGGGTCTCGTGGGTAGTCTAATTCTCAAGGGAACCAGAAGACGGTGAGCCTTAGGATTGGCGAGCTGCAGGGGCTGTGGCACAGTCGGTTCGGGACGTCCTTGCGTCGCGAACGGGTTTTCTCATTCTTCTGTATAGTGTTTAAAGGATTCTGCCTGATGTCTTTTTCTTTTTATTTACCCATTAGCTTTCTTTTTAGCTTATGTTTTGGGTTTCCTGCCTTGTGCGAGCATTTTGAGGCGTTCATAACTTTGATTGTTGTTATTTTTTCCAACTGAATGAAATTCGACTTGGACTTTGTTTATAGTATACGTCAATGTCTCTAATTTTTCTTCTATGTAATTCTTCTTTTCTTGCCTCCTTGCCACTTGCATCATTATACCTCCGAGAACTCCAGAAAACAAAGCTGCCTGAATTTAATTCTATTTTTACAGTGCATGAGCTGCATGAGAGCGATCAGTTTCGCTTCGTGGACCTTTGAAGGATCTCGTGTACTTCAATTGCTTGTGACGACATATTCAATAGCTTGTTTTTCTTTTTTCTTTTTTGTTTCTTTTTCTTTTACACAAATTCCCGTTTTTCTTTCCAATAACTAGTTTCAATTCTTGTCCTTCTTTGATTCGTCTTTGTTGGTATTTTTTTGGTGTCCAATAAACCCCCAAACCCCGCGCCTGATAAGGCCATGACTCGTGACTGTTCCGCGCGAACCACTTGATCTCTCCAACACTTTCGTCTCTGACTTCTTTCACTTACTAACCTCGCCGGAGTCTCTTTTAAATACTCAAGAATGGCCGATTATGGCGCCCATGGTGATCATGGCGATCGCGTCTTCTGTCATGCCTGTGGCGCGGTTTGGTTGAAAGACGATGATGGTTTGACGTGCCCACACTGCGAGTCCGGCTTCACGGAGATTGTACGCCGTCCATCCCCGATTCCCGCCCGTTTTCTGAAGAGCTTACTACTAACTCACAACCCATCCATAGATTGAAATTCCCCCAGATAATGTTTCACCAGAACCACTTATCGAACCTGACTCTACACCGGCCGAACCGTGGGAAAATGATAACCCATGGTCGCAAGAAGACTTACCACGGACTTTTGGCTTCATGAACTCTCCATCACCGAGCTCTCCACGCTACTCTCAACATACATATAGATCTCCAGGAGGTCAATTTACATTCACCAGCACCTCAGTACGAGGGGGATACTCAAACCGACATGGTACCACTCCAATGAATCCCGCGATGCCAATGATGATGCAGGGCCTAGGTTCAATACTCCAGGCGCTCTCGGAAACCGGAGCTGACCACCGAGGGCCTCGAGCTGGGGCTATGGATCCATTCCACCCGGATTCACCTGGCTGGGACGATCATGACCGCCATGGAGTTAACGAATCCGACGATCCCCCGGAGATGTACCCACGCGATGCAAACGCGCCGCATACAACAACCGCGCCGGCAGGCACGTTAGCCGAGTATGTGCCCATTTATAACAACAGACCCCGCCTTATGCTGCGAGGATGGACCTACCGTTATGCTAACCGACCTACCAGCCTTTTGGAAAGCCTCCGACGGGACTTTGGACGACCGGAGAGGGGCGGCGCACAAGGCGCAGCAGGCCCTAACCCTCTCGCGAACCCCCTTGCCATGCTTTCGGTTCTACTCAATATGGACCGGAATGGCGACGCAGTATACTCACAAGAGGAACTTGACCGGGTCATATCACAACTTATTGATCATAATGCAGCGGGAACGGCACCTCCAGGTGCATCCACTCCGGCCATCCAATCTCTACCTAAGAAGAAGGTCGACCAGCAAATGTTAGGATCGGACGGCAACGCGGAATGCTCCATTTGCATGGATATGGTAGAACTGGGGACTGAAGTCACAGTGTTACCCTGCACACACTGGTTCCACTTTAGTTGCATTGAGGCGTGGCTTGTACAGCATAATACCTGTCCACACTGCCGTCGGAGTATCGACTCCGCCAGTGGGTAAGTAGCACGCCGAAACCTGGTTCCCTTCCATCCTGGACTTTGATTTGGACTTTCACGGCTGACATGATTACGTCCCACAAGCACACCTCGTACAACTAGGCGCACGCATGGCGAAGGCACAAGTGACAATCCCATCCAAATACCGAGTAGTCCTGAAATCCCAACTGCTACATCCCCTCACCGTCGACGTCGAAGCTCTCCCTTTGCCTCGCTTAGTGGTCGCTCGTCATTTTCTCGAAATAGTCGAAATTCACAGGCCCCAGCGACACCAGATTTGAATGGACCTGGCCCTGAGACTCGATCCGGATCCGGATCTGGATCTGGATCTGGCACTGGCACCAGGAGATCTAGCCGGTCCAGTCGCAACAGTCGTAGCGGAGAAAGCGGCCGTGGAGGTTTCACGGGCTGGGTCTGGAGTCGGTTTGGTGGTGGCAATAACTAAGACCTAGATATTTTGATTATTTTCACAACGTGGAAACTGATGGCTTTATTAACGTTCTCGAGCGGGGTTTTGCATATTGCGCTCCAAGACAGTTTATGGGGGAATTTTGGTGTTTTCACGGTGATTCAGGCTGTTTAGCGTTGCTTCTGCTTTTTATCCATACCCCCCTCCATCAATTGATGGTGGCAGGCCCACGATCCTACGATGTTTCCGTTCGTGTACATGACTTTTTTTTTTCCAGATTTTTACTATTCACAAGAGATTCTTTGATACTGATCTCTAAATTCTAGAAGCAATGCGACGAACTGCAAGTTTCAATAATACTCCAGCATGTTCCTTGGCTACTAAGACATATGCCTTTTTGTCTCCTTGACTTACAGAGAAGTATACTTGATTTAATCTTTTCGATAGTTTTCGAAAGCAGCCATCCTTTTCCTACTACCTATTACATATTCAAATGTAACTAAATCTCCCTACTATTCACTACATAGCAATTCCTCGAAATGCAAATCCAAAGCTACCAATGTTGACAATGTCAATCTTGGTAGAGATCACGATATCCTCCACCTTTATTGGCCCGTCACGCACATATACGAACTCCCATCACGCCATCTAGGGGCACGATAACCATAAAATCACCTCATAGTCGCAACCGTAGTAGAAGCGGGGAAAGGGTTCGTTCATTCCAAACATTTGAACCTTTGTTAGTGCTGTATATATTTCACCTTATTCCCCAATGCACAGTACTCAACCTCTTAGACCCATATCCATATTCATACTTCAACTTTGAAATACAACATCCGGAGCTATCTAGTCATGTCTGTCGCCCCAGAATTCGAATCCGCAAACGCAAAATATGCCGCCTCTTTTACTAAGGGCGCTCTGCCCTTGCCCCCAGCACGGTATGTCTACCAAATGCCGATTTTAGATTAAACCCCCCCCACTCGTTCATGCATTTCAACCTTTGGTTACCACTATATATCCACTCAAGCTAGCTCCAGGATATTAAGTTCTGACTTGTTTGGATTTACCAGCAAAGTAGCCATAGTAGCATGCATGGACGCGCGCCTCGGTACGTCCCACTCCAGCTCCAAGCTCCACATTTTATTCAATGTTTCAATGTTGCCGCTGCATTTGAATCTTCCCAAAACTATACCTGTCAACACATCCATGCATGTGCCCAGGTGGATGATACTTGGCAGGACTGGAACATTGAAAACATATCCTTCAAATGTTTGAAGCACACCTGGATTCCTGCCCAGCCCATAGGATACATGTGCAGGGATGCCCAGGTGCTACCTAGTTGTTTTTATCGTCCAAATGTTCCAAGGTTGGCAATCTTGAAATCCCGAGCTGACCAGATTACCCAAAACCAATTCAGATCCCGCCCGCGCATTAGGCCTCGAAGAAGGCGATGCCCACGTCATCCGAAATGCAGGCGGACGGGTCACGGATGCACTGCGCAGCATCATAATATCGCAGCAGCTGCTTGGGACGAGGGAGATCATCATTGTGCATCATGTATGACATTTCAAGCCCCTCTCTTTCTTGTCATGTCATGCTGGTTCTGGTTCTGATTCTGATTCTGGCTAGACCGATTGTGGAATGCTTACCTTCACCGACGATGTGATCCGTCATAAGATCCGGGCGGACCTGAAGCAGAGTGCAGATCATATTGCGTTTTTGCCGTTTGGGGATCTGGCGCAGAGTGTTTTGGATGATGTGCAGATCTTGAAGGATAGTCCGCTTGTGCTGGATGTTCCTGTTACGGGGTATTTGTATGAGGTTGAGACGGGGAAGATTGTGAAGGTTGAGTAGGGGGTTAGGTACTCAAGGTTATACATACTTTAGATACATCAATTGATTTGGATAGTATAGGTATACCTCCAGATGTTAAACTGATGACTCAAACTTTCTATAAGATGGTATTCTTCGTGGTGCAGGCTGGGGAGAGCACTGAGAATGACATCTGGATAGGTGTGGGCGCGGATAAATGCTTCAAATGTTTCTTAAATAGACATTTTTAGCCTCAAGGATGGATCCACTTCATTTGAATAATAATACATGAATCTGTTTCGCTAATCATTATCAGACCAAACCATACTCAAATGCAAGCATTGCCTGAACGACCCGGCCAAGTGCTCGATCCGAATAATCTAGAACAATCAACAACGGCTGATCCATCTCAAGAATGCCTTTCAAAACAAACGGAATCTTGAATATGGCTACCTGTGTCTTGGTACGGGCTGATTTTTGAGGAGCTGAAAGTTTGAGTCTGGTTGCTAGTACCTACTGGTAGGTATAGGAATCGGAATTGAAAACTCCTTATGGCGCCTCCAGGTGACATCCACTTGACCATATAGATTGGGGCTTTGGAATGTGCATCATCGTTTGCCTTTAAGCTAAATTATACCAGTTGACTGGTAGATGATGTAAATAAACATCTCTTCAAGTTCATAAACATTGGAATGTACCTGCGTCCTAACATTTAATCACAGCAAACACACACCTAAATGATCTCCCTAGATAGCTTCCAACGATTTTCAAATATTACTTGTCCTATTCTTGCGCGAAACCTCCACAACCTCCTCGCACAAATTGCGCAGAACACCCGCCAGCCACTCAAAATCCCCAATCTCCAAAAACACCTGTCCACTAACACGAGTCCAAAGCCAAGGCCCATGCCGAAAGACAGGTACAAAAGTATCAAACTTCTTCATCAAAGTCTGCTCGATAAACGAAGCCCTAAGCGGCGCTTCCTCCGGCGTAAGCGTCACCCACGAGCCTCCCTGGGCCTGAGCCCCATCCCCCGCGACCCGAAGCGGCAAGCGGATCGTGACCATACAGCAGTCGCGCATACGACTCTTCTCGCCCGGCTTCAGGTCCGGCTCCTGCATGACATCTGTACCGAGCGTGGCGGCGATCAGGTCAGCGGCCTCGTTGGCCAAGTTGGTGCAATAGGACATAATGGCTTTCTCGCCGCCACAGACTTCGCGGCGGAATTTTAGCGCTGCGGGCACGCAGATGTAGGCGGAGTCGTCGCTGGTGGCGACGAATTCGAAGAGTTCTTCGAAGGGGGTTTTGGTTTTGGGTGCGTTTTTGTCTTGCAGGACTGAGGCGACGGTCGCGGTTGAGGTGGGCGCGGCAATGAAGCCCCATGATGTGGGGAGTGTGGTGCGAATTAGGTGCTGGTTGCGCTTGGGGACGTATAGCACTGCTGCGCTACGGGGTGTATAGAGCCATCTTTGTTGGGCGGTTAGTCTAGTTCCTTCTTGGCTCTGGTGGAGATGGAGAAGAACGTGAAGGGAAGGGAAGGGAAGGGAAGGGAAGAAGAAGTTAAAAAAGAAGAACGGACGGGATACATACTTGTGGCAGTTGGATACGAAGAAATCAGGCTGTAGCTCCTTCATATCGAGGGGGATCATTCCAACGCCGTGCGCGCCATCAATGATACTCAGAATGCCCTCTTCACGGCATATAGCCACGAATCGCTCAAACGGGAACCGGATACCCGGGTTACTGACGACAGAATCGAAGACCGCAGCACGCACTTTGAGGCCGTCGACACGTGCCTTGCGAACTGCTTCGCGGAAGCGGCTCTCCAGCTCATCCACGGAGATAGGGAACTCGAAAGGGACCTTCCGGGCCTGGAACGGGGAGTGTTCTTGCAGAGACACGATGCCCATTTCCACGGCGCCATATACAGGGCCGAAATAGATTAGTGCTTCAGATTCCTGAAGATTTAGGTTGTATAGGACGGTCCAGACGCCCGTTGTGGCATTTTTGAGGAAGACGCATTCGTCTTGCGGGGCGTTGATAAGTTCGGCAATCTCTGCGCGCGCTTCTTTAAGGAGCTCTAGATGGTGGACCCGGATGTAGGGGTCTGGTCGCTTATCTGCAATGGCGGAAAGAGCACGTTGTGTATCGCGGACTTGGACCGGGTGAGCTCCGAAAGAGCCTAGCTGTCATGTTAGTATGGGAGATGAAGTGGGAGATGGGGATTGCTGAGTCCTGACCATGGTTAAGGTTTTTGTAGGAGGGGTCGAATAGCCAATGCTTTAACATGGGTTTCCCGAAGGGTGTGAGTTGGTCTTCGATAGTCATGGTGTTTGGTAGTTAGGGGATGGCGATGTATTGAGAATAAAAAAAAATTGAGGAAAAATTGGAGTCACCGGGAGTCCAAGTATTTGAGCTGCGGAGAGGTGATGACTCAGTCAGAGTTGCAAGAAAAAATTATTGGAAACAGAAAGTTGAAGCTTCATTTCCATCTTGACTCACCCGTAGCTCGAACCAATGAGTATTGGAGTCTTTATCCTCCAGGTCCACTTGTATCATCCGAAGGGCGTGGATTTCATCACTTTTGATAACATGCGGGGACCCCCACTTTCACCGAATCTCGACTCTTGTACTAGTGTGGCCCATAGGCACTGACAAAGTGTATCCTTTTAAAACAATACCTTTATGGGTTCTTGCTCTGAGCTTTGCTCAATCGAAAAATCGAAAAAAAGAAAATTGATCTTTGGTTATCCTTGAGGTTTGTGATTGATAATGGTAAACCCGACGGTAGCCGGTGCCGCGATGCTAGTGCGGAGAAGCTTAAGTGGATAACAATGAGATTAAAAAGATCAATAGATGAATGATGATGATCCATCAAATAACACACACCCAATATCCAAACCTGCTGGCGGAGTTCCAAGCCTATCCCAAAAGAGCAGCGATGTCGACTTTACCTGTACTGGTCTTTAGAAGGACTAGGAAATATCCCCATCACATGATACACATATATGCAAGGGGGTACACCACGGTGGCTTCGATACATATCTTTACCTCCCCAGAATATACCCTTTACAACCGCCAGCCATGTGGAACTGCGACTACGCCAGCTGTGGCAAGCCCTCAGTCCGCCAAATCGGAGGATGCATGATCTGTAACCAGCACCTCTGCGCCAAGCACCTAAAAGCCGAATACCACAAATGCCCAACATGGGAGGTAAGCCAAAAGAAAAAGAACCCAACCACCTACAAACATTAACGCACCTAGCCTTGTATAATATAATAACGCCCTATATCAACTACTAACCACCCATGCCTGCATCCACAGGACGAAAAAACCTACTTCCCCGCCGCCCGCCAAGCCGAAAAAGAAGAAATAACCCGCCTCCTGCAAAAAATCAACGTGGCAGCCCTAATATCACGCGCGAGCACCCTCCGCGACGGCATCCCGTGCACAGTACCCCACAACCTCAAATACGACCACGAAACCTGCAGCAAGGTAATGGGCGGCATGAACTACCACATCGAGATCCTGTTCGAGGACGGCGTAAGCTGGCTAACGCGGATCCGGCGCCGCAACGCCACCTCGCCGCCGCCAGAGCTGCAGAGCTATATCGTGCGCAGCGAGGTCGCGACGCTGCAGTTCCTAGCGCGCATCAATGTGCCGACGCCGGCTGTGCATGATTTCGACGCGGACCCCGACAATCCCGTCGGGGTGCCGTATATTCTTATGGAGAAGCTGGCGGGGCGGAGCGTGGGTAGCTCGTTGAATCTGGCGTGGATGCCGGAGAAAAGGCGGAAGGTGCTGGGGCAGTTGGCGGATGTTTATGTTGCGCTTTTGAGTCATCCGATGGAGAAGATGGGGTCGTTGATGCCGGTGGATGTTGATCAGCAGATTCAGGCGGTGGGATTGGGATTGGGGTCGGGGAGTGCGGTGGGGCCGTTTGCTGTGGAGTCTTTGACGGATCGGGGACGGGCGGGGGCGTCTTTGGAGATGACGGGGCCGTGCTGTTCGGCGCAGGAGTATTATAGGGCTGGGATTGAGTTGACGCTGGATTTGATCTTGCGGCAGGAGATCTATACGGGTCGACCGATTGATGCGTACTTGGTGCATCGGTTTTTGCTGGACAATGTGGCGAAGGTGTTTGCGTATAACGATTTGGATGATGGGAGGTTTTATCTTCGGCATGCGGATGATAAGGGGGATCATATTCTTGTTGATGAGGAGTTTAACATCACGGGGATTATTGATTGGGAGTGGGCGTATACGGCGCCGCGGTCTGTGGCGTTTAATTCTCCTATTGCTCTTATTCCGGTGGCGGAGTTCTACGACGGGGGCAATCGGATTGGCGATGACGAGGTCACGTTTGCGGAGCTTCTGGAAGAAAAGGGGCATCCTGATCTTGGGGAGATTGTTCGATCTGGACGGCTTCTGCATCGGTTTGATTTCTGCTGCGGATATGACATTTCGGATTGGGATAGTTTTTTGGGTCTGTTCTTCGGTCTATTGAACGGCCTTGGGGATCCGTTTCTGAAAGGTCTTGGTGATAGCAAGCAACTAAACTGGGAGATCTGGAAAACGGACGCCATGGAACGATATTGGGACGACGAACGGCTGCAAAAGCTGATCGAAGCCACTAATTTCTTTTGATTATTAAAAATTAAATCCAGGTACATCAAGTGAAGTAGTATCATATGCCCAGGGGTCAGTAGAAGTGGCGAGCAGTAGTGCCCTTTCAACAGTATTTCGCCTGAAAGCCGGCCCCTTGCCAACACAGATACAGTCCATAGAGAGCACTTTGGGATTTGATGGTTAGTATTATGCATCAGATTCCATGGGAGAGAGAAGGGGGGTGGTCAAAAACTCACGTCTTGCAAATGTAGAAATATCAAATAATATAGGCGAAGTTTTCATTCGGTACACCGAGTTTGCCGAAGCCGAACTCTCGACCACGATATCAATCCCCTTTTCTTGTAAAAGCCTCTGCACTCCACTAGCATCTAGCCATTCATCCGCCCCAGCCTCATAAACCAGCTGCCACGAGCTCGCCGAACGAGAAAGCTGATCTGCTTCAAAACTGTTTTTTCTCGGATGCATGGGGGTTAAAACTTCGGCTCTGGTGACTATTTCTCCGTAATCATCATGCATAGCATTGTAGAATGCCGATACCAATCTAACCCGCTCCGACTCATTTAGTGGTCCTCCAAACACCTGTCGGATTTTCTGAAGGTTGTCAGGTGAATAAACGAGTAACCTGTAGCCGGTGCGGCAACACTCTCGCACAATGCGGTGTGAGATAGTCAGGTGTGTATCTTTGGTGTCTAGTGTGAGTGGTGGGCTTGGAAGCGAAGGAGCTGGCCCAGTAGGATAATGGTAACCATAAGGAAGCATTGATTGGTCTTGACCAGGTGGTGTAAGAGGGAGTGACATGTCCGACCACCGAGTGAGCGATGACGATGTCGATGTCATGGACGGTTGAGGAGTTGAATTTCCTGAATAGAGTATCGGCTCTTCGCGCACGACCTCTGCATCATAATCCAAGTTGATCGTCTCCGCCGGCGTAGACTGATTCAAGTACTCTTCCCCATGATTCCCAGTGACACTCTGCGCGGGAGTTCGGTTCTGGGTTTGATTCTGATTGTGTTTCTGGCTCTGTTTTTGATTTTGATTTTGATTTGATTCGGTCTCATTATCGGAACAGCCTTGTCTCGCAAGCGACACGCATTGTTGAGTAATGGCCTGAAGAGCAGATGCAATATTTGAACGACCGTCCAGCAGATTTGCCCCTAAGAGAAGGGTGCTGAAGGAGAGAAATGACTGGCTGAGATCCTCGATACCGGTTTCCAACTCCTGAACGCGCGACTGTAGGTTATTGATGGTTGTCTCCTTTCGCCGGCGGTATGTTTGTTGGGCCTCGCGAAGTTGCTTTCGACGTTTCTGGATATGATGAGCGGACACGAACTCATACTCTGTTCCGTATCCTTGCACCTACCTCGGGGACTTGTTCATCATCAATGTTATTGGTCCGTGGACGTCCTCGTTTGCGGGGTGCAGTGGGTGCGGTCGCAGTGGTCGCAGCGGTCGCGGTGGGTGCAACTGGTGCAGCAGATGGATTTAATATTTCGGCCATTATGTATTTTCCTTTTTTATACCTTGACGATTGGACCAAAACCCAAAAAAGGGGGGTCAAAAATCTGGTACTTTTGGGTCCACTCTATAGCGGTGGAGACAAAGTGCAGAGAAGTTGGGGAAGAACAGGGGACATGGGGCATTAATAGTTTATTCATCACCCGAGGGATGAGTAATCGAAGCGGGTCGGCTAAAATGGTCGAGGCCTTAGTCATGCTGCATATGATCCATAACGTACATTAAAGATGCACCTTAGACTTTGAACTACCGAACTATTTCTGACTATGTACTAGTTCAAGGTCAATTGGTAAAGGATCAAGCATAAGAAAAGTCAAATTAAAATTAAACTTAGATTAAACGAACCCATACACGAACCTTAGCCTGATCAATGTACAAAAGTCCCATATTTTTCCTCATTTTATCGTCTTTTCCCTTCCCCACTTACCGTTTGCCTTAACCAAAAGAGAGAGAAAAAAGAAATTACAAAAAAATACCCCAAAAATTACAAATAAAAGAAACAAACATATGACACCTCCATTACCTCAAAATCACCCCAGAATACTCCCAACTCCCCAAAATCCACGGGTGAAATCAAATCGCCCGACATGAACCAGAAACCTGGGTCTGAGGAGGACCAACATCAACCAACTCCGCCCCAGTCACAGTAGTCACACTGTGATCGATACCGTCAAAGGTACAAGTAAAGCCCGCATTATCCAACTGGATATGAGAAATGCTCAGAACATTAGCTACAGAAAAAGGTTAGCCTCATACTTCCGAACCAATATTGAGTAAACCTTATCGGTGCTAGGTATTGGGGTTGGGATTGACATACTGATCTGCGTCCATTGACCATTCACAGGGAAGCTCTGAGTGAATTCCGCATTGGCCGCACCAATGAAAACAACCTCAACGCTGTGATCATGTCCGTGGCCCCCGTTGCCCCCGTTGCCCCCCTGATTTCCACCAGAAGGAGGAGGAGTAGATGATCCCGAGCCCGTTGCGGAGCACGATCCAGAGATCTGCGTCTGGGGTGGGCCGACGTCGACAAGCTCGGCTCCATCGACGTTCGTGACGCTATGATCGATGCCGTTGAAAGTACACTGGACGTTTGCGTCCGGGGATGAGATGTGCGAGATGCTCAGTACGTTTGCTGTGCATGACGAAGGAGATGATTGGGTTAGCGGGTGCCAGGTTCAAATGGAGTAAGATGGGGTTCTATGGAGAGTTGGAAAAGGAGAGAGTCGGAACGCACAGATGGACACCGTCGAGCCATCGATAGGGAAGTTCTCGGTGAATTGGGCATTGGCTGCGCCGATGAAAGTGATCTCGACTTCGTTGGTGCGCTTCAAGGGCCGGGCATTCGAGGCCGTGGCGAGCGCAAGCAAGATGTTCAATCCTGTCAAGACCTGCATCTTGTTCGGGAGTATAGTTGGTGGGTTTTGGGTTTCAAAGGATTGAAGAGATTATTGGACTGGCTGTTTAGCTGTATTCAAAGCTGATCTGATTCTGGAATGCATCACTATCGAGGGCTAAGCTTGATCCTTTTATACCTTTCCCTGTCCAGGACTCTACGAGTCAAGTACATCATCGTCCCCTAGAAACGTGCCTAAGAATACGGATCTCTAGAGAGGAAAAGGTGCAAAATGGTGACGTCCGCGATGTAGACTGTGAGACACAGTACCAGGATTGCCAAGAGAGTGTCAAAAAGAAGGAACAGAACATATTGAGTAAATGTGAGGGGATTTGATGTTTTCCCACACCAATTGGAACGGGACGCTTTGATCCCACGGTTGAGGTTAAATTGCTAATAATAGTCTTGACTTCCTTTGTCACGCGGGGTAAACCCGTATCCTCCCCACTCGAGCCATTGATTGTTGACCATTGTCTGATTCCAGTAAATGTGCTCCGACAATTCCACTCCATAGTCCATGGGGTTGTGAAGTTGATCCAAATGCTCGACCCTGGTACCTACTTTACTGCCCCATTCGAGGCGAATACGATAAAGTCTAAAATGGCCGGTCCAATGAGATACTAAGATCTCACGGCCCAAATAACCCATGCTTCAAAAAAGTAAACTGTTTCAATGCATTTGACTGGTTTTCGTAAAACACCTTCCTGCTCCACGAATGAGTACGCAGGAAATCGGGGGCTTGGAATCAGGAACTTGGTTTCAGTGGTGAAATTGGTCAGGTCTTGATGGCGGAAGTATCCATTCCACTCGTATTTTTTTATCAGGAGATCACCATCGCCGGAGTGGCACTGATGAAGATGTGTTGTGGTCAATGACGCTGCACAGTTCTCTGGACTGGTTGGCCAATCGGTTTGGGGGTGTCTATACGCGATTGGAAGGAAATGCGCAGCGGGATTTAGCGTCCGTCTATGATAATTACTAACCTTGGGATCTAACGGACCAGACACAGTACTACCAACGAGATCAACTGACGATCTCGGCGGAACGAAATCAAGGAATGTCAATGGGGTAGACTGGTGGTAGAGTGGGTTGGATGGATCGATTTGAGACTTGGCAGTCATCCAAACCTATGGATCAAGTGTAGTGCATGGTGAGTTAGGTAGTTGCATAACATGTTCCGGTGCCAGCTTCGGTCATTTGAATATGAGCAGCGTATCCATGGATTCTCCAAGTACGAATCCAATACAAGACGAACTGATAACATCCGATTAAAAGTCATCTTACATCTACCAGTCAACTAAGAAGGAAATTCAAGGTATGAACTTGGATATCAAGTGGATATCATAGGGGATAACAATACAGACAAAAAAAATCCCAAAACAAACACGCTTTTCATAATTTCCATGCATCAGCCCTTGCCAGTACATACAACTCAGAATCTAAGACCGATATTGGTACATCGGAGAAATGTCAACCCAAGCGACTCTTCGCAGGATCGCTGGGTTCCATTTCGAACCAATAACCACACCATCGGTCCAAGAAGCCCTGTAAAACATGTCAAGGTAAAAGCAGTTTACAACCCTTAAGAATGTACCTGTAAATTTACAACCTTTAGGAATGTACCTGTAAAAAAACACCTGAAAGCATCCAAAGGGCATTAAAACATCAAGTCAATTCCGTCTAAACAATAAAGGAAGTATTTTTGACCGCTTAGAAGCGGAGATCCCAGCCAATCTTGGGGCCAAGACGGGGAAGTTCGTCAGCCACGCTCTGTACGTCCTTGTCACCCCGACCACTCAGGTTCAGAACGATGTTCTGTCCCTTCTCCATAGTCTTAGCCAGCTCCATAGCACCCCAGACGGCGTGGGAAGACTCGAGAGCGGGAATGATACCCTCGGTCTGAGAGAGGGTGCGGAATCCGTGCAGAGCCTGGGCATCATCGGCAGAGATGAAAGTAGCGCGGTCAGAATCCTTCCAGGCGCTCAGCTCGGGGCCGACACCGGGGTAGTCGAGACCGGCAGAAATCGAGTGAGTCTCGGCAATCTGACCGTGCTCGTTCTGGAGGACGTAGGTTCGGACACCGTGCAGGACACCCTTGGAGCCACCGGAAAGGGTGGCAGAGTGGCGAGCAGTATCAACACCGTCACCACCAGCCTCAACACCGACCAGCTTGACGCTGGGGTCCTTGGAGAAGGGGTAGAACATGCCGACGGCATTGGAACCACCACCAACGCAAGCAACGACGGCATCGGGAAGCTTTCCGATGGCCTCCTGCAGCTGCTTCTTGGTCTCGTCACCGATGACGGACTGGAAAGTACGGACGATAAGAGGGAATGGGTGGGGGCCAATAGCGGAACCGATAATGTAGTGAGTGGTGTCAAGCTCGACGACCCAGGCGCGGAGAGCTTCGTTGACGGCATCACGGAGAGTGCGGCTGCCAGCATCGACAGCAACAACCTCAGCACCGAGAAGCTTCATGCGGAAGACGTTAAGGGCCTGGCGGCGCACATCCTCAGCACCCATGTAGACCGTACACTTCATGTTGAACTTGGCACAGACGGTAGCAGTAGCCACACCGTGTTGACCAGCGCCGGTCTCGGCAATAATGCGAGTCTTACCCAGACGCTTAGCGATCAGAATCTGACCAATTGCATTGTTGATCTTGTGACTTCCGGTGTGGTTGAGATCCTCGCGCTTCAACCAAATGTTAGCACCGCCAACGTGCTCGGTCAGGCGGTCAGCAAGGTGGAGGCTGCTGGGTCGGCTCATGTAGGGGTAGTATGAGCGGAACTCCTCCCAGAACGAGGGGTCGTTGAGAGCCGTGTTGAAACCTTGCTCAAGCTGAGCAAGGCAGTCCATCAGAGACTCGGGAACATACTGTCCACCGAACTCACCGAAGCGCGAGGGAAGAGCCCAGGACTCCTTAGTAACGTTCAAGGCGACCAACTGGTCACCCAAGCCAGGGCCAGCAGGGGTCTCGGCCTCAGTAATGATCTTGGAAGGCTGGGTCTCAGCGTTGACAAGCTCCTTGTGGACAGGCTCGACGAGGTTGATCTCTCCGGTAATGTTACCTTGGGCATCGCGCTGCAGCTTGCGGCCGGTAATGTTGGAAAGGTATTCCTCAGCAGCCTTTGCGGCCTGGCCAGGGGCAGCCTTGCCGACAGTAGTGATGATCTGACTACCGATGACGACACCTTCGGCGACTTCCTGGACATCAAGGAAGTGCTGGCGAGTGCTGACTCCGAATCCAAGAGCAGCAGGAACGTTACCAGAGTATTCGTGGACACGACGCAAAAGATCGGGAATGTTGGCGCTCAATTGGCCAGTAGCTCCGGTGACACCCATGCGGGACACGACGTAAATGAAGGAGTCCGCAATCTTGCAAAGGAGCTTCATACGCTCATCGGAGGTGGCGGGAGCAATGAGAGGAACGTAGGAGAGGCTAAAGAAATTAGCTTTGGGCTGGACAATGCATAATTAGATCGAAGCGCATGGTAGTTAGTACTTACCCAGTGCTGGCGCACAGGTCGCGGAAGCGGACAGCCTCCTCTGGGGGCAGATCGACCATAATGAAGCCATTGACTCCGGCCTCCTTGCAGTCCTTGAGCATACGCTCATCGCCGTAGCGGAGAACGGGGTTGTAGTAACCCATCAACATGATGGGGGTCTTAAGACCACGGCTGCGGGCCTCGCGGACAAAGCCAAGAACGGTTGTAACAGTCACACCATTTTGAAGAGCCTTGGTGTTGGCGGTCTGGATAGTAGGGCCGTCGGCAATGGGATCAGTGAAAGGGATACCAAGCTCAATGATATCTGTAATTTAAACCAGAGCTGTTAGTGATTGCAATCTAAACTACCCCGCCATCAGGGGGATTTAACATACCAGCACCTCCATTCTCCAAACCAAGAAGAATGTCAACAGCCTCTTCGACAGTTGGGTATCCAGCGGTGATGTAGGCCACAAGAGCAGACCGGCGCTGCTCCTTGCACTTGGCGAAGGTAGCTTTAATTCCCTCCATGTTTGGAGGTAGCAGAAAAATGTGAGTGGAGGAAGCAGGAGAGATGGGGTAGGAGAAGGGGGAAAGAGAGAAAGGACGTGGAATATATATCCAATTATATGTAAAACGGGGTAGGAACCAGAAGAATCCGCAATTCACCCGCTTAGTCGTCGAAATTCAATGGTTGGTAAGTGGAGGTGGGCGGCGTGAGTCAACTTGGAATTTCGAGTCGCGGCCCCGCTTCACATGTCACGTGTGATTAGATAGTGAATACCCTGTGTCACGTGCCTACTTTATCCCCCTCGAACTCACGTGATATTCCATCGGCGCCGAATACTAATGACTACTAACTAGTAGTTATCGACTTGTTCACCCCTCAGTCAGCTCTAAAATCAAATACAAATCATTCTTCATATTTCTTTCACTTGTTGGATAATTTGAATGACGTTGTTTTATTACCACATAGTACTAGTAGGCTGTTCCTTCTTATTAAATTTTGAATATCCAGTTGGCAGTATGTACAGATTCAAGAGTAACGAGCAATCACCCCGCAAGACCGTCACCCCACCACAAGACATTCAATCACCCCACCGAGCGATGATTAACCCATCACGAGCCTATTATTGACTAAAAATTGCCACCATGGTCAGGAGAGTATGAAAAATTGAATTGACAGGGGCAAGTGGCATAACAAGTAATTGATCGGTCTGGCCTTACGGGACTGGGCAGCACTGGTGAAGATTCCCAATACCGCTACCTAAACGAGTCTACCAATCACGCCGATGACACAGCATTAAGTAGCAGCAGGTGCTTAATCACAAAGCACAGGTACACAGGGTGATAGTAATAGTAGGTAAGATCTACAGGCAACGAGCTGCAAAGTGGTAACAATGTGTATGCTTGGACCCTACTAAGAACAAAGACACTTCTAGATGATGATGAAGAGAATGAGGAAAGATTGAAGAATATAAATAATTCAATGAATTGATAATTTGCTCAACAATATAAGTACTAGATACTATAGGGGGCAGATAGATAGTATAGCCCAGATCCCAAAAACGCCTGAACAATGCAGTTAAAAACTTTCGAGGCCCTCAGCTCAAAAAAAAGTGAACAGGTGAAAAAAGAAAATCACACAAAAATAAACTCCCAATATTATCCAGCTGAGAACAAAACCCAACGGACGTAGCGTTGAAAGCGACATCCACCGAACAATGTTCCTCAATGCGCCGACGGCGCCAAAAAGGAGGAAAGACAAATCAGCAATAGCTGACCTCAATCCCACAAAAGATAAAATAAAACAAAAAAGCAACCAAGAAATAAAACCAAAACCAAATCTATCCCAAATCCGTCCTGCGAATGCGTGAAGGAATGACTGCAGCGCCCATGTTATGCCAAGTACTCGTACAATAGCCCAGAAGTTTTGTATGCGAAAAAAGGAGTGTAGCCCAAAATGCCCGGCAATATGCAACCCGAAAAAAAGGAATGAACAAGACAAGACACCGTCTAAAAGCAAAAATGGTGGGTAGGGCATTCAGGCATGAAAGTTTTGTAAGGAGAGACATTGAGATCGTGAATCGAAAAGCAAAAAGCAAAAAGCAAAAATCAAAAGCAGGTGTGGTCGGTTGGATCTGCGCGACGAATGGATGGGAACCAGACCGTTCGGGGAGCAGGGAGGGGGAACCGACGTAGATATAGGTGGAGCGTCTGGGCGTGGAAAGGAGTGACGTGAAGGTGAATCATGTATCTTCAACAGAGCAGAGGGTGAAAAATATAAAAATAGAAAGAGATGGAAGCAAAAACGCAGTCAAAAAAGTAACAAGAGATGATCAGGTGGAGGGTCATGGACCGGGGGCGGTGGTGTCGTGTAGGGGGTGGTACACGGGGTCCATGTAGGTGTAGCAGGCGCCAGCCGATGCAGCGGTGGAGGGGGGAGGAGCTCCGAGGCCGTGCATTTCCCATGCTGATCGGGGGGTGGGAGCGACCAGGCCGTGGGTGCTATGGGGCTGGCAGATGGCTGGATAGGAGTATCCGGCCATGCCCATTGTTGTGTACGGTTGAGTGACGGTGGGCATCACGGACCGGAGATCGGGGGCTGCTGTCAATGAGGCACAGTGGTCTGGTTGTGTGGAGTAGACCGGGGCACTCATGGCGGGAGCATAGTGATTGACAGGGCCGGAATCTGAGACCGAGTGAGGGGAGGGAGCAGTGTGAGGCTCGGTGCCGGAGTCGGAGCCAGTGCCGTGGCTAGCGTAGTTGGTCGCGGGTGTCTGGATGATGCCTGCGGTGGAAGAATAGCTCGCGGACTATGGGATGTATTAGTGAAATTCCATGCAATCTGGTATATTTTAATTACTCACGTATTTGCCAATGATCTTCTTCAGGGCAAGGCTGAGAATTCTCCAAGGGAAGACCTTGACGTCCTTCTCAATGTTGCGAGGCTTCGGCGCGGGGAAGCCCATGATGACCTTGAAGAACTCTTCACTGTCGGCCTTGGCCTTTGAGACGGTGAGGGGACGGAATCCTTCCAAGTTGCGACGAATGCGGTTCTTCTCCTCAACTGTGAATCGGACGTTGACCAAAGACTCGAGCAGGTAGATGGTATCCACGCTGGTAACGTAGCACTCATCCTTGCCCTCCCAGGAAATGCAACTAATGCAGATGCTGTTGGGTATGCGCTCCTCGGGAGTGACAGGCTTGAAGTCGGCGTGAATGGTGCTTCCGGTTTGGGTGCGCCCGAACTGCACCAGGCGGCGTTGAGCAGTCTGCTCGTCCTTGCTCCAACCATGAGCCATGGAGTCCAGGTCACCACTCAGTTTGAGGTTGGCCTTGTTGGGATACATTCCCATGCCCCAAGGGTTGAAACCTGAACTGTGACCGACGCCAGATGACTGCTGCAAAGTCGATGTACGGATCAACTGTGGGGTGGCGCTACCTGCAGGGGAAGGTCCTCTCCTTTGTGTCATGGTATGGGGAATAGCCATGCTAGAGCTGCGACCATCGTGACCTAGGGAGACGAAAGAGGGGCTCCAAGCCGGGGTGAGAGGGGACGGAGCACGGAGCACAGACTGGGGGGTGGCAGACACGGTAGGGTATTGGGCCGTGCCAGTGCGAGGGGAAGAGACACCATGGTAAGAGCCGACGAAGCCGGGGATGGCAGGCAGAGACTGCACGTATGGCGAGAAGGAGGAGGAGCGGGTGTGATTGTGGCTCTGGGTATCACGGTAGGAGTAGTTATCTTGAGGCTCGATCTTGGGAATGATAGGTCCAGTCGAGCGCTTCACAGACGCAGCAATAGGGTGGTCGGAGTAGGAAGAGAACTTGCGCTTGTGCGAGCTGGTCGATGGCACTGACTGGGGCACATGCTCGTAGGTGTAAACACCCACTTGGAGAGTTGCTGGCGGGCAGTCACTCTGACCTTCCATCACCACCTGCACAGGGACAGCAAAGGAAGGTGAAGCAGTAGAGATGAACTGAGGGGCATCGGCGGCCAAGGCATATCGGAAGTTTGAACCCTCGAAACCCAAGAAGTTGGGGAGACATTCGCACTTTTGGGAGCCAAACACCACGTAGACAGTTCCATATGCGGAGCTGTGCAAATCATAAGGCGACTGGATCTCCACAACCACCCGAGTACCCTCGCATCCGCGTTGGGGACTATATGAGTAAATCTCGGGGATTTGTCGGGAACGTGCATTCATTAGCGGAGACTGTGACTCCTCGTACGAGCTGCCATACTCGTTTCCGGGCATGTAGGGAACACAGTCCGAAATTTGACTAGCCTGGTCGGCCATGGGCGAAGGAACAAGTGAGGTAGGTACGTATGGGGATTGACCGTAGGCTGAGAACGAACTAGCATCATGCAAAGACCGCGTGGAGGCGTAATCTAAAATTGGTTCCGAGTGTAAGTATGACAGCCTATAACGAGACTCGGCGTGGATCATGAGATTCAACACAAAGGCGGGGGGGGGGAAAACCTACCAAGTACAGAGCCAGCAGCGGGCTTCTGGAAACCAGACATAGACAGAATAGACTCAGACTTGGCCCACAGGCCGTCTGAAAACGCACCGACAAACTGCGATTCCTCAGAATCCGAGAAATCCAATGACTCGCCTAAGATAAGAGGCGTTTGGAAATCTGGGTCGAACTATAATGAGAGAGAGAAAAAAGAGACAAGTGTCAGCCGATAAACTTCCAAGGCGCAGAGACCGGAACAGCAGGGGTGGTCTTCAAACAAAACTCTGGGTTTGGATTGGCAGAAGAGGCAAAACATGCGGGCATCCTGAAGGAGAAACAGGAGAAAAACACGGTATAGATGGGGATTCTTACCAAAACACCGTGTGTCTTCGAATAAGCCAGCTTGAAGATGTTGCAGCGAGTGCAACGAGACAGAACCTCCTTAAGAAGCGAATGACTGGGAATTTATTTATTTCCCAAGATAAGGTCGGCAAGCACACGAGAAAGGGGGTGTGCACTCCGAGACAGAACGAGCGACGAAAATGAAGCTAGGCTGTCAGTCTCACAGAAAAGGCGGCAACAAGAAGCCTCGAATCACCATCCAGGATTTTCAGAACTAAGGCTGAGACTAGACCAAAGGCTGGCTGCAGCAAGAAAGAAAGGACTTCAAATCACGATGTGTGCCCAAGATGGTTCATAAAGACAACAGGGGGAAGAACCAATCGCATGAGAGAGCCGGGTTCAACAAGAGCCACCGCTAGTTTTGCGTGGCGGGAAGGGAAGAAAGGAAGATGCAATATCCAGGATTCTCCACGAGTGTAGACGGCAAGAGTTCCAGAAAGGCGTGGCGATTGAAGAACGATGACTGGCGAGGTTTTGGTGATTTCTTTTGTTTCGTGATGCTATCCCCGTATCTTGTTTCGGGAAGAAAGTTGGACGGATCGATTGGGCAATGATGAACTACACCAGCAATGAGTATGAACGGTCTGATAGTCTTTTTTCTTTTCTCTTTCCACACTTTGAAGGTTCTATGGGGAAGCCGGAGTGTCGGAATGATGCATAAGACGGAAAGGGTCTTAGAAAAGGGGACTCACCGAGTGAATCAGAATGGAGAAGAACAAGTTGATTTGCCGTTCGATGTCGCCTAATATGCAAGAATTTGGCCGACGTGGGAAATCTAGAAAAGCGTCCGATGTCAATAACAAACGCACGCATGAAGCCAATAGCGGGAGACGGGAAGAGCCATCCGGAATCCACAACAGCTCTCTAGCTTTTTTTTTTTACTTGGTTACTCCCTCTAGCTCAATGATCTTCCAATCTTTGATGATGTTCGTCATCTCCCGGAGAGGGGCAAAAGATTGAAGTACAACATTTCCGACTGCAAGGAGATGCGACACAACTCAAAGAGGAAAAGATGCAAGGCACGGGGGGAGTGAGACCGTGGGCGAGGGGGGGGGCCAAAGTGGAGACGGATGGCATTGATTCTTAGAATTGTACTAACCTTAAGCTGAGCAATATGTAGGCCCTTGTCAGTTTTGGCGCTGAGACCTTGCCAAACAGATACACCTGACGAGGGGGGTTTTCCAAGGTTAGGCGTAATAGATCCTAGAGGTTCGAGCGGTGCTTTCAGCCGAGACACAATTGATTTTGGCGAAACCAGGGATCCAGATCAATAGATATAGAAAGTCGGTCCCTTTTTCTCTCTTTGGTGTCGTTTATGGAATTTCGGAATTTGGCGTTGTTCGTGAAGAATAGATCGGGGGTTTCGGGGAGATCAGCGACGGGAGCCAGAACAAACGGGTTCCTGTCTATTGAAGATTTGAATTGTATTGCAAACGCGGTTCACACACAATCTCCGAGGCCCTGCGTCCAGCTTGATAATTTTTCCCTTGCAATTTCCTCCGATAGAATAGCAAAGTCGTGGGGGGGGGAATGGAAATCAAGGGTGCGTCCAGCGAATCACGGGAGCGCAAGGCGTTAGAATTAAATATTAAGAATATTCGGAATATAACCGTTTATGGGATTTGGTTTTGGTGTCCCTCTTTTCCTTTTTCTTCCTTTTCTCCAAGGGAGATGTCTCGCTCTGTGAATATTTTTTTTTCTTCTTCTTTTGGTGTAATTTGCAATAGAAGATGTGTTGTAGGTTTTTTGGAAATCCGTTGGCTTTTTTTCCCCGGTAAGGATAAAAGCAATCAAGAAATCAACGTAGCGAACGTGAGATTCGTTAAAACGAACGTGAAGAGCGAACGTGGGTGAGCGAATGTGGAGACCGATCAAGGTATAGAGTAAAAGGAAAAGAGAAGGGGGAATGCAAGGATGGCAAAGGGTTAAAAGCGAACGGTTGTATCGCGATTATTATTAGCAGCAGGTCAGAGTGCTTGGGTCTAAACTGTATAGGGCCACGAGCGTGTGGAGTCGCCTACGCTTGGCTTCTTTGGGAAAAAGCCCATGTCCTTATGATTTTTTTTTTTTTTTTAAACTTGAAAAATCATTAATAATTTATTAAGTGGAGAGGAATATTTACTCGAACTTTTTTTGGTTTTTTGGTTTTTTACTTATTTCTTATTCCTTATTTTTCTTGACCCTTCCCTTAATCCACTAGTGGGAAATCGTGGCGGGGGATGCGATGGCGAGGGAACTGGGGGCATTTAACGCAACACCGGAAATCAGATCGTCACACGGAACCAGGGTCTCGGGGGGAATGAAATCCCTAATTATACATATGTATATGATTTCTAAATCCTGTGATATTTTATTCAAATTAAACGCATTCAAATGTTTACTAGTACTGACTTCAATCAGATACTCGGTATCGAGGACTTGTAACTTTTGGTACATGTACCTGTCCCACCATGTCAGTCCAGTATACCGGATGCTAGTGACTTCGATCCGAGCGGTCCGGATCTACTTGGATCTAGCATGAATATGACACTGAGAAAGAAAAAAAAACTTCCTATATTCTTCCGAGTATTGAACCTTGGATTTGTGTTGAAAGAAAAAGATTTTTAATGCTGATGAAAAAAAAAAATATGAAAAAGAAAAAAGAAAGTAAATCGTCAATGAGTTAATTCCTCAACGCATAAACCGGCGGTTGGCTTTGGTGGGTCAGAAAGGGCAAAGAGTAAAAAGAGTAATACGAAGACAACTTTTAGATGTGAGCGCTCGGGATAAACACCAATCTGGCGGCTTGCGCCGCGATAGAAAAGTGGATCGTCACTGATGCTAAGATACAAATAAAAAAAATTAATAAAAATCAGACAGCTTCTAACCATGGTCACCAGCCCCGATCGATTTGTAAGTGAACAAAGAGAGGAAATAACAAAATAAAAATCCCTTAGAAAAAAAAAAAGAGGCAGAGTACCACGGTCGCGATCGAATCTCCAGCCTCAAAATATGACTTCATGTTCAATATTGTCAGTGGAGTACAAAGAACAAAGTCGTGCACAGCCTGCAGAAAGGAAAAAGTTGGCAACCCCCGTCACCCCCCTTTGTAACTTGTACCGCATATACTATCAACAATCCAATCATTGCTGACAGTTTTGCTGGGGGGTTTTTTTTGCTCTTACTTCCTCCTTTTCCTACCCAATAACAACCCGTTTCTAACCCCCCGGTCAACGCTCTTTTTTCAAGTAAATTTATCTTATGAGGGCTTTTTTTTTCTTTTTTCTTTTTCTCTCTTTTCTCTCTTTTCTCACTCATTTTGACTTCCCTCTCGTTTGGACTCGGTATAATTAGCTCCCGCCCTTAGTCTCGGATGGAGTCACGGCCCAATCCCCAAAGTTGCCAAGAGCAAGGAGAGAAAAGAAGATTCGAAAGTGGACATTCTCAAGGGTTCGCCTATACCGAAATGGTGGAGGACCTACTCCAAAAAAGGATCCCAAGGATCCTCTAAAACGGGGCAAAAGACCCTGCGTTTCCAAATCTTTCTCCAGAGATGCCAAGGAGCTCCACCCGCGGAGAGGAGCCTGGCAATTGGACTATAGTCGCCGGCCCGGTTGTGCCATTCTTCAGCCCTCGTGTCATTATGCCATCATACATTGTTGCGTTTTTGAGATACTTCACACATTTGACATGTAGTACGAGCTTTTGTTTTTTTTTTCTGTCTGGTTTTTTGTGGTTTTGTGGTTTTGTTTTTTCTTGGGTTTTTTACCCCCATTTCCTCTTTTGTTCCCTCGAGGCTCCCCCGTACACGAGGGGAACCACGTCGCGATGCATCACCTTGTTGGCCCAAATCCTTTTTTTTCTCCCCAACGAGATTTCCTATACCAGTCAAGAAGTCAACTCATGAACTTTGACCATCTGACTTGAAAGATCAGAAGAAAGCACATAATCCATAATCCGTAATAGTACTTTGTTACGGAGCACCCGACATCTGGATTGGGCAATTAGGGAGCGAAAGTGGGAGCGAAAGTAAACGATAAGCTAAACATAGTACACCTTCTCGCATCTCAGGTGACTTGGTGGCCTGACAATGCAAGGGCATCTCGCTGATTGGATGAAAGAGACCAACACTATCCCAGATCGAGTCTGGTGCTCAGGACGTTTTCCCCTATTTTTCTTTTTCTTTTTCTTTTTTTTCGGATTGTTTTTTTTTTTTTTTTGGCTTTTCTTTCCTGGGATTTGCTTGATGTTGTCTGTGTGTTCTGTGTGTTCTGTGCTTTCCTGATCCCTGGTTTAAACGGGACGGTATCATCAACCATCGTCACTCTGCACTGTCACCTTATGCATTTCGATTTCTATTTCTAGTTTAGCCTTTGAAGTCTTGGTGAGATTTCATGTTTGGATCTTGATCCTTTCCAATTCCAAGCCTCTGATTTGCCGCTTTTCTATTCCATTTGTACGGAGTAATATTCCTATTGTTTTCTCTTGGCCCTGTCGATCGTGCTGCCCCAGACCATCCTGTACCAGCCGCGACGATCATCGTGGCGGGACAATCCCGAGATGACCCATACGCACGGGTGTACTTCCTCAATGTAAGCCTGAGGCTAGTCATCAAATTTTGAAAATTGTAAAAAAAAATTCGTATGCACGTAATAACAATGAAAAGTAATACACTATACATTAAAAAGGCATCCCCTCCATGCAAGTGTGCAAGGGTTAATGTCAAGTGTCAAGGCTGGGAAAGGACGTGAGTGAAACGAGGGTAAAAACGAGGTTGGGATAATGCACGTAAGGACATCGCAGATCTTTTCCCCCTCCCCCTTCATTCAGATTCAATAGACTTCAAGAAAAATTCAATCTCAACGGCTACGGTGCATAACTCCTTCCAGAAGATTAAACTTAGCTGCATATACCAGCCACCACGATCCTGCAAACCACTATATTGATTAGAAATTTTTCAATTGTTCAATGTTAAATGTCATACATATTGAATGTAGAAATCACAGTGGCAGGGAAATGTACATCGGATCTCCGACTTCCGATAATTCGGATACCTCTTTCAGCACTGAACTCCGCGATTTTGCCACGTTCACGACATCTGGATATGTGGGACCTGCGTTACTAGTGAAGAAACATGAATCATTCATTTCATCCGGAGAGGCGGGAGTCGGCTTCAAGCGCCAGTGGATCGGCCTATGATCAATGATCAGCAATCTCCTG